TTTGCAATAAGAAGTAGGAATAGAAGTAATTTCCCGACTTGGGCAAATTCTTGGCCAACAATGCCGGTACCGATTGAACGTTGTTGGCAATCTCAGGGATCATAGTTGTTACGCCAGAAGATATTGAAACTACAATAAAAAGCTGAGTGTAAAGAAATAAAAAGTAATGTCTTTGTAGCAAGACCTCGACAGCTGGACGCTCGAATGCAATATAGTATTTCATCAGAAACTGAAGAACGACCGGAAAACAGTACATAAGGATGGATGCTGCCAATTGAGGAGCCAACCCTTGAATAGCACCTAGTTCTTTGTCTGACAGGTTATGCAAACGCGAGCCAATTGAATCCAAGTAAACAAGCTGTGACAAAAGTCCCGTCAAGGATATTGGGATTGCCCAAAATATGGCCAAAACATTTAGGGTCACGAGGATACTGATACTCCGCAGAGTTCTGGAAAGTTTGCCGTAGTAAGGGACAGGATCCAAGGTTTTTAAGTCAGTATCATGTGCTTCTAGTTCCAATGGTATTGAAGATGCTCTTGCTTGCAGCAGCAGATGAGCTGTGAACAAGTCTGAGAAGTGAAGTAGTGCAATACTCTTAATTCTTTCAATGTCTCTTCGCAGATTGTGAATTTTGCATTCAAGAACGGCTTTCTCTCGAAAATAAGCTATTAGTTTAGTGCTTGAGGGAACGACCCTTTTCCTAGATATATGTGGGCGTACTCGCATCATTGTATCAAGGTCTCGGAGAAGGGTTCTAAGCTCGAGTTCCTTGCCATCGCAGACTTCCTGCTGTGGCAGGATTACATCCACTGGCCCTCCATTAAAGGCCGAATAGATCTGTCTCAAAGTTTCGCCATTCCACGTTCCCGGTGGGATATTGGTAACCACTATTGTAGCTGCTCTTTGAGCTGAGAAATATTCATGAAAGTAGTTCTGCCTTGCCTTCACAACTAATCTAAATTCCACAAGTAGAAGACGCCAGATATGGATATTGGCCAAGGTTGCAGCGAAAATTGTGATCCACCATCTTATGTGCTGCTCTTTTTGGATGTTTGATATGCTGAATTTATCAAGGCCTCCAACATTTATGTTATTAGCAGTGTAATTCACTGGAAGCAGTATGGGAAGAATAATAGCAGTTATTGGCACGAAGAGCCTCACGGCCACCTGTAGTAGGCGCAGAAAGAAGCGACAGTCCAATGAAAGTCTACCGGTGAGTTTCGTATCATCTTTCATAAATTCCCATAATTGCTTAACCCAAAGAGTTCTGCCCTTGGGCAATGGCGAGAGATCAGGATCCGCTAAACATACTGGTTGGCTGCTGCTTTGTTAATATCTCATATCATCAATCTAACGAGTCTACTTACAAAAGCTTGTGGTCAATATCTTTCAGAAACGTGAAGATATACACGACTGGTATGAATATGCTTCCAGAAACAGCCAAAGAGATCAAGAATGACTGAGTAGAAAGACCTTCATTCTTCTGGGCTTTTCCGGCAGCGTCGTTGACGGTCTCATTCAAAGCCGCAAGATCCATATTATAATACCAGTATTACGTAGGACCTGGAGGTTGATTATCAGCTACTGGCGCTCTATTTGAACAATATGCCAAGCATTCATATATCTCATTGTTCTTAGTGGCCCTTCTTTGTTGAGGGCCCAAGAAAAGAAAGGTAACAACCGTTACCGGGGCTCTATTTGCAGAGCATTCCTCACCGTTTATTAGGCCGAGTATACACTTTTGCATGTCAGCGTAAAACTGACTTCTGAATGGTGTCCAAAGAGGAGGAGAGGACAAGGACGGTCGGAGATAAATGGGGGGTAATGAGGAATGCATATAAAAGCTCTGTATCAACATCGCAAGAGTTGTATGCAGATAAGTTTAGAGTAAAAAGCATACCCATTGCATACAGCAGCCTTTGAACGAAGTTGCAATCGATGCATAATAGTTTATATCTTCAATAATACTTACACATTCAGTGATCATACAACAACTCTACAATGCTGATAAGGGTAGTAATTTACTCCATTTTCGTTTGTCTGGGTGGGTGTCTCATTGTCAATCACGGCGACGTTGATTTTCATTATATCATCCCATATACATCCCAGAGAAGTATTCAGTCTAGGAGCATAGTGAGAACACATCTCCTGCCAGGTCAAACTTTACCAATCACAGTGATCACGCCAACACCGGCTCTCCCGAGAAACAATAGCTCAAGGATTCCTTCCGGGATTTTCAGAGGAAAGCCTGCATTTAGTGGAGCTCCTTATCCCGTTAATAATACTGCAATTACCAAAACTTCCCACAGGTCTGGCTACATGCCCATGCATTCAAGTAAAATAAAAGATAACTTGTCTTGCTGCAGTACCAGTACATATCACAAAGCTCCACTCGCTACCTCGAGTTCGCACAATCAGGGTACCAGCGTATATGGCCTGCCCCTAATACCAACTAGTTCTTCCAACCCAATGGGAAGCACAGCAAGAGTGTCAACCACAGCAAGCTTCAACACTTCAATGCTAGCTTCTGATGCCGAGTTCCTAGACTCTCATCCAGCACTGACAACAGCCCTAGCTTGTATTGTTATATACCTAAATATATTGTTTCACTGATATAGTTGGTCCAGGGGTCTGTGTACCATTTGCGCTCTTCCGTATTCCTGATTCCGAAATACTAACTGATATTATCTTGCTGTATGGTAGGTTCATATGCAATTTGATCACAAATGATAAACCAGGGCTACGCGAGAATGATCTTTTGTAAAGCAGCAGGTAATCAACCAAGAGAATTTTGTGGAGAAAGAGTATGAGGAGTTGGGACCACCATTTAAGCTACAGGTCAAAAACCAATTTGGCTATGCTGTTACAAAAACTGTCGTTTCAGAGGGGCCAGACAGGAACTGGTATTGCAATGCCCAGTGCCCTTCAGATTGATATTGTATTGCACAGGGTATCAATTCTGTGGTAGTCGGGAGGAGGCTGACCTGTTTATGTATTTGCACTTGGATCATTAATCCATTTCTTAAGAGGTTTGGCCGGCTCGTTGAAGATTCGTTGATTATAATACTGCTCTGCTCGAGTATGTTGTACACTACGAGAATGTCGAGATAGTGTAGACCTGTTTCTACCATACTTATAGACAATTCTTGTACTGCATAATTTATCATTTTCCCTGGTAGATAATTATTCATTATAACAATTTATACATGAGGCCCATAGGAATGCTCTACAAGTGAGGCAGCGTTTATTGCATTAGGGTTGGGGGGAGAAGTCAGAGTCTTAACATTTGCACCGTTTTTAAAATCATCTGTACAGACTGGCATTTCGTAGAAATCTTGCAGGTAGCTTGCCCTTGGCGAAATTAAAATATGTGAATATACGTCCGGTAAGTTGAGGATATGATGCCATGGTGCCCCACGGGGGCAAGGATGGATAATAGAAGGTAGACGTTATTTTTTCGTCCACCAAGCTCCGAGGAAATCCATCCGAAGGTGTCCTATTGATGGCACTTTTGTAAGCTCGGAAGATGGTTCGCGCATCCGAAACCCTGCGTGACGGAAGATTGTGACTAAAGTAGGTTCAACGAGATTGTTCTTCCTAGTGATCGGTCATCGAAAATTAGTGAATGGTCATATAATTGGGTATGGTACGTAACACACTTGGAACTCTCGTGTATCTCCTCAACCCACAGGCTTATTTTCCCCAGGAAATGAATCAAAAGTAAATATACTGGCACCGGCCAGGACCCATGACAATGACCTATGGAAATGAGGGCGGCACCAAAGACTGACTCCGCATATACAAATTGGGAGTTCACGTTCGTAGTAAATGACCGGGTTGGTCCCATGGTCCCGAGAAGAAAGATTAATGCACGTGTATACACAAATCCATGCAGTGGCATCATGCTATCATGGTAGTGAACAGGATTCTGGCTGAAGTAGGCGCGCACCACCAGGACACTTCGCATGATGGATCCTGCCTGATACGCCGGTCCTATTTTCACCAATTAGACACCATAACTTATATGCTTTCGTGGTTATTCTAATTGAGTACTTACTAGTGTGGGGGGGATAACCATTTGGAAGGTCCCTTACCAAAACAAGGGAAGTATAGGAGTGTATCCAGCAGGATATCACTGCGACTATGGAGCACTGGAAATTTCCATAATACAAGATAACTTCAAGCACACCTGATAACACATGCCAGATTAATCCTAAGTCAGGTTAGCCTGGTTGTATCACAACTTCAAGTTCATATGGCAACCTTCATGGCGAGGTCGATATATTCTTCCTCTGTTAAGCCCATGATATATGGCAAACACCCCATACAACCCTAGAATAATCGCATCGGAATCAGTACTCTGTACTCGTTTCACTTCCATTATGTTCTGGCGATGTATGTGGCTGGAACGGATTTAGGAAAAGGCATCAGAATCTTATATTTACAATCAATGAAAGAAAGGACATGAGACTGTAGAGAGGAAGTCTCGCATTCGTGTTCAGATATGTTAATAAAGATGTGCTCTGGTCCTAGTAGAAGCATGTCACTTATTAATTAGCTTGTCGTGTTCATCTAACCGCCCATGCGGAACGGTTGTTAGTCATTCGTAAAGAGCCAGCAACTGTTCAACCAACGATTGCGTCGCATTTTGCTTAGCTGCTGAACAGTTACTCAACCTAGGAGTAAACCAATTTACAATATGATACTCTAAACAACCCCTTAACAAATCACGAAACTGAAATTCAGATCATGGCAGATTGTAACGATAAATTGAGACCGACTAGTATAGGCAGAGGTATTGCTAGCATATGTTTGATGAACGTGTCCATCTAATTATACCTGATAACAATATTCAACTCTAAGACTCATACTCGCCTCAGATGGTTTTGGCAGTGCTTATGTGGATACGTCAAAATAGCCCGTGAAACTCTAGTCATCCCTGAAACAGTGAACGGTCCAAAGTAAACTCTGGAATCTAAATAAATTGCTTCTTAATGGGTGCAATACGACAGACCACACCATATTCTCTGGCATTTACAGTATTGAAAGTGTCTATCGACAGTCACCTGATAATGGAATCGCCAACTGCTGCTGGTTGTGCAAAATGGGACAAAGTCAAAGGTGATATCTTTATGTGTATTGCTAGGTCCTCGAAAACAGCGGAGCCGGCTGCAGCATCCTATCATGATCTAGAAAAAGATCACTCGTTTTCCAAACATATATATGCTGGGGGGTTACAAGCTTGTGTCATTGTCCGCTATCAGAAAAGCCCTGTCGGTAAGCAACTTGATGTATTCAGTAAATCTTGACCATCGGCTAACGGCAGCATCCTTCTAGGCCCATACGACGAGCTTCTATGGATACCTGGGGCTTTTAGACTTCCAGAAACTGGGAAAACGGCATACCGAGCTACACGAATCTATGTTTCGGATGAGAACGCTGTGTATCAAGGTTTGTGGCAAAGCAAATTCCGATCGCAGTGGCCTATGAGAAAGAAAACAACAAGCAAGCTAATATACCCTTCATCAGGCCGTAGCAACTGGAATGTACCCAAAACGGTAAGTTTAGTAAATGATTTCTTCAAGTGAGCTCTATCTTAATTGACATGCTCGTTGGACAGCTCGCGAGGTTCGAATTTACCGAATCCGAAAGCAATCATCTTCCTTACAGCAAGATAAAAATATCAACCCACAAAGAAGGCGAGCTTTTTCTGGAACTAAAATTGATACCAGTATTTTTCAACTCGCGAACAATACTTCCTATTAACTCCAAATTTTTCCCATTTAACCTAAGATTTGTATTCCCCCCGCTTCCGGAAAGCAGAGATAAGCAAGAAGACAAGCGGGTGGGAACAACAGAATGGAAGCAAGTTTTTTTGAGTGTTACGGGAAGGGTCGGAGTCGTCAAAACATCCATTTCACAGACATCTGGAAATCTTTTCCCTGATTTGGGCGGAAAATGCCACTGGCTATGGCTGAAGGGTGCGGAAATTCGAATTGAGGGGTTCCCCTATCACACGGCCACTCCTAGTGCTCCACATAAGCAAAAGCATTAGAATATTGAGGTTGACGATTAATGCAAATCATTTAATGCCAAACTAAGCAGCTTTAATTCAAGCCTTGCAATACATCTAGAGCATTTCTAAGAATGTATACAACACACGTACAGAGTGTTCAGAAAACCGGACTACCTACTCTATATTTTCTCGAGCTTACAATGCCAAGAAAGCCCGCCTCACAATCTATTGGATCTACCTGATCCACCAAATATAACTGAATATTACAAACAAGGATGAGTGTGATTAAGCAATCAAGATTTAATACAGAGAGTTCAGAAATTGGCAACAGAGTGAGTGGGTGGCGACAATAGTGAGTTATAAAGATGGGCAAGATAATAGTTGTGACGGTTAACGGGGCGCCGAGAACGGCTCCCATTGAACCGCCGTTCTGCCAGCCACCACCGCCTGTCACATGCGGCAATGTTACTGCCCGTTACGGTCTAGTGCTGTCTGTTTCGGGCGTCGTGCCCGCTTCTCGCCGCTTTTGCGCCCTTCGCCTGCCGCCTCATGCCTCCCACGCCATCTATATAAGCCCGGCACCTCTCCCTCGAACCACCACGCACTTTCTCTTTCCATTTTCCCCCTGGCTGTCTGCCTCAGCCGGAGCACTGCCCCCTTCTCAAAGAAGCTGTGCTACCCGAGCATTTCTCTCTTATGGTATGGCGCCGTGCGTTTCCCCTCTTTCCCCCACTTCTTCGGCGACTCCGAGTCGCCCAGGGATTCTCGAGGGTTGTTGGCCAGCGGTCATTTCGTTAGTTTCTAGCTATTTTCGTTCGCTCATTCGGGCATCCTCTTGTTTGTGGCTGTCTGTCGCATCCTGAGTTCGTGAATTCGCGGCCGTTTGCGGCGCAGTCATGCATGAGTTGACTGGCAAGTCTGGACGTCATGTCTTGTCCGATCTCTTGCTGAATCTTGAGTTTAGTATTGTTCTCGTGGCTTCTTCATCTACGAAGGTTCGAGTCTCCAGGTAGGGGAAATGTCCTGTAGTCTGCCAGAATAGCTCCCTCCCGTCAAGCCTACAAGACAGGAGGCCTGCTACTTCACCTGGCCTGGGTTGCACGTCATCCCATCAACGTATGCCTTCGACCCACCGGAATCAATGCCCATTCTAACGTGCGGTCTGGCCTTCACCATCTGCCAATGGCAAAATTGCCGCACCTCATCCGTATTCTGTGTGTAGAGCTGAGAGGCTTGACATGCGAGTCTTGGAGGCAACATGCTAGTCGCGATTGGCTGGGAGCGCTCAATTCCAGCGCTCGGTCGAAAATCCTGACCGAGTGTGGATACGTCAGTTGCAGAGGACGGGTTTTTAGGATGAGAGAGTTTCAGCTCGGCGTTCCTTCCAGCGCGCAAGGCCGTCTCATTGAGATGACATACATATAAGGGTCCGCGAAGGTCGCAGTGTTACCATTCGATTTTCTCATCAGCTGCACAACTCCCCTATCACTTGACCTTCTTCCCACACCACATCCTGTGTCCCAATCCCTGCCTGCACATCCCTCTTTCACCCTGGTCCCACTACCCCCTCTTCACTCCCAGTTCCGAATACTCACAGAGTCAACCCTGCCAAAAGATCCTGAACCTCCCATTTCCTGGAATATGTTGCCTGCATTTCACATTGATAACTTCAAGCCATTGGTGTCCTCTCTTCCCAAAGCATATCCAGCCCCCAAATCCCACCGTACACACTGCTCACGCAATAAGTCTTCTGCCCTTAAGCTTTGTGATGAACCCCGACCCCGAACTTTGCCAATGCCCAAACATCAGCTCCCGGCGCGGCCGCCAGTCGATGCTTGCGTAAATGAGTGCAAAAATCCCCTCATACATATCCTCGGGCCCCCCAAATTCAACCGCCGCAGTCATCTATGTCGTCACCCCACACGCCACCCAATGTACGATCCCCGGAGAAGGCCGAGCAATCTCTGGGAGACCACACAGGTCACGTGCCAGATCCAGCCACATTGCGGGATGGTCAAGATGCCAGCAATAGTCCAAGTGACGCGCCCGCCCTTCAAGTGGCCGCCTCATCCCCCAGCACAACCAGTTCGGAGCAGAGCGCGGGGTTGTCTGATGTACACAATGACATTCCAGTCGATCCGGTGATCCTCACCGACGACGGACCTTGGATGATTAAAGAATTGCAGATGCACCCAGACGATAGTTTCGTTACTTCGGAGACAAGTTGTCCGTATCCTGATCCCCCCTCCGTTCTGTGTGACACATCTGTTTATAACCCAGACTCCAACGCACAGCCTCAAAGGCAGGAGAGCAGTCCTCAGCCGGTTAGTCCACACGGCCAGGACCATACGCAAAATTCCGCCTCCTATGACAACACCGAAGCCGACTACCCTTCGTGTGATACCCCTCTGGGTACCTCCATCTGCGGTCAACAGTCGAAACCGCGCAAGCGAAAGCTGCAAAAATTGGACGAACAGCCGTCTAAGCGAGTTCGAGGTCCCATGTCCGGCCAGGAATATACGTCGTTTCCAGCATTTTGTACTCAGTTTCTGTTCCTATCAATCGATGAACGTCTGCAATTTCTCTCTTGGCTGTTCGAAGGTGCCCTACAACGTTGCATATCAGAATATCCACCCACGGCATCTAAACAGGGAGAAGCGCCGGGGGCCAGTCGCTCGACTGTCTCTGATGTGGTTGAACAAGGACGGTGAGGTGGTATGGATGTCCACGGAAGCTCAAGAAAGGGCATGAAATGGTCTGTGGAAGAGTCGGATCTTCTGCTGAAGCTGAGAAGAGACGAGGAGCGGCCTTGGGCAGAGGTCACGAGGCTATTTCCGGAGGAATATCCGGGGAGAAGTCCAGGCGCGATTCAAGTATACTGGAGCACGGCGCTTAGAAAGAAATGGCATCTCAAGACTGCGCTTTAGGGCCAAGTTTAGGAAAATCCGCGCACCCTAAACAAATACTTAGGACGACGAGTAGTTATGGGTACACGGAGGAGGGTCAGGAAAGAGGCTACGATCCAATTGAATCGAATCAACTAAGACTGTAATCCCAGGATTAATCCTGTAGTAGGAACAATGGTCCTAGGATCGATCCCATCCATAGGATTTTAGACTCTTATGAATACTTGACCTGGGACAGGCACGTACCCAGGATAGAGATAGAGAAGTTCACCAGATTGCAAAGCCCAGGATCTGTCTTATTCCAGAGTGGGGTCTCCTGGGTTCATTAAATCTCACGTTGATATTAATGTAAGGAATATACATACTCAATGGCATGAATGCCTCCAGAAGTGATCCCAGGTGTGACTTTCACCACCGTCACCGACCACAGCCCCGCGGAATGCGGTTCCGAGGTTTAGAACCGAAACCACGCCCGACTAACAACCGATTGGAGCTCTTTTCTCGACTTTCCGATCCGCTGCGCCCCCATGAAACATGGTTATGGAAAGAGACACGCTACGGGCACGATCATTCGCTGATGCGAGGTTATTATCGAATGTCGCAGTGTTCTCTTGCTCCCATGACCAGTGCGTCAACGTCGCTCGTGTTGTTTTGAACAATTACCCTTTGCGGTTAATGTTTTGCCAATCCTTGAAATTGATCCTACAACCTCTCTGTAGCGGCTGATACATTAGCCTCAGGTGCAAACCACGATACAAAATGTGGACATGAAAAACATAGCTGCAGGGACTACCCGGGAAATATCGTTCATATGATTCTCTGATCTTCAGTTTGCATCACTCGAGTGGTAATGTCCAATAGGCAACCAGACGCTAGTCGTGCGGAGAGAGCATACAAATTGATTAATCAAATATCTAGATACATCATTTCCAGCACCAATGCTGTTTTCCTACTCCTCAGCTTCCTGATGTTGACGATGCATAACCTTGACGGACCTGACCTCCTGGCCATTATCTTCCTCATTACGCGAACCCTCCTGCGCGGTATCAGCTTCGACCTCTAAGCAGCCAGAAGTGGTCAGAGCGTCGGTCTGTCTCTGGAGCAGCTTATCCCATAATTCGTCAAGTGGAACTCCATCCGTAGAGAGCTTCTCGATACAGCCAAGCTCAGTATACCTCCAGATTACCCCCCATCTGTCGGTGATCAGTACAGGAACAATGATTGTGAGATCATCACTTACACCCACTCCGTGCAGCGGCAGAATTCCTGTCGCTGCATAATACGACCCGGAAGCCACATATCTCCTTTCAGTTGATCAATTGGTGGGCAACCGTATCTGATGTGAAACTCGATGGTGTCCAAGACTCCTGAAACGTGATGCCGTGTATAATGGAGCGTATTTCCTGTAAGATTTGCATTGATACATTCGCTCAACTCGCTGAAGGTAATGATCCAATGCGCTTGGCAATCAGCAGCTGGGACTAGCTGCGCCTTGATCGTGCGTTTGGCCATAGTATCCATAGCGAAATTTGTCTACTGTCGGTCTCGAAAGATTGTTCAGTAGCCGTGAAATTGTGAGGTATACCGGCCTCAACCGGTAGCAGCTCACTGCAACAAGGACGAAAATAAATCCAGCAACGTATAGATGCGACGCAAGGCACATGAGAATGTCTAACATCACAGATGCACTGAATTCTACACTCGGAACAGATTCGCTGAATTAGCTGTCAGGGAGCACATATCAAGGAATAGATTTTAATACTTACTTGTATACGGCCTTATTTAGCAAACTTCCACAGGTAGAGGTGTCGGATTAAACGAGAATGGTTGCTCTATATTCAGGCTGGATGTCGGCCTAGAATTGAAAGGCGTCGAACGCAAGCCTACACTCTGATAGACTATCGCACTGGCCTCTCTGTTGGGGCTTCTGTTGTTCGCGAGCGCAGGCGATGGATATTCCAGATTGATATCCTCGCCCCAATGAAAAACAAGGGAATAGGGGCGAGCTTTCTGGCCTAGTAGCTTTCGAGGAGTATTCTGAAGCCAGTCAGTGAAACTGTCAAAGCGAGATCTCCAGCAACAACACATGGAGTCGAACAGCAAGTTGCGGGCCACAAGGCGGTAGTTTATTCCATCACGGCCATAAACGGGCGTATGGCCCATTGTTTATCGCTGCCATAATATACGCATTTTGAAGCCATCCTGGGAGACATACTTCTCCTGCACAAAGAGGAAGAGAAGCGAAAAACTAGGAAAGCATCCGCGAATGGTGTGGGACTATACGCCGCTCTTGCGTCGCAGCCAGTCCAGTGCTAAGATCCTCTCGCCACACCTGGGGAATTGGAGAGTTGCGCCAGACTTAGAATCGTCGAACAATACCAGCGTGTGGTACATTTCCTTGCTGGTGAGTGGCCATCTCTCAAAGACCTCCGAGGCAGTCTTTGATGAGTGGACGTGTTGTGGGGACGTAAAGCTGGTACTCGTCTTCGGCTGAATGCAACTCTGTCAGATCCGTAAGGAAACATTGTAACAATACGACGACATACGCTGCTGTACCTCCATACTTCGGAAGATATGATAATATTTTTCTTGTGAACTGCTAGTAATTCCATACAGCAAGGAATGGAAAAAGACAAGGGACTTTGGACAATCATACCCACAAGAATTTGAAGAAATCTAGCTTAAGCTACCAAGCTAGCTGTGGTCGAATCATGGAGGAGAAAGTGACGGTCAGCTTTCTCAGTGCGATTGGTTCCACACAACTGCTATAGAGTTGTCAGTGTAAAAGATGCAGCCCTGAACTTTCTTAACTACAAGTTATGTCTGGCTTTATTGCTCGTTCTCGAATATTGGTGGATGCAAGTGCACAGAGCCCGTACTTTAGTTCCTACGTGAGTGGGCACTCAGGACGCGGGTGACCTAGATTGCAGGGATCATCGCTCAGGTCGAAGGGAGTTGTCACAGACATGGGAGTAATCCCTGCAATCTTGCTCGCCCACGAGCAAGATTGCAGGGATTACTCCACTTCTATGGTCTTGTCACTATAGCAGGAAACTTTTTTCCACGCTTCTGTACGAAACATCAACCTGTTGCTGACTTGCGTGGGTTACCAATATTGTGTAGAACGCGGCGTGATGGCGTTCCCATCAAGAAGAAACCCTACGATCCATCTGACGACAGACTCTGTACATTCAGTACTTTGATTATAAGTACATCACTCTCCCCCTGGACTCATCATAACTTGTAACCCATCGACACGAAGTCACTGTGTGATCTACAAGCCTGCCTCAATCTGTATATTCACAATCCACTCCTGCCTCCTTGCACAAACAAGTATTAGCAAGATTAACTGTCCACATTGCGGGTACAACTGCATCTCGTGTCCCTATCCATTCACGTGTCCGAACTGTAAGAAGGAAGTTGCGGGGAGCCAATAAGGTTACACTCCTTACCATACGCTACAATAAGAGATATACTAATATTTTAATGATACAAGCTCGCAAATATGTCGCCTCTGCTTCGCCTTTTCTGTTAAGGAGACAACACCTGCGAACCTGCGTTGGTCTGGTAACGCTGGACCGCGCGGAGAAGGCTTTATTTACCGTGCTCCGGTTGACATTTCTGCTCTTTCTCTGGGAATCCACACCTCGCTCATTCCTCTGTTCCTCCTCATGACTATGTATGTAGAACAGATATACTGGAAGCCCTAGCCACTCGTTTAGCGGAAGAACACTTCCGAATACAATACAGTATGCTTTATATACAATCAAAGTCAAACATGGTAAGCTGTACTTTCAAGGCTAAAGCTGTCATGAACACGGCGTGGAGGCCTCGTTGGCTACAAAAGCCTAAATCAACACCCTGTAATTGATTATCTCATGTAGACAAGGCAGTAGCCAAATTGTCTGTGTAACAACATGAATTCCTCTTTCGGGCTTTAGTGCCACCGAATAATAATTAAAAAGTCCGTAGAATTTTCTGCTGATGCTGGGGTACTAGTGTCACTCAAGTATGAAAACCAGGGTGGCAAGCAATCGCGATGTTGTTATTCCAGCCACGTTAAAATTATCTACGGCGCACATGATCGGGGCGTATGGTCGCTCGGCACTGATATGATTCTCAAAGAGCGCCCTGATGATGGTCCAAAGAATGAAGCGAAAACTCTGAAGCTCCTTGCTTCTTACACGAATATTCCAGCACCAGAGCTTGTCCGTGACTGGGTCGATCGAGACCGCCGTTACTTCGTGTTACAAAAACGAATGGACGGTGAGACACTTGGGGACGCCTGGCCTCTATTGTCGCACAACCAGAGAGTCGCTATCGCAGACCAGGTAGCTGGCATCTGCAAGCATCTACATTCCATTACGTCCTCGAGCATACAAAGTGTTGATCAGACCGCCTGCTCTCCGGCGTTGCTTTTTTTCGATTTCGAACCTCGTGGGCCTTTCCACTCTGACCTTGAACTTTGGGATGCCATAAGCCTCACCCTTCACAATCCACCCGAAAGATCATTCCCGCAGCAAGCGTTGGACAACTTAAAGAAGCGTCTCCCTAAATGCACACCTTACGTCCTCACCCATTGTGACCTAAACATAGGAAATATCATGGTTAAAGATGGGCAGCTTGTTGGCATCCTTGATTGGGAACATGCAGCATATTATCCTATATGGTATGAATATGTCTCAGCAACTTGGGGTTTCACCGAGGCAGATGCAGAATGGAGGAGGTTGTTACGTCAGCGACTTGATACACATGAAGATGCAAAAAGGTTCTGGATGGACCTGTATCATTTGCGAAATTATCCAGATTTGGACGAGAAAGGCCGGGAAGTCTTGGAAAAGTTGTCTGCGGAGTCATGACGGGCGTTCTTTTTCTTACAAGATTTCGATATATTATAAAGCCTGTCAAAAACGCAGATAGGATGAAAGCAAAACCAGGAAGATTTCTCTGTAGTTGCTTGCAACCATACAAAATTCTCTTACATTACTTGTCGACCAGCAGCCTTGAAACAAAAAAGTCATGAGTCGTACGTAGGTCGGCAGTATGGTAGGTTAGCTGTGCTTTCTACCAACTTCGCAAGGATAGATAGTAGATAGTACTGTTGATCGAGCGATGTGCCGTTTGCCATCAAGTCTTCCCTGAAATGGAGGGAACAAAGCGCTCCCATGTCGCAGTGCTGGTTACTCAGCATGTGCCTGCTTTATCCTTCCTCTGCGACAAGCATTCTTACCAATGATATTGCTCAAAATATGCGAAAGAAACGAAAACCAAACCCCTGGCGTTTCCGTTGGTCGCATTCATGTCCGTTCCCCACGGGCCCCTTTGAGTTGTTTTCCTCCATGGTCAAGAAATCAAAGCCGGGAAGGGAGAAGGACAACTATCTATTGGTAGAGACAAAGATGGACAAAGAACGGACCGCGCGCCAAGATTACAAAGCGCCATTTTCGAAGTGGTCTCCTCGGTTTAGGTTCAAGCGCACCACCCACAGAACGGGGGAAGGTGAGAAAAAGCAAACGCTTACAGTCGAGGCTGGTAGCCTCTTCGCCCGAAGCAAAAGCGGGGTTTTGTCAGCAGTGAACCCCCTACCAACAGACTGATCCAGCTTAGGTGATTATTTTCTGTGCAACTGGGACTCAACGATCCGTCCTCATGCTCTTTTCCGATTCGCATCATGTCGGGTTTTCAACTAGCGTTGGACTACATTGACGCGGGAAGTGAAGAGGAAATTTTACAGCATCGTGAAAGGGCTCTAGACGCCATCAAAAAGCTAGAGAAGGCCCTGGGTCTCACCCAGAGAGTTGAGCCTGGGTTACCATCTGACTCTATATCTATCGAACCCGATGTCGAGCAGCGACCTCAGCAGTTGTCCGAGAAAATACTTGCTAGAATAGACAAAAACCTCGTCAGCACCGTCTCTTATGCTCGGAAATCCCCAGAGACTGCAGTCGCGCCAGCACCGCAAAAGCGCGAAGATCCTAGGATTATTGACGCACAGATCTACTATGGCGCGAGGAAAAAGACGACAAGCATGATGTTCCGGACAGCACTGGCTATCAGATCTATTAGTATGGAATTCGCAAGATTCCAATATTACCGACGTGGTTATTCCAGGGTAGCTAGGCAAGTCAACCGCCTTTCAGCAAAAGCAGACCAGACGCAAGAAGCTACCATCGGCGATTTCATTAAGGAGAACCATATAGCCGACCATCGAACATTCGAACGAATGATAACATCTGGCACGAAGATGCTCGTTCTCGAGGGCCTCTCTGGGAGTTGTGGTATATCCTCTCTACTATGGAAAGTACCAAGCTGGAGTAAACTGAGCTATCCTGAACTACCAGTTCTCTTGGAGCTATTGCTACAGATGCCAGAATATGATAAGGTTCGCACTACGGCAGAAGATTTGACCGGATGGTATGAGCAATGCCAAGATGTATACGACCAAAACATTTACGCTCAACGAGCTACGTTTTTATACAACAAGCTGCCACTGTGCAGACCCAAGGACGTGATCCAACCAGTCAGCTATCCAATTATAGGAGCAGACTCCTTTGGTGAGCACATGACGGATAGTGATATGGTGGTTTCGACGGCTTCAGCACGTCCAGAGAGCTCCTTAAAGCATACGGGTATGTGTTCTTTTGCTCTTCACGTGCATATCGCCAGATGCCACTGACTGTAGACTACCTCAACAGAGGCAAGTATGGCTAGTGATCAACTTCCGAACATCGAGAACCCTATGGATGGATGTGAGTGCAGACGCTTCGGCATTTCGCGTTCCTTACTTATTGGGCAGGTATATCTACACCAGCTCCGCTCGGGGGTGGCAACGTGGTGGATGGCCAAGGTATTTGCATTATGACGGCGCAGACCGGCGAGCAAGAGCACCGGTCACAATTATTATCTTTTCACGCCCAAAGTACCGTTGACCAATCCGAGATATCGCAAACAAACTATTACGGACTTAATGATCCCTGTTGGAGCCAAAGTGCTAACGCGGGTAGTATGTCCGAGCTGCCAGTTCATTCTCCTTCGAACACTGAGCTCCTTCATCCTGGGGAGCTCGTTGACTTGGTGAACGCTTCGATCCACCCCCTGAATTTTGTCGACATCATAGATACTCCTATCCATCCTGCAGGTGTCGCCGACGTGATGGGTTGTCCAGCATATCCCGCAGGGGAAGTGGATTTCTTTTGTCGACCTGCCCAGCAGTCAGTACAATCCAACGACAACTCTACGAACCCACCAACCTTCGGGACGTCCTTCGATTCTGAATTTGCGAGGGATACGCCAAGGGCAGCGCATCCACATTCAGAGATGCGAAGTTACGCAGATCCAACAGCCGGCTTGGACATGCGCCTTGCTGAGGGAAATGTCACCAACTATGCAGCTAACAGCAGCACACTGTTATTTGCTAATGTGTTCCAAGTTCCACAAGCTTGCCCTTGATGGAGGGTGCTGAGATTGGTGATAAGAGGACTTTGTTTAACACATCTCGTTCATGATGTTGTCTGAGGAACAGTAACAATGAGGCAGTCCACGCTGGCGTTAAAATATTTCGTTTCCTTAAACCGCATATAGTTCCCAAGTTGTAGCCCCTCCCCCGCGACTTTCACAAGCCCAAATGGGAAGAACAGAGTATCAACACCAGGATCCTTTTCGATTGTAACGTCTCCATATAGTCGTAGAAGTGCATAGCCGTTTCCCTGTTGAAAAACTCAGCCGTGTGACCAAGTGACTTCTTATAGAGTATCAGTGTACCTCTTCGTGAAGTCCCAGCTCTTTCAACAGAGGGCCACATATTTGAAACCGATCTTTATCTGTACATATTGACGAGGAGCGGGTTCGAGGCTCAACCTTAGCCGTATTGAACCATTCCACAACCTTAGCCAACTCATTGCGAGCATTTTCGCTCACAGTGTAGATAGACATAGGGCAGCGAATTTGCAAAAACGAAAGATCGTAGACGGACTTTCTGACCCGATTTTCCGACAAATTAAATTCCCGCAATCCATCTAGTGGTAAATTAAATGTGTGACTCACCGACGTGCTGAGGGTAAAGGAGCGCTGTAAGATAATATAAGGTCAGTCGTCGCTTGGAAGAATGCATTGAGGGGCAGATGGGACCTCATAAGATAGACCCCACTATTATTCTATATCACGTGGTCAATTCAAGTATTTCGACACTTACTCCGTAATCGTTAGGTAACTAACTAGTTATATTAGATGACATAACAGGAAAAGGCATAGCGTGGACGTTTTGATGCCCAAAGAGGGGCGTGTTATGGTCCGGAAGTGCAATTATATTGATGCGGATAACGAGACGGAATAATCAAGCAGTGAGGATGGTGTGGTGGAAAAGGACACGTCAGTAGATATTGGGTTGCGCTTAAATATTTCGCCGAAGGTCTTGGCGTTTCTATGGTTTAGAAAAGAGCGAGGGCTCACGATACGCGGGAAAGCATGCGAAATGTCAAATTGGGAGGTCTCACAGTACGGGATTAATTGTCAAGGATTTCAAGTTCTCCCAGGCGGTCTTTTTGAGACGGAGAGCTCCGCATCTCACTTAGGCCTAGAGGTATATACGGGGTATGAAGATATGCTGGATTATTTATACCAGGAAGATTGTGCATGAAATCATAGACTGACGGATATATATCCAAATGAGGTCAAATAGATGAAGATCTTGGAAGCTAATCAGAACAACAGTTCGTGGACAAAATGTTGAGCTCTATATGCGGCGAATCTTCTTACTTCCCCGTGCCTTTGAACATCCATCTACTCCATCTAAATTTGGCACGCCAATCACGGAGGCAAGAACTTCACTTAGCAGGCAGCTGGTAGGCTCTTCGGGAAAATAGTCCTCTCTTCGGGGCTCATCCGGTAGTTCTCCACACTTTTCACAATTCTGAGAGCTGCCTCCATGAGCCTGGAGCTCATGGTTAAACTCCGCCGTGCTGGACCTCCTGTCCCACTTGGCCCATTTCCTTTTGAAACGACCGTATATCTTAACGTTAAAGGCGCGGCCTTTATAGCGGAACCAGTCTTCAACAGCGTCGTGAAAGCGTGATATTTGCCAGCTGGCTGGGGTAAGTTGGGTGATACCCCCTTCCATTCGCAAAACCCCACGGTGTATCAAGGCACTCATATCGGGAAATAATCGCTCCATACATGACACATGGTAGAATTTGTTCGGTTCTAAGGCTCATGAGACTCAGAGTAAGCTTTCTGTAAGATACTGGAGCTCACCATAATATCGACCGGAAATGTCCTTGACGTTGAAGCGAAATGCAGACCTGATATTAGGTTCTCCGGTGATTTTGGTAGGTATGCAGTCCCCGAAGCGACAGTGGCTTCTGCTGCTAGGGTTCTCTTGCAATAGAACTACCCTTTTCTCCTTCGTGAGCTCATCTTCAATACACGCTCTCTCAAACGCGACTTGCTTGTCAGGGGCTCGTGGTATCCTCTCCCCCTCGCTATCCACTTCATCCGATGGATAATCGACGTGAATTTTCTCCGGTGACGAAACACCGTAAGAATTCTTAAAGCACTGCATATATTTGGAATTACTATGTATGTGTCACTTGTTCATATGTATCATTTGACATTATCTAATGTCAGATTAGGAGAGCCCAAGAAGATCGCAGAGCTTGACGACCGTTATTGTTGACGTAACTTGCCATTACTGTAATTTACCATTTGCTTAAGGCCATGCAGATATGGCAAATAAGTTTAATATCTTGTAAAACAACTCACTAGCTACACAATATCTAGTCTAACTCAAGGGATAATTGTATTCATGGAACATCCCACCGCGCTTCGCATGTCAAGACTTATGAGGCGAGTACGTATCTCTCTTACGGAAGCTCAGCACCTAGCCGTAAGTAGTAGGCAACTTCCGTTGTAACTATATCTTCGTCCACACTTCCATTTCGTACCATACCGCTAAGATAGCCATATGTATATCGAGATGCGAGCCGGCAGTCCTCATATATGGCCAGCGCAGGCTCAATGAGATTCCCACATTTGGTATATATGCGATTTGTGTTCTATTGGCCTATTAATACTCACCTTCAACTTCAGAAAGAGCGTTTTATCATACATAGTTACAAAAGAATATCGAAGAGCTGTTCAGGTAAGATACACGGGCACAATTGCCGGCTTCAGCAGCACAATAAGTATCTTTAGCGTCTCGCAGATGGTTGATATTCACGTCAGTGGGCTCAATGTAGGCGAGGCCGCGTGTGAAATCGCAGATGGGTTTTCCTATCTATTTTTAAAGAGATGTAAGCCATCGGGTACCTTCAACGAGTTCTCTTGTAGGAGCTCACACCACGCTTTCCCGGTAGACCTCTCTCCTCAAGGGCAGGAGCAGGAAAGTTCGGCGAATTCAAAATCTGTGCACGGATAGTAAGCCAAAACTCAATTCTCCACCTGATTTTGCCCATACTGTGCTAGTTCTCCTGACTCCTGGGTAAGCTGCAGCACCATAGATCTACTGCAGTCAGTAAGGAACAAACCAGAAGGACTTGACAACAAACCACTGTCGCTAAAAACAGGAATAACGTCAGAATGCACCTGCTTTTGAACATTGTATCTGTGTGCTTTAGATAAATCTAATTAGTGACTATGTACGGCCCAGGACAGCAGGAACCAACTGGTTTATATCTTTGTGGCAAGATCAGTACAATCTACAACAGCTATGGATCCCATCATTGCCTGATCGATATTATATACCACAGCCATAACCATTGCTCAAGCTTTGCTTAGTTGAGTCCAAATATAACATGGGCCCGTAGAACCTTAGGCTTTATTCATGGTTCACTTCCTGCAAAAGGTTTCGACAGACAATATAAAATGATCCATATACATTCTTGATATGTCCAAAATTATTTCCCATGGGCAGTACCTTTTTGTTGCGCTTTGTTCGTGATTAGAAATTACCATTGTGTGGTCAGAAACATAATAAGTCATATGTTAATGTAGGTTAAACACCCTGCATAAACTTTGCTCAAACAATTGTAAGGTATACTGTACCTAGAACCCTGCTTCAGTTCTTTCAGCTCGACCGGATAATCAATGTCCTCTAGATATTGACAATGCTTTTTACCGGGGTTAAACAGGCTTGTAAGAGCCTTTTAGAAATGGATTCTAGGAAGAAAATTTGGTTCGCTAAGTACTCGGCAATGAACTAAAACTTGTAGATGATTTAGTAAAGTACTAATGAAATGAAAGTATAAGTATGTAACCAAAGTAACGTTAGAGTGGTAAGAGACACATTATTCCAGTAAAAACTATATCTAAAAACTATTATCCCAATGATTTATTACTATATTATCGCGCTTGCAGCTGCCATATCAGCAAGAGCACAACAGCAATCTGGGGGAGGCGTTGGAGGAGCTTGCACCTTTCTCACAAGTTTCTCTAATACTAATGTAATTTTGCGGTCAGTACATGGTGGGCAAGAACGTTCCATCTCGGTGAGAGAAGGATGTGAAGTTCAGCTTGCCACTGTTTTTCGTGATTGTGCGTTTCCTCAGTGGTTTTCTTCACGTCTACTGATTTATAATAGGTCAGCAAGACTCAAGCTTCGTGTGTGAAGAAATCTCGCTGTTGATTTCAGGTGTATCTTCACAACCTAGCAACGCTGTGACAGCCACAGAGAAATCAGGGCGAAGTACATCTAGCTCACCGGCCAACCAGATTGTGACCACACTTACTCAACCACCTCGAACGACCCAAACCTACTCAGTGATACCTATCGAAAGGGAAACTGACTCCCGCCAAGGACGCCCAAATAGCTCAAGTGAAGGTCCCCAATCTAACACGCAGCCTCCGGAGTCCATAGTAACGGCATCAGCCAAGCACCCTACGTCTGCAGATTGTCTGTCGCACAGTGGAACAATGAGTACTACGTTGGGAGCAGAATTATCCTCTCCATCCGTATCTGCGTGTGCAGTGAAGTTAGTGGCATCCTTGCAGTAAGAATTATCCGAATTATCTAACCACAGTTCACAATAGGATCGGCGAATTATTTGTCGGTAACTGCTATTGCATGAATGGAAGTACCGTAAACTACCTGCCCAGCGACTGTATCATACTCCCTTGATGTAATTATGACATGATCAGTGGAGATATTGTTTTCTCTCTTTGTACTGTCTTAAGATTAGGATACGGTTGCTAGCAAATATAATGCAAGAGATGCCTGTTCTTTGACTTCTCCAAAGCCCTAGCTACGTGGCAAGTTAGATTCCTTCCGTAGAAATACGATGAGACCCTGGCAAACATTACATTATGAATAACGACTAGTTATTCTATTGCTTGGCGTATTTTGTGAGAATTTAATAGGCATACAAGAGCAACTGCCAAGGTCATGACGACGTTCCTTACAACATCCGAGAAACCCTATAAGCAGAGAAAGAAAGAGACCGCAAAGGGAAACAGAAAGCCTCCAGTTTGAACTCCACAACCGTATCAATGGACCAACCCATGAGAATTCATGCCCTCCTAGCGCATCCGTCTCAGCCGCTAACATCATCTTCAAACGATGCTGAGGTGCGAGTCCCGCAGGTTGACATTTTGAATTCTTTGCGGCTCTTGAAGACTTGGTGGACGAGCATACAGACTGGCAGCTACCACGAGTGAGCACCAATCTGTCCAGAGACAGCATCCAGATGGCGCGTGTCAAACCTTTGGAGGGTTGTCTGAACATCAACCAGGTCCATTGTGAGATAGAGCCCGAATTCTCCAATGAGCAGGATGTAAAGCTAGACAGGTTCGTCAATGGGATCCCCTTGTGAGTTAGGAAAAGAAACAATGTTGGCGAGTACGGAGTGGCTTAATATCTCTATGCGATAATTTTCAAGCATACACACTAAAATGAAAGACGTTATAACAAATTAGTAGGTCTATACATTACTCCTTTACCTTATCCAAGGGCCTAGATGGGTCGGTTGTACTTCTATATAGCTGGTTGCAGAATTGGCGCAAATCGTTATATTCTGTCATAGTTTCTGAGACTAAGATGGTCCGTGTAATTTACCAATATATATGTGATAATATACACCGCCCTGTACAAGTGGAACCTTGGACATCCCAAAGCTTCCATGCAAACTGCTCAAACCTCTACTTACTACCGCTCACCACCACCACCACCACCACCACTACCTTCCTGTTCTCGTCCTTCCACCACTCACAAAGGTCTTTATGTGGGAGTTCCAGCAGAACAACACAAATGGCATTACTTATCGTTATCTCTAGCTTGGCGGCATCAGTCCTCTGGCCTTAGATAGATACTTTGAGTGAGAACTAACGTGATATGTGCATCGTATTAGGCTGCACCTTGGTTGTACACCCCACCACCTGCCCCAAATACCTCCTCCAAACAACTATCCTAACGCTTACGCTGTACGCAAGGATATAGGTTGGTATCAATCTTTCATTACTAGCTATAGTTGGAGAAGCATAAGAGACGATAAGAGCTCTAATTTTCACGCAGTGAAGTCCCTTTTAAAAATGTTCGATAAGCATACGTAAAAGTGACATCATGACTTGCCAATGCCACATTTAAATGTAGTATGATAAGTTTTATCGGAATTTTCATTTCAGCTTTGAAACCTCCGGTATATCTGTCAGTATGACCATGACTATAATAAGCCTCTTCTATGTGCTCGCCAGAGATAGTTGAGAAGTTCAATGAATTGCTTACACCTGAGGAAGCATCTCAAATTTGCAATCAGTTTCACAGTGCCAGGTGGAAACATGGACGCCAGGTTATGTGGAGCGGTGTACCCCGCAGTTTGGTACAAACCTGGGCAGATAAGCATAGAATGCAAACATTGACAACGGCCATGGGGCCATTGATGGTTCACAGTGATCCACACTGTTTATGGTCCCGAAAATCAAGTAAAAGGTGGAGTAAGTATATGAAGGGTGCATCTGCTATGTACGCCTATCATATTGCTCAAAACAAGGAACCGGTCACTGTCCTCTCTCCGCCGCCTCCTGAGCAATATAATCCATACGGCGGATCAAACTATCAAACCCTCGAGGAGCCAATCCTGAAAGGAAAACTAGGGCCCAAGGTCGCACAGATTGAAATGGTACATCCAACCGTACCCGGCGCTGAAGAATTCCACTATCGGATATGGCCAAATGACGAAACATTCTCATGGTATGAGAACTTTGGGCACCCTCATCCAGCTACACACTGGCGACGTGTAGTAGCTAGGCAAGCATTACGATAAACCCGCTATGTTGACGTCGAACTCTTTACAAAATGGTGGTGATTTCTCTTCTTAGTATGCGATTAACTTTGTATCAAATATGACGATCCATTTCCTCACCACCATGGTATAACGAGTTCAGGTTTCAAAATTGATCCATTTGATGACTACTCAGGTCTGGTGTGAAGATAGTCCAAAAGCTATTTGACCAAACAGAATCAGATTGTCGTTATCTTTCATCCTTCAACTGAATCCCTGTTATCTACATCTCAAGGTTTCAGTGCGTGTGTTTTTTCTAGTACGTAGGGAATGGACTCACTAGTTTTATTGGATAGATTGCGATTGTAGGATAGATAATTTCTGGTACCTGAGGTACTCGACCCTGATAGTTTGGAACTGATTGCCATCCTTGACTCGCAGTAGCAACAAATGGATCATTCTTGAAACCTGAAAATCGATTCTTCGTGTACTTCGTAGATCTAAATATACGCATGCCAAGAAGTCTCTAGAGAAGATATGACTTCATAGTGATGCAGGACGTTGTTCTATGGATCTTAATCATCTGCCGCACACGTAGAAACCCTAGATGCAGGAGCAGCATCTTATGATGACCGTATATTTAAAATCATTATTGGATTTATGTCTTGTACAGCAGGGAAATCACGATAGCCGCATACTGGAGGTGGGAACCCCGAATAGACTCTTCATCAAATCCCTAGCAGTGCGTCTGGATAACATTTTATGAGTTTGCAGAGTAGACATGAGATCACTGGGGATGAGAGTCATACATTAATATTCCTACCAAGACAGGCAATATTGACTACCGCGGCTGAACAGGCTGCGCCAAGAGCTATGATGCAAGAAAATGGAAGCGTATTCAACAATATGTATTTGAGATAAGCTGGGAGGTGCTGATCAAGCTAAAGAAGGCAGAGCATGAGATGCCCCGCCAAACAGTAGCGCGGCACTAGACTACGAGGAAGCCTTGTAGGAATTTTAACGCCGCACGCCACGAGGGCCGTAGAATAGAACTCCAGGCATCGGCCAACACAGGCCTTGACGAGGCTTGGTAGAGAATTTCCGAGTAGTCGACTTATTCTTACTATTTGTCATCTAGGATCTTACAGTACATTAAAAAGCATCCCCTTTTACTTACAGTCATTTGATCCTGTATGGTTCTTACTTGGCAAGGGCTATTGTATTGCCATCCCCGTCCAGCATTCAACGAGCCCTTGCCCAGGAAGGTGGGACGAAAAAGTGAACTTGGGATTCAACGTTGGGAACCAGCTAAGAGCCAGGGCATCCCTCGATCTAATCCGAATCAATGCAATACGTACTCTACACCTGCTTGCCAATACATATCCAGTCTCCTACTGCATTGCTAGATAAAAATGCATAGAGCTTTTGCGCCCGAGTTTCTCAAAGTCAAGTGAACCGACCTCAATTTGAATCTACTCAACGTTTACCTAAAAGATCATATCCTTCTCATGTAACGTACTAGCTATTTTTTTACCAGTTGTCTTCCAGATTCTTCCCGGTAATGGTGTTATAATTTTCCCGAAGTGCCTCACACTCACTACTATCATAATCATCAAAGCAATCCCACCTTTCCGCTTCCGCTCTCTTCGTGGTTAGCCGGTCCTCCTTGTCTACTCAATATTAGCCGAATCTCCAATACTCGTGGAATCCTATTCAGTATACCATAATGGACTTGCTCTGAATCAATTCTTTCAATAACAGCGGCTGGCGGGATTTTATGAAGACATAGATATGTGCCACTGATATGCTGGTTCGCTTTATCGGGTAGTTCCAAACTAAGACCTAAGATAAAATAGCGGTATTCTTGTGGGATGAGTTCGATACTTCAGTGGCAACCGCCAGTAATGGGAGGGCACTTATGTCAGTAGGATAGTCTTAAAAAAGCAGCTCGTCGGATTGCCCAAGGGTGTAATACAGATTTGCGAGACTACTATCTCCATAACCCGTCCGATTTTCGTTTGTACCATCTTGTTTATATCGATGAGTCGGGATGTGACAAACGGATTGGATTTAGGCGCACATCTTGGTTCCCTGTTGGAGTGACACCAGTAAAGGTCTCTCAGTTTCATCGAGAACAACGATATTAAATACTGCCTGCATATACACAAGACGGCGGATGTGGGGTAATAAATGGCTCATGTTTCATGCTGAAACAACTATCACAAAATAACAGTACTGGGAAGTGTATAGCTACATACAACGTGCCTGTGGGCGACATCACTCATGCCACAGGATGCTGCTCAACCCCATCCATTGACCAGGCTCTGGCATCCGTCCGACCTGCAGAGAGGCTACTTCCTTCAGTAATTCTCCAGTGTTCAAATTTCTCTTTAGAATCACGACGTTCGACGTCTCTTGATTAGCTACTGCTATATAATCTCCTTTCTTATTAATCGCAAGCGCCCGAGGCATGACGCCTCCTGATGAGATGAGTGATCCCTCCCGAGAGATCGTTCCATCTGATGCAAGCTTAAGCGTCACTAGAGAGTCATTCCCGTCAAATAGACCATCCTTCCTCACAGAAATATGTAGACTTTGCTTATCAGCCTGTATTTCAGATAGGGTAGCTAGGTTTGTGGGGAGCTTATGACCTGGATAAGGAATAAAACAGCTCAATTCCTTAAATGTCGGGCAAAGACCATCTCTGTATGACACATCAAACGAGCACAGACGGTTGCCTAGCTCTTCCACTATGTAAAGTGTAGTCTTTCCTTCCTGCATGGTTTCTGCAGAGCGTATGAACAGTCCAAATCTGGGTCCGCTTCCTTCTTGGTAAGCAATTGGGTCACATGCGTTTAGTTTGCCTGTCTCCTTGTCTATTAAAAAAACACGAACCAAATCCGCACCTAAATCAGGTGACACAAGGAATGAAGTCGTGGGATCAAGAAGGACTTGATGGGGACGTGACTGGTCCTGAGGGGCATCGCCAGGATTGTGGAGGGTAAAATTCAACACCTCATAGGGTCTCACTTCTTGTTTGTCTCCGAATGGGATCTCCCATGTGGAAATTGACGTGCCCCCACTATATATGTAGTTAGTATCAAAAAGACATTGCTAGTTTTGTAGGAGGAAGAGGAAAGCGACGTACTAGTGTGCAATAGCCAAATAATTTTTGTTATTCTGTCCAGGATAGATGATGCTATTAACACCACCGCTGGGAGCAGCAACTCGTACCAGCTCCTTCATGGCTCCCTCATTTCCAATCTCTAATGAGGTCAAAGTCCCCGGCGACGACTCGTCAGAGCACCATAAGAGTCCACGTTCGGGGTCGACCGTGAGCCAACTCGGGGCTTTACCGCATGTCTGCAACACTTGAATCTGTTTGAGAGAAACATCATCGCCCTCACCCTCAAGCGAGAGTTTGTAGACGTTACCGTCATAGTGGGTTGCGTAGAGCGTCACAGCCATTGAGAAAGTGGACAGTGCCAGGGGGAGCATCAACAAACTTCGCAGAGCCATTTGCCGATTCTGTGGCTAATATCACACTTTTTGACCGATTTGGGCAGGATAGTGGTCTTACACGATACAAAAGGAGATAAAATGTGCTTGGTGCACGCAAATCTTATAGGACGAGTAGAGGAAGTCTGTGCTGATGACCAGGATTGAGAGTAAAAGGTGTGTGAGGGGAGATAAATATTCATCTGCATAGCTTACAGGATCACAGTGACGGACTTCCGAAACCGCTGGTCACACCTTTTTTACTGTTCGTCTATTTGGCAAGTCTTGTGGGCAACAACTTTGGGCGATGGCGGATCTGCTCTGACAACAGAGCAAATAGATGTGATATCAACTCATGCTGCTGTGAATAAGATAGGCCCTTATTTATCGATTACCACCGTTCTCTTCTCTGCTTTGTAATTCACCTATCCCACCAACGCGTACAGTGCGTACTATGAAGAGAGCCTCATTAAGAATCGAGTTGGTCTTGATATTAGGCCAATCATCAGTCGTCACTGTAGGAACTCGATGGTGTTAGTGGGAAGAGGCGGGAAAGGCACCATTTTTGGGACATGGGATAAACAGGCTGTCGTAAGATGCCACCACTGTCGGCTCCTCTCTGGAATCAATCAAGAGGGAATGTTTCGTGGCGGGTCACAGTTGAACGGGGTCCAAAAAAATCTCGGCGGTGCTCAAAGTTCTGCCACCGCCCCTGTCACCGCCTCTGAACCCCGTTCAAGTTTTTCCGTGTATAGACTCAACGGGGGCCAAGCTTACATAAGTATATTTTTGAACCCCGTTCAGCAAATGTAAAATCTTGGCAAATAAAAAAAATTTAAATTTAAATTTTATTAAAAATATTTTAAAAGAATATATTATCTATTTCTATTTACTAAAATCTATAGAATTTCAAATTAGATAAAATTTAGTTTAACCGGGGCTTAAAAATATATTATATATATGTTGAACGGGGCTCAAAAATCTACTATGCATATGTTGAACGGGGTTCAAAATTTCTGGGATTCCGCCACTGCCTCTTGAACCCCGTTCAGGTTTTTCCGGATTCCGTGTTGAGCACCGCCAAGCTTTTTTTGAACCCTGTTCAACTGTGTGTCCCTTTCGTGAATGAACCATTGACGGGCGCAACGCTGAGTCATTGGACGCCCACGCCCTGAACACTAGCGCCTTCAGCCCGGACTGCAAATGACGTATCTCTATTGGATAACATCTGACGCCCCGCTTCAGCGCTCGAGCCTCCCATGGCCATCGAATTACTCTGAAAATGGTCTGTTTCCAAGAGATTATATTGTGAAAATGCACATTACATTGCATCAGCTCACCGTATCACCACCTAGCTTCCAGTTCCTACTGTTTAAAAGAGAGCTGAACGGACTCTTATCTCATCTAGTAGGAGGAGGCATGCTTGTGTGAATGAATACGATATATTTTAGTCCTTGAACCTAAGAATATGTTGGCCTCCAATCGCTCCTAGCCTCTGGAAGCAATCTTCAAGTGAACATAATCTTGAAGTATAGGTGTATATATAGTTATCCCAAGTCGGCGAGACTCCCAGCTCTTGTATCTCAGTAACGGCAAACCTGGGACCCAGAAGGACGTACGCTGCTAGCCATACAGCCGATCTGGCCTGAAGCCCCAGTGAAAGATCGGACCAGGGCTTTAAGCCGATATCAGCCATAGACTCGTGGTCTGATCACCTAGAAGGTCGGAGGGGATGGAGCAGAGGCCCAATGTGGTAGGCTCAGACACCGATGACCTTTGTAGTAAGGTCGAGTGCCAAAGTCTAGTGATAGAAGATCGAGTGCGAAGGTCTAGTGATAGAAGATCGAGTGCGAAGGTCTAGTGATATAGTACCAGAAGCGCCAGACCTTGTGCTTCGGACCTACTTCATCATAGGGCGCCGGTCGTACGACCACCATGGACGAAGGACCGCCAACTGGCGTCCACAGCGGTTGCCAGGCCCAGACAGTCGTCTGCCTACATGTTTGCGGCCCTTCTCGTCTCCCGACTGCCCCAATGTAATGGAGGAAGGAAGATGCTTGGCCTTATAGTTCCATGTCGCGTGCGATCGACCTCATCGTGTCTTCGTCCATCGCAAGCTCCCCCCCGAAGTGCATAAAAATGGTATTGGCGTCATCCTCAATGGCTGCCTTGAAGCACTGTGCGGGCGTAAGCAGCCGCAGATTCTTATCGTAGAACGTTGCCTGCCGGTTCCTCGCTTCTTTTCTCGCCACCCGTTCTACTTGCGATGGATCCGACCGATCAACGACCACCTCGTGCGCCGTCGTCCAACGCCCATCGTTTTCTCGGACCCGGAACACGATCGTCACGGGCTGAGGAGTTGCCTCTGCCGGATGGGGCCGCACAACCTGCGCCCGCCGAGCGACGATCCGAGGCGTGAGTTTTTTGCGGTTGCGTCGCTCGCTCACACTCGAGGTGGGTGCACTGGTCGCCGTCGGAGCTGGATCCTCCGGCGTTCGAACGGGATCGGCCAATGCAGTGCCGGCGTTGGTTTTCACCCGCTTTCCAGGTTGGTCCTGCCCACGTGCTGGCTCATCACCGCCAACAGCCCGAAGCGGTGCTATAGACGCGACAAGCTGCCGGGTCACCACGAGGTCCCTTCCAAAACTCATCAGGACGGTGAAACTACCATCGTCAATCGCAGCGCGAATGCACTCATCAACCGCAACTTTGCGGAGTTGGCCATCGTAGAAACGTGCATTCCGGTTGGGGTCCCGTGCATATCCGTCGGCAAGAATCTGCGCCTCAGCAAGGTGATCAGGGCTCACAGACACCACATCCGTAGTGCTCCATTGACTTCGCTCGTAGACCTGGAAGGTTATCGTGACCCACCGCTGGGTCTCTGCCATCCCTTGGGAGTCCGCTTCTTCCAACGGATGCGGAGTATCAAACAGGGAATCCTCCTCTTCCTGTCTGTCAATCGCTTCGCGATGAGCCTGTTCCGGATCGGGTGTATTGGCTGGGTATCGTTCGGTGTCCAGTGGAGAGGGGCCCGCGTCAGCAGCACCGGTCAAGTTTTCATCCCCATCATCACTATTCCATAATTCATCTGCGATGGCGGCATCCCGAGTTCCTGCCCGATTAAGATCCTGATGCGTCGGTCGGTTCTTCGCCCGCAGTTTCCGCACGCCATCTGGTTTGCGTGGTTGCGGACCGGTTCTCAGGCGCGGACGGGGAGACCGTGGGACATTCTCATCGTCCCGCGGACTACCACGCGAGCTCTCCATCGCACAGGGCACGGGGGGTTCAGGACGTGGCGGAGCAACTCCAGTGCCCGGTTCCGGATGTCCCTGCGTTGAATGATTGGCAAGGGGTACACTGTCATCCTCCAGCTGGCTTCCCTCGTCCCGCAATCGTGTAATCAAGTCCGGCAAGTCCAGGGGAAGCTCAGTCACAGGCCGGGGGATAGCCCCAGGCGTTTGTAGCTGATTAAGAGCATCTGCGCGTTCCCGGGCGACTAGATCTTCTTGGGATTCGTCACCCGCTCCGGTGATGAGCTCCGTTCCGGGCGGAATTTGCTCTCCGACTGTTCCTTGCACAGCTTCAGCTGGGAATGGTCCTCCAGAAATATGCTCCGGGCCTTCCGGCTGGTCGACCGACCGAGTTACTTCCAGCTCCGTGTGCTCTGCGATGGGTTGCAACGGACCAAATCCAGGCCGTTGCTCCGCGCTTGGTTCCGAGTTACGCACTGAGAGGATTGTTGGTGACTGAACACTTGACTGGCGTGGTAATGTAGCTGGCATACCAGCACAATCTTCCACCGACTCGGATTGGGTCAGTGTGGATGAACCCATTTCCATAACCCCGTTCACTGCATCTGCTCCTTCGTCTGGTACGCTGGACATATCCGTATCGTGTGGCGCCCCTGAAGTCGAAGGAACCACAACGGCTGTGCCCCCCACCCCAGGACTCCCAGCCTCTGATCGGTTACGTAGGTCATCTTCATCGATCTCCGTATCTTCCGGTTCCTCACTGTCAGAATCCATTCCTCTGCTACCTGCCGGCGGTTGTTCGGCAATCTGCCGTCGAATCGGATGTTCTGCGTCAGACCTTTCGCAATCCGTATCCATGATCTCAGAGATAGTAGACGCCGCTCTGATGGAACTTGGTATGGAAGGCTCTTGGGGATGAGGTGGGACGTGCTCCACCACCGGCTGTCTGTCTTGATGTCGATGCCATCGATCTCCTTGCCTCTGATGTTGCTCTTCGGGGGTGTCCGAACGATCCTGACGGCCATGGAATGCCGCCTCATCAAAGCCGTCTCTCGACATATTGTCGTAGGCTGGTTCCGACTCTGATCTCGGAACATCGCTGGGGATAAATAATGGTGAAAGAGGCTCGTGGGACGATGGCGGCCCCAGAGAAGCACGTGGGGTGGTTGCTGGGGTCGGCTTGCCGAAAAACGCGTAGTAAACGCTTCGTCTCACCTCCAGCGATGAGAGGTTTCTTTGCGACACCGTTGCCGAGTGTAGAGTGTCAAAGAAGATATGCGGGCGGTCTAGTTGCTGGGTTTGCTCCTGAGGCACTCCACAGCGCTCCTTTAGCTGGATTGCCCATCCAGTGGTATGCGCCACCGGTGCGGCCTCGTTGGGGATAGCGAGCGCAAAACAACCAGCAATCTGCTCGACAAGAGACTCAAAGGTCTCACGGTCATAGTGGTAGTGGTCCGGCTTCCGCGCTTTGAGCAGGGCAGCCCGGGCAATCTGGTGGTCAGGTGATTGTCGTAAGATCGCCTTAATTGGTGGAGTACGAAATCCCAGCTTCTTGGCAAGAGTGGCCATTCCATGAATCACGCCCTCGTCCGCCCTCGCTCGTGCCTTTGCCCGCGTGGGATTAGCCTTTGGGCCGCACTGGAGATCCTTGGCCATGTCCGGGTAGTGTCGCATCGCGTACATCCAGATTTGACGATAACCAGAGGATATACGTTCACCCCTGGATCCAGGCAGTCGGCGAAAAGAAGTCTCCGATGTCTGGATTAGACAAGACCCGTTAGAGCGACGGGATCGAAAGCTATGGACTAGCGCGCTTCGCACGGTCAGCTGTTGCTTGTTTAAAACAACCAGCCGTTTCACGGAGTTGGCACAGAGTTCCAGGTAGGAAATATCGCGGAAAAACGTATGAAGGGATGGGATGATGCCGTCGCACATTTCATGGCTCCGGATCTTCTTCCATATTGCCCTACGTTCGGACCGGCTAAAGTTGGAGAAGACCTCCCCGCCGAGGATTTTCCCCTTTACCGTCGTCCGATCAACTTTAGACGCACGAGGAGCGTAAAGCTGCAGGGTGTCAACGGTGTGGAGGTCAATAAGGGCCATCCGAGTGCGGTCATGGTTGACAAGGGTTGCCCAAAAATTCTTCACATGTGTCAAGTAGTGAATGAGTTCCTAAGACAATAAGTCAGGAAAAGCCTGCAGATAGCGACGAGTGCGACCAACTTCATCACACTTTAAAGCCAGGACTGTGTTTAATAACCCAAGGCTCATCCCATTCCAGAGCCCGGGGATCACAAGTAACGCGTCAAATGCTGCACAGAGATGTGTTTTATCTGGGGAAGTGAGCTGCCTCAGCCGCTTGGCTTTGTTCGGCGATAGTCGGGTCCACCAACGATTCTGAAAGAGCGCGTTCGCCTCCTGCTGATACTGGCGGATTTTCCGGTACACTTCTCCATCAGTGGGAGCCTTTTCATTTGCATATTCATCGATGAGTGCCGTCCTTAGGTCACGGCTTATGTCTGCAAGAGAGGATTAGTATGCATTGGGAAATTACGCTTGTGAAATCAGACCATCCAGATATATGTCCACCGTCCACCACCGGTCTGAGGGAGGTAAGGTTTCCTCAGCAGCTTTCAATCTATGTTGCCCATGGAGGCATTGTATTTGATGCCCACGAAAAAGAAGGCGGGGGTATTGCGGTGGACAAGTTTTAAGTTCTTCGGGGGTCAGGCCTGCAGCACGGCATGCTCTGTCGAGGTGCTTCTTGGAGACAACAGCAGTCACGTGGTTTCGAATGTCAAGACGTTGGCACCCATCCTTGGCAAAGATATCACGTAATCGTTCCACGTTCTTCTGGTCAATCTCACGGCTCACGAGTGGCTGGAGGGAGATTTGGTTCAGGTCGATCTTGGCGGTGCCTTGGTACTTTAGGAGTCGTTCTACGGTTAATCGCCGTTCGGTATCTGTCAACAAATCCATAGCTTTTAAGTTCACAAGTGACTTCGGCCTTTGTTTGTCGATGCTCGGAGGTTAGACAGAGCTATTTATGTTCAACTAAGTTGACATTATGTGGTACTTGCTTGTACACTTACTGGGGTCGTTGCGGGTTCAGCGCTGAAGCGCTGAAGCGCCAATTTCCCCACACATCAGCGAATCCCTCTTTGAAAGACCTTTTTTTTTTCCATAAAGGAGGCCGCTATCCGAAACGGAACCAGGAATATTCATCATCTTGATTTCCCATAACAGCTCATCTCTCTGATTGAAGGCATCACATACCATGGACGACCGGCCACTCACACAACTTTACGCCGAGTCTTTTCAGGCTAAACGGCCAATACCCAAGTCAGTGTCCGCGCAGGAGTCTCAAGGTCAGGTTAAGCACAAACCAACCAAGGGAATAAAGCAATGGGAGAAGCAACAAAATTCTAAGAATATGCTTCTTGGCTATGCACAAGACGTGCCCCAAAGCAGCTCCCAAAGAGTGGGCCAGGCAGCTCAATCGCCCGTTATCCGGAGAGGGTCACCCTGGGACACATTGAAAGATCTTTTTACCTGTGATCTTGCAGGTCCCGTATCAATTGCCGTCCATGAAAAGGACCCGTCTAGGGTGATTGCTGTCCGTGCATTTTCCAGGAAAAAAGCAGATATATGGCTGCAGGTACTCCAGCAGACCCATCACCCCAACGTTATCTCTGCAAACGAAATCTTCAAGGACCATGGCATGACATATTTTACTATTGATGACCTACCTCTGACTTTGGAACACCTGGTCGCCTGTGATATATTCCCGTCTGAGCTACAGCTGGCTTCTATACTTGCACAGGTACGGAATGCAGGATCATCAAGAAAAAGGGCGCTAACCCAAAGAGGTGCTTAATGGATTATCTCACTTACTCGAAAACGGCTTTGAGCATCAATCCTTGACGTGTTCTAATATCCTCCTGGGCCAAGATGGAACTATTCAAATTGGTACAGATCGTTCCCACACCTACTCTTCCTGGTTGCTTATAGTCTCGGACAGGGGCTCTAGAGCACTGCATCGAACGTGAGCCACAACAATCTCAGGCGCAGATTCTCCGATCTTTAGCAACTATCACAATGTTTCTTATGCAGAAGTATCTGAAGCCTGATGGTGTGATTGGGATTGACGGTACCCGTTGGCAGTCTGACTCCTTGGAGTTCCTGTCAGCAACGGCATCGGTCGCAACCATCCAAGACTTAAGAAAGGTCAGCTGGACGTCTTATCTACATTAATAATCGGTATCTTACGAGCAAACAGCATTCCTTACTCACTAAGCACCGCTGGTCTGCAGGCACGCTAGTCGGGCTTGCCCGTCTCTGCCTTATCACTACACGCACGTTCATAACGAAACCATGGATCCAAAATTAAACGAGATAGAAGACAAGGACATGTCCTGAATGTTTTTAATTACTTTGTCAAGTCGAAAGCAAGTAGTATTTCGTCAAATTTCAAACTGGTTAAATTTAAACATATTATGCAGGAAAGGAGGAACACTACGCTAAGTAGACACAGGAACAGCGAAATCAGGATGGTACGGTCAGAAATTGGGAAGAAACTCAGACATTTTCTCCTTTGCGATATACTCGGCATTTATTGCCAGCCATGTCTCGTCCGTTGTCTGGTCTGTCAAGGCTTCCTGGTCCGCTGCATAGGCATACGTTAGTTCCTCTTGTCTAATAAGGTCATTATCATCAGCCAGAACAACCGGGCGGAGATCAACTGCAGGCACTCCCAGTATGATTGCCTTTACCACAGGCTCCAGTGAATGAAAAAGACGAACGCTACCCGGCCGGGTGCGCAAGACAAAGGATATAAAAACATTAAGTTGGCTGACACTGAAAGTATCCTTGATACTACGGGTCTGGGTTAGTTGACGAAAGGGATGTCGCCGGAGTACATACATAATGCGTATGGCATCACCACCATGCAACAAGATACCGGCGCCCAAGCACGCTGCAAGCGTCCAACAAATTCTTCCTCGCCGCACATGATAGGTAGTGATATTGTCACGACGAGACTTTGATGGTTCCTCAGAGCAGGTGTTAAGAATTAACGTAGCAACAGAGACCCTACCCTGATTCATGTGTTTCTCCAACCACTTGTAGTTGAGATAAAATAAAGTTTGCGCTATGTGCTTCGCGAAGGGGTGAAGAACAATTTTATTGTCCTTCACGGCTTCAAGTAGTCTATAGTAACTAGCAGCCCCCTTTAGGCCCATCCACACAACAGGAAGTCCGAGTGCACTTAATGAGGAACATGTATCTGCTTCGCCGAGTCCTAGAAAGGGCTGCAGCGGTCTGAGAGGGTCTTGTGCGAGAAGTCCAGCTTCCGCTTCGAGGATTTGCGTGTTTCTACTCTGTTTGAGGAGCTCTGTGCCGTCTTCCCCAAATCTGCACAACTCTAAGCATCGGGATTTTCTCCGTCTCGGAATTTCAGGGCTCAGAGGCATGAGTGACTCTACCGTAGGGGGAGATTGAGAATAAGATGTAGATGGGGTCGGATAACATGAAGTCTTAGTATCAGACCCAGGAGGCGTAGCAGGCCCCGTTGGTGGCATTACTAGGGACGAACAAGGGCTACCAATCGACAAAGGGGTAGCAATGGACCAATACGGCGTTATCCTGTCAGCAGGGCTTGTCGGGGCTACCGACCGACCCACTTGGGGCGAATGGACAGAGGGAGAGGGCGTCGGATAAGTTAAAGCATCGAATATGCGAGACGTCCCCGCTCCCATGGGTGTCGCTACATCCTCTGGGGTAGCGAATTCGGTGGTATTCCGGTCTTCCGGTAGCGCTATGATTTGATCCCATATCTGATCCAGCTCGTCGACGGCGTTAGGACGAATGTTCTCGGGGCTCGACAATGCGTGATCGCTGGTCAGCAGGGAAGGGTCAATGGAAGTAGGTGGTGTGCCGAGCGAAAGGTCTGTGTTATAGCTTCCTATGGGATCAACACATGGTTAGACTGAATAAGAGCGGAAAGTTAGAGATGGGCACAAGCCTAATAATAATCCTAGAGTGTTCACTTCAGCCTTTGTTTGGTTCTCCTGCACCCTAAAGCCTTCGATCATCTTGGCCTCCTGAAGCCACTGAAGAACCCCGACTAACTGGAACCAGCTCAGTTTCCGGATATCGTCAAAATCATCCCCGAGGACCCGGCCAAGCTATCACAAGGTAAGAATATACCCATGATTAGTTCTAGAGGACTCACCTTGCTAAGCTCCGAGTAGTCTAGAACATGAGGAACTTCCCCTAGCACTGATTGCTGTGACAGATAGTGAGCAGTCAGACAAGCCCCAGAGAAATACCGAACTCACGTCTATCGTAACCGACACATCATATGTCTTCAGACATCCATCCCGAGCATTCGATGATTGCCCAGCCTGGGTTGTTAAGATATGCCATCGAATATGGCCCCCTTTTCTCGCTCCCTCTAACACGCTCGAACTCTGTACCACGTAAAGCGATAGTAACTGTCTCAAATTCCTACCAAACCGGTTGACCAACTTGACTAGCGTGAGTATCCACTTCAATGAAGGTTAAGGGTAATCTACTGACATCAGAGCAAGTGTCCTCATCCAAACTAAGCACCTCCGTCGGATGAATCTGCGAGATGTGAGCGGTTTGGAACCACGGAAGAGGGTGCACTTACAGGAAGGCAGAAAGAAAGAGATGGCATTTCAGCGGGCCAGCCGCAGAGAGTGGGATAATTAAAAGAGAAGAGCGGTGGGTCGCGACTAATTTAGCAGAGGCTATTACGGAAGTGATGCTCGGTCGGGAAAAAAGGGAGAGCATCGTGGAAAGAGGGGGGAAGTAACTTGTATTTATATGGAGGAGCAGCCACAATCGGCCTCAGAAAGTTGAGTACTGTAAAGATGGGCAGAATGGCTAAAGATGTTAAAGAAAGAGAGCGTTGGGAGCAGAATCAATGGTCTTTTGTCGAGAAATCGTGGCCCTTGGCCCTGGGTTTGAGGGCTTGCTTGCGTTAGCCCCACCGTTATAGTGCCATCATTGATCGGTTCCTGCAGATCCAGGCTCAGGCACATTTCCGTATTAAAACAAAAATAACAGATCCTTCCCCCATATTCCGTTTGGGCACACAGTTGAACGGGGTTCAAAAAAAGCTTGGCGGTGCTCAACACGGAATCCGGAAAAACCTGAGCGGGGTTCAAGAGGCGGTGGCAGAATCCCAGACATTTTGAACCCCATTCAAAATATGCATAGTAGATTTTTGAGCCCCATTTAGACTATTTTCTACCCAATTTAAAAATTTGTAAAATTTAATAAATAAAAACAGATAATATATCCTTTACTATTTAATATATACAGTATATAAACGTTAATATAATATAGTTTTATTTGCCAAGACTTTATATCTATTGAACGGGGTTCAAAAATACAAGTTTGACCCCCGTTGAGCCTATACATGGAAAAACTTGAATGGGGTTCAGAGGCGGTGACAGGGGCGGTGGCAGAACTTTGAGCACCGCCGAGATTTTTTTGGACCCCGTTCAACTGTGACCCGATTCTGTTTCCTTCTCTCCACATAACTGCTGCCTGAGTCATACAGTATCTAGAGGCAACCAATCGTTACTCTTCCCTCTTTTTTTTCTTTCTTTTTTTTTCCTTCTCTAACCTTCATTTTATTTTGCTCTTACTCTGGGCTTTTTTCTTTCTCTCTTTGCCTTTCTTTCCTTTGTTTTCCCTTTGTTCTAAAATGAAAGAATTAAAAAAAAAAAGGGAAAGAAAAAAAAAAGAAAGAAAGAAAAAAAAGTTGAGAGAAGAAAGGAATGGATAAAAAAGGCTTTGAAGGCATCCACTGTGGCAAGAAGTTCCATTTCTGTTGATCCGGAAATGCCCCCAACAGCCTCAACTCGGCTTGTTGACGTTAATCAGTGCTGGGCTGATACTCTAATTCTGAGAGCTTTACGCCCTCGTGCAGGCACTCTCGTACAACGTTCTGTATGTGATCCCGAAGGTCGTCTGTTGTAGAGACTAGCCAGGACGGTCAATACGTATCTCACATGGGAATTAGGAACCTTACCCATCACTAGTGTCCGACCTTGCTCATCCCAAATGTTGGGCAGTCTCTCAACCTGGTCGCCGGATGCCTCGACAGAAATGATGCTTTGGTAATCAGGCACTTCCTGATAAATATAAACTCGCTTATGTCTGCCAAATGGTAATCCATTCTGCTCAATACCGTCGCTGACGTAAATCGAAATATGCAGTATCTAAAATGATGGTTAGTGTCAACCATAGATGAAATCTCCGAACATCGATCGAATACTAACATAGCCATCATCCATGATATCATCCTTCAGGAGGTTATTGATAAGAGACAATGCGGGGGTCATCTGGTCAACAGATTCTACCTGCCATACCAAATGTAGCCGGCGAACCTGGGAGGTGCAGGTGTTGTAACTGTGGATCATTTTCTTTAGGCATGGAATGGCCGCGGCGATCCCAGGTCCGCTGGCCAACACTAGAATGTTCTCATAGTCGCTAGCTTCCTCACTCACTCCATGAGGACCAGTAAACAAAGCTAGGAAAGAGACCGAGCTCCCCGCAGCAGCAGGGGCATAGCGAAGAAGATCCGCAGTGAAACCACTGCGTGGCTTTACCAGAAGCTCCACAGTATCTTGCTTGCCTTTGGACCACGATGTAACCATGAGAGGGTGAGTCTGCATCCACGAACATAGACTGACTGAGGGCATCCAGAGGTTGATATACTGTCCCGCTTCTACTTTCACTGGTCGAGGCAACAAAACGCGAATGTGGACAGCGTTGGCCACAGGGCCTTCTTTAGATTCGCTTGCGCTGAATGACACGATAGCCCTGGGAGTACCACGGCCTGCGAAGAGACCGTTATAATATAGGAGGGTTATAAGCTCTAAGACTAAAGTCAACACAAAAGTTCCCAGCGCAATTAAGAGGTATATTTTTGAAGAAGTGCTCTGTGATGGGAGATGCTGCCAAGCCCCGTAGGCGAAGAGACCGGCGAGAATCTGATGTCCTCGAAGAAAGATCTCGTAGGACCAGTGACGACACCAAGGAATCGAATGCAGGGCAAGGGCGCCCAGGGAGGCCGCAGCCTATCAGAGGTTAGTTATAGCGAAGTGGCGGGTGCAAATAGGTATACAATCATAGCACAAAGATTTTGCTGTTCGCGGAGTGGAAATGTAAAGCCCTGGCCATGAACTACTGTAACAATGTGAAATGATAGCAGGGCAACAGCCATCCAGCTAGTAGCACGATGGATCTTTCGACAGGAGTTCCATTTGATACCAAGGAGGTCCGCCAGGTAGGCTAGGTGGATAGTTGATAAAGGGAAAACCAAGTTCACCAGAGCCAGCTCTCCAGCCCGGCGGCCAGCGCCAGTCAACGACGTGATTCTGAATGAGACAAGGAAAACGTTAATTGCAGCATATGATAAATGGAGCAACATATCAGCTCCGGTCCATGGACCCAAGAACCGATGCCTACGAATGACGAAGAATAGCGTCAGATGTTGAGACACAACGAGAGAGAACAAATGTCTACAACTGGCCAGGAGAGAGACGGCGCGCACTAAGAAAAGTACAGCAAAAATACCGCCAGCGGTAATAGCATAAATGGCTAATGGATCCATTCTTTGAATATGAAAGACAGTTAAAGAAACAAGGAAGTATCGATAAGGGAAGGAAAGCATGCAAGCAGACAGCCTTTATAGTACATGAAACTACATGTATAGATAAGGACAACCCGCGCTGAAGTACTCTGAAGGAAGACGCCATCAGTAGACAAACGAGAGCTTCTTATATAAGTTCCAGTCAATTAGTATGGACATATTCCAAGGCAAAAATACTTAAGAACCCTCGATCGCACGACTTCTGAGGCCCGAGAAAAGCATACTATACGGTACTACGTTTGCGAAGCCCGAAATGTCTAAGAATATTAAAAAATCTTCCTGTATTAAAAAGCGTTACTCAGAGGCTAGTCGAGCAAAATCACAACAACGTCAGCGACGTAAGAGTAGCCTCTTTAAGAAAGCCGCAGAATTTAGCCTGGGGTGCGAATCCGACGTCGTTATCGCAATTAGGATCCAGAAAACCGGTCAGGTGTATATTTTTTATTCATCATCGTAGGAGTGGCTAAAGTCACTCCCGAGCTTGGTACGCACCGTAATAGTGCGTTTATATACTATCTAACTCGCACCTTAGGCATATTCCTATACCCTTCCAATTCATCAGACAATTGAGGATCTCTTACCCCAGCTCAGGGAGCGTTCGCCATCATCTCCGGTTTCCTGACCCAAGGCGACTTTAGGATACAATTGCTATTAAAATAGATATTTAAATATAAATATAATATTAATAATTTTGTATTAATTTTTAAAATAAAAATTTATATGTAAGGAAATTTTTAGCTATTTAATTAATTTAAAATTATTTTAATTTTAATTATAGTTTTTAATTTCAAAGCTATTTAAAGGGCAAGACCATCGCAAAGGAGCTAGTCCCTATTTGGTTAGACCACTTTGTTTTTGCCTGCAGCGCTTCAGCGGTTTCGCGGAATGATTCGTCAGATGACCATGAATTCGGTGCTAGTAGCTCATATAAACCAATCAGAATCACTTTAGGCTTCAGCGTAAACCTAGGAGATACTCAATGGAACAACTATATTCCCAGACGTTTACAGTACGGTATGTACTTGTAAGATACCTTTACTATCTATAATACATGTACATAATTCGTGTGGGAGGTCTAAATAACTAACATAACGTAACTGGTAAGCGAGCGACGCAGCACTGTATTCCAGAATCAACCCTTTTTGCTACTTGGATATCTCAGCAACCACAAGTTATAGTAATATAATATTTAAAGATAGTATATAATAGTACTTTATCTTTAATAGATAAATTAGAGAAGTTTATATAAGCGTTGCTTCTTTCAGTACTAAATATCACACCCGTATTCTTGATATTTCTACTGGACAGTGTAAGGCAAACAATAAAAAATGTAGAGAAAAATATTGTTAGTCTTATTTACCCTATAATATATTATGTATGAAAGATTTTATCTTTACAATCTCTGGTTGCTGAGATATCCAAGTAGCAAAAAGGGCTGATTTGTATGGAATACAGTGCTGTGTCCCCAACTTACATGCGTCGCTCGCTTACCAGTTACGTTAACTAACTAGTTATGGTAGTCATCTCCTAGGTCAGCAGACCCCGCCCGCCTTCAGCGATTTTCTATGGAAATGAAATATCTCTGCTTAACACCAACTAGAATTCGAATTTCGGAATGGCTGGCCTTTTCACTTTATGCGCGGACAGTCTGCCTACATTCGGTCCCATAGCTTAGTCACCTACTAACGTGTCCCAGTAGGGAGAATCCTTTACTTGTCGCAAGGCAACCAGAGAGGATTTTCAGACGATTATACAGAGTACATCTCCACTAACAGCACTATATACTGCCGAATTATTTACAGTTAGAAATCCTCCCTTGCGTGGTATTATCGTACCTATCCATATCCCCATTCAGGGATTGCACTTTCATGAATAACCGACTAAGACTGAGCTGTCCGATATATGCGATTGAGTCGATCGCATCACAGCGATTCAACAGCATATCCTTAGGTTAAGAAACAATAAGATTTGTTGCCTTTACCCCTCTCCTTAGTCGGGTATAGCCAGCAATAGGTACGTATATGATGTAGCTCAGTGGCAAATCAAACAAAATACAACTCCTATTCGGGATACCATTTGAGTAAAAAGGTGAGTCTAGAATTTGATTCTCAGCAGAATAAGAGGAATCAGTTCTTCTTCCAAGAAATTAACGACTGCAGGTCTGCAAGAGCAGAATCAAGGGATGAGGCTTTCTGAATCTCCTTTACTAGATTGTTCACATCATCTTCCTTCCCAGAACGCAGGATACTGATTAAGTACATGGATATGTGTCGATAGCTTTCCATGGCTTTCTCTAAAGAAGCTGCAGCCCTAAGATACTCCTTCCGAGTCGTATTGCCACAAAGGTAGACATCCATGCCCCTCAAACAGTGATTTCTATATTATTTCGCGTAGCTCCAGTGTTTCAAATATCGTTCAGCAGCGTGTCAAAGACCGGGCAGTGGGAGGAATGGTCACATGGGAGAAGGTGATGGAAATATATAAAGCCTATCGTTCCCGCCGGTCTATCTGGAAACCATTGTCTTTTCTCTTCTCATAAATTTTACCCTAGCTCGACGCTTGGTGGTCTATCTGAACCTCAGAAGGCTTTCCAATTTCCATATTATTTTCGCATTATTGTGTTGCGTTGCGTTCCTCTACAAAGGTGACATTATCATTGTGTGATCGTTAATTCCTTCCTTTGTTCCGCTGTTGGTTCCTATGATAGTTTTGCTCTCTTTGTACGACTGCCAACATGTAGATTCTTTATGTACCGTATTGTATATTGACTGTGTTTTTATCTGACCATATCATGCTTTATTCCATGTGCTGCCTTCCTGTTCCTAGCCTAGGCCTGCTGTCAAGTTGAAACACCCTCTTCCTTGATCGACCTACTGGCAGGTCGAGGGTGCCGGCCCACCTTGCAAAATATCAAGTCGGTTGCCACCAGCCCTGCAGCCAGTTACCATACTACTGTACCGCGTCCTGCTATGTGGTCCTCGGATTTCTTTCACTGGGTGTCATTTCGTGCTAGTCTGACCCTTAGGTGGCACATATGAGAACACGGCATGATTGCTAGCAGTTCACTAGGGGTTCTGTAGGCTTCATGGCGTTGTCCTGGAATGTCGCCGCATTATCAGCTGGCCTTCTGCAAATGCGACGGCTCCTAGTGGTGATTTATGGTTTACGAAATACGGTGCCCAAGATTATGTACGATAAGGTCTTCATGTCTTCGATGGATATCAACCACAACCCTCCGCAAAAGAAAAGAGCCCAGACTGCCAAACTAGTAAGCGGACCTGGCAGGTTCACCTTTCCATTGGACCCGTTCTTTATTTCTTTATAAATACAGGCCGACCCAGTCTGACTTCAATACGAGGCTGGTGGATGGTGGATGGTACATGGCTCGACGGCCTATCGAAGTGGAATTCATTCATTTTGGCCAGGTCTGATGTTTCCTTTGTCGTTCGCTGAGTTATCATTCTGACATGGATCGGACATAACCTAGAATCCTAGTTTGACCTCCACATTTGCTAGTTAACACGTAATCAATATGGTAAATGATCCTAGTTTCTCAGTGGTCTTTCTTATTTATCCTCGAAACGGATCAGGCATACGTCTCTGAAAAGCTGAAGTATCCTGATGAGCATCGAGGGACAAATTAAAATTGGTAATAAATCAACGATAGTTAATTTCTTTCGTGTGGAGAGATCACTGACGCTTCTTAGAACGCATAGACTGCTGCCGTTGACGACTTCCGGATGAATCATCAAGAGCCGACCTGATCTCTGTCGCTAACGTGACTATGGAATTGATGCAGGGCTATGCAAAAGATGAGGGCGTATTAGGCGTGGACAGCCTCAATCGCTCGTCTTCCGGTTCCACTGCACTAGACTTCTTATCAACTACTACTTCTGCCAATTCAGTGGATGAGCTCAGAAAGGTATGTGCAGCGAAGCTTTCATTTAGGGCGCAGGCTGATGTTAAATAGCACCCTCTTGTCACGAAGACGAGTCCGTCTATAAAAGAGCTAATGTGGCTAGCTTGGTTTGCGCTCTATTCCGCACGCACTTTCTGGTACTATAGTCCTTCGTTAGATGAGGTTGAATAATTGTACTCGGGATTTGCGGGGCTGTTGAGGTTAGTTCAGTGCTGGAGACCAGGCACTGAAGCACAGAATTGGCACCAGGGTCGAGCCGCTTATGGTTTGTCTGTTCTCTTTCTTCCCCCTTCATAATACCCTTGATAATGAATTCTGCTGTTCTATTCAGAGTGAAATAGAAAGAGATTTTAGTCGATTTGAATATCCTGGGCTTCACCAAATCTCATAAAACATGCTATTCTCTACTCACTTAGAGATCCCAGCTTTTCAATTATCGAGCTATATCTGTATGACAATAACCTCAATTCTTTAATTATATATGTTCGTATAGCAAGGACATATGTTGAGTACTCCCGTTCAGTTGCACTACAGAAGGCGATGTCTAAGTGGAGGATCTTGGACGTCCCCAACACTTCAGTTGACACCCATATCTTGATAGAGCCAGAATTAATGAATGCAGTCAACTGTGTTCACAAAAGTAGAGCGTGCCTAAAAACTTATCACGTTTTACTGGTCTTGGAGAGATGACACAATAACGCTACCAAGACCTTCTCTTTTTGATGAATGATGGTTTGTAGGTTCTATTCAACTGTGGGACCCATGTGATGAAAGGAGTGGTCGACAAGGCTAAACCGCTTTACACATTGTCTGTGACAGATTTGAGTATTTAGTGAGGCTTTTCATGGAAGGTTATTGCGACTATATTCGCGTTAATTTGTCTTGATAAAGACCGAAGTATTAACATAAGGCGTTGTCGATGCGAGCTGTAGAGGCATACTATGCCTATGGGCTCCGTAGGACTTTTTGTTAAACTCTGCTTTGACCGTCTAGCTTTGGCTATTCTTTGCCTAGTATAACCCTCTATACTCCGCAGGTTTCTTTGTGTCTGCCATAGCCAATGGCTCTATATGGACGTTAACCCTAAATAATAATACCACACTGCGCTCTGCGTAGCGTATCTTCTGCTTGTATTGAATATTCTCCTGGTCAGACTTCAAGAATCATGTCTTTTTAGGTATCATTTGGACTAAATCTACAGATTCCATTTTATCCTGTGAGGCATCGCATTGTACCATAAATATACCTAACTTATTTGGTATCTCATCAGAGCATCTACTATAGTAATGTAAGCATCGACAGTCTATTACATATGAAGACTCAAGCCCCCTGTTTACTGACTTCGTACTACTTCGGGCACCAGCATGCCTGTTAACACATCCTTGGTATCTTGTGATTGTATAGTTCTCCCAAAACCTTTGGAAACAATGTAGTAATTTCTTATTGTCCATGAATAATTTCTACGTACAAATCAATCATAATGACAGTGTGGCTGAAGTCTTGAGATCAGTATTTTTTTTTCTTTGCGTAAAGTGGCCCGCTAAAAGGTGTAGACTGAGCATAAACTCTTGCTTATTGGCTAGCAATTTTGCTCATATCTGTACTAGTCAGTGATCTAGCGAAACGACGGTGTATATAATAGCTATTCGCGCCCTTCTTTTCCTTCGGTCGAAGAAGTTCTGTTAAAGTTCATGATCTCTGGCCATACGAAATAATGAGTAAGCCTTCTATGATTTTCTAAGTATATGTTTTACTGACAGTTAAGCAGTTAATGAAGCCCTTGACCAGAAGTCTAGTCCTTCTGAGGACACCAAGATGTCTCCAAGAAGCGAGCGCGGATCATTCCAGCCCGCAACAGTAGACACCATCGGTTATTCCCCTGAGCACAGCGAACTGGAAAATTTGTATAGCAGATTGCATATAGGGAATGAGAGGTCTCATACCGTTAGGGAACCGGAACGAAACGAGGCCATTCTCAATGAGAGCTTTTGTGTAGACATGTACGATGCCCTACCGGAAACCGAAGCTCCCCTCGCCCACTACAAAAGAACTCTAGGTATGTATAAGAAGGACATGCATTTGAGCAGATTTCTAATACCCACATCAGAGTTCACTGGAAGGAGAAATTCCGTGGACTCCACAAACTCAGAAGCGACAACTATAAAGTGGAGTTCCGATTCGGAGATGATTATAGTGGACAAGACAGATACAACTCAGCTATCATCTACTTTACATTCAGGGGGAGCAACAAGAACTATCTCATCCTTGGGTACAGCTTTGGCCATAAGAGAAGCTCCACGGATCTCTAAGCCGAAGACATACTCTTCAAAGCGTGAAAAATTGCGGAACTTGTTGTCTAAGGTGAGAAACCAAATAGGTTGAAGCTATAGGATTAGATTATGTAGAATCTTCATTCACACGTTAATCTAGGAACCGTCCGTACAGCTGCCATCTAAAGGCCTCGAAGCCGAGAAGAGCGATTGGAACTATATAACCGATGCTTAACTTAGACCATAATCTGATTATATTAATCCATTATTTTATTGAAGACTCAGGGTTACTGTGCGCCCGTAGGAGAGCGATGGCATATAATACAGAAGAATACAATAGAATCAGTCCTGGACAAGTGCTACACAGTAGATGTGCACATAACGCATCTGGGCAATGTACCTAATTCAGAAGCTATTCGCAACGTAGGTGTCTATTCAACCCCCTGCATGGGTTACATACGCGCAAAAGTTTGTGTTGTGCAGCAGCCAACCATGCCCGTCACTGCCACTTGACTCTCCTTTTTCTTTTGCATCCGGTCGCCCTCGCTGAATGTGAATTAGATACCTGCATGTGATCCGATGAGTCTGAAAGACCTTTCTTTTCCTACGGGCACCAGTGGTGAGAATTTGGCATCGAGATCATGGTAGCATACAACTGCTCTGCGATATTCAGATTTATATCCGAACATAAACCTGATATTTTATCTGTCTGCAGGCTCCGAGGCCAAGACATTCCGTATAAATCCTACTTTACCTGTGGTGGGGGTATGTGGACGTCCTTATCGTGAACATATGTCATTATCGATGTCCTTGCAGCCTTTATACAGAGTGTCCGGAAACTGGTGTCACCACTTATACTCTTTGATTGTTTCCGCAACCCTAAAGTGAAACAGCGCTAATCCCACTTGGGATATTTTATGTAATATTATATGTCAGTACAGGACGCGGCACTGGTCGGGAGAATCATTATTCCATTCCATTCCAAATACAACCTAGCTTGGTTTCACACTAGGGTTACTGAAACAATTAAAGAGTGTAAGTGGTGACACCGGTATCCGGACACTCTGTAGCTGCGCCAACCCCCTGTGCTGTAGGACCTTGGATGGCTGAAGGCTCGTACTAGTGGGAGGTCTGGTAAATGGGATATCACCTGATGTGGCACGAAGTGCATCAGACTTTCCATGTAACTCTTGAAGCAAGTTATGTACTAAAGCTCTCGACGGCTACCCAATGCACCATTAGCTGTTGTACCCTCGAATATTGCACGGTGATATCCAAATTACTTTATACAGAAAGTCATCCCACTTCGATGCTTCTGCAATGGATTGCTCGGTTACTTATATTTCTTTCCTTTATCCCCAGCTATTAACCATAGCCCGAGAAATCAATGAAAAATACCGCTCTTGAGCGCCTGGTACACATATTCCGATACCTTAATCGTATGTACTTGGGTGCTGCAGTGATAGATGCCATTACCATTGTTCTGAGGTCGGCTTGGATCCAGATGGCGTATGAGACTGATCTAACCAAGATCATGGTGTACGTTACACTTTTGGTTCGAGAAGGGACTGTTGACTCTGAGGAATGTGCTGAATTTTTCGCCCACGAAGCTGCTGAATAACTTCATTACTAGGTACTATGCGAAGCTCTCCCCTCTACTCAGAACAGTGGGTACGTTTTACAGAGTACGAGACGTGATAGCAAAGACACAAACCGTTTCAGACGGACGCCCTCTTGAAGACTAAAAAGGTCCATCTCGAGAAAGTCCCAAAATACGGTATAGTATCAGAGAGAAGAGGTTCTGTTCCAACGTGGGAGAGAAGAAAGAGATATGCGCATACAGAACGAAGGGTAGGATAACTTGCATCCCTTCAGGGTAGACATACTCTACAATTAAGTACTAGGCCTTGCGTAACTCCGTATGTTCAAAAATACAAGACAGCTGGCGCCTATTGATAGCGCCTACAGATAATTCACTACAGACATGAAAAAGCAAATAACAGATTCATAGAATAGAAGTAAAGTCTTTGATAAAACTGGAAGAAAAGCGAAAACCTCATAATTCTCATTGGGAGCGCGAACTTTGTGATCGACGTAGCGGCGGTTTCGCGTCAGTCGAAGGGGAAGATTTCAACACGCGTGAGTCGGTAATCAAACGCCCGCCACGGAAGGCCGCATGCCTTGATCAGAGCAGGGTTAAGTTGAGATTTTATAAGAGCTTTCCGATAATCTTGCGCGTATGCTGGGAGAATTTGATACCGCTGATTATGATAAAATTTAGCTACTTGAGTGGGTGCAATACCAAGAGAAGACCAGCCTGTTCTTCTGAATCCTACCCTCTTGTCACACCTAGACTTGTCTATATAAACAAGGCGATATAAGCAAAAGTCTGACATAAAATAAGAGTACGCGTTATACACTGTTGCAAAAACGGTGTTCGGGTGTTGCACTCTGTTTCTACATATGTGGGTCCGCTAAACCATATTTGATTAAAGTACATTAATTTATACCAATCAGACCACTTGCTTTCAATGACTAAGGATAATTCCATCCATTTATAGACTAGAAGATCCATAACATTGAAACAAGAGTGTAGAACACCCAGACACCGTTTTTGCAACTTACTGTATAGATCTGCATTTTACTCTTTTAGTTTACCTGGCGGCCTTTTTTTAATTATCCTTCACGCTTCAGAGCGCGACTAATGCTGCATATAGTTACTTGCACCTGAAACTCGTCCCATAAGAAAATCGCCATCTCGTCAATATATAAATGGGGCTTCTCGATAAGATGATCACAGAGGGCTTTAACCATAATTGGAGTAAGTCTCCGGGGACGTCCACCCTTATTTGGGGGTGCCTTCATATTCCCAAACATATTAATGTTGGTGACAGACCTAGTGATAGTACTTGGATGACAGCCCGCCGCATTGGCAATCTGCGAGTAGGTAAGTTCATTGCTCATAATCATATTACGGATGAACTCCAGGGTCGATGGAGCTAGATTGGGGGCCATCTTAATTGCCCTACGATGAAGGATGCGCTTGTACGGGGGGGGATACGGGTATTGTAAGGTACCCTGAGTCATGAGGACGGCCCTTACCGTGCGATACAGAAACATGTAACAATGGCTGACGGACAATTACCAAAAAGGATTAGCGTGTTTCATATAAGGGCTCCTGAACGTGTCAGTATATAAACATTTGCACCACTTCTGCAACCAGCTGTACTGGTAACGGTGGGGCCACGAACAAGGGATGCGTGGTGAGAGGGGAGGTCACGTGCTAGCAAATGACGGCGTCGTTCGACACCGAAAATGGCAGCCCATTTGGTAAATCCGAATTGTTATGCAGACATAGTAGACACTCAAACAAAAATTGCGAGTGTTCAACAAGTTGCACCATGCTGACTCCAAAAATGTTTTATGTTATAGCCTCAATATCAAGGAAAGGCCAAACTAGTCCAATCGACAAACTGTATTAGTGAAAAATTCTAGAAATTTCAGGTTGCCTCTGACTATACTGATCAAGGGTAATATGATGTAATTTGATCATAATGGGTAGACTCGTCCAGCATGGTTTTTCTTGAGTTGACAGAATGAAAACAGCTGCTATTGTTTTTGGTTCATCAGTTATGTGTTGAACACTCCCCTGGTCAACAAATGAGGGCAAATGCATTGTTGGTGAGTTAACCCATTGCCCAACATTCCACAATCGAATACAGTGGAGTGGGTCCGGAAGGCAAATGCCCTCCCTCTTTGGCTGACCGGGTTGAACAATGATATTGGTGAACAGCCCAGTGTTTACAGACAAAATATCACCGAAATTTAATAGCAAAATAGCATTGACCAGAGATATGAACATCATATTTTAGGCGTATCACCGAGTTCTCAGTACAAGAATTTCATTGAAGTGGCATCGTGGCACCTCTAGGTTGAGCGCCAGTAAAGTACAACATGTAGACTGATGTTTTAAAAGTTGTTACAGAATACATTTTCGCTTAAAGTGTAAGCTCTGTCATTGGTGAAGCTTGGCGTTCCGCCTTTATGTAATTCCATTATAACGTAACTAACGTATTCCCCTGCGCAGCTCTGTATTCCATACAAATCCGCCCTTTTTACTACTTCAATATCTCAGTAACCAGAGATGGTAAAGATACAATAATAAATATATAATATAGTATAGGCTAAATGAGGCTATTGATAACTTTTTGATTTTTTTCTTCTTAACTTTACTCTATAAAGTGAAAATATCAAAAATACAGCTGTAATATCAATACCGAAAGAAGTATTGTTAATATAAGCTTCTTTGCTTTATATATTAATGATTAAGTACTATTATATAATATTCTTAAATTTTGGATTATTATAGCTTGTGGTTGCTGAGATATTCAAGTAGTAAAAAGGGCGGATTTGAATGAAATACAGAGCTGCGCAGGGTACTTGCATCCATGCGCAGGGTGCTTACCGAACACGTTATTAGTTAACTATCTTTGATTGGTTATTAAGACCAATAGATGACTAAGGTCCTTAAGATTTAGGACCGCCGAAAGACCACGCAGGACCGCCGGGGACCGCCAAAAGACCATGTGGGACCGTGCAAGGACCGCGAGTGACCGCCAAGAAACTATCAAAACCTCATCGAACCTATCAGTTACCCATCAAGAACCCCCTCTAACCTCCTGCTAAGACCAGAAGCATTAATGGGGGTATACATGCGGGGAAGGGGTACCCAGGCCCTCACAGGAAAAGGGAAATGTACAAGAACAAGCAAAAGAAAAGAGAAATAAATAGTTACTTACCTACTGGTGCAGAGCGGACCTTTCCAACACAGCTGTCACCCAATTAATCCGCCCTCGGATTAGCGCTATCATACGAGGGCTACCTGTACCAGCCTCCTCCACAGCATTCAGCACCTGGAGGGGACTGATTAACAGGCCCTCGAGACCCTCTTCGTCAAGCAGGGCTATATCTTCCCGGGTCGACCGGATGGTGAGTCCGGCCGCGTGCAACGCCTGAAGGTAACCCGCAGGATATGTCATTTTTGCGATATCTACAGAAAGGCTATACGCCCGCGAGAGTGGGATAAAGCAACTATTTATATATGTATTGAATACCACTACTGACAAGCGAGGCGACCCCTGATCATCTAACACTGCCAGATAGGGAAGGAAGTATCAGTGAATACAATGTCATTTGCCGCTTCTTCTCTTACAAATTATCCTACATCAAGTTTAACCACATAGCTTCTCGTCCTTATACTATCTTTGTCCTAGCATATCCTCATTTTCTGTCATTTTGTGGCTTTATTCATATATGGCGAAGAAAAGTGGAGAAAATAAACATGAAAGGGTGTTTTAGGTAGTTATACCATCGGCTGGTTTCTTATATCGTCCTGCTAGCCGGTAGCTCATAAAACTGCTGTAGACCATTGTGCAGCCGCGCTTCAGCTTTCGCAGCTGCACAGCCCGTCCACCATCGGGAGCAGATACCTATGGAAGGATATGTCACTGGATCTCGATAATGGTTGTAGTTGTACGCTGAGGAACGACGACCATTACAGCGCTCGCACCGAAGAGGCCCGGCTGTTATCCTCGTTTCAGTCGCTGGATAGAAAGGCTGGTCCCGCTCAGTTGGCAGCCTCGTGATGCTCTGTTTGTGTTCCTGTGTCTCCCAGGTAGTCGCGCAAGTTTTGTCTGTGGTACTGACAGCTGCATTTGAGGGAAGTAGAGATTTGCGCCTGAATTTTCCAAGTTAATGCTTCATCGAAACCGTACAGGAAGTGACGGATTATACCTGCACCGAACCCAGAGCCATATACCATAAAAGAAGTGCATTGGTTAGGACAATCTAGATGATGAACCAGCACGTAAGATTGGCCTTTGACACAAGTGAATCTTGTTTTGAATTCAAAGTATGGGTTTTGTTTCAAATATAATCTTTAAGACACCTAGCACGGCAAGGCATAGCTGAAACAATTATCTATGGCCAAAAATATATTCCAAGATATGCAATAGGAGACAAGGGCGCTTCATGGTAGAGTGTTATAAATTATCTTAGGTATCTGACCGGGCTGATATGATAGATCATCGGCGAGGTTAATATTTTTTGTTACATATGGCTGGAAAGTGCACGTAGATTTGCTCAGCTAACCATGAAGCCTAAAAAGTCATCATTCTTGCTGTTTAACCAACAGTGATTTAGTTAAATACAGATCTGAGATACTTGAATATTGGATCGTCAGGCTGAAATTGAACAGGTCAACTTGGCCTGCCGTACCTGAAGCATTCAGTATCACGATTGGATGTATAGGTGACATTATAACGTGCAAACCTCAATAGTGTAGCATATTTCCAGGATTTGCTGAACCCTTCTCAGGATTGTGATATACTGAACATTCATAAAAGTTCCAAGTTTAATATAAATTTTCTGGTAAACTCAACCCCACCCTCATAGTTCTAGCGTGAAACCTAGCCAGGCATTCAGTAGGCACCAACCAGTTCCTCGTCCAGGCTTTGTCCCAGTATGCCATCCTTCTGCTTTTATCAAGGCCTGGATCATTGTTGTGGCCCTAAGGAAGAACCAAGTGTTGATCAATCAGTATCGGACTCAACTATTGGCTGACCGCAAGCCAACTGCGTTGGAATTCCCCACCACACTGTGCCATTAGCATGAGATTTAGACGAACGTCCCACTCAACAAAGGGTTTCATTGCAACAAGTTAACTGATTGGAGTGTCCATTGGGAGCTTTTCGGTGGAGCGTCCATGCGCAGCACTGGTACAGGGAATAATAAAGTACCAAAAAAGGTAGGAATCTGATATGAATGATGATCCACAAATGAATGACATGGGGCCAAGACATCCAATAAGTGAATAGATTGCGGTCGAGCAAAGAGCTCACTGCAAAAAAGGACCAAAAATGTCCACTGTCCTGTCGTATGTACCATACAGGCTTATTGGTCATGGCAAGTAAGTGGAGCTATCAAATCACCGATGAATTGTTGGCCTCAACCACTATAACCAACTATAACCAACGCCGGTGAACGCAGTCGCCCAAGACTGAACTTTACGAAAGCCACCATGAGTGCCAAATACCCATATCATCCTCCATTTAAAAAATTTATAATCTCAACACCATATTTATCAAGAAATACTACTTCAGCATATCAGCAAACACAGTGCCACATTCTCCCCCGCATTCCTGTCCCGATGAGGGCCAAAAAGCAGAGACAGCCTTTACAAAGAGCGACTGTGATCAAAACGGCCCAAGTTAAGCCAAAAGATTCACTTGGGTCCTTGGATAGAGGCGTCCTTATCAAAATACAGAAATGCCTAAGTCGAGCTCGCCATAAGAGTACCACCGAGTCAGAAGCCAAAGCCGCCCTTTTCGTTGCCCAGAAGCTGATGGCCCCATATAATGTCTCCCAAGCGGATCTAGTGACCAACAGTGATTATGGAAGCAAAGCTCAATATGGAGGAGTGAGCAAGGTGGAAATAATCAACGTTAAGAACCGTACCAGACGTGTGATTAAGAAGGCATTTGTGCACAAGTCGGCAAAGGCTATGTGTACGTTCTTTGATTGCCAATGTTTTTCGACGGACTACGAAACATCCATTGCTTGGTCATTTTTTGGTATAGCGGAAAACACGGTCACAGCGGCAATAGCGTTCGAAATGGCGCACAATAAGATCCTGGACTGGGCATGCTCCTATAAGGGCGGTTCGGCCACGTTCAGCTACCGCGTCGGAGTCGCTGATGGGCTCGTCTCCATGGCCAACTGTGAGAAGAAAATCGAACTCGAGGCGGCAAGAAAGAAAGAGTTAGATATAATAGCCGCCAAGGAACGGAAAGCGGGTATGGAACGCGAGCGCAAACTTCAGAGGCTCCATAAAGGACCTTCACTGGCGTTAGACATTGGTGAATCAGATGGCCAGTCAGAGGACGAAATGCCTGGCTTCTTGGACATAGACAGCATGTCCGACGAGTCTTACGGCTCTCCAGAGTCGATAGACAATCTCAATCTTAATACTAGAGGAGCACTGGCCGACTTTAATGAGAATGATGAGAATGTGGTCGATCTCACGCGCAGCGTGGAAGTCAACGTTGACAAAATTATCAAGCGGGAGTCGCGCGAAACCCATGATTTTAACAGCATCCCTTCCCTTTCGGTGAAGCAGAACCCTTCAGATAACGATTCCTCGTCTGTTAAAAGCGAGGATATGTCGAACTCGCCGTGGATGTCCGAAACGCAGCTAGTACGTTTTCGCGCCACATCGGTGCAGGTTGCAGACGAATACCTCAATATCAAGCTGCGTATGGGAAAGACACGCACAGTGGTCACCCGCAATTACTCTGCTTATCGAGAAGGGTGGAAAGATAGTGAAAAGATTGATTTCCGTCCGCGCAGGTTGGAATAATCGTACATATTGAGCCCTCTGATCTGTGCCTTACCCAGCCAGAGTTCCAGCTCGTTAAATTCTCCTGTCCAGACTCTGGTGAGTTCCCTTTGCCATCATACTCGGATGTGTCAGTATGCGGCCGTTCCATACAGAATAAACAACAATAGAATATGCAATGGTTGGTACACAGTCTCTGTTCTCCATAGACATCTTCGCTAGGAAGCTATGGTATTTTACCTTCAGTGACTGGCGACACCCGCAGGATTGAGTAGTGCAGTAACCGGTTAATAGCTTTTCGCTTCTCCACTGAATTATTACAGGCGTGAGTTACGCTATATGCCCAATATATCACTACTGGATGGGAGCAATTAATGCTGCTTGTGGACTGATGTGGGGGATTGTAGGCAAATTAGATTCTAGTGAGAAAAGCTGTGGCTCAAAAGACTGGGATCAAAAAGCAGGCAAACAATCGCTTTCAAACAAGCTAACATTTTCCCTCCGTTGGTGCATCAACGTTGTACTTTAGCCCCATAATCCATATTACGTGAGAGTAAGACATAGTTCCCAGCTAGAATGAAAGGGATAGGAACGAAAGCTGTGTGAATGAAGTGCATCTGCGATGGGTTCTCGAGGGATCCGCTCACCTCCCGGTGGCATAAATTGTGATCGATTATTAATTCCCTTTCGTATACTCCAATAACATTCAGAAGTGCACATGATGTGGAGCCAAGTCAACAGTGCGGTAGTGATGGATCTATTGCAGCGTATAAAAAGGGATGGTACAGGTGCAGACACAACGAGTTGTTCCCATTAAACTAATATGGCTGGCACAACTAAATGAGGCTAGTAACATAAAATTCAAGATATAAAAGCACTCAACTAACACTGTCGAACATCAAACTCTTCCAATCTTTGATACTCACACAAGAATTTTCTAAATCAATTCACGGCTACCGGTGGCGCACTCCTTTGTTTCTCAAATATGCACAATAGATCGCCGTGCGCTCACACTCCAACCCAGGGTAAGTAGTATGGCTCCTCACCTTCCCCTTCAATGCTAAATCGGTCATGACTATTATAGCGCCTTGCCTCACACAACGCATTCCAGAGCTGCTTGAGCAAGCGTATCGCGAAGCTTATCAATCTCACCAGCTCAATCGGGAAACTCTCGCGTGCAATGAACAACTAAACCGCGAATTGTCGAAGGTTCACAATGAAAACAGAGACTTACAGGCAAGGAATCAACGGCTTGAGTCCCAAAATAGGGTGTTGATGTGGCAAATACAAAACCTCGAATGCCAGCCGATGCGCCTGCAACTTTCTTCCCATAGCGCCACTCCGGAAAAGGGGAAGTCGGCATAATATCATCTTTCAAGGTGCTTTTCTCAGACGGTCTTAGTGGAAGTAGCACAAGTCTAGTGATATTATAATATTCACATCAAGGCTCCCATTTCAACTATGAATTCCAAAGCTATCAATCTATTCTAGGGCCACCTTCCAATGGTTGCTGTAGAGTAAACCCTCTGAGCATCCAACTTCAGAAGTGGTGACTGGGCTGTACTGGTTCAGATATTTCAAGACTACATGGTCATCTGTGTTGCTGTACTTAGCTCCCAGGGAAGAAGCGCCAATAAGGAGATATTATTATCTACACAGTAGAATAGCTTGCTTCTTATTATATGCATACCGCGGCGTACGAGATCTCTCAAGGAAAATGATTCGTAAATACCTTGAACAGAGAGTAAGGTTGCACGGCACAGAGTTTCAACCTTTCGTGAGAACAAAGGACCAGTTTCCGAATCTCAGGTGGAGAGGCGGGCGGGTAGACCCAACGAATGATTGAATCTCCCATTGATTACCTGCCCTCCAGAACCAATGCCTCTTTCCAACGTAACCCACTTGCTCCGCCGTCATTATGTACACGCTTTGCAGATCATCAATGTACTCCATGATCCTTTGAATAGCGTGCATTTCATGGGTCTATGGTCAGCTACAATTTATTCCAGTCCCGGGGCCACCTCACGATTTCTATGTGAACTCCATTTGCCAGATCTAGCTCTTTGTCTATGTCTGCTTATTACTAAGCCGTCCTGTTGCCAATGACATTCGGCGTTCTCGGTCCACCCACCCCATGTTGCCTTGCAACGAACTACCACATTCAAAAATCATCGATAAACAAGGGTCTCATTCCACTCTTGACAATAGTGTCAACAAACTCGCCATCGAGCGGGCGCGAACTGGTCGTACTTTCTCACCTTGGACCCAGAGTCTGCATGTCCCGTACGGTAAACTCAGATATTTAAAAGTCCAGTTGTCTGAAGGGACTCTTCCACACTCAACCAATCCCGATAGATCGGAAATGTGCACGACCTTCCACGACCAATTCATACGCCCTGCCCGTGATGGACATATTATCTCTATTGAATAAAGACGATGATCGCAATCCTTTCAACCCTCCCTCTACCAGCCAGCAACGGCCGACCAGTAAGAGGAGGGATGCATTTCAGGGATGCAATCATGGCGTTTTCCCATCGTACCATACAAGTCTAGTGTCCCAAAGCGTGGCATCCATGCCTTCATCAGTACTATCTGATGTCAATTGGTCAGAGGCGTCTCGTGTTGCTGTTTTGTCTGAAATGCCCCGCCGATCTACCACAACGAGCAATGTGTGCGCAGTACATTCAAGGTGGTGGATCTCAGGAGTAACCTGCCGTCCCGCGGATGATGCTGCCATTATCTATCTATCTGAATCTATCCGGGGATCTCCTAGAATAGCTATCCAGCTGGCTTTAGGACGAGGTTATAGGTTCACAGTCAGGAGAAGAGACATGCTGCATGGATATCAACCAGAAAGGTCCTGCTTGAACTGCCACTATGTGGAATACAACTTGAGGAGGGCAAGGTAGCAGTTAGTCAGCCATGCAACCCAGAGACCCTAAATGCTAACTATCGAGCAGATATCAAGGGTCCTCATTGAACACTACTCGGAAGGGGCTTGGCCCGAAGGCCTCCATTATCATTCCTCCGCCACGACAAGTTCGGCTTGGGGACACATTCTACTTTCCTCTGGTTCTCCAGGCTCGTGAAGATACTATTGAGTTGTCTGCGAGGCTGAAGATTGATGATATCGATTCCTCCTTGGACTTTAGCAAGACCCTGATATTCCAAAAAACTTTCTTCCTTTTGACTCCTCTGGTGTTAAACCGAGCGGGGATTTGGAGCATCGTAATCTGCATTCAGAGTCAGGCTGAATCATTTTTCATGAGTTTCGACGTTCATGTTGTGAATTTCAGCCCTGTGTAGTACAGTACAACACAGCCTCTAGGACATGGCGTGATTTGGGGTGTTATGCGAGGGAGGTCCTAACGGTTCAAAATACTCGTCGTTTTACGCTAGGCTTTACATTATGTGAGCCCAACATGCGACTCTGGGAGTTCGACCGTGTCGGGGCAATGGCGTCGTCCTCTTTCGACATCAACAAGGATGGGCTCCAATTTGTTTCGGCCATGCTGGGTTTTCTTACGATGAACGATGAACAGTTAGGGTATGACCCAAGCATCATTTCTACATCTGACGAAAAAAAAGCTACATTGAGATTCAACGCGATGGACATTGCGAGCGTCTTATCCTTGAAGGGCTGATGAAGAGATCTGCATGCGTTGCTGGCAGAGCTACAACTTGCTGGAAAGCCCGTCGCGAAGGAGACAAGACAAATTCACCACTTGTTATCAAAGATTAATGGCAATATCCAAAGAGAGAAGGAGAGTGGAAACTTTTACAGGAAGCGACGGAGAAAGAGGTGGTTAATGTAACCAGATATTACTATCATGAACCGTTCGGGTGAATAGAGAAATCGACAATATTCGCAACAATGTTCGGAAGAAGTTAGATGTAACGGAGTCCACGAACTTTTGACCAATGCGATATGAGCTGCTCTCAGCTGCAAGTGGCACAGCGGGAATAGAAAGAGCCGGTCGCTCCACAAGCACGACCAGCCAGAAAAGGTCATCTAGCCAAGCCGACGCAATACTACCGCCAAAGAAACGCCCTTGCCCAAGCTCGCCTTCCAAAGGTGTGCGTGATGCCAATATACAGGATAGGGTACATCGTCGATTTATTGTCGAAGATTATGACATACCCATATATAGAGCAAGCTCACGCGTCTCGCTACTACATGCACTTGAGAATTGCATAGAAGGTATGAGTTTTGTTCATGTGCTATAGTTCATCACTAATTATTGAAGGATATCAATCTTTGCATATGAAAGCAGGGCTTTTACAGGGTGACATCTCGACTGGCAACCTGATCTTGAATGAAGACGTAGGGAATCCGTCATGGTCAGCGTTCCTCATCGACCTGGATCTATCTATCGAGGAGCAACGAGAACGAGCATCTGGAGCTAGAGGGAAGACAGGAACGAGGGCATTCATGGCAATAGGTCTACTTCTGGGAGAGCAACATTTATTCAGGCATGACCTCGAATCTTTCTTTTGGGTACTCTTCTGGATATGTATTCACTACAACGGTCCAGACCAAGGGGTTGGGCCAACTGACTTAGATTGTTGGAACTATGAGGATGATGGAAAGCTGGCTCGATCTAAGCAAGGTATAGTTGCTGGCGAAGAGGATTTTCTTAAAATTGCAAGTGAACTGTTCTCACCATACTATCAAGCATTGGTTCCTTGGGTCAATAGGTTACGCTGAGTGGTACAGTATTCCCGGGGGGTATGCGGAGAAAGAATGACGATACGCATCTTTATGGTCAGATGAAAAATACCCTTCAGGAAGCGGTTAGTGATCCGAAAGTGTTAGCACCATAGGTAATATTTAATCAGCGAGGCATTATCATTTAGTAAAATAATACAGTTTTAACATTTTCATATTCAGATAGAATCAATGTGCTAGCTTATCAGCTTCTTTTCCATAAGCAATGTCCGTACTACTGCTGAACATTTTCTTAGTCATTCGAAAAACCCAGTGCTCAACCAAGCCACTAACTAACCTTTAAAGAGGACGCTAGATGTGTCAAAAGTTAGGCTTGACAATACCCATACACAGTATCTAGAAAACGTAATACAACCCGTAACAGAAATTTACAACCTGTATTTTTGGCACGTGAATTTCTTGTAACGTAATGCATGTTTTGTGGCGGTGCAATATTTTGTATTGGGAGGAAATATTATATACTGTAATATATTCATGTAAAGCATTCAGTCAAATGTGTTTCACTCCATTATGAAGTTGGTATCCAATGGAATCTTACTTTACTCATAGGCCAGGTCAGATCCCATAGATTAAACAGTGTCATTTTTTATATGTACAGTATATTGGCCCGTCTTACTGGACTGTGTTATGCTTCCTATTATTCCTTAGGCACTAGCTGTTTAAGTGCCTCGATTCTAACGCACCTGTTCGTGCTTCAGAGTACTTATCACGCATAGAGCATTAGCGCTTTCCCTTAGCATTATTTCAACTCTTTTCAAGCCCAGGGGAGAGTTCGGTGTCAATGTTATTGTATCTGCTTTCAGTTACTCAATACGTCTCCATTAGCAAAGCAAAACTTTATATACTAGGCGACAACTCTAGCGGCCACCAACACTACAAATCTTGTAAATGAAACTTGGTTTAAACAGCAAGCTTGTTCACCTATAAAGGTAATTATATACAATCTATCCATTTATATACTCTCACATAGGCTTCAATCGGGTCGAACGCCGCGATGGCGGTCGTATGACGGACCAACGTTTCCGAAGGGAAATCGCAGACCGAGCTGGGAATCGCTTTTGAAAGGCTGACGTTACCGCTTCGAGAGTCGCCAACTTCCGCATGAGTGTCTTCAGTAACTTGTCCTCTTCTTGACTGTAAGGCCTAGTTTTCCGACCTGAGGTTTGGAAGTCCGTAGATCTCTGGCAAGCCTTGGCCGCTTGCTCCTTAGCTTTAGCTCTTGTTATAGGCCCTGTTAGTCCCACGGCCTCCTTTATCCTGTCTTCGATAACATGCATATCTGAAGAGCTTTGCGTTGTGAAATCCGCTTCCTCTATTAGCTTCGATTCGTAGTTTGTCAAACTTAGTGCTGGCTTATCGTTCAGAGAAGTCGGAGACGGTGGAGCGTGTTCAATGGTTATGTTGTCCGTCTCTGGTACAGCCACACCTTGAGAATCCACACCTCCTAGGGCTAGGTCTGCGAAGGGCTGTTGAAGCGGAGTATTACCCTCGATCTTCTCAGTAGCATAGTTGCTTTCCACATGCACCCCTGGACTGCGTGCATAGGGCTGTTCAGTTTCCTCACCCGGCTGGCACAAGAGAGCAGACGGCGTCTCTAGAATTCGTGGGTCGATGGGAACCACACCGAAAGTGGAGCTTGTTATTGAAGGGCTTGAGCAGCCGCTCAAGCCATCGGTACGATCAGGTGTGTCAAATGTGGCCGATCGAGCCTTCTGGCTGTTTTGGCTTACAACAGGCAAATCCAAGTTCCGGCAGTCAATAACGGCTTGCCAAGCCATTCCTTTAAGGCTCTCTTGATCCTTATCTTTCTCCTGAGCAGGGACAGACGTGATAGCCCTCGGACGCATTGCGGGGGGTTCCCAGAAAGTAATCTTCAGTTCTTTCGTATTAGTAGATGATGGTACGGAAGGTTTTTTGCCTTGCTTGCGCGGGCGTTTCTGCTGCATACAATGATCTCTGTCTGAAGTAGACTCCTCGTCCTGCATCGAGGACAATCGTTTCTTGTAGGCCTTCTTGGATCGCACACAAATGGTTTTGTGGTAATGGTGCACATCGCGAAGGTGTCGGCGGTAGTCCTGTTCCTCGGTAGCAATGTGGTTACAGGAAGGGTCAGCGCATTCCGATGGCCATGATTTCCGATCAACATGCTCCTCAAGATGCTCTCTCAGCTCTGGGCTTCGGTCAAAAGCTCTCATCCTGCAGGCCGCAGGAAGCCGGTCATCCCACATGCATTCAATACAGTATCCGGCACGGATGGTGGTATGGCGATACACCATCACCTCGTAGTGTTGGCTGGTCATCGAGGGGAGGTGTCCCGCACAATGCTCCTCAAACTCAGCACTCTTTCCATCATGGAAGGTGTAGCATTCCCAGCAATACTTGATCTGTTGAAGAGGAATGTGCAAGTTTCGAGCAGATTCTCGTTGAATACAAGAATGGATGTGCCTGCTCCGCAAGGGCTTTTCCATGCTGTGGCATGTTAGTGGAGGATCAATATAGGGAAACAGTGGGCGGCTCACGGTTCCAATAATTTACGACAGCTAGCAACGGGGCATCGCTTTTCCACAGGCTCCTCGCCCGGACGATAGACCACGTCAAAATCACGAAGACATTGGGTAAAGAGATCCTTCACCACACTGGCTTTTTCGTCAAAAGAAAGTGGCTCGTTGGATGACATGACCGCCGCTAAACGGCCTAATTCAGGCATGAGCTTGCACAGCGCCTGCTTTTCTGCACTCTGCTCAATATGATCCGGGCGTTCGCGGCCCCTGGTCAGGATTTTCCAGTCCCGACGACTCTGGACCCATTGACTCTGGTATTTCTGCAACCTGCTCGAAGAGATCCTTCTCTTAAGGACGCTATATTCGCGCTTTGCTCTTCTGATGTCATCATCTGACTGTGCTTGCTGAATTTTCGCGGCTTTGGCGACCAAACACGGGTCTTCATCGACCTTCTCTTCCTCTTCTGTAGGTAACCGGCGAGGGAGGCCATTCTCGTGAAATCGGTCGTAGCCTTGAAAGTAGTCAATGTGAGTATGATCTGCGGCTCGGCCTCGTAGAGCATTGAACACATCCACGCCGGAACAGTTGGCAAGATAGTCATTTCCGTACGTAGCTTTAGACCTATGCGTAAGAATTTGAGCCACGAGAGCCGAGGAGTATTTATCTGCGCGATAATTTAGCTAAGCTCTCATATCAGGTGAAAGAAAAGCATGAACCAACCTTGGACAGCTTTTCCTAGCTCGCGGCGCATCGCATGTACCGTTGCAGTAACAAAGTAGCCAGCATTGACAAGGATATTACGTAGACCCTCTTGATATCTCTCCTTAGTCAACGGCTCCTCACTAACCTTTTCGGCTGTGACGCGCCTTACAATACATCGGTCTTTGGCTTCATCATTCCATCTAAGGACCAGTTCGTCTTCTCCTTCGGGGATTCTTTGCTCAAAAATCTCCTCTGGCTTGGAGAACCCAAAGAGAGCATTATCTGCAAGAGCTAGTGCTAGGAGGAACAAGGCTCCTGAGTAGATAGGTTCATTGCAGTCCCAAATAGCAGTACCAAAGCTGTTCTCGTTAATGACCATTCCAAAGCTGGTGATGGTGATAGCTACATACACTGTATTCTCGGGGTCTTTGTTGTTCTTGACATACTGTTGGTCAAGCCGCCATCCGACCCTCCAAGGAGCATCATCGGTACGAAACAATACAAGCTCAATATTCTGGCTACTGTCAGCATTTGGAAGCTGAAGTGCAGGCATATTGGAATCCGTACTTTGTAACGAAGCCCCCGTCCGGCTCTGTCTGCTGATGCAGGTGTGAAAGAGGACACTCTGGCACCCGTGCATAGGAACTGAAGAGTAATGAAGTGAAATTGGACACGATACCTTCCAGGCATGAAGAATGGATCATCTGTTGCCCAGAAAGCGATCATGGCTCGCTCAAAGCTCGAAAGCTTGAAAGTGTGCTTCGGCCTTTTGATCACTGATAGGAACCCCTCTTGAACTAGATCATGCTCTATCCACTGCAATGATCAGATACATGGCCCTCGAAAGGTGAATCTAACTCACGCTGTAGAGATCGGCCCGGTCATGGGGGGAAATCTCGTTCCCTGTCAGAAAATAGAAGCCTGGGACGAACTCTTGAGCCCAAATCAAAGTCGTGTCCTTGGTCGGTCGTCCATTTGGAGCAAGTCTGCCGTTAGTAGACTCAACATGCCACCGGATAAACTCTTTGAGTTCCTCTAGTGTTGGCGCCGGATGCCCATCTCCAACCTTATGGTCTTCAGGCATATCTTTCTCCTCCTGAAGAAATCTAACGAAGTCATGGTGAGAAGAACGACTCCCTCTTAGAGTATATAGAAACTTACTCCTCATACCTCCGCACTTTCCCTGCATATCTCTTTTTCGTTTTTGGCGAAGCTCTACCCCTTGTCCTTTGGGCATCTTTCTGTTGATGAGCTTTCGCCTCATAGCCTCGCTGTTTACGGAGTTCACGGCGAGCTTTTCTTTTCTTTTCATCCTGCTCGGCCTTCAATGAAGAAGAGCGTATAGCCATTATCAACCGCTGAAATGTAGCTAAATAAATGAGTTTAGAAAGAGTACGAGAGAAACGATTGTAGAAGGCTGATGGGAAATGAGATGAAAGTGAAATTGTCCTGGGCGAGTAGGGCATATTTATATTCGCAATTGAAGTGCGATACCTTTAGTTCCTTTTTAGCAATGACCCCTCATCACTTGCGCCAAATGCTGATCGAAGCTTCTTAGTGTCAGACATAGTGTGCGGTGACTGAAAAAGATTCCAGCTCTTGTCTTCGTGATGCCCTCAGATACATGCGGGTTGGATAGACTGGATCAATTAGTTTGTACACGGTTTAGAGAGCTTCTGTTGGTCACGTGAGTGATGACACAGAGAGGACTGGCATTGCCCCGGGATCACTCACTGAGTTGAGCCAAAGCAATCCGGGAGCGACCGGAGCTGCGGTGCGTGCTCACTGAGCAATCAGTGAGTGGCCCGGAGCGAACACGGAGCACTCACGTGCTGCCCTCACAAAAGCGGCGGCATCCGAATCGGGTAACAGGACCCAACTCGCAGCAAAACAGTTCACTTATACACTAGTAAATGATGGATTACAAGCTCGCCAGGCGCTTCTTCCAAACAGCTCCGTATCGCCGCGGTTGGATACCATCAGGCTTCCAAATGTCGATCTTATCAGTCCCGAATTCGTTGATTCAATCATCAAACACCATATCCCGCCTGGGGGTTTACAACTTCGAGATGCTACAGACAGCTCTGCTGCGAAGCTTTTGATGACCCCGATGCGGGATGCGGACATCAGAGGGCCGGCACTACGAGATGCTCATTCCAAAGCTGGCTCTTACCTAGCCTGGAGATTTCTGGCCGACCTCATTGGTCTTGAGGAAGTCACTATCCGCCATGTTCAAGGCAACAACACCATAGGTCACCGACTCCGTGGAGAAGAGAAGACGCTGATTGTGGCGTTGATGCGCGGCGGCGAGTCCATGGCTTTCGGCATCAACGAAGTCTTCCCGAAAGCTCAATTCTTGCATGCCAAAGAGCCGAATGATATCAAGCGACACCATCTGGAGGACAACGTAACCGTTATTCTGGTCGACTCTGTCATTAACAATGGCAATACAGTTGTGAAGTTCGTGGAGTCCATCCGAGCCATCCATGCAATGATTCGCATCTTTGTTGTTGCTGGTGTAGTCCAGGACAAGGCAGTCTCGGGGTGTGGTCCCCTCAAGGCACTTGCGCGGACTGCTGAAATTACAGTGGTAGCTCTTCGACTTTCTAAGAACAAGTACACGGGTAGCGGTGGAACTGATACAGGCAATCGCTTGTTCAACACGGCTTACTTACCCTGAAGCTAGTATGGACGACTTATGTTTGTTGCTTCAGTGCTTGGGGATGAACTTTTCTGTCGTGTTTTGAGAAAGGATGATTGTTCAAGTACGGCTGAGCGGATGGGAGGTCCTATTTTCCACATCCTATGGTTGTATGTGGTGGATATCTCCTTGAAAAGAAATATACTCCACAAGATAGCTAAAGATCTAGTCTAATTTCTCAGCCGTCTCCGTAGGATGAGCTGTCTTTGTAGCTAGTTATCTCATGGAACACGCGAGGAGGCATCGGCATCTACAGTATTTGAATAAATGTCTAACCGAAAAACAAAGGCCATGTGTGCCATCTCTCTTTAGTCTTCTCATGAATAGCTATCCTTAGGAATCGAGTCAGTTTCTTCGATCAGAGCACCTCACATGTATAGTTCAGCTTTGTAACTGAAAAATACAGAAAGAATAAGTGAAGTTAACATAGACATATTAGCAACTAAAGCAATATAACAGCCCAAATAGTTACCTCACTGAATCTCAATTGGCTAAGACAGTAGGGCTTATGAGACGGTTATTCCTATAGTTTAAGAGCCTCGATTGAGAATAGTCATTATCAATACCGCTATAATATGAGTTGTTTCACACCATCAATGATATATAACAAGACCCTCATGCAATCCTTCCAAGTTAAACCGTCTTCACATTACTTCGGTTCAAAAAAGCATACTCCGTCGTATAATCTTTGAGGCGACCTCTAGTTTGTTCCCTTCTTTGCTTCTTCCCTCTCAATTCCAAGCCAGACGAGCTCTGTAATATCCTGGAGCAACATATCTTTAATAAAGCCAAAATCGCCCTCTCCTTCTCCTGGTTTAGTCAAAAGCAAAGATTCGAATGGGATAATTAAATCCCCGGTGTCATCTTGACTTCATGGCCGTTGACATAGTAACTGAGACGGTCTGCGTTGCTCCAGTTACAATATGCCTCCACCGTCATAGTTGGTTCTTGGCCGTGTTCCCCTTTTCTGCTCAAACCCCTCTGCGCAATGGGGTGGTAAGTTTTGGTTGCAACATCTGTCTATAACCTAGCGTTGATGTGCAGTGATATACACATGCAGTGGGCATGGTCTCGCATGAACCCAAGATTTGATTTCGATATTTCCAGAACCTCGTTTGATATCAATTGTGATACCCATTCTCATCCGTCCTGATTCTTGTAATTACCAAGTAATGTCTCTTTCCAGTTGTGCAGCTAGCTGTGGAATGATCAACTTCTAGAGCTACCGTTGGAAATTGTCCTTCTTGCCGTACTGGCATCCATGCCCGATCCGCTTGTTTTTTTCCGGTCACAACCATCGATGCGGGTGGCTCCTATGAAGCAGGTTCGACCTTTGACATTCATTTGAGCGGCAAGAACTGCAAGCATGGCATCGAATTCGCCAGCAGCTTGTTCGTGAGGCATTTCTAGGACTGCAGGTGGAAAGGTAAAAAAGCCAAATCCGGAATAGTTTTTCTAGAGGGAGATATAAAGCTCACATTACTCTTTATCAACAGGACGAAACGAAGCCCCTTTCGAGGGCACGCAAGAATGTCTGGTAGAATGAAAAGAGAAGAAAAATCCTCCAGGTCCTGGAGGAGTTCTTATTCCTCCGTATTCTCGCCGTATTCACACAAATTTGAGGAGTCTCCGGAGGGGAATTAGCATCCATCCGCCTACAGCTATTCATTCCCTGGGCAAAATAGTGAATGTGTATGCGGAAAAGCGGACTGTTATAGGTGCCTACCCGGCATGCTGCAAGGCGATCTGTATCTCCAAGTCAGGTACCCGAAACAACAGGTATGCAGTCCTACTGGCAGGAAACCAGCAAACGATCCGTAAAGTGGTTTCGTCAAAGGAGATGCGCGGCAGGTTGAGATGTGTTTTAGAAGTATCTGACTTTTCAACTCTTCAGCCGGGCATTGGTTAACGTAATCCAGTTCATAGCATTGTAAAGTTCGGAAGCTTTCCTCGTGCCCGCAGTACTTGCAAGTTGTTGTATTGCTGACTCGAGAGTCAATGCGGGATATCACGTTGGAACTCTTGTTCACTAACATGTTTCCTAAATGTTGGTCTTCCTCGCAGTTCTGGTAATGTGGCAATATCCCCTTTCCTCTTACTATCTAGCATCTTAGTATCCAGGATAGGTCCCTACTTCGAGTTGGACAGGCAGCATGTTAGCGGCGTGGTATCGATAAATCCGCTTATCATTGCCTCGACTTCTCAGCGTCACCACAACATAGGCTAGACTCTTTGTCTGCATGAAAGCTATTGTAGAGTACTCTGTCATTCCCAGGTATTTTTTTTTTCTTTTTTACAGAGACAATAGGAAATACAGCACTAGACTGATTCCCCGAGAAGACCCCTAAACGTGAGCAACTGTATCCATTCAAAGACAGTCTAAATCGAACCCCATGAACGAAACACGGCCAGATAGATGGCCAAGAACCAGTGTACCTGTACTACCTGCGATGCAGGAAGATGAAGGGCGGTATTCAGGAGGAAGCCACAAACTTGGTGTTCCCTTCAAGCTTACCCATCGACCCTCTAGAGAAATCTCAGAGCGATATTCATGTTGCGGGCCATGACCAATATCGACAGATCCAATGTTAAATATGCCACGATCTGTCTCTAAGTATCCATTCTGTGGGGAAAACCTTATGTTCCTTATTATGGTGTCAAAGCCAAGGGTCAGCCGGACAAGGCCCGAAGTGATATCCCACAATTTGACAGTTGCATCATAAGAAGCTGAAGCAAGCAGCTTGCCATCGAGTGAGAAAGCTACTGCATTCACCGTTCCAGTATGGCCTCTAAGGGTTTGTTTAATAAGACCCGAAGTGATATCCACCAGTTTGACTGTTTTATCAGAAGACGCTAAAGCAATCAATTTGGTATGAGGTGAGAAAGCTACTCCTCTCACTTCATTTTCTGAACCATAAGAGATTGCAAAAGTTTGGTAGATGAGTCCTGAAGTAGTATCCCACAATGTAACAGTTTTATCAGAGGTTAAGGCAAATAATTTGTCATTAGGTGAAAATGCCATAGAAATCACTGAACCATCGTGGCCCTCAAAGGTTTGTTGGACAAGACCTGAAGTGATATCCCATAATTTGATAGTGGTACTCCCAGGAGAGACTGAGGCAATTAACTTGCTATCGGGTGAGAAGGCTATTAGTAGCCCTCCTAATCGATTGCGCCTGCCTGTAAAAGTCTGTTGGACAAGGCCAGAGGTAACATCCCACAGCTTAATAGTATCATCAAAAGAGGCTGCAACCAATTTGTCATTAGGCGAGAAAGCTACCGCATCCACCGCAGTGCTGTGACGCTCAAAGGTCTGTTGAATAAGGACTGAAGTAGTATTCCATAGCTTAATAGTGTTATCCCAAGAAGCTGAGGCAATTAATTTGCTATTGGGAGAGAAAGCTATTGCAAACACAGATTGAATATGGCCTTCAAGGGTTCGCAATATAAGGCCTGAAGTGGCATCCCATAGCTTGATAGTTCCATCAGAAGAGGCTGAAGCAATGAATTTACCGTCAGGCGAGAAAGCTACCGTAGTAACCACATGATTGTGGCCCTTAAGGGTCTGCCAGATAAGGCCTGAAGTGGCATCCCATAGCGTGATGATTCCAGTAGCAGAGGCTGAAGCAACCAGTTCGCTATCCGACGAGAAGGCAAGCCCTCCCATTGACACATCGTGGTCCTTAATAGTGTGCTGGATAAGACCTGAAGAGGAATCCCACAGTTTGATAACTGTTTGAGTTCTTGAGGCGATCAGTTTCCCATCAGGTGAAAAAGCCACTTCTCTTACACAATGGTCATGGCCTTTAAGGGTTTGCTGGATAAGGCCCGAAGTGACATCCCATATGTTGATGATTTTATCGGAGGCTGAAATGACCAGTTTACCATTGGGTGAGAAAGCTATTTTTCTCACCCAATCATTATGTCCTTCAAAGGTTTGTTGAATAAGGCCCGAAGTGGCATCCCACAAGGTAACAGTTTTATGAGAGCCTGAGGCGAGCAATTTGCCGTCAGGTGAGAAAACTACCCTTTTTAATTCATCTTCTGGGTGATGACAGATTTCAAAAGTCTGCTGAATGAGGCCCGAAGTGGCATCCCACAGCTTGATAGTGTTCCCAGAGGCTGAGGCGACCACTTTGCCATTAGGTGAGAAAGCCACCGCAAGCACATCATAGTGCTCAAGAGTCTGCTGGGCCGCACTCCATGATGTGTCCACCTTGGGGAGCCTTCGAATCCAATTAGGGATGTTGTCATCGAACATGCATCGGATACGTGATTTTTCCGGAGCGAAAACAAGAGCCGAACAGTATAACTGGAGAGGCGCGCTATCAATTACTGATATGCAGTATGAAATAAATCGCTTAGCATCGTGAAGAAATGCAGATAGTTCAGAGTCATCCTATAACAATTCCAAGACAATCAGCTCTATAACTATTACTAGTTTTTAAACTTAGGACTTACCTCTGTTATCGATTGGAGAAAGCCAAGACCAGAAATACTCTCGGACACATGTCCAAGAATACTCAGAACCTCCAACCAGTGAAGGAGATGTTCTGTAAGAAAACTTTGAACAACTTCTTCATCTCGAATGCCACTCTCCTGGAGATGATAGATCCAATACCGGCAAGCATATTGTAGTTCCATTGGTAGACAATCATGTCTTGTCTGGTCGTCGACTTCGTCTCGTAAAGCACCGGCATGAGGTAGATCGCATATATTCTTTCTTAGCAAGCGACGCATGAGTGTTAAACACTGAACAGCAACTTTTCCGTGTTTCTCCTTCCCATTAACCCAAAAAACATTATCATTTCTTCTGGGGTCGAGAAGAAAGTCTCGAAATGACAAGTGAAAAAGCCTTACGGGCTGATTTGCGTTGCCCGGTACATTCAAGACTGAATGGAAGAACTCCAGTCGACGTTCAATTTTTTGAGTGGGGATCTCCAGGAGCTGTCCGAGAGAAAGAATCGAAAGTGGACTGGCCAGGATTATAATCACTCCGACGATTTTTTGAAATTCATCGACCAGCTGTTCCGAGTCGCAGGGAGTTGCTCCGGAAAGCAGATTATTTAAAATTGGAGCATAGGTTAACTCCAATGGAGTCATATCGTTCTTCAACTCGGTCTGGAGAATGATCTCCAGACGTTCTTGGGGTCCCCATTTCAGATCTCCAATGAATCGGCATATAGTAGCAGCAAAAATGAATAATGGAATCGCCATTCTGACAAGAGTCCGGGTAATATCCTCCCCGGGCCATCCATCCGGCAATGTACGCTCCTCTCGGATGGCAGAAAGTCTTGATTTGAAATAGACCATCAAATCATGTGCAATAACATCTTCTGGGATCTCATGTAGAACTGTATCCTGGTAATCATCGGCATGGACCTGCTTGAAGCCCAAGCGGATTGGTAATTCTGGCCGGCTGGTAATGAAGACGCGCAAGTGAACTGGGCCAGAGCTCTTGATGCTCGGTAGGAGATGCAGAATCGTGCGAATGTCCTGTTCTTCCTCACACTCATCCAGCGCATCGATTATGATGACAAGCAATGGGAGGCCACGATCCCCACGTTGTAGTCGTGATAGTGGGTCTAAGAGAAGGGCATGAAACTGCTCGCGGAGAGACTTTTTGCCTATGGCCGGATCATCCTCAACTGCCTTCGCGACGGGAGGACCTAGGGGAGGGAATTGGCCAACTAACTGTTTCACAATCGTGGTGAAGAATCGGCTGGCATTCCCACGGTCAGCTTCGCCTCGTTTGAAGAAGAAGCTGGCGCCTAGGCGATTTTTTTCTTTCAATAATCGAGCTACGGTCCTGGCAATCGTTGACTTCCCGGTTCCCGCCATTCCATTCAGCCAAAAGATATATTTACTATTGATATCTGCTGACCAAGCCAGTATATCATGCAAGAGCTCCGTTCGAGTTTGTTCAAGACACTCGTCTTCGTGTTGGTCCATATACGAGCCGAACATCGCTTCGTCAACGGTAAGTAGCTTTGCCAGATCGACTTTTTGGTCTATACGGACTGTAACATCGCTATGTAGCAATCGATGTTAGCGATATTATACTATATGAAGGATAGTAGAGAAAACCAACACAAGGTCCAGCTGCAAAGCCGCGAGGAATACACGTTTGTATCGCTCGATACGACTAACGATCTTTTCCACCTCTTTTCTCTCCAAAGGCCACTTGATCGATCGCCAGCCGAGATATCTTATGACTTTGTCTCGTTTCCGATTCTCGTCGTTCTTTTCCTTTGGTCTTCCTGCATCCAGCTTTTCACCCAGCTTTTCTAGTTCCCATTGGCATTCCGCAATGGTGCGACTGAGCACCTGAGTCACATGGAGTTTTTGACCATTCTGTCCATCGAGCAAAGAACGCAATTTCTCCAATACCGTCTGAAAGTCTTCGACGACTTTAACCAGATATTGGATATCCTCCTTCGCATCTTTCGCTTCTCCAATATATCCCCAGCATATCTTGATGAGACTACCAGTAATCTGGATAACGGCAATGACGCTGGATGCGCTCCCTAGCGCCTCCATGTCGAATCTCCACTTATCTCTCTGAACAGGAACAGAACTCTAAGTGGAGTGTTGTTGTCTTTTTTTTTCTCTGTCGTCCCCCGATGTCAACGTGTAAACCGTGGGAATAATGCGGCTGAAAAGCGGGGTTGTGATACTACTACTAAGACGTTGTGGCCATCAGCCTATCATTTGAAGGGAGCCGCTCAAATCACATTTCTCCCACCCTAAGTACATCAATAACTGGTTGTCTTTGAAAGTTGAGCTCGCTAAGCGCTAGGTACTCATGTTATCAGACATAGCTGGTGTCAGCCTTGTAGTAGCTAGGTCCCATAACCGAGCTTTCTTCTGATAGACTCGAATGGAAACTATATACACAAGACCTAGAGAACTGGTCAGTACCTAATGGTAGACTATCGTGTAGCGTATCTAGCAGTGCAATAGAGTAAAGTCCGCTCGAGATATGTTTCATCACTGTAGATCATATATAAAGAAGCAAGGTAAACAAGCACATACGACCATAGGGTGTGGAAAACAGGGCTTCCCGTCCGCTCAGCCGTACTTAAGCCACACGCCGGCCGGTTAGTAGTTGGGTGGGTGACCACCAGCGAATCCCGGCTGTTGTATGTTTTTCTTTTTTTTGCAGTTTTATTTTTTACTTCTTTTCTTTACGTCCTTTGACTATTTCCCCTTACATAAATAACGAGCATCTACAGTATTGTTAATAGAGGACAATATATTCCGTAGAAATCAGCAGAATCCAGTGCGGATAATCCTTCTGTGCGGGGTGGGACTGCATCTGATCGACGTATAGTACTTTTACTAGTTACTACTAAATTTCCTGGGAATTGACTGTTCCCAGAGACAAGCAGAGAGAGCTTGTGCATATGTAGCAGAAACTTAGTTCAAGATCTCTAACTTGTCATATCATATCGATGGGCAGCGCACAGATATTTCTCTGTGCTGTTGTTATCAGAAGAAACGTACATAGTACTTTATACTTTAAGTCAAGTCTGATAAGGAATGCTTTGACGGTCGACATTACGCGGGGTGTGACTCGACTCCAGAGACTCAGATAGAAAATTTGGGTTAGATACTATGTAAAATACAAGTCGATCAGGAGACATGATCTCCTTTGGTTCGAAGCCGGGGCTAACGTGCGATGGGTTATTGCTGTGGCTCCGAATCAGGAACTGGGAGGGGATGTTTTTGCAGAACTGAAATCTAGATAAGGCTGCACTCTTTCTCTGCAGTCTCTGCCTTTCATGGCTAGAGTGTCCGCACCCATGACGAGATCGGCGTTGGTGCATTCGTCACGGATATCCTGCCGCGGTAATAATATCAGTTCTACCGGAGCCATAATGAGCTCGGCTCGGCTCGGTTCGGTTCGGCTCAACTCACGAGCTCAGGTCAAATACAGCCCTGGGGTTTACCCTGACACTAAACCGAATGTAGCTATAAATCGGCTAGAAGAAGGATTTCCTAGTCCTAACTAGGAAAAACCACGTGTTGGGCTCATTGAGCTGGGCTCGCGAGTCGAGCTGAGTTCACTCTCGGCTCGACACGGCTGATTGCTGTGCTTTTTCTTCTTTCATCCATCTCTGTCTTACAATAAAGCCTCGCTTTCCAGTGGCACTAGTACTGTATTCATCGTAAACATACTACTAGAAAGTATACTCAAGAGCACGCGGTGGAAAACAGTAATCTGAAATCTAGCGGGTTACAGAAAACGACTGATGAAAGTGTAGTTACATTCGACGAGGACGAGCAAAGGACCACAAAAGCGAAAGGTATCTAGGAACATCGTCAGACCCCTTTTGCTGGCTGATAACGTCTTTTACTATAACCGAGTCGATTACAGGATCCAGACTTTTCTTCTCATTAGGCTCAAAGCTCACAGTCCGAGGCGCCATTGTTTAATCATCCAAGTGCGCTCATAACGAACTATTTGACCCTCGATCTTTCAGCCCTCGCAAGTCGCCAGTCAGGACCCCATTCTCCGTTTAAATCAGAAAAAGAGGGCTTGAAAACAACAGTCACTCTAGCCAATAACAGAAAGGTATATCTAGCGGTCAAACAGTCAATCACAGGCACGGAGCAATTGCTTTGCCTCCCCAATCGGTTTTGACTCGAGAAGATTATCGCCAGATCGGCCATGCCAAGTATGTAGTGTATTTGGATCGTTTGGCCCTATCACCATTTTGGATGTCTTATCACTTGTGTTTACTGTTTGCAGTTGCTCTACCTCCTTTCATTGATGCATATTGCACTTGACTCAAGAGCACGCATGCCATAGGGGCCATGCTATTTACTTGTCTCTGGATGCTCCGGTCCCAGGACTCTATATTGAAATTGCATCACTTCTGAAAATGCTTTTTCTGCCTCCCGGCATTTTTCATTGTTGTAGACATAGCTCCCGATTCTCAAGAGCAGGTTTGTATGTTTTCTTGAAAATAAGAACGTATAGTGCATGTGGGTAGGTATATCGCCTACACGCCCCTGTGGGTGTGATCATCATTGGGGAATGTCTCCTTTACTTGATCTAGAGCTTTAAAGTTCTTCGTGTCAATGCAAGCTGGAAGGAGACCTGCAATTCCTCAGATTGCGGGTCCACTAGCGAGCATTGCCATCCGGCTACTGGGACTCCGTAGTCTGTATGGTTACTATGGTAGTATTTTTCTCTACGGTGGGGATGGGGGAAGTTTGCTCGTGTGCCTGTTCGCCTTTGAATTCCGGAAGCTTCCCATAACGTGATAGTCTAGGGCCGGGAAACATGTCTCTAACGGCTGCCGCAGGTGGTACGACGGAACCACGGGGAAGCCGCAGTCTCGGTTATAGTTATTTGACAAGTAGTTTAATAATTTATCTGACAGACTGACAGAACCATAATCATTGCCTTTTTGTGGAGTACTCCGGAGACTCCGTGATAATGCTCCCAACTATACTCTAAGCTGGAAAGGACGAAGAGCCCCCATGGACTAGGACAAGTGAATCGTCTAATGGAGAGTAGTTACCTAGGGAAATATTTTCAATACCTCCTCAGCCATTTCATCCTCCGAGAAGAACAAGAAAGCAGGAACGGCTTAGCCATATCTCCTCTATTCTACTATGTTTTCTCCTCGACTAGGGACAAGGGGTATTATTGTATGTATCTCGCCTGCTTCCCCCACGGAAGTGCTTGTTTTCGCTGCTCGCCACTGTTTGGCCCGTATCTATCTATGCCGTGTTATGCCGCGTTATGCCGTGCTGGTAAAAATATGCTGGATTCGGGAAATACTCGGCCGATATCCACGCAGCGGCTAAGGTGTAGCTTAACTTAATACCTAGGTAATAATGTGCGTCTCCTCTAGAAGTTAACTAGCATAACCAACTTTTTTCCTCTCTGAAGCTCGGCATATTTCTGCAAGCTGGCTTGCAACAAACTACTACCGCCCTGCCAGGCTAGGCTGATCTGCTCTAGTCTTCATGCCAATAATAATCCCAATTATTATTAACTTTTCATGGTTCGAATCATAGACCACTCCGTAGTCTAATATAGACTAGTTGATATCTTGCTGGCTGATTTCTTCAGGGGCCTGGACTCCTCTGCAACCCTCAACGACCGCGCTAATTGATGGCGGAGACGCGGACGGAGCGCCGGCTCCTCTAACAAGCCACGTTTTGTTTGACACGGCCGTCACTACTAACGATGTATAACTATGCACGCCCCACGTTTAACCCGGCAGGGAATTGCAAAGTGCATCACAGGACCACAACCTGCCCCTTAAAACTCGCCTAATAGGAAAGGTTTAGACGGTTGTACTCTATGCCGCAAAAACTTTTTCGGATGCTTAGATTTGGCTATACAGTATCCATAACGGCATTTTTAAACTTTAGGACCGTTGCTGCTTACCGTGCGAGGCGTCTCATCTTCAGACAGACAAAGGGGCGTCTAAAAATGAGTGGAGAATAGATACTTCTACATAATAATGTCTATTGACCCAGTTGCTGCTTCCAGCCCTGTCATGGCCTTTCTCTCTCTCTTCTTTCTTTCTTTCTTCTGCTTTTTTTTTTCGGCTAGTTGGATATGACTTCTGTCTGATATAGCCGCTACTTAACCAATTGCCACCAAGATGGCCGAAACTTCAGCTAATGTCAACTTGAACCTCATCCCGGCGATGGAAGCGCCGCCGGGAGAGGTCAGCAATCTCAAGGATCCGGCGAATATGAACCGGTTCATGTACCTCACCGCCGGGGTCTGCCTGAGCTGCTCGACATTGGCAGTCATATTTCGCTTATTTGTCAAGGCTCGAATCATAAGAGCCATTCAGCTTGAAGAGTTCATTCTATCCTTCTCGCTGGCGGGACTTATTTCGTTAACGGGAGTCATGATTCAATCAACGCTTATGGGGCAAGGAGTACACCAATGGAACGTGTCAGCGGCACATGCGCAGAAAATCGTCGAGGTGGGTACTGCCCAAAAACTGGACACATACAGTTATATATTGATGATTTAGTATGCAAATATCATCGAAATCGTCTATTGCCCTGCTATCCTGGGCGCTAAAGTCGCCATGCTCCTCCAAATAAAGCGCATCTTCGTTGTCGGCAAGAAAGGGGCACTATTTTGGCTGCACGAAATAATCCTATGGCTCAACGTTCCTACGTATACTGGCCTTATGTTTAGTTTCATCTTCAGCTGCGTTCCGCGTGAGAAGATTTGGGACTCATCTGTGCCGGGCCATTGTGTCTCTGTGTCTACTTCCCTTATTGCGACTTCCGTGTTGAATGTCCTATCCGATGTGACTATGCTATTCCTCCCGGTAGCTGTGATTATGCAATTACATCTACCCACACGGAGTAAAATAATCCTGAGCGCTATATTCGGGACAGGTGTTTTGTATGGATCGGCCCATTTCGATATTCATGATTGGATCAACTTTTCTGACGGTTATAGGACCATTATCGCGAGTGTTATCCGCTTGATATATACCGTCCGACTTATTCGAACCGAAGACTTCACCCGGGCAATCATGCCGGTGGGACTATGGGCGTAAGTGATCTCTCATATCTCTAGAAAGCACATGTCACTGATATAGCCCACAGCATCGCCGAAGTTACGTCTGTCACCCTTGCCGGTGCCATTCCCCTACTACCTGGCTTCGTCAAATTCGTCCGAAACGGTAACGACTCTTCTGGCACGCGATCAGGTTCCCGCTGGGCCTCCAACTACGGGACCGGCTCCAGGGGACAACCCCACTATCCCATGGATAGCGAGACGGAGACGATAATTAATGCTGACTCGCTGAAAGACAATGCGGTTCCATTAGGCATTATGAAGACAGTGCAGGTCCAAGCTGTTTATGATCGGTCATAGGGTCATTTATTCCTTTTTGACTCTTTTTTTTTTTAGGTTGTCTCGGTTTTTGAGCAGGCACTCTTTGTTTTTTTTATTTCTAGATAATAGCAGATACCCCATGGGAGGGTTGTGTCCCGGTTCTTCGTTACTCTAATAGCAATACGCGTCTCAAATTTATGGATTCTAAACGCATGTCACTCCTTACTGCTGGGACGATTGTATGTACATAGTTCTATTGATATCCATCTCAACATGTCCAGCCATCTAAGTGATTTCCCCTTTTCTCCCCAGCTTGGGCCTGGGACCAAAAAAATGTATATATAGCTCTATCATTAATAAAAATAACAACATACAACAGCCGGGATTCGCTGGTGGTCACCCACCCAACTACTAACCGGCCGGCGTGTGGCTTAAGTACGGCTGAGCGGACGGGAAGCCCTGTTTTCCACACCCTATGGTCGTATGTGCTTGTTCTCTATGAGCATTGCATTATAAGATCTGTGAGGATGAAATATAATTCGAGCGGACTGTATGTTGTAACTACAATTTAACTTACCAGTTCTCTTGGTCTTGAGTATGCTTATGATTTCCATTCGATTCCACCATGTATAGAAAGCGATTTGAAGCAGAGTCTAGATAGTGGGAATGCATTCTTGTGTGTGCGGGGTAGGACTGCATCTGATCGACGTACGTACTTTTACTAGTTACTAAATTTCATGGGAATTGAATTGTTCCCAGAGACTCAGATAGCGAATTTCGGTCAGTATGTATCTGACGGGGGAAAATCCAAGTCGATCAGGAAACATCATCTCCTTTATTTCGAAGCCGGGGGCTAACGTGCGATGGGTTATTATTGATTGCTGTGGCTCCGAATGAGGAACTGGGAGCCAGGGGAAAGTTTTTCGCAGAATTGAAATCCGGGCTGCATCTGCATTGGCCTGTTTCCTGCTGAACGTTTTTACTAGTTAATATTATTGGGCGTCAGGCGGCCGGGTTTGTTTACCGTTATAGCATGTAATATGGAACCGTGAGAATTTAGGCCGTCCACTATTCCTGAGTAGAAGCTGCTGCTGTACTTTGTAGATGAGTTTCTCGAGCATGAGGGGCGGTAACAGTTTCGAGTCATGTTCCGCTCCGCTTGCAAGGTATTTAAATGCGGGGCAATTGTCCCATGTCACCGGGGGTTGTTGACTGGTTCAATAATACCGAGTGCGCTTGAGACCACATCCTGCCGGCTGCTTGTTGTTCTAGATGTTACTGTGGATAGAGAGATAAGAAAGCCAGCTCACTAACGACGACCTGCTGATATGTCGAATTTTTTCGATGTCTCTTCCAGATGGGCATGGACGAGCGAGAAAAGTAGGAAAATGTTACGTACGCAGCGACTAGAGGATTGCTCAACCCCGCCGCGAGCAAGAGAGTAGGAGAGCAAGAGAGCAAAGCAGGAGCAAAACAACCAAGTCCCGCGGCTCGGGTGGAGTTGATTTATCGTGCACCGCGCCAGGTCGAGAGCCGCACGGCCAGTCTAGCGAACACTAGCTCTAGAAATACTAGTCTCGTTCCCAGCGACCGTGTCTGGTGACGTACGATTTCTGATCTTTTTCTTTTCTTTTCTGGCGGTGAGATCTGATCTGGAGACAAACTGGGCTGCATTTTGGAGCAGCAGTACCAGCTCAATTGACCGTGAAGGATTGCAGGAATAGTCCTCCGTACGATACATACAATATCCTCGTACTGTGGTAGAGTCTTACTACTCGGATCCATGCAGCCATTGCTAGTTTCTCCGGAGTCGGCAGTCCACAGTCGACAATATCCACCCCTTTGGGACCATATCTCGTATTAAATATTACTAGGTACCTAGTTAATGGTATGTAGATGAACTGTGCGCTTGGAGAAACGCCAGCCACCACAAGGACTGAATTGCGGTGTCGTACTCCGTACGCAGTAATAATAATATTAATATTCCTATCTGACATCAGTATTATTGTATTATTATTATTGTGCTGCCCGGCTTTGTGTTCCCAGTTTGCCACAAACGGAAAGTCGGACCTTCGTCGCACGTTGGCGCCGCCACTTCCGCCGCGGGCTAAAGCAGAATGCTTGGCGGCCATATGCAGTTTATCTTTTGTTGTTGAAACTACCAAGTCTTTCTTTCTTTCTTCCCTGTCCGCCTTCGATGAAGACGAATGGTGATGACATCGAGGGTTGTGGCGATGTTGCGTAGAGTGATTAATTCTAATTGATTGATTAATTAATTGCAGTTTCCTCTGTAAGTACCTGTAATATATCACCGACCGTATTGAAACAGTGAAACAGAAGATCAAAATCCCTCACACCATCATATCGCCCTCGCAATCTTTCCAGCCTATCGAACTGCTCCACCTGCGCTGCTTCCTGGTTCCTGTTGTCCCCACCGTGCAATCACAGCCAATGGTGCCCCGCCGCTATCGATCGGCTTGCCATCTGCCCTGGGACCGCGAGGAGAGTACTATATCCCCCCTCGGGTCCCTCCTCGTCGGCTCTACACAACGGCTCTCCCCGTCAAGCCTGCCCCCGGTGCTGAACACGTCCTCTTGTTCCCTTTTTTTATCACTCAATCACTTTGCGGCATCAGGGAAAAGGCCCTGAGAGGGTCAGAGAAAAGCAAAGAACCAAGAAAACCAAGTGTACGCGGGAAAGAAAGTAACAGAAGAGAAGAGAAGAGAAGAAAAAGATTTTCCACAGAACACCAATCTCATATCTTCAAAGAGGGAGACTGGCCTGTTCCTGTGACGCTGGGAGGATTGCCGTAAGAAACATAATTGGTTCAAAAGAAGATGGTATTAACACGTCAGGCAAGACCAACCCCGTCCGACGACAGCTTCCCAACCATCCAGCTATTCCTCCTAGGTAGGTTGACTCGATGCCCCAGTAGAATAATTGAAGACAGCGGTAGACCGCAGGTGCTGACGGATGCGACCACCAGCAATATGTCGTGTCGCGGAGCCGATAGCCTTGACCTCCATCTTCCCGTACTCATGGGTGATGGTCAAGGACTTCCACATGGGTGATCCCAGTGATGCCTCCTTTTACGCCGGAATCCTCGTCGCCGCCTTCTCTGCAGCAGAAGCCCTCACGGGCATGTTCTGGGGTGGCCTCTCCGATCGAGTCGGTCGAAAGCCCGTCTTACTGTTCGGCTGCGTCGGCACGATGATCTCTCTCCTGGTCGTTGGATTCTCGAAGAACTTCGCGATGGCCCTGACCGGAAGGATTGTCGGAGGCCTCCTCAATGGCAATATTGGTGTCATCCAGACCATGGTGGGCGAACTGGTCAAGCGACCGGAGCACGAGCGTAAGTGGTGCAGACATATTCATTTATTTCATAGGCGTCATTGAAATGCTAACCTCTTGCTAGCTCGAGCCTACGCCGTGATGCCGTTTGTCTGGTCAATAGGAACAATCATTGGGCCTGGTAGGTTCAGGATGTCTACGATATCCACGCGAGAAATACTTTGCTGACTCGAGATTGACAGCGATTGGAGGTCTGCTGGCCAAACCCGCTGAAGGTTTCCCCTCTGTCTTCTCCCCGGATGGCTTGTTCGGAGAGTTCCCTTTCCTACTCCCCAACCTGGTCTGTTCTGTTCTCCTTCTGCTCAGTATCATAGGAGGCCTTTTGTTCCTGCAAGAAACTCACCCGGACATGCAGCCTTGGAGCATTCCTGAAGAGTTAGACAAATCCACCGCCGAAACGCCCTTGCTACCTCCCTATGGGGCGACTGCAAATGCGAGCGCCGACCTGCGAGCGGAGTCGTACGGAACATTCAACCAGGTCGATATGCACGAGGATGAGCAGTGGCAGGTTCGGGCTGATGGCCCGATGACCCCCACCTCTCCTTCGCCCAAGGTCAAGGTCTTTTCCGGACGAGTCGCCATGCTCGTGGTCGCCCTGGGTATCTTCACGTACCACTCCATGACCTATGACCACCTCCTCCCGATTTTCCTCCAGGACGAAAATCCTCTCAACGTGTCCGCTATCAGCCGCTCTTTTCTCAGCATTCCCGGTGGCGTTGGCCTTTCTACACGGACTGTCGGGCTCATCATGTCCGTCGACGGTGTAATTGCGCTCGTGATCCAGAGTCTGGTCTTCCCTCCGCTGGCGGAGCGACTAGGTGTGTGGAAAACGTTTGTTTTCGTTACCGTCATGCACCCGATCGCCTACTTTATCGTCCCGTTCCTCGTTTTCCTTCCGCAGGACCTTCTCTTCCCTGGCATCTATACCTGCCTAATCATTCGCAACTTCCTGTCCATTATCGCTTATCCGCTGTTGTTGATCCTTATCAAACAAGCGAGCCCTTCTCCCTCTGTTCTCGGTCGGATCAATGGGCTGGCGGCATCGGCCGGGGCGGCTTGTCGCATGATCGCACCTCCGATTGCTGGTTTCCTCTACAGTGCTGGTACTGAGATAGGTCTCACTGCCATTGCTTGGTGGGCAAGCTCGCTGGTCGCTCTGATCGGTGCGTTCCAGCTCTGGTTCATCGAGCGGAAGAAGCATGTCACAGTTACGGTGACCGCCGCAACCCCCTGCCTGGCTGCAGCCACTCGCTCTTCCGTTGAGGCCCAGTCTCAGAAGGATATTGTTCACATTATGGTCTCAGAGCGCGTCAGGAGTGATTCGGAGGCTTCTTCGACCAACGAAGTCTAAGTCCTTAACTTAAGACAGTGCCAAGAATCTTGCTCACGAGCTCTACCGCTGGGACTGCGTGTGAAAAACCTTGTGACATAACTTTTTCCCTGCGCGTCTCTTCATTTCTTGTTCTGCTGATGTGATGACTTTCGGCCTTTTATGTGAATGATGACGGGATATGACAAAAAAAGGTCTTCGGCGTTGGCACTTGTTAATATGTTTCGGCCTTGAACGATCTGGCGCGTCACCCGCTTGGCACTCAGGTTCATTCATAAGGCATTTACAGGTGTTGAGTCTAGCGAGTTTTGCAAATGTGTTTACTTTTCTATTATTATTAGCGGATGGCGTTGTCGGAGCGGAAAATAGGCTACGTTCTGTCTCTTGTTATTATTCTAGGTACATTTAGAGGTTAATACAAAAATTTGAATGGGTCATGGCCAGGTACTTATACAACAGAAATCAAGTAAGGAGACAATGTCCAGCATAGAAAACTAGAATAGCCACTTGAGCCAATCATATGCATAGATTATATGAATCGATACCGGGCTAATCGGAAGTGACGCAACGATCCTATCGAAAACCGTAGAAGCAGTATTATTGTGTTCTACCGGGGACAATCTCGGATTGCTTGAGGAGTGAACATCATCACTCGCTATCCGGGCGTTTGAAACGCTCAAACCACAAGCAGGAATACCAACTGTGCACGGCCTTCTTGTTTGGATTCTAATGACGCAAAAGGCAGAGAAATTCAGGGGACAAATCATTTGGCCCTTGAATAAGAATATCATTAAATACATATGGACGAGATTGGGCGCTGCTTGGAGTCGCAGAGTCGCAGGCGGAAATTTCCTGAAGTGTCAGATCCGGAACGGGCGGAGATTACGTGAGACGGCTTACCCTGTTATCTGCAACCCACCTAGATAGAACTACTGCTTTTTAGGCAGACGTATTGCCGGCTCTCTTCCACTTACGCGAAACACATCATTGAATCATGCACAAACGCCGTATGCTATTAGACTCGAGGTGATAGCCACGGAAGACCGTGCCATCTGACCGTTTGCTATCTACTTTCTGATCATTACTCACTCACTCGATTGGACAACAGCATTTTCAACCTCGAGCAAGAATCATGGTTTCATGGAAGCGGAAGAACAAGAATCGCCGTCGCGGAGATCAAGCAGTGGACAACACTGAGATTGTTTCAGAAACTGTCGTCCCTGAGAGTCAACCGATTGTCAATCCGCCTCTGTCCATCGCATGCGACTTGCGGGATGCGGCGCAGACATCATTTCCAGTCAGTGAGGTCGAACCAACAGGAGACTCGAAGGAAATCGTTCCACACAACCGGGATGCGAGACAGGAAGATCCCCGGATCAAGGCGAAACGGGATGCAGAATTTGGACCCCTCTGCGACCCGTCGCATCTCTACGTGAGCCAACACCCCGGAGGGGAAATCCCAGATCAGATCATCGACGAACCGCCCTATTTCTTTCTTCTGACGACCTATATCACTTTTCTCGTTCTCATTGGGCTGGGTCACTTTAGAGATTTCGTTGGACGATGCTTCCCTTCGCAGTCCAACAGACACTTGAGACATCACGATGGATATGCCCCGCTATACAGCGATTTTGACAGCTTCTACACTCGACGGCTCAAACTGAGGATCAACGATTGCTTCCAGCGGCCCACAACTGGAGTCCCCGGCAGGAATATTACGCTGCTGGACCGCACCACGAAGGATAACCTTCACTTCCAATTGACGGGCACGACGACTGATACCCTGAATCTGAGCTCATACAACTATCTAGGTTTTGCGCAATCCGAAGGACCGTGTTCGGACAGCGCGGCAGAATCGATCAGACAATGTGGCATCAGTATGTCAGGGTCCGTCGGGGATGCGGCGACGTCGCAGCTGCTGGTCGACGTCGAGAAACAAATCGCTCGATTCGTCGGTAAAGAAGACGCCATTGTCTTCTCCATGGGTTTTGTTACCAACGCTACTATGTTTCCCGCGATCATGGAAAGAGGGTGTCTGATCCTGTCAGATGAGTTCAACCATGCGTCGATTCGATTTGGCGCTCGTCTATCTGGCGCCAGCATTCAGGCCTTTGCGCACAATAACATGGCCGATCTGGAAAGGCGGTTGAGGGAAGCCATCTCGCAGGGGCAGCCTCGAACTCACAGGCCGTGGAAAAAGATCTTGGTTACGGTGGAAGGCCTGTATTCTATGGAAGGGACCATGGTCAACCTTCCTAGAATTATAGAACTCAAAAAGCGGTACAAGTTTCAGCTGTACATCGACGAGGCTCATTCTATTGGGGCTGTTGGTGCCTCCGGGCGCGGCGTTTGTGATTACTTCAAGGTTGATCCTGCGGACGTCGACATCCTCATGGGGACATTTACGAAGTCATTTGGCGCCAACGGCGGCTACGTCGCTGCTGACCGGGCCGTTATCAGGAAGCTGCGACAGACAAATGCAGGCCAACTCTTCGGAGAGGCCCCTTCGCCTCCTGTACTAGCGCAGATTCTGAGCTCTCTCAGACTTATCGCGGACGAAGATCCCGACCATCCGGGAGAAGGAAAAGAGAGGCTGCAACGATTGGCTTTCAATTCCCGATATCTACGGCTAGGGCTCAAGCGACTCGGGTTTATCGTGTACGGGCATGACGATTCACCCATCATTCCCTTGATGCTGTACAACCCTGCAAAGATGCCAGCTTTCTCGCGTGAGATGCTTCGGCGCAAGATCTCTGTCGTAGTTGTCACCTACCCAGCGACGCCTCTTGAGTTGTCCCGCGTGAGGTTCTGCGTTTCTGCTGCTCACAACAAAGATGATCTCGATCGGCTACTGCAGGCTTGCGATGAGATTGGAGATATTTTGCAGCTCAAGTTCTCTACCGGCATCGCAGGTGGTCTAAGACAACCGCTTCCTGCAGGTATCAGTTCAGCCAAAAAGGCCATCAAGCCTCCTCGCTGGCCGCTGGAGGAGGTCATTCAGAAAGGCGCTCACGACGCAAAGTTGCCTTTGTATTGAGATCTGGGCGGTAGGCTGTCCCTTTGTGGTGGCCACACCGCAGATGATGTTTGGACACGACATTGATAGATGCTTGTACCACCTACTTGTACATGCTAATAGTAGTAATCATAATCAAAATAATAATGTCTACAGAATCAATTATTCGTCCGGTAGGCGGTGAGCTCTCGAGTTAATTTCTGCCACTACACGCCGCCTTTTTCATCTTGTCCTATTCCATATCTGGCTTAGCTTTGTTTACTCCACTTCGGGCATCCCAGCAACGATCTCAAAATAAACCAACAGCGCAATATCATCATCTCACAAGCAGCGCCGGTGTCACTGTGCGCAGAGATTGCATCCCTGTATACGCCTTTGCAGTCCCATTGATGCATCCGCAGATACAGTCTGTGGACACTTCGAATACACTAGTTACCGCACAACCTGGAAAAACTACGGTGCTAGCCCCCCCTCCGTTCAGAACGGCTGCTCAATCATAAAAAGAGAGAAAAGACAATGTCACCGCTCTCACCTCTTTCTCCTCTCGGATCCTCGAATAATAATTCGAGGATACATTCGCCGATTGCGCCTATACCTCCCCCTCATATCGTGATGGACGCCTTCCGTTCCGAATCTGGGGACGATTACAAAGAAAACATGCCACCGGCAATGTCGAGTCCTACGAAGAAGACGATGATGATGTCTGAGACGAATTATGATTATGAGCGAGAGGAAGAGAAAGCTGCTCCTGAGATCAACTACTCGGAAGCAGATGCGGAGTCAGCGGCTTCTCCACAACAGCCTCCTAGTTCGCCTTTTAGGTTCGATGCTCGCGATGATACGGTGGATATGGGGATGTTGAGACAGCGCGAGGTGTCGCCTGCTGGTTCTGAGGGACTTGTGGGCCCAAGTCCGAGGAAGAGGTCGCATTCTGATCTCCACGTTGAGGAGGATGCGGAAGAAGAGCGGCGTCGTAGTCAGGGTCCTGCGGTCGTCGTGGAAGACAAAGAAGAGGACAAAGAACAGGAGGTGGTTGAAGAAGAGGCGAATGCTGAGATTGATTTTGATGATGAGGGAAGCGTCATTCATCACAGGAGCTTCAGAGAAAGCGGCAGACGAGACGTTGCCGATAGCATGATGGAGGATAAACGCAATGAAGGCATGAGCACCGTCTACCAGGAGCGTGTTCCTGAGCACGAACACACTACTTCTCGGAACAGCTCTGAGGATGAAAATCACGAGTTTCATGATACGATGGATGACAGTTGCTTCAGTACCTTTTCAGCTGTGCCTAATGTCGATATGACGATGTTCGCGAAGCTTAGAGGAGAGTCGCCAACGAAGACGATGCGCGATACACCGAGTGCTGCGGCTCAGCTTCGCAGCTCGCCGTACAAAGCTGTTCCTTCAACACCACGTACTGACAAGCGGGATGGTGGAAGAGGCCCTCTGCTGTTCGAGTCGACTACGCCAGCGGGCTCCCCTACACCGCGCAAGAGAGGTTTGGGCAATGCGGCTGAGACGCCTAATCTTCTTGACTTTACGGACAGGATGGAGCTTCTGACGAAGAGCTCCAAGCGGTATGACCCAGAGAGTAACCGTTACTCGCCTCGACGGTCGCCTATGAGACGGACCCGGGAGTCCATCCGATCCCCTGGGAAATATGCGCTCCTTGACTTTGAAATCCCACCAGCTCCTACGCCACGGTCGATACCCACTGTCACGCCTCGTGAACTTGAGACCTTGAAGTCTGGGTATCTGTCCGAGATCTCTTCGCTTAAGGCTACGTTGAGCGGAAGGGAGGCAGAGGTGGCAAGCCTGAAACAAGCTATTGCTGATGCTGAGAGACGTGTTGGTGAGGCTCTGGAAGAGGTTATGAATGAAGCTGCCCGCAAAGAAGCGCTGGAGGTTGAACAGGCCGAATGGGAGCGGAGAGGCAAGGAAATGGAGAGTGTGCTACGAAGTGTCAGGGATGAGATCGTCCAAGGTGAACTAGAGCGAGAACGGTTGACCAAGAAGGTCGAGGAGGCCGAAAGATGCAAAGAGCAGCTAGAAGGAAGAATTGTCGAACTGGAAAGTCAGCTCACTGCTGCCAGGAAGTCCACCGCTACCGAGGCTGGCCCAGCCAGCAGTGACTCGGGCGACAAGAAGACTCCTGATGAAGTGGCAAAGGAAGTACAGGATGCCGTGGAGAGAGTTGCTCGCGAACTCCACACATTGTACAAGGGAAAGCACGAAACAAAGGTAGCGGCGCTGAAGAAGAGCTACGAGGCCCGCTGGGAGAAGCGCGTCCGGGAGGCGGAGAATAAATGGAGGCAAGCAATGGAAGAAAACGAGCGTCTCAAGACAGAGCGGGATACGACAATGTCCGGGTCTGTCAACCCCAATGCCAGCATGATGATGCGCGAAAATGAAGAGCACGAGGCTGAGAAGCATGTTCTGGAGGCGCAGATCAAGGGTCTGCAGCAGGAAATGCGTGCCTTGAAGAGTGATAACGAAAAACTGCATTCAGACCTCAAGATGGAGAGAGCAGAGAAGGGAGAGCTTGTTGCGGTAGTTGATGAGTGGCTTGCTATGCAGCAGCAGCAGCAACAGCAGGAGCAGAGACTATCTGAGGCTCCCAGTTCGCGACAAAGTTCCCTAGAAGCTCCCAGTAAACCGGCGAATCCTGAGCCCGAGAACTTCAAACGAAGCATCAGCCGCAGCGGTGCGAGTGGCATCAGACCGCCCTCCACCAGCTCTGCTGGCTCTGCTCCTGGGGAGAGAAAGTTGGGACGTTTCGGTGCACCGGCCAGCGGCCATTCCAGGGGCAACAGCGGTAGCGGGAAATCCGGCATCGCTGCTCCCACCCCTGGCCGCAGCGGCATCATGAACTCAATCGAGCGTATGGGCCGTGGCATCTAGACCACTCTCCTCCACAAGCCATGACTGAACGATCCGATTTTTCTATTTGTTTACTTCGTGCACATAATCCTTTTTTCGGGCATGGTGTTTTTAGTGTCGCTTCAGGCACGGTTGTCGTTGTTTGTCAGGGTATATCTATCTATCTATCTTTCCTTTTTGTTCTGGATAGGAGTGTTGGTCTGGTATGTGATACTGTACGTAATAATGAAGTCCTCACAGAAAAATGACCCACGTCCTCGTCTTGTGCTTGACAACCTTGAATCGGGGAAGACTTATCATTATCAAATTCCAGGCGTTAATGGCACTACCACCTCCGATATTTTGAGCTTCGCAACGGCACAAAAGGCCGGGGCTGCATCTGACGGAGATAGGCCAGTATGTTAACTTCTGGAACCTGATAGCGTACGACTATTCTGGAAGTTGGGACCATGTCGCTGGCCATGACGCCAACGTCCTCCCGTCAAATATAAACTTCACCGGTACACCACTTAATACCTACAGCCCAGGCCATTGAATACCACACCAGCAAAGGCGTAGATTTAACAAGGGTTTTTTCTTACGTATGCCCCTCTATCACTGGTCATCCTTGGGCACCAACGGACCTGGCTCAAGCTATATTGCTAACAGAGAGAAACACGAGAACGAAGAGGTTCCAAAAATGCGAGTACCTAGCTGTCGAGTTGATAACTATCTGAAACTATGGAGAAGGATAGAGAACTTGGAACGTGGGCCGCGGATTCTTATAGTTGTCAGAAGTGGTCCTCTAGACCGCGCGAGCCTCGGCTATGTCTGACCTCATCGACCATTTTGTCCAAAACTGTCAACTCTTTGTCTATTTAGGCTGCTCGAGGGCTTTAATCTGTTCCATATAGTATTCCTTTTTCGTCGCCAGCTAATACATAGCTGCTTTTGCCAAATTGCCATTTCGCATTAACGATCTAACTCATCCTACTTAATCGCTGCATGTGTGCCTGTACTGTGTATCAGGGACGAATAACTACCATGAATTGAGCGTCTGAATATCCCGCGACTTCACCGAGTGGCCTGTGTAATTTATATGTTTCCCTGTTTTGGTCGGAAAAGCATAGACAACCCAACCTGTGTGTTCTCCAACATCTTGAACGAAGGAATAACTACAAAGTTATCAGATTTGGTCAACACCAAAAGACCAGGCTGAAATAAGTGGGCCAGTGTGTCTGATTTCTCCCCTCAGTTGCGCTTTTTGCGTGTTGTTCGGCTTCTTGTTGCACTCTCTATGCCGCATTTCTCGTCGCAACTAAGAAATAAGGAAGTTACCTAGTTATGTTGTGAGCTGTAAGTAAATTTAACTACTCACCACTGATACCATCTATGGCTAGTGCTATTAATTAACTCTCGGTGTGCTGGAAGGACGATGTGGTATGGTAAGATCAAAATAAAGCTCAATTTTGACTGGTAGTTGATAGGTCACTGGCAATGTTGAGTCAACTATCCCACTATAACTAATACTAATCAAGCAGTCAAGATACCAAATCCTATCCACATCACTACTCTCAACAGTAGTGAGTATTACGATTTAAGTACTAACTAACTAGCACAATACGATTTAACCAGTCGAGTCCACTAAGTAACTAGTTAACTAACCTTCGGATTCGAGAACCCACTCAACTTCCTCTGCGACGTTATAATCGAATCGTTCCCGTGATGCTCGTTTGCTATTTGCGAATAGACCTATAGTAAAAAATTACGTTCTGTTAACAGCTCACGAATGTTCTTGACGAAAGGAAAGCAAATCAAAACTGAAGTTTTGATGGGGGCTCACCAGTAACCCAGATAGCAAAATACATAATAAACTCCTCTAGGAGACTCATCTGGCGTCTTCGACTTTGCGTTCTCTTCGCTTCTTGCAGAATATTTTTGATACGAGGAAGTCGTAGATCCATATGCTTCTTGGCTGCGAGTTTGATGGCTTCTTTCTCCGTTGTGATTTGCGTGGGTAGAGGATCACGATATGCTTTTCGGAGATAATGGGATAGGAATAGAGAGAAGGATTCCACGTCCTCGAGAGCCTGGGAGGCTCCCTGGCCTGAATTCGGGGGTAGGGCGTGCGCGGCGTCGCCGAGGAGGATGACGCCGTCGCGTTCCCAGGTGGGGAGTTCGGGGGTCGTCCAGACGGGATACATGCTTTCGACGGTGACTGATTCGATGATTTTTTGGATGACGGGGTCGTGCCAGTTGTGGTGGCGTTGGCGGAGTTGGTGGGAGATATCGTCCTTGTTGATGGTTTTGGGATCCGGAGAGGTTGGGATGGAGTAGGTTGACCACCACATTACGGTGTTGCCTGGTTCGGGGACGTGGGATGGAGAGTCGCGGTTTGGGTCGTCTGGTGAGCTGGAGGAGAATGCGTAGCCGAAGAAGCCGTTTCCGCCGAGAGTGAATGTCATGGTGCCTGGTTCGACGTGGGTTTTGATATCTGGTGAGACGGGGACGAAGCCGCCGACGCCGACGAAGCCTCTGCGAGAGGGGATTAGTTTTGGACGAGCAGATTGCATGCATGCATGTATGTATGTATGTATGTATGTATGTACATGTTGGAGTAGAGAGGGGGGAAACATACTCGTATTGAGGAGGATAAGGGTCGCCAGTGTTTTCTTGAAATAAGGCATTTTTCGCTGTGCTTTTCAAGCCATCCGCTCCTATGACCAGGTCTGCCTCGATAGGGGGAGAACCATCTGCGAATCTGACAATGTTCCTGCCGTCTGCATTCGCGACGACTTCAGATACTCTCTTGTTGAAGATGATATCATCCGGGATGCGATCTCGAAGACATCTCCAGAGCGCATGACGACTCATCGACACCGTGTTCATCACGGGCTCTCTGCTTCCCGCAGCAGAGCCCCGGAACAGCTCCCAGCCATACGAGCTCTGCATCTTGAAATGCGAGACTGGATATCCCGCTCGGACGACATCTCTGACGAGACTCTCGTCCAGACGAGCGAGAACACCGAGTCCATTTGGACAGACGCCCAGGCCTCCGCCCACGATCAGGGTCGACGAATGCGTCTCGCCATGGGCAGGACGCTCCCTGAACGTGGTGTCTTTGGCAGTATCGTACGCTTCATAGATGGTGTAGGTGTGATCTTCAGCCGGTGGAGCCGGTCTGGGTAAATGCTTCCTCAATGCTATATAGGCACCGCAGCCACTGATCCCTGCGCCGATGATTACGATTTTCATGCTGCGTGCTTTAGATAGCTTATGCGCAGAAAGGCCGACTTTAGACCTGAAGATGGATGGATGTGAATGTGAATGTTGAGTTTAGAAGTGATCCAGTGTCTATGAATATAATTAGTTACATGATCAGTAATAATACATAGCTGGATCTATTCTGTTGCGACGTCCAGTACATACATACCCTACGGTCAAGACATGTCAGACGTGACGTTGAACCCCTGTCGCATGGACCCCGCTGCTAATCAGACCGGTAGTATAGCAACACAGCTCCAACTGAAGAAGCGTCGAGAATTAGACTAGTAGATTAGAAGCATCAATTCGACAAGCAAGGTCTGACAAGGGGATTTTGTTCTTCTGAATCTTTGTTTGAGATGTAAGAGGAAGGCAGCAGTTTATATCATGTGGTCCGTGCGGCAGTAGCCTGCAGTGCCAGCGGCCAATGAGAGACGTCGAAGTATTGGTTGAGATGAGGATATTGATATTGATGATTACACAGATATATACCTAGTGGAATGCACGGTCGATTTAGAAACTCATTTACTCGATAATCATAACTATCCCAGCATGGAAATAACACCAGATTTGGGACAGTGCAGCTCATGCAACATGCGACAAGATGGATAAGCATAGTCTTCGCAAATAAGAGAATATCCGACAAAATATACAGCTATAAAGCGGTCCTTATATTGTTTAAGAACCGGTAATCATTGAAATGATGTTCCATAGGCCCTCGTAGCTAGTTGCGATCTTCCCGCATTTGTTCCTGCTCACAAATATCTACAACGCATAGTGAATTCGATCCTGCAGGATGTCTTGCAATACGATGTTTTTTTGTTCATCTCACTCTAGGCTACATCGCACTGATGTATGAGATACTACTACACGGCTTTTACTCGACAAGATCGATGGAACAACCCCTGCGATTGCAACAGATATTTAACCTTATTCAACCATTATTTACAATCAAATCATCCACGGAAAGTGAAGTTTTCGTCATGATACATTATTCTATGAACATCTCCCTCTAGTATACATCTAATTATATCATTGCGATCAGGCGAAGAACGTGTCCAAACTTTCAGCAACCGATCCCAGATAGGAACAAGTAATAAAACCCTTAACTACATCATCCAAAAGATCCGCTCAGATGAAATAAAATATTATCCTCTTCTATATGTTACACAATGAAACATGATCGGAAAGCGCTACCTGAGCTATACCGCTTCACAATCTCAATCGCAGCGTTCCGCGTCGGCTACTGTTCTGGCTTGATTCTAGACGAGTTCAGCTACGCAGAGGACGATTACATAGACCAACTAACGATATCAAGCGTTTGACAGTCTACTGGTGCGGAAAATTAAACTAACTAACTGAAGGAGCTACCGCAGTCTATAGCTAATATCGATGTCCATGGGCCCGGGACGCTGAAGATACATTTCCTGCATCCAAGTTTGAGAAGGCGATTTAGTTGCTTTTTGCATATATGTGAATTCACTTTGGGGTTTGAAATGCATTTATTCGAGTTCAACCTTCTGGAGTATCCCGCAAAAAGGATCGCCTCCTATTATTCTAAATTACTTCTGAGAGCCGTCAGTTATATTTAATTATGTGATACCATCTCACAAACAAGGTCAGTAAGCTTCATCTAAGCGACGAAAATCTCCCTGAACTTCATCATAAGAGAAGAAAGGCACATGAAGCTTCCCGCATATTATAGTATAGTATAGTTTACAATGTTTCTTCCAGGGTATTACAAAATGAGGTTTCCATATCAAAAATAAAATGTGCCATAAACTACTGCTGCAGTTATGTTATAAGGGAGTAGTATAGGGCAAGTCTAGCGCTTAATCACCTATTCCGTAGAAATTATAACTTGCTAGCGAATGCAATAATATTAACTTCTAAGCAAAAACAGCATTCAGTTTATTGTATTATTAACTGTATATCCAAAGCTAACGACATCGACTATAATATAGCACACTGCTACTATCCCCAACACGTACGTTGGCGCAACAGCACTTTGGCTTCGTCACTAGCAGAGATTCGACCCTCTCTTACGAGTCATAAAAAAGTTTTTAAATAAATAAACCAAGTTTATTTCCATAAAGTTATCTCTGGGGTATTACACATACATATAGATACAAATTCTGTCAGAGCCTGCCGACAGGGCCCAGGCAAACCTCCTGTCGGGTTTCTCCCACGCGTTCTACTTAGCTCCACCCACAGAGGATAAATAGGCTAGAGAATTCAAGCTCAGCAAGCTCCGCTCCAGAAATTTCACATTTGCTAGTTAATTATTATTAATTGCATAAACCCCGTAAGTTCGAATCTAAGCTTTTACTAACGTTGAAAGGAAAAAAGAAGAAAAAAAAAAGAAAAAAAAGAAAAGAAAAGAGATTTAAGCATTTAACGGAATAACGGATTAACGGCTCTCTCTATAAGTAAGAACTGATTTCTACCCATAGTCTAAGGTCGTATCTTTCTTGCTTAGCGTACACTTTACACGGTACACTCAATTAATCTGTGGGAAGGCCTTCCTTCAGATCCATATACTGTCCCTAGAAAGAAAGAACATATTGCTTAGTCTAAGTGGTAGTTAATTCGCCAGCACAGCAGCAAAAAAAACCCTCGCATAACTCAAAAAACCACTCCTCGAGAAAATAATAATGCCCTATGAAACCGAAATAGCGCATAATAATGAAAAGATCGGCAAAAGTACCCGAGTAGTCTAGTCTACGTAGTCAGAAATTAATACTCCGGAAATCGGAGGAACCAAGCCATCGGAGTTAAAAAAGGAAAAAGATCGACTCAACTCACAGAGTAAAACGCTTTTCCGGGGAGGGGGAGCATGTGACATGCAGAAATTAAGCTTGGCTGGGGGTTTTGGCTTAAGTGCGGAGCCGTTTTTGTTGGACTCCGCGTTCCGCATTGCGGAGCAGAGGATGGATGGCATTATTGCGGATATAAGTGGATGATTGCGGGGTGTTCAAGCCTTCAAGGTCTTGTAGTTAGAAACTTGGCTACTGAGGTATTATTATGTACCAGTATGGTAGGAATTTGCAGAAGGGTTCTTGGACTATCTGGTTAGTTGGAAACATCGGGTGGCTGATGACGGAATTCCCCCCAACGGGTCGAATAGGATATAGATAGCCAAATAAAGGAAAAGAGCAAAGGTCTGCGAAGATTCAGGAGAATAATAATTGTCATTTGACTGCAACTTAATGCAGAAAGTACCCCGGAAAATCACTGTCATGGTGTCTTCATCTGATTCGCGGGAACGTGGGAAAAGACCATCCCCTGATCCGTCACGATCCCCTCGCCCGAAAAGGCCGGCCGGCGTTGCGGGGCGAATGTCGTTCTACCTTCTAAGAATCTAATTCTACAGAGTACATAATTAAGTTCGAGACGGGCTCATTTCGAGTCAGAACTAATAATGCAAGTCGCTATCTAACTCATCCCGCATTTCATTTCTGTCTTTCTGGGCTGGGCTGGGTCATCTGCGAGACTGCGACAGGAGCAGGTCTACGCACGATGACGCTGAGCACGGAGCAATAACGGAGTCGGTCCGGGGGGACCTGGGGAAGAAGCCGTCGAACTTGTTCGGGTGGGATTGCTGGCTGGACATTTCATCTCATTTCATTTCGTTTCCTTGCTGGGCTTCTGGGATCGACGTCGAATCAGTTCCAGAGGTGTATCTAGAATAGACGATATCCGATGCCATGGTTCATGAAAGCGACGACCTGACACGAGACCGTTGTCTCTCTTCGTGTCCGACTGTTGAGCATCCCGATCGGAGAAATCCCCATCACGAGCAAGCAGCTCCCAAGTGGAGATGGCGGCCAGGTGGCCGAGCAGGGTTGTCTGATCTGGAAGGAGATCTTAAACCAAACCGCCAAATAATAATAATAATATCGATCCCTATCTACGCCGAAATCCTGCTATGTAGTACGTACCATACCATACGAAACTGTTCCGGGGGATGATGAGGTCATTCTCGCATGCTAGCAGGATGACTAGAGAGAGAAAGGAGAGAGAAAAGCCCATCCTACTACCCCAGGTTTGCCATGAATCCAGCCCCTCCCCCGCTTCATCCCGCAATGAAGGCCGATGGATCATGGGAGGCGGAGGATGACGCCAAGTTGGGCAAGGTCGGGCGACATGACCTCCAGCCAGGGTTGAGCCCACTACTGCTCGATCAGGAAGAGAAGAAAAAAAAGCTTCACCAGATGGTACGGGCCTCGAACTCGGCCGTCGTCAAGGAACGATCGGCGGCGTAAGACTAGTACCAATAATACATACGACATACATAACAGGTGGCCTGCCCGTGGGGTTCGACTTCTCCGTATGGGGTAGCCCCGTGCCCCCTTCTAAATTCTCCTTCCAACTGGAGCATCGGGTGCTCCAGGCGGTCCATTTTCTTCTTCTTCTTCCTGGAATATTGTTGCTTTTCACATCCACGGGATCCAGGCTGCGAGGACAAATAAGAAGAGGAAAACCCGGGACGAGATGATAGTTAACCAGTACCACTGACTCGTATCCAGCCTGTCGGGCACCTGGGGTTGGGTTCCTTGCCACGATCCCCAAGATTCTCCTCCACGGATGCATCACAACGCGATCCTTTCTGCTGCCTGCTGGTGTCGAATAAGGGCCGCTTCCAGACTGCAAATGTAGAGTAGTAATAACTAGGCGCAGTGTCTGGAATGCGGTCCCGCAGCAGCTCCTTTTGGCGCAGGTCACGGGGGAGGGAAACACGAGGAAATCTGAGACCGATTTCCACGGTGGACTGGGCTAGAAGAATATGTGATACTCTACTACTCCGTACTCTAGAATCTACAGTACGGAGTAACTTCGAGTAGAGTAATTAATTAATCCAGACTAGATAATAATCCTACCTACGCTACGGACAGATCCCCCAGGAGGCCCGCTAGACTCGATGAGAGACTAGCAGTAGTGTATACCAGTCGTCATAAGCAGTAATTCATCCCATTACCCCCTGTGGAGCCCAAGCGTGTGTTCGGGATACGGCATGGCAAGGGCGATCTTCAGTTGGAATTGTTGCAGGGCCGATGACAGCATGCGCATCCCTACCATACTCCTTCGTCCTCCCCGATCTTCACACACCCACGCACATGCTTGCAGACCGACGATGGGTCCCCAAATTAATGGACATGGGACGCCACACCACCAAGGAACGCTTCGTGGCGGCGATGGATGACGATGGATGGATGACGCTGATGACAGATTTCATTCAGTATTCTCCTGAGGAATAATAATAATACCATCATAATAACAATCATAATCACCAAATCCCAGTTGGCTACTTTTGTGCTATTTTTTTGCCTCTTGAGAAATGCCCCATTAGTAATTAATGCGGCCAGCAGGACACCATCCACAGTTGCATCCCATCCCATCACCTCCACATCCACATCCACATCCACCGCCAGGAGAAAGACCGCAAGGTCCGCTGGCGTCCCACGGAAACATCCTGAAGCGGTAATGTGCGGTAGTTGATCCCATGGATCGGACTGAATAAAAAAGGCCAATCAGAGCGAGCCGAGATGCCGCCGGGGGTGGTCGGCCGCCCAACCTGCTGTGTACTGTCTACGTTGATTGGCTGGATGGCAGCGTCATCGGGCCGAGGTGCCATCTCAAACCACGCTCATTGGGCCGCTGTGAGGAAAATCGCTCTGGGGTGGGGACGCAGGCACTCCGCCCGGAAAGCCCACCGCCGAGCAGCCGGACTCTGCGCCTTAGTCGCTTTGCCTAACTCTGTCCAGCTGCTTTTCCCTCCCCACAGCCGCGTCGGTCTGGGGGAGGCAATTAATTAAGGAATTATTAGTTAGTTATTCTTCTGGTAGACTAGTTAGCTTAACTAACAACTATTCTTCTAAGTTCTGGCCATGTTCGTGCCTGCGAACCCCGGGGATGCCACAACCCAACGGTCCGTTTGAAATTAATACTTAAACATCCGTCCGGTTCCCCCGCTCCCTCCGGTCTTTTTCGTCCCTTGGACGAAAGATTCGCGATCTGACCCTCTCCGCTCTTCCAAACCCCAACTAACCTAAATAAAACTAAATACGTGTATTATTCAAGGTCCGGGGCAATCAAGAATCCTGTCAACCATCCGCGCTTCCCGTCCCAAATCGCCTGCTGTGCGAATTGACTGAATTATTTCTATGCCACCGGCGGCGCGTGATCCCAGTCTTCTCTTTCAGAGTCAGAGTCCAGCATGGCTACAGTAACAGAAACAGAATCGCAAACGAAGCGCAAGGCCTCCACGGCCGGCCTATCGGGAGCTCCCCGTCCCGTGAAGAGACGAGCGTCCAAGGCGTGCTGCTGCTGTCGTGCCAGAAAGGTCCGCTGTGACGTGGTCGAGAATGGCTCGCCCTGCACGAATTGTCGGTTGGACCAGGTTGAGTGCGTCGTGACGGAAAGCAAAAGGAGAAAGTTAGTGTTCACCGCAAGAAAAAAAAAAAATACAGAAAAGAAACATGGATTCGAGCAACGCCTCGTGGGAGCACGAAGCTGACTGTTGGCCTTTTCGCCATTGTATCAGGAAGTCGCGTGGTGACACGGAAACAAACATCAACAGCCATCAAGCTTCAGATTCACCCGCGGATACGTCGGAAGATAACAGTGTATTCCGCAAGAGAATGCTTAGCCATGACCCGTTGTCGGAGATTTCTGCAGTGTCTCCCTCGCAGGCGTCGATCGACCTGGAGCAAGGACAGCAGCATATGCCGCACCTTCTCTGTTCGTATTCACTGTTTATCACTTGCTGGTCATCTCATCTGCTGACGGACGTCTGCAGATCAAACGCAAGCCCACAGGATCAATCCAGATGAGCAACGACGGAGGAGAATGGCGCAGAACCAGAACCCCGCGGGTCCTTCCCCGGTTCCGCTGTCGAATGTAGCGTCCTCGATTCAGCACCTCTTCGACCCGTCCTTTGGCAGCGCGAAACCGGCACGCGGTTTCCTGCCAGACTACATTCGCGGTCTGCCACAGCGTCTGATGTCGGAGGATATCGACTATCTGGCGGCCAAGGGGGCACTGACAATCCCGGAGTTGGAGCTGCGAAACGAGCTGCTCAAGAGCTATATTCACTACGTGCATGCGTACATGCCTCTTTTGGATCTGGAAGAGTTCTTGCACATCATTGCAAGGAATGATGGCATCCACCGCATGAGTCTGCTCCTGTTCCAGGCAGTCATGTTCGCGGGCACAGCCTTTATCGATCTGAAGCATCTACAGGCAGCGGGCTTCCAAACTCGCAAGGCGGCGCGTAAAGTATTCTTCCAGCGCGCCAGGGTACGTAGGACCTCGTGTAGACCATGTACATGAAACGAGATAGCTGACCCGTGCCTTTCAGCTGCTGTATGACTTTGACTACGAAGTGGATCGTATCTCGCTCGTACAGTCCCTGCTTCTGATGACTTACTGGTATGAGACCCCCGATGACCAGAAGGATACCTGGCACTGGATGGGTGTCAGCCTGTCGCTCGCCCACACCATTGGTCTGCACCGTGATCCTGGGAACTCCGGTATGGACGTGAGGCGCCAGCGACTGTGGAAGCGCATCTGGTGGAGCACCTACACCCGCGACAGACTGATAGCTCTCGGCATGCGACGACCCATGCGGATCAAGGACGACGACTGCGATGTGCCCATGTTGACCCTGGACGACTTTGAATTCAAGACGTTCCCGCCGGAGATTGTGAGCATGGTCGGCAACTGCGAGCTTCTCCGCAGCGTTCACCACCAGAGAGAGCTTGGCTTGATGTTCATTGAAAAAGCGAAGCTCTGCCTTTGCGTGAGTCACGTTCTTTCTGCGCAGTATTCCGTGCTAAGTCATAAGTTTGGTGGTACGACGGAGACAACCATGATGCTAGTGCCCAAAAAGTCGGCTGCAGAAACATTCGAGGTCCGGCGCTGTGATCAGGAGCTGGAGGACTGGCAAAGCCATCTGCCCCCCGGGATCCAGTATACGCCAGCAGCCACATCGAAGCTGACGGAGACGGAGGCGGTCCTCCATTTGCATCGCGCCCTGCTGAAGATGGTGTACCTCACCACCTCCAGTGCGCTGCATCGCCCTCAGGTCCTTCCCGCATCGCCGTTCCCCACCGTCGAAGCCGAACTGCAGGGTCTGTCCCGCAACAAAGTGCGACGTGCCGCCATCGAGATCACCCACATCGCACAGGATCTGCACCGACTGGACCTGACTCGGTTTCTTCCGACGACCGGAGTGACGGTGCTCCTTCCTGCAGTCATCATCCACCTGCTCGACATCAAGTCCAATGACCCCGGCGTGCGGATGACCAGCCTGCAGCGATTCTACCAGTGCATGCGGATCCTGCAGCGATTGAGGGAGATCTACGCATCTGCGGATTTCGCCACCTCGTTCTTGGAAGCCGCCATCCGCAAGGCCGGTATCCAGCTGACGGTACCGCCGCCGCCGCCTCAGGAGATGAGACCCCGGCAGCAGCCGTCTGCTTTCAGCGCATCCAGCCGGCTGAACACATTGACCCCGCCGCCTGACTCCCTTGCGCAGAAGATCCCTGACCTGACGTACCCTACGTTCCCTGAGTCCGCTCCGCAGGCGTTCCAGAATCCGGACGATGGCATGTTGTTCGCCTCTACGCCGCCTCACTCCGTTGGCAGCGAGAACGGCAGCAACAAGAACCTCAACCCCAATGTCGCGCACGAAGCGTCCAACGGCCACTTCCACTCGAACATGACAATGAGCGAGTTCATGGACCTGGCCAACGACGCGGAGGTGACGCAGAACGACTTTGATGCGCTGATCAACTTTGACGATGCTGGCGCAGACTTGTTTGCTGCCGAGGACGGCCTAGGGCTGGATGGCACGATGAACGGCAGCGCGGGTCAGAACGAGCAGCTGAATTTCGGCCTGGATTTCAGTATCCCCCCCAACGTGATGAATTTTGACGACAACCAAAACAAAGGCATGAATTTTGGATTGGGCGCTTCTCAGCTTAATGGTGACCGCAGTGCCGCCGACAAGACCGCGGATGGCCCGACCAAGGACCACGGCATCCCCACAGATCTGGACGTTGCCATTGGGCTGGACCTGGAGTCCTAAGTGCCATGTTATATATGAAGCGTTTTAATTGGGCGATTTTATTTTTCCTTTGTTTAAGATATCCATTCTGGATGTGTATTATGATTCCTTGAATATGTGTTTATATTATTACGGGACCCTGGGCGTCCTCCTCATGACCGCGATTGGATGTTTTCTGACCTTACTATTTGGGCGGGGAAGGCTGGCAAGGCGTTCTTACGGTCTGGCGAAATCTGACGTGGATTTGGATGAGTTGACTGGCAATGCTCCTGATCGATAGAGCAGGGAGATCAAAAAAATATGTACCTAGGAACGACAATCTAGCACAAAATGGTGATCAACCTTGTCGAGTAAACGCTCCACCCGTAGACGGCGCGGGAATACATCTCCAGGAAGATGGACTTTGGGAGACCAAGAGCGTCTGACAACGCACTCAGCACTTTCAGCTCGATTTGACAGAACTGCAGATAGATCGATCAGGCCCGGAAACTAGAAAAATGTCGTCGACGAGCGCATCAGTTTAATCTTCGAGAGGTAACTAACTCGAAGAATCGACGGGGATGATTAGATAGCAACTAAGCTCTTCCTACAACCGGTTCAGATATATCTGCTTACCATGCTACTGTAAACACTTCATCAATGGGATCCTCTGAGATGCCATGGTTCGTTATGTTGAGTTGGCCACTCTATTTGTCTTGAGGGTTTCCAAAAGCAGCCTGCACAACTCAATGCTCTCTCCTTATGGCTGCCTGAAAGAAGAGAAAGGTTCAGGACTTTCCAGTCGTCATGGTGGAAAATTGCCTTTGGAGGGGTTCAAATAAATAAGAACCGATGAGTGAAGAATTGTAATGCCGTTAATAAGTACGCTGCTGAAAAGCAGTTAACTGTATGCGACTTGCAATTTCCATTTGGCTCTCCATCTCGCCTCTCTCGTCTCTCTCGTCTCTCCATCTCTCTCTTGTCTAGTCTCTGTTCTCTTTCTTGTTCGATGCCATCTGCTAACAGCCCTTGTGCTGTGACTACTCCATAACTGCTGGCGGTGTGTATGTACTTAGTTGTGAGCAACCTTCTACGAATGTAGAGGGACTGAAATCAAAGAGGCATTGAAACCTGTTACCTAGTTAATAGACTCGTTAAATAATATGTAATTAAACCTTTTCCTCAATTCCCAATAATATATTTCTATTTCCCCGTGAGCTTTTTTATCTTGGGTATCAAAGCTTTACCATCGAAGTATGTACTTATATCATCAATATTGTCCATATTGGTGAAGGTTCCGGCACGAAGTTTATAATTCTCCTTTCCTTGGAAGGTTATGGGGTTGTATATGATGAAATGTATGTTATGTTATGTCTTAACTACATCTTTTTGCATCTGTACACCTGGCTACGTATATTCGACGAGAGCACATAGTTACCTTATGTTTTTTCATGACTAAGTACAGGTACGATGCTAAGAATAATAATAAATACCTAACCAACAAACTACAACCCCAATAACGACTCCAACAGATATAATACCAATAGAGTACCTATCCAATTTAGAATCCTCAAGAAAAAAAAAATAACCCAGAAGGCCAAAAAGAAACAAATTCGCCTGAACCCGCTCCGCGCTCTCCGCCCGGGCCGGGACGGAGGAGCTCCCGATGGTCGTGTGTCTTCCCCGCTTACTCAGAATAGTACTCCACAAGTTACACAAGAATCAGTTCCGAGATCCGATATTCAGTGATTGGATACTCCGTATTACGCGTATTCCAATCTTCCGAACTCCGGAGTTTAAGTTTAGTTATGATTAATTGGTTAGATATGGATAATTTTTTCTAGATACATATTATTATTATTACTGCTAGATTATACATACCTTGTCCCTTGTTCCTTGTCCCTAGGTAAGCTGTCCCTTATTTATCCCTGAGGGTAACTATAACGTTACTACTTACTATTATTAATGATCTCCCGTATAAGTTTCTAGTTTCAGTAATGCTGGCAGTGAGTGATTAATTACTAACTGCTACCTAGGTAAGTACTATAGTAACTAACTAACTAGCGGTGCTACTCACCCACGAGGTCTTTATCTCAGCCATCGAAGCAAATTTCAGATAGAGTAAAAGGATTGTCACCAAGAAAAGAAAAAGAAAACATAGATTAAAGTATTCTAGTAGTAGTAGTAGTAATGAATAATATAATAGTCTTAATATTAAGGGAGCAAAGGCGGTATTAAAACCGAAGTAGAAGCAAGTATAAATTCTATTATATTATTCTAAATGGGCAGGCAGATGCAGTAAGTTAAACTACTTATCTAGGTACTACTCTGGAGTAACTAAAAGTCCACTTTAATCCCACTTGTACTAATTATACAAGCTATGATTTGTATGTGCTTCAAGATAAAAAGTACATATGTCAACGTGGAACCAACTAGGTACCTAGAGTACATATGTACTTATGTATACTACAGAAGTTGGAACAAAACCCGGTAGATTAACACTCGAGCCCTAAAACCAGCCGATCCTACATGTTAAAACCTATCAAAAACAACACTACTCCAGACGTGAATCCACGCAAACCCCGAAGCGGCGATTTGCATTAGCAGTAGTTAATACTCCGTAGTCTAGATAGTTAGTGTAGTAGTGCAGTGGAGATTCTGTCTCGTTGACAGTTGGCCTCAGGCACAGCCGTCGCAGCCGTAAAGGCCAGCATGCTGATTGGACGGGCGTCGGGTGCGCGGCCCGATGAACTTTGCGGACAGACGAGATTCGCCTGCTGTGATTGGATAGATGCATCGCGGAGAGTACTGCTGAATGTGGATAGAGAGGGATCCACGACGGGAATTCCCCAGCAGATAGATAGATAGATAGATGAGAAAGAAAGAAACTAGACCGACTGAATAATGGCGGGGTCGACGGCAAGTGTCATTGTGCTAAGAAGCACTGTGTGACAGCTTCATAGTAAACAGGTCGTATCATTCAGGAGTCCAGATGATGAGTTAGTTACCTACTTAGCTTAGATAGCGTATACAAAATCTTAGGCTTTCTTGCTACTTCTCCTCTCTTCTACCTAACTTATTAGTCCAAGATACAGTATACTAAATAATAAATAATTAAACCAGAAAAAAATCCCAATATACTAAAGTCGCCTACGGACATTGGTAAGGTGTACTTATACCTTTGCTCAACATAAACTAACTATAATATAAGGCCCCTTAAGATGTGCATTAGATAATAGATATGGTGAAGAGAAAGAAGTAAAGTAGAGTTTGCACTAGGTACCTACTAAGCGGGTGCTAACTATGTAAAAATTACAAAGCTGCAAGCAAATGGAAATTGGAAGGGGACAAGGAAATAGAAAGATTGAGATTGTAAGAGCGAGATTGCAAGAGTGAGATCAACAGGTTCGTTTTTGCTGTCGCCCTCAGACAGTGACAGAGATATCGAAGCGGATACTAGACTATCCGCTCGGCTTCCGACCATAGACGACGTAGCTACAGCTCTTGTCAGTCAAATCAATTCCAGTTCGAATTATTGAACGTACATACAAATCGAGGAGTCCATGAATATTACGGTTTTTCGTATCATTTTTTGCTTTGGCCACCAGAGCGCTCACTTCTTCCTTGGACCATTTTTCCTCTCTCGTTAATACCGCCATAGCAGTGGCTTCATACCCAGTTTCAGATTGTAATAAGTTCCAGATGCCTAGATATTTCTTTTTTCGTAGGCGAGCGAGCATTAGCAGGAAAAAAAAAACATAGATGAAGCTAATATCAAGGGACTATACTTACCAGACGTTTGTCCTTCGGCCATGCACCTACAGGAATGACGAACTTTTGGACCTCAATATCGCGAAACCCAGCTGCTTGAAGCCATCGTTCGTATTTTGGTCCCGGACTGGGATCCTTTCCTGTTTTCTCCATCGCCGGGATAATTGCATCGAAGTACTGTTTCATGGATGTTCCTTCAATCGAACCGTCTTGTGAGTATAAATTACCATCCCAGTCTTGAAATTCAACCCATCCTCCTGGAGCAAGGTTGCTGTGGAATTCCAATTAGTTGCCATAATACCAACAGCAGAGGGAGTAATGATTCGTCTTACTCATAGCATTGATTGATCAATCCCTGAAAATTGTTGACAGAGAATGCAAGATAACGACCGTGGATAAAGTCAAATCTGCAGTCTCCATACGCCCATTCGGCTTCGTAATCATCAATAATGAACTTGACGTTCGGGGGGGCACTATCTGTATTATTAGCTGACTAGAATAGATAGATGACTTGACGCTTCTTTCAAAAGGACACTTTTCTCACTAACTAGCTTGGTTGAATCCGGCTTAAATCATTCCCCGTGACCTAGAACCCGTTCAGTAAGTATACTGTTACTTTATGCTCTAGGCAACAAATTACTTCTGCTGAAGGGAACTGATCGGCTGCAAGTGAACGATGTTAGTCAGTGACATATAGACACGACTCTATTTTCGCGAATGCTCACCAAAGTCCAAAGCCCATATTCCGCTGCCAGCTCCCAGGTCTAGAACCCGACGTGGCGAATCACTTAGCGGCGCCAGGAATAATTCCCGATCCATCATCGTCAAAAACATCTCGTGCATGATGTCGAGCCTTTCCTTTTCGTCTTCGTCGTTCGGCATCATGTATCCTCTTCTGTGTCAATAGAATGCCCCTCCGCAGCACGAAAACACTTACGTCCGGTTCGATATGCGTGATAACGTCTGCCATTCTCGTTGGGATAATCAAGGGCTGAGGATATGACTGATGTAGTTAAAGAATCCCTATAACAGAGGTTAGCGCTCTGGATACTCAGCAGAACCTATGAGACTAACAACTCGTCTCCGTAGGTAGAGTCATCCTCTGTCGCCTGGCATGAAGGTGTCAGATTTTGTATCCAGCAAGTACTAGGGAACCCCCCGAGTCACACGAACCAACGTATCGACTTCCACGGCTGTGGCTATCAAGTCTGGAGGGCCAGCGCTGGGAGAGGAGGTCATATTCACTGCTCCACGTGGAGGACGTGGCACTCGACGGAGTCACTATGAAGTATGAATAGATTAGATGTTGAATAAAATGTGGTAGAGTGGGGTCTAGGAGCCTCGGGGACCAGGTCTGAAGGTAGAGTAAGGAAGGGAGACGACTTTTGGAAGTTGACCTGTAACCCCGAATTAAACACTCACATGACACATTGTAGACAAAGAAAGAGCATCTGCATACCTACACAATGGAATGCAGAGGCAATGACAGGGTATGCGGAAGTTGGCTTGGAATTCTGTGTGTACGCTTCCCCACAAAAGAACAGACAACATGTGCGGCACAGTTAATCCTATGCATTAGTGCATGAAGGATGGTCACATCGGACACATACTAAAATTGTAAAGAGAAGAGAAAGTACTGTTGCCAGCACCATATCTAGAGCCCATTCTTCCCACAGATAGTTCGGTGGACCATCTACGTACTGCGACCCCGAGAAGAAGCTGTGCGCCCCCTATTCGACCGAGCCGGGGGTTCGCGACCGGCTTGTACGACAGATCCGAGACCGTCGAGATAACCCCGGGACAGCGTAAGGATGGTGGAGGAAGCTCACAATATTTTAGACCAATGTTGGCATCGAGGTGCTGCTCAAAAATGTTGTAAGCAGTCATTATGGTCCTCCTAGAGCGACATGTAGAGAAGGGGTTGGATATTTCGGGTATAATGTATATGCGTGCATTAAACATATGCCTTAGCCCAGTTTAATTCCTGGCACCTTAGTCAGGTTGAGAATCACAACGGCCTCTATCACAGCCGTAGTGAGCACTTATACAACTTCACCAGTGGATGTGAGGACAGCCCCGAGACGAGTAGTTATCCCCAGGTATTACCTAACCCAGCACAAAGAATCCACGTCTGCTGGAAATCTCGCAAGTGATCCATTTATGTCTGGAAGAGGGGTCATCTTCTTAATAACCTTTCCTGGAGAGTCCACGGCCATAGAAAAAGCTGGAATATCCTTCGTGACAACAGAACCGGCTCCGATGGTACAGTTACCGACGGTAACACCGACCAGAATTACAGCATCTCCACCAATCTAGCAGTTGGCGCCTATTGTGACTTCGCGAGCATATTCGATGTAGTCTCGATGTGACTGTACTTCTTTCTTATGTGTGGCAGCGTAGATGCTCACGGACGGTCTGAACATCAGTGACCAATTGTCACAGGACCACAGTCGAGGATAATAGACTGCGTTTCAAAGACTTAGGAAATAGAGCCATTAAACATATTCTATTCAAGATTTTTATTGCAGGTGAGCATGCGCGTGAGACTGCTCAGGTGCTGCTCTAGCGAGGAGCTTAAATCTATAATAGTTAGTAGATCGAGCAGTAGGTGACAAATCAAATACTTAAAGAGTTTGCATACAACTATCCTCGGCAGATGAATTACATCCGTGGTCTACGAATAGGGGCGTTTCGATAATAACGGTTATTTCCGACCTTTCCAAGCTCGTGGAAAGATCCTGGCCCGATCCTGAACGAGGGACTCCGGCGTGGCATCATCGGGGAAAAGGTGGTTGTACTTGCGTGTACTTGCATCTATTCCCAGAAGTCAGAATGTGATGATCAGTGGACATGATGAAGCATGTCAAAGTATGCGATGCTGTGTATATTCTCCGCTGATTCGCTGAAACAAACAACTCACAGGAGCAATTAAATGTCTCATATCATGGCGGTCAACAGCTTCGTAGCCAAAGAGCCAGTTACAGCATATCAGAGATCATTTTCTCGTAATCCTCGCACCATGGGACATTCTCGAATTATTTTGCTGCCTCAATCAGAGCAGGGCTCTTCTCCGTGGCTGCTGTGGCGTCTCTGAATGATGTGCTATTTCTGGAACAGTAGTGTACAAACGGATCAGTCAGCAATGCATCAACGACTCCCTAACAAGTTAACTAACTACTCGAGAAGAGTAGTAGTAAGTCAAGAATAAACGATGCAAGAAATAACTACTTGGCAACCCCATATGTAATCCCGTGAGAGCGGATGCGTGCCGTTCATTGATTCATTTGGTAATTGTCTACGCGTCCGTTGAGGGAGAATTCGTTACTCACCCCAGACCCCTGAGTGATCTTGAAACATTCCGTACTAAAGTCTGCGCACTCCCTGTAGTTAACAATCCGGTATATAATAAGCTGATGCCAAGCTTTGCTAGCTGGCGATCGATAGCTCCTTTTCCACATATTGTGCAGATGATTTCCTTGATTGCGTGAGCGGTAATTGCTGCGGGGTTCTCTAAATCACAGTACTCCGTAGTAAGTACGGAGCAGAGATGTCGCACGAGCGAGAAATAGCAAGGAGCGTTCGCCCTGTTTTATATCCAACGGCAGACTGACGCGTCCAAAGCACCCACTTTTTGTGCTGGGTTATTCTCTGACTCGACCATGGCGGATGAGGAAATTCTCACGATGGATTAAGGCATTTCGACCAAGTTATTTTTAGAGTACAACTAGATAAGATTAAGCCCATGCTGGAAAAAAGGACAGCACTTGTAGTTGTTATTGGTGTAGAATGGAGAGATTCGAAAAGACTACTGTAGATAGGAGATGCCAGATGGTCGCTGACCCGTGCACAGACCAACCCTAAGCCCTGATTATTTCCCGACTCGGATTAGCGCAGTCCTAGTCGCGCACTAAAAAGCCGCTGGCCCATTGACTGCGTACTCTTGACAACGCCACGCCGCTCCGGGTCCACTTGACTGTTATAGTTCTTTTCTGGAACAATAAGTGTCACGATCTATGGGGCAAAGAGCTTCCTGCCAAGGGGACGGACGGGAGGATCTTAGGTAGCTCCTGTCATCGAGAAATGAAATAGATCAGAGTGAGCCTGGCTGCTTCCCCTGATCTCATCGATGGCTACCCAAAGTGCGTGTTGACTGAATTGATGGCCAAGAAATCTACTAACAACTCGATCCCTACAGCACCAGGTGAAAGACATAGTCCTCTCTCGTCGGCTGAAGATGCTCACAGCCGAATGGAGGCTTTCACTGGGATATTGGATAGGGACAACAACAACATTGGACTCTCATTTCGAAATCTCACTCTCCAAACGAACCTTTAATCGACGACTACAATCGCCATAATCGTCACGGCCGCTTTCCTGAGCCATCTCCGCTGATTCCCAGGAAGGGGCCATGATTGCTCCTTCCCAACATGTCCACACAAAGCAATCAAGGCGACTATCGATACATAGACGAATGCGCTGAGCGCAGAAGTTCTCTGTCCGAGCAGAGCCATACATCGGAGAACACCGTCGAGTACTCAATTGAAGATGATTCAGAAGCGGGTTTATATCTCCTCCATTCGGACTCGTCAGGGTCTGATACAGATGGGAAGGCTTGGAACCAGTCTAGTACAAGTATCGTGCGGACGTTAGCAACCTTCTGGAGTTTCGCACTTATGGGGGCCAACGATTCTGCTCAAGGTGTAAGTTCGACTGTTCAAATCTTCAATGTGGATTCTTAGCTCACCAGAACGTCTCTAGGCATTGATGCCATATGTACCGAACCATGCCTATCCCCAATACTTAGACTTCGTGTAGATCTGACAAGATGTGCAGCTCGAGACATGGTATGGCCTCTCATACACGACGGTTTCGTTGATATTCCTAGCCCCCCTGGCCGGTTCTGTTATCGCTGCCTTCCTCAGCAGTCGGATCCACTTCCGCCTGGGCCAGCGGGGACTTGCATTCATCGCCGGTAGCTGCCACATTACTGCTTACACCATCACCGCTTTCCATCCTCCGTACCCGGTTGTTGTTTTCGCGTTTATGATCGTGGGGCTTGGTAACAGTCTCTCCGACTCCGCGTGGAATGCATGGATCGGAAATATGCGCAGTGCGAACCAGATGCTAGGCCTTTTGCATGGTTTCTACGGAGCGGGTGCTATGGCGAGTCCGCTTATTGCTACGACCTTGGTCACAACACCCGGGGGAAAGTGGTATCACTTCTATTATATGATGGTAGAGCTTCTGATGGATAGTATTTGATCTGCTTCTGACAATACTGGCAGGCCGCGATTGCAATCATCGAGACAGCCACATCTGTCGCTTCATTTTGGAAAATGGACGGGCAGGCATACCGTGAGGCTAATGTTGGGCCACCTGAACCCAAGGATGGGAACATGGGAGAGACTCTATTCGACAAGAAAAATAGGAGGGTGACTTGGCTCTGTGCACTGTTTATTCTGGGGTATGATGGAATAGAAGTCACTCTTGGTGGCTGGATCGTGACCTTCATGATGCGAGTTCGTCATGCGGATCCTTTTGCTTCTGGTATCGTCGAGATGGGGTTCTGGCTAGGTAGCACTGTAGGAAGCGTTGCTTTGGGCTTCGTAACTCCGCGCATCGGAGAGCGATTGGCAGTTGCCGTAAGTGCGATAGGGTCCATCCGCGGGCCACATATCTTGATCTATATTACGGCCGTTCCGTCGAACTGAAGCTGACTGCATCTCTTTTCACCAGATTTACTTGCCTACCCTCATAGCTCTACAAGCGATCTTCTGGCTTGTGCCCGAGTTTTATGTTTCTGCTGTTACAGTTGCTCTTCAGGGGTTCTTTCTCGGTCCGCTTTATCCAGCAGTCGTAGTAGCGGTCACGCATCTGCTTCCTCGTCATCTGCATGTTGATTCGATTGGCTTCGCATCCGCTGTTGGCGGCTGTGGTGCAGCTGGGCTTCCTTTCGTGGTAGGAACTCTTGCTCAGGCGAACGGAGTGAAAGTCTTCCAGCCATTCGTAATAGCCATGCTAGGTGCTGTCCTAGTCATCTGGCTGTGTCTACCGCTGGAACCGAAGAAAGAGAACAAAAAGCCGATAGAAATGCAAATGGCGTGACTGGGAAGCTCCAGATTTAAGGCGCCGGGCGCTAGATTATTTTCGACACATTTAGACAGTTAATAATACACTAATAGATTTACTACAATGCATCAGCCAGCCGCATTCGATACCCGAAGCGGGAGCATACACAAACGGGAGAATCGTGCAACTTCAACGTATAACACCCTATTTGGCTACAATCGCGTAAGGCTACATTTCTATTAGCTGGCATAATCCAGTGTCGGTCCTTTTGTGCAAATACGATAATCAAAAAGACCCATGACGAATTCTTCATGACTCGTAGTATGACAGTTCTTGTCTTTTGGAATATATGTAAGAGCTTAGTAGATGAAGAATTTATTCAATACCGCTACCTAACTATGAAATACCATTAATTGGGTCAGAGTATTTCCGCAGATAGAACTGAGAATGGAGCAGTACCGCACCGTTGTCGAACAATGAATAGTTACCATCCAAGACCATAAACACTCGGCTTCTGTCGGTTTCCAGCAATCACTTCCAGTAACTTCCCGAAGTCTTTCTATTTCTTATCGAGACTGCAGAACAGAATAGATGACATCGATTCGACCATCATACACCGGAGTCAACTCTTACACCTCCGGACGGACCGATACTGTCGTAGACCACGACTGGCCATGGTACATACTTAACTATGTGGATTTATTTCTTGGCGAGCTCGACTGAGGATAGATATGTTGCGTCATGGTTATAATAGTTATATCTTGGGATTAGATTCCAATATGATGAAATAGAGAGGTATATTAAGCTTTACATCCAAGGGATTGATTAGGAATTAGACATGGAATTGAGAATTCGGGATATTCATATCAACTCATTGAACGAGGGCTGTTAGCAACGTTGCATGCGATTCACTACGACGTTGACGGAACGGCTCCTGTCCTGCGCCATTAGCACAGCTCACTTTCGACCTCTGAGAGTCAATTCGGGATTCTAACTGAAAAGTAATGTGATTTACGTTGTGAACCTTGGATTCGGCCGTAATGCCGCTGGGACGAAGTATATATAGACTCACGTGCAAGTTAGTTAGTTAAAAATGTCACTATTACGCGCCATCTAAGAGCAATGTTGCGAGAGTATCCATAAGTATTATAGAACGAAGAAAAATATTATTGTTCTGGCCTTTTTTAATTCGCTCACCAACCTCTCTGCGACTCTAGTTGCATCGATAGGTTTCTGCAGGGGGTGGTCTAGACCAGACACTCTATCTCCTGAAGAACCGCTTAGCGGCATTGAGAAGTTCCTGGGTCTTGTCTGTTCTTCCTATGTCATTGTTTAGCTATTCGTGATCTTCAAAGTACCATAAATGCTGGTTGCTCGTGTTCTCTATATTTCCGCCATCAGAGTCCATAGATCAACCTTCTCGAGTGAATGCGATACTGATATTGTTGTTACCCTCACTGGCTGATTTTTGTTGCTATCATATATAAGCTTATCAGATGCAGACTGTGGATGATTGCGAGGGTGCTCATCATTCTTCGGAGCTAACTGCATGGTCCATTGAACAGGGGAAATATACCTTGTCTGGGGTATTTGCGTATTGAGTGATCTAATCTGATTGTTCCTAAGGATATTCACTCGGAAATCTATCAAAACAAAAGTCGTCACTTTGCATTTCCACCATATAATAAAGAAGGATGCTCCCAACCTAGTTTAACCCCATACCTTATTTCACTTCTGCATATACCTGTAACGCATCATACAATTGCCCAAAAAGACCTCCATGCCAACTTCTCAACTCCTCCCATTCACTCTCCGGTAGAGTCACGCTCATCATCCGCAGCCACCCACCGACAATCAAGTCCGCATAACTAGCCCTTGTTCCGAGTAGAAAGGGCCCACTAGTATCCCTTGAGAATAGCTCAGCCAGACCACCCAACGTATTCCGGAACGACTCTTTCGTCTTCTCTCGCGCCTCGCCAACCAGCGCAAAATCATCCCAGGACGTGAAACCCGCGCGCCTGACGAATTCCGCCCTACTGATCTCAGCAGTAGCTGGATCGAACGGAAGACCCTGAACCCCAAGCTGTACATGTGCAGTAAAAGCCGCGTCGACATTCACATTGAACTTGGCGTATTCTGGAAACCCACTTTCGCGACACTCTGTAAGCGGTACAAGTAATGCAGGACCCTCCGGCAGGACGAACTCGAGCTTTTGAGGCGGGAAAAGATCGCCCGCTCCCGAGTCCGGATACGTGTTCTGTAAGTAGACTGCGATATCGAAGGAGTCGCCGACCAACGAACCAGTGGTGCGATCCTCGATGATAGGTAAGGTGAAGAAGTCTGTGCCATCGGCGAATTTGCGACAGGCTGGTACGTTGAGATTGCTGCGGACTTTCCCGATATCGGGCAAAGGGACCCATGAGGTCGAGTATGGGAGATTTTTGAAATTGAGCGCCAGTCGGGTTTTCCACGGGTTTGGAGAGCAGCAGTTTTTCTCCAGGGGGGCCTTCATGGCGATGTCGTAGAAGATGATAGGGCTGGTCGTCGACATGGTGAATGATGGAAATACTGTATGGTATGGTAAGAAAGAAGAGTTTTTTTTTTTTTTTTCCTATGGGCTGGATATTGTATTTTTTGATAAGGAAAATGGCTTGATAGTTGAATAGAGATTATTATGTATAATTTGTTCAGCTCGCGGTTACTGAATTTCTTCATCCAAGTGCACACTTATTTCACGCCGGCCCCGGATGCGGAGACAACCCAGCTAGTTTTTTTATAGAGCTTATGGTACAGCCAATTCTTTGAAACCCATTGGTGAGGGAGAAGAATAATATGATAATGGGATTATCTACATCAGAGTGAGCAGCCAGCCAGTAGATGATGATAAAGGATGCAAAAAAAGACCATACTGTCTAAGTACTCAACCTACCACACAAATCAGCATCACTTATGTTTTAACGCGTTCGGCAAGGCGCCAACACAACATGCACTTGAAGTCATCGTAGTCGGAACCGATCCGATTCAAGCGCCAACTCCAGGAAATAAGAATAGCAAGATCAAATCCAGAATAATAGCTAGGAGAACCAGGGAACAACACCAAACTCGTCCGACTATCTCGTGGTATCGCTGATTTTGAACTGGTCTGAAGCAGCGCATCCTTCGTGTTATCACGGCCTCTTTGCACGACTGAAATATCAATGCAGCGCACGTACATATGCACAGATCAGAATCAGATAAACTAAATAGATAGATAACCACAGCTGAGAAGTGGCGTGTCTACGGAGTACTCCGTACTACCCTAGGATAGATACAGTATTGAGGGGCCGGTTAGTCTAGATATGGTCTTTTTTTTTTTCTTTCTTCGAAATTTCTTTCTCCGGAGTCCGATGCAATGCTACGTTGGATCTCCCCAGCCCCAAGCCACGCGCCGGCTGGCTTCGTTTCGCAGCGGCGGCGCTGATCCCCCCTGAGGAAAAAGAACCCCGCGCAGCCAAGGTTTTGTTTCACCTTCCGGTCTTGTCGTTCTGCTTTTTCTGCTTATCTATCGGGACCGGTATCACATTGATGCAGAGAGGCGGTCTGATTGTGTACCGTGCGGTGATCTCCTCAAGATGCGATTGGTTTCCATCGGTGGGTAAATAATAATCTCTTCAATTGCAATCAATCCAAAGTAGAGAGACAGCTGTGGTAATCTAACTAGCACAGATGCATACCACAATGCAATAATGCTCACTCCCTGCACCAGTGGGTCTTTACTTAAGTAGTGATCCGCAAAAGAAACGGCTCGCAATCGGCGTGATAGCCAAGAGTAATGACGATCGAGTGCATGTAATTAATCTGCTATAACAAGAGCCGCTATCTGCTCCTATCTTTCTTCCAAGGGACACTTCGCGAAGTTGTCTTCGTGGAGCAGGCGGATTTATCGCGTTGTTTACTTACAACCTCTCATCCCTTGCTTCCAGGCCCTTCCCTTCGCGGCTCTTCTTCGTTGCCTCAACTGTTAATTAATTAATTAACAACAACATGTTGGGCTACGGAGTATTGCTACTGCCATTGGCGGCGGCAATTGGCAATGCGGCGAACATCGATGCGATCAAGCGTCAGCTGCCGAATGAGCCGACCGGCGTGAAGACCATCACGTCTCCGAATAATGTCACGATCCGGTATAAGGAACCTGGCAAGGAGGGAGTCTGCGAGACCACGCCCGGTGTCAACTCCTACTCCGGATACATTGATCTCGCGCCGGATTCGCACACGTTCTTCTGGTTCTTCGAATCGCGCCATGATCCTGCCAATGCTCCAATTACGCTATGGCTGAATGGTGGTCCGGGCAGTGACTCGTTGATTGGGCTTTTTGAAGGTAATAATAATAATAATAATAAAATAAAAGCGCTGGTTCGGAAGATAGTTAAGCTATGTCTGGACACGAGCTGACAGAAGAACAGAACTTGGACCGTGTCACGTCAATGCTAGCTACGATAGCTACCTCAACCCGTACTCATGGAACGAAGTGTCCAATCTGTTGTTCCTGTCTCAGCCTCTTGGTGTCGGTATGTACAGTAGTACATACATAGAAACCCATTAGATCCCCCCAGTTGACAAAGTGCGCGGCTAACGCGTCCGATAGGATTCTCCTACGCTGAGAAAGAACCCGGGTCGCTGAATCCTCTCACTGGCGAATATGAGGATCCATCCTTCGCTGGCGTTCAGGGTAGATACCCAGTGATCAACGCGACTCTGATCGGTATGTTGCTCTGGCATATTCACCTTCCATAGATATATGATTGCTAATGCCCTAATAATAGACACGACCAACCTCGCCGCCGTAGCTGCATGGGAGGCTCTCCAGGGATTCTACTCCGCTCTGCCGCAGCTAGATTCAGAAGTGAAATCCAAGAGCTTCAACCTATGGACGGAAAGCTACGGCGGTCACTACGGACCTGCCTTCTTCAATCATTTCCACGAGCAGAATGAGAAGATCGCAAAGGGAGAATCCCAAGGCGTCCAACTGGAATTCAACACGCTAGGTATCATGAATGGTATCATCGACGAGGCCATCCAGGCGAACTACTATCCTGAATTTGCCCGAAACAACACATATGGCATCGAAGCTGTAAGTTTTGAGTGAAAAATTTCCAGCTCTACTACAAAAAGGGGTTAAAATCTAACATGGAATTTTTTTTATAAAGGTCAACGAGACTGTGTACAATTATATGAAATTCGCCAATACCATGCCCAATGGATGTCAGGATCAGGTTAGTCTGTGCAAGCAGACGAACCGGACTTCCCTGAGTGACTATGCCCTTTGCACGGAAGCTACCAACATGTGCCGAGACAATGTTGAAGGGCCATACTATGTATTTAGTGGTCGGGGCACCTACGATATCCGCCACCCTAGCGCTGTAAGTTGATGATGACATCCAAAAAAGAAAAACAAGATAAGCACAAGGAAAAAGAAAACTAACAGAAACCTCTCAGGACCCAACTCCCCCCAGCTTTTACGAACAATACGTAACCCAAGACTACGTCATGAACGCCATCGGCGTAGACATCAACTACACCTCTTCCAACGACGAAGTCTACTTCGCATTCCAACAAACCGGCGACTTCGTCTGGCCCAACTTCCTAGACGACCTCGAGGAAATCCTCGCTCTGCCCGTCCGCGTCTCCCTCATCTACGGCGACGCCGATTACATCTGCAACTGGTTCGGCGGAGAGGCCGTCTCCCTAGCAGCTAACCACTCCACTGCAGCGAATTTCCGCGCTGCCGGCTACGTCCCCATGACCGTTAACGGTGTCGAGTATGGCGAGACTCGCGAGTATGGCAACTTCTCCTTCACTCGTGTCTATGAGTCCGGGCATGAGGTGCCGTATTATCAGCCTATTGCTGCTCTGCAGCTGTTTAACCGTACCGTCTACGGTTGGGATATCGCTAAGGGCGATACCAAGATCTGGCCAGAGTATAAGACCAATGGCACTGCGAAGGCTACACATACGGAGTCCTACGTCCCTCTACCGACGATCGCGCCCAATGCTACGGTTGGAGTCGGTGCGGGTCAGATGCCTAATTATCCCGCTTAAGGAACATGGATGACGGATCTCGCCGTCCCGGGCATCTTGGTTCCATTCGTTTCTGTATATATTCTCTTTGGTTAGCATTCGGCTAACTGTATCCCGTCGTATTCTTTTCGACACGTACCACCAACCTCATAAGAGGCTGTTGATTCGTACATATAATCATGAGATGTTAGTTACCTTTGCTTCTCAGAAAGACTCCGTGAATATAAACGAGTGTAGTTGCACTACGTGGTTCTAGTATTTTTCTTAGGTTTAGTTAGACGGCATTAGTCTGAAAAAGCCTGACCAAGGGACGTCGAGATATCCCAACAGGTGGAAGACATCAATTTATGTCAGTACACAAAATATGTCGACTTGGTGATATACCCGATAAACGGTGATAAACCAAGTCAAAAGCTGATATCCGTAGTCATGGATGTTTTCGCGCAATGATAATTTCAACGCTCAGAAACCACCGAAATGCTAAGGAATGAAGGGGACAAAGAAGTGAGTGCTCCGAGTGGGCGAATTATGAACACATAATATTAAAATAACATCAACATGGGTATAGGGGCCTCCTGTTCCGGTCCATTAGGAATCGACTACGCATACCGCAGTCATAGCGTCATTCGAACAATCAACGGAAATTGTCTTCCACTCGTTCACAACGACATTGTTCCAATCAAGGCAGAAAGGACACAAAATTAAGCGACGGCCTCATTTTTGTTCTCTTTCGTTGTGCCTGACAGCTCAGTCCCTGTCAAAGCATCAGGGGCGACCTCTGTGACGTTCTCATCCGAAAACTTCACATCATCCACGATATCGATGGATTCTTTGATCTTGAAGAAGACAACTGGGGACGCAATGAGGATGCTGCCCGCTAGAAGACCCCAGGAAGCAGCGAACTCTCGAATGAAAGAGGTGCCCATGGCGTCCATACTGTGATGATAATTAGCTACGAGAGCTGCGGATTTCGATGTCTTGATAGCTCTTACCGCCAAGTAATCGCGGCACCTGCCGACTGGATGCCCTTGTAGAAACCGGCAAAGTTTGCCAGCTTTCGGCTGTTGTTTGTGAGGGCGCCCATGTACCTAGGCCATCGTCAGTAGAAGATACTGGAACTATACTTTCAATGAGACTCACCAATAAGTGCAGGTCTGGAAGGCAGCGTCATAGAAGCCATAGAACATGTAGAGAAACATGGGGCCAACATAGCCACGGTCGGCGAAGTCCTTCGGAAGATCAGCTTGGGTGGGGAGCGAAGAGCGCGTGTACGTCTTCTGAAAGGCGTAGCCTCCACCCCAGATGCCCATGGTCAGGCAGAAAAGGATGACTAGGTTCAGTTTGGCACGGAGAGTCCGTGACAAGAAAGGCAAGTCGAGTAGCTGGCCCATAACAAAGGCACCAATCATCTGGCTGACCCAATAGAGACACGAATTGAGCGCGCGAGTTCGAATGTCGAAGTAAGCGCCATTAACGCTGTTGAACTGGTATGCGGTGAACCAGTTACTGGAAAGAAACATGGGAAAGAGAAGGACGATATAGTAGTCCGTCTTTAGAGTCTCCAGTAGACCCTTAATCTCGGACATCCATGTAGGGTGCTTCATCACAATGACTCGGGTATGATCCTTGCGCATGATGTACTTGGAATCCGACAGACCCCAGGCGAGCACGAATCCAACTGCCATGAGAACCAAGAATGCGATATATGTGCCATCATTCACCGTCCCAGCGGTCGAATGCAAGTTCTGTGCCAAGGGTACCTAATTTATGTCAGTGCCCGAATCTTGCGTTGACGCCTCTGCCGTGTCAGACTCACCAAACTGCCAATGACACCACCTAGGTTGAAAATGACCCAGAAGACGGCAATGAACTTGCCCTTGTCCTTCTCTAGAGGATAGCTCATCATCACGGCCCCTTGTGCACACCACAACAAACCGGCACAAACACCCAGCAACGCACCAGCGAAGACGAGGAAACCGACATTCTGGTTGTGGTTATAGGAGAGCAGCGAAGCCACATAGAGGAAGTATCCAAAACCACCAAATGAAAGCGTCAACTTCAAGCCAATGCGGTTTGCGATCGAACCAGCGAAGAAACCAACCACGGCGAAAGTACTGTATAAGGCGGTGTTGGAGTCACTAACGTCGTTCGTGCGGAGTTGACCTGCTCCGCCCAACCCATTGACCGCATTGAACATGCCCGGACATAGGAAACACACGAAGGACACAAGAAGGAGCTGAGTCTCCGGCGAGGCGAACCATGGCAGCGTCCACCGTCCGATCTTCAATGGCTTGTACATCCATGACGGACCGACGACGGCTGCATCATGGTTGGGATCCTCCACATCGACGCCGTTGGAAGTCGCGGCCACCTTCTCAGTCGTGTCCGCCGAAGCTGGGAGACTCATCGAGCTGGATATTTGCGCTTGCCTGTGTTACGGTGATCTGTCTGATACAGGCCGTGAGCTTCAACTTCAGACGAAAAGGATAACCGATCACAGTAAGATCCGACAACACTCTGAATCTCGAAGACAGATCGGTGTATCCCAAGGCAAAAGATGGCAAAGAAAGGGACACTGCGATGGAGAGGCACTTGTACTCACCAGCTCCTTTTGAAGCTTTGCGATTATTATTATTGATATTATCAAGTATTTATTAATAGGTGAGATAGGGATAGATTAGGGACTCCAATGCGCGATCGGATGGGCTCCACCGGTTCAGATCTCTTATCTCTCCGTCGTCGTACTTATGTCAGACTGGAGCAGACTGGAGTAACGAACAGAAGAGATTTGATGTTGCGTGAAATCGAGAAGAGGAGAAAAGGTGGAGGTTAGCTTTGAGAACACAGCCAGGGTGACAGGAGCCACAGTGACAGCAGGTCGCACGAGGCGTCGGCGATGTCACGAAGCGCAAACTGAATTTCCAGCCAGCGGCGCTGTCGTTATCGACGGGATGATGGACCAGCTGGCCTCGCGACGGCGTGCAGACGAGAGACACAGCCAGTCAGTCGGCGCTTGTTGAGATAAAAGGGTTGCGCCCCGGATCGCACGGTGACATCGGGGGCAGATAAGGCACCCCGCAACCAGTCAGTTGTTAATTATTTGTTGGTCCCGGAAAGAGGGTAAGTGGAATAATGAATAACTAATCCAGAGAATGCAGCTTGTTGGACTTTGGTTCCCTCTAGGGCGCCTTGTTTGGTCTGGGGCATCTGGAGAAACTGTCAGAGAGACGGCGTCTGTAAGTTACAGCCCGCGGTACCAGCTGATACTTACCATACCGGTATCATGATTACCATCCAGCTCTTTACCATAGTTACTAGTTATCTAGTAGTAACTAAGTAACTTATTCCCATTCACACCATTCACTACTACTATCGAGATCCTGTTCTTTCTGTGATGTGATCCTTCCTCTTTGTATGGTAAGCCAACGTGCCATGTGTCTGCACTCTGCAATCCCAACGGCCCTTCCCGGCTCTGAGGTATGCTCGATGCTGGATCCGGTCGCATTCTTCGACTCTCGGTCGGGTCCAGATGCCGACGTCACATCTCGGTCTCCTCTCGGTCTCTTTGGAGATCTCCTGCGTGACGATCCAGGGTAGCTTGGTTGGATCTGATCTGATCCAACGATGGTTCTGCTCCCATTGAATGCCGTGGATATTCGTCTCGGTTCCATGCACCGGGTCCTTTGAGCACCTGGAACTTCAAGACGTCGCAACCATGGTCCACTCGTTGCGAATTTATAGATAGAGCAGTAGTTTTTTCATATCCCCTCGTAGTCTTCTTGTCTTAATATCTGACCCATCGTCCTTCTGCTCTTTGTTTCTCTCATCCTGCACTGCTGGATGAGTAATCTGGAATTTGGGATTCTTTGTTGCTGATCTGATCGTCACTAAGTCGTTAGTCGCACGTTACTTAACTATCCGTATCTCAGCAATGCCCCATATCGGTGACCCCACGTCCATCAGGCCATCCATCGCTGACGATGGCCCAGCTCCATTTATCACCAAGTTCACCAACTGCCGCATACCAAAGGGCAAAGAACTTGTCGAGCAGGACCTGTGGATCGACTCCACGTCCGGAAAGATCCTCAAGGACCAGGAAGCCTTCTATGAGTTGAAGCTGTCGCCCGACCAGGTCATTGACCTAGGTGGCCGCATCCTTGCGCCAGGCCTGATTGAAAGCCAGCTCAACGGTGCTTATGGATTTGATTTCTCTGTTCCACAGAGCTCTCGCGCTGAATATGAGGAGGGTTTGAGGGCGGCGACTAGAGCTTTGGCCCGTACCGGTGTCACGTCGTACCTGCCCACGCTCGTCAGCTCGCTTCCGGAGGTTTACCGCAAGGTCTGCGCAGCCAAAATCATGTCTTAACGGATCGTCACTAACAATGATCACTAGGTCCTCCCGTCTCTAGGGCCATCTGGAGCTAGCAGACGTGCAGAAGATGGCGCCGAGTCGCTAGGTGCACATGTTGAGGGTCCGTTCATGACTCCGGGCCGACATGGTTGCCACAAGGAGGGAATTCTGCAGGCTTCAACAAGGGGAATTATCGATGTGATCGAATGTTATGGCGAAGAGAACATTCCCGAGACGGAGACATCGATCGGCCATGCCGTTGCTCCCAGTCCGATCAAGATGATCACAGCTGCTCCCGAGGTCGCCAAGATGACGTCCAACATCCGTGAGATCGTCTCTCGCGGGATCATCTATTCAATCGGACATTCGGATGCCACATATGAGCAGGCTCTTGCGGCGATCAAAGAGGGAGCGACTACCGTCACCCATATGTTCAACGCGATGAGGCCCTTCTACCACCGCGATCCTGGCATCTTTGGTCTGTTGGGTCAGAGCGAGTATCGTCGTCCATACTATGGGATTATCGCGGACGGTATTCACCTGCATCCCACAACGATCAAGATCGCTTGGAACGCGCATCCTGACGGTCTGATCCTTGTCACAGACGCCATGAAACTCTGCGGCCTCCCGGACGGAGTCTATGAGTGGACGAATGGCGAGCGCATCGTCAAGAATGGTGCCCGCCTTACTCTAGAAGGCAGCGACAAGATTGCCGGTAGCTCTGCTACCCTGATCGAGTGTGTGAACAACTTCCGTCGCTGGGCTGGAGCGACGACTGCGGAGGCAATCAATGCCGTTACTGCGACGCCCGCACGCATGCTGGGCCTCGAAGGTATCAAGGGCTCTCTAGAGAGCGGAGCAGATGCGGATCTAGTTGTTCTGAGCGATACAACGGATCCGTTCAGCGGACCAACGTTGACAGTCGACCAGGTCTGGAAATTCGGCTCCAAGATATATGATGCCGGCAAACAGTGAATTCAAGATCTCTTGATGCCCGTGTAACAGTGACGCAGTCGTGTACACCAAATACCAACAGCAGAGACACAGGCCCAAACCAAAATGAGCCGAAAGGTAACCGAAACCAATTGCTATTAACTCACGGTACGACCCTTAAAGCGTGGGAGACTCTGCTACCATAAACAAATCACCATCTCACCATCCTCCTTCCCCTAACTGTACCTGTTACCTGCCAATCGCCCCGTCAAGTTCTTGTTAAAAGGCGTTCTCATCATCCTCGCTCATTATCCTCCACACACTACCATCTGATGCACATGTACCACTTTACGATGATTCACAGATACCAATTTTTGTCAATAGAAAGCCTATCTCGATGCATACATATTACATAGAATGGAAAATATAGACGTTAACATAATCAAAAGGAAACAAATCTACCTCCTATACTTCCCAAAATAGAACCCTGATCAATACCCCGCAATGTACGACATAACTACATGACTCCATGATTCCAAGGTGGTACTCCCATAGATCTGATGATGCACAGAACCCTTTTCCCCGCATCAACGATAACTTCCCTTATTGGTCAGTTATCGCCCCAGACGCCCAATACATAGTAGAACTAGCCAAGTAATACTCAACTGCGCACGCGACTACCTACCTTAGGTAGGTGACATATACATATGTAGCAGATACGTACGACATGCAGATTTCATCCTCTCTCTCTCTCTCTCTCTCTCTCTCTCTCTCTTCATATCATAGTTGGTTCATGTATGTATGTACAGAATCCGTCGAGATCCTCATCCTTTGCTATCTGGGTCCAAAATATCGGCTCGAGATTTAGCAAGACTAGAAGGAGAGGGGAAACACAAGGTTAAGAGAGAAGAGATGTGTGTGGATATCCTAGCATTATCTACGTCTGTTCGTCAAAGGGCGAGGAGGGGGGTATAATAAGATAATATAATACACAGATGAGGTAGCAAGCGACGGAGATTCAACAATCATCTCCCCATCCCGTAACTCGAGTCCATTCACGACTGACTTCACCCACGCCACGAATGATGCGCTCGCGACGGTCTATGTCCAGTTCTAACTCGACTGCGAGCTTTCTACTGCCCATGATCTCGTCATCGCTCATGCCTGCGTAGTTGCGCGCGTCCTGCTCAGTGACGATCTCGCCGTTTCGACGGCGATTCCACGCTGCGTGCTTAATCGCAGGGGCCCAGTAATCCATTAGTGCGACCTCGTCGCGATTCCGAGCGTATATCTTTCGGCGCTCCGCGACACCCGGGTTGCTGGGGTCTTGTTCTGTGGTGACGAGCGAGGCGTACCAGTTTGAGAAGACGACCTCGTATCGGCGTTCCATGAGGAGGATAGCCGGCCAGGTGACGATCCAGAGTTGGAAGATGATGCAGGTCCAGAAGATGTAGGGGTTGTTGCGCAAGCGGTTGACCCAGTGCGGGGAGTAGATGGTTACAGATTCCTCGCGCAGAGTGGTCTTCACGCTGATGTGGCCGCGGTAGCTGGTGGCGCGGATATGGGAAACGATGGAGTCTCGAAGAGACTCGCGAGAGAAGCCACCGAGGGTGCGGGTGAGCGTGAAGCTGGATAGACGTTTAGCGGTTTACTCAGGCGGATCTTTTACAATGTTAGGATTTCGGATAAAAAGGGATCATACCTCTTGACAGGTGCAGGATCAGCGCAGAATCGCTCACACCAGCCCAGACCGCTATCAGCGCCATGCTGCACCTCTTGGGGTGGTGCATGGATCGTCTCCGCGCGTTTCTCCGGAAGCAATGGTGCCGCTTGATCATTTCCATCTCCGTCATCCGCATATCCTCCTTGGCCTCTTTCCACGTCCGCTTCAGTATCAGAAGCACCCTGGGGTAGGACCCAGGGATACTTTCCTGGACCCTGAGATCTGAACCTCCCACCACGATATGTGTTTACCATATCATGATCATTGACAACAGTCACAGTATGCCATGATAGACTAGAAGGTGGCATCCCGTCACCTTTCCAGCCTCTGAGTATCATCGCCGCAACGTCCAGATTGAACTCAAAATCCACAACTTCCTTTTTCCGCTTTAAATCCACAACTTCCTCTTTTTTCTTTTGTCCCTCGTCATCATTGACCGTTTCGGAATGCGTGCCTCTGATGAGGATATATGGTCTCGGGGGCAGCTCCGCTTTCGACTTGATAAGTTCCCACAGCATCTTAGGATCAGAGCTCAGGTCTGGATGGAAAGACACAGAGGTAGATTCTTGACTTCCATGTACGTCATCCGCATATGTTGTCCCACCGGGAATACAGTATGCCTCCATATCGGGCAGAAGAGCAGTGCGGCTGACGGGCTGCTGAGACGGAGCGTCAATCCCCGGCGCCTCTGGTTCAGCGTACATTGGAGGTATGTCGGCTTCGACATGATCAGTGTATGGTTGTAGAGAGTATGCGGATGCCGCTGACGAGCGCGGAGGCTCGTCTTTGTAAGTAGCTTTGCTCATCGTGTAATTAAACCTCAATAGACACTTTAAACGTAAATAAACGAAAAGGATGATCCAAAAGGTAATGATTCTGACTCGGGTATCACATAAAGGAAATTTTGTTGACAGATGTTCAACTGGAATTGATCGCGCTCTCAGCTCAGCCACCTATTAGCGCATTTTCTGGCTCAGAGTCACAATCGGGAATGGATTGGCGCTCAGCTGCTGCAAACACAACAGTTCAGTACAGCAAAAACCAAAGACACCACCGCCTTTCTTCCAGAATGAGAAATGTAAGCAATTGTTAACTTCTGCGAGATATGTCATCGACAAGCTACGTCAAGTATAAAGGCGGAAGGAACCGGCAGAATGCGGGACCCCGCCGAGCTGTACTTATGCCCCATCGATCATACTTAACTGCCGCAGCCACTAGTATCTACCATCATCAGTGTCTATTTTAGGCGGTATAATCGGAATTTATGTTATCTCTTGTATAGCAATAACAGATCATATTTTATTTTGTATCATATTCAGTCACAAATGGCATGTTATATTTTTAACATATTTTCACAAAATACAGCAAGTACTCCGGTTCCAGGAGAGGTGTTGTAGGTATAGTGTATATATATCGGAATGAATACAAGGGTATTGCACCGACGTCCGGACAATGCTACCCTGAGTGTCGATGCGTCATCATATCTTCGTCCAGCAATTCATCCAGGTAAAGTCATTTACAGTCTCGGCTGCTGGGGCCTCCAGCCAGCCTCCTCCGCAATCAGCTCGGCGGCCCGCTCGCCGATACCCAGCACCGTGAGCATGGGGTTGATGGTGGGCATCGAAGGGAAGACACCAGCATCAGCGATGCGGACGTTCTTGAGACCGCGGACCTTGAGCTGGGAGTCGACCACTGCGTACGGGTCCCGGCTAATGTCTCCCATCTTGGTGGTACCAGCAGGGTGGTACACGGTATGAGCTACACGACGGCCGTACTCGGACAATTCCTCGTCAGTGTTGACGTTAGGACCTGGAGCCACCTCGCGCTTGATCCAATCCTTAAAGGGAGCCTGCTTGGCAACCTCTCTGGCCTTCTTCAAACCGTACACGATGGTTGCGGCATCGTATCCCTCAGGGTCTGTGAAGTAGCGGAAGTCAAGAGCCGGCTTGACTCTGGGGTCCGCAGAAGTCAGGTAGAGGCGACCACGCGAGCGCGGTCGAGGAATGTTGGGGGTCATGCAGAAGGCGTCCACGGGGGTATCGTAGCCCAGGCGGGCGGTGTTGAGACAGAAAGGGATCTGGTAGCAGTGCATCATGAGGTCTGCGGCGCGGCCGTCCGAGCCAGCAGCGTTGGGCGCCTCACGACGGAGGAAGATACCCGCATCCGAGTCCATAGTCGTCTGGTTCGGAGGCACAGGCCTGTTGAGTTCCCAGATAATGATCGACTCCGGATGGTCCATCAGGTTCTCACCCACACCAGGGATGTCTTTAACCACAGGAATGGACAGCGACTGGAGCTGCTCACGCGGGCCCAGCCCGGACAAAAGCAACAGTCGTGCGGTATCAATGGCACCAGCGCAGAGAATAGTTTCCTTCTTGGCACGCAGCGTACGCTTGTCGCCGGACTGCAGGGCCAGATCAACACCAGTGACAGTGTCACCATCTACGTTAACGCGCGAGACCCACGCGTTCGTGAGAATTGTCAGGTTGGGGCGCTTCTCCTCTCCCCGCAGGATCGGGTGAATGTAGGCCACACTGGCGCTGCTCCGGCGACCGTCATCGGGGTTGTAAGACACGGAGAAGAAGCCAACGCCCTCGGTGAGCTCTCCCTTGGAGCGGATCTCCTTGTTGAAGTCGTGAATGACGGGGATGTTCATGGCAGTGGAGCATGCCTCGACCCAGTCCTTGCACAGCTGGTTACGGTGGCGGCTGTGGACTGGTTGCACGGTGTTGCGCAGGTTGTCGAGCACGCGAGTGAAGGTCTCAAAGGACCAACCCTTACAGCCTTGCTGCTCCCAGAGCTCACAGTCATATTTGAATGGACGGAAGGAGATGAGCGTGTTGTGACTGGAGCAACCACCCAAGACCTTTGCGCGTGAGTGTCGGATGTGGCTGTTGCCTATAGGAATTCTTCGTAAGTACATGCATTTCCTCGACAAAAGTTGCTTAGATGGACTCGCATAGGGCGGAGTGTTTGAAAGGAGTCCGCTCCCATAGATTGCTGGGACAATTTGACTTGGCTGGTGCATCTGGGCAAGGCCATGATCATGACCGGGTAGTCACAACATACCCATGGGCTGCTCGACGGTTCCATAATCGTAGTCGAGCTCTCCTCCCAGCAGGTTGAGCCAATCCTTCAGCAGCAGGACGCGGTCGTCCATATAATCGCTAGGGCCGGCCTCGATGAGGATTATGCGCTTGTTGGGCAAGTATTGTGCCAGCCGGCTGGCGATAACACATCCCGCGGTGCCACCTCCGACAATGACATAGTCGTAGCTATTCACGTCGCTAAGTGGGAGATCAGTGACGGTGGCCATGGTGACTTGTGTTGAACGAAAGAGAAGAAGCTACTTGACTGTGAGCAGGAGAGCTCTTCGATCCCCAAGCATGCATGCAGCGGGATTCTTTGGCTGAGAGATTAGCAGATCTTTAAAGTAATAACAGTTGAGTTAATCAGCAACGAAAAAATTTGACTGCGCAAGAGCTTCCGATAACTACCTAGGTAGCAGGACCACCGAACGGGAAACCGAAGACGACGAACGACGAACGACGACGACCCTCAACGGCAGCAGTGGGGTTGGCGGTGTCAGGAAGAACGGGGGTAATAATTATTAGATGAGATTAGATGGCTCTCTTCATACCATACACGTTCGTACTCTATGCGGCTCGACTCTAGTGACGGGAGAGTCGGTGAGACGTTAGCACTGAAGGGGAAAAGTTGCCCAGAGAGAAAGGCCCGCCAACGTCACCGGCAAGGGCAAAAGATACGGGTGGCTTCAGGGCTGAACCACGCCTAACGCAGTCAAAGCGGACAACCGTTTCTTGGAGAATGGATTCGAGTACCATAATTAATTAATTCGATGGCGCGGTTGCTCGTCGTCGGGATAAACATACCCCTCCAAGGCATTGCATGCTGCATCGATCAGACAACGGACATCGAACATGCAGCCCACCGATAAGCCACGCGACGAGTTCTCCGTTCTCCTCGGATAGGATAGGATAAGTTGGGATAGGATACGGAATAGATACGGAGTCAACCGTGATAGGATGTTTCAAGTACCGTGGCTGCTCTTCGGTCTTCATTCGCAAGACCCCGCCACTACTGCGCGCGGAACATCACCGCTTGGATGGGGAATCAGTGAGCTAGTCAACTAGTTCATTAGTCGACGTATCCATATTACATTCTAACCAGAAAAAGATAATACCAGGAGGAAGTAGTACCATATTATTCAGATTCCTCGGAAAACTCCAATACGGGAACATCATTGCGGCAAATGTGTATCTTCGCTTTCATACCCCTGCCCCCAAAAACTTCAGTATCATTGGGAGCAACATTATTTATTATGTTGTCAAGAGGGTATCAGTGCGGTGCTTTCTTCCCCAGACAGGCAAAAATTATTGCATTGGAGGTCCTCTGGGCTTGGTATCTGAAAGAGGTTCAATATTCATATCATAAGTATCCCATTCCAGGTCGCTAATAAAAGTATCCTACCACAGATAGATAGTATACTCTAGCACTGTGCATTTTCTCTATAACGGTAATCAGGAGGCGTTGATGTAACTACCCGAAGAAAAGAATAACTTACTTTCTGTGACTTATTATTACCTCCAAGACTGACAAATGTCTTCTTGTTATGAAGCCAGAATATATACTCTAGTTAGTTATAGGATTGTATCGCCTCAGTCTCCCCAATTAAGCAAGCCTTTCCCCATTTGTTGGAAACTGTACCATAGACGGGAGTTTGGGATGAGCTAAACTGGCCGGTTTGACCAGAAGAAAGCTGGTCTTGGCGTTATCTTCCTCGCCATAATAGTGGCACCGCTCTTCCATCACTGCTAACGATACCAGACAACACCAAAGAGACACCTGGAAATCGCAGCATCATAATAATGTCTCTTCCATATCCTACTCGACAGCTCTACTACGATGGAAAGCCACAGCCCGCTTCCTCTGGCAAGACTTTCCAAACGACTGACCCTTCCAATGCCGCACCGCTAGCCGATGTCCAGCTAGCGTCTACCGCGGACGTCGACAAAGCTATCGCATCCGCAGAACGGGCCTTTCCCTCGTGGTCGCAAACTCCTCCAATTGTGCGAGCGCGCATTCTGCAGAAGGCCGCATCGCTGCTACGTGAAAAGAACGACGAGATTGCCAAGGCAGAGACCAGGGACACTGGAAAGGCCTACACGGAAACCAGCACCGTTGATGTCATAACGGGCGCTGATGTGCTCGAATACTATGCGAACTATGTTGGTAGCGGCGGTCTCAACGGTGAGACTACGCACCTGAGAGAAGATGCCTGGGTATACACAAAGAAGGCACCACTGGGTGTCTGCGCGGGTATCGGTGCTTGGAACTATCCTGTCCAGATGTAAGTCTGTCTGACAAGTGTCATTGACTCCCCTCGTCCAGTCTCAGTGGCTAATATGGATATGGCTTGTTCTAGCGCCCTGTGGAAGTCCGCTCCTTGCCTCGCGGCAGGCAACACCATGGTCTACAAACCAAGCGAATTCACTCCTCTGCACGGACAGACGCTTGCCGAGATCTACACGGAAGCTGGTCTTCCTCCCGGAGTCTTCAACGTGGTGAACGGGGCTGGCGAGGTGGGTGCATATCTCACCTCCCATCTTTCCATCGCCAAGGTTTCCTTCACAGGCCAGGTGTCCACCGGAAAGAAAGTCGCAGGAACCGCCGCCGGACACATGAAGTACGTTACCATGGAGCTCGGTGGAAAGAGTCCGCTCGTTATCCTCCCGGACGCCGATGTGGATAGCGCCGTCGACGGTGCCATGATGGCCAATTTCTTCAGCACGGGTCAAGTCTGCACCAACGGCACCCGCGTCTTCATCCCCAAGAGCATGCAGGCCGCATTCGAGAAGCGCCTTGTCGAAAAAATCTCCTACGTCCGGGCAGGCCCCGTCTTCGACGAAAAGACTAACTTCGGCCCTCTTGTCTCTAAAGTCCACTACGACAAGGTCACCAGCTACATAAAACACGGAATTGAGGTAGACCGAGCCCGACTCCTCTGCGGTGGGCTCGAGAAGCCCAAACTCCCACAAGACCTCCAGCAGGGCTTCTGGGTGCAGCCAACCGTATTCACCGACTGTACGGACAACATGCGCATCGTCCGAGAGGAGATCTTCGGCCCCGTCATGTCCATCCTCACCTACGACACCATCGAAGAAGCCGTGAAGCGCGCCAACGCCACCGAGCTGGGTCTCGCGGCGGGCGTCTTCACCAAGGACATCAACCTGGCACATAAGATTATCGACCAACTCGAGGCTGGAATCACCTGGATCAACTCCTGGGGTGAGTCTCCAGCCGAGATGGCCGTTGGCGGTTGGAAGCAGAGCGGTGTAGGCGTCGAGAACGGCCACAAGGGCATTGAGGCGTGGGTGCGAAACAAGAGCACTCTGGTCGATATGAGTGGTGCTGTTGCGACGGTCTTCGCAAAGTTGTAAAAAATCATTTTATCATATTACATACTATCATTATTTCTCTGGGACGCCTTTCTAGAGAAAATGAAAGGACAGGAAACGGTTTCGATGAGCGTTGGATCATATAGAAGCGCCTTTTCATTATTTATGCCATTTTAGCCTGTTCGTTCCGAACTACATATTCATTTAAAAAAAGTCATTTATTTACGAGAGTCCAAATTGAACATATTGTGCAATTTTATCATATGATTCAATTCCTCTAGCTAGGTCGTAGGTATCTAACATCAATAGCAAGGAAAGGAATATAAGAATGCAACGCAACGCCACAGAAAAATTAAAAGAAAATGAAATAAGATTAGAGAAACGGGTCCATGCACGTGGAATCATGATATGACGTGCCCGTCCAGATCTAGTCTGATTTGACTACGATCTAATTTCATTGGGATCCCAATCTCAATCTAGATGAAGGGGAATTAGATCGTCCATCCTAACTGGAATAATATGTGGTTGAAGAAAATAAGTGAAGCGACGACCACTTGCAATCCATCGTAAATCATGTAATGTAATAAGCCATGCAACAAACTGTAGGGCAGAGAGTAATAAAAAAAGAAGAAAAATAGAATCTAAATGCTCAAAGCAAGATCTGCCATGTCAATTTTGTCCCTCTTGAAGTCGAGAGTTGGGAATAGAATGTGCTGCGCCCGAAAGAGAGAGGGAGAGAGAAAAGAAAAAAAGCCGTTGCGATCATGTCAATCTAGATTTGCCGGATATCTTGGAACGCCTCGAGTGTGCTTCTGTAGCTTATTGCTCAAACCGTAGGAGTGGCGACCCTGGCGTGCATACGATCGAACATGAGATCACCCTTTAGCGTCGCAGAGAGGCCAGCGACGGCCGAGTCATGTATGCGCGAAGACATGCTGTCCGGCGTAAGCTCGCCATCTTCCTCCATGGAACGGCGCAATTCTGTGTCGACTCTCAGGTCCTTGGGGACTTTCTGGGGCGTCGTCTGCGGAGTGGGCTGCTGGGCGACGGGGACCGGAGCGGGAACGTACGTGCGCGGACGGTAAGTAAGCGGTGGCCCCTGCGTCCGCGCGTCCGTGCCCGCCTGTTCGATAGACTCGAAATACCTGACCGTCTTCACCTTCAACTCCATAGTGGCATCACGATCAGCCACGATGAGAGGGTGAGGGTGTAGCTGCAGCGCGGAAAGCGTCCACATGTGGTTGACTCCACCCTCGAGACCATGCTGAAGTGCCAAAGCCTTGTGCGCGCCAGTCACCACGATCACTACTTCACGGGCATCCATGATGGTCTGGATACCGACGGTCAGAGCCATTCTTGGGACCTTGTTCACATCGTTGTCAAAGAATCGGGAGTTTGCAAGAATCGTGTCGTATGCCAAAGTCTTGACTCGAGTTCGGCTGGCCAAGGAAGAGCCAGGCTCGTTGAACGCAATGTGACCGTCAGGGCCGACACCACCTAGGAAAAGCTCGATGCCCCCGTAGCGGGCGATCTTAGCCTCGTAGGCTGCGCACTCGGCTGCCAGATCTGGAGCATTGCCGTTCAGGATGTTGATGTTGGCAGGTGGGATGTCGACATGTGAGAAGAAGTTCTTGTACATAAAGCTGTGGTAAGACTCGGGGTGGTCGCGCGGAAGACCAACGTATTCGTCCTACCGACTGTAGTCAGAAGCCATTCTCATATTCAATATAGGTTTGCAGTCTTCTACACGCATCTGTCCTTTGGACGTGCCAGGCAAGTCTTTCGTTTCAGGAGACTTACCATATTGAATGTAACAACATTGCGAAATGAGATCTCCCCTTCCTTGTATCGCTGCACAAGGATCTTGTAGATGATCTCAGGGCTGCTTCCAGTCGGGAGACCCAATACAAAGGGTTTATCCGGGGTTGGCTTGTAGTCCTTTATGCGGCCTATGTTGGACAAGAGTATTAGAGCTAGTGCTTGCAGAGGACATAACATATAGCAAAGGCATGGATATATGCAAGCGCTATCATCAAACTGAATTTACTAAAGGTAAGCAGGGGGACATACTGATAATATACTCCGCAATGTATTCTGAGGCACCCTGAGGGTTCTCTCTGATTATTACTCTCCTAGATATCAGAAAATCATATATTAGCAACAAAATTACTCTTTTCACTTCTCTTACTCAAAGACAGGATGGCTCGATGTCCAGTATGCGGATTATCTCACTCACATGATGGAAAGGCGGATGTGACGACGTCACCAGTGGCGTATAATAGAACTAACTGGTAATAACAGAAAGATAAGAAGTTCGACTGCAGGAAGCAGATAGACGCAGTTTAACGCACAAAGGCAGTGGAATAATTCAAGATGCAGGAATCTTTGTGAAGATAACTGCGTCTACACAACGAGAAATCGAAAAGAGAAGTGAGGGAGGAATGAGCGCAGTGATAGGAACTGTGAGATAAAAAAGCTGTAGGCGGTAGCCGGTAACCTTTTCTGGCCTCAGGGACCATGTGCCAGTGACGGCAAGACTTAGTTCCCTTTAGGCAGGCAGGCCAGGTCCCAGGGTCCAGCTATGGGGCAAAAAAAGGCAATGGGACCTGAAGATTCTCCTCTGCCATCATGAGTGCATCATGCCCGGTTTGCAGGTTACCATCTCCGTCACTCTCAGGACCCATAGTCACAGCACGCTCTGCTCGTCCTGTTTTGATTCGTCTGTCTAGAAGAGTCATGTTGTCGTTATACTGTCTCTTTTTCTCTTCTATCCTATGGTATTGCTCCTCCTCCTCGTGTAATGGAAGCTCGATGCTTGGCTTTTCCGGTTTCTGTAATGGGAACCCGGCATCCATCAAGACCTGTCTGTCTCGACCAAAGGGAACAATTCTCGTGATCTCCATTCGTAAGCCTTTGCGCAAGATCGGGAAGAAACCGCAACTGCCAATCTATCTATCGGGCCGGTAGAGGGTTTCATTGAAGAGTGCTACAGAGTACTACGGTGGCAGACCTCTCTCCATCCTAGGAGATATAGTGTACGCCGTGAAAATACCGCTTGTATGGAGACCGAATGCGCCGTACGGGCTGTATCATGGGTGTTATCACTCTTTTAAAACTACGGACCGTTAGTTACGTCGCATTTGGCAGGCTGCTGAGTCAGGATGCCCAACGTTACATAGAGAGAGACGATATCGAGTCCGACGTCACACCCGGTCCGGATGAACTTATCCGCAAGGATGCCATAGGCTCGATGGCCTTCTCCCGATACGGTTAAGCGTCCGAGATCTGTATCGTCCAGGGTAACTTACGTGACCGAGGATCGGTATTGATGACGGTATCAAACCTCTTATCTTTCCCCGGAGATAAGTTAATTACCAGACGCGTATCACCCCCAGACTGGGCACGTGAGCAGCCTCGCTCGAGAACTCCCCGTCCGGCTGGGAATCTTAGCTCCAGCTCCAGGGAGGCGCCCGTTGCAACTCTCCTCTGCGGCTCTAGCTGTCTGTCTCATTCCCGGCCATTGATTGTCTAACTTGACCGCTGGGGATTTTCTTTCTCCCGTCCGTATCCGTTGTACTGCTGCGCAGGGACCAGTAGCTTAGACTGCTAGGTTGGGGAAGTTCGCCTCCCGTGCGTATCCAGCTGAGTTGAGCCTCGGAAGCAGAGCTACCGCGGAAACAACGGCGGCCCAAGCTTCTTTGACCGTTTGCAGACTCGTGGCGGGCCTCTTCTCAGCGGTCCATGAACTTAACATCTTTTTGCAGTAGCTGAGACAGCGTGTCGTTCTGTCGTGTCTGTATTGGCAATCCCAATCGGGCCACCATGGCCCCGAAGGAGGATGCATTGCCTCCGGGCTGGGAGGACCTAGATAGGTGAGCCTCACCGTCTTGGCAATGTTGTGATCATTGTTGAATATTGTCCCTTTGGTGGAGGATCACACGATCCCAACCTTTTGTATTCCCAGTTCTTTATATCTGCATGTTTCAGTCTTGGAGGCCGTCGCTGACCATGGCTGCCATGTCTGATTCGCTGTTACAGACAGATGGGCCAGCTCTTCATGATGGGGTTTGATGGTACCACCGTCGATCCCCAGATTCGTTCCTTGATTGAGGACTGCCATCTGGGCGCCGTTCTGCTGACAGCTAAAAATCTCAAATGTAAATCTCTCTGATTTCCCATACCTTGCACTCCCACCCTCCGGTCCTATTCCTGTCATGGATGTTCCCTGGCTGACGGAGAAACAGCGGCCGAGGATGCAGCGCAGCTGGTCCATGAGTTGCAAACGATCGCCCGAGATGCTGGCCATCCTGTGCCCCTGATGATTGCTTTAGACCAGGAGAATGGCGGTGTTAACAGTCTCTTTGACGAGATTTACATCCGGCAGTTTCCCAGTGCAATGGGCATCGCCGCCACTGGCTCGAAGAAACTCGCTCGTGAAGTAGCTACAGCCACGGCTCAGGAGCTCAAAGCCGTCGGTGTCAACTGGATTCTCGGTCCGGTCCTGGATGTCCTCACTAATGTGCGTAATCAGCCCCTTGGTGTGCGAACAACGGGAGATGATCCACAGGAAGTCTCGCAGTACGGCGTTGAGTTCATGAAAGGCTATCAGGAGGCGGGTCTTGTCACTTGCGGGAAGCACTTTCCTTCGTACGGCAATCTAGAATTCCTAGGCTCTCAGACGGATGTCCCTATCATCACAGATTCACTAGAGCAACTGAGTCTGAGTGCGCTGGTCCCATTTCGGAGTGCCATTGCCCAAGGGATAGATGCGATGATGGTTGGCGGTGTCGCAATGTCGTCTGCTGGCGTAAATGTCATGCATGCTTGCCTGTCGGAACAAGTCGTGGATGATCTTCTGCGGAAGGATCTCAAGTTCAACGGCGTCGTCGTCTCCGAATGCCTGGAAATGGAAGCACTGACTCACAATATTGGTGTTGGAGGAGGGACGGTAATGGCCATGAAGGCAGGCTGCGATGTTATTCTTCTCTGCAAGTCATTTCCTATCCAACAGGAGGCCATAAACGGCTTGAAGCTTGGAGTGGAAAATGGAATTATCAGCCGCACCCGCATAGAACAGTCGCTGCGAAGAGTTCTTGACATGAAGTCGCGATGTACTTCGTGGGACCAAGCTCTAAACCCTCCTGGACTGAGTGCTCTATCAAATTTGCAGCCATCCCACACTGACCTCTCGACGAGAGCTTATAATAACTCTATCACCGTTGTCCGAGACAAGGACAATCTACTCCCGCTGCCCAATGTCCTGGAGCCCGACGAAGAATTATTACTTCTCACTCCCTTGGTCAAGCCGCTTCCGACCTCAGCTGCATCTCGATCGATGGCAGAGAATATCAACTCGTCCCCTGACCCGATGGCCTGGGAGAAAAGTGCGTCCGTGATCAGTGGGGAGACAGTCTTTAGAGAACTAGGGAGATCTCTCGCACGGCAAAGGAGCGGACGCGTTTTGCATACTTCGTACACTGCCAACGGTGTCCGGCCGGTCCATGAGAATCTCATCGACAGAGCAAACGCGGTTATTGTCGTCACTGCGGATGCCAATCGAAATCTCTATCAGTATGGCTTCACCAAGCACGTGTCGATGATATGCAAGTCGCAGTTCTCGCAAACGGGCGAGCGACGGGAGAAACCCCTTATAGTTGTGTCCGTCAGTTCACCGTATGATTTTGCCATGGATCAGTCAATCGGAACCTACGTTTGTACATACGACTTCACAGAAACTGCTCTACGGGCCTTGGTAAAGGTGCTGTATGGAGAGTTGACACCAACAGGATCGTTGCCGGGCTCAATCAGTCATAGCCAAAAGCTTCATCAATCGAGACAACACTGGTTGGTTGAGGCATGGAACGAAGAAAGGGATTCACGCGCGTTGGATGCTCTGCTGGCTGCCGTTAGACAGGATTGTTCTCAGGGCCAACGGTCGGAGTTGACCGGCGTCACGTCGAACAGCTTCTTGCTACGGATGGATGACGTTGTCGAGGCGCACTTCGTAGTGCGAAACAGCAGCACACAAGCACTATACGGATTCTGTTCGACGTACTTTTTCAGATCTACTGGTACTGGCGTTATTGGTTCTTTGATTGTCGACCCCAATAGACGGAAGCTGTCAATTGGCCATTCGCTCCACAACCGAGCCATCCGGACACTGCTCCAGCGCAAGGGAATGAAGAGGTTCCAGTTGGGCTCCCGTCTTCCGGGTATCTACCTGGGCATTCCAACGGTGAACCCGGTGGAGCGCAAAAGACTGCGACAATGGTTTGCCAACCTCGGCTGGAACACGGCGCTCTCGCGGCCAGTGTGCAGCGTCGTGTTGCGCAATCTTTCTACCTGGTCACCACCGACTGAGTTGGCAAAGAGCCTACGGAACGCGGAGGTACACTACGATTTGGTCTACGGGTGGGACTATGCCGAGTCTATCCTCGATCACATCAAAACCACTTCGAGGCAAGGAGTGATGGAGATCTATAAGCTCGCTTTGAACGGCGCGCCAGACTGCGGCATTATCAGGGCAAAGCGGCCGGATGATGGCGCGGTAATTGGCAGTGTGGTGGTCTATAACGACCGTTCAATCCTGGCGGAGTATATGCCTGTCCTTAAGGAGACACACGCAGTAGCTGGAGGCATCTCTTCCGTGGTAATCTCGCCATCCGTGGGTGAATATGCCAGTCTCATGCAGGGGCTCATCTTGCTTGGGATTAAGCAGATCCGTCAGCAGGGAGCTGATGCTGCGGTTCTAGATTGTGTAAGTCTTTTCTTTCTTTTTTTTCTGTTTCCTCTTTTTTGCCACTTGTCTTGGGTCGTCTGAGCACTACTTTTCTGGGAGATCGCTAACGTGGGGGTTGCCTGCAGGTCGACGGCGATGGAAACTTCGATAGCTTGTCCGGAATGGGCTTCAGTGTTCTTCACAGTTTCGAGGAAGTAACGTGTGACGCGACAACCTGGACAATGATGCCGCCTTCATGAACGATCTACAAATGCGAGACGCTCCACATCCGAAACTGCGGGCTGCGACTCTTCGAGCAGTTCGATTTTGCTGCTTTTTGAATCCTCCTTGTCTCTACGTTGATCACGACACGAATCTCTTTGTGCGGTTTTTGGTTATGGCATTTTGTATACATTATTGATATCCATCTTGCGTGAGAATTCACTTTTTGCCTATTTAGGTCTGTTTTGCCTGGCGTTATCAGGGGCCCCCAATATGATCGGCAGTTGTTGGTACTAGGTGACTACGCACTTTGGCGGGTGGCGGCTATGGGAGGCTTAGTGAGGGGGGGCGGAAGTTCGGGGCTGCACACAAGCTTGAGCGGAAGAAGCGGCTCAGCGGCTGTCCCTGCATGTTCGCAATTGTGTTCAACGCAGAGCAGGACGGAGAGGAGCTCTGGGGCAGACATTTGATGGCGACTGGATGGAGCAGGGGTCCGGCATATTCGAGACAGCGGGATGGGTTAGGTAGACATTGCAAGGTGCAGCTTCTCCCGAATGGAACAGCCTGGGCTTTGCCTTGAGTGGCTCCGAGACTTGACGTTTCTCTCATCCAGTGCTTAGGTAGCATTGTACTATCTTCCGTGTGCCAACGGCGTATGGGGCGGGGGATCCAGCGGGTCGGTCAGTCGCTGACATCCTTGCATGGGGCACGATCGTCTAAAGTCAATACAGAAGAATTAAGCCAGAATAACGGGAAAGAAGCAGGGAAAAGATAAACAATCAATAACCAACGGAAATTGAAGGAAGACGGAGCTTTCGGAAGTCCCGCCTGTACTCCTTTTCACTCACCTTGGCCACGGACCGGGAGTCTCAGCAGCTCCAGCACAAGGATCCTTTGGGAGGGAAATCTCGTAAACGCCTAGTTTGTCCTACTCAAACCAGTCTACCAGGTGTCACGAATGTCAATGTTGGAAATCCCTCGGTCCATCCCAATTGGGTGTAGAGATGACGCAATTCGTGAAACTCGTGGATATCAACCACGCCCCGCCAGATATGTATCCAATTCACCATTAGTACTAGACTTATTGTGAACGCCTTCCAGTGACAAAGTGGATCAATTTCCGTATAGATATAGATATATGTGTGGATGCACACGTATACGTATGTACCTAGACCATGTATCTATACTTCCACCCCAGATATCCTCAAATATATATACTCCCGGATGATAACCCTCACCGTATAAAAAACAGAGTACACATCCTGCCGTCATCTCCAAGTTAGCATAGAAAGTATCATATCGCATAAATCCATTCCACATAATAATCATAATCCACAGGATAGGGATAGAGAGAGAGAGAGAGAGAGGCACGCACCTCTATCTCGATACAGAAAAAGAAGAAGACTTAAACACACCTATCTCTCCTTCTTGCGTTCCTTATATATATTAGGGAAGCTAGTCCTATTTTAACGTGTATAACGCCCTACAGATCGCTACTAAAGTTAAAAAAAAAGAGTTTTATAAAAAAAATACCCCGCTAAGCTAAGCTAAAACCTTTGCGCTATTTAATGCATTAAGTAGATGAACTATGAAAAATAAGATAAAGAACCTCTAGATCAAATTAACAATAACAATAACTATCTACTAGATTTAGACACAAAATCTACAAACTAAATAGGGGGGTAATGTAATAATTGTAATGCGGAAATTAGCGGCAGAACTGGGATAGAAGTAGCTGTAGCCTAGAACCTTTTTTCTTTCCTTGTCCAGTTTGGAATCCTTTGATCTCTACTTAGATACCTAGAAATGCATCTAGTCTGAGCAGAAGTCCTACGTACACCTTTACAACCATTATCAAACCACTCACTTTACTCTCGCGTCTTCCAATCTTATATTTCCAAGACTCCATCATGAGCTTCCGTGACGATTGGCCTAAGATGCCAGATAATAACGACTTCGACGGCAAGCAGCTGCTCGCTCTAGTCCGCAGCGGCAAGAGCCCCTTCCACGGAGTTTGGGATGTAAACCTACTCATTCGAGAGGTTGAGGAGAATCTCGGCGCCAAAGTGATTGATATCCCGGTCGTATACAAGGGCTCGAATAACTACGTAAGTTTTTTTTTTTTGGGCAATCTTTATAACCCAATTCTATTCTATGCTAAGAATGAGGTTGGGGGTTGCGCACAGGGTTTCCATATCAAACTATCGAATCGACCGGACATCGTGGCGCGTTTAGCTCGTGGCGATATCAATATGCCCAACTATGACGGCCCCCCAATTCAAGTGCAAGTTCCCGAGGTCAAGTTCGAGATAGCAGTATACAAGCTCCTGCGCTCAGAGCCTAATATCTTGGCCTCCCGGCTGCTTTACTACCGTATCCCAGTGCAGCACGTTAGTCCCAGACTTGATATCCCTCAGGATATTGCGGGCCGTCGCTTGTTCTTGTTTGAAAAGGCAGAGGGGGAGAATCATGTCTGGCAGGATCTCAGCTCAGAACAGAAGGTGCGTGCCAATGTCAGCAATAATATGTTGTTCTGCTCTACTCAAAGTCAATTTTAACTGTGCAATCTTCTGTCTCTAGGCCTGTCTTCTTACTCAGACAGCCCATATCCGCGCATCATTATTCAACTTCAACCTTCCGCTCGACTTCGCTACTACTTGGCTCCGCGAACGCCTCTTTGAACAGAAACCCAAATCGCTCCCTATTCCCATTGCCCCCACGCGCGAGTTCTGCATTTCTCTCTTCACGTCTAAGATTGAAGCAACAATCGGGAATATAGGCGACATGATCGGATGGGAGGATGACAATAACACCGTCGGTCCCATTGCTGCGTCAGCTAAGCAATCTCTCTTGCGCCTTATCCCACACATTATGCCTGCAGATAGCGACCGGACCTCTCTCTATCGTCTCGTTCTCGAGCACGGCGATTATGGCATTCACAACATGTCGATTACAATAGACGCAGACGGTCAACCCGTTGTGACGTCCCTATATGACTGGGAGACTGGCTGCATCGTGCCGGCTATCTTGTCCGATCCGTTGATGGCCGTATGGGTCGATCTAGTAACTGATGAGAATGCCAACCCTTCATTTATTCGAGCACCTGATGACGCAACTCCGGATGATCGCGTGGAGTACATGATATGGGCGAGGCAATATTTCACGGTACGTCCGTCCTTGGTTCAATTATCGTCTTTTTTGTTTTTTTCTCAGTATATGAGCAGAATAGTAAATAACTGCCTTTCTCTCCGTGCAGGCTCTCTTCAATCAAGCGCCTAATTACGAACGTGCAATTCAAGCTGGGAAAGACGCGCGCCACCTTTGGTTTGCGTTGCGAGACTGGCGAGGTGATGATCCGGAGGGATATTTTGGTGATCTAGGAGCTTGGGCTGAGAGGAGGATGAAGGAGCTTGGTGTTGATTGAGTATTAAGTATGTACGATGACTAACTAACTGATTGCCTTTTCTTGTTCTCCTTTCGATATTCTGCCTGATTCCAATAACCTCCCATGGACGAATTCGACGAAGGGGTGGGAATACTTAGAAAGGAGGACTGTGAACAATAGCCAGATGACATGTACTACTAGGTCAAGTTCATGAGAATATACTACCCCAGCCTTATTCTTTCCAATTCTAGCCAAGGAGCCCAAACTGGCCGTCCTTGTCCACTGTGAGCTCACCTCCTTGGCTTACTTGCTTGATCTGGCTCAGGTCTGGCTCACAGGCTATAGCAGCAATGGCTCCGGTCCAAAGACGGATGTGGAAAATGCTCATGTCGAGATCTACGATATCGAACTAGCTGTTTCTTGTTTCTGTTTTGTGTTTCAAGATAGGAGGCAGATAGAGGCGGGGAAGGGGGGCGGGGGAGTGGAAAACTTATGCGCATAGATATGACTGTGACTTTCGGGAAGAGACTAAACTATGCTTCGAGGACCGGTTCAGGAACGGTGCGTGAAGATCGGGGAATATTATGGTTATTTTTTCTATCATCAGGAGAGTACTCCGTAGTGAAGCAGGACCATAGGCGAGGTAGTAGTTGAACTTAGTTAGATATGCGTCGAATCGAACATGGGGCGGAGGATAGACACGGTGGATTACCGAAATAGGCATCATGTACCTGTACATACAATGTACAGGTACCATCGATGGAACGAGGGTCGGAAGGTACAGTGACAATGGGAAGGGGACTCGTCCCTGCAGGGAAGAACGTCGAAGGGGCCATATTAGGTCGAGGTAGTAAGGTTAAGTGTCGGGATGAAGCGAAAGTTGTTCTGGAAGGGTGTCATTTCGGCTTCTAGTCGGTCTTTGTTCATCGATTTCCCCCCAGAGGGTCTTTTTTGCAAACGCTGCTCCCCCCCTCCCCTCTTTATCACATGTACTTGGCATTCTTGCGTGTCAGGGGATTGTCTATCTGCGTCTAGGTAGGTACTCCGTAAGCAGTGAAGAGGAGGCTAGTGGACTGTTGTGCATCTTGCGCGTGTTCGCATCGAAGAAAAACGGATATCCCTGTTGAATCTGTTATTTAGTTCCATTGCTTCAGAACAATGGTTGAATTTCTGCCCCGTCTCCGACGGAGTTTCCAGCAGCGTCCACTTTGAGGTCTAGGCCTGTTACAGGATAGACATGGGTCTTCAGGAAAAGAAAAGTGCTGGATTCTCAATCACGGACTCCGTTTCAAGATTTCCGTGCCTTGATGCTTGCTGTACGGCGCAGACTTGGGCAATAATGATAATGATGACGACTACCCCGGAGATTACCATATTTCTCACTTGCGAAACATGCGTGATGAATCCTGTCTATGCTGAGAAAGTATGAGAGTACCCCCCCTTCCCTGCTCGATTATCATCATTATTATTCCGCCCGTACAGCTGTGGACATGATAGCTCTTGGGTCCCGCAAAAGATTGTAGATCATCTGTAGTGAGAAGTTGACGATAACTCAATCAATTGGTCAAGTGCCTGAAAATCGTTGATCACCTCATCCTCCGATAAGCTGAGCGGCAGCTTGTCCTGACGAAAGGATTCTCCAGGAATCGTCGATCCCGGCGGGGGCACGATGGGCTCATTATTGGCAACCGGAAGACCCCGGTGACGAGCAATTCTGGACGGAGCCAAAGGGTCCTGGTTCGCTAGTGCGAGGAAATGAATCTGTGAAGCGATTCTAGTGCTGAAGCCAATCATCGTATCGGATCTATGGGAGACCTGACGACGGAGCGGAGGAGAACATGGTTCAGGAGGAAGCCGGACGAAGATAGGAAGAAAGTAGTTAACTAAGTGAGTCGATTAATCAGACAGTTGAGAACTTGAGATAGTTAGATCGGCTGCAGAGAGAGAGAGAGAGAGAGAGACAGTCGCGGAGAATCGCCTGAAAAGCATTCATTGATTGACCGTTATGGTCCCCTTCGGGTTTTTTTTTATTTTTAGTTATCTAGATGGGATAGAATAGTTATCTGTTGACGGTCTCATCATATCAAGTTGCTAGCCTGCTTTTTTCTTTCTGCATGTCAGACCGACCGAGGAAGATCTTTTTTTTCGCACCAGCCAGTCCGTAATAATCAATCAATATTAATTAACTACGGAGTAGTGATTTACCTCCAGGATAATAAGCGGACGCTCGGAGCCTAGTTGACTCCGTGCCTGAGCAGACGGCGCCTCCGGCAGCTCGTGCGGACTATTTTTCTTTTTTGTGTTCGCAGTTATCTAACTAACTTGTGTCGGCCTCAACCGCCAGTGGGTTCATGCGTATTTCCCCTCTCGGACATTGCCGAGTCTCCATGGAACGACAGAAGTTAGAACAGCACCGAACGGATCGTCCCCTGTCAGTCGTCTTGTTTCCCATTTCATTTTCTCAGGGAACGTTATTGAGGAAACAAGCCTGTCTCATGTCTAGGATGTCTGGAGATTATTCTCCCGGACGGAGGAATTGTGGATGCGATCTATAGCCAACGATATCGAGCTGCGCAGTGTGGTGGTCGAGTCTCTGTGGCAAACGGCGTGAATAACTAATAATGATGGAAAAGCCAGACCTGTTCGTTCTGACTTTCTCTGCCCTATCTTCTTGCCCCAGTTTTTGACACGAATTGCCCTAGACAGCAGGAGATCGTCCCAACGGTCAGCCAAGCTCCGTGCCTGGCTTTGTGGTGTTTCGACTTTCGCCATCGTCACTCGTTGCTCGCGATCAATCCCAATCCCATTGATCCCTCGCTCTGTGCCGTCAGTGGCCAATATGGTAAGTTAGACTACTACTATCGACTACTGGACGTCTTGCGCTAAATCGAGTTTCTTGGCTCTCTTGCTTCTTGTCTCTCTCTACTACTGGCGGGGTCCATGCGTTCATTATTCCGCTGGATTCCACCGCCGTTAACCGCGAAGAAGTAGAGAGAGAGTCTCTAGAATGATGAATCAGAGCCAACAATGATCCGCTCCGTCATCTGCCCTGGTGAATCATATCTACTCGATTGTACAGAGTACAGCACTACTGTACTACTGTGTAGACTGCAAACTCCGCTGAACAATCGTCTTTACTTTACGCGAAAGAAGCCAGCCATGCCGAACTCGGTAACTCTTGAATCCGGCCCAGCCCGCTGGTTGCGCCCCCAGAGTCGGTTCCACTCGGCCTGGCTTTAGTTTCACTCTTCTAAACTCAGACCAGCAATAGTGGACGGTTTAGTGTTTGGCCCCCGATCAACTTGAGCAGTGGATCCAGCGCTGGCCTCGGTCAGATCCATGGGCGGGGGAGAGAACACAGGGCTTGTTGTGGGTGATTGTTCTGATTGTTCCGTGCGAAACAGTGGAGATGGGATACAGAGAGAGAGAGAGAGCAGCTCCAGAGCCACGAGGACGATACAGAGGACAGAAACAGCAAAAGCAGGCTCAGCAGCTGACCCGGAGGCCCCGAATCACAAGTGGTCTGCCCGACTGATTGGTTTGTGTCGATGGGTTTGTCTTCGTCTCTTTGTCTTTGTGTGCGTTGGAAGATCTATCGCATCTGAAAGTCGCGCATCGAACGGGCCCTTGGAGCAGACTGGTAATAGCACCGGCACGATAGCTTCTCCCGGACATTCTAGAAAGAAGAGAGTTAGCACGTCGACGCCAGAGCCAGCCATCCCGGGGGAATTACCATAGACTGCTCCTGAATAATGTGGTAGTAATATTAATACATGAGACTGCAGACCATAGGATCTAGTCTCCGGGGGAGGCGTTCAGTCCAAGCCGTGTTTGGCCGGGAGGGGATCGTTAGATTGCATGACTGTGGGATATTGTTCTGACTGAAGCAGTGGGATGCAATAATAATAATAACAATTACTAGGTATCTTCTTCCTCATCCTCCACCGGGGCTCCGATGCAGCGTCTAGGCCATGGCGGGTATAGTGTGCATCCACCGAGATAAAGCAGGCGATAAAGCCGGGACGAGCACGACACGAGGAGGAAATGCAGCAGAACATTCTGTAGAGTAGAGTAGAGATCGACCGTCCCCTGATAGCAACGCAACAGCAGCCAGGTTTGGTTTCTAGAAATCCATCCATCAGTCAATCACCATGATCGCCCGCAACAGTCGCTAGGACGAGCCCGGTGCCTGATCTGCCTCCGTCCTTCGACTGTCCGGGTGCGGCCATCACTTGCTTGTCTCTCTCTCTCTCAGTCTCAGTTAAGAACTAAACTCGGGCGATCCACCGCATCCTCGTCCATCATCGACTTAGTCTCCTCCTTCGCATCCACTTACTTCTTCTTCTTCTTCTTCCTGGACGTCCTGCCTGCTCGCTCCCCTTCAACCACCGCGCCAGCCCGGACCAGCGTTTGTCGCGGCCTCTCCTGTCAGTCGACTCGAGATCCCTGGGTCTGCGCAGTGTGAGAGAGAGGCTCATATCTATCCCCGTCCTCTCCTCTCCTGCTGGTGGCGCGCAATCCAATCTTCTTTCCTCCGTCCCGCCGCTGTCCAGCCTCCCCTCACTGGACTTGGCTTGGCTTCACTTCACTTCATTTCACTTCGTTATTTTGTCTTCACCTGCTCACGCATCTTCTGCCATTGAGGCGGCCCCTCGTTCAGTGTCTGTACTAGACTCGACAGCCTCTGCGCGCGACAGCAACAACAGAGACAACAACAACACCGTCATCCTCACCTCGCCCTCACCTCCGTCTTCCTTCCGACGCGATCCTCCCTCCAGCAGGACTGCTTCACCGTTCCCTCTGCGTCTGACAGACCCAACTCATGTGCGCTCACCATGGACGGATACGACGCCATCACGATGCCCTATTTGGGCAATCCTATGACCGTGCTCCCTCCTAATATGCACAACACCGAATATCTGTCCATGTCGCAGCTGGATGGGCCTGACCAGCCTCCCAACTTTGACCCGGATAACTTTATCGGGTAGGTGAATCTTATACTTCAGTGTTCAGACGGGTGTGCTTTCGTCTGATCTCATCAGATGACGGGCCGTTCCCTTTCGTCCCATCTCTGATCCCCAGCTTTCATCGCATCTCTTCACGTGAATGCGCAAACACACGCTGACAAGTAACACAACAGCAACGACGACATGATCTACTCCGCGCATGGCATCATCAGAAACATCCCCCAGCATTTCCCCGAACAGTATGCCGAGATTATGCCTTCATTCGAGCCTCCCGCGCCCGAGCAACAGCAACCACAGCAGCAGGACGCCAATATCGACCATAATCACAAGCTGCTGAGCTTCTCTGCCCCCACGTACAGCTTCACCTTGCTGGACTATTCTCTGCACAGGACCAACATTTCCGTCGCGGCGCAGCTGCACGGCATGTTCTTTCTCGCGGAGTCGCCCTGGACCAATTCTCCCACGGAGGCAGTCCCTCCCCAGGTCGCCGAATTGACCTGTTATCGCCGTAATCTCTTCCAGATAACTGGCTCAGTCACGTTGCCGCGCACCCTGCGCTATCTGATGACGGACCAGGGGGATAGGATCCCCATTCTGGCACTGGAACTCACCGTTTCCGCCACGGAGTCGGTTGAGGGAAATGCGGTCAAGATCATCTCGGTGCCTTGGAAGACTCCCGCCGCCAACGGCAACCAGCAACCGGAGGACAAGACGGAGAAAGAACCACCAGCCATCCCGCTCGATACCATGGCTGGCCAGGACATGGACTCGGACTATGCGAGCTTCCCCATCGCCTGGAAGCGTCTCCAGTTCCGCATTGCAACCGCCAACAACGGACGCCGCAAGGAACTGCAGCAGCACTTTGTCGTCCGACTTAAGGTCATGGCCACTCTATCTACTGGCGCAAAGGCCCCCGTCTGCGAGGTCCGTTCCGGTCCTGTCATCGTCCGCGGACGCAGCCCGCGCAACTTCCAGTCACGGAAGGACCTTCCTCTGAGCGGCAGCGCAGCTTCATCTCGCAAGAACACCCAAGCGTCCGCAGCCAAGGGCAACAACCGTTCTCCCCGTCAGCCCAGCCAGACTCCCGTGCAGGCTGCGGCTCAACTGCGCGCGTCCACCAAGAGCAGCACCCCTGAGATGGGATCGATCTTCCAGTTTGAGGAAGCCCCTCTCCCGCAGGTGACTATGCCGCCGCACTCGTCTCCTCCCTATGCAGACTGGACGCAGATGCCTCCTACGACCACCGCGACTGCAGCTCCTCCTCCGGTGCCTTTTCCCCCGGCGAATTTGCCTCCCCTAAACGGATCTCTGCCTGGGTATCAGCGTACGAGCCCAACCATGTCGCGCGACACGGATTCGCAGCGTCGTCTTAGCGTTGCTCCCATTACGCTTTCTCTGGTAGACGACGAGTTCTCCCCGCCCAGGTCCGCGGATATTACGAAGCACTCTCGCCCCAGCAAGTCCAATAATGCATTGCCTCAGAAGAACCCGAGTCCGGAGATCGAGTCTGCACGTCCCACCAAGATGAGGAAGACCTCCCAGGCTTCTTCCACCCGCCCGCGTCCCAGCCGCTCTGCCTCCAACAGTGTTGTTCCTGTCTTGGGCACCGCCACTGTCAACGCTGCGCCGGCTTTTCCCGCGCCCGCGTCAACTCTTGCTACGGGATTTTCCTTCACCTCTGACAGCGCAGATCTGCTGTACGAATACTTCCCGCTGGGCCTGGATGAGTGGCACGCCCCCGTCGACGCGGTCTATCGCCCGCACGTGGTCCACCACACGAACATCCCAGCCGATCCCAAGGTGACTGCGGCGAGGAACAGGAGCAAGCGTTATTTCGCTGCTGAAGACGTGTATTGATCTTACGATACGACGTGTACAGACGGCTCTCTTCTCTTCGATTCATCCCAGAGAGTCCACTACAAACAAAAAAAAAACCCCTTTAATTAAAAATCCTGATAACAGCAAAATTCGCCATCAAAAACTTGACGCGCCATCTGGGATGTCGCCTTCAATTCTGTTCAATACTCCTTTGTCACCTGCTTCTACCGACCGATGAACGAGTACAGTAGCATAGGGTCTGTTGGGAGTTGTCTAGGCGTTAGGATCTCGTTGTTTTTTTCTTTCATCTTCTCTGTACGTGTACGAGTTGTCATGGACGACGTTGCAATCATGGTTTCGAAGGGCTTCTGGGTTTGGGTTAACCGCACCGGTGTGGGAACTGGAACTGCACACGACAGACAGACTTGGCGTGAAGGAGTCACTAATTGCTTGCATTTTTACTGTTGTTGATGTTGTCGCTTTTTCCTCGACAATCCTGCGTCATATTTTTATCCAATCATCAATATCCCCCCACATGTTTATGATGTCACGTTTGCTTTTACAAAATCTCGTCTCCATCTTCGTTTCTCTGTCTCGGTGGACGGTGCACCTCGTGGAGGTAGGGAGGGCCGATATAGGAGTCTTCCCCTCAAGTCACTGTCATAGTTAGCAGGGATCTGAACGATGCCGATCAAGTGGTGACCATTAGGTAATTCTAGCTTCCTTCTGAAGCGACCCGGTAATAAAACACAGACCGCTTGTTCGAACTTTCTTCTCATCAGCATAGCCAGTAGACTGTATTACATAGCATAATCTCTTCTCATGGATAGTCTATCTCTATCCAGCTGGCTGAATTAAACGCCGTAATCCCACATCATACTTAATGCACCCTCACTCACATAGTTATAACCAATTAAATATAGTCAATTGCCTCAGCAAACATGACGCAGGACGTAGCAAAAACAAGATAAATTCCATAACTAACTAGTTATCGCTTCCACTCTTACGTGAGACGGGACCAGATAATAATCATCGTTGCCAAGTTCGCGATATAGTACTCCGTACATAGTTCGTTCTAACGAACGGCTTACTTGCTTTAGTTCCCGGATCTCCGGAACCGAAGCTCTCCACAAGGGACACTACATTCTGATTGGAGGGGGGGGTTCGTCAAGATTAAGGTTGTGTTTGGAGATACATACAGTATCCAGTAATAATAGTTCGGGGTAGAAAAGATGGGAAATTAGCATAGCCTCTCTGTGTCTACAGGAACCGAACTGAAATCCCTGAACCTATCTATCTAAAGGAAAATGAAAAGCTAACACAAGACTCAGAATAAAATTCACATATGAAGAGAGAGAGAGAGAGAGAAAGAAAAAAAACCAAGCCCGACTAGTGTGAATTCGAATTTGAATTTAAACGCGGGAAGGTTATAAAATTATAAACAAAAAAAAAAACAAAAAAATGGGCTCAACCGGGACTCGAACCCGGGACCACTTCCAAACTTGGATACTGTTTCAAGGCAGATATCCGGAGGGGATTAACTAGATCCACCGCCCGAAGGAAGTATCAGACCACTAGACCATTGAGCCGGCTTATTAATGTGGCGAGGTTTAGTGATTTATCTATCCGCCTTTCTGTTTTGGGTGGTCTTGAGGAAGATGTGGGTTTTATGGTTGAGTGTTAAGGAGCGAAATGGTTAGTTTTATTTTTTTTTTTAAGTACTGCTAGTTACTACTTGAGTAATTATAGGGTTGATGTCTAGCTTACTTGCAGATTTTTTGATATGGGTTCTGGTATATGTGGAAAAGGGATTGCGTTGCATTGGAAGATGTTGATCGTACTTGAGTATATGTAGTAGTGGCTTTTTCCCTGTGCATGCAGGGATTTGACAACGTCCTTTGATACCTTGCGGGCTCGAGCTGGGGAGGCATCTGAGCCAGCCGGTAAAGCTGAAAATAGCTAGCTACCTGTTTTTCTACTATAGAAAGGGAAAGGGGTATATAGTATGGACCTGAGAAATCACGCCTGCTTGTTTCGATTATATATATATATGATAGCATCGGGAAGTTGAACTTGAATATCTACCTCGCCAACGCAACATTATTTACACCACATCGCTTATATATTACTCCTTGAACGTCTCAACAAAACCTGCCAGTCACTGAGCATAGCTCACAGTCGGTGGCTCACTAGTCGCGCGATTACCATAGCCCAAGATCTCCACCAGGGCAACCAGCAAGAGTCCCTCTGTGCCCAACACGTCGTCCAGCTGCAACTGAGGTGGGATACTCCGGCTGCAAATTTCGCTCAAGTTCAATCGCGATGGATCTCCCGGTCCATCATTGTTGATTGCATCCACCGCCAACGCCCATGCTAGAGGATTATACAGCACACCTTCGTGCGTGTAGTAGCCGCCTGCTGGCTGATTTGCACATATTGTTTGGAGATGATTATTCGTCACACCGACGTCCCTGGCGTCTGAGAGAAATGCGGATGCGGAAGGACCGCTCATCGGTTGTACAATCTCGTCGTAGGTGGAGTAGAGGGTTGTCGTGGGGACATAGGCCGAGTCACCATCGTCATCCCTGAGAGTCTTGATGAAGTTTGCATCCCATCCTTGTTGCCAGATCGACGGCGTACAAGGATATGATGGGAATCCAGGACAGACGAGAGCCTGAATGATTGTGCCGTGGAAGTCTGGACTGATGGCAATGAAATCCTCTACCGCATCCCGAGTTGAGGGCCAGTACTTCAATGCCCATTGAGTGTCGAGCCCACCTTGAGACCAGGATAGCACCGTGACGTTGGACGATGAAACATCAGAGATATAATTGATCGCATACGCAACATACTCCGAGTTCACCTGAGCGTCCCCAAGCGAAGCTGATGGGATGTTCACCCAGACAGGGTCCACGTTCGCTGCTTCGTTGATCTTGCTGAAACTGAAATAATAAGTTGTTCCAGCAGGTACAGCAGTGCCAGGAACGAGAATAATTGGCTTCTTCCCATTAGCTCCGTAGGAGAATGAAGGAGGAATATAGATTGCTCCACGGAGAGTATTCTCGTCAAGGGAGTATGGCGCGTCATCCGATGACTTCGATGGGTAGATAGTAGAGCTCGGGGATCTGGTGTTCACGTTGCTGATTGAGTTCAGAGAGAAATCAGCATAGCCATTGAGAAGGTCAAAGATGTCGCTGGGGATTAGTCCCTTGGCGATAAGCTCGTCCGAAGCCTGCGCGATATCCTCAATGCCACTCGAGAAGATTTCTGCGATGGCGTCCAAGGCAACTTTGATTGATTGCGTGTTATTCCCATTGGAGTTCCCTTGCAGTCCCGACAAGATATTGGCGGCTGTTTCTGACGTATTGTTCCCTGAAACAGACGGGTTGTCTGCAACGTTCTTCAAGACCGTCAAGATATCGCTTCCCGTACTCGTGGAGCTTGTCTGGCGCCGAAGTGAAGACCCAAAATTCGAGACAGGCCATGCCAGCGAACTGTCGAGAAGGCTAGCACCGATGCAAATAGACCATAACCACATGTTCTCGTAATACATGTTGTTGACCGATCGAACAACAATATACCCTCAGAAGCACATCTCGCGTGCCAAAGGCAAGGGAGAGGCGCGCCATGTCTTCCAATAATGAAGTTAATATCATATTCCCCAGGAGAATAGAGTTGTTCAGACTCCTCAAGACGTCCCTCGGCACGGTCGAGAAGAACAGAATTTAACACCAACCGGCAAACGCGAATTTAGAATATTGGTTAACGGCCGTCCTTGTTGGACAGAATCACGAACCTGCTCAAGAAGTAAGAACGAACGTGGATGTGATCAGCGTCTAGGAACCTACCAAGCACGCCATACATGGCAGAAATCCTCTAGTGGGCAGAGTCGTTCTCGAAGACAACAAGTATATGCAACAACATAGGAGACGATCTAGCACTATGTCTCCCACAAAAGGACGCCGAGTCCAATGATACATCGAGAATGTGGTGCCAAATTGCGGGGAAGGCCGACGCTCAGACGAACCCTCCTCAACTGCGGGGACGAAAAGTTGGAGATAACTGAAAGCAGACTATGTTCCAGTCACTTTCTATAGCCTTCGGGCCCATTTGGAAGATCACGGCGGTGACCTATGAAATGGTAGGCTTGAAATTGCGGGGTGAGTTCTCCCGCAATAATGGTACTCGATGGAAGTAGCCTCTGTCGGTCCAGTCGCGTCTTTTAGGGGTATTCATAAAAACATACTCGAAGTATGTTGGGAGAAATGAAGCAACACTGTGTTTTGGGAAGTTTTCTGTAATTCTTCATCAGCAGAAAAACATGCCATTGACTTTGCATGGCGATGGGAACGATGTCCTGAGATCATCGCGCAATAGCTCGTCAAGTCCTCCGGTCCACTGCAAGATATGATAATGAGATCCATCATACAAGCCTGGGGACTATGATTTCTTCCTGGCCCTAAGTTTTGCGACTACAGGAGCTCTCCTTCCCCGTAAAGGGTAAAGTGCCAGGTGATTGTTGACTGTAAGGCGTAAGTCAGTTAAATGGCCCATGTTTTGGTAAGCGGAAGAAATAAACTGACCTGACAGCCGACAGAGCCTTTATTATACCCACAGCAGGGTTTCATTCGACACATTAGTGCTGTCTCTAGTCCAATGCATATCAGTGGGTATGTAAAATATATACACACAAAACATATAGGCAGTGTCTCGGATATATTGTTAGTGGATGTTAGTGGATGAAGGAGCAGGTCGTCGGATCAGATAGTGGATAGTCCGTCCGCTGAGAGAAAATTCACCCAGAAAATCCACTGCCTAACCTTGTGTATATTGAATCTTGGTGGGAAAGAATGACGAAATAAGGAAACTGAATGAGCTGATGCAAGCGAGAATCGCCATCATACATTGCACATCGAACAAGCGCACTCATCTCATATTATGACTTTAATGTTGACATGTGACTATACACTATGTAAAATGACTGAGTGATACCTCCGTGATTAGTTAACAGATAGCAATATGCACATGAACCTTTCTAGATCCCACAGCGGCCCAGCAGAACCGTTTAAGAGTGGGTGGTGTAGTTTGCAGATGCCTGGGCCGCAGTAACAATTCGTCCGATGGTACTCTGCATAAATGTTCCGGGAGCAGCATATCCATTTAGATTGGTAAGTGCGCGGTTGAACTGGGTTATGAAATCGCAGTGGCTGTTACTGTTGGCTGAAATTTGGGTATCAACTATCAAGCTGAAACCAAGGTCGCCCACGTTCAACACATTCGCATACGCATCGCCACTCTGACTTGGATGTGGCCAAGTGATGGTAGGCGGTATGCTGAGCGCAAGTCGGGCGGTATTTGGATCTCCATAAATAGCGTGACTGGCCATATAACTCTGATATCCTTCGGCCAAGGTTGCAAATCCAGGGATGAGAGTGAAATCAACGGACGCATTATAGTTACCCAGCGGAACAGATGAATCGAAGAACATTGCTAGTACATCGTCTGAATGTAGTCCTGGAGTAACAGAATACTGCATATTGTATGTTTTTCCCGCATACGCTTGCGTCAACGTTCTAACATTGCATGTGAATGTGCTATCCCGTACGAAGGCTTTGTCACGTTCTCTTGCTGTCATATAAGGGCTTCCTGGAGTACCCGCTGCTGGGTACTCTTCCAGCACTGCCTTTTCAACCGCTGGACTCGCATATGCAGGTAATAAGGAGTGGATCCATTCCTCAACCTGCTTATTGTCAATTATGGTGTCTGAGACGAATATGTCGGCTTCGTCGCATACATGCGACACGATCAAGGAGTCGAGATTCTTCCAGTAATTCCCTAGCTGATTTAGTGTGTATTGTTTCAAATATAGCGAAGGAACAATTACCAGAGAGGAACTCAAGCCCAGCAAGCTGTCGAATCAAGCTCCCATCAGCAGCAGGGCCTAGATCAGATGACCCAGTAACGGCAGAAGAAATAACTGCTGAGTTTGCTTTTTGAATTGTCGCGAAATTCACTCGTCGAAGACAGCCCATATCACCACCCGGGCATCCGGCAGCAGTCGCAAAGCTCTGAAAGGTGTCCTCTAATTGCCCTTGCCGGTCAAATAGTATCTCGAATGCAGGGCTCATGACAACTGCTTTTGAGAATAAGGGATCCTGACTGCCACCAAAGGCAACTAGGTGATGAAAAATAGCACTTGCTCCTGCTGACTCGCCCCATGCGCTAACCTGCGTCTTGTCGCCTCCAAGCAAATAGATATAGTCCTGTACCCATTGGAGTGCTGCGCGCTGATCCCAAAGACCAAGATTTGAAGTTCCGCTCCTTTCCATCGTGTTTCCAGCTAGCCAACCCAACGCACCCAACTAGAGGTAGAGATGAGTCAGTAGAAGCATCAAATACCAGAAAAAAAAGACGACATACTCGATAGTTGATTGATACAAAGATTATGTCACCATGAGACTGCCTCAGCACTCCGGTGCCTTCGTATAATGGTAGAAAGGGCATACCCCCCTTCAATCCCCCAAACACGTTCTTCGAACCGAAGGTGAATGCTCCTCCAAAAATCCACACCACGACTGGAAGTGCCTGCTCGTCCGGATTCCGGATTGCCTTTCCAGGGACCTGAATGTCTAAGAAGAGACAATCCTCGGAGATCTCACCTGCTAACCCTTCTTCAAGCGCGTTGAGCATAGTGCCAATAGGTGATTTCGAGAGACCGCCTGCGTTGAACAATGAGAATGGTATATCTTGAGCACAAGATGGTCCATAACTTCCATTCTGAATACCGGGAGTTTCTTGGGGAGGTGCAGGCTTTGCAAACCGAAGGTCTCCAGTTGGCGCAGCCGCAAAACGAATGTTACTGAAGTAGTAGATCTAGACGAGGTTAGAAGCTTTAATGACCTGGGCTTCAGACTTGAGGGTATCTGCACGGATAGACGAACATCATCAGCCACCTCATACGAAGTTGCTTTGTAGGTGGCATATGGTAGACTCAGAATTGGAAGCTCACCTTCGGAGTCCTCGAATCTGATCCCCAGTTTTTGAGTTGCAGTAGCTGCAGGAGCAGCTGCAGCAAGGACCGCCATACTCAGAGCAAAAACAACGACTGAAAGCATTTTTTCTTGGAACGAAAGGAGTGTGTATTCCTGAATTAAGTGAAAACTACTGCGAGCTGCAATAGATAATCGCCAACGCGACTCGTTTTATCTAGGCGCCATCACGCGTCGACCTAATCAGGCGGACAAAGAAACAGCGGCTTGGGAATAGCACGTCCCCACTTGTACGACATGGGATGAAGGAATTCTTGCTGTGTATAGCACAAAATGTCGGTGTGTGGATTGTCTATATGTTCGCATAGGAAGAATCATAGTGTTAGATTTGACTGTTAAGAATGAACATGTGGTTTGAGTGCCTACATAGCGTTCGGACACATGATACCTCTCAGGTGTCCGATGACTTGGCATGAGGTGGTACGAAGAGACTTTTTGAGTAACAAAGTGCGTATTATCTTAAAGGTGACTTTCATCATTCCTTTAAGCTCCCCGAGATTTATGAAAAGATGCGTATCCAGTTTTCTTCTATACTCCAATTAACCATCCACCTAATATACTGGTGCAAAAATAGTTCAAGATCAACGACATTTCAAGAAAGCTCAATTGGCCTAACAATTTATGGAATATCTATTAATACACAATAGACAAATCAATCACAATTTCTCACTTCTTCTCCAACGTACTCGGGTTATGAGCGACCCGATGTCCATGCTGGTCCTGGAACACGACCTGAAGAGCGTCAGCATCTCGCCTTCCACAAGAAGACCCGCTAACAAATTGATAACTAGAGCTCCAGTGTTATCGAAGTGACTCACCTTCGGTGGATTTGCAACTCCTTCCTCACGAGCTCCTTTCTCATCCATAACTATCTTATCGACCTGCAAGCAGACATGTCAGCGAGAAAAAGAATGGTTCGAATTTAACTTCTTCAGTGATCTATAAAGGAACAGAAGAGAGATTTAACTATACATACCTCACCCTGATGCGTTCCACCGCGATACTTTGTCGCGACATAATCACCCTCATTGATGTTCTCGCCTTTCTTGTCTTTGACTCTTTCGACGGACATAGTTAAGACTTATTTATGTTCCAAAAGAATCAGAAGATCCTTTTTCTTGTAGTTGATTTCACTGAGAATGATAAATTCTTATCGAAAGATATAAAGACGATCGCTGCGTGTGATGTCATCATGATGTTCTGGCAATAAGCAACGAAATCATCATGTTGAAAGATAGGGCCAGAGCGCAAGGATATTAGGATTATCCATAAGGACTATGGGGTATGGTGCATTATTATTGAATGCTATGTCTGAACATTGGATGACTACTGCGGAATTGCAGATTGCCTGCGGGAGTGCGAATCTTGCGGTTCTGGGGAGGTGCCTAAGTCCACATGAGATACTTGATACTTTTTTTCGGTTCAATTTCTCGACTGCTGTCCTAATTCTTGATGCATAGAAATAGTCGTCAACAAATTATGCCAAAGAAAGGCTCTTGCAACTTAGGATGTAGGAAGAGCTTAGTTGACATAGGTAATCCACCAATCGCCTCACGTGTTCCACGAGCTTTTTGAAAACCTACACTATTCAACCAAACGTTATGCCTCAAGAACTGTATAAATCTTTGAAGGATCTTGTTAGATATGAGAGGATATTATAATCAAAGATTGAAAGCAGTCTCTAATTCAGTATACATAATAAGTGGCGTAACTTTAATCCACAGATCCTTGCTTTACATAGCAGATATGCAACCACACAATCCTCCTGGCTGCACATAGATCCCTACAAGGCATCCAATGGATTGGGCCAGGCACTTGTGCCCGAAAAGACGGTGACCACGAAAAGAATGCACGTCCACACATAAAGAGGGAGAGGGATATATCGTGTCCTAGGAGCGGTCAAGTGTAACAGGCCAGGGAGGTCGTGTCGTTACAATTCTTGACACTGCTCTTCAAGTATCCCCAGCGAATAGTAGCTAGATGATGCCATATGGACAGGGAAAGACGCCTGTTCCATCATGCATCTGAGGACATATCCTGTCCAATGTACAAGCCGCGATGGTGCCCATACCTGCCAATAGAGATGACTGGCAGGAACGGGCCACATCTTGGTTCCTTGCCTCGAGGAGGCCGTGGACCGGAAAATTCAGTGGAAGCATCCGGTAGTAGCTAATTTTGTTGGGCAAACAAGAAGCCATCGACAGTCTGATTCTGCGACATCCAGCACGCTTTCTGTACACGACTGAGACGAACCAAAAGCCGGGAGGAGCCGGAAGCTGTGCATAACTCTCCATGGTGTCGCGATGTAGCATCATCATCGTCTCAAGGCAGAAGCATCTCCAAGCGGTGTGAGGAAGCAAAGTGTCAATCTCTTGGCACGTTGCAGAATCCACCCTCCGTGGATAATACGAACCAACAATTTACCTAGTTAGAGGATTTAGTTCGGTCAGTAGGTATGGGGCTGGGATGAACTGTATAGCAGTCTATACTGTAAACATATCAACCAAGATAGGTTGTAGGGTGATTGTCATGGTGGCCACGTGCAAACACACACTGGTAAGTAGTGAGCTGAACAATTGCGAAAAGTGGATTCTGCACCATGCAAGGGAAGATGGTGATACAGTGTGGTATGCGTGATGCTTGTCTGGAGGATCGCAAATCTGCAGCGAAATAAAAACGCAAAATAGGAATGATTTAGATAATCATCCCACTTACGGATACCACATCCTAGAACTGACAGTTCTAACTCGACCACTCGAAGAAGGGGTTTGAGCTGTCTCTGAGACATGATGCAAGCCAGGGTTCCCCGTTGTCAGGCTGCGCTGGAATGGATGTGACTCTCGTAAGCACGTAGAGCAATTGTTGATCTACCACCAGATATAATTAATACTCTGCTGTGCGGCATATATGGCATTCTTCAACTGAAACATCCTCCCAATGTGTTCCTATTGTCGTTCGTAGTTTGCTCGATGCCACGAGTTGGGTGATCCGTGCGAGCTCTTCAACTGAGCCAATTCGTGGCTTGTGGCTTGTAGACCCAGCCTCTGGCCCTTTCCTGGGAGGTGACATGGGTTAATTCTGAAACTAGTAATCCATTTGCGCGAAGCTTTTCCAGACGAAGCAGGTGGTTAAAAAGGGGTTCCGCGAACAAAGAACTCTGACAGATCGAGAGCAGCACTACAGACCGTTTTCGGAGGTTGAAAGTGGCGGGACTTGACATCGGGCTCCGATAGGCGACTCTTCATTGTAACCCTGAGCTGTTACATGCCACCCTGTGGTCGCGTGCCAGCGCAAGTTACAAGAACAACGAGTCTGTAATAATCTAGTCAGCTGCGCATGGTATGTTTCTTCTGGCAAGAATAGTGCGTAATACAGCAAGATTATGTTAGATATGCTTCTGAAGTTCTGATAAGTAGAGTATGGTGGCTCGGACCGGTCCCGAAGCCTCGTCTGAAGAAGTTCCAACTGGCGGCGTTGTGACAGAACGGTAACAAGCCAGACGGTATTTGTGACCCCAGCTGTGTGCTGTTGAGGATAAGTCAAGCAATTGGGCCTGTATTCAATCAAGAAAAGGCTCAATCCCGAGGCGTTATTTCTAGAAGCTGATCCAACTCTTGTTATTAAAACCATGTGTTGATAGGAGATTCTTCAGAGTCATCTGTGGCGAAATTCCGGTTATTCTTTAGCTAAGTTAAGAACATCTTCACAACTATGGATCGTCGCGAAGGATTGAGAACATTTTCCACGCGTGTGTCCGACTCTCAGCAGGAAGACACTCTGAGTATCTGAACATTCTACAGACATCCGCTGGACCGCAGCATAGCGCTGTATCGCTAGCATCGAATGATTTGGGATACACAATCCACAATAATATTATTGCCATTGAGCTGTCATCCCTGAAAAGTGATAGTACTGTAACTATCATATAGTAGTATGGATGCAGATGAGGTTACCGACATCGACCAACGCAGAATGTCACCTTCGACTTCGAGAAAGTGGTTCGACCGGAGCTGTGTTTCCTCCATCAACTCCAATGAGACCTTGTAGAATAATTAAGCTTAGACACGATTAGAGCTCAACTGATTATCAGCTACTACCTAGTTAATAGTTGTACTGTACGTACGTATGTATGTATGTACAGTAGATACGTCGATACATACGCATACCAGACCGCGGCGCGCAAACGGTACCTGACGATACCGACGGGATACGGCACCCCGACAATGATCAATACCACCCTGGCCTGGGCTCTCTGCAACTCTGGGCTCGATCTCATCGACCTTTTTCTCCATACCAGCGCCAATCTTTCTCCCCATCAACCCCATACCGGCCGAGTAGACTGGCAGGTCTGGGAACCTCGCCTTGTCCACGAGGAAACGGCAGATCGCACTGTAACGCTTCCGTCTCCTCGTGAGATCTCCTCTTGCAACTGCTGTTTGCTTTCTGCCGTCTCCTTCCTGGAAGCTTGCCATTCGCTTCCTGTTTCTTTCCTGGTGATCGCGCCCGTCTTTCCTGTTAGGGCTGCTCCGTCGTGTCCGGCCATCTGCCCACCAAGTTTTGAGATCGATCTCCCATACCGGCTGCAGTCACGGCGATCAATCTCCCCTGCGCCTTCGAGGGAGACACGTACTTATGCGCCAGGGCGCTCGTCAGGATACCGCTCACTGAGTGCTTGCTTGTCTGTGCAGTGTTTACCTGATCCAACCATCCTTTGTATTCTACATATGTGCTTTGTACAACCCTGGCGTATCTTGGTTCCCTTCTAAAGGAGCTTATTATCGACCGGCGCTGCGACTCTTGGTTCCACCTGGCTTTACTTAGAGTCTTAGACTCTAGACTCTAGAGAGTCATAGGCGAAACCCCTGCCTGTCCATCTTCCGATCTCCACCACTGGGGGAGTTAAAGATCTCCCGCCAGTACTACCTCAGTTTCATACATACATACTACTTTACTCCGCCGTCTATTTCGCTTCTGTTTACCTTCTTTACCTTCTCTCCTTCATCCACTTTCTTCAAATCGACCTTCCTTCCTCCCATGCTCTCCCAATTGCTAGAGCTACTTTCGTGCCCGGACTGGGCGTGAGACATACGGAGTACATTGCATCCCCCGCGCTCCTACTCGGTCGACTGCGCGATATCATACCTTCTGCCCGTCAACATGACGGCATCTCTCGTTAAGGTCCTACATAGGATGCAGGAGCTATTCCAGAACATCGTGTCGGCACTCGAGACCATGATCTTATTTCCTGCCCTCTTTCGCGATCTTTCACGCAAGCGCCGCAAACACTTCCGAGGCGCGTGCTGGCCCCCGAGGACGCTCGAGGACTTCGCGCAAGAGATCGAACGTCTCTTTACGACTCCCTTGGCTCTGAGGAACATGCTCTCCATGTCGGAGAAGACACATCAGCAATTCAGAGCTTCCCTGCAGTCTAGCCCGGTGAACATGTTGCCATCCTACACATACGCACTTCCGACGGGAGAGGAGAAGGGAACATACTTGGCATTGGACGTTGGTGGATCGACATTCCGCGTTGCGCTAGTCGAACTTCGTGGGAGGAGCGAGGATATGAAGATTTTACACGTCAAGTCGTTGGTCATCGATAATACCGTGAAGCAGCTGGAGGGAACAGCGTTCTTTGACTGGATGGCGGAGAAGATCGACTTAACGCTGGCAGAAGTTGGCGAGAAGTACGGCCGGGATGCGAAGCCATTGTCTATGGGTTTGTCGTGGTCATTCCCTATCGATCAGACGTCCACTCGTAGTGGACTCGTGATCCACATGGGTAAAGGGTTTCTTTGTTCCAACGGCACGCTTGGTCAGGAACTGGGCGATCTCATAACCAAGTCGTGTCAGAAGCGGAACCTCAACGTGCGAGTTGATGCAATTGTGAATGATAGCTCAGCCACACTGCTTTCCAGAGCTTACAATGACCCTAAGACGCGAATGTCTCTCATTCTCGGGACAGGTACTAATGCTGCCATTCACTTTCCTGTTCACGAAATTGGTGCTGCGAAATTCGGTACCAGACCCCAGGAGTGGTTCGATCGAGCAAAGAACGTGATAGTGAACAGTGAAATGAGCATGTTCGGTGGCGGGATTCTACCAATGACGCGGTGGGACGACGTGCTAAACCGTACGCATATGCGGCCGGATTACCAGCCACTTGAGTATCTGACTACGGGACGATACCTGGGGGAGATTGTGCGTCTCATCATTGTCGAGGCCGTCGAGACTGCTGGTCTGTTTGGAGGAGAGTTTCCGCATTCGATGCGGGAGCCTTACTCATTGGACACAGCTATACTCGCGTTTCTTGAAGCGGATACGTCTGCTTCATTGGCAGCATCGAGCGCCCTTCTGCAGAAAGAACATACTTTCCCGGTATCCCCGTCTGTAGAAGATCTCCAGTTTCTTCGGAAAGTCGCTGGATTTGTGTCTCGCAGAGCAGCAGGTTATCTGGCCACTGCAATCCACAGTATGTGGTGTTTGCGAAACGAAGCAGAATTTCCTGTTGTAGCAAGAACTTCAGTGGAAACCACGAAACATGAAGGAAAAGTGACCGAAGAAGTCACAGTCGTCGAGAGCGAGGAGCAATCCAGAAGCTTGACCATCGCATGCGATGGTAGCGTCATCAACAAATACCCGGGTTTCAGGGACCGATGTCAGGCATATCTTGACCTCCTTACTGAACACACGGATTCCAGCAGCCTCGATTTGACACCGAAGCCTTCCATTGCTCTCGAACTAGCTCCCGAGAGTGCTATTCTCGGAGCTGCCGTTGCTGTTGCTGTTGCTGTTGATGAAGAGACCCCTTAGTTCTCGATTTTCTTGCATTTTGAGTTTTGAAGTGAGCTGCAATACCCTTCGGAACATACATGAGCTCGGCTCACTGCATTTGCTGCACCGGTCTCTTTCTCTTTAATATCCATTATCTCCTGGCCAGTCCAGCATGATATGCATACGAAGGCGTTCATGGTTCAGAGTTCTGTTTGCTCATTGTTTTCTTCCTATGCGAGCGTCGCGAAGGCACAACAGCGTTGTGTTCATGCTATGAAAATCCCCGCATGCTTCTTTTCTTTGTCTACTCTCTCATGCATACAGGTCTGGTAATTCGCGGGGACTCGGTTACTGGGAAGCGGGATAGACTAACTACTGCTGGCGCGAAAGAATAGAGGCCCTGGTGTACATACTCTATGATATCGTATCAGACTTATCAACTCATAGACTTGCAGAATATGCTTCGCGTAATAGGCAATGTAATGATTAGCGTACGAAGGCGTAGATATAAGTCTCGATTCCCATGGTGTCGAGACGGTATCAATCATCATATCATCGAGAGCTTAGAGGCTCCCTGTTGCAGAAATATGCCATGCTGGACGACCGTTTGCTCAAAACATGGTACGCTGCATGTAGCAGACTCCCCAGTCTGGGTCGGGATGAAGCTTTGTAAGGGAGAGTAGCATTCGCTCCGCGTCTCCAACTCTCTCTGCAGGCTCTTGTACTTGCGAAGGTCATCTTTTTGGCAGCAGATCTCCTGGACAGAACATAACCTGTACTGCAACCCCTCCCATCACTCCTTACACAGATCTTGGAGTAACTCCAGCATTCTCCGCTGGAGCGCTGACAACTCTTCTCTCGAGAGTGTGCCATCTCCACTTCCTTCTGGTTTTGTACGTGTAGCAGATGGTTGTGATATAGCTTTCTCCGCTTCTGCTTTTACAAGAGAATGTTTCACCGCGAAAAAGGGGATACCTAAGGCGCGAAGTTCCGAGTCTAGTGCTTTGGCCATATCAGCAGAGGCTTTGTAGACTTTGGCGTCGTAATTGTTAAGCTCTGCGCGGTCTTCTTCTACTGTCTATTTCCACATAATGGACAAGACTGTTAGTTACCCAAACACCTCGTAGTTATTTCAATGGCAGACAGTTGGTTGACCATGTGTAAGAAAAAGAAAAAAGATGGAGGAGAATTGCGAGTAATACGTACAGAGACCTCCTTACTTTCAGTGACAGGAGCACCGACAGATCGTCTAGATAAAGCTGTGTCAGTTCCATAAAAACAGAACCACATACATCTCCACGAAGAAGGCCCTGCACTTACAGAACCTCGTCCAGTTTCTTCTTCTTCTCTACCCGTGCCTTTTGTTTCTCAATCAGGGCTTCTCGACCCTTCCACCATTGTTTCTCATGGTCATGCTGGCTGCGTATTAGTCTGCGGATTTTCGACTGTAGAGCTTCGTTCTGGGACACTGTTCGCATAACGTGTTTCAACGCCGCGGACCAGGTGACAATGGTGGAGGGGTCGGGAGTGTTCGTGTTCGTTCCTGATCCCAAAACAGGGTCTCTGGCTCCCATCGCAACAGTGGACGGTGGATACCTTGGTGCTTGCTGGGACTGAGATGGAAGTGAGAGCAGAGCGTCTGAGGGCTCGTATTCCTCATCATCTCGGGAACCGTTTGTGTGTTGAAGACTCGGGTTAGCGCCATGATTATTGAGAAACGTCTGACTTGCATTCGCAGGAGGTGCAAAGGCAGATAATGTCTTGAGAACAGCTTCCAAGTCTGGGTTGCTGTTGGAAGCCATAATCTGTAAAATGAAAAGCTATGTGAACGTTCCGTTCACCGACTCTTAGGACTTTGGTCTTTCGTCAGTAAATGCAAAACAAAATCAATGTGTAAACTTCACAATTCATGTCGGGAAAAACGAAATCTCCCCCTTGGATTCCTCTTCTCGCGCAGATTGCTTTAACCTGGAGAGTTCAGTTATAAAGACAGGTCGCCGAAGTTCCAGCTCCGAGGCGGAAGCGCTGACATATGTAATTACTTCTCGCGCGCATCTCACTGGTCTTGGCTTCCGGTCCGCGAGGCCCCTCTAAAAATTTAACCCAACAACAATCGAACTCCCTTGTCCGGATATCCTGAGTCTCCCCCGCCAATTCCCGAACCAGAAGGGCTCGATTAGCAATTGCTACGTGTACTGGAGCGGCCACCAGTCACTGAACCCTACGGGAAAGTTCGAAGCAGCGATTTGAATTGGATAGCTGAGAATTTCGAGCAATCATGTCCCGCTCCGCCGCAGACGCAACGAGGTTCACGGCCACAGGGCCGTACGTCAGTTCCAAGGCCGCTACGACGTCAGCTACGCCGTACAAGCTGCCGGGATTCATGGCAAAGAAGCAGGGTTCGGGCCCATCCTCATCGGGGCCCGGAGGGAAGGAAGAGACTCCCAAGCAAAAGGTCGAACGTCTACGAGCGGAAGCACGCGCTGCTCGAATGGCGGCTTCGACGTCTCGGGTGGACACCTTTATTGAGAAAGGACGCGGTATTGCGAATAGGGCTCACAAGGCCATGATTTATACTCTAATCGCGGCATCCGGTACGTCTAAAGCTCTCAGTTGATGCGTTGCCCAATCTTCAATGATCAGAGTTGGCTATATTCCATCCTGCATTGGACTATTCTCCATACCCGCATCCGTTGGTAGAAACAACTAATCCCATTCTCGACGATGCAGGCGTATGCGGAGCCCTTACCATTTACTCAGTCGTTTCTCTAACGATGTACAACCGACGGCAACGCGAATTGTGGCTGGAAAAGCAGCTTCAAACCCTGCAGGATGCCAGGCTCGCATACGCCAACGGCACTGCCACGGATGAGCAGCTTGAGGTTCTGAGGCAAGAGAGGATCGGGGAGTTGGAAAAGGAGGCCAAGGAGAAGGAGAAGGAGCAGAAGCCGTGGAATAAGTTCAAGCAGTACATCTTCGGAGGATTAAAGATCGACGAGGTCCCCGAAGAGACCCCGACCGTCAATGATGGCAAGCTGGGCGTCATCGAAGCCCTCAATGCGAAGAAAGCGGAAGATTCCAAACTCGCGGAGAACGCCTCTGCGGCAGCAGCGCCAGCTACTCATCCCATCCAACCTGGCCAGCTTGACGTCCTGGCCGAGAATGCTGAATCAGTAGCCAAGCAATCAGCACGAAGCTGGAAAAGCTGGTTTACCGGACGGTCATAACAGCCCGAAAAACGAACGAAGGATACCGCTATAAGCGACCATACTTTTTTTTTCTACCCTGTACGACCAGTTCCGAATGCTTCGAACCTCTCTTAATGGTCCCGGAATCCATTATTATCCGTCTCCATTCAGTCCTCTACACACATTGGGTTGCGGCGTCTCATGCGGGGATACATGTGTTCTTATTTTTGCTCGCCCTTTTTTGTCCTTCTATCCTTTGTATTTTCAGGAATATTCGGTTGCGTGTGCGTGTATATTCTGTACGTATATATTGCATTGTGCTCGTTACATTCTCTGAAAACACTCTCCCTCCTGCATATCTCATGGAAATATCCCTTATTATTAGTTTGGCCCTACGTGGTTGGCTTGCTACTAATAATGGAAAACTTTCTCCTCTACAATCTACAATAGAAAAGAAAAGGAACCCAAGGATATGAAGATCGGCTCAGTCAGCTTTTCTTGGCTCTAGCATCCAAACAGGCAGGTGATGGAAAGTAGTAACTCCGGAATATCACAAATAGCGGACAGATCAAAAGTCACCGCAGGAACAAAACGAACTGGGTTGAAGAGATCATGTACATGAAAGAAAATGTGCTGCGAGCTTTTTTGTTTTTGCAAAGAAAGATAGTCCAATAAATCCCCAATCATGCAGGAATATATCTAGGTCCATTTTTAATGAGTGCCGTTGGTTTTGGAGGCCTTGGCTTCCCGTCTAGCACGGACAGCATCCGCGAGGTTTTCCAAGACATCCACGGTCGTCTCCCAGTCGATGCAAGCATCCGTGATACTGACACCCTTGCGCAGACCTGAGGGACCCTCTGCTGGCACTTTCTGGTTACCCTCGTTGATGTTGGACTCGATCATGACACCGATGATGGCATCCTCACCCTCGCGCATCTGGTCCGCGATGTCCTTCGCAACAAGCGGCTGGTTGCGGTGGTTCTTGTTGGAGTTACCGTGGGAGCAGTCAACCATGAGAATCTCACGCTGCTTCTTCGCGCGCAGAGCTTCACGGGCGGCCTTGATGCTCTCACGGTCATAGTTAGTGCCCCTGTTACCACCGCGCAGGATGACGAATCCGTGCTCGTTACCGGCGGTCTTGGTGATAGCAGCCAGACCCTGCTTGGTGACACCCAGGAAGTGGTGAGGGTGGGCGGCAGCACCGATAGCATCAATTGCCACAGTGAGGTTTCCATCGGTACCGTTCTTGTATCCAATGGGGAAACTCAATCCAGAGGCCAGTTCACGGTGCAGTTGGGACTCCGTGGTACGGGCGCCAATGGCTCCCAGGGAGATCAGGTCCGCTAGGTACTGTGGAGAGATGGTGTCGAGCATCTCGCTGGCAATAGGCATACCCATTCCAGTAAGGTCGGCGTAGAGCTTGCGGGAGATGCGCAGACCCTTGTTGATATTGTAGGACTCATCAATGTCAGGGTCGTTGATCAGACCCTTCCAGCCAACGGTCGTGCGGGGCTTCTCGAGGTAGGCGCGCATGATGATGCAGAGGTCCTTCGAGAGCTTCTCAGAGAGGGCCTTTAGCCGACCAGCATACTCGAGGGCGGTCTCTGGGTCGTGAATGGAGCATGGTCCAACGATGACCAGGAGGCGGTCGTCGCGCTGTTCAATGATGTCGACTGCTTGCTTGCGTCCCAACTGCACAGTTTCAACTGCTACCTTGGGCTGATTTATTGACTATCAGCATTATATTCACTAACCATTCCTCTCTCACAGGACACCTGGGTGCAATGTGTGAGAGGGGTATACAGTGGATGACTCACAGCAGGGATTTCCGATTGAACATACTGAGGAGAGAGCAGAGGGTCGTATCCAAGGACTAAAGACATGATCAGTAACAGAGACCTCTTCTGTAGTAGTAGTAAAGGAATTCCACATACCGCGAGTGTCCTCGTTGACATCCTCAACAGCCTTTACAAGCGGCATGATGCGACCGTTAAGATGAGTTCAAGTTGTAGCTAGGTTCCGGTGAATGGTGCAGTACAAAGAGTGAAAGAATCCTCTTGCAAAAAAAGACAGCTTAGCTGCAAAGCCACTGTATCACGGTGTTGAAAGAACGATCTGAGGACTTTCAATCCAGAATTGAGTCAAGAGGGGTGGAGGCAAAGTTGATGGAGAGTTGCTGCGATACCGGTCGAGCCTAAGAAGTAAAAAAGCTACGGGTGGACGGAGATGGCGGGGACAGCAACCACACTGTTGGCCACTCACTCTACTTGAAAATTTAATACAGATGATATTTGCCTCCTAGACTATCATTACTGCTAGACTATCACAGGACTGCAAGTCACTGTTGTTGTGCTCGAGGTAAGCAACAATGTGACAATTTTCTATTTTTCTTTCTTTTTTTGCCCGGAAGCCCCCGCACAACGTCAAGCCCTGTCTCTCTGTGATGGACCAATCATAGGGGCCATAATGACCACATTCGCGCAGGCGGTGAGCATGTCTGATCGATCATCGGAGTAGTGGCGGGAGGAAAAAGACGATAACCAAAGGGAGAATATAGAGAATAAGTAGCGTCTAGGAAGTATTATTTTTAGCGTGTAAGGAAATCGTCCTGTACGGATGCTGCAAAAGTACACTTATGAATTCAGTCGCCTGCAATAACCAAGGAGCAAGTTCTCATCGTCTGATCGCCCTTGACTGGTCACATCTAGAAGAGCTCCATCCTCTTGTTTCTTCTTTGCATCCCTGTCACTTACGGGACGGCAGTAGCATGAGGGTTACACAGGTCAAAGGGCCAAAGATCGACTGTAGTGGTCTATTGGGAAGCTGTGGTGGCCATTCAAGCGTTCCTAATAAAACTATCTGTCTCAAAAGGCATGGGGATCCTGGCCAAGGGACCTCAGTTCGCGGCGGTACCAAGAATACCAGAAAGGAGAGAAAGACTTAGCTTCAAATGGCAGGGTTCCTTGTCATGAAGGAATGGAGTCTGTGGCGTATTGGGCTCATAAATAAAACTGCCACAAGGCGTAGACAAGGCACAGGAGGGATACAGTTTGATATTTTTCCTGATCAACGCCAACGGATGCTGCAAGTAATACTATAAGTTCCTCCAGTAACTCTCGAATCTGGCTCCCAATGCTTGAGCTGGAGATTTATTGGCACTCAATTTTTGACATAACCTCGAAGTCGAACTAAGCTCAACCTTTTGCAATGAAATTTCACTTCAGGTTATAGAGTGTGGTTGAGTATTCGGTTATATACTCTACAGAAGAAGTTAATGCTTGTTTGTAATCTAGAATTGAGACATGGTTACCTTCAACTGCAGGCTTACTGTTGATCGTCGGTTTGCGCTGGAATGTTCCTTGCTTGCAACGATGTTTCTGGACGATATTTCTCATGCTGCAAATGAAATCCAACCTTCCACGGACTTTTTGTCTTGTAATTTCAATAAAGAGCAGGTTGAAGGTGGCTTAATGGATAGTATCCAATCTGACGTACTGGATGCGAGATCGAATGCGGAGAGAGGAGAGGAACGCATGTCCGGGACCAATAGCTTAAGTACTGGACAACCCCACAAATCCTGCGATCTTGACGTACCTACGCTAGTTAAAGCTCTAGCAGAAGTTCCAGAGCAACAAATTCACACTAACAGCCCTAAAGACTGGGCAAGCTAGCCGCTCCCAGTGAGGCCAAACAGGACGTCTCTTAGCGGCCGCGCGAAGGCAGCTAGGCTTGTCCCCTAAGCCGGCCCCAGCTTCAGCATCATCACCACTACTGTCTCACCTCGACTGTTTCTCTGACGTTGATATGCGTTCTGAAACCGCTGGCTGATCTCCTACAAAAACTTGTTTGACTGTCGCGACATTTTTTGTTCAGGACTCCTCTTTCTCCTTCTCCTGACACTTTTCCCTCCATGAGTTCCGATCAAGGCTAGCATCGAACAGTTTACTAGACTGTTTCCTTTCGCAAAGATTCAAAGCTCACACACCGGCCTCTGACTCCTATTGCTATCTGACGCCAAAACAATTGCAACCATAGAGGGTACTATGTTTAGCTTATCTGCCAAACGCCCCCGAGGCGATGACATCGAAGACTACCTACAACACGACAGCAAGGTACGTGAAGCGCGACAGATGGCCCCCACTGACAAACAATCCGGTTTGGAATTCGTCCGATCCTCGACAGAAGGATCAGGCCATTGTTGAGTCTCGTAACTGACAGTATGACTGCAGAAACCACGTCCGACACCTCTACCACTGCGCGTTTCCCCTAATTCTCTTCACAATGCATCCACTGCCCAACAGAATCAATTCGCTTCTCGGTCTATTCCACCTGCACTTACTCCTGCCGACTCGTCCGACGACGATGATGACAATAACGGTCTGCGAGATGCAAATGCTCAGGCTGCGCAGAGCGGTTGGCTTTCTCAGTTGGTCCCTAGACCGCCAGCGCCCGAACCAGAATCAGCCATGGACCTTGACATGGCCGAGTCACATCCATTAGCTGGTGGTGATAACCTTTCGCCATGGCCTGTCAGTGCCAGAAGCGGTGGGAGCGTACAGCCGTCGCCAATCCCACAGCATCTGATCAACCAGTCGCTCAACATCAGCGGAGGCCGCACAGCAACTCCAATCTATGGACACTTTACCGTTAATATGAACGTCGAGGCTATGATGGAGGACGATCCCTCAATGCCAACACAGGAATCGGCTCCAAGCAGTAACAGCGATGAGAGGAATGGAGAGCCGGAATGGTGGCGACGCCGACGTCTGCCCAGCCCCATCAGCGAGGATGAAGACCGCATGGGCAATAACAACCAGAATTACGGTACGGGAGTCCCGAACGATCAGGGATTATCAGTAACAGACACACCTCCGTTGGGTATCGCTTCTGGACCAACTTCTTCCTGGTCCGTTGCTCCAGAACGAGGTGAATGCGGTCGAGAGCAGGACCTTTCGGCTACTCCCATGGAAGCCAGCACGGCTGCTGTTCTACGGAACCGTTCTTCATTCGCAGATTTGGCCGGCAACGGCAGGGAATCGATAGTTAATAACGCGGCATCCACGGCCGAAAAGGGCAAAATTAGCTTCTCTATGGGCTACCGCGCAGACTGCGACAAGTGTCGGCGTAGAGTGCCTGGACACTACAGCCATATCATTCGTTCATGATACCCAGTCTTATAAGGCTCCATAGAGCGACCTTCACTGTCTCTCTGTGGAGCTCTTCTGATCTGTCTTCCGTCCATTTGTGACGTGGACTTTTGGTTATGTTTTATTTTTCTTTTCGGAACTTTATAGATAATTAGGCGCTTTAGGCGTTCACTGGCTGGGATGAGCTTTTCTTCCACTTCTCGGAGGGTTAGAGATTACAGGGCAAAGGAAAGGGTATTCACTATCCTGGGAAATACAACAAATGGAATAGAGTCCCTTCAGCAGGGGCACGGGAATCGTCTTATACAAGGTTGCGACTATGCACATTCTTTTGTATTCATAAACCAACAATTACCTTTATCCGCAACCCTTTGGGGATCTAAAATTCTTTGGTCTAGAAGAGCATCAATTTATCGTCCAGAATAAGGAAGATGGATAAACTATGGTATGTCATGTTCCGAAGGCAAGATCCGAAATATATGACTAAGCATTGCGGTATCCGAAATGTTTTGTTAGTTAACCAGAGGTGCTAGATACAGTGACATTCTTATCAGCATCAATGTGAAAACAAGATGGATGATGTCTAGATGTCATCCTATGATGAACGGACGCAATGAAATTACTGCATATCGATAATTTAAGCTCTTCTATCGAGAGGCGTTGTCTCCAAATAACAAGAGTTACTCCCCGCACGGGGAAGTATTTGTTTCCCCCATCATTCTCGGCAGAGTCCTTTTCCGATCGTCTTTGCCGGTGGAGAAACTCCTTCGTTGCCATCCGATCTCGCGGCATTAATTGAACGCCGATTTCTAAATAGTCTCTGGGTTTCTTTTTGATTTTCTTTTCTGGTGTCTCTTTTTACAGTTTCATTGTGATACCCAAGGACTTAGGTGTTCTCTTCTGCCTTCTATACTTCATCCCGGTCTGCGACATTCCGCGTTGGCCGCCCGCTGCTCGAAAGTAGAGAGCAGCATCTTAGAATCTCTCGTTGGCCGATTGAGAGTGTTGACGACTGTTCTTTTGTGCTTTTCCGCAGTTCGACGTCCGTCGTACAACAGCTATGGCCTCCCCAATTCCTAAGGGCCTCCGCCAGGTCCTCCAAAAGTCTCCCTCGGACATTGTTATCCTGTCCTCTCTCCGCACTCCCATCACTCGTGCTAAGAAAGGCGGTTTCAAAGACGCCTACCCCGAAGAGCTGCTTGCTCACGTTCTCCGTGCTACCCTTGCCGCAAACCCCAACCTCGACCCGGCTCTTATTGAAGATGTGGCAATTGGTTCCGTGCTTCAGGAGCTTGGTGGTGCCAAAGCCGGCCGTATGGCTCAGATCCACGCCGGATTTCCTCACACAGTTCCCTTCCACACTATAAACAGACAGTGCTCATCTGGTCTGGCGGCCATTACTGGAATTGCCCATGGTATTCGTGCTGGCGCTATCAATGTTGGTGTCGGTGGTGGTATGGAGTCCATGACGAGAAACTACGGATCCCGTGCCATTCCCACGGTTCTGTGGCCTGAGCTGAAGGGCTCACCATCTAAGGATGCCAGAGACTGCATCATGCCCATGGGAATCACGTCTGAAAACGTTGCTAGCCGTTACGGCATCTCGAGAGCTGATCAGGATGTCTTCGCTGCTGCCTCCCACCAGAAGGCCGCTGCTGCACAGGCTGCCGGTCTGTTTGATGCTGAGATTGTGCCTGTAAAGACGCTGTCCTTCTCTGCTGAGCACCCTGATGCTGCCCCGCAGGAGATCACGGTCACTAAGGACGACGGTATCCGTCCCACTGTCTCTGTTGAGAAGATGGCTTCCCTGAAGCCTGCCTTCTCCGAGACTGGCTCTAGTACCGCAGGAAACAGCTCTCAGGTCAGTGACGGTGCTGCTGCTACGCTGTTGATGCGCCGTTCCACTGCCACCGAGCTTGGTCTTTCTTCCTCCATCAAGGGCCGCTGGGTCGCCAGCACTGTCGCCGGATGCGCTCCCGACGAGATGGGTGTTGGACCTGCCGTTGCTATCCCCAAGCTGCTTGATCTCGTCGGCATGGACGTGTCTGACGTTGGAATCTGGGAGATCAACGAGGCATTTGCCTCGCAGGCCCTCTACTGCGTCCGCAAGCTGGGCATTGATGAGGCCAAGGTCAACCCCAAGGGTGGTGCTATCGCCCTGGGACATCCCCTCGGTGCCACTGGCGCCAGACAGGTTGCTACCCTGCTCCCTGAGCTGGAGAGGACTGGCCAGGAGGTCGGTGTTGTGAGCATGTGCATTGGAACTGGTATGGGTATGGCCGGCATGTTCGTCAGAGAGTAAAAAGCAAAAAGAATATGCCATGTGCATGTACATCATTGTTACTTCTTTTTGCGGGTCATGATTCTTTGTTTTGAGCATATCGTTACCATTTTTGATGAGAGCCTGTATATCCCTGAGAATTTTGCATAACTACTACTTGGTAAGAGCCGGGTCTAGTAACTTAGACGTGAATGGGCGCATATTTGCTCGTCTTCATAAAGTTCAATCTCCTCAAAATAATCCACGAGAACCAGACCTCTAGAATTTTGGATGATGAAGAATGTCGTTCTATGCGTATAATACCCAGCACTGCTAATTTTCTCGATGACATCTAACGTTACTATGGCTGGATAAAGCAGTTGGGGCGACACTGAATGTCACGTGACGCTAATTCCCCGTCCCCGTTAGAGTCGGAGCAAAAGGAAGCTGGACGGGATACAAATCTTTCGAGAGTCCGCCAGAGCCCTCGACTCGCGAGTTGTCAACGCCGCAACTATGCGTCCTTCCGTGCGGCTGTTGAACCCATTGGAGGTTCCATCCCTCCAAGTGTCGAAGTCTCTGTACGTTTGTTCGACGTGCCGACAAGAATTTCGACCGCAGGTGTTGTCGGCGTCTGTCGCTCATCGATTCCGTCGCCATGCTTCCTCCAACGACACCCCCTTCACAGAGAAGGTGCGCCGCAAGATCTGGGGTACGGATAACCCGCCAGGTCTGAAGGATCCGTATGGAGGTGAAGGTGTGATTGAGCGGGCTATGCGGAAGAGAAGGCAGGGAGCGGAGGAAGAAGTTGTGGTGGCAGAGCAACAACAGCAGGATGTTCGGGAGCTGGAACAACTTGAGCAGGAAATTGCTCCGCCCGATGACTACAGACCTGCTTCGACTTGGGATGGTCTGGAGAGAGTCGGTCATCTTGGAAGATGGTCGGATTATCCTCCTACGGAGGCCGACGAGTATCACTCGTAAGTTGAATCTGTCATTGCTACTGAGGGACTTGTATAGCGGAAGAAAATTTCGGAAAGGTTTGCTGATTAGTTGGAGTTAGGTTCTTGTCGAAGCGCAAGTTGACTGAGAAGGGACACCTGTCTCTGGCCGCTCACCAGACCGCTGTTGAGCTGTGCCTCATGCACGCATTGAAGAAGCCCCTGACAGATGTCTGTGAGGTCCTCGAGCACGACAAGACCGTGTTCAAGATGATCTGGAAGTGTAAGATCCAGCCTGGTAACGGCAACGGACCGCTAGATGGTGCTCTGGTCTTTCCCAATAAGGAGACTGAGAACAACCTCTTCTACGTCTTCCAGCAGATTGGCAGCGAAGTTGAGATGGAAACCGCTGCTGAACAGACTGCTGAACAGACCGCTGAACAGACCGCTGAACAGACCGCTGAACAGACCGCTGAACAGACCGCTGAGGAGGAGGTCGAGGAATTCGGAGAGGAGGACTTCAAAGAACTCGAAAAACTCTTCAATGACGCTGAGAAGACCCCTGATCTCCCGTTCTTCGGATACCGCGACAGCCGGGATTCTGGCTTTCTGTCTCTCTCTCTACAAGACCCAGCTACCAAGTTTGCTGTACGTTGCACAGTATGAGACCATCTTCGAGAGGGGTATCTTGCTAACTCCAAAATTTATAGTTCTTGAAACGATTCTCTCAGCTGACCGGTTATTTCTTCCCCGATCCCGCCGTTCACTCGATCAAGACCGTGCAGCAGGCCATCGACTACCTCCAGGAGACTATCAACCCGAAGCCTAAGAAGCTGGCACCGCTATTGGCAGAGACTCCGGCCATCAAGAGTCTGCCGAACGTCAAGGTCTTCCCGACCAAGCGGAAGCCGTCCCACACTGATGAGGAACTGGGCCGGAAGAAGGTCATTGAGGCTGAGCTGCGCGCGAGAGGTCTAATTAACTAAAGGGCCCATATTACAGGGTGTTCCCCGGGGCAATACTTGTAGGATGTATTAGAGACGATGTGTTTGATGTACTATATGAATAAGAAATCCGGTTCTATATGTACCCAATTGCCAACTAGAAACTGTACACATATAATCGACGATGTCCCCCACTAGCAAATTTTATCCAAAAATCGAAAATCCATCCCAGCATTTTGATCCCCGGACCCTTTGATGCGCCTGCAATTGACGACTCCCGTGCGACGCCAGTTCGAACCATATTGACAACAAAATCATTAGTGGAGAGCTTAGATTCTCTTAGCTCCCGCAGGAATCGAAAATCCTCTCGTCATGAAGTCGGTATCCTTTCGCTTATCCGAGCTCTTCGTGAAGAGACTCTCTATATTCTCATTCGTTCCCATCATCTTCCGTCGTTTCTTCTTCTCTTTTTCCTCCTCCAGCACTCGGGCTGTCAACGTAGCAGTTGCAGCATTCTTGATCCCAGACGAGCTGTTGGCCGACGTGTTCGTCTTGTTAGCTGACGAGGAAGCCGCAGGTTCATTCTCAGCGGAGGCAGACGGCTCGCCGTTCGCGTTCTTCTTCCGCTTCTTTGAGCCAGGTGCTTTCTTCAGTGAGTGTGTAAGGCCTTGTTCTGCGAGCTTCTGGCCGCGCTCGATGAGCCGTTGCTTATCGGCTTCTTTGGTCGGAAGGATGACGATGACATTGTCTTCGGTGTAGGGCTCGTTGCACTGACCGAGGCGAAAATCAGCACTGAATACTCGACCTCAAAAAAACTATCAATACCCTATGACTTACCTGCAAGCATCTATCCTCCTTCAACTGACGGATCGCCTCATCCGAAAAAACGTGTCCACAAGGGACGAGATAGACCGACTTCACATTCGGTCCCAGCTGTTTCGCCGTGACAGGGCAAATCCAACCTTCATGTCGTCCCTTTGAGTCACCAGTAGGTCCACCACGCTCAGAATCAACTTCGAAATGCAGTTCGACCACATCGCGCAATGACTTCACTCGTCCGCATAGGATTTCCTCACAGTCCGCCTTCGAGCTAATGCCCTCGGCCTCGTCGCCCGGGAGCAGGACTTTGATGATCGCATCCTTGTTATAGAGGTTCCCGACAGAATCAGAAACTATTGGCCTCGTGAGAGGCTTGTGCGAAAGAGGACAGTTCGTCCAGGCATGTTCTTGTTGTTCGCGCTGAGCTTCTTTAACTTGAGTAGTGGTGGGGTTGCGGGCGGCTTCTTTGACGAGTTCCCTGCGGGTCGGGATACTATTATCGCATTGTTAGGTATTTGATCAATACTCACATGTCAAGGGATGAGATTTCTTACCTTCCACCATCATTACCCATCCTGTATGGTATCCAGGTGATGATTGTATGTAGATAGATTGGTAGTTGTTTTCGTTCTTGTTGCCACGAGCAGCAGGCGGAAGACGTAAATTACCGCCGTCCGGAGAACATCATGACTAAGCAGCCCCGTTCCCCAGAAGATCGCGGTTAGCCCCAGTTTAAGCTATCAACAGCTGTCCAGAAGCATATCATCTCCGCACTACGCGCCAGATAGCATTGATCACCTCAATGCGATTATCATGAGGCACTCAGGGAGTCTGCTCGCCTTTCTGGGCATTGCAACGTGCTCAACCACTTGGGCTGCTGCCAATGATGCATCGAGACCTAGGGGCGTTTCTCCTGAATGTAAGCATTAGCTCCATACTCTAGATACCTTGACTATGGCTAGGTCGATCATGCATTTCTGGCCAGGCCATGTCAATCTACATTCTCATCTGATTAACGGTCATTACTGGGAGAGCAACATGCTAATTGTTCTACTCCTATTACAGTTGCAAAGTTCTATAAGGACACCGCCGCCTTCACTTGCATCTCACACCCAGCTATCAAGATCCCCTTCTCAGCTGTGAACGATGACTACTGCGATTGCCCCGATGGAAGTGATGAGCCAGGCACTTCTGCTTGTGCGCACTTGTCTAAACACTCGCCGTCGACGCCATCAGACCACCCCTGGGATACTGATCTCGACTTAACCCCCGCCCTGCCTGGGTTCTACTGCAAGAATAAGGGCCACAAGCCCTCTTATGTTCCTTTCCAACGAGTTAACGACGGTGTTTGCGATTACGAGGCATGCTGTGATGGTAGTGATGAATGGGCTCACGTTGGAGGTACAAAGTGTGAGGACAAGTGCAAGGAGATTGGCAAGGAATGGCGCAAACAGGAAGAGAAGAGGCAGAAGTCTCTTACTTCTGCGATGAGGAAGAAGAAGGAGCTCATTGCTGAAGCTGCCAGGATGAGGAAGGAGATTGAGGATCACATCACCGACCTTGAGACTGAAGTCAAGGCCCAAGAGCTCAAAATCCAGAGTCTGGATGCCGAACTGCAGCGGGTGGAGAAAGCGGAGCGTGGCAAGGTCGTCAAGGGCAAAAAGAAAGGAAAGGTCAATGTGCTGGCTGGGCTGGCCAAGAGTCGTGTGGAGGAACTGAGGAACGCCCTGGTGGAGGTTAAGGGTCAGAGAGATGAGTACCACTCGCGGGTGAAGGAGCTCGAGGAGATCCTCTCGAAGTTCAAGGTCGAATACAATCCGAACTTCAATGATGAAGGTGTCAAGCGAGCCGTGCGCAGTTGGGAGGAGTATGCTGCAAAAGGAACCGCAGCGGATGGCATATCTGGTCAGGCTGCCAAAGATCGAGATCTGGATGAGATTTCGAAGCCTGATAGCGACTCTTCTGGTATCAACTGGGAGCAATGGGAGAACGAGGAGGAGGGCGAGACTGAGATTGACCTTAGTAAGTTTCGAGGTTGAGGGAGCATAAACCTGTCGACTAACCATCTTCTAGTCTACAAGCTGGCGGCATATCTCCCCCCATCGCTGGTTAACTATCTAGAGGATAAACTGTCCTCCTTCAAAAGCTTCCTTGTCAGCAACGGCGTTCTCACGGAGGCTGATGTTACTCCTGCTTCTGAATCGAAAGCCGTAACCGAAGCTCGTGATGCCTTGAACTCCGCCAAGTCATCTCTCACCACCGACCAGAACAGGTTAAGGGATCACAAGCTTGATCTTGAGAAAGATTATGGGCCTGAAGATGTCTTCCGCCCTCTGAAGGGCCGTTGTATCACTAGGGATGCTGGTGAATACACGTACGAACACTGCTTCCTCGAGAGCACCAAACAGATCCCGAAGAAGGGTGGCGCACGGTCTGGCATGGGTAACTTTGTCCGCTTCGGAACCGTCACCCTTGACGAGTTCAACAGCTACGGTGAGCTTGTCCCCGTCGAGAGGACGACATTGGAATATGCGAACGGCCAGTCCTGCTGGAATGGCCCCAACCGATCTACCACTGTTGTCCTTGAATGCGGTGAGGAGGAGGAAATCCTCAAGGTAGCGGAAGACGAAAAGTGCGTCTACTCCATGATTGTCACGACCCCAGTTGCCTGCAATGGACCTGGCGACAGCAATTCCAAGAAAGAAAAGGATGAGTTGTGATTGGTCTCTCGTCCCTACAATGTCGAAGCCGTAGCGAATGTGCTTTTTTTTATTGGATTATAGAAGCGTCTGTTTTTTTCTTGAGATACTGCTACTCCGAATAACGATCCCTTGGGCATTCAGCGTTTGTTCGTTTGCTTGCTCTACACTGAATCCCAGCCTAAGATCCCACATTCACGTAACCGGGTTATCACAATCTAAGGAGAACAACGGACATTATCAAGCAATATGAGATCTTCCCAAATAACTTGAAAGATAGATACCAATTCGTGGTCCCGAGCGCATGTTGTTCATCGTGGTTGGACGGACAGTCACTTGGTTGCAGTAGAGGGAACTCCTCCAGGAGGTCTGTTCGCCAGATCCAGGTAGTTAACTAGCTACTGCATGGCTAACACAACAACACATACTTCCCTTTTAGCTTTTACGACGTTATCTACACATTTCTTGATGAAGAAGTGGTGTGAGAGTTAGTTTGTCCTTTCACTGTCCCTTTCTTTTATCTTTTCATAGAAGTAAGCCAGTTAGGGTACATATACTATCGGAGCCTACCTACAGGCAGACCTCCTGTCGGGTTTCTCCCACGCCTCCTAGCTCCAGCCACAGAGATGAATAGGCTGAGTTTGTTGCTAGAGACTTCAAGCTCAGCTAGCTTCGCTCCAGATATACTTCTTCTATTGTCAGGACAGCCCTTATCTGAGTTGCGCTTTGCGCCAGTTACGCCTACTGCTTATGGTATACGTGAGGAGAGTCAGGATCGGAAGTAAGTACTTAGTCCCTAGAAAAAATTCACGGGACGACTAATGATATCTTCATTTCCGTCTAGGCTGTGTCCAGTCGGAATAATACAGAACTAGGTATCGAAATATAGACATGAATTTCTCAAATCTCCTATCCCTGGATGATTGTCCCGTAGAGAGATATGCCCTGGTCCGCCAAGCAATAACTTGTCTCGTGGTCTCATGATAGTTCCGTAGCTATCATGACATTATGGAATCCACGCATGGTTGACGGAGAGGAGAAGGGAGACTGGGCCCCATAGGTATGTTTGGGCTCAGCTGCTTAGTGCTGTTGATATTGTTAGCTTATGGGTATAACGAATTGTATAGCTGATATACACATACAGAGCAGCTGGAGCAGGAGCAGGAGGCGCAGTTGCCGGAGCAGCAGTTGCAAGAGCAGGGAGACATTTTGATTGTGGTTTGGGGAGAGATGGAGATCTCTTGAAACGTTTGATAAGATAGTTTGAAAAGTTGGAAGGAGATCCTTGATTTCTTTCGATCAGAGTCTGTAGGAGAGAAAGAGAAGAGAGAATTGCTACGGGAGGGGGATACCATGCCCTCTTTATACATCCCGTCAGATCATAATAATAATACTCTCCGATCTTTACCGGGTTGTATCCACGAGCGAACGGACCTCTTCCAAGGTCATGTTATCGGCCCTTCTGCCTGCATGGTGTGGAGAACTGCCAACAGGTCTCCGGTCCTTTCTCGAATCCTGGCTATTGTACAGTAACTACTAAGAGGCAGGAAAAATATAAGTATGCCGCTCCGTGTGGAGAAACAGTGGAACGTGTGTGGCACCATGAGCAAGAGACATGGTAGAGCCACGTTCTCTCGACAATAGCTGCGATCCACGGCTCTCGGGCTCGGGAATTGGTCAAACAAAGTCAGAGCTCCTGCATGAATTGGTGCGTCTTAGCGGACCTTCTGTAGCCTATCCAAGGGCTTCTTTAATGTTTCGGGTGTTTTTCTTTTCTCCCATCCATCTCTGTTTACGGTATAGACAAAGTCTCTAGAACGTGCAACGTCGGCACTATGGCTGGAACAGTCAAGGCCGAAGATCTAGAGTCGATGGGATAAGTTGGTCCTGCGAAAAGAGCTATACCTAGTTCCAAGACAAGGCTGCACGAGAACGCCAGTGCGTATTTCCATCAGCGGATCAGATGCGAGATAATGATACCTGATCAGCACGGTCCAGGGCAGGATTCCTATCAATCAATCACGAATCAGGATCATGAGCAGGCGCCAACTTTCGAATAGATAGATCCACTGTTCGTTTGGGAGTTATTGGTGAGTGAGCGCATCTTGCTGAGATCGCCGTTCTTGAACGTGATCAGGTTCCCCCCCTCCACCATCCAGCGTCCATGTGAGGCAGCAGATAATTACTCGTTTTATACTTAGCCTGCTGACTTGGGGTCTAAACCAGGAGAAACACCCCTGTACTCCAGAGTCACTTTTCCCCCAAAGCAACAAGTCTACTGGACAAGATTGAGTTGCCCACGGCATTTGAGTGCGAGTGGTGGTAAGAGAGTCTGCCATGAGATGTGCGAACTCCCAATAAGATCTGGGTCTGTGCTCTGTTGACCCCGCGGAGGGGCATCATTAGCTGGAAGAAGCTACTCCTCCAATCTCTACATACGCACGGGAGTTCTATCTTTCGAACACGAGGCAGTAGTATTAGACTTTTCCAGCCCTGTTATGAATTAATATTTCGTTGTCTCCTGTTTACCCGCGTCTGTCGCTGCATGCTCACTGGGCTACCATCGAACGCCCTAAGGAAATCTATTGACGATAACATGCGCCATGCGCCTTCCAGCTACTACTCGATCATTATTATTATGCTTTGGAAGAAAGGAGTGCTCGTGCCCCTTTCATTATTAGTCACTGTCTATACCCTTTATCCACTAACTAGGTATTATTGATAGATCAAGCTCGAGGTTCGTTCGTATAGATAACTCCATCCTTGGGCCCCAGAAGCGGTCCGAACCGCAATTGCCGGGCAAAAGGATGCCCACTCTTTCCCACGGTCAGGACTGCTCGGTTAGTTAGCTGAAAAGTCTCCGTCAGGAAAAGAAAGAAGACGAGTCGAGTTCAAGAAGGAAAGAAAAAGGAAAGGAAAAATTTTTCATACTCCACATCGGCAAACTTTGCTTCCTAGATCGATCTTAGCATTTATTCTAGATCAAGGGCCCGAGTGAGAGAGAGAGGAGGTAACTAAGTACCCCTACTAAAGAAATGAAACGTTTCGTATCTGCGATACCGGATCGGTAATTGCACCAGAAATAGATGAACTCCGATAATAATGTTCTCAACGAGGGTAATGCCCAGGAACATTACCCCACGCAACGATGATTATGACTTGCATCTCCCAGCCTCGTAGGCTGTGTCGGAAACATTCACACGGTTGTGACGGCTTTGCGCAGAGAAGCCGCCATAACCGCCAGGGTGGTGAAGGCCTGGTTTAACTGACAAGGGTAGCAGGTTACGGGGTCTATATTGCTTCTTCTAATATACGTCGTAGCAGCAAGTTGCTTATCTCCCAAGTCCGCTATAGTGTACTATTCCTAAGCGCGAGAAGCAATGTCTCTTTGAACAGCTTGGCAGTAGTACATACTGCAGGATACTTGGATTAGAGTAGTTCGAATATTTCTGTTTTATGTATGTACTGTACCTATAACCAAAGGCGACGATAAAAGAACATGTCACCTCCAATACCTACCTGCGTTTCGAAGTACTTTGGTGCAGGCCTAGAATGAAGGGCCCGAGTAACAAGCAACAAGTAGCAATATTCACGCAGGCTGCGCAGCATGACGTGGCGGGGCTGCGTGGTTCCCGTCCACAAGCTCAATATGTAATTGACTGTGGAAAAGATACCTAGACCTACATCAATCATGTAATAATATGTCTTGTCTTTTCTGGCCAAGACATTGAAAATGACGTCCCATGGTGGATTAGTATTATAAGAGCATGTGGAGTCCTATCAAATCCAAAGGGGGACATCCAGTCATAAGAGAAGATTTTGTATAGGGATATACGTGATAGGTCAAATCCTACGACACGAATACCATATGGTTTCTCCAAAAGAAAATCTATAAAGTGGAACTATGGTACTGTTTCCGCTCCTACATGATATGCACTCTTGGATACCGATTAGATTATCCGTGTTTGTGGAAAAACTATCGGTATGATCCCAAAATGGAGAAACAGAGACTGGGTGTAGATGACTGTTGAATGTGGCCATGAAGTCTTTGGGGCTTGTAAAATGACATAGTTCATCAATAAGAAAAGAAAAACCACATCCCCCTTCCAAGTGGCTCGGCTACTCCATCGTTCCAGCTGCCCGTTGGGGAGCATCGACGAGGTGCGAATAGGCTGCAGTCACATTATGCTTGTGAAGTAGCATTAAGCTGTGCCTGGGGAATTTATTTGGGCTAAGTAGATACTGCAGTTAGTTAAAGCAGCAAGCACAAGGCAAAGAGAGTGCACATACGCCGCACTTGCAACCACCGGCGGGGCACTGGCAGGAGGCGCCGCAGCTGCATCCGTGGTCGTCTGTAGATAAGATATTTGGTTAGCTATCTGAGACCGAGCACAGGCATGTATTATGCGGAACGGAAAGGAAAATATCTCGGGAAGTTAGCACTACTTACTCATGATGGATATTGATATGGTTGATCCGAAGATTTAACACGGAGTGTAAGGCTGTAGTATAGTATCACAGATGGACTTGATGGATGCTAGATTTAGAATTTTGAAAATGTGAGACAGATCGTGGTGGGCGGATCGCTTTTTATAACCAGGTGACGGTCCCGAGATGGCGAGTGAAGCAACTGCGGGCCTAGTGCCGAGAAGCGGGAAGCAGGTGAAGTACAACGATAGTCGGGCAACCCCGCCTTCTAGCCTTCATCGATCAGACACCGCATTCCCTTGGGCATGATAGTTCAGCCTGTTAATGGCTTTGCTTTCTTTTCGAGAAGGTTCAGATCACCTTAGCATCCACAGCTGATCAGCACTCACCGCCGCTGCGGAGACAGAAGTCTCGATATAAGTTTCTTCGAAAAACTATAAGGACCTCTGATAAGATAGCCAGAGGGGCAGTGACGCTAACGACACCGGTGGCAAAAGTATTACAATGGCCGTTTGATGGTACGTGATCCAGAAAATCACAGTGAGCAATTATTGATTTACTTGGGATATGGTCGAAAATTCACAGGCATGCAGCCATGATCAATTACATCTCATGCTTATGTGGCCGTGTTGAACAGGAAGTCTTGTTGCAGCAGGAGGCGGATCCCTCAGTCCTCCGTCTATGCCATTGCGACGACTGTCGATCAGTCACCGGCTTATTGTTCTCATCTTACCTCATTCTGCAGTCTTCTCCAGAGACCTTCGACGGGCTCATTAAGTACGAACAATCCGATGATATCAACCGCTGGTTCTGTGGAATCTGTGGCGCCCACGTCTTTGTTCAGCTGAAAGACAAAGGTCTCTATCTGATTGCCTCGGGGTTATTGAAAAAGACATTATGCACTGAGTTAGTGCAACATTGGGGCATTGATGACACTCGCGATGGGGGTCTAAGCCCGTCTCTCCCGGGCGTAGAAGCTACCGACCAAGTCTGTTGGGCCAAAAGCGGCCAAACACACCCCCAAGCGGTTCCTCAAAGAGAGCCTCGGCCATTAAACCACGAAAAACGTGAACATCACTCAGAGACGGATAACAAACTGCTCGCGTGCTGTCACTGCCGCGGTGTCCAATTTTATGTAACTGCTCCAGATGCCTCCTCGTTCGATGCTTCGTCTCCGTGGCCAGACCTACTCGTACCTTATCATTCTGCATCATCAGAAAACCCAGGAGACGTGAAGTGGTGGCTCAGGTGCCAAGCAACGAAATACCTAGCTGGAACTTGCGCGTGCAATTCATGCCGGCTGGCTAGCGGATTCCCTGTACAGACTTGGGCATTTATTCCAAAGTCAAATATATTCACTTCAGATGGTTCGCCCTTAACATTCGATATGAAGACTATGCAGCGCTACGAGAGTTCTCCACGAATATACCGGGAGTTCTGCAACAGATGTGGTGCCACGCTATTCTGGCACTGTGAACAAAGACCCAGGGTGATCGACGTAAGCGCGGGACTATTCAGGGCGAAAAGTGGTGCCAGAGCGAATGAGTGGTTAGAATGGGCCACCGGAAGAGTGAGCTTCGCAGAAGAAGCTCCAGACAGGACGCTTATCCAGACATTAGAGACTGGACTGAGGGCTTGGGCAGGGCAGGTTACTTCAAATTAGACATCCTTTCGAAATCTCTTTTAAAGTCGTAATTCTCTTGTCTGTTGTATATTTTTATAGAACAGTGGACATACTCCAGTATGGATTGAATTGATGATGTCCGAGATTCGATAGTAGTGACAATAGGAGCAGATATTCATAAGGAGCATATCAGTATTGAATAGACCGAACATTCCAGCTGGGGATAATTCACATATATCTGCTCTGCTCATGCTTGTATTGGTTGATTATCCTGTGGGCCAATCGCTCTTGTAATGAAAGCGCGTACTTAGATCACTCACCGCCTTCCATAAATGTGAATGAGCTTTTGAGATTTTAGTTTAGCGGGACACAAATCCATAATCTCTATCTCATCAACCGCACAACCTCAAACCCATCGCGTTCAGCTGTGGCTAGCAGATCCCTGCTGTCGCGAGACAGAAAGTGCTGATCAAGATGCCTGCGCCTTTCGAGTTCCGTGGAAACGGCAACGGCCACGATCGACGATCGCGCCCGAGGCACGAATTCACCTTCCGCTATCCGCGTCCAGGCACAGCGGAGCGCCCGCTGTTGAGAAATAAGAAAGAAAAGACCCCCGAGCCTATCCTTGGAGCTCAAGAAGGCGTTCAAAAGCCAGCCCCCAAATTCGCGTCTATCGATAATATCACAGATAGCGAAGAGGAAGAAATGGAAGAATCATCCGATGAAGATGAGTCTCATCCGCGCAAAAAACGCGCGTTGGGCACGGAAGTCCCAGAACCTGCGCCTGCCCCGAAATGGTCCAACCCGGATCCTTACACGGTGTTACCTCCCGTGGACGAGACGCGGGCAAAGAGGAAAGATGTAGTCAAGTTGATCCGCAAGGCAAAGATCGCGGCTCCCGCAGCTCAGAAGGAAACGGACGCTGTTACCACGAATGAAGACTTCATATCTTTTGGTCTTGATGACGAAGAGGAAAACAACGCCCCAGAAAATGCTCCTACAGGCCCGAAGAATGCGCGTCTTCCAGAAAGGGACCCTGCTCTGGGTAACCGGAAGAGGACTCATGACGATGAGATCAAAGGTTATTCTAAGAAGACTGGGAAGCCAGTGGGTAGGTTCTACGATGATGGTGATATCTTGGATGAATGGAGACCGCATCCCTCTGAGAGTGGGACACCTTGGCTTGGTCTCAGAGAGCCAGCATTGCACATGGGTACAAGGTGAGTTTCAGAGACATAGTTTCTGCTTCCAGTATGGGCTCTAATCACCAGAAAGGCTTCACAATGAAATCCTTAGCTTCTATCATTGGGTCAGGCCACAACAATACGAGCATATCATCCGGAGCGACCTTGTTAGCAGACTGGATACCGCTTTCGCGAACCGATATTATGGTGCGCAGGTGCGGCCATTTGGCTCTTTTGCCTCTGGGTTGTATCTCCCAACTGCCGACATGGACCTTGTTCTACTGTCGTCAACTTTTAGGCGGACTGGGAGGAAGAATTACGGAGAGAACAAGCGTCAGATCTACGCATTTGCAGGGTTCCTAAAGACCTCGAACATACCTGTACCCGGCTCGATAGAGACGATCGCGCATGCTAGGGTCCCAATTTTGAAGTTTGTGGACAAGCTTACTGGTCTGCGTGTCGATCTGTCATTTGACAATGACAGCGGTCTTCTAGCTAATCGTACGTTCCAACTCTGGAAAACCGAGTTTCCTGCTATGCCTGTCATTGTCTCCATAATCAAGCAGTTTTTGCTGCTCCGCGGCCTCAACGAAGTCCCTACTGGTGGTTTGGGTGGCTTCTCCATCATTTGTCTGGTGACAAGCCTTCTGCAGCATCTGCCACACGGGCACACTGAGTCCAATTTAGGAAGTATCCTGATGGACTTCTTCGACTTCTATGGAAACAAGTTCGACTACGGTTCTGTGGGCATAAGAATGGACCCTCCGGGCTACTTCAACAAGGTAAATTGAACGATTTAAGACCGTCTAATCGATGGAGTTCAGATCGACTGACGGTGAACCTAGCGAGTCTATGGGGTGTATCAGGAAAATAAAAACCAACGACTTTCTATCGAAGATCCAAACAACGATCAGAACGATATATCAGGAGGAACTAGAGAGATCCCATTGATATTCCGTTGTTTCTCGGATGCTTACGCATGTCTCAAGGAGCGCCTGATCTCCACAGCTACGGAGGGATCCACTAATGACAGTATCTTGGATACAATCATTGCCGCCAACTACGAAGAGTATGAAGAGCAGAGGAGCCACTTGAGGAGGATCTTTGAAACAGATCCCAGGTTTGCACCCTTCAATGCTCCTCCACCTCCTCCACCTCCGCCGCCCGTGCCCCCGCCTGCTGAGCCTGAGCAGCCTCCCCCACCACCACCACCACCGGTGGAATCCAGGCCACTCACCAAGCAGCAGAGAAAGCAGCTCGCATCGAGAGATCGTGCAGCTCGCCTCAAGCGATTGCGCCCAGATATACCCCTTGTTGGTGACTCCATCAGCAACGAGGAAGCTCTGTTGCTAGGTGGTTACGAATCTCAATCACATATGGATCGTGACCTGCAGGCTCGAGAAAAAGCCATGGGAGCACAGAATTCAGGTGCGACTGCATCTGCCGCCTGAACTCGTCACGCATCCTTAGGAGATGCTCAACAATTCCCACGCCTGTAGGCGAGGTTTTATCTCTAGATACTTTTCGAGTCATGTCTTACTCTATTCATCTTGCCCCTTTTATTTAAAAGGATTTTCCTACCTTACTATGTGAGAGATACCCGATTGTTCACGGAATGAAAGCACTGGCGTATTGCGGCGTGGTTTTTGTGACCCGGTCTTCTCAAATATCTTTGTTCACTGGTACTGGCATCGGTCCTGGACGGCACTATGTACAATCCCATGAGGAGGGTATTCTTTTTTTGAGCTCTATTTTCTCTTCCTGTGAATCATCGAGGTCACAAGACCTATTTCTCTTCTACATGTTTAGATGATCTATCCAGTCCTAACAGACAGCAGCGGCTTTGATGCTAACCTCAAGTCCCAGGGCGACAATGGTTGGAATCACATCATGGCTTCTGCATGTCACTCACCATGAACTTATTACATCGATTATGATACCATTCTTTTCCCTTCTATATTTCCATCTGATTGACCTAGCCCTAGCAGAGCACGACGCAGAAAAAGAACTAACCTGGTCTAGGACTGCGATGACGGTCTCAACGGACACTGCTTCTAACCATACTATCTTGCACCAGATCTATCCAGATGACCAATAGCGACATTGCTGCTCTTGAATGAAAAGCAATTCAGTTCGACGACACTCTTTCCGTCACCTTACTACTACTACGCGATGCATTTCTCCGACGACCGTCCTTCGACAGGCTTTTATGCGGCACACTCTTTTTTTCCCCCCATCCTCCTTCTCACCGAAGAGGCGCTATATGCGCCTGTTCGGAGAGGAGTAGATCTGGATGAATGTGCCTTATTCCAATGGAGTGCGAACCGAAGGGAGAGATCTACTAGCTGTTGCTTGAACTTGATTCTGCACATACTGAGAGTGTTTTTGAATGAAATGTCGTTGAGGATCGTTATTCTAGAGGGCTTGTTAGTCTATAGCTTTTACATATCTATGGCCCAGAATGCGGAATATTGCATTTTCTATGCATGGGCGTAGCATAGCCAATGAAAACAACATGGTAAGAGTAAGGGTAAATATCAAGGTGGATAGGAATCATCATCAATTCCTGTCATCACCACAGGACGAAGAAAGAGGTCCAGCCTCTGCTATGCTTGTAGACATTGGATGAACGGAACGGAACGGACAATCATAAGACATTGGGAACGACAGGCTGCTGAAGTTTCTGATCCGCCGCATCAAGCGGAGGAGTGAGCATGGCTTCATCTGTGTCGGTGATTTCGTTCACATTGACCGTTGCAACGGCCAACTTCTCCTTCGTCACATTCGGAGATGTTTCTTCCTCACTTTGCATTGCGGCAATATGGTCAGCTGGTAGAGTGTTGACAAAGTCCGGTCCAGGGCTCGCCCAGGTATAATCTACCCACTGAGGGCCGAGGATGGAACGGATCTGGGCAGCGAGGGTGCTGATGACTTGACGGCGGTTCCGAGACCATTCGCGATCGGTGATGAGGCCGTCTGAAGGGGTGAGCGCGGGAGCTTGTTCATTATTATCGTCGGATTTGTTTTCTAATCCATCAATGATGCTGCGCCACACGCGCAAGGTCTCGTTTAACTCGTCGAAATTGCTCACTCCCATGACACTCACGCCTAGGCGCTCTCCCACGCCGATATTGGCAGCGGATAAGAAGCCAGGGTCTGCATTGGGGGAGGGGGCTAGTGGAGGGCCAAGAGCGCCAGCTGCAGCACCTTCACGGAGCCAGGACTCGAGAGCGTAACGGATGGCAATCACCTCGATTTTCTCTCCTTGTTCTTCAGCCCAGACGCTGGCGTCGTGGATCGCGCTCCGGAGACCGTCTGGGGCAGGGTGGAAATCACCCATGCTCCCAATGGGCACACCGTTCCTCCTCAATAGACCCATACCAAGCGGGGAGGCGTTAGGGACGACGTCAACGCCAGCAGCAAGTAGACGCGGTAGACCCTCGGATAGGAGCTTCGTGTTCTGCAGGGTAAAATTGGCATACGACTGGACCACATCGAGGGGTTCTCCTGTCTCGCGTAAGATCATTTCTGCCAGAGAACAGAGAACGTCCACGGGATATCCTGATATTCCAACATATCGTATCGTTCCCTCGGTGTCACGAATGCGACGAAGTTCGCGCACTGCTTCCAGAACTTCCTCTGGTGTCACAAACTCCACATCATGGCAATATACCACGTCGAGGTAGTCGGTATGAAGCCTCCGCAGACTGCGACGGACGCTGCGTCTAATCCAAGCAGGTGAATAATCAAACGAGGATCCCGCAATCCGGCCAACCTTGGTCAATATACGGTATGTGTATCGTGGAAAGCTGGCGCGAACATAGTCCGTCGCAAGAGCGCGGCCGAGTAACTCCTCAGCGGGACCATAGTATGGGGAGGTATCGAAGGCGCGCACTCCGGAGGTTAGGGCTTGGTGGACGAGCGCTGTGGTAGGGAGGGCGTATGGATCTTGATTATACTGCCCGTTGAACGTCGCAGTTCCCATAATGAGGGGTGGAAGATCCGCCGACAGCGGAACAGAAGGACGGCCCATCTTGAGGCAGTGGATGATGGCTGGCCACCAAAAAAAAGAAGTTATCACAAGATGATGGCGAGCACTGATCCAGAAAAGGGACTGTCTGGGGTAATATAAGAACGGGTATCAAAAAAAAAGAGAGCGGAAATTGATTTCTAACCATACGGAGTCCAGCTTAAGCCCGATCCGAGGGGGCGATAATGGTGGGGGAAACGGTTTTTCTTCTCATCGTCGCGGTTTGCGGAGGATCGAGGCTGTTCCGCTCGGGATTGCGCCATGGCAGCCCTGACTACTTAGTGCGACCCACCTCTAAAAGGGTAGAGAGAGACGAGTATTCATGTGCTATAGAGGAGAAGAATACATTTTCCGCCAATGGTGGTTACATCGGGACTTCACAAGAGAAAGGACCAAGAGTGGTGGCGGGGAGAGAGGACGAGGAAGAGCAGAAGGCGGTGATGGGAGTCCAGCAGATCGCCGTCTAACTACTTAGTTTGCACCAGCTGAGGAACTCTTCAGGGATATTCCAATGCGGATTGATTTCTTTTCATGCTCTAGTTCTTTTTGCACCGTCCAGTCTCTGCTTGGAATTCACCCATGCTTCCGGTGATACTCCGTGTAAAGATAGAGAGGATACACGGCGGTTTTGTGTACCCTGAACTAAGTACTGTCCCCATAGTCCATCCATATCACGGCTGGGGATGACACTAGATAAGATTGCGGGAAACGCAACCAGCGACCTATCCAACAACAGCATTACTCCGGTGTCTGGAGGCTGTCCATCTATTCTCTATCTCGGTGGTCAGAACTGCGGCTTCATCCAGGGATTGGGCCTCATTGAATGGAATCATGGACATCGTTCTCATGGTCGGCAATCATGTCAGACTGTCTCGTCAGACGAAGAGTAACTCAGGATTACGGCAGACTTGGCTCTATCCATATGTGGTCATTGTCCCCATCCCTGTGGATGTGGGACAGTGGATGATTCTTTTATCTGATATCAGGCTCCCTCACGTACCACAGGATTTGTGTATGCTTCCGAGATAGGGTATGAATTAGATACAGCGGTGAAATCCATCTCTTGATTGGCCAGGTTGATTCTTACCTATCGATCCACGTATAGAAGCAATATAGTCTCGATTATGTATTTCTCTTTCGAGGAATGTCAGATTACATGCCACTGCTATGGTCCGTCTAACGCGTAGAGCTAAGACTGCGGAATCCAAAGACCCGACGGTAGTAGAAATGATACATAAGTCATATGCTATGATACATGACCCTCCCTTCCACCTGCTAACGAAATCGAGTAAGAGTGGAGAGATAATGGCAGGGGAGACGTGCGGAGAAGAAGCATCTTTCCTCCGTCTATCCATGCTTCGCCCGTCTGAGTTCCCGCTGCCCGTGGAAAGGACAACATATATATGTATATATACTGTACAGATATAGGAGAGAGAGAGAGAACCATCTCACTAGTATTAGATCGAGAATGAAAAGAGAAGCTTGCCGGTCTGACCCATGTGTCGAAAACTCCGTCCGGGCTGATGCGACGCGACGCGATGCGAAAGACAGGAAACCAGATCTAGTTCTCTCCGATCAAAGTCTCGAGGGAAAGAAACCAACCAACCAAAACGCCATGCTATGCTTCGAATCCAAGAATAAACGTGCGAAGATTCCGTGTGAATCGTGCAGTTGATGTTCGAGCCGCCAGATCGTTCAGTCAACTCCGCGGAAGTATTTCGAATCCGACCAGCCAAAGGAAAATCACCGGTCCTTGTACACTTGCGGCTTCCACCCTTCCCGGATCTCCTTGTCCATCTTCGCCTTCCGTTCAGCCTCCCGGATCTCCATCTCGATGCGTTCCCGCGCGCGCAGGATCTTGCTTTGCAGATAGAAACTTCCGCCCTTCTGAGGATCGTTGAGGTCAAAGAGCTTCTTGAACCGCTCTGTGACGGCCTCCAGGTTGGCTTCTCCCGCCTGTGGCGGCTTCACGTTGAGGATCTTGCAAGCCTCATCCAGCGTCAGGCCGGAAGACTTGAACGTGTTCCCTCCGGAGGTGTTGCCCTTGCCCGCCTGAGCTGCATATTTCGAGGAGGCAGAGGCCTGCTTGTAAGCCTCCACAAAGGCTCTTCCAAGCACCCGGGTACCCGTGACGACAACCTGCGTGAGAATGCGATGCGCCTGTACCGTGTTAGTGAACTCAGTCGCTGTCGCACGAAATATAGGACCATAGCAAGGCCAGAGTAGGTCTGATGATGGGACAATAAGCAGGACTTACCATATTTGTGTGTCTGAGGGGGTAAATTGAATATGTTTAATCCACGGTAGACACGTCTGGGACTGGAGAACGATGGACAACAGCCAGATTCACGTTCGGAGAGGGTAAAATTTTGGAGCGGGTTTAGCGCGGAAGAGCGATCTCGGCAAGGCGGCAAGGCAGAAGTAGTGCCTCAGGCGTTGAGGGACCACAGATGGGTCTGGTTATGGATCATAGTAGTACTTAGATCTCGTTCTAGAAGCATCCTGAAGCTGTTCATACCATCCTCACTCCAGTACTGCTAAATAATATAATATAATATTATATTAATATTAAATACGAAGCTGCTACCAAACAGTGCCTGACTGGCTACCCTTCTAGGATGTCATGTGCTGTCGGCTCAGCAACACTGCGAAAGTCACATGTCCCGAGCAAGCTCGCCTCGCTTCCCCGCCGATGATGGTCATGGGCTGGCACGCCAGCTAACTATGAGCTTCTTTAAGAGCAACCGGCAGTTCTCCACCGACGTTGTTCTTTCAGAAATTGGCTCTTGTCTAGCCTGCCTGTCTCCTTGTTAAAGTGCATGTTCAGTCCGAAATGATCCTGCCTGAGGCAGATGATGAACCGTGCAGTGCTATTGGATGGCAGCTCTGGGTATTGTCCCTGCGAACTCCCTTGGCCACAAGATCCTAAAGATGGCGAGCATACTGACTCTCCTCAGACTCCCCGTGGCTAGATTCCATGTCCTCTTTTTCCTACGCGCAGGATGAAGGAGCGCAGTCTGCGCATGATCCGAACCCGCCAACCGTCGCAGCGTTCTCTCCGACGACCATCTCCGGCTCTTCGATCACGTCCAGGCAGCGCTCCAGCATAATCGTCCATCGCAAGTCTCCTTTACTCGTCGCAACTCCTCCTCCAGTCACGCGAGCGCTAGCATATTCCCATCCTTTCATCCTACCCTTGAATAAGTTGGTTGGCCTGCTGTCATGGAGCACCGGAGATCCGTGGGAGAGCTTCCTACTGGTGGCCGGGTTCTGGGCCCTTGTTCTCTATGGGGATGCGATCATCTTATGGGCAGGTCCGATCATAGTGGTGATAGGATTGATGCTGGGCCTGTACTCGAGACGATACTCGCCTCTGTCATCGACAGGGCTCACGGGCGAGAAGCATAGTCATAAAAGGGCGACGTCGGAAGTGTCGACTCGCCATCACAAGAGCTTGGATGAGATTGTGGAGACGATGAGAACATTCACTACCAGGTGCAATATCTTGCTCGAACCCCTACTGGAGTGGACGGACTTTTTATCAACGCAACGGACTCCTACCTCGGCGACGACCCGGCCGGCCCTGACGGCCTTATTCCTGAGGATTCTCTGCGTCACCCCGATATGGATCTTGCTGACGCTCCCTCCTTTCTATATTATTACAACTCGACGGGTCATTATGATCTTCGGAACTATTATTCTTACCTATCACTCGCGACCAGCAAGGGTGTCTCGGGTTATCTTGTGGAGGTCTTTGATGGTCCGTCGCATTTGCTCCATTATCACGGGACTGCCCTTTTCAATCGATGGAAAGGCCCGGCCCAAGGGTTCTGGGTCCACACATAGCCACGGCCGTGCTACCGACATTGCAACAAGGCGCAGCAGTGCTTCTGGCATCCGCTTTACCTTTATTCTGTACGAGAACCAGCGGCGCTGGCTTGGTATCGGATGGACCTCCTCTCTCTTTTCGTATGAGCGTGCACCTTGGACGGATGAACACTTGAATCCGACACCTCCCAAGGATGAATTTGAGCTACCGCAAGTCCAAGGAGGAACTGCACAATGGAGGTGGGTGGAAGGAAGTGAGTGGAAGATTGAAGGAGCCGACAAGGGTGAGGATTCCAAGTCGTCTGACGGCGGTGGCTGGATCTATTACGACAATAAGGTGAGCTCTACGAGTTTGTCACACCGTTGCTATTAATCGTTTTCTAACATCTCGTTAGTGGAACGACGGGCGCCGCCAAGATGGCTGGGGTCGATATACGCGTCGCCGCAAATGGTACCGTGATGCAGAACTGGTAGAGATAGCACCGGAAGAAAATGGACCATCGTCAAGCGCAGCAGAGGCAGGCAGTTCTTCTGCAACTTTAACCAGCGGAGATGGTGCGGGGGACGACGCTGAGACGAAGAGCAATGCTCCATCGAGCGCTTCTAAAGCACGAAAAAGACGTTGGTTTAGCGGTTCCAAAGGAAGCAATAGCAATACGAGTTCATCTAATTTACCGCAGAATGACGCCCCTTCTTCCACCGCTACGGCAGATTCCACACCCAACGCCAGTGGAAAAGCTTCTTCCCGACCGATATCCTTCAAGGGCTCCTTCCGCAACCCCTCTTTCAACAATGTAGCGACCAGTTTCGGGAGCAATAGCAGTGCATCCGGGCGCAGTGGAGGCAGTCTACGCAGGAGTGGCAGTGGGGCAGGGACCGCAGAGTCAAATGATAGCGCAAGCATCAGAAAGAGGGAAATTGAAGAATCCCAGAACCGTCTAGATAGATGGGGTGCTCGAGCCACGGCAGCGACAGAAAGAGCAGAGCGGGAATTGGGACTCGGCGACGACGCCAACATGGGCTTGAGCTGATTCAAATCGGTTGGGAAATTCATTGTAACGGCGTACTGTGGGTGGGTTTTGCGATAGCAATGGAAACAAGGACACGGTCAGGTCACCGGGTATTGGTCTAGCCTAATCATTGGCAGGTTTATCTCACTGTTCGGGATACTGCATCCAATATTATTATTATTACGTGCATTCCAGAGGTTCTCTAATGCTTCTGATATTTCTATTTCGCGTTTTTCTACACTTTTGACGCAAAGGACAAAAAGGACTTCCATTTCTGCGTAACCTGGGAGCCATCCAGATATCTCTCTCGCTATGCATGTAATACTGAAGGAAGAGAGACCACTGCCTAGAGTAGAGGTACACCTATCTATACAACCGAGTAGAATGGAGTCTGAAATGACCCAGTGAAGATGACCGAGAGATCAAACGACCCACTCTCTTCGGTATCTGTTCCATTTTGGAACTCACCTATAACTGACGCGCGGTTGAGTGATTCTTGTCTGGGTTACCCACCATAGAAGCTATCAAATATCCCTCCTTATGTCCAAGAAGATTCTAAGACACATAATAATATAAAAAATAAGCGATAGCAGTTAACTTTCTGTTATACTGAACAGTAAACTATACTCCTTTGATTAATATCCAAGTCAATTCCTACAGACTCAACTCCGCTCATCCAATCCCATATCCTATCTATATCTAATCCAGCAAGTACTGGAAATTTGTTTACACACCATCAATCGAAAACACATCCACGTTCACGTTCACATCACGTCCCATACCACGCATAAGAACATCCAGTTCGACGAGAGGAAACCTTATCCCCGAGTCCGCTGGGAGTCTTAGGCATATATCTACCTAGGTACCTATCTGATGGTAGTGCTAAGTAGCACGTTTTCAACCGCGCGGTATAGAACCAATGGACAGGGTTCAGGAACGGTCGAAGACTATGTAGGAGGTAGTCGTTCCTATGTTTGGGGATTCGGTGCTCGCTAGTTACTAGTTAGGTACCTAGTTACCTACTGGATAGCGGAGTGAGGTAAGGACTGGATAACAGTGGATGTAAGTTATCAAGTAGATAGTAGCAGCATTGAAGGCGCAGTCTATCAGATATCCAGAAACTAGGGTAGGTAATTGAACCTTGTCAATTATGTTTCGTATGGTATATAGAGTAGTCAGCCTGGATATGTGTTCGATCTCTGGATCACAAAAATCACCGTAAGTTTCTCAGACCTAACTAAGTAGATTTGGAAGAAATGCGCCATACCTATCACTAGCCATCTAATCTAATCTTAAAAATCCCCACCACTCGGTCCCTTGAATTTAAAGCAGAAGCTATTCTCCTTTCATAATGGTATGTACATAACTAACTATATTATTACCCCGCTAATGGTGAGATCAGATGGTAGTAGTACTCTCAGCTAACTAGATGGGGATCGATAGGGTTCTTGATATTTTGTTTTGTTTTTTTCATCCATTCTCGGATCATGAAACACGCCACTCGCTCAATTTATTCTGCGGAGAAGACGGAGTAGAGGGGAAAAGTAAATGAATGGCTATGCGAGTCAACTCTTTCGATGATCCCAAAAATAACCTCAAGATAACACGTATGTAGTTACCACAATGTACATTTTTCAGACGCATGGCTCGCTCGATTGATTGGTAATGATAGAAATAACTAGTTAACTACAGGTCACATAGACTAAGTAGTAAGCCGAGTGTTTGTTCCAGGCACCAATGATTGACGGATCAAGTTACACGGATACGTAGCCCTGAAGCCGGGCGCATACCTGGCTGGTGGTTGTACATGCATATAAATAGCCGTACATAGTACCTTAGTACCAGACTCTACTAACAATAGATTATCTCCCAATTGGCTAATCTAATCTGATGGCTAATGCTCGTCATCGGATAATATTACTATCTCCGTCTATGCATGATTTAGTTAGCATTATGGTATGGTATAGTCTCCCTATCACGCCATGTGATACGTTGACCAATCCGTATTTTTTTTCTTTTTTTGCCCGTGTTTTCTAGAAGTGCATTGGAAGGTTGTGATGTATCTAATCTGGTTATCTAGTGAATCTGGCGCGGAGATATTAGAGTAGATCTCCGTTAATATCCTTTAGAGTTTCGGTGTTGGTTCTCGATTGATATGTTTCCCCTTTATGGTACATACATGTAATCGTTTAGATTCGGGTGGGATCAATCTCCGATGTGAGAGATCGAAAAGCCTCATTTAGTCTACCACTGATACTTAGTAGGCAAAGGCATTGCGTTCCCTGGGCTGTAGTACAGATTTGGTCTATATTTTTAAGTATTACTGTCTGCGCTCTGCAGGGTGTTATTAGTAGTTAGATAAATAGAGTAGTATAATTATAATGCGGGAATAAGGGAATCAGGGAGTATACTGGGATAGAAGATGATGTCAGTACTTTTATCCAAATTACCTATTCCGTTAGAAAATACAAAAGCGAACTGAGTATACATAAGTAAAAGGTTCACGATCAAGAGAATCTCTTAATCATCGCCTCCACATCCTCTCCTTCCACCGCATCAATCTTCTCCCTCACCACCCTCTCAATCGCCTCATCAACAGGTTCATCCCCCTCCATCAAGTCAATCCACCCCTCCGTATCCGCCCTCGCCAACAACCTATCCGCTACAATAGCGACATCCTCCCTCGACACCGTCCCCACGGCCTTCGTATGGCCCAATTGCACTTTCCCCGTCGCCTTGTTATCGTCCAATAGGCCCGGGCGCAGGTTAATCGCCTGGAAGTGTCCCCCTTCCTGCTTCCGCTTCGCTGCTAGGGCAGTGAAGTATTCGTCGGCTTCGAGCTTGGCTCGCGCGTAGGTCGGAAGGGCCTGCGTGTCGAGGTGGACGATGTGCGCCCAGTCTTCGTCGGACATCCAGCGGGCTTTGTTCCGGCGGCTGCCGAGGTGAGAGATGAGGAGGAATTTGGTCACGCTTGGGTAGGAGAATGAGGCGTTGATGAAGTGTTTTGCGGCGTCTTGGTCGATGGCGTATGTTCGTTCCGGACCGCCTTTTCCGCCGGCTCCTGTGGAAAAGAATGCATTAGTAACATTATTATTGAAATTATGACAAAGTGTCAAACAAAAGAAAAGAGAAGAGAAAATGCATGCAGATAAAGTATAGTAGACATACCAGCTGACCAAACGACATAATCCGGCTTAACCGTATCCAAGATCTTCTTCGCATCCGCGGGCTGCTTGACTTCTTCTAGACTGGACAACAACACCTCCACTTTCCCCTTCTGTCCTTTTCCCAGATTGAGAATCTCAGGCTCATGTTCTGGATTGCGAACCACACTCGTCACGTTCCAGTTGCGCGCCAGGAGGAGCGGGGTTAAGAGCATAGCGACCTTGCCATGACCTCCTAGGAGCAGGACATGGGGTGAGATACGCGGGACGGCTGCCATTATCGGTGAGGGATGAGACTGTAAGTATAGCCAGTGAGTATAGTGTAGAGTATCTTCTTGAGCAGTTATGAGTTCTTTTCTTTTTGTTGATTTATGCTCTGAATTAATATTACACAGCCGGAGTTACACTTCGGAGACTTATCGTGATAGTTAATCGTTGATTACTGAGCCAGAGCTACGAAGGCGGGGAAGTATGTAACCGGGATGGCGTCATGATGTGCTTACGATAGCCGGAGCTTTAGTTAATTAACTACCGGAAAAAGAATCCATCCCACAAAAGAAGACCTGGGGGATACTGTTTGATATTCGACTTGGAGGATCTTCAAGGATGTATGCGTTGATTGCTAGACAATGCTTTTCTTTTTCTTTTGTCATACACTTTGGCATGTAATTGACAACAAAGTTTAGACAAGAATGGCAAGAACAAAAAAGGTATATACATAAAAAAGAACAATAACCCACGAGTTAATATCCACAACCATATAAACAGCCAAGTAACATACACTAGAGTATGTACTTTCCCATCTCATCCTCAACAAGAAGCTCCATCCGGAACATTCTCACACGCATCACTTTCTTTTCCGCCCGTGATATCGACACCCTCCCAAGTCCAATCCTCGCAGCTTCCATCGCCGCAGAGGATATAGATCGGAGTAGCGTCGTCCGCCACGGAGCCCGTCACGCCATCGATGGTGAGATCGGTGATCGAGATCCCGTTCGTCGGTTCGCCTGTAGGGCTCCCGTTCTCGTAGTCCTGTTCGATGACGATTCCATAATCGGTGATGTTGGACAGCTTGATGTTGGAGTACGTGACCTGCGAGACGGAGCCGGTGGCACCGTAGACGGTTTTAATGCGAACGCCATTTTGGGAGTTGGAGATGCTGGAGTCTTGGATAGTTACGTTCTTGACGGTGTTATCGTCGCGGCCGCCTACAGAGCCGATGGAGAGACCGTGGCCGCCGGAACAAGTGCCGTTGGAGAAGAGGATGTTCTGAATAAGATAATATCAGCGTCTGCACCAATACCTATTTAAGTACTTGTTTGGTAAACAAGATATAACATACCTCCCCCGAATTAACAGCCAGACAATCATCCTGATTCCTCACAACCGCATTTACAATCTCGACCCCCGTACTCTCCCCAACATCGAACGCATCGGTATTATGTCCACCCTGCGTATCGCCATCCGAATTATCGATCGTGACATCTCTCAAGACCAACCCATCCGACTGGATACTAAACACATGAACAGGGGAGTTCTTGATCGTGATGCCGCTGATACTCGACGAGTCGAGGTGATGCGCGTAGAAGAACTTGGGCTTCGTCACGCCGCCGTTACTGCCCTTGCCGTCCCACCAGCGGGATCCGTTGCCGTTTAGGATAGAAGAGGGTTCACCAGAGACGGCGATATTTGTGCCGGAGATGGAGATTAGAGGGCCGGACCATTCGGCGTATCCGAAGGTGGTTTCGCCGGAGAAAATGACCTGGCGTAAAGTTTTGTATTAGTTTGTTACTTTTATTCCCTTGTGTACTGGATGTAGATGCTGTATTTCGTATTTTGTTACGGAAATTAAGTTAGTTAGTGACTAGATAGATAGATACCTTAGTCCCATCATTCAGATCCGTCAAGTCGAGAGTCTTCCCCGCAGGGACTTCGATATCCTTCAGTGTAATCGTCGAACAAGACGCCTTGTTCTCCGTGGCAGCAGCAGCATCAGTGAATGTGCAGCTACTAGCTCTCCTATCGACTCGAGTCGGAGCCGGGCTAGCAGAAACGACAGCGGCCCCAGCAGTAGCCAGGCAGAGCCAAGAAGCGAGGGAATAATAATGCATGGCTCTCAAACGAATCACACTCAAGGAAGGAATCAATCAATAGACGCAGACAAGACCAAAGGGTAGAAAGAGAGACGTATTATGTCGCAGAAAGATTGTGTTTCTTGAAGATCGTCGTGGTACGGTACCTTGCATACTATACTCCCGAGTACCATAGATGGATCGCGTTTACGTTTTATAGATTTTATAGATCGTCATATAGGCCAAGAATACTGCTAGTTTAACTCACAAGCCAGCTGAACGGGCCAGTTACCGGTGTGTTCTATCCTTTCATGATGAGGGGGTTCGGTGGGACTCCGATATTAAAAGACCGCATCCCCCTGTATACTTTGAATCCACCATTTGAATCTCAAACATCGTCTGGACGGACCATGTACTTGATTAGGTTCAGGTCTACGATCTTTGCAGGGCTGCTGAAAGATGTGAAAACGTGGCCACGGTCCGAGCTTTCTCCTGGTTAGCAAGTAAGTATTGTTTCAGGTCTTGAACGGCCTTGCTTTAAGTAAGTACTGCCGCCAAGGATCGGTGACAGCCGTTTGAATATGCCGTGAGTGGTGGAATGAAAACTCTAGATTGCTCCGTTGAGATGTTAGGTCGGAATAAACGCGGATAATAATAAACCGCCGTCGACTAGTTTCTGCTGGAAAGCAGGGGAGAAAGCTTCCTGCGGGGTTGTTTCTGACTTGCTGTTTCGCGATTGTCACTAATGTGTGATTCGATCCACCAGGTGAACAGAACAGGTAGTTTCTACTGCGTACTTGAGGTGTTGGCTCGTTGTCGTAAGGTCAGAATATGGTAGAGGTAAGGGAAACAAACAAAAAGTTTCAACGCCATCAAGGTTGGGTTTGTGAACAGCGGTTGGACCTACGAGTGGTCTGAGACTCAGACAATATCTACAAAGAGTTCAGCCCGTCCGTCTCCACCAACGGGTCATTATTGTGGACGAACCACGGAGACGATCGAATCGACCCCAGGCTGAGAACGAAAGTTCTCAAGAGAAAAGTCGAGCCTCTCCATCTGGGCCCTCTGGGAAGTCCATGTTGGCGGTTTGGTTGATTATTTAGATCGTTTACGTCCGTAATGAGTTCTCGCGCACCCTTCCCGTTCCGGAGTCTATAGTTAACTCCCGATGCTATTGATGGATAATAATTACTTACATTATGATAACTAAGAGTAAGGAGTAACTGGTTAAGGCGATCGTCGATTGCTCGTCAGGCCGAATGGTGACACCAAAAGGGCAGCGGGCAAAAAGACTTTCTTAAGCTCTGGCGGATATCACAGCTGTCTAGGGACGGAAAGACAGAATATGGTATAACTAACTAGATATCGCTTGCAAGGCCATGTTTCGAACGGCTGGCCTGCGCCTTGCATTGCGTCGGCGATCGCTTTGAAAGTGTCCGATCTATCAAGATCTGCCTTAGCAGCAGGGATTCACCATGTGCAGAACGCAACCAACGGTGGTGAACGGACCTGTTGGACATACTTTGGCCAAGCCAATAACGCAACTTGTTGATCTTGTTTTCTCAGGAATTAAACACAGACATCGTCACGAGTACGAATCCGCAGAGAAGCCAGTAGTCTTGCTGAGAGGACGAAATTCCTGTTTTCCATGTGTCACCTCTAGGCTCTCAGGAATTACAGTCCGTAGACGCTCGGGAGAACCGGCAATGAAGGAGAGGATCGACGATCAACATCCAAGGCCGGGCCAGATTTCCGTTGGCTCTTGCGCGAACTATTGAAGGCGCATAAGGTTGTGAGGTCATCTGGATCCAGGCAGGCCTTGTAGCGAATTGCAATGCGAACCTGCAATGACCGTTAAGAATGGCTTCGATCATGTCGTGATGTCCGGTATGTCCAAAGAAGCGCGTCTACATTCTCATTCTCCTTTGCGCTCAGACGTCCAGAGAGAGAGAGAGTGTGTGTGTGAGGGGAATCTCCCGGCCGCCGTCACACTGCTGCATTCCTTTGTCACACTCTACGAGGATAGACTGTTTGACGGCTCTCACCTACGTTCTTGCACTGCCGGCACTCTTTGGGGGAGAAGAATCTAGACCGTAGTCGGCGAGAAGAGTTTTTTCTCTCTTGACGATCAATTTGCAAACTGTGGGTTCGCACACGGAGCCTGAAGAAATTAGTTAGAAAAGAATAATAATAAACTTCAGAGAGATTAGATCTTAAACTCCGGTCAAGGCACAGGCCGAAGGGATTTCATTATTTGCTGTGGGCGAGATGAAACAGTTGGGCCTTGCCAGGGACGAGAATCCTTCTCCACACGGGAAGCGGAAGAGGCCTAGTCGAGCCTGTTGTTCTGGTTGTTGGTTTATGGTATTGGCACATCCAGCTGAAGTTGGAATAATGACTGCAAGTGGACATTATTTCCTGTATTCTAATCGAACCTCTCTTTCTCCTGATAATAATAATGATAATGATGATAATCACTAATCCAATGAAGATAATCGTAACGCATCCCTATAAGATCGAACCTGCCTCATTGGGCGACATTAAATATTATTATTGCACTAGACAGTTAACTAGTTATTCCTCTTCGGGCTTAGTCAGGGGCACGGATAGAACCCCCACTCTTTCCTTATTATTATTATTATTTTCTTTCTTTTCGTTCATTTTCACGCCCAAACGGCTCTCTCTCCGGCGTCAAGTCAAGCCTTCAGGTCAAGCCTTCAGCGGCCACCACAGTTTCAGAGACAAGAGGCGCCAGTCGGACTTGGCGATTGGGCGTCTATATGGTACGGATCCAGATAACCATACATACATGCCGCCCTTCTCAGATAAAATGACGGCGCCATTGGTTACGCCATGACTCCGACAGCCAAGGGGCATTCTTCTCGCGCTAAGATTGGGCATTATTATGCAGCGGACAAGACAACTGCCAAACGCCGGGCGAGATCTGTCAGTCAGAATAAGAGCAAGAGCAAGCATGCTGCCCGGTACATACAGTAGTAGTGCATAATTCCGGACGCCTGTCTATAGACCTCGCATTGTCACAATACAACCTGGTCCCCTGTGTGACCGGAAGCTATTCAAGCGATCTGAAGACGCCCCGCAGCATTGTTGTTTGATAAGCGAGGAGGGAAGGGGATTTCATTCTGATAGTCATAGTTGGTATGCAAGGGAGGTTGGCCAATGATCAATGATGTGGCAGCATAACGCCTGTCAATATCAATCTCCTGCCAATGACAGATCTCCATCCGCAAATTGATTGGTAGCATCAAATCACGATTCGATGTTACGCATCCTATTCGCGCGGTCGTGTTATTCTGCAATCGAGACTTGACTCTCCGTACTACCACTATACTCCGTCAACCCTCCGACACAGCTCACTGGCTGAGGCTGGGCTAGGCTATAGGGGGAATGCTGAGACGTAGCAAACGCATTTCTCGTCCAATATCCGGGGGCATTATTGAGAAGATGACGGTCAACGGAACTATGCGCACATCAGACCCAGGAGAGAGTGTTCATGATCGCAAAGGAGACACAGCAGAGGAGCAAACCTAAGTGATATTATTATTATTATTGCTTTGCGGCGACACTATGATACACTAGAGGAATACCATAATAGGATGCAGCAACCAAATAATCATCATGATGATGATTATTATTTATTATTTCTTTGCCAAACTCAGCCCCAGATTCGATCTCGGACCCACAACCCGACGGACAGTCGGAAACGAGAGCAAATTGAAGTCTTTCAATCCTCATGGCCACGCTAGATCCCCCGCCAGTGTTGACGCCGGCGCGGCGCTGAACCACCAGCTGGGATAGTCCCAGTAAGGGGCGTAGCCGGTCCCTGACCACTGGAGCCCCTAAACAATGTCCAAAATGGCGGCGGCCAGGTCCCGTCGTATAGACAAACGGCCTGTCAAGACTTGATTTGTCTCGACCCGTCTCCTTGTCCCTTTGCGTTTCATTGATCGCCTGAACTCCCGCTGGGACAGCCGGTGCAATCCCAGTGCGCCCTAAGTCTCTGGCTGAAGACCGGGCCCCGAAGAATGGGAATTCGAACCAGTTTGCTGATCAAGCCCAGATCGCCATGCTCCTCCTAACTCTTTTTTATCCTGTTCGTCCCAGTTCAGTTCAGTTCTGGATGTGAGCTACGCTGCCTCCTTCTACCTCGTCGCCGTCCACGACCTTGGACACTGCCAACTGTGGTAGACCACCGCGTCTTCCTCTTGTCGCTCGTTTCGAAACATCGCCGTTGCATACAACGTATCTACAATCCTTCAGACTCTCCTTTTCTTTCATTCTGTCTTGATTCTACCGACCAGACCCATTCACCAACCAACCAAACCAACCGAATTCCCTCCTTTTCCCAAAGAACGTCGCTACGCAGTGCGGAACCAACAAACGACATCCATCTAATTAAACAACCAAACAGGACAATCCTTTGATAATCACGAGCTAGAACTGTGGCGGAGCAGTATCGAGGTCGCCAGTATCTGTCGCAACAGAAGGCGGAAGATTCAAGTGTGGAAGGTTATCGCAACTGTGGTAGTGCGCACGGAATGCATACTGTCCAATCCTGCCCGGACAATTAAGCAATTGGAGGTGTCGAAGATCGGGCGAAGCCTATTCATACTGTTCATTGTCCTTGCGGTTAATCTACCTACCGCTGTGGTTCGTTTGCCACCTATTTTACTGGGCCTCTGTGAGGATACTCATTAGTTCCCAGACATCAATCATACCCGGCATTGAAAACACCCAAGTTGCCAAAATGAACCGATTTAGGAAGAGCAAGAAGGTGAAGGAGGTGCGACAGGAGCCCGAGAGTGTCCCCCCGGTCCCAGTTATTCCTATCCAGGCTATCCCGAAGCTGCCTAAGAAATCCAAGAAGGAGGAGCCACAGCCGGAGCCAGAGCCGGAATTTAACTTGGATAATGCGCTTCCATCGACGGATGATTTCCGCACCAGTCTCATCATGCCAAAGTTGTCTGCGCGATTCAGTATGTTGAGGGAGCAGGACGATCCAACGTCCAAGATCGGCAAAGCAAATGACGACAGCGTCCTCTTCCCGAAGAGAGCTTCGAGGCTCAATCTCTTTGGCCATAACCCCATCGGCCCGGGTCTCCTGGCAGACATTGCGGAAGTGTCATCAATAAGGCCTTCACTCGACTCCGGTCGAGCAGGTTCATTTGCGGAAAGCCGTGATGATGAAACAGATTTCACAAAGCCTCCCACTGGTAGTGTAATGTCGAGAGCCAGACCAGGAGAAGGAAACAACCTCTTTGGTGGCCGACAGAAGGTGTACAAGATCCCAGTCAAATCAACCGAGTCGGGAGGCTCAGGGGGTCTGAAGGGAAGGACACTCTATGATGACGACGTGACCCTCTCTACTTTCCAGCGACTGCGGCTTGAAGAAAAGGAGAATCGACTTGCGGAAACAATGGACTGCCTACAAGGTCCAACAGCAGCTGATCATTCGGAACTTTCTTCCATAAAGAGAACCACGACCTCTTCGACCGCTTCCGGGCCGTCAAATGCTCGAACCTCTACGGCTGCAACTTCTATTGACGAAGAGCCGTCTACCGTTTCTACTGAGCCTAGCCAGACGGCTTCCAATCCTGGACCGACAGTCCCAGAACGCCCCAAACCACGTCGTCTCTACGGACAGGGTCTTGAGCAACCCCAGAACAAGAAATCACCCGCCTTCGCTGCTATCAGCAAGTTTGAGTCTCTCAGCCGACAGCGAACAGGGAACCTCGAAACGCCCCCTTTGAACCGGCACTTCTCACGAAGTGCTCACAATCTGCGTGACAGATTGCAGACATCATCCCCCGTTAATGCAGCTAGTGGGCATGAGAATACCCCGCCGCCTTCTGCTACTTCTCCACATCCTCAGAACAACAAAGAACTTGGATTTGAACCTAATTCAGCTCCTTCCCCTACTGGGTATGGTGTCATTCCTCCATTGAGCCCACCTGTGAGCGAAAATGAAATTCTGGCTGCTGCAATGCAGCCGGAAGACAAAGGCAAAGCAACCGCAATGGGCTTGTTCAACAAGCCCAATTCACAGTACGACGAACAGCAGTTTACTCGCCGTCAGCTGCAAATGCATGAAGGACGCAACACGCCGGAATTGAGGCAGCAGTCTCCACGCCGTGGAGCCCCAGTCCCTGATAATGGGCGTGGAAGACGACTATCGAATGGGAGCAAGCGTTCGAAGACGGAATCAGTGTCCTCTCATTACAGTGTCCGTCGCACTAGCAGTAACTCCCCAGGGCCAAATGCGAGAGAAGCAGGCCCCAACGGATCGTCCGGTGCGACTTTCTTTGCAAACTCCAGCGGAAGCGAATCGGAAGGTGAGGGGGAGGAAGATAGAGGGCCCTCAAGAAAGCCATCTTCTCAAGCATTGGACGACATACACCCCGCCTTGCGGCCTCGCAACACTGAATTAGCCGAAGACGATGCAGAGGCTGCTGTTCAAGAACCTAGCGTTATCTTGCCAGAGGTGAGATTCTCCGATCTTCGTGATCTGAATTCCCTTACGGAAATCAGCGAGCCAGACGCGGGAGCTCCAGCTATTGTCGAAGAGGAGTCGTCTGAGAAAGCACTCGATTCCCCGACCCTTGGACCATCAGGCCTCGGATTGAGTGGATTGATTAGAACCCACTTGCGACATGACAGTGATAAATCATCGATATATCCTTTTCCACAGTCGCCTGGGCTCCCTTCAACTGACGCTGCAAGATATCGCGAATCCATTATCGATCCTGCAGTTGACAACTTCCGTCTGTCCTATGCGACATACACCGATTGCATCCAGGAAGATGACTGGATGGATACGAGTTACAATGCGGTGCAGAGTACTTTTGATAAGATCTCAGAGCCCACTCCGAATGACAGCATGTCAAGCATGTCGTTGAGGGCAAAGCAGATGCTCGAACAGGCCACTGCACTGGGAGCCCGGGACGGTGATGATTTCCAGACGCGGGAGAGTAGTGAGCAGGATGAACTCAAGTCGAACCAGAGGCGGCGCGGCAGTGTTGAGACAGAAAGGGAACGCGAGGAATTTGCTAACGAACTCGCTGAAAGACGAAGAAAAGTGCAGGAGAAGCTGCGAGATTTTGCCGAAAACGAAAGCAGATCAAGCAGTCCTGCGCCTGGTCGTTCGACTCCTGATTTGAAAGGAAACGCTTTCGCCGCGTTGAAGAATAAGTCCAGCAAGAAAGCCGACTCTGCTCACTCGAAGATCTTCGGGAATCGTTCCAGGGCCACATCGGTTTCTTCTGTCGTCTCAGATATGGAAAATGATGACCAGTCGCCCTATGCGCTCGGTAGGCATTCCAATAGCAGTACCGGGAAGAATATTTGGCAAAAGGCTCGTGCGCTGGGTCGTTCCAGTCGCGAGGAATCTCGAGACTCGAGCCCCCGTCGAGGCCCTTCGCCATCTTCTCGTCCCGAGTCCGATATGTCAGGCCGATCCAAGATTAGCTTGAGGGCCAGAGATGACTTAGACAAGGTGGACGAATACTTTGTTAGCCAGCACACGAGCCGTTCATCTGGCGAGACTTCTGGTAACCGTACATCGGATTCCGTGACAGCATCCACCCGTCCGTCTGTGGAGGCGGGCGAACAAAACCCCTATGAACGATCCGCATCCGTTGCATCGGGAAACTACAGTGGTGGTCGACCAGGTCAATTAGAGGTCAACTCCGCAGGAGAGCCTCCTGAGTTGGGTCTCTCTCCTCGGCCCTCCCCAGCCGCCCCCTATTCAGCCAATACCACACCTCCGCTATATGAGATGTCATCCGACAGCTCTGCTGCCTCCACGCCTGCATCTTTCCAATCTGGTTCGAATGTCATTTCACAACGGGCGGCTGGAAGCTCCGGTCTCCAAAAACGGATGGTCAACAAGATGCAGATCTCTGAGCCCACTCTCGTTTCTTCTACATACAGGGTCCCCACCGTCAATTTACCGCCAGGAGCGAGTCTGACTAACGGAATGGAGACACCTCCTGTTCCCCCGATGAACCCTCGCCGGCGCCGCCAGACTGCTACGCAGACCATCCTGGGAGCTCTCAAGGGTGACAAGAACGAGCAGCCTCCCGTTCCGCCCAACAGCCACGCAGAGGAGCGGAGTACATTCTCTGACGAGGGCGAGCGATTTCCCAAAGCGCTGAATCGACTTAGGAATATCTCCAGCGAAGGTTCGAGTCTTCACGGCAAGGCTCGCAAGGACTCCGTCATACCCCAGCAATCCCCTAGCACCTCGCGACCCAGCAGAATGTTTTAACTTATTCTCGGATCAGCTGATTTTGCAACTGACTGGCGTTTACCGGACCATTATACCTCTTTGCACTCATTGGAGTCGAGATTTTCTTTTTCTATTCTGCAGTGTATCTTCACCGTATGGGCTTTTGGTTGTGTCCTTCAAAGGGGTGGGAGCAGGGTTATGAGGCTATATACCACATCAGAGCCGTGTTTATGGGAGCTATACGTGATATTTTTGGAAAGTCTATGTCGTCTTGAAGTCCCATTGTCTCCGAGTTACAATGTAAATACCTGTGTACCTATCTCATTTGAAATAAAGATTTATATTAGCGCAAAACTTGCTATCTGCTGATGAGTTTCGCTTTAGGAGTCTGTCAGGTATTAGTCTCTTGGAGTTCCTTTCTTCTACCCCGTGCTCAGCCACTACTTAGTATCTCTGTCCGCGACACTAAGCAGGTGCAATTCAGAATGTATAACATCCTACATGTTTAATGTCTCCAAAGAAGTTTATCTACACGTCCTTTGTCCCTTTCTAAGAACGTGCTCATAGATTGATCCTGAATTCAATATATGAATTCTGCCAAGACAATGCTTTCCTCTTTTATCCCCTGAAGCAGGTGTTCTATACGCGGTCTAATAACTAATAGTACTGTATACTCATATGTAAAGTCTCAATCTATGGCTACATCTCTCTTCCAGCGTATCACCAAAGATGTACATATTGTACTCATCACCCTAGACCTCCGGGATCTCTTAATCTCATCCTTCATCCACTATATCCTAGCCCAAGTTGTAGTTCCGCCTATAAACTCCCATGGCAAAGGTTGTTATCACAGAAAACAACGGTCATAAAGCATTAGATGCCGCCCCGGCCTGATTTTCACACACACGCAGTAGATGACGACTAAGCAGCACGCACATCTCTCTCTCTTCGCCGACTAAGCGTTCAAAATCGCATCGTAGAGACCATAACACGACTGCTCCTTTGTTTATCCTGTCTTCCTTTCACTTCCATCTCCTGTTTCTCCCTCTGGACGTGTCTCTCCCATCTCCTGAGCTCATCCTGTTTATCAGTTTAGGTATCAGGATCTGCTGTTTTCTTCGCTCTATCAGTCTGGATAGTTGGAATAGGAAGATCTTCACCTTGACGGACTTCTATCTCCATCTTTTGGACCTGGGCTTCTTGATTTTGCTGAGCTTTGGAAGTTCGGAGTGTTTTGAATACAGTCTTGATCTTGAATGAACTGTTTTCTCTTGTCTCTTCTTCTCACAGACTGGCTTTTATCTCTCTTGGGAATATTTTCATTTCTGAAGCAGCTTTGGCAATAGGCAACGTCCTTTTTCATATTCTTCTGCTTTTTCTTCTTCTGCTGCTGAGCCAAGCATTTCGTCCTCATGGACACCTCACCCAGTCCACGCAGACGACGGAGCCTGCCATGGTCACTGTTTGCAAGTTTCCGAGAATCTCTCTCACAGAGCCGGAATGACACAAGGTCTGGCAATGAACTTCCAATACAGACACAGGCAAATACCCAGACACCCTCAGAGCCGTCTCAGACTCTCGCTCTAGCTAGAGCCCAGCTCCCGACTCCACCTCGTACGCCTCCTGAGAGAGCCATTCCTCGTCCTCCTTTCCCAAGGAACACCGCACCAAATGGCCGTCGGATACGTCCTACTCGACTTGATCCCATTCCTGAGGAGACCGCCCCTGACGAGCATGTAGAGACGTTAGCAAAGGAGAACACGAGAAAACGGAAACAAAGACAGGAGCAAGATGGTACTGGAAGACGCCCGGTTCCTACTTATGCAGTTCCTGATGCTTCACGCGTTGGAGCGAGATCTAATAATGATCTTCGAAGGCACGCTTTCGACCGTGCTGCTCCTCCCCCTTTTGATAGAAATCGTGAGTATATCCCCTGTATTCTTTTAGTGAATAATCATAGCAATTTGATTTGGAGACGTCTGCTAATGCTGGATTTATACAGAAGTTCAACCCCTTCTAGGAAGGGAGCACCCCGGCGCTGCATTTAGGAGAAACACACCCTTCATGCTCGAGCGTCCTGATCGTTTCGTCATCAACCCGCTGACCTCCCGGCGGCCCCCTGCACGCCATCACGCCTCGTACTTCACTGAGATAGTTGATCGGCCTGGAGGTCCCCCCGTTCCACCATTCAGACCCAGCGGGGTTCCGATCCCTGATGGACGTCCGAACCCGTTTCTCCCCCCGGAGATGCAGAACCGCCGTGGCGAGCCCGCTCCCCCCTCTCCGCGGCCTAGACTCCGGCACTCGGGGCGGAGTATCGGGTCCTTGCGTTCGGTTGCTCAGGCGCAGAGCGAGCCCAGCCCGACCAGACAGGATCCTTTCGCCGGGTTTAATGATTCAAGTCGTCTCATTGAGAGACGTTCAGGGAAGGAGATGCCCGCCCGTTACAGAGGGGGTACGCCCAAGGGTGGGTAGTGAATCATGTACGATAGTTCAGGTTAATATTCCCAAATTGACTCTTTTCTTTTCCTTTTTTTTTTTTTAATTGGGGGGGTTTTATATTTGTTGTAGGAATATGGTCATGGGGAGTCCACCATGAGTAGGTATGTAGGTCACTTTTTGGAGGGTGAGTATATGCCACCGGGGAGTCCGCTATGGGTATACAGCACGTAAATTACCCCTGACTCTTCTACCCTTGGGGGGTTCACCGGGGTGATATCACCTCTCTCTTTTATAATATTCTATGAAGGATACATATATGATAATAAGGAGTCCGCTCTGAGGATATGAACTACTTTCTGGAGAGTATGTATATATATCAATATACACCTGGTGTGTCGGCTATAGCCATAAAGCACATAAATTACCCCAGATGCTTATTCTTTGCAGGAGTTCGCCCAAGTCATATATTACTTTTATTACCCTAGTCATACGATAGAATCTGCTTGATTACCTAGGGATGCAGATTCTTTGTATGCTTAGAAGATTGATATGAGATCAACTTCCCCCTGGATGTTGAATCGAGCAAGCCGCGTAGCGAATAGTTATCGTTACGAGGCTCAACGTATACCGTTAATAATTCAGTGCTGTTTTGGGCGTTAACAGAGTCCACTATGCGCACAAAGCTATAAATAGTCAATCCCTTTTTCGAAGATGAATATTCGAAATATCTTTCTACATATACACATAGAGTGTACTTTGCTCCAGGCTAATATACCTGTCAAGACTAAGAAAGAGCCATACAACAATAATGGATTGGTTAGTGTTCGACTCCAATTTCTCGAGCATTGCACTCTATCGTTATACAGTTTCGGCGACATTTATATGCTCATACCCAATTAGGATTGGAAAGGAGTCTGACTTGAGGCGTTCTCTGATGTAGATATGCACTGAATGCTGCGGCTTTAGCGGAGATTACGCAACAAAGGGCATGTAAATGAAGCTCAACGAACAGCAAGGATGTTTCGCATGATATAGAGCTTGCCAGCCTAAACCGTGCAGACCCATCTGGGCAGGGGTGTCTTCGGAGAGATATTTACGTTATATGGTATTCTTACATATTGGACTTTTACTGTTTCATATTGCATCGAGCCGATATACAGTAATCATGAAGGGCAAAATAAAGAAGTAGAAAGAAAAGAAAAAAAGGCAATCTCCCTCTTCAAGTCCTTGCTTTGTTACCTTGCTTTTCAAATAGATGATAACAATACAATCTCACATGAATCCATGATGGTACTCTCGATCATAGACAAAGATACCCTTTTTATCCATACAAACCCGTCACTACACCCTTGCTTTTGTTGAACCTAGACAACCTTTGCCGACGTGCTCACACCCTCCTCGTTCGCGTCCGTGCCTCTCAACTTCTGCGCTACTTCAGAAGTCATTTTATCATCGATACTACGCGTGAAGAAACCAGCGATGATAGCAAGGCCTCCGAAAGCGATGCTGGTCAAGTAGACAGTCTGGAAGGAAAACGAGTACGCCGTCTTGGTGGCCTCTCCAACGACAGCAGCGATCTTGCTCGTCATTCCGGGCACAGAGTCTAGTGCGTCAGACGTACCGGCCGCGATAGCCTTCAGGAGAGTTGGGATGCTGGATTTGGGAAGGCCGGCCTTCACAGCAGCGGGAGTAACAGTCGGAGCGAGAGTTTCATCAAGGCGGTTGGTGAGAATTGAGACATAGATCGCGGCTGCGGTGGTGTGTTAGTTATTTGTTATCTGGGATAGAGAATGAGATGGTGGAAATACTTACTTGCAATAGTACCGACGACTTGCTTGATGGCAGCTAGGAAACTGCTTGCAAGACCGATATCTTCGGGCTTGCAGATAAGAGCAGACATGATGATCGAGATCATTTCCTGGAAACCTACGCCAAGGCCGCCGATGATAGTAAACTATATTCCTTTATATTAGTATGTAATGAACGATGCCGCTGATAGTAGTTCGCTTACAGCAATACCGTAATCCTTTCGATATTGATTCGTCGATGCCATGGCTCCCAAGAACGTAGTCATGACCACGGTGCAGAGGACGAGCTGCCATCTGGCATGGCCCAAGGGTTTCATAAGAAGACCCGCGAGTATCTGTCCGAGGGCAACAGAGGATCCAGTCGTACACTGAAAGTGGTATCAGCATGCCATTTTCCAGCATGTTTCCCGCTAGGGTGAACACGACTTACCGCCAGCCAGCCAGCCTTAATAGGATCAGTAGTATACAAAGCCGCAATCTGCTGCGGCCATAACACGTTTAAAGAAAAATAGATCATTGTCCCCACCGACGCAGCGACGCAGACGGCGACATAGTTGACATTTCTGAGCAACTTCGTTGGAAGAAAGGGCTGCTCAAGAGGGGCAAAGGTTTCTGCAACGCAAATATTAGCACAATTTCTTTCGCACACCTTAAGCGTCAATGATACAATTCTAAACATACCCCATAGAGCAAAGAGGACCAAAGTCACGATTCCCACCACCAGCGTAGCGATGACATGGCCAGATTTCCAGGGGTAGGAAGAGCCGCCCCATGCTGCTATTCGTCAGTATACGCCCACATAAGTTCTTTCACAACTAGAGAACCACAACATACAAAGCCCAAGAAGCACCAGAACCAGTCCAGCACTGTACAAGACCAATCCGAGATAGTCGAGTTTCTTGACTTGTTCCCATCGGGACTTGCCCTTGTGCAGCTGATCGTATCCAGGCGGGAAGTAAAAGAGTGCAAATAGAATCGCTGAAAGTCCGCAAGTGATGCAATTTAGATAGTAGTTCCATCGCCAGCCTTTCTCAGTGTTCTTTACAAGAAGCTGTGCGATAAGTGGACCAAATGCAGCAAATGGCAGAGTGGATAGAAATAATCCACTGTTTACGGCAGGACGGTGCTTGTTTGGCACCAGTTCAGAAATGACGAACGTGAAAGTGAGCTGTACTGACGCGGCGCAGCCGGTCAGAACCGCTCCAGCGATCAGTGTAGGAATGTTCTGTGCTGTGGCACCGACTATGGCACCGATAAAGCCGATCGTTTGCCCGCCGATGTAGAAGTATCGTCGTCCGAAGATGTCACCCAGACGCCCGACGAGTAAGAGTCCGACCTAGATCGTGTCAGGATGTACTGTGATATTCAATTGGTGATCTTGTTGCACTTACACCGCTGATCAATGTGTAGGACGTAGAAATCAGAATGTAATTGGGGTCAGGACCTGCCCCTGTCAGTGTTTCTACGATGGTAGGAAATAGAAAAAACTACAGAGGCGATATACCTAGATCCTCGTTGATGGTTGTCAAAGTATTCGCCTGGAAGAAGTCAGATATGATATAAAGACTTGCTACGTATTGAATATCCCTACCGGTAAGACGTATCCCAAATACAGACTGATCGCCATAAGACATACTCCCGCCACAGAACCAATGAAGTTCTTGCTGTAGAAATATCCGAGAGGTAAGTCATTTGCAGTCAGACCTTGCGTAGAAGTCGAGTTCGCTGCTGAGTCGGGCGTCACTGAGCGGATTTCCTCTCTGTGGAGGCGCTTCAGCTCCGTTGAGTCCGACATTGTGTAACTCGACGTGCCGTCGCCCAGGAAGATACACGAGTATAGGAAGAGAAAAAACAGTTAAGGTATATTTAGAAGCATTAAGAATTATGCAATATCCTTTAAGAAAAGAAAGAAAGTGGAATGGTACGAAAGATATAACCTTTGGAGAGGGGAAACGGGAGATCTATAGCAAGCTGTATCACAGGATATAGGATGACGCCAATGCCGCGTTTTTGACAGGTCTGGCCTCGGAACGCCCTCTGATCCGAAGACGATATTTTGAGATATCTCCCAGGGGAAGGGAGCCGTTGAAACTTAGTAGAGAAAAGAATATCTCCAGAGAGCACCCAACGTGGTCCGGAAAATGCGCCGCTAACTTGAACACGCCAATGGATCCAGGTATTTGACCAACTGGGTTGGAGATAAACGTCCTATGGGTTTAGCATAGGCTCAAATGCCTGATCACCGTAACATTGAACCCTCGTGGTGTCATGTGGCGACGTATGGGTTTTCGGAAGTTCTTGAAGCAGTAACTGGGAACGCGACGAGCATGGAAAATGCGGAATCGGGTTGACAGAAGGGGGCTTGGCCATGATGGAACAGGTCAATGGAGTGCTCTAGTGCAGTGAACTCTGATGCTGCATAACCGACAGCGATGTTGTTCCGCGCGTTGTAACATTTCAGCTGCCATAAAACTTTCACTATCAGTCCTATCGCCCGACATCAGTATCCCTGCTGGCTGGAGGAATGTACCCCAGCGGGGACCGGTGGCACTCTATGACTCGCGTGTCGCGGCAAGCATCAGACCTCCTCTGGAGAGCATCAGGTCTCCTCCGGTAAGCATCGAGCCTCCTGCGGTGTTGTGCGACGCAGCAGTGTTTCTAGAATTAGTACACATTTTATGTACATATGTATGGTACGTTGGTATGCGTTGTTGGCCAGCCATAATTGGATCTTGGAGAATCGCCGTACAGCACAACTCGAAATACTCGGTACACACGATTCTGAGGCTCGATTTCGATGTCGATTGTCAAAAATGCGGAAACCCAAACTGTGGCTGTGATCCAGGCACAGAAGTCACGCCTTAAGTGAGAACCGATCCGCAGGAACGTACCATCACAACAGGGGATAGAGACCGGTCGTTGGGACAGAACGTGCAGAATAGCGTACCGGATGGCAGGTTAGCGTGCTTATCCCATGTTGAAACGGTGATCCTTACCTGCGGGGGGCTAGATGAGACAAGCAACATACCAGCCGCTAGTCCAAGGCCATCAACATCAACCGCGTAGAATTCTCGAACGTGAAGATGTACAAGTACGGGGTACATACCTAGTTAGTCTCTCGCCAAACTGTAAGTTATTAAACGATATCCCGAACAAGAACATCCCTTACGGAATCCTCCGCGGCACTAGTTTTCTCGGTTGCGCCATCCCGTACCCTAGTGATGTTCAGACGGCGATCACAGACCCGTGCTGTTGTCTGTTTAGACGTTCATCATGGACCCGCAGGCTCTATCCCCTGGACCCTCGAAGACTTTAGCACAAGTTGCACAACAGGGTAATCGGAGAATTAGTCCAGCATGGGATTGTGATGGTCACTCTGGTTTGGAAGCATTTCGTTCGACTGCAATTGATGTTCTAGATCGCAGGGCGGAGTCACCGGTCTCGGGAATGTGTGAAATGTGTGATATGCACGTCAGGAGAGATTATACACGCGCTCCGATTGCTCTGCCTGCCATTGAGGACCATCTCTATCTGTCCAAGGGCTATGCTTGTAATAGAACCGTGCGCTCTGCTGTTCAGGGTCAATAATCGACGATCTTTAATAAACAGGTTACAGTACGATCTTGCGGGAGGGGCTCAGAATGTTTCGAATGTTTCCAGCATTTTACAGAGGCGCCACAACCCGCAGATAATTCGATTTTCCACGTGCCTCATGCCATCTCTATCTCGCTTCGGATCATGAGTATGCTGCCCTTGAATCCGGAGTTAGCGCACTCCGTTGCTGAATTCCTAAGTCGTTTCAGGGGTAGGATGGGTGATAATGTCAACTTCTCCAGGAGATATCACAAGACAAACTCCGCGTGAGAAAGGCATTGCGACGCTTAACACGACAATTAATTCAAGCCGCACGCCCAGATTACAAGATCCCATCTTTTGTTCCCTGTTCCTTGTGCCATTGAGGCGGGGGACGTTGCATCTCGGAGTCGACTCGTCGGGTTCGAAATTTCTATGATGAATTAGCGGAATGTCACTTACCAGGGTATTAGACCAATCTCTTCATGATGTTAAATGAGCTCTGCACAACGATGCATTCACTGAGACCTCGCTTAAAATCTCTCGAATTCTCAAACGCCAGAGAATGCAGGTATGTTCCGGCCGTTAAGTTTTAGGTGGTGTACTCTAGTTGGTATGCGTGTAAAAAGTAAATTAAGCTTTAAGATCTGTGATGAAAAGACTATGCTATGAAAAACACTACTGGTTAACAGTAGACCCCTAGAAGAAACCTTACCAGACTAAACCACCCATCCATGGCAGAAAGATCATTCAATATCATCAACTCGGTTAACTGTTAGGTCGGTCGTAACTTTTATTTCACCCGGGACCGCAATTTGCTCCTTACTGTCGTCCCAGTCGGAAGCATGGATATCGGTCTCCATCCGAGACATGGTGGAATGCGGCAGTTTGTGCATGCGGACATGGCCTTGGTGTGATCCAGTGATATTGTATTTGTCCATACGACCGTAGCGGCTCGAATAACCTCGTGAATTGCTTGCTGGGTCCGAGGATGTGAGCCCAAGGACCCGGCGTATTGTGGGGAACTTGTATGTGATGAGCGCTTTGAAACTGGGGATGCAGGCGCAAATCACTGCGACGGTGACCTCGATCGACGACCAGTCTAACTCATCTACTATAATATCTAGTATCCACAAGTCAGATAATCTGAATGCACGGTCCAGTTTGCCTGGGTAACTCACATGTCATGTCTGTACTTGTGTTCTGCAACTGAGTTGCGCGAATGATACTCGTCAAACAGACCCTATAATGTCCGTCAGTCAAGGAAGACCAGGAAAAGAAGCCGATCCTGTAACGTACAAGAATCCTAGAGCGAACATGGCAATTACTCCCGTTTTCTTGCCCCGGCTCAGTTTCGTCTTATACAAGAGCGGGATAGGCAAGAAGAATATGACAAGATCGCTTGCCAATTTGATTCCGAAAGAGACGTAGAAGAATGTCAATAGGTTCAGACATTTTCCAGGGACCGTGCTATCCCAGGCCTTCTGGACTGGAGAGCACTGGAATATGACGACTGCTGTTTCCTCGATACACTGACAGATCAGAAATACTATGCAGCCATAGCACACGGCTAGTACCCTCTTTCCAGGGAATATGCGGAGGTAAAATAGTAAAAAAGAGACCTTGATGGTGATGAAAGCGAAGATATATGCGATCGAGATGACGAAATCGAGCTATGAGAGACAAGTCAGTCTCCCGGTAAGAATTCCGATCAATGGATCAAAAACATGTACCTGCAGGAATCTCTCGATATCTTCAGGATCTAGGGTCTTTAAATGTTGTCCAGCTCCATATCGAACCACTATGAATGGTGAGCCGCGAACCATCTAGGAAGAGAAGGATGGAATTACTTACTCAATGCGGATACAACGCAAAGAACACAAGTGAAAACCTGGATGAACATGGCAAATCAGAGACGCACTGCTTCATAATTCATGATCATCATACATAGCTGAACGTAAAGCAGACTATCAAGATAGTCAGTGAGAATCAAATTGGTGATACAATGGGACATATTCACCATCATCAGATCCAAGTCCCTTCATGTAGACACTGCGGACCCATAACCGCACTGCTGAAGATATTGTAGCCAAGAGCAGCATCACAGCGTTCACCGTCACCAGTCTTGCTGCTTTTGATTCTGCCATGATGGGCACTTTGTGGAATGCGAATTGATTTCGAGCTAGAGGAAAACAAATGCATGCGGGGAAGAGGCATTATATCCACCAAGAAGAACGTTGTCTGCAGAGCAAAAGACTAACACACAAGAAATCCTTCGTGGAGGTGCAGAATTGAAAACTGCCAATAGATGAGAACTAACGACGTTGCATACGATGAAGCTCAGATGGCATGACGGCTGGGGCTAGACGCAGGTGCTGTAACTAGCCCTTGATACCTTCAGGGGCTGCTGAAGTCCTCGGTACGTAGGTCCAGCCTCGTGTGGCACCCATAACCCTGGAAACGGCATTTGAATACTCTGCGTGTGTGGGACCGTGGACGTTTGACTGGCCTTCGGCATTGGCCTTCCTTTTATTCACGAATGGCCCTGAACAAAGTAGCATCACAGTCAATCAGTCAATCACCTGAAATCCTTCAAATCTTGTTCTTGTGTGACTAGTAGAGAAGGATTGATTTGTCCGCATTGTGTTCAGCACAGACTATTCTTACGCAACTTGCCATCTGTAGAAACAGACCTGGTATGATTGCTGAATGTTGACAGATTCCTTCAAGCGATGTGAAAGCACTCCCAGGGTAGCATCCTTATCACACAGGATTATCAAGTGACTTCCCGAATAGGGTATCAGCGACTTGTTCTCACTATCGCACTATCAGCTTCTAAACTTGAAGGTCACAATGCTATCTCTCACAATGGTGTGTTGAAAAGCATTACTGGCTAATGGGTCAAAAGACCGAATGCGTGGCCGCTATATTCAGGGTACATTCTTACGCAATAGTAGTAGCGTAGAGCACTGACTGTCTGAATAACAGCATAGCTGCCGGGAGGACTTGAAAGGACAGTGTTACTTCACCAAGTCCTCGTTGTTTGCATCAGGAGTCATCCCGACAACACCGCATAAGTCTCGGTGCCATCTTATTGTCGTGATGCAAGTCATCTTCAAACTCAAGACGCGCGCTCACCCAAATCCCGATTCCGGGATTCACAAACAGACCAGCCAATAGAGCTTCCAAGATGGATAGAAGGGAGAGCTGATCGAAAATTGTAAAACAACCCAGAAGTTGTTTTTCATGCTGCAGATATCGCTTGGAAGTCACGCTCCTATGAGCATGTGACCCATGGAACTGGCCAGGTGAGCCTGACAGACAAGGCCAACGTGCTTACAGCAGCGTTATGGCTCTAGTTGCTTAGAACCCCATGCAGATAAAATAGTTATGTTACTAGTACGGCGACTACTATATAAGCACTGTCAATCTCGTCCAGTACAGTTGGGTGAACCACTCTGAACACGTATAATTTCTATTTATTTACGGTCTATGAGATTGCATAGTCGAAGATAGTGTGGGGCTGTCATAATAATCTATCGAACAAGTGTAAGGTACCTCTGTTAATATATACAAGGGACTTAGTGTCGAATATTAGCGAAGAGCAGTCTATGGAGATAATTCTTTCTGGGGTTCAAGACTTGTCGGGAAAGCCGAAATCGACACCGAAGGGCGGGTACACGAAGCGCTGGAAGCCCTTCGTGGCTGCCAGCTGATTTGTGTACTTGGCAATAATAGCCATATCAGATTCATCAAGCTTGATAAGGTGGCGGTTCTCCTCAATGCGAGGGGGAGTGACAGACTTTGCCAGGACACTAGAACCACGGGCAACTGCAACTTACGTGTCAGTAATAGGCAGTATATTGCAAAGAGTAGGAATGCATACTATGCCAGCTCAGCAGAACTGTTGCCGGTGTGACTCCCTTCTTCTTCGCGATTTCAACGATGGGCTCTGCCGTAAAGAGAGGGCTTCCAGTGCTTCCCAGAGGGCTGTAAGCAGTGATGTGGATGCCCTTCTCCTTGCAGAAGTCGACGATCTCCTGTTGTGGCAAAGCCGGATGGTTCTCAATCTGGTTGACTGCAGGCACTACGGAAACTTGGGGTAGCAGCTCCTCAAGATAGCGCTTGCTGTAGTTAGAAACTCCAATGGCCTTGACCTTGCCCGTTTCAAGAAGCTTCTCCATGCTCTTGTATGTAGTAACATGGGAGTGGTCCTTCAGGATGTCACGAGAGCCATCTGGAAGCTTAGGGAACAGAGGGTGGTTACCTGGAAAGAGTTAGCAACATTGTCAAAAGACAGGACAAAACTACCTCTGATGTGAAAGTCTAGACGGCAGGTCACGCATACCATTGGGGTTCATCGCCAACGGCCAATGCATGAGATAGAGGTCGATGTAGTCCAATCCCAAGTTCTTGAGACTCAGATCAAGTGCTTCCTCCACACGCGTGTGGTAGCTGCACCACAGTTTCGTGGTGACAAAAACATCTTCTCTCTTGACTTTGCCAGATGCAAATGCCTCCTTCAACCCATTTCCAACTTCCTGCTCATTCTGATAGCAAAAGGCAGTATCAATGTGCCGGTAGCCGACAGAGATGGCATGGCTAACAGCAGTCTCGACCTCGCCAGGACCAGATTGCCACGTCCCTGTTCGAATCAGCAATACTCCGTAGCCTCGATGCGTGATGCCTACCAAGTCCAAGGGCTGGAATTTCCGCGCCTGTGTTCAGCTTGAAACGCGTCTCTTCGACAGCCATTGTGGTCGGATTCTGTTTGTAAATTACTGAATAAAGACTCCAGAAGATAATTCTAGTTGCAGTATTCTGTGCCTTCGTTTGCGAGTGTTAGATAATTAGGACAGAAAGAGAACGACGGTGTTTATTGATAAGGAGAGCAGAAAGGGCTCAACGGTGATGACCGGCTATTGAAGGCTTGAAGCTACCCCGCGGTGGGGGTTCTCGAACGGCATCGATTTGGATGTTGACGCTCTCCCGTAGGTGGATAAACCAGCCCATAGTCAGCTATTATTCCATCAATCACAGTTTCTTCAAGTTCAGTGGCGGTGCTTTCGATACTAATTATATAGGCCCTACTTAGTTATGGTCAATGAGCGCTGTTCAATGTTGGGAATGTTTCCTTTTCGTTTGAAATTCTCTCTTCTCTTCTTTTGTGATGCTTTTACATCTCTACACTGAAGAGTGAGGATATTCCTGTGTATACCAATCACTGCGCATTGGCTCATTATCTATGCACGCAATAGCCCAGCTCTTACATGCGATCCACCAGCTCCAGACCCATTTCTGTCAGTTACTCTGATTCCAATGGAAGCATGTGCTCTCTCTCTCTCTCTCTCTCTCTCTCTCTCTCTCTCTCAGGAAAGAATACCTATCCTCATTGCCTCTATAAGCCTATGGTCACATACCCTCATGAATCTTTCTTTCCATATCCGGCAGTGGAACGTCAGTGCGATACAGTTGCCGTTGTCGCACAGATAGCCGCTGTCAGTGCCACGGGGAACATTTCTCATTATGACTGTGTGGAAACAGTTGCGAGTGGTCTTGAGATGATTAGGAATACGGCTTCCTTTGACCGTTCCCTATTTGCATCCCCACTGTCTCCCCGCACACATTCTCCGACGGTCTGGAGGTGGACAACCGAAGATGGATGGTCTGAGGCTCGGAAACCAGAATCCATCTCTGGGCCACGGCTGAATTCCGGGGTTGCTCAGCCCCGACATCCCACCAGCCCTATCGTTTCTCGATCCGACATTGGCTGACATCACGCTGTTTCCATAGCCTGGAGCAGATCCATTCGAGGAGCTTTTCGAGATTGTAGTACACGGGACCGAGAGGGAATCTCTCGCCGTTCTCTTGCCTGTTCGGTCCAGCTTGTGGCGGAAAGTGGTGGGTGGACGTGTTTGGGGAAGACATATCGGGCTTTGTTGCCTTAGACGAAATCCTCAAGGGTGTCGGAAATCGCTATCCTATAGATTGTAATGTAATGTGTTCACTCTTCGTAGGATCCCTTCGACCTTCATCTATATAGCTGGGCTCCTCTGTCTTTCCTCAGACGCTATCACATCGATTGACTTCGTCTCAACTACACTTATCCAGCAACAAAGAAACTAAAGTCTCTAGTTTTTTCCTTTGAGAAAATTCACACCAGAAGACAGATCAGTCGCAATGGCCCCCGCTGCTGTTGTGGAAGCTCCTGTGGCTCAGACTCCTGTTCCTTCCTTCAAGAAGGACCGTGATGGACTGGCCTTGGAGAGCCTGTCCGACGACATTGACAAGGTCAACATTCTGAAGAGTAACCTGAAGAAGGAAAATAAAGACAAGGATATTTACGAGGAGTCTGACTTCGACAAGAACAAGGACAAGACCCAGTTCCGCCAGTACGAGGACGCCTGTGACCGTGTCAAGAACTTCTACAAGGAGCAGCACACGAAGCAGACTGTCGCCTACAACCTCAAGGCTCGCAATGACTTTCACTCTAAGACTCGTGCGGAGATGAGCATCTGGGAAGCCATGGAGAAGCTGAACACATTGATCGACGAGTCTGACCCCGACACCTCACTTTCTCAGATTGAGCACTTGCTCCAGTCTGCAGAGGCTATCCGCCGGGACGGCAAGCCCAGATGGATGCAGCTGACCGGTTTGATCCACGACTTGGGCAAGCTGCTCTACTTCTTCGACGCTCAGGGCCAGTGGGATGTTGTTGGCGACACTTTCCCCGTTGGCCTTGCCTTCGACAACCGAATTATCTACGGTACCGAATCCTTCAAGGACAACCCCGACTACGGCCACGATGTCTACGGTACCAAATTTGGAATCTACAGCCCTGGCTGCGGCCTTGACAACGTGATGCTCTCATGGGGTCACGACGAGTACCTGTACCATGTCGTCAAGGACCAGTCGACGCTGCCTGAGGAGGCCCTCGCCATGATCCGCTACCACTCCTTCTACCCGTGGCACAATGCTGGAGCTTACCAAGAGCTCATGAACGACAAGGACCATCAGATGCTGAAGGCAGTCAAGGCTTTCAACCCCTATGACCTCTACAGCAAGAGTGACGATGTCCCTTCCGTGGAGGAACTCAAGGTAGGTACCCCTTTCTTCTATAAACAGCTGGAACGCTAACAAACCTCACAGCCATACTATCTTGAGCTTATCGATGAATTTTTCCCCAGCAAAGTCATCAAGTGGTAGATCGTTGTATGGAAAAAGCTTCCAATTATTGCCACCTATTGGTGCTACATACACCAGATACAGTATGACGCGATGCATTTGTGCTATTTTAATGCCCTATTATCTATGAATCTCCCTTCACATTTGTTAGGCTCTCTGATGATTTATGCCACACTATCATTCATACAATGTCTGCATGTTGTTTCCTATGTATGTAATGCCGAAACACCCAGCAGAACGGGCTAAGTAGGGTTGAGTTTGCCAGTACCAAAACTAGATTTTGAAAAAAAAAAAAAAAAAAAAAAAAAAAAAAAAAAAAAAAGATTGTGCATGTAAGAAGAAAGAAATGTTCGCGACTATAAAAAATCGAGCGAAGAGGGTATTTAGTATGTATTAGCCATGTGCCTCTAGCAACTCTGCATGTGTAGTAACCAACTATGGGCTACTCTGCATTATCCTAGTCCTAAGTCTTATATATAGCCTAGACCCTATTTGATTCTTAGCAATTTAACAGCTTCGTTGCCAATTCTATGATGAAGATTCTTTCCTCTTTATGTTCTAGGACATACAAAGAGCTCAATCACTGCCTCCTTCTCTATGCGATTCAGTATTATGCATGCGGAATATTCCCTTCGACCTATATTTTGTTCGAAGATGTCACTGTTGGTAATTCCTTGATTTAGGGTAGTAGAGGCCTGTTGCAGCTCAGCTTGCGGTATAGTAGCCAGGCGCTGACAGATTAGCTCCTTGGTCGAGTACATGGCAAACTGTGGTGATTACCATACATCAGCTAATTCGATGAAGTTATCTGTACATACAGAATTAAAGCTTTAGACGACAAGTCGCATCATGAAAGGATGATAATGACGTCTTGTCAATGTGAACATGGATCTCTTTGTTCAGTACCTCTCTACGATCCACGAAACATGATCCACTCCAGGCAGCAGACGTGTCTACCTAGCCCATGTGACTTTGGGAAGAGTTTCCATAAACTACATATGCCGCTCCAAGTCTACTACTGGAAGACGACACACATTCTTCTTCTTCCTTCATATTCAGTTCAGTGACTACGTAAACCGATATGGAAGAGGAAAACATTCCCACCCCTCCAGAGGGTCCCAGATACACACAGGAAGAATTCCTAGCGATTGTCAATGAGCAGCTAATAAAAGCAAGTGTCCCAAACCCTCAAAAAGTGTCTCAGAACGGGCCACCTAGTTTATTGCGCTCGATTCGGTCTTCAAGACAAGCACTGACTAGAAAGAACAGGACTGCAAGTTAGATGCTTGTATAGACAAGTATTTAATGTCCGCTAAGAATGAAATGGATAAGAAAAATAAACAGGACTATTATCGGCGACCGACACCAGGGTTCGATGAAGACTCGACCTGCCAGGATTTGAAGAAGCAACTACTGGATGATATCAAGCATCATGTCCCAGAATATTTTGCGAATGAGCAGGATATGGCGCTGGATAATACAGGGAGCAAGTTGCGTCAACGGATAGACTCTAGATGGAGGAAGTGGACATCTTCTCCTCAAAAGCTTGAAACGGGTGAAACGGGACTGTCTCTCAATATATATTCTGCTGCTGACCGTCTGTAGAAAACGGAGATTTCAACAAAAAGCTGGTTCAAATCCTGTCTGAGAATCGACTGCGCCAGATCTCTGTACAACGTGATACTGGAGCGTCTGAGGGGCCCTCCTCATTGCAGGATGGTGCATTTACTGAAGTTTGTCGTCAGTTGAGGAAGTTGGTTGAAGGAGAAAATTCTTCGGCTTCATTCGCCTGCGGTGGAACAATTCCGATCGGGAAGGATGACAATGAACACAATAGCAGTTGTGCGCCAGTTAACTTGTTCTGGAAGACTGGAGAAGATACACAGGCCCAGAAGTTAGTGCTGCCCCTTACTGACACTCAGGAATCAAATGCTAGTCTGCTTCAACGACTGGTAGATGATTGTTCTCCTGCCACATTCGGAAGAGGAGACCAAGATGTTCTGGACCCCAGCTATCGCATGGCAGGCAAACTCGACACAGACAAGTTCGCTTCCAATTTTCATCCGGCGGACTTCGGTATCTTGGAAAATGTAGAACAAATTCTACTTCCAAGCATTAGGACGGATCTCGAGAACTATCTACAGTTCCGAAAGATAACCGCACATCTGTATAAGCTGAATGTAATACGCATGATCCTTCTCTAGGTGAGAATAACAAGGTTGAATTTGTCTCTTACAGGTTTACTCTGGGCCTTCAGGCCTCTTTCGTAAACACGTCGACACTCCACGTTCGCAGAACCAGATTGGATCGTTGGTCGTCTGCCTGCCATGCGAGTTCAAGGGTGGAAGGTTGCTCGTCCGTCACGATGGGCAGGAAGTCGACTTTGATTGGGCCAGCGCAAGCACATCAACTGTTCAATGGGCAGCATTCTACAGCGACTGCGAACATGAGATAGAAACAGTCACAGAGGGCCATCGTATCACCCTGACATATAACCTCCATGTGACAGAAGCAGTGGGTCTTTCTCTGTTGCCAAACCCGGTTATCGACCCGAAATCGCTTCCGTTGTATGAATATGTGAAGGGTATCCTTGAAAATCCTGCAGTTTTGAAAGAAGGTATCGGATCTATCCCCATTCAATGATAGTAGGCCATTTCTGATTCGTATGAGCAGGTGGCGTCCTTGGGTTCTTCTGTTCCTATGCATATCCGCACACTGCGAAGTATGCCAACGAGGCCCTCCCAAGATCCCTCAAGGGTTCAGATTTGGTCCTGTATTCAGTCTTCAAGTCTCTTGGGATTTTTGTGAAAGTCGTCCCTGTATTGGAACTCGGTGGCTTATACGTTCCAAATGATCCGCAACTTGGGATATCAGGAAAGACAGAGAAAGGTCAAGGGTACATACGTACGTTTGAAACAAACTACGAAGCCCGAAAGAATCTCGAAAAATTCCGGAAACTTGGCTACATGGAATCATACTTGGGATACTCAGGGCCACCGCAACGGACGGGATTGGAGCTGGAATACCAAGACATTGGTGCGACTCTCTCGGACTGGGACGACATCGATAGACATTGGAAAACGATTCTGCTGGGTCGACAAGTGAATGGACTCTCTGAGCTAGAAGAAGTACCGGGTGATTATGATGATTATCATGACTACAATGAAAAACCAACAGGAACTCGGGTGGGGACACGTCTGCACCCTTATTTCACAAGTGACATAGGCGGGGAAGACATGAGCGAGATAGAAGTAGGTCAGCCGTTTCCATCTTCCTGGGTACTATACTGATGCGGAAACTACAAACAGGTAGAGGGAGTGTGGCCATTCTACCATCTTCCCGGCATAATTTGGCTCACAGAACCCAAGAGAGAGGAAATGGCTTTCACCCACCTCACATACGGAAACGAAGCATCGCTTGATACACGATATTCTTGTGCTGCCATTGTCGCCGTCATTCCGCCTTGGAACGAGAGGATGAACGAGAGGGGGAATGTCCCTGAACAGGCGTCATCTGGAGAAGCGGAGGGAAGTGGCTCTAAAAGAAGGAAGAGGGCTGCTGGGAAATAAAATGAGATAGAATCTCAGATGATGCTTTCAACACAGAGGTGAATGGAGCGGGTGGTCCATAGATCCTTGCTATCGACCGGTTCTAGTATATGCTACAATATCAGACAGTTTAGCTCGTCGTACTCAGAGTATTGAATATTACTCGGTATCCAATATGCAATGGAACTAGCTTCCCGGGTGTGTGATCTCGGAATAATAATACTCGATCAAGGGGGTCCGGATGGGAAACACCTCCCGGAGCCAGTTTGTTGACCGCCTTTGTACCGTGGGGGCTGCTTTAAAAGGCATTCGTAGGCAGCATCTTTCTTTGTCAATTGAAGTCATCTAGATTGACTCTCTTGTTTCTGTGAAGGTTGCAGGTCTGGCTGGATCCAATTTATCTGTACGTATCTCGCAAAACGTCTCGATTGAGGAGCTCTCTTTCTTCGTGGTGGAGCTGTTTCTGCCTCCCCGCAATAAGTATCGGCGTGATGTACTTATGCAATACAGAGATATCGTTCTAACAGCGGAGTTTAGGTCTTTTCGATCTTCTTGAAGTCACGTTTACTTCATATCCAGCTCAATTGCACCTTTTTTTTTTATATATAATTTCGACGTGCTCTTTCTGCTTTGCCTCACTTTCGTTATTTTGTTATACGCAAGTACACCATGGCCCCAACCAAGCTGAGAGTGGGATGCGCCGGTCTCGGTCGCATGGGCAAGCGCCATGCCCTGCATTTCCTAGAACGCACACCCCGGGCGGAATTGGTGGCTGCTAGTTCTCCCGATGATGAGGAGCTCAAGTGGGCAAAGGTTCATCTGGAGCCTTTCGGGGTGAAGCTATACAAGAATTACGATGACATGCTGAAGCATGAGGGCCTCGAAGCCGTGGTTGTTGCTTCTGCGACAGCTGTCCATGCTGAGCAGGCAATCAAGGCCATTGAGGCAGAGAAGCACGTTCTGTGCGAAAAGCCCCTATCAACCAATGTTGAGATTGTAAGGTTTCTTTATGCGATCAACGGAAAGAAGCGTTGGCTGACTGATGACCAAGTCCCAAACTGTCGTGGATGCAGCTGTAAAGAAGCCACACCTGAAGGTAATGTGTGGTTTCTCTCGTCGATTCGATGCTTCCTACCGCGACGCATACCAGAAGATGCAGAGTGGTCTCATCGGACGCCCATCCGTGGTCCGCAGCCAGACCTGTGACAAGCTTGACCCTAGTGGTTTCTTCGTTGCCTACGCGCAGTTTTCCGGTGGCATCTTCGTCGACTGCTCCATTCATGATATCGACCTGGCCCTCTGGTTCTTCGGTGACGATGCGAAGGTCAAATCGGTGTCCGCGGTGGGTATCACGGCAGTTGAGCCCGACCTGCGCAAGTACAACGACCGTGACAACGCGGTCGGTCTGGTTGAGTTTTACGACGGACAGATTGCCTACTTCTACGCATCGCGCATGATGGCTGCGGGTCAGGAGGATTCGACCGAAATCATTGGCACCAAGGGTAAGCTGAGCGTCAACACCCAGCCTGCCTCGAACCTGGTCAACATCTACGAGCCCACCGGTATCCGTCGGGAGATCCCGCAGCACTACTATGACCGCTTTGAATGGGCATTCGTCACGGAAGCCAACGAGTTTACCGCTGCTTGCTTGGACAACAAGGAGGCTCCGTTGAAGATTGACGGTGCCGTCAAGGCCGTCCGCATCGGATGTGCTCTGCAGGAGTCGCTGATTACCGGAAAGAAGATTTTCTTCGACGAAGCCGGCAACAGAGTGGAAAAGAGCAACCTGTGAACGACGAGAAAGATAAAGATGCCCCTGAAAAAGAATAATTCGGAAGCCATGGTTGACTTTTGCATTTCGCTATTCTTGCTTTCTGTCTTTCTATGGGTGGGTACATACTGCTTTCCCGCAAGTCATGGCTATAGTTATCATTTTGTCGTTATTCAGAATCGCGGGTTTCGTACATTTGGGAATAGGATATAACTATCAGAGTTTAATATCATACTTTTTATCGTTTTCATCTTTTTTTTTTTTCCTATGAAAGTGATAATGACAAAAGAAGATGATGATTGCGAACGATTGTCTCGGTTTGAGAGACATCTTCTAAGCTCACAATCATCAGTTTTATACAGTACATCATATACCATTATCTTGCATATGTACTTCGCGTTCCCGTCTCCCCCACGCCACCCCCGCATCTGTATGTTCCCCAGTTATATAATCCCTGGTTATCTGCGGAATAGACCAAAAAAGACAAATAATGGTCCTTGGTAATACTCAGCGGGAACCGATTTCCGACACACACACCCCCTTCCTCCGCTCCAGCACTCTCTCGTGCGTTATTATTATGCATAGTTAATACACAGCATATTTGTAGTGGTAATATGCACGTGCACTCCATAGTTACTTATAGGTATTAATCATATTTTCAACATGCTGAACTAGATACTGCTTAGAATTTATTGATATCTTCCAAATTCCTATTGCGGAATTGCTTTCGAAAGATTCTTCATTTTCCTAATCTTACAGAGTTTATATGGTTCTAAACGCATTCTGTTCTCATGCATAAGCCTAGTTTCCCCAGTAAGTCAAGAGATATTCCTGTTTTATAAACCACCATCCTTTCCATCTTCCTTGTGTTCATGGTTTACCTCTGTTCCAGCTGCTACAAGTGGTGGAAGAGGGGACGAAGACGGCAGGAAGTCCGTCGGGTCAATACTAAATGAGCCTTGAGGACATGCTAAGAAGCGCTTCGATTCTGGTTTAGAGTAGGCTTCTTTTTGAGTTCTGTTATTTTTATCTTTATCCATAGCATGTGGCAAAATTAGAGATCATATACTCTCTAGTAGCTAGGTACTTGTTTAATACGTAATACATAAGTTAATCGGTAAATCCCATGGCCCACGCCTCAATCTGCATCAAGCACGGACAAGAAATATTTAACGCTAGAAGCAAGTTAGACAGAGGCCCACAGCTGTCTCAAAACAAATGAGGGTATTATACTATCGCTCAAGAACGAGTGTCAGGTCTTTTCTGTAGGGAAGCTCTTCTGGCCTTGCGCTTGGCGGCCACCTCAACAGGGTCAGCAAAACCATCACCCTTCAGCCATGCTAGGCCCTTCCTGATGCCACGGCTGTCGACCGCCGCCGGCTTTCTTTCCAGCACCGAACCCAACAGTGCCCAAGCCAGGACGATCAGCCAGAGCTCGCCGCCCTTCCACCCACGCCATAATCCGCGCTTCACACCGGACTTCCATGCGGAATACAAGGCTGCACGGAAGATGTAAAGGAAGTTGCTGCGGCCATTGGCCACAAACGCGAACGGCAGACCACCGATCGCACCGCTCAGGAAGAAGCGCTTCGTCGGGAGGAAAGAGCGCGGCAAGAAAAAGTTCAACAAACAGATACTTCCCCATGCAGAACTAAGAGCTGCGGAGAGCACTGCTGTCATTGTGACGATCTGCTTGGAGAGTGTATTCGCCGATGAAAATGGTTGTGCCAGCAGACTCTTGTATTTGGCTGCTGACAACGCAACGACCACAGCAGTCAAGAGACGACCAAGACGAGGAACAGACAGCAATACCTGGTGAAGGAATGCCGTGCTGCAGCTGGGGGTGCTCGGGTGCATAAGGGCGCATGATAGTGACGATATCAACGGATGCGCAGGGGACGTGATAGGAGAGATTGACTCGACAGCCGACGGCAAGGTATTTAGGTCTCCCGGGTGGAGAATTGGAGAGATGAAAGGTCTGCTCAGAGTTAGCCACTCCGCACATTCTGGATCGAGGGGATGTCAACATACGGCCATCTTAATTTCGCGATTTTGCTCAATGAGTCGACCAGCTCATAATCACTCGGCCATTGATGATCTGCGAGAAGGCTGGATGGCGGCTGGTGCATATAGCCTGGGGAGAACCTTAGGATAGCATCACCGAACCACTTTTGCCGTTAGCTATCTCGAATGTATCATGAAGACAGTCATCAACACGAACCTTTGGTATGGTCTCCCGGTCGTATATAAAGGCATGGAAAAGCTGCGCCCCAGACAATGGCATCAAGAGCCAGCTGCCAAACCACGACGGACGGTGGGCAAAATATCCCTTATCTTCCAGAAGATTATAAAGAAACTCCAAGCTTTTCGTAGCCGTATACAACGCGACGCTTATTCGCAACTGGCTCTCCGGATAAACGCCCAGAGCAAACCCCGCAAGACTAGCCCCGATAGCAGGCGCATATCGCGAAGTCAGAGCTTTGGAGACCCGTGGATTTCGTTCTCTGAATGGCCTAGCATCTTCGGTACGCAGGTTCGCACGTAATCGAGTAAAGAATCGATGCAGGATACGGTGGAGAAAGAGCACAAGCGAAAGTGCCAGAGACAGTCGAAACTTCGGGGAGTGAATGAAGGCAACACGAGACTTGCTCCTATATCACGTAGGAAATTGTTAACCATCAGCGCACAATATTTCAGAGAAATAGTTATAGCAAGCGAATCTCACTTTGTGGTTTCTCCCCGGATCTTCTGCAGGATCAGATCCACCAGCTTCAATCCGGTGCCTGTTGCGAGGAATACCCGCACCGAAGCTCGGATGGCAGCCTCGTTGTATTTCTCCTTCGAGGAAACTATCTCCTCGAACCTCGATGGTGTCGGTAGATGGTTTCGCACCAAAGACGGAGATCGCTTGATCAGCTGTTCGTGCAGGAGCTTGTACTCCTTTGCGCTCAACGTCACACGCAGCGCATTGCGGACGATGGGGTTGACGGTAGGCCTGGAGGCGGAGGAAGCGGATTCCTCTGCAGGCGACATGATCCGGGATAAGGCCTTGGATGATTCAAGACATGGGGAGAGCAATGGAATGATTGTTCATTGCAGTATCCTGAAGATGTCGCCAACTGTCCGTCCTTTGTTGGCCATGACGGATGAAGAGTTGGCTGTCCTGCGCGGCACACTTAGACCTCGGCACGAGGTCCTTGGCGCCCAAGTATGTTCTTCTTAGATCTACTCAAGCAATTTTGATGAGAACATCCAAGCCTGGTCGTATAGTGTTGATTGGATATCTACCGCTCAAGGACTTCTACTATCGCCATAAAGGGGAATTTTCTATCAGTCGACCTCGACTCCGTTGCCGTCTCGATCATTATCGCGAAACTTCAAAGCATGTGATGAAACGACGACTACAACGGCAGAGTACAATAACAAAAAAGAAAAACTGAACACTCCCCAAACCGATCATGCTCCCGGAGATGAAACCGAGAGAAAGACACTAACAATACAAAACCATCCCTGTGGTCTGCTGCGCCATAGACTCCGGATATAGCTTAAGATTACCAGAAACTGCACCATCCGATCCAGTGTTGACAGATATTCTCCACACTGGTCGCTTGGGCCAGAAGTTTGTCAACCTGATCGCTCACATTAAGCTCTTCGGTTGGCTTGAAGTCTCTGCCAGTCAACTTCTCTTTGACTCTGGCAAGTACCTGCAGCGCACGCGCATTCTGGGCCTCGCGCGCTTCGTTGGGGACGCCTTGCTGAGCGTCGAGGATACCTCCTTCGAGGATAGAAGGCCGGCGATGACGGGAGAAGTTGCTTGGTTGCATGCCTTGTTCGAGGTTGATGTCTTCGATGACAGATTGCCGGCGGTCCGCTGCGAAAGACGTACGATCGGGTGACTCGTTGGTTCCCAAGCGCCAGTTGATCAACGGATCGTGGATGAACTATTAACGATATCAGCTCCGCTCTCTCTTTTCCTAATGACAGGTCATAACTTACAGCTTCAAGAACAGCCATCAACGAATCCTTGTTTTCTCTAATCACGCGCATGACAGCCTCACAAGTGATCCGGTAGCTACCTTCGATGTTGCTAACCTCCATCGCGAAGGTCAACATACGCGTGAGACGGAAAGGAACCCTTTCTGGGTATTTCTCGCGGTGCATGGCAATCTCAAAGCAGTCACCGAAATCGATATGGACGATCTTTCCAGTGATACGGTCGAGTAGAAGATTCGAAGGATGGCGATCTCCCAGTCCAAGAATGTAACCAACCATGGACATGACACCCAGAGATCGCGTGTAATTCGTCCGCCTCTCAAGCCAGGACTCAGAGCTCTTACTCTTGAGCCAGAGCACACGGTACAGATCTTTGCCTGTAGTGTTATCCATAGCGTAACCAAAGACTTCGACCTTTTGCATGAGAGTGAGATTGTCATAGTCAGGGGCCATCTGAAGCATGATCCGATGCTCAATATTGAGCAGAATACGGCGGCTCTCACGGTATTCCTTGATGAGAGCATGCAATGTGTCACTGTTCGACACCCATCCCAAAAGACCGGAGTTCTGAGACAATGGGATGGCAGGGAATCGTTGCACAGAGAGGTGACGCTTGAAGCACTCGCTATCATTGTCGAGCAGCGTGTTGACAAGACCAAAGAGCTGCATAACTCGTTCATCCTGCCTGATATCTTCATGGCCCTTCAGAGCGTACATGTAAGAGTTACCATCACTGCCCTTCAGAGTCATCCTGCGTGGCCTCTTCTTCGTCTGGAGGACATGGAGAACGGGATCAAACTTCATAATCCTAATCACTGGTTTGCCGGGTTGGTACGTTCCAGGAACAGCCAGATCCAGGTCCGCAGCATCCTTCAACCTTGGGGAAACATATTTCAGGTCGAGAGTGGACAACTGCGGAAGCTGTCGAGCGATTTTCCGGAAAACCGTATAGTAGAGATCCCATGCCTGGTTCAGGTCGCCAATCTCCTCAGTCTCCCGGTAAAGCATGCAATAATGCCGAGCTTCAGCCAAATCACGGCCGAACGCCTGTGCGAAAGACACCTCTCTGAGAGTCTCGGCACCCTTATCCAGTAGATCATGTAGTGGCTGCAGAGTTGCAAACATTCCCTCCACGTTGTGGTCCCCGAAGTACAGACGAGACGCTTCTTCCAGACCTTCGTGCCAGAGTTCGTGCCACAGAACTGCAACACGAATTAGTTCGTGGCTGACAAGGTCTGCCTGTTCAACCAATTTCGCACTATGCTGCCGCATGCTGTCCATAATATGGCTCGCGGACTGTGATCGCCGAGCAACATTCGACTTCATTGCGACAGTCAACGGGTAGACGAGAGCTTGCGGGTGGGCTTTGCCGACTTCAGCTAGGAGGCGATGGACAGCATTGCGTACTCTGATATTTGGCTGATTAATACGAGCAATAAGTTGAGGTGTCACTGCAAGCCAGGTATCAATGTTGACAGCCGAGAATCCTTCCGTGACCACGCTGTTCACCTCCTGGTCGCCGCCGTGTGTGAACCAGAGCGTGAGCAACCTTAGAGTATCTTGCAGGGAAGAGGTTGAAGATAAGGAAATAGACCGGAAGAAACCACGTATCGCGGGAATAACATGCTCGTTGATGATGTGACCAGGAACCATCGAGCCATCCCGACTTGGCTGGGCAGCCAAGGTGGTGACGACTTCGAAGTTCGCAAGTGCCCAAGCATGCCAGGCCTTGTAAGATTCACGATTGTACTGAGTGGCAGCCTGATAGGCGTTGAGCACCTCACGGACATGCTCGGCCCTCCAGTCACCCCGTTGGAGTGCAGTTTGCCACTCTCCCTGCTTGAGATAACTCTTTGCCAACAACTTCCTCATCTTCGAGATGTCTCCCATACGCTGACGCAGGCTAAGTGCATCAGGGTGATTTGACTCCCCGAGTCCATTGATGCCGTTGGTGCCGTCATGGGGGGGATGCGACGCAAGAGCGGAGTTGTACTTTGCAAGTTCTTCGCTGAGATTTGCGGTGAACTCTTTCAGCATCTGAAGAGCCTCCTTCTGGCGGCCAGTAGCCCAGTTGAACTTCAGGCGAGCATATGTAACCTCTGGCGGTGCCACAATCTCGGTGTGGTTTCCATCTTGAATCACGCTCTCGAGCGATGCCAACGAGCGCTCCGCAAGACCCATACGGTTCGACTTGCGACAAAGATTGGCGAATTTGATCCACATATCCAGGTTCTCGCGAGCAGATGTCACCAGCGCTCTGACCTTGAGCATTCGTTGCCATACTTCAACGTTCTGTTGACAACCGAGCAGTCGCTTGTTCCACGTCTCACGCATAGCCGCTTGCTTTTCTGGGTCTCCGACATTCTGTTTGAAAGTGATGATCTCCTCGAGCTCCGCAAGCATCTGGACGCGAACGACGACGTTGTAAGCTCGGTTATATGACTCTCCTAACAAAGCCGAAAGTTCTGTGTCAAGACCGTTGCGAGCTTTTTCAATATACATAGCCGCCTCATCGAACTGGTTGCGGTGCAGTGCCAGGATAGCACCAAAGAATGAGCGATCAGGGGACTGTTCTTTCATAACGCCAAGATAGGAGTCCATGAGTTCCCATTGTCCACGACCCCAAGCCGCTGCTGCCGCAAGAGGGGCGATCGCCCTCCTATGTTCAAGGGATGCCTGATTCCATTTCTCCTGGGCTAGATCGGACAGTACTTTCCACTCTCCAAGGGCATGCAAACAACGCATCTTACCCATGGTGACACCGAAAGAATCGGGATCGATCTTCTCCCTTCTCTTATACGCAGCGAGTGCCTCTTCCCAGCGTTGCAGCTTCTCGAACCAGGTCTCCTTCAGTTCGACATCACGATATGCCTGAGCCTTGCGCAGAATGCCAATAGCAGCGTCAGATTGCTGAAGTTGATTATTGATGGTAATCAGTGCCTCGACAGCACCGGAGTTCTGATCCTGCTCGAATTCTAATTCTTTGTAGTGAAGGGCCTTGGCAAAGGCATGACATTTGCCAGCATATTTTCCGAGAGTCCTGATGTCAATCGGCAGTGCCTTGTCATCGTGCTCCATGAATTCGGCAAGGTTAAGCAGAATCTGAAGGATTTCCGGCGGGATGTTGGGAGAGGTGAGAGCTCTTTCGATGGAACGGACAAGTTCCTCCTGGTACTGGTCATAAAGCTCGGTCCAGCAAGAGACAAACGCAGCATTGAAAAGGTCCTTAGCGAGTGGTTGGTAGATTCCTGCCAGACTAGCACAAGCCCGAAGCGCCGGAGAAGGCGATTCCTTGAGTAGCTCAACACTGAACCGACGAATCCATTCCTGCCAGTCTTCACGGGTCGATTTCTGAGATGCATCCCAGGCATTCTTCAGGTGCTGCTGATTCACAAGCATCTTCTTCTGGCCAATCTCGCCATAATTTGTGTCGTCCGTCAGGGCCCCATAGTTGTCGTCAGGGTTGAGATCCTGGGGAAGAGACTCGCCCTTCTGTAGTTTCGTCACCAGAATCTGATAGTTAATATGGTTGACTTGGTTCTGCTTGATAACTTTGTTGATGAGCTGGATATAGTGGCTAAAATCCTGGCCAAGTTGGAAGATAAGAGCACAAATGCAATCCGTTGCAGACTGCCTTAGGGTCCGATCACCGCTAGCAATCACACGAGCCAGAGAATGTATCATAAGTGATGCGAAGTCAGAGATATTCACCTGGCGAGAAAGCTTTCCAAGTGTATCGATTGCTGACTTGCGAATGCTTGGAGGATTCTGTGGCTTGTCGAACAGGCGCACGATCGATGGAACGATGAGGTGCATGTACTCCTCGCCACTTGAGCCAAAGATGAGGAATGTATGGAGTATCCTTTCGGAAGGTTGCCGTCGTGAGGTATTATCTTTGTCGAGAGTGTCGAGCATTAAGGGAATAAGGCCAGCCAAGTACTTCTTGAATTCGCCTTCCAACGATTTGGCTATGGCTTCCACGAGGGAAAGTATCGTTGCCTGAACCTGATAAGAAGAATCCCAAAATTCACGAATTACTTCAATGATTTCCGGAAGGAAGGCACGAATATGCTGTCTGACAATATTAACGAGAATCGCCAGTTGGTTGAAATAGGACTCCAGACGACTGGTAGGAGAGCTCCGGATTACGGACAAGAAGCCTGGAATGATCTGCCCTAGAAAGCCGACACATTTCAAACCTAGCGTCTTGAAGATAGTGACAATAGCGTCGATGACAGCGGAATGGTACTGAGCCAGAGAGCTCTCCCGCAGAATATTTTGCATCAGAGTGTTGATCACAACAGTCGGGTAATACTCCTCATTCGATGGCGTCAAGCCTGTCATTATGAGGGAGACGTCGGAGACTGTTTGGATCTCGTTGATATGATGAATGTCCGGTGTTGTTTCACTGATCTGTTGGTATTTGTACGGATCCAGAGCACCAAGAATACCTAGTAATTTTATCGTCTCCTTTCTAAGAGATCCAGTCTGCTCTGTCTTGATGATATTTATAAGAATAGCAAGGAGATGGGGATATTCCATATAAGGCTCGATGACATAACCGGAATTGGTTGCCAACTGCCCAAGTGTTCGGAGAGCAGCTTCACGCTTCGTGTGGGATGACAAATCTTGTAGTGACTCTAGGATGATCGGCATGAGCTCGGGTAGGTACTGCTTCATCTCGAAGCCGCCCACATTGGAAAGCTCTCCAATAGCTTTGAGTGTAGTAGACGCGACACCAGCATTAGGATCAGTCGTCTTTGGCAACAGAGACGTGACCATTGGGTCGACATAGGACCGGATGAGTTTCGTGGCATTTGAGACAAAAAGGCTGATCAACTGAGCGCTCTCTTCCTTTTGGCGAGCGGTGCTTGCAAATCCCAAGCCAGTAAGCAGGTTGACTAGCAATTTCCGCAAAGGTGGGAAGACATAAGCGGGATTGACGCTAGATAGCCGTCCGATGATGCTGATAGCTGCCTCTCGGACAGAGAATACTTCATCGTTCACTGCCAAGAACAAGCATCGAATATTCTCAGGCTTAGCGAGATGACGATCAAATTTGCGGTCTAGTGACCACAGCACAGTCCGCCGGATTTCAGAGTCAGGATCACCGACACCCACCGTCAGTAATTTGTCGATAACTTCGCTGACCACCTGTATCGAGTGACTGCTTGTCTGGTTGATAATGGGATCGTGAACGAACAACTGACAACACGTGAGGGCGGACGCCTTTCGGATCTCGGGATTGTCATTCTCGACATATCGAATAGCGACGTCGCGCACAAACTCGTTTAATATATGCCCCGAAAAGTCGAAACTTCCAAGGGTATGCAGAGCGAGCGCAATTTCTGCGTCGGAGTGCGGTTCTTGAGGTAGAAAATCCTTCGCAAAGTTAGGAATGGGTGGAAGTCTGTTCTCTGGGCACCCGAGTGGCCGAAATGGTGTCCCGCAGAGTATGATACTCAGCATATCAAGCAGCTTTTCTTGGATGGTGGGTTTTATCGGAGGGATGTAGTGAGCCATATCGACAAGTGCCTGTGTAAGGGACTCGCTCAGACCACAGGCGAAGACTGGGTCCAGCAATGCCTCCATATACTTGCTGAGGGTCTGTCCAACCGCCAACGACAGCATACTGATACATTCAAACATGGGACCCTCATTGACTGCAGCTCTGTTACGCCTACATGGGTTGTCAGATAAGTTCAGCGTCAAGAAGGGAATGGGCAGTCACTTACGCTTTCATAGCAAGACCCTCTCTAATGTAGACAATAATCCCGTCCAAGAACGGGGTGATAGCCACACCGACCGCGTTGGCGATCTTTCCGATAGCGATGAAAGCCGGGTTTCGCTCCTTATCCCGCTTTAGCTGGGCTTGTAGATAGATCATAAACTTGTGAAGATAGTTGTTCGTGAAATCCATAGGGGCGTAAGATGCGAGGATCGGTATCGTAAGGACAACCTGCGTGCGAATCTTGGGATCACGATGGTCCTTCAGTCGAAGGACAATCTCACAGGCGTTTCTGTAATGTTCATTCATGAACATTGCACCCTTCAAAAGGAGCTCCTTTAGAATGAGAAGAGATCCATGGATCCAGTCAACGTTGCTGGATTTGAGTCCCTGTAACGACTCCTCGTAGATCCGGGCGAACCAAAGCTGGCGCACTTGCATGTCTCGTGCAGCTATGATCTCGAAACATTCACTAACTGCTTCGGCGGCTGTCTCTCGAATGAGCACCTTGGGATCCCGCAAGGCAACCCAGACGAGTTCGAAAATCTGAGGTACAAATCCATAAAGCAGCGTTGGAGAACCCTTCGCAAGCTCCCGGATTATAAGCACAGCAGCGAAGCGCCTACCCTCCTGTCTTTCTGACTGGAGCCATTCCAACGCAGACTGTATTTCACTTTCTACCAGCTCTGCTGTCAGAGCCCCACCTGGTTTGGCCAGGCGGCCAAGCGACCTCGCGGCGTACACCAGGACTGCATTATCGTTGCTACGAAGTGCGCTTCGTAGATAACTGGCAAACCGTGTAGTCTTCTGCGCAGCATCGACACCATCGAAATCTATTAGCCGGTCAAGAGCCAGGATACCACCGATCTTCTCATTTGCATCACCGCCTGTAACCACCAGTTGTGCGATACGTTGGCTCACGGCGTTGTAGTACTCGAGGAACTTTTCGGGAGGCCACTCTGTTAAAAAAAAGAAAAACAGTTAGCAGCTCCTCTCCCTGGCACTGTATCATTTTAAGACTAATATACCTCTTGAGACGGCGATGACATTGTCGTAGAGCTCATACGAAGCTCGGACCCGTACCTCCTCATTCTTCGATTTCAACTCTGAGAAGAGCCGTTGTGTAACGTCCGTGGCCGGACCTGCTTGCGCCATTATTGTGAATCACACCCCAGGGCGCACATTGGAGACCAAAGCCCAGGGGAAATGTACACAGTTGACTGTGGACATGAAAAGATGCTGATGAACGCAGAGATGTGAGGTCAAAGTCGAGATCATGCGCGGTGGTGCACGGACCACTTCTGCATCCATGCCTGGAGCTTGTTGCTTACCAGCCGCACGGATGGCACCGATGGTCTTAGTTAATGTTCAAAGAAATAATCTGATAGCCTGTATCTTTTGTCTGTGTTTATAGACAAGCTGAAATCCCTTCTGTTATCACTACGCATTTTATTATCTTCAGGTGCTACCTAGATTGCAAGGCACATTAATTACACCCACATATTTGGCGGGGAAATCACCTCGGGGGAACACAGAGAGCTACTAGCAACATCAAGAGCACTACCAACACGTGCCTCATAAGATATGAGGCATTCTTAACATGGATTAATTGTGTGTGTCTCTCAAGTCTGCATATATCTTTCAGCATATGATAAGTGCAGCAGACTAAGTTACCACCAAATCTTTACCGAGGCTCGTCTCCTAAGTCATCTATCTAGCAGCCTATGTGTGTCGCACTTTGCAAGTATTTATCTATCTTCGCTCTATCGCATGGCCGATTCTAGTAGTGTATTAGAAGGAAAGAGATGCTCATTTAAGGCATCGAGCTATGTTTATATTTCGCGGGAGAGCTCATAAAAAGCCACGAGTCAAACGGATGGAAATATATAATCCAGATATTCGAAAATGCCAGCAACGATTTGTCTTCCAGCAACCAATAAGAACAACTATATTTTCAGAAATTAAAAACGAAATCATGCTTACATGGAGTCGCGACTCGCTTGTCGGGAAGATGGCCGACGGCTAAGTACCGAGGAACTGCCGACTTGAAGTCCGTGGGATTAATCTTGGATCGAAAGCTTAGCACAGAGAAGCCCAATTAATATGCATGTTCTTCTTGGTGTGAATCACGCAGCATTTTGAGGATATGAGCTTGCGCTTCGCCCTGATTAACTGGATCCTGTTCATTCTTCTGATAGGGTGCACCATGCACGTAATCAATGGGCGTAAGCTCGCAAGTGACAATTCTGGTTAGACTATTAACTATGGCGTATACTATACACCGCATTCGAGCTTGAGAGAACCTCTAAACCAAGTGATCTCGATCAAAGTTGATTGGCTTTCTTTCAAGTTTGCAAATTTGAACCAGGGTGTGGCAGGTCAAATATAAACAGCTGAAGGCACAGCTATCGAAAGTGTCTAGTGGCGGCATTCATTCATTATTCAAGATACATGGAATTGGGGTGATCCCCGGATAAACTGTGAGGGAACCGTGCAGAAATAATAATGGTGCATATGGCGCAATATCAATGGTCGGTAGTAATTGTGGATCCCGAGGGGAACAGATAAAACTAACGGAGGGGTTCCCTTACAAATCCGAAACTACTACTTAACTATAAAGCAGCCACGGACCCCTCGTTGTCAAGATATATTGTCGTCTTGATTCAGCTCGAGACCACGGTTCTGCAGATACTAGACCAAGGATATCTTTTGAGACTCAACATACTTGCAAAATGGTGAAGGTCCTCTTAACCGGTAAGACTTCCTACGCTATGGACGTATATAGAACCAGGACTAGCTAACAACATATTACCGTATATTAGGCGGCAGTGGCTACATAGCTGCGCACGTAATTCAGGTCCTACTTGACCATGGGTATTTGATCCGTTTCCAGTACTTCTGCCGCCAGGCTAATCTCAATCTAGATTCGATACGGTGGTGACTGTTCGGTCCGAAGAGAAGGGCAGGCGGATCCTCGACAACCATCCCAACGTTCCGAAGGAGAAGCTGTCATATGTGATTGTTGAGGATGTTGCGAAGGAAGGCGCATTTGACGAGGTCAGTCTATCACATTCCGGTGCCTTTCTGGTTATACACAGCAAGTTCAAGACCGTTTTCAGGTCTATTCTTCGCAGGACCAATTAGCGGGCATTGGCGCTCTCAGCGGCATTGGGAGTTCAACAGAAACGACAAGACTAACTGGTCAATAGGCCGTCAAATCAGACCCTCCCTTCGATTACGTCCTCCATACCGCGTCACCTTTCCACTTCAATGTCCAGGATCCCGAGAAGGACTTCCTCAACCCTGCCATTAAGGGAACTACCGGTATCCTGAAGGCCATCAAGGCTTATGCACCGACTGTCAAGAGAGTTGTCGTCACCTCATCGTTCGCCGCGATTGTGAACCCTCAACAACATCCCAAAGTATACAATGAGACGTTCTGGAACCCGATTACGTGGGAAGAGGGATTGCAGCCAAGCAACGTCTACCGCGCTAGTAAAGTGAGTTCTACGCAGTCTTTCAGCTCAAGATAGTAGGACAGCGGTTGATTATTCTATTCTAGACTTTTGCGGAGAAGGCTGCTTGGGAGTTCGTTGAGAAGGAAAAGCCCAACTTCGATTTGGCGACGATCAACCCGCCCTTGGTATTTGGACCTATCGTTCATTACCTCAACTCGCTCGATGCGGTGAACACTTCCAACGCTCGTGTGAGAGATCTGATCCAGGGCAAGTCCAAGGAAAAGCTGCCGCCCACCGGTACATTCCTCTGGGTAGACGTCCGCGATGTTGCCCTTGCTCATGTCCGAGCCATTGAGGTCGCAGAGGCTGGTGGCCAGAGGTTCTTCGTCGTCGCTGGCCAGTTTTCGAACAAGCGAATTGCCGATATTATCCACGAGACTCATCCCGAGCTAGATGATAAGTTGCCTCCAAAGGACACAGCGGATGACTTCAACCCCGACAACTACCAGGCCGACAACTCCAAGTCCGTTAAGGTCCTGGGTTTGAAATACCGTGATCTGAAGGAGTCCATCTCGGACACTGTGAAGTCCCTGCTGGCAGTTGGCGCTTAGATCTGTAGAGCACGCGGGAATCTGTGCATGGCAGCGGCTGTTTTTCTACGAGTATAATATATATAGACATCATGAATATGTGTTAATTTTTAAATATGAAGCGCGTCCCTCCATATTTCTAGCCACCACAGTCGAACTCAAGAGCTTCCGATAGATGGGTCTGACTAGCGTGTGGTGTTTCTATGGAGTCCCGTAGTGCGCACCTCGTCCGCCTTGGCATCCGAAGTCGACTTTTTCCAAGAGGCTTCACTGCTTCAGGGAGCTGTGCTCGGAGGATATCGTGTACACCCTCCAGGCACAATGGCAGCTGCAAGGCTATCGCCTACGGCGAACCTGCTACGAAAATCTCGGCTTTTTGCTCTACCGCCTGCATTGTCGCCTCCTCAGGATCCGGCAACGTCGAAGACCGTCTTCGAGTCCGATACCGCGACACTTCCGTATCCTATCCGAGCTTCTATCGAAACTCCAGCCTCATCGCGCGCCAGAGGAGATTGGGGTCTGAAGCGTCCTCTTCCGGCGAAGGCTACGACTGACAAATCGTCGAGACCGATTGTGCGAGTCAAGGCGATTGATACATTTGAACATGTTACCGACTTCGAATCCGCTGCGGATCATACAGTGACCCTGGAGAAATTCCAGGAGTTGCATATGCCCATGTCTCTGCCCGCAAAGATCAATTACGCGAATGCTCTTATCCCAAGACACCAAAGTCCTTTCGAGAACCTGGTCGACAACACTGAGAACAGCGAAAGTCTGAATGAACCTGGAGCCAAGCAGTTCCGACACTCGGGACCATGGCTTGCCGGGCAGACCGAGACTGAATTCCAGGCATATCTGCACAGAATTCAGCGAAGGAGACCTGAGCTGCTGCAGAAGCTCCGGGAGCGTCTAGTCGCGAAGCGAACCAGCGAGCGAAGAAAACAAGCCCAGGACAACGGCGAGGACCTCGAGGGTCTCGATCAGCCTGTCCAGGTGACAGAGGAGGAGTTCCAGAACTACGTCAAATCTCTTCGATCGGACCCTCTGGCTCTGGGTCCGGTGGTCTTTGAGCTTCTTGACCTTCCCTCACCACCAGCCGTCCCCAGTGACCGGATCGGCTCCCGATACTATCAGTCCCCGGGGACCAAGTTGTCTTCTCCCGAGTACGCCATCTCCGGTCCTCCCAAGACCCATCCTTCTGCTGGTCTTTCCTACACGCGATCGCACGCCCTTCTATACAACCACCCGAAGTATGGTCCGCAAACATACCAGCGTCCGGTTGAGGCCCGTATCCTCCGTCCTAAGGGACGTTTCAAGGGCAGAATGTCGAAGGCCATTGCCGGTATCGGTGGTATTGCAGTTGAGGATCTCAATGCCATGACTTTCGCCGAACAGAGCGGTCCTCCCGGCTTGAGCTACTTCGATGCCTCAATTCCTGGTGGTGCTAAGTACTGGGTCACTCCAGTGCGAGCCTCCGTGGACTCTGAGGGCCGGATTGGCCTGGCTTCCTATCGGGCCACCGCTTCCTCCAAGGCGCCGTACGGAATTAGCGACTACAAGAAGCCTTCCCTCACGAGCGTTTCTGATACGATCCGCGGTGTTGAATCTCGCATGGTCCCTCGCCTGGACCGACTTTCTCCCCGACAGCCCCGTTTCAACGAGAGCGACGAGCCTGTTGCGACGAAGCAACCAGTTCGAGAGACGGAAGATATTGCTCGGAGCCTTATGAGGACCCTCAGCTCCTCTTAGTTATCTGATGTGACGATTGCAAGCGGGCGTAGAATCACGGGGGGCATATATGGTTGGCTGTACGATAGACGGCAAATGTAAAGCTACTCCTATAAACTATAGTTTCATTCTCCTCTATTTGAATAAATTAAAGCATTTTACAGTTACAGACAAATTCCCCTTTGGATCATTGAGATTCTATTTCTGTTATTATTGTCACTCGGATATGGAAGTTCTTGCTTCTGGATGACATCACGTGATTTAGGGTCAGTACTCAACCACGTGATTAGGGCAACTCACACAAACCGCCAAAAAGCGGCACAACATCTGGACTTTTGAGATCGAGATACAACCACACTCGGACGGCCATCTCCAGTTCCATCCAGCAACAACCGCCAAAATGGGTCGCGTCAGAACCAAGGTCAGTAAATATATCCCTCATGAATAATTTCTCTGAACGAGAAATTCCAAAACGAGTATACGGACTGACATCGCTTTTTTTTCTCCATCATAGACCGTCAAGAAGTCCGCCAAGGTCATCATTGAGCGTTACTACCCCAAGCTCACCCTGGACTTCGAGACCAACAAGCGTCTTTGCGATGAGATCGCCATCATTGCCTCCAAGCGTCTCCGCAACAAGATTGCCGGTTACACCACGCACTTGATGAAGCGTATCCAGCGTGGTCCCGTCCGCGGTATCTCCTTCAAGCTCCAGGAGGAGGAGCGTGAGCGCAAGGACCAGTACGTCCCTGAGGTCTCTGCTCTGGATGTTAGCCAGACCGAGTCCGGCCAGCTCGACGTCGATGCCGACACCAAGGACCTCCTGAAGAGCCTGGGCGTAAGTTTTCACTATCTGGATTCAATGCAGTGCGCCGGGATGGGCGCGCAGGTCTGGTGGAATAGCATGAACTAACCGGTTCTTCTCTTTACAGTTCGACTCCCTCAAGGTCAACGTTGTCAACGTTTCCCAGCAGCAGGTCCAGGAGCGCCCTCGCCGCTACGGTGGTGGTCGCTAAATCCAGATTCCCCGAACCGGATGAAACGAAAATAAAAAAGTTATGGGACTTTTCGACGGTCTTCTATTCAGGTCGACATGATGGCGTTTTTCTCGTCTTGTTGGCGGGCTTGTCCAACTTTACTGTAGCTAGGATGGAGATGGTCCATGGACCTGGAATGCAAGACACGATTCCCCAAACTCAAGGTGTCGCGGATTCTCCACATGGAGATGAAGCTTGATCGCCAATTTTTCCCCTTCTACTCCCAGTGTTGCTACTGGTGATTGTGTCCAAGTCGATGTTCGGTTGCTTATTCTCAGAAATGGGAGACTACGAACAGAGACTGGCGCACGTAGGGGTCATTGATGTGCCATTGTGCGCTTTTTCTCTCCTTTAACGGAGCTGCAATGCTGCATCAATGACCGGTAGTTATATATTTCACAATTTCGTAGACCCTGACCCGGGGTATCATCCATGAACGCCTCTATGTATCAAAAACTTTTCCGGTCCAAGACAACGTGCCGTTCAAATCATGTCGAGCATATCATTGTCATCATCCTCATCCTGAGCGTTTCCAGCATCAGGTCTCGCGTCCCTCGGGGTATAACCTTCGATTGATCCTCCTGCATAGTCCTCAGGTCGAGGCACGGGAGCGGCAGCGGCAGTGGCTTGGTCTTTCTCTACGATATGAACATCGACTCTGCCCGCGCGGAATGCGGGATTGGAGTCGCCTCGCTCGACAGCAAGCTCCCTCGAGCCGTCCCTGTCGTCGCTGACGGCCAACCGGCTCATATCCTCCAGCATCTCTGCATCCCGACTACTCCCTCCCCCCATATCCAGATGGCGCAAACCGTCCACAACATCTCGGACTGTCGGGACATTTTTGCCCTTGTGATTTCCACCCTTCATAGCCCTGGCCTCTTCCAGTAGCAAGATCTCTTTTCCTCGCCCATCATCCGCTCTCCTCTCCCAGACCGGCTCTTCCGTCAGCTGCACACGAACGTACATGGCACGCTCCGCACATTCATCCGAACACCACATCTCCAGCTTTTCCTTGGGGACCACCTTCATCTCGCGCCCACGGCCACCTGCTCCGCTGCCCTTGGCGCCCCATACGATTCGAAATTTCGTTTTGGGGTCCTCCTTGCGGTGTTCTCGCGGACAGAGTGCATACCCACACAGACCCTCGATGTTGCGCTCCAGAATCAAGTTATCGTAGTCAGCTGGTTGGAATGGCCGAAGGGCCGATTTGAGGGCCTTCGCGTCGCTGGCAGAGGGCGCTGCGGGGTCTGCATTTGGAGCGGTTGGGAAGGAGACGAGCTCGAGGATGCGATCCAGAATTAGGGATTCTGCGTCTTTTTGAGCTTGGATTCGGTGCGCATGGTGCATAGCAATCGCCAGATGGCGCGGGTCTGGAGCTGGCTTGCTCTGCTGCGACGGAGGTTGCTGTCGTCGTGGGGGCTGCTGCTGCTGCTGCTGCTGTCTCATAGGCCCTGCTGGCCTGGGCTGTGAGGGACGAGCCTGCGCAGTCGAGGCCGCGTGAGCAGAAGGGATGGAAGTCTTGAGGATAGGCTTGTCGGCCATGGCGAGGTTGAAACAAGGTGCACGGAGCAGCCTGCCAGAGAAGAGATGAAGGGATCAAGCGCTGCCTAGCAGTCTGGGGGAAAATGAAAGGACCCCGCTAAATATGGCGCGCACCCAGGGACAGAAGGTGGTCAGTGTTGTTGGGGGCGCGCACGATGGTCGGTTTCAAGAGTGACAGAGCAGTGTTTAGTCCGTCGTGCCATGCAAGATACTCAGTAGAAACGTCGATAAATAATCAATAGATAATCCGTATACACGACGACCGGAGGGTGGCGGAGGGGTTCCCGTTGAAGTCTGAAGCACAGCCGGGTGGATCAGCGGCAGCGGCTTCTGACTTGACGTTCGGCCGCCAAACGTGACGACGCCCGTCGACTTCCTCTCGACTGCAACTAAACCTCCCAACTTCCCCCCCCGAGTAGTAGTTGGATACTCTGCTTCTTGTCCCGATACCCATCCCACCCCCGTTTAATGTTCCTCCCGGGAGGCTTATCCTGCGCACTGTGTAACTGCTGAGTGTGGCCGTCTCCATTATTTCTACCGGTATGTACTTACCCCTCTGGAGTACAGCTGTCAGCTGGGGAATGCTCTCTGCCTTACAGTGGATGCCCACCACTGACGTATCCGGCCAGGCTGCATTGCAGAGATCTTCTCAACTATCCATCCCGCATTGGCGAGCGCCCCATTAGATCAAGCTCGATTTCTTGTGTCCCCATCCCACCTGCGATCCATCGCAACCCCCTCGAGATCTCCTTTCCCCGCGATTGTCACGGCCCGGCTTGCCAGATGTCCAGTCCGCCGTTCACGGTCAAAGCGGTCTTCGAATACGCTTCAGACCATGCGGATGACCTGACGTTCTCCATCGGCCAGATCATAACAGTGAAAGAGCAGGAGGACGACGATTGGTATTTCGGAGAGTATACGGACAGTTCAGGCTCCAGAAAGGAAGGTCTCTTTCCAAAGAACTTCGTGGAGAAATATGACCCTCCAGCTCCTCCCAGGCCAACGCGCCCTGTCAGGGCCAAAAAGGAATCAGAGGTTGTTGCTGCCCTTGAGCCGGTAGACTTCCCGGCCGCGGAGAGCATGGCAGCACCTGAGCCAGAACCCGAGCCAGAAGCTGAACCGGAACCTGTCCCAGAGAAAGAGCTTGCTCCTCAGAGAGTAGTTTCTCCTCCTCCAGCAGCTGCAGCTCCCGCTCCTCAAATTCCCGCCTCGCCTCCGAAACAGGCCCCTGTTCCCGCTCCGGCGCAGCCCTCAGCAGAACCACCGCAGAACTCCGCCTCCAAGCCTCCGCCCCCAGCCAAGCCCACTGGCTCGTCCTTCAGGGATCGCATTGCAGCATTCAACAAGCCAGCAGCGCCCCCCATTGCGCCGTTCAAACCTGGTGGGCTGAGCTCGCAGACTTTCATCAAGAAGCCGTTCGTTGCCCCGCCTCCAAGCAAAGATGCATACGTTCCCCAACCTAGAGAACCTCCTCCCAAGATCTACCGGCGGGAAGAGGATACCGAAGTTGTCAATCGTGAGCCTCCGGTGTCAGAGAGTCGACCTGTCTCACACGATACTTCTGAAGGTGCCACCGAGGAGCAACCCAAGCCCACTAGCTTGAAGGAGCGGATTGCTTTGTTGCAGCAGCAGCAATTGGAGCAGGCGGCTCGCCGTGCCGATGCAGCATCCAAGAAAGAGAAACCCAAGAAGCCACCCCCAAAGAAGCGGGCACCGTCGCAAGAACGGGCCTCGGCGGAGAGTGTGGAAATGGAACGGACCGACACGGATGAAACTGCAAGGGATCCTGCTACTGAAGTTGCTAAAGCCCAACAGCCATCGCGGGAACTTATGAGCGATACTAATGACGCCGATTACTCCGCCGCGGCTGACACCGAAGATGCAGATGAAACATCTACGAGTAAGGAGGATGCGGAAGATCGCCCTTCGCGGGAACCCAAAGAAAGCAAAGAAGAGGGCCACGAAGAGGAGGAAGAAGGAGAGGGAGAGGAGGAAGAGGAGGAGGACGAAGAGGACGACATTGACCCTGAGGTCAAGCGCAGAATGGAGCTTAGGGAGCGCATGGCTAAGATGAGCGGCGGTATGGGCATGATGGGCATGTTCGGCCCTCCCGGTGGTCTGCCTGGGATGCCTCCTGCTGGAGCTCGAAAACCAAAGCCGCCAGCTCCTGAAAGAAAGCAGTCTGCTGATTCTCAGAGAGCGGATCCGGCGGCCTATGCACCTCCTGTTCCTATCATGGCTCTGCCTGGAATGAATGCCCGGAAGGCACCTGAACCCGTGCCTCAAGTAGAGAAGGAAGAAGATACTCAAGTGGTTTCTATTACTGAGCAACATCCTGCAGACGAAGTATCTGATATCGAGGATGTCGCTCCTGCGGAGACTTCTCGTGCCTCGATCGACAGACCAGCTCCGCCTCCGCCTCAAGGTAAGAGACGCCCGCTTATTTTCTTCAATACACCACATGTAATTCTAACTATGAGTGAAGAACGTCCAGTGCCTCCTCCAATCCCTTCAGAGCAGCCTACATCGGCGCCACCTGTGCCAGAAGGTTAGTACAATGCCCCCAGTTATAAAGTTATACTCCTGAGTAACAAAATATGCAGCCCGACCCATTCCACCGCCGCCGCCAAGGTCTCCTGTCTCAAGTAAAGGCGAAGAGTCAGACGACGAATTGTCTGTCCATGCCAGGAATTTGTCTCTGAACGCTGTAGCTGTTGGCCAGACTCCTGCAAGGTCTGCACCTCCTGTTCCAGACCAGGAAACATCTCCCCGATCACCAAATCGTTCATCCGTATACATCGCTACCTCACCGAAATCCCCAACCGCCGTTTCCGAAAAGAGGCTCAGTCGACCTCCCCCACCGATTCCTACCAATCCGCCTCAGTCTCCTACTCAAACTAGAGCACCTCCCCCCGTGCCTTCGATGAGCCGTAGATCCACAACTGACAGCAAGGCGACCAGTGTGCCCTCTGCCGCCCATCAAGCTGGAGAAGGCAGCGAAGGAGAGGTGACGGAATATGACGGAGATTACGATACTGATATCGCCTCCGGTGCAAAATTCAAGGACGCGCTCACTGCTCATGGACGTGATTCGAGCATAGATGATGGTACTATTACTGACGAGCCCTCCCTTCAATCACCTGTAGCTCCAGAGTCCCGACCTCCACCTCCTCCACCAAGTGTTCCAAGGGCAGTACCGCCGCCTCCTCCAAGTCAACCTCCGAAGAGCAGGGGATCTGTGGATATGCCGAGGGCGCCGCCGCCACCGCCCCCTGCTCCCAGGGAGCAATCGTTTGAAGACGACGAGTATGACCCCTACCGTTACAATGCTCCTTCTTCTCGTCACGGCGCTCCTCCTACGCCTCTCTCTCAGCCACGAACAGCGGAGACATACGATGAGCTCTATGATACCTCCCCAGTGCAGACTCAGAGTCAGCCACCGCCGCCTCCACCACATGACAGGCGGTCGTCTGTTGCTCCTCCGCCTCCTACCCAAGGTTCATCTGGACCCCCTCCTTCATCGCGGGGATCTCGCCAGTCTGTTGATCTTCTAAGAAACCAGGGAGGAAACAGCCGGAGGTCCATGGATATTTCGCGCCCATCTCTGGACCAAGGATATATAGCGATGGATGTGGATCTTGGCCAGGCAAGTCTCTGGTGGACAGCACCAAACACTCTTCCTCCTGTGTTTCAGAACAGGAAAGATCTTCTCTACGAGATTGAGGAATCGAGCTTCACCAAGCGAGGCGGTAAAACTATTATCTCAAAGGATGTCTACGTTCTTTTCATGGACTATTCTCAGACAGTTATTACTGTCCAGTACGACGCCAGAAGTCCTTCTGATGCTTCGTTTGAACAGCGCCATGAGCCCCCTCCCAACAGACCGCGCCAAGATCAGTTAGAGCAAGCTCACCTGCAGTTTGGCACCCGTATCTCGGATGCTGTCAACGCAGTTCAGAATACTACTGTCGCCGACGGGACACCTCACGCATTGGTTCAGCACCTTATCTCCCCACTTAAGGACGCGCTGCTTCCTGTGGGAATACGGGCCTATGGTGCTCTTGTGTACTCCAACCTGGCCAATGCATCTGTACAGCAGAATGACGAGATTCGTGCCGGTGATATTGTCAGTTTCCGCAATGCACGTTTCCAGGGCCACCGCGGGACTATGCATCAGAAGTATAATACCGAGGTCGGGAAACCAGACCACGTCGGTGTCGTTGTGGACTGGGACGGGACAAAGAAGAAGATTCGTGCATGGGAGCAGGGTCGGGAGAGCAAGAAGATCAAGATGGAGAGCTTCAAACTCGGTGATCTGAAAAGTGGAGAGTGCAAGGTGTGGAGAGTCATGCCGCGCAGTTGGGTCGGCTGGGACAGTGGGAAGGAGTAATTTATTCTGGAGATACGGAAGATACTCCGGAACCTCCTATTAATCCAGGTAATTTTGGGTCTCTCATACGGTTCGAAGACAATGTCGACGGCGGAATCCTCCTTTCTCCCCCAGTTGTCACCGTATAGCCCACGCAAATAAGTCACCGAAATCATCACGATGTAGATGTCCCTTTTGTTTGCCCCTTTTCACTTTGTTTATTCTCGTCCTTCGGTCTCCGATGGGGTCGAAATCAGATTGGGAATCGAATCCAATCCAATCAGACAATGTATCTACGTACCTAACCTTGAGTTATCTGTTTGTCCCCGCTCGAGAATCCATGCCTTGTATGTTATGACTTATTTCCTTGACCCCTTTCGATTCTCTATCATCTAATAGAAACCATGGACAATCCTACATCACTCCCGCCTCAGCCATTTCTCGTCATAATTCAGTTGGGATTGCGCAAGGTTTGCGAACTCTATGCTCCCTTTGTCTTCACGTATTCACCAACTATGCAAATGCATCCAGCTTTGGAATCGTTGCTATCTTTCCATATCCATTTCTTCTTTTCGAATCTTCTACTTATTTCAACCCAAGCATATCTAATAGCAAATCACTATACACAAAGTGGCAGCTTCAGTAGCCTACGATAGCGTTAATAGAGTGCACGTGTTCCCAATAGTAAAAGCTGCATCTAGTTCTTAATGGCACATTATTAGTTATACCCTTCTGCTACCCGTCAACGGCACCTCGGCTCTCCTTACCATTCTCCGAAAATCTCCAACCAATTATTCAAATACTTTATAAACTGCAGATCTCACTTGCTAGATTTCTGCAAGATCAACTTGTTAGCAGCTAGATCTGCATATCTTTCTCCACCTGTTCATAAACATGTTTTTAGCCCAATCAGAACACTATTACTCTAAATACGGCCCACCGTTCAGCTTGATCTATTTCAGCCTTTTTTTTTTCTCCCAAAAATGAGGTCACCAATTGTCCTATCTGTTACTGAATGCGGCGGGACCTAATGGAACTGCAGGTCATCTCCTCGCCTTGTTTACCCCTCCGAATTCGGTCTTTAAAAAATTCCCACACAGACAGATAAACAAATATAAGCACAGTCGTCGATTTCTAGTCTCATCGTCATGTCATCCCTTGTCTCAATCACGACAGCATTGAGCATCTGATTTCGAGCCTCTTACCACGCCTTTCTAACTCAAAAAGGCGCCTTGCCCTCGTTAAAAACAGACAATATGAAACCAAACTCTTCCACCTCCCCAAATCCATACGCATTCCCACTAAAACCGAAAGATTACGCCCCAAACCCGGTCCCAAGTCTAGAAGAATGGCACAAGCTATGGACAGCATGGGAGCTTGTAACGTTAAAAATGATCCCGAAAGAAGCGTTACATGAAAAACCAATCCCGTTGCGGAATCCTCTTATTTTCTACTTAGGTCATATACCAACTTTGTAAGTTTTGATTCTCTTTCGTCATTGTTTGGGTTTTTCTTTTATTCTCGGACCTAGATTTTTTTTTTTTTTTTTTTTCGTCTCCAAAACAGTATTTGCTCATACGTATGCTATAAATATTTACAATATTAGTGAAGATATTCATCTGGCACGAGCAACGAACGAGTCCGCAACTGAACCTGAGTATTATCAGCGCATTTTTGAAAGGGGGATAGATCCGGATGTGGATGATCCTACTCAATGTCATGATCATAGTGAGACCCCGGATACTTGGCCGGAGTTGCATGAGATTGTGGAGTATCGAGGGAAAGTCTGCAAGCGGATCAAGGCGCTTTATGATTCTGGAAAGGCCTGGTCGGCCAGAAGTGTAGGTCGGGCTCTTTGGATTGGATTTGAGCATGAAGGTATGTGGTATATATCATCAAAGGGGAATGGAACCTCAAGAGGAAGAAATGCAAAAAAGGAAATAGACCAAACTAACCATACACAACAGGACTCCATCTCGAAACCTTCCTGTGGATGACGATTCTAAGTCCAAAAATTCTCCCACCCCCATTACCCAGACCGGATTTCGTCTCTATGGCTGAGAAAGCCGCGCGCGAACGAGTTGAGAATCAATGGTTTCGTATCGTCCCGCGGACCTTTTCAATCGGTATCGAAGACCCAGAAGACGATAGCGAGGGCAATGGCTACTTTGCATGGGACAATGAGCGTGATCCGTACGAGGTCTCTGTTCATGGTTTCGAAGCACAGGGCCGACCTGTCTCTATTGGAGAATATGCAACGTATCTGGTTGAAACTTCTCAGATGGATCGTATACCGATCTCATGGACGCGTGAATCTTCTCTCTCTGGCAAGACTATTGCCAGTGACTACTCGTATGGAGAAGATATCGACGTTCAGAAGAACTTCATTGATGGTCTCACTATCAAGACTGTCTTCGGTCCTGTTCCTCTTAATCTTGCGCTTGACTGGCCTGTTTATATCTCATATAATGATGCAGAAGCATACGCAGACTGGGCAGGGGCTCGGATTCCCACCCTCCACGAAGCACGCAGTATTCATCGACAAGTCGAAGAGGAAAGAAAGATTGCCGCGAACAACAGTGATGCGTTAGTATAAGCACCCCTCCTTCTTAACCTATCCTCATCCGCTCCTGTCTGAATCATGAGAATCCCCACGCTACTACTACTACTACTACTACTACTACTACTAACTCACAACCACCACACAAGAAAACAAAACCTAACACCCGGCATATCCCGAGAAGACATCTACATCGACCTAACAGGCTGCAACGTCGGCTTTCGCAACTTCCACCCTACTCCCGTAACGCAGAACGGCAATCGACTCTGCGGCCAAAGTGATATGGGCGGCGCTTATGAGTGGACGAGTTCTCTATTTGCGCCTCAGCCGGGTTTCAAACCGATGGATATATATCCTGGGTATAGTGGTGGGTGTTTTTTTTTTTTTTTTCTTTAATTGATTTATTTATTCGAGTGGGTTGTTGGATAATAATGAATGACTGATTTTGTATGTATATACTTAGCCGATTTCATGGATGGAAAACATATTCTCGTCGTGGGGGGAACGTGGGCCTTGCATCCGCGGATTTCTGGGAAGAGGACTTTGTAAGCTCTCTCGGTTCTGTCTTGAAACTCCGTGTATGTGAATTAATGCAGTCACAGCCTCAATTGGTGGCAGAAAAGCTACCCATATCCCTGGGTAGGTCTTCGACTGGTCCGGGATATTCCTCCCAAACGTGAATGCAACTAGGATTATGTGTCTTGAGAGGGTGTTCTCGGGATTTGGGTAATGTTAGATGGATGAGATCTGTACCTGCATCTGTATAGAACTTACGATACGAGTTTGTCCGCATACTTGATACTTGCTTGTGGCGATCTATAAATTCGTATAGCTCTCTTATTGAAGCAGTGGAACTCGTTGAAATTTACACTCTACAAGAGGAATGGAATGGTCTTGATGCCAAAAAAGCAAAATGAATGCCCTTTCTAGATAACAATAAGTATAGATAGATAGAAATAAACAAGACGGGAATAGAATACATAAATGCAAAGCCAACCTATCTAAGTAAAACGGCCGACAGCCCAATGGGTATAGCCATAACCGTGAAGAAGGGAATATATTTGAGACTGGACATGAAGAAAAGGACCAGGTCTCAGGCAGAAAATCGGATATAGCAGAAGCAGGTCAATCTCTAATTTCTTTGCGTGAGGCAGCCAACTTTTATCAACGCCCCTTCTCCCCCATTGAAGAGTCTCCAGACTCTCGACTTTTTGGATCGAATGTTCACTCGCTAGTTACTACATGCGGATCCATAGAAGGGAAGGAAAGGAAATGGTCTCGACAGGGAGTACAAAATTACAGCAACAGCAACTCCCCAGTTGCTGCTCCGCCAGCCGCCTGCGGTTGATAGATCTGCTGCTGGTTCTGGTTGACGACGTACGATGTCTGCGGGGCTCCTCCTCCGCCAGCTCCAAAGTCGTCGCGTTCACCTAGATGCATTGCTGCCATCTGCTGGCTGCCAACGTTGTTGAAGTATACGTCTGCAGCGTTGACTGCGGCGGCCAGATCGCCTTTGTTGGACGGCGTGCCAGAGGTAGGAGAAATAGCCATTGCATCTGGGACGGGGCTCATGAGATTCATAATCCCATTGCTGGTGGTGTCCAGCTTTGGTTTCTGGAGGGCTGGGCTGGGTTGCAGCTTTTTTGCTCTGGCCGAGCGGAAGACCTGCTGGACAGGTTTCAAGTAGACAGTGGCGAGAGTACCAACGCTGAGACACAGCTCCTCGAGTGTGCGAGGGTCGAGCTTCTCGCTCTCAGCGGTGATGGGTGGCTTTTCACCCATGACAATTTGCTTCGCAGAAGCAGGATCGGTAGACAGAAGGCGCCAGTACATGTACCCTCTATCCCTCAAATCTGGGTCATCCGTGTCCTCTGTGCACCATTTCAACACCTGGGGCACCAGTTTCTGCCCCTTCGTCGGGCGCTGAATAAACATCTTCACAGTAGCTGTGAGTAATGCCAGCTGTACGTCGATGGTCTCATCATGGAAAGTTGCCAGGTAGTCCTGCAGCAAGCTATCCGAGTTTTCAATTCGATCAGCATACTGACCGATAATCCAGATGACGGCGGCCTTGGCTTCCGGTTCGTCCAATTCATCAATATTCGAGATGACAGTGCCGATGATGCCTTCGTACTGGTTAGGGTACTTTCGGAAGATATTCCGGATGACGACGGTTGCTTCCTGCACGATATAAGGGATCTTGGCATTGACCAGCTCTAGGAGCGTATCAATACACTCGCGAGCCGCAGACTCGATCTTGATGGCCAACTTTCCGATTGCGCGCACAGCCTTGCGCACGAAGTGAACATCAATTTCCGTAGCGTATCTGTGTTAATGTTAGATGATGCATCGAACGCTGGAGATAAACGGCCACTTACTCGCGAAGCTCTGCCAAGACAATGGAGATATTATCCTTGGTGGTAAGCATGAAGATCAACTCCAGCTTAGTCACCTTGACATAGATGGGGTCATTATATTTACAGAAGAAGACGCGGATATCGTTCCGCAAGACCTCAGGTCTTTTCTGCAGAATTAGAATCGCGTTTCGGAGCGCTAAGTACTGTACTTCTGGGGGTTTCGATAACAACGTGACCAGAGGCGGAGAGAGCTTTCGTGCGAGAGCGGTGATTTGTCGTTCATCCGCAATGTAGTTCATCAGATAAAGGATGACACGAATCGATGTCAAAACCACTGCTGAATTGGAATGAGAAAGTCGAGGCGCTATACGCTCTGCCAATAATAGCGCCTCTGAGGATTCTTTCGGTACATAAGCCATTAAAGCTTCCAGGATGTACGTCTGGCCCCATCTGGAAAACATTAGCAAAGATCATAATGGACATGCAGTCCGACAGTCTTGAAATAAGGGAACCATACTCGGAGCAGTCAGGCAGGATCGACACTACTTTCGATGCACTGACGTAGTCAATGGTGAGCGAGATCGACTCACTACGCTCCCAGATATCCGTCAACGCGGCAAGAACACTGGAAACAACGGTAGGGTTATCATCTTTCAACATCCGATTGAGTCGATCAATGAGATCCGAGTTCTCGACAAGCTTCTTGTCATGATCATAGAGCTTGGCGACACAGAAAGCCGCGGTTTTCCTCACGTAGGGATCTGAGTCGGTCATGAGACGTTTCAATGGCTGAACCGTTGCCTCCACAAACTCCTTCACATGAACGTAGGAAATAGTTCGCAGAGCCAATGCGCGCACCAGCGGGTTGGTATCGTCCATATCCTAAAAGATCTCTCATCAGCATACCCAATCAGGAAAATATTTCAGATCCCGCACGTACATCCACCAGCGTTGGCAGCGCTTTCAAAGCATCTGCTGGTTTTATTCTCGCGTAATTGACCAGAAACAGAAAGCACCTGTCACAGCACGATCAGCATATGCCCCCGACTCCTCAAGTATCATCATCCCATACATCTTCTTGATCTCCAAACTGGGAATCGTCATGCAGGCAATGACATCTGGGAACAGCCCGATCATGTCATTGTTGCTCATGGTCATGTTGGCGACAATCTTCTTGAGGGCGATCTTCTTCGCGGAGTGGTTCCGATCCTTCTTGCCGCCGCTGTTGAGCTCCTGTCGCAACTCTGCGACTTTGCCCTGTCGAGTACGAGCACATGGTGAGAAATTGTAAGGAGTATATGGAACGATTCCAACAAACATGAGGCCCAAATAAAAGAGCAATGGGGTAGAAAAGGATAACCAGTGGAGGATATCAGGGACCAGTAGTAAAAAAGGCAACTAGAGCACCAGCACAGCTATATGCTGAGGGCCGCTGCAGCAACTTGATAGCAAATGCATTCACGTATGACGCAGAGTAGCTGTCTAGTGAAGTATCCAATTCTAGACCGGCCGTATAGCGTCCAAACCGCAAAAGGGGTGGTGGCGGGGATAACAATCGGGCAAGCATCAAGATAACAGGAAGCGGGGGGTAACGAAGTCTAAAAAGACCTACCCTTGCGAAGAGCTTCGCATCTCCCCCGCCCGAACTCATCTTTGGCTTTCCAGGTGACAGCGCACCGCTACCGTCCTCAGAGAACTAAGCGTCCGAACTTCCCAATGTTTCGAGCAACCGTCGATGACGGAGAGAGGGGGTTGTGCCGCGCGAATGACCACCAACGAATCTGATTATTTCTTTCCCACGCGAAAAAGGCCGGATCGGTCTTGGGATCTTCTTTTTGCGGAGGAATTCGTTCACATGAGACGGGTGTTGTCGCACACCAGCGGACGAAATGGCTTCTGAAGCTACTTAGCTGGTTGGCTGTACGGGAGACAGCGCGGCATCCATGCCTCGACTTTCGGTTGCGCGTCGATCAACTAGGGGGTCGTGCTTGGAGGAGTCGAAGTGACGGAAGATGCCGAACAGGACCGTCTCTCCCTCAAGAAGAGTAACTAGTGGAACAGTAGAAGTTGTAGATAGAGACCAGAAGTCCTCACAGAGTCCAATCTGACAACGTTCGGAGCGGCCTGGAAGGGCCGGAGAAGGGAAGACGCCGAAGCGCAAGCAACTTTCCGTGGTGGATCTCCCGCCCAACTCCACACTGCGTAGAGCAACAGGACGACCATCTTGATATCCTGATATCAACGCTCTCAAACAACAGATAGTCTACTCCAGATAGGCCATCTTGCCTCATTACGATGGCTTCCGCAGGCTCTTTACCCCCTGCTCCCCTGCCCCGATGGGCAGTGGCCATGAACTCCCCAGCTCCAGCACCATCAGTCAAAACAGCCAACATCCCCAATCCCCCAGGCTTCTCCAGCAAGCCCACCGACAAACAGGTACGTAAAACACCTCCAGAATATATCCAAATCAACTAGTTCTCTCACTAACTAACATCTCCTCTTCGCCCAATCCAGCGGCGTACCGCGCAGCAACAAACGCCCGCCCGCCCCGTCGAGACCGACACCCTCAAGCTCAAAAAAGCATGGGAAATCGCACTGGCCCCCTCGAAACAAATCCCCATGAACGCCATCATGATGTACATGTCCGGCAACAGTTTGCAGATCTTCAGCATCATGATGGTCTTCATGTTGTTCAAGGGTCCTATCCAGGGTCTGCTGTCGACGAATAGCGCATTCGTCAAGTTCGAGAACGAAAATACCAAGGCGCGATTAGTGGGTGTCAAGGTGGTTTATGTGCTTATGCAGTTGGTTTTATTGGCGCTGGGTATTTGGAAGGTCAATGCGATGGGGTTGTTGCCGTATGTTTTCCCTATATATTTCCAGCTTTCTCTTTCTTTCTTTCTTTAGCCCCTCTGATCGTTGGGAGGGAACATGGTCTTTTTATTTTTCGTGTGCAGATATGCTAACTCTACGTGTTGGTGACAGGACTACGAGATCAGATTGGTTGGCATGGGAAGGCGAGCGCGAGCCGCTCGAACGGGCATACTTTGCCTTTAGTTGATGAGGCCGGATACCTCAATGAGATGATGAACTCTATCTACAGGGTGTGTAATCTATATCAATCTGAAACTTCAAAAGCTTGATGATCGTTCGTCATACATTGTAATCATGACCATTGTAGTTTTATATTTGCTTGTCTACGCAACATCTAAGACACTGGAGTGAGTGAGGGTAAGATTAGATGAAAAAGGTTTGTATTCTAGACATTACTCATCTATTCGTTTCTTATATGCATTGCAAATATCAATGATGGAGAGAACCTCCTACGCTTGCCGTCGGTGAATCTATTTCCGGGCGGCGGCCATCTCCGCTTGTGCGGCCTCTTGCTTCAATCTCCGCTCTTCTCGCCAGCCAGGCCCGAATCGGATGACCACCAGCAGAAGTGGGATGGTGCCTAGCATGACAAACGCCACGAGGGTGAAACACCAGCCTCTTCCCATGCCGTCTATCATAGGAACAACCAGTGCCGTGGCACCAGCTCCAAGCAGGCAGCGGACAAAGTTATTTGACGCAGTTGCCGTAGCTGCACTGTTGGGGTACATATCAACGAGAAGAGTGCTGACAGTATTGAAAGAGCCCGTCAAAGCAAGACCCAGGAAAAAAAGGATAATAGTAGGCGCAGCAATGTGCACGTTGTACTGCAGACACCAGCCGAAAGCAATAACGGCCAGACTGCCGATTGTCAGGAGAGGGAATGCAATCTGCAACCGGGCCTTTTCAATAGGGAAGTTCGCCAAATCGGTGTGGCGGTTTTTAACGATAGGGAAGCCGTGCTGTCGGGCTAAACGTCGGTAGTTGTAGTCCAGGAACTTCCCGTTGATGATAGATGCGATGGTGGACCCGATTCCGAATGGCAGATAGCAGAGACCGATCTGCAGATCGTTGAGATGATAGCTCTCGTGGAATATCGACGGGATAGCAGCGCCAACATCGTAAAATCCCGCAAAGAGAATAGCGTTGGACAGAAGCAAGACGCTGGTATCTTTTTGAAAGACAATCGCCAGGGTCTTCAGTGGATTGGGAAAGCCAATTTTCCTTGGAGATCTGTCTGAAGGTTCCTCTATCTCCTTCCCTTCCTTAGCGGCCTTGCGGGCATGCAGGTAATTTATGAGGGACATGTTCCACTTCTGAGGAGGAATTGACCCATTTCCAACCACCTTGCGAGCCGTCTCTGGGAAGAAAATCAGGAAAAGTACCAGGAACGAGGCAGATAGGATGACAAGGAACCAGAAGATGGCTCGCCAACCCAGGTACTGCGCCAGCAGACCTCCAATAACTGGTCCCAGAGACGGACCCATTAGAGAACCAGCCGTAACGAAGCCCATATAGGAACCTCGCTGGGATGCTGTCGCAACATCCGCGACTACGCCAGACGACAAGGCGATTGTTGTACTGCTTCCGGCGCTCTGCATGCATCGAAGCACAAATAGTGCTGCATAATTATTCTGCAGGGCCAATCCGATATTGGCCCCAATATATATTACGAAACACACAATGTAGGCCGGTCGACGACCCGCCTTATCTGCAAAATCACCGATAAACATGGGAGAAAGTCCTTGGAAGATCTGGATACCACATGGTCAACCATGAAATTCTTGTGATACCAACGCGTAGATACCAGGCCATACCATATAACTCGTTAGGGTCAAATTGATCAGCGAATTCGAGACATGGAGATCATTGGCCAATGTATTCAAGGCTGGAAAATAAATCTGTGAGGATAATGGCGAAAAGAATCCTGCCCATGATGCTATGAAGACGATATAACGTATCTGGCTCTTTGAGAAGATCGAGTACTCCACGGCTGAACGCCTGGAGACCGTAGGCTGAAGCTCTGCATTGTTCTGCGTGCCATCATGCTCTTGCTTCGGTTCCTGTTGAGTTATCGCGAGCCCGATGGCATCCTTTTCGATATCCTGGGGAGTGGCCATGAACTCGGAAACGTTGAGGGCGCAGTGCCACTGCCCAACGGACCAATTTCGAAAACACTACTAGAAGCCACGGCGAAGAGAGGCGCCTCTACACTTATATCGGGCCTCGCCATCATGGCAGCGTTGATCATGCACCGATAGAAAGCGGCATTAGACCGGTAGTTCTTGGTCCAGAGAAAAAAAAAAAGTGAACGATAATTGGATGCACGGACTGGAGAAGTCGGTGCCGAGTGCCGTTAGCCGTGAAGCTTGGCCATTCGGATTATTGAAAAAAATGCTTCAAACCGCCGCCAAGAGCGACTCCGAAGACGGAGTACATAATAAGTTAACTATGATCAGAATGGTCTAGCCAAAGAGTCTGGGGTGTCCAGTCACCGCTATACAATGATTGCATACAGATAAGGATTCAGTCCTAATCAATGTCATGATAACATCCAGATACATCAATCATGGATTATTTGCTTTAAAACGGGACTAAATAAGTAAGTAGTTCCCGGGAGATTCTCCAGGTCCAATACCTAGACCTTGGGGCATAACCGCTAAGTATATATCATACTTCGAAATGCTATGACTTCTTCGCTTTCACCGCTTCGCGACAAGCCTGCAGGAAGATCTCACAGAACTCCCAAACCTCAGAGTAAGTATTGTACAATGGTGCTGGTGCCACGCGGATCACGTCCGGCTTTCTTTCATCGACAACCACTCCGTGTTCTTCAAGGATCTCGAGGACCCGGTCCAGCAATCCCTCTTGCAGACGCAGACTGAGCTGTGCGCCGCGTTCTTCTGGGTTCGAAGGGGTGATTATTGTGAACGGCTTATCCTCAGGCGAGGCATCCAGAGGATATTTCAACAATAGATGTTCGAGGTAGCCCGTCAGATGGAGGGACTTCTTGCGGAGCTCAGCCATGGAGGTTCGGTTGAAGATTTCCAGTCCAGCCACCACTGCGTTCAGATCCAGAACGGATGGATTAGAAACCTGGTATCCTGCCGCTCCCGGTTGAGGGACAAACTCTGCGGTATAATTAGCAATTGTGGATGCCGTAAGAGAAGAAGATATCGACATACTGTTCTCCATCAGAAACCTGGTCTGCTTGTCTCCTCCCCACCAGCCAGCCAAACGGGGCCGGAAAGATCCTTCGTCATCGTTCGCCTTTTCGAGCTCAACCCGCCCATGCTTCTCGTGGACGAACAATCCTGCGATAACTCCAGGTCCGCCATTCACGTATTTGTAGTTGCACCACGCCGCGAAGTCCACGTCCCAGTCGTGAAGTTTCATATCGACGTTACCAACAGAATGCGCGCAGTCCCAGCCGATCAGGAGACCCCGCGAATGAGCGTGCGCCGTAATTTTCTTCATTTCAAAGTATTGTCCCGTGTAGAACTGGATGGATGGGAGGAGGACAAGCGCTGCGCTGGATGCGTGTTCATCGATGATTTGCATTATTTGTTCAGTCGTGATAATGGGAGTATCCGGGTCCTTGGGTTCAATGAGGACCATTGCCTCCTTCGGCTCCAAATTGTGATGTCTGATCTGAGACTCGACCGCATACTACTAGACGAATTAGCATCGTATCTGGCCCAATTGTGTATATGGATCATACATGATCACTTGGGAATGCTTTGCCCTCCATGATAATCTTGTACTTCTCCTTCGTCGGGCGATAGAAGCTTGCCAACAGGAAATGGATGTTTGCAGTCAAAGTTCCCATGACTGCAACTTCACTGGGCGACGCACCCACAACTGGCGCCATAAATTGAGATCCTGCACTATCAACATCGACGAACGGAGGAAGCAGCTGGTCTTCATGAGGGACGAAGTGGCCGGTCACGCCCTTGATGGCCCATGTTCGAAGGTACCGGTCGATATACTTTCGAGTATTTTTGGGCTGCAGACCAAGGGAGTTGCCGCACAGGTATATACACCGTGGATCAGATAAGCTTTCCTCTGAAAGAGTAGTTAGTACTCCTGTCTTAGTGAACCGAACGAGACGATCTGCATCTAGTGTATGTTTTTCGCTAGTGCAGAGCCATGTACAGTACCTTCAGTCACTGCCAATGTCTTCCTCTTGAGATCCTTCTTGGATGGAATGATGAATTCGTCTCGGAAGTCCCGAAGAGGGTCCTGCTTATCCAAAGACTGGGCGTATTCTTTGCTATAAGCCCGCACGTCGTCTTTGTAATGAAGCGGCGGGCCGCTCTTGATATCGCGCACATGCAGTTTGGAACCCATCTTGGCGCGATCCTGCACTCTTGACAGCTTGTTCTGGCAGATATACTACCAGATCAGAATATAAACCACCAAGATGTCCCTTCAGCAGATCAAAAACCCCACTACTTTTCTCTACTGCCCCGCGGTCATCGATGGCGGGGACCACGACGGATTCTGCCGCTTCTCGCCGACCCCCGGATTACCCAATAACGTCATTGCCGAAGCTCTTACTAAAGCTCTGTCCTGTCATCCGCCGCATAACCATCCAGCGCCGCTTGGAAATCCGACTTTACAACATCTTCGGACTGATTTGAGAGAGCGGCAATCTTTGATCGCTCATCATGTCACCAACAAATATGCTATCCTCTACCGCCTGCCGGTTAGCACGCCGGCAGAATTCGCCTGCTATGATCTTCGTACGCCATTGCCGTCGCGTATCCTCTGTCCCCGGAGCAGCTGCGAATTATTCTACGTCCCGGAACAGCGTACAAAGTCCCACCTATTCTATTCCAGAATTCCTTCTTCCTTCCCGAACGCATCGAAGACTGCGCAGACCAGCCCTTCCTTCGACGTTATCTCTGCGACGACAGCGGTTCGCATACTCGACGACAACCCCCAGTGACGCCGCGAAAGTGATCCTGAATCCGAGGAAAGACGATGACGGCAATGATCTATGGATGAAAATATCTCCCCGTGCTGCAGAAGTATGTGAATTGTCTTTTCTCTATAGCCCAAACATTGTTCTGTCTGCGGTTTGATGCGTTGTGGCTTGGTTATCCAGCTTCCCGGGACCTTGGAGGCGGCTTCCTGCGGCGGGACTGAACATTGTTCGGTACCTGGTTTGAACAGTGCAATGCGGAATAAAATCCCATGTCAATATTTCCCAAGCACATACGACCATAGGGTGTGGAAAACAGGGCTTCCCGTCCGCTCAGCCGTACTTAAGCCACACGCCGGCCGGTTAGTAGTTGGGTGGGTGACCACCAGCGAATCCCGGCTGTTGTATGTTTTTTGTCTTTTTTATTTTTTTATACTTCTTTTTCATCTTCCATCTCGTTTTGCACGGAGGACTCAATTAACATAATCTCAACAGCGTCTCCGAGAAATCACGGATCCGTCATCATCCTCTATCTCCACTACCCTCCAAGAGAACCCTTACCACCACCTCCGTATCACCGTCACCAGCGGCGGCTGCCATGGCTTCCAGTACATGATGTCTCTCGAGCCTGCCTCAAAAATCGACAAGGAGGAAGATACCGTCTTCGAAGCAGAGACCCCCAGCGAAGGGGAGGAAAACAAGGGTCAAGCCCAAGTAGTCATGGACACTGCCTCGCTGGAACTCCTGTCTGGCAGCACGGTCGATTACACGATGGAGCTGATCGGAAGTCAGTTCAAGATCGTGGATAACCCGCGAGCGACGAGTAACTGCGGCTGCGGGACAAGTTTCGACGTGGAGTGAACTTCTTCTTCTTAGCAGCATCATTGCAACTCCCGCCCTTTATAACAAGGAGGGTGTGATATCAAGGTACTTAATCGAGGTTCTTTACAAGGGCAACTGTCATTTCAGGCCAGGAACTCAACTTATATAGACATACATACTTAACCCCTGATGATGAGCGTGAAATCCCCAATTTGTATTAATTCATTCATGTATTGTATGTATACCATATCAGCAGGATAGAATGAGCATCTCAGACTCCAGTTTATACGATTACCTTTTTCAATTTAGTTGAGTATGCGACAATCTGGCGTCCAATAGTACTATAATCTCCCTCATCAAATTACCGCTCATACTTTATATCTTAGACATGAGCAAAAACGAATCCTTCTAAGCAAGGTAAGGAATCGATACGATACATATATTTATACTTGAAAAAAAGGAAAAAGGGAAAAGGGGAAAAGGGTTCAATATGTTATGATGCAAATGCATAGATGAGAAATAACCACAGCTGGTAATAAGAACACAAGACGCCCTGACGTTTGACACATTCCGTTTTGGTCTTTTGCGGAACCCAGTGTCTTTTTTTCCTCGGCCGCTACACCCGCCCCAAAAGACAAGGCCCTCTTTAAATCTAAGCATAGAAAGTTGGAAAAGATGAATGAAACTTCCTGTTTTCCATTCGTTTCTGCGTGGTTCCTCGTAAACCTCTCCACAGCCCCCCATGCGTCATATCATAACTTCCACAGCGTTATACGGCATTCCCTATGGCGACGATTCCCGTGGTTCTATTGCTGGTACCGACCTCCTATGCTTCCGTGATGGGATGCATCGAAGAACTTTTTAATTTTTCCCGGAAACACATAACCAGGACTGATGTTTCGTAGATAGTAAGAAGTCGTCAACGTGTTTCCACCTCTCGTTGCGGTATTACCGCCCATGAAGACAATTGGAGCTTCCCAGACGGTCTTCGCACTGATGTGGTACTCTAGGATAGACCGTCTAGTAGGTCCGTGCAAGGTTTCTCAGGTACCAGTCGACGAGTCTTCGTCCGGCCTTAGCCTCGCTGATGTGGATGAGGTCACCCTCAATGGCGTAGTCGAGGTCGCTGGCGGTGGTGGGCTCACCCTCAAGCAAGCCACCCTCGACCCAGCGCACCTGTCGGCTGCGCTGCTTGTTCACGAGCAACCACGAACGGAGCTTGTCGGGCTCGACCTCGAGGAATCCAGCCAGCTTCTTCAAGTCCATGGTGGTGTAGAGCTTGAGATAGGACTTGACGGTCGGGTTGAAGAGAGTGTTCTTCACCTCGTCCATGAAGATAGCGGTTTGGTGGTCGACAGGGTCGATGTTAACGGAGGGGTTGTCGAAGTCGGGAGGAGTCGGGGAGATGAACTTGGGGCAAGCAGATCGGAAGAGCTCCTCGAAGAGAGGCAGAGCCTCGGGGCCACCACGCTGGAGACGGTGGAACTGCTCGCCGTACTTCTCGCGCAGGGCAGAGTGGATGGTGTCATCCAGGCGAGTGGGGTGGAAGGCAACACAGATGGCAATCAGAGCGTACATCTGGTCGTTCTTCTTGGCGATCGCATCGTAGTTGTTGCCGCCCTTCTGGAAGTTCTTCGTGCGCGAGACGTAGACCAGGATGTGGCTGAACATGCGGATAGCGTCGGCGTAGCGGCGCATCATCATGTAGGAGAAACCGACATAGTAGTAGGTGGTGAAGTGGGCAGCCATGACGCGAGCAAACATGGCCTTCTTGTTCATCTCAATGTCGTCGAGAGTCTTCAGAGCGAGACTGAAGTCTCCCAGCAGACAGTGGACTCGCAGAAGTCCGATGATCGAGAAGTAACCCAGCATCTTGTACAGCGGGCGAGAGCCGTACTCTCCGGCAACTGCCAGGGGGTCCTCATTTCGCTTGATAGCAGCCAACTGCTCGTTTATCTGAGATCGCTGGATGAGGGAGTACAGGACGTTAAGGACCGAGTAGCAGCCCCACGTGTTCGGGTTCTCGCGCAGCAGCTGTGCCTCCTCCTCGTTGGAACCGCTTCGGGCGACGCGGTTGCGGTATCTGCAGAACGACTCAAATTGGTAGATGAACTCATCAATGACATCCCACGCCCAGTAGTACTATAGAGAATCCAATTAGCCAAGTCCGCACAAAACCCCGCAATATAGCAAAACCACAACGGAGAAGTGATATCATGACTCTAGCATGATATCCCAAGCAAATCAAAGTATATCATCACATACAGAAGGAACCTCCAAATCAACGGGGCCGTCAGAGTTGAGAATGTAGTGGAAGAGACTGCAGTAGTTGTCGTAGCTAGCGAACTTGGTCTCTAGAGTGGCTTGGTATTCCAGCGGAGTGGCCGCGGCCGCCAGTTGTGCCTGCAGATCCTGAGTTTGAGATGCACCATCCAGAGATGTTGTCCGATCCAACTCGCTCAAGCCATCGTCAAAGTGCACCTGCTCCCGGTAGTCGTTAACGAGCGCCTCCTCCTCGACATCAGACTCGTCGCCCAGGTTGGCGCGCGCGTTGGCGCGTTCTTCGTAGGACATGGTGGGAAGAGATATCTCGCTGCGTGAAAGGATTCAATGGACAGGAGCGGATTTGCTTCAGGTGGTGCACGGATAAGCTGAAGCTCGTCGTTATTTGCCGTCGACGTCGCCAAGTTGGATTTTGGGTTGTTCGGCGGGTTCGAATTTTGAGGGTTTTCGCTTGTCGACCCTTTGTGCTTATCTTATCTGCGCACAAATGGTCTGCTGAGTCATCTATGCACACATGCTGCACTTAACTTAAACAACCAGTTAGTTAGTTAGTCCATGCAGTGAGGCCAGTCGATTTCATCCATGAGTAGGGACTATACGCTGAATACTGTTTTCTTTAGGCATCTCAGATTCAAGAATAGGCTATGTTATGAAGTACAGCTCGGACTTAATGCGGCTCAGCTAATGCCTTACTGAACCCCCCTCCCTTGTATATATGTCGATTCGCTCTGCTTTCGGATGCATCCTCATACATCCAGTGATGCTTTGCATCTACATGCTTGGTTCGGGTGTGGACTATGATATATAAGTCAGAGAGACGTTCTGCATATCACATATGGAGTAATATGAGATCTACTAGCGGAGGGAGTGCTTGGGCTTTTTATACATTCTCGAACATAGGTAAGCTCACCAAAGTTGGAGTTTTGATGGCCTTACAATTGGGGCGTCAACAACACTAAAGGACTGATCAGTTATACAACATGGCCCTAACTGAAGTTATGCTCATAAATCGTCATTTCGTTTCTGTCGACGCTTGTAATCCTATGACAAATAACTAAACTCCTGACCTCATGTATGCCTTTTTCCCTTTCGTTTCTCAAAGCACAAAAACGCCTGTCAATGCAGCCAGATATGACACGAAATAAACAAAAAGTTATGCAACAGGTGACAGTATGCATCACCGCATACATATGCCTATGTGCTCTCCATCTTTTTTATACCTTCCTCTATATCCCTAACCTTATGCGTTCCCAACCTTAACCTCTTCCTCCACTTGGCCTGTTTCTTCAACTTGGCACGCACACGCCTCTTCTTTGGATAATTGATCGGTGATTCGCCTCCAATGAAGATGCAAATATCGTAAACGGCTCCCCCAGCTATACCACCGCTAATGGTCGCAACCCATGGACCCCAGATCCACCACCAGCTACGGTCAGTGAAAACATGTCCACCAAATCCGGCCATCAAGGTGACGAGTCTGGGGCCGAAGTCTCGAACCGGGTTAAAACTTCTGCCAATGCAGTTAGTAAGCCCACTTTTGCGGCTTAGAAGTTATGGACAGGAAGATACTCACCCTCCAGTATTGTAGCTCAAGCAAATGGAGAGGACCGTTATAATCAGTCCGATAATGAAGGAATGCATTCCTGCACCGGGAGGGGCATTGCTGTCGTCACCCAGAGCCAAGATTGTGCAGAGTAGCAGAGCAGTACCCACAAACTCGTTAAAGAATCCTGTAGCACTACTGACGTAGCTTAACGGCTCAGTATAGAAACCGAAACCAGCTGTGTTAGGTGGAATTGTTGGTGTTTGAGTGATAATGGAATCTCGGTAGAGGCAGTAAGCAATTCCGGCAGCTGTGATGGCCCCTAGTGTCTGTGCAATGATATAGTAGTAGCACCGTCGTAGAGGAAACCCACGAAAGATCCAGAGTGTAATCGAGATGACAGGGTTCAGATGAGCACCGGAGACACCACCTGCAAGGTAAATCCCCACCATGAACCCGAGTCCCCAGGCCCAATTCTGAGAGAGCTTAGAGCCTGCTTTATTGTTGGATGTAGTTATAGCTAAATTCCCGCAGAGGCCAATTAGAATGGATGCTGTTGTCTACCAATATATCGTACTGGTCAGTATAAGATCATTGCACGTGTTCTGCATCTATGAAAGAGATTTAAACTTACCCCAAGCCATTCAGCGAGCGGCTCTCTGATGTAATGTCTGATCTTCGCCCATTTATTGAAGAACTCTTGCTTCTCTGGTTCCGCTTGCCTCCCATCTTCTTCCGGAGCTGGCGGCCGCTCTTGTGCCTCGTTCTCGACAGGCCGTGAGACCCTATCTCCTTCATGTTTGCGGACCGCTTGTGCGTGCGATGCACCCTCCTCGTCCGTAGGCTGACTTGTGCTATCGGCATCTTCTGTCCCATGAGGGATATTGTCCACCTGCGGTACTGCCTCTGCTTCTCCCCTTTCTGGTGCCTCGTAGGCTTCCTGGGTCGTCCCGCTGTCCTGGCGCATACCAGATCGAACGACCCTGGGGAAAGGCTTTGCCAACCCCCATACTGGCTCCTCTTCCTCTTTGCCGTAGGAAGGGTTTAATTTTCGGTACAAAGGATCAACGTAGACCCCTGATGACGGAGCATTCTTTTGCGGCCCCGCGAGAGAATAATCCGGCTGGGATCGTTTATCTCCTGACTTTGGAGTTTGCCCTTGCCCCTCGGGTTGGTGCCTTGGTTGTCTGCGAGTCTCCTCAGACGAGGTCTCGGATTGATGGCCGTGCCCGTCTGCCACATCTCTCTCTTCTACCATATTGAGAAGAACCTTGGGTGTGATGCACAGAAGGAGAAGAGTTCAGATGCGTAGACTCTTGACTGATTCCTAGGCTCCTGTCTTCATATACTCTACAGTGACCATAATCCGGGCGCCCCACTTCCTCTGTCTGGTCTGGACGCCGAAGTGACAGGAGCACGATGTGTAACGTGGGACTCATGGTGCTGCTTTCGGTTCTGGTAATCATGGAAAAACGGCTGCTTTCCAAGGTAGCGAGGAATCGCGGGTGACATTGCTCCCAATACCATGTTGAGTTGTGCACCAGATGGGGAATATCGATGATGTCAGCATGATGCCCCGGAGCACAAGCGAAAAAGAGAACGAGAAGGAGAACCAATAGTTATATAAATATAAATATAAATTTGTATATATCTGTTTCTTCTTACGTAGAACTACGAGAAAGACTGCAAGTTGTATCCAGGTAGGCTGTTGTTAAATCTCAGAGAATCCGGGTTAAGGTACCAGCCAATGATCGGAGAGTGCGGATGAGGTTACAAAGGACTCTACGAGAACTTCCTAGGTAGTCTTCTAACCTACGTAGTCACTTGTCAGTTGCGGTACAGACCAGTTATTCCAAGCTCAGCCAGCTGCCAACTGAATCTGGTTTGTCCTGGAAGCTCTGCTTGGATTTGGTGCTCGCTTTGAGCAATGCGTTTTCCAGCGGAATCTCGTGAGGGCTAGCCCCCAAGATGCCACAGGATGCTGCAAATACGAGGGCGAACCACACGGTACAAAGTACTACTTAGTGCTCCCAGGCTCAACAAAGCCCCTACGCAGATCCGCGTATGGGATGCAGAGCCTCTTTACCTTGATACCAAGAATGCCAAGTGTGTCGACCAACTGGGGACCGCTCGAATGACTGCAAATTTCGTGCTACCAACACATTGCGCAAAGGCAACGATGCGACAGGGATTAAAAAGGGTCTTGCGAATGCATCAAGAGAACAACAGTACAAACAGATCTGCTCCCTTGGGGAGGAGTCGTCGACAATATACGCCAAAGCGATACGCCCAGAAAACGCAGAATACACCAGACTCAGGACGTAAAGGCTGTCATGCCGCCGTACTCTAGAACACATCTTCTTGTACCAGGCCTGACGCGAAACTTGGGCTGTGATCCAGACCGGATCGCTGAGGAAGAGTACTCGAGGCATCTGTGCCATTGAGGTTCATCAATGGCCCCAAGTGCTTGCTCCAGTGTATCGCCAAACGGTGGTCCGCAAGACGCTCACACTCCTTGCGGACCGCGACTTCGATGACGGGAGAGTACCTGATGTACTCTCGACTGCTGTGACCGTTGCAGCCCGATGGCATTTTGCACAAAGAAAAAAAGGAGTGGTGGGTGGCGACATTTGACTATCAGAATAATGTCCGAGCGCCTCGCGGATTCTTTTTCCGCCGCCTAGCCCGATTTCTTCCCATGTGGTAGTCACAGTCCAAGAACTGCCCTCTCTCACATCAACAGCTATCTTTTCTTCTCTGATGATCGCTTCTCCTGGTGATCTGATCGAAATATATCGCTGCACCGCCAACGTCGGTCAACTGCCAATCGGTGTCGGGTGCAGAAAACCCATGGGGATTGACGATCTGTGGTAGGAGTAGATGGAAGGAGACAGAACACTGCCTTGTGAGTGGAATAAACTCTCACTCTGGGACTATCACATCCCGTCATAACATTCTAACAGGGCCCTCCCCTGATTGTGTCCCCAGAATCGTCGTCCCTAGCAGACGCAGTTGCTGAACACGAAAGCCAGCTCCATACGTGACGGATGGTCCCACGTCGCTATCGACGGTGTTGGCTATTTGACCGGTCGTCCTCATTTCTCTCGACTAACTTGAACGTTACCCACCCTATAGCACATCCCTAAATCGACCGCATCAGGGATGCTCTTATCGAGAGTGCTAGGACGTTTTGAAGTTCACGTACTGCTTGACCCTTGAAGGTCCTGGCCCCGCCATGCTTCCATATTGGGACTCTTGAGTATGGTGGCTGCTTCGGCAGGAATCTTGACTCTAGCCGCTTTGGCACTGTCCTCAAGCATACGAATCATGATCTGAGCCAGTTGTGCTCGTCTGCTGAAGGCCGCTAAGAACCGACTGAGTTCGACAAAGGCATCCCGTGATTCTGCATTTCCTAAATCCCTTAGCAGGGTGACGAGTCCTGCACAGACAGGTCGAAGCATAGAACCAGGGGCTTGGTCAAGACCGTACGATTGCCGCTCTATGCGTGAACATCTGCCAATTTCTCTGGCTGACTTGATTCGAACTTCCTTCGCATATTGAATCTGAGACGGTTGCAACATTTCCTCGAGTTCTTTGCGTCCGACGAGATCGCCAAATAACGCCATCACTATTTCGTGATACTGCATTCTATCCGATGTTAGCCATGGTGTAGGAGGGAAATGACGGCTCTTATCCTTACTGCAGAACCAATACTTGCGGAACGGGACAATAACCAACATCGAGAATGGTCGGCAGCCTGCTGTGCCATTTCTGCAGTCGAGAATAGAACGCCATAGCGGTATTCCAGCAGACGTCCGTGATAATGGAAGCGTCCCTGTTAAAGAGCCAATCTTGCATGTCAACAAGGATCTCTGACAGATCGGATAATTCAATAAGGATATAACGCAGGAGGGCAGGTTTCTTCGCATAATCAATCTGCGTTGAGCGCGGGTATGGCGTCCACGTGAGGTTGTCGTCCAATTGCTCCCTTGTGTAGGGTCTGGAAGTGGGGGCTTTCATGGCCGCCTGTCTTGATGATGCCAAGGTCATCTGTCTATGGGAATGAGAAGATCCGTTAGTTCCTTTCTTACTGCTCGCGCGTCGGCGTACATACGCATTAAGGATGAAGAGACCACAAGCCGTGAGTGCGCTTGATTGTTCCATGCTCTTCGATCGGGGCCCTTGCCAGATATCTGAGGATAGTTCAGATGCCTGCAATAGCTCAAGATCCTGGGCCATCTGCACGGCTTGTCTCAGCATTAGCCAGCAGAGCTTATCTTTACCCCAAAGATTCAGGCTATGCATCCAGGAGTCAGCTTGGGACTATTTCTCGTGGATGCTAGTAATGATGTTCAGCAACAAAGGAGACTTACGTGGACACCATGAGGATGACGCCCTGGAGATTGGTAAGACTGACTTTTCCGTCTTCTTCCTTCCACAATCTCTCGGCCTCGGCGTGGAAATGTTGGCCCCGAGAGCTGGCATCACCGGGGACGGCAAGTGCCTGCTCAAAATCAGAATACATCTGCGCACAGATCAGAGAATGCTGCAAAAAATGATAGCAAGGCGGTGTCACTCCGTACACATGCTACTGCCAGAAGGCTATTGACGAGGAAAGGAGAACAGAACCGGGAATTCAGATCTCCTGCCATCATATGTGCCAGGAAAAGCTCCTGATCGATAAATTGACAGGAAGGATGACTCCATGTGAAGTAGAGAGAGGCTAAATGGGAGACAAAATGGCTGTCATCGGTCACATCCGTCCATGGCTTGGCCGGTACTTCGAAGAGGGGAACATCACAGAGATCCTGTAGGGTCACGAACTTGCGGCGGGAATATGACTCGGATGATAGACGCTGCATTTGATTAACATGGGCCACGGCCTCTTCGAGGCCTGCTGGAACTTGTGGGTCTGAATGTCCTTTGTCGCGCAGTTGGCGGATGTTCTCTGAAATGGCGGCTGCGATTTCATTTAGCGGTGCGTTACTACGGATCAAATCCAACAGTTGCGCAACCTGGCTCGGCTCTGAGGAACGCAAAGACTCGATGAGGGAATATAAGAGCTCCTTATAATATTCCAGTTCATCTTTGGTGCGTTTGACAGCGATCTTGCGTCTTAGATCGAGCGTCTCGTCGAATATGCACTCCGAATGTGCTCCTTCGCATGCTTTGCATGGCGATGGGCGTCCACTGCACTACACACCAACTCTCAAGTAAGTATACAGTTTGACCATCTTATCTGTGAGGGAACGACTGTCTTTGAACCCGGCGGCAGAGAAGGAATAAACAACGGTGTTTGCCAAAAGCCACGGATATGTCTGTCAATAACAGAATCAGTGCCAAATAGAATGTTTACCTTTCGTTTAGCCTGTTTGCAGGCAAGACATGCGGTCGAATTCTTCTTTGGCCGTGAGGCACTGGCGGCGGACGATGAAACTTCTGTGCGCGGTCCTGGGGCCAGCGTTGGCAGAGATCTTTTTGGATCACCCATCTCCCTAGCACCTTTTCCTTAATCAGTGATCAGTGATCTAATCTGCGGCGGAATGTCCGTTCATGTTCAGGGAAAAAAAAAACACTTTTCGGACTGTAGAGACCTCCTAAGTCTAGCGCTTGCAACGTGTTGACATTGCAGAAGGCTCTTACTTCTCCCTCCGCACAATAGAGAAGCGCTAACGGTGGCGGTAGGGATGCCGGCTTGGAGAAACTGCTGTGACTGCTGGCGGCTTTGTGCTGGACTCACCATTGAGCGAGCCGTATGAAAGCTCGAGGACAATTCAGTACACGCCGCGTGAAGGCGCAGCTGCAGTCGGGATAACAGGATTTCTTCCCCGGGGCATTTTCCAATCACGAGCGGCGAGACAGAGATGGAGATGTGTGTTCGGCAGGCATCTGGTAGGCATCCGGTGGCCGGCGTTGGTACGTCGCGATCGCTGGATTTCACGGTGATGTTTTCCTGAGTTCATGGGCTCCGAACTGGGCTCACAAATTTACGCGTGTATTGGGATCGAGAACGTCCGTCCCCTATCGTCCTGAAGGGGCGACTTGGGTTCCATCAACGCCGTCTATCGGATGGGCCTTTTTGACTAACTAACTACCCCTGCTATGTGGCTCTTATGTCAGCCGTCTGGGAAGGCTGTTTAGACCATTACTCGCCTAGGAGGTGCTTGTGCTTGCTGGCTTGTGTACAAGTAGTGTACCATTATTCCTACCATACTGGTTCTTTGACTGGCACGGGGGATTATTATTATGGTCTATCTGGCTCGGCGGCCTAGGCGCAAAACCGCTTTGCTGAATCCACTATGCTTGCTTTTCTTTTCTTTTATTTTCTTGCCGGGACACGATGGCATTGCATGGGATTAAACTATTGTGTTTTATCCGACAATTCCCTGCTTCGGCGCAGATGACTTTCCAGAGGTCTGATCAGTTCCACAGTATGATATCACACGGGGAATTTGACATCAGTCGTTCCTCCGGAGCGGCAGTTTCAAAACCGGCGTTGAGGATCGCCTTTCCTGGTCTGCGACTGGTAATCCTACACCGCGTCTTACATCCGAATCGCACGGCCCAATGACCACGACCCGTTAGAGGCGCCACTTACACGATCCTTACCGGCAATTACTGGTATTGAAACTCTCCAAGGAGAAGGAGACATGCCATGCGAACATAGCTTGTTGAACATACCAACTCTACCTGCACCTTATTAATATCAACTCTCGTCGGATATTCATACCGGAGCCAGGGTTAAGGATAACTCTGCTCACACGCGAGCGACCCTATGCGGTGGATTTCCTAGTGACCATGAATCTCGCGTTCTCGAATGGGTAACTTAATCCATAAAAGGGCAACCTTGGAATTTCCCCTCCCGCAGATCTTGATAGTCGACTGTGCTCAGTTCCCTCATCGCCGGATTAGGAAAACCGTCAACCGAACCACATTGACTCTTTAGCCGCTATTAGACTCTTATCATCGAACCAAGACAGATACCATAATTTTTGAAGTACGCTAGGAAGGATCCCCATTTCTGTGGATCCATGCCTGCAGTTATGCACTTGCTAGAGACGAAGACCCTACATTGGCATTTGCCTGCCGAAGAGCCTATACAGCCAGTCACAGGGCAGGCAATTAGACAAAATAGGTGCGGTTGCGCTTGCCTTGTACCTGACTCAGCATCCCTATCTGCGTGCAGTCGTGAAAACCCCGCCTAGATGTGCGGCCCTTGCGATGGCTTTAAGAGTCCAGAGCGTTGATCCCGGCTCCATGCATCATCATCGACACGGGTGTGGCAGATCAAAAAGATCGCTCGTATCAGGAATGATTAGGCAAGATTGTGTCTAACCAAAGATAGCCTGACGTTTGTACTAGTGGGCGAGCAGATCATACTACCTGCGTCTTCTGAACATTGTACTCGTAATGTTAGAGGTTCGGTTGGAAAGAGTTGCCGATACAGTTGGAAGCCCGGGATTAACCTTCTTAAGCTCCAAGTTCTTGCTCAAAGACTCTTGGCTTCTGTACTGGTTCGACAAGTTTTGGTTGAGATTGGTCTCTCATCAGTCGCGCCCATCAAAAACGGGAAAGGAAAACCGTGTCAAACACGTCGCCATGATGTCCTTGTCTGTCGGAATACATGTCGTTTCCTGAAATTGCTCAGTTGTCTGCCATCAGGACAATTGACATTTCTTTCTTGCTGCCGGCGAAGATCCTGCAGCGCCCATACGCAAGGAGCAGAGCAAGCTCAAATATATCGACGTAGCTATGAATAAATCCCACCCCACCTGCGTTAACATCGTTTCAGCAAGCTGTTTTGGTGGATGTTCATAGGTAACTAAAGCCCAGATGATCTCTGTGTGCACTGTCAGCAGAATTTAGCGCCGCACGTTCCTGTTTTCTCTCCCTTGACCTATTTAGTCGCGCAGAGCTATAAACATCGTCACGGAGTATGGAGTATGCTCAAACTCAGCGCGAGATTTGCGCAATGGATGGAACTCTCCATGCGGAGGAGACACAGCTGCGGTACATCTGATGTATCGTCTAAATAAGCTACAGATGATATGCAAGCCCGACCGAGGATGACCTTTTAAGGCCTGAGCGGATGATACATCCGCTACTATCACCACGTGGGCTTTGGAAAAAGAATCCGCCTGGCTATCAACACTCGAGTGGCTTCTGCGCCTTGCCTATTTGATATCAGCGTCTTAAATCAATTGCTATCAGGACTTTATGCACCCGGAGGGGCACGTATATCACTTGTTTGAGCGAGATGTAGCATCTTGCCAAGTCGCAAACTGCTGTGGCGGCATGGAATTGGCACCTCGAAAGATGCGGTCGCAATATATGGATCCGATTCGTCGCAATAGAGGAACTTGTGCAATTTTCCTCTATTGATGACAGGAATAAGAGAGAAGTTCACTACGATGGGAACCTCTATAGAAACTAACCAACCTGATAAGCGGTATTTGGCGGTTAGAATCGGCATGCCGCGCTCTACCGGTGGGGACAACTCGAGGGCAAAAATCTTTTCAGATTGCACGTTCCTGAGCCTAGGAACGCTCAATGGCCACGAATTTCGCTCTCGCAGACATCAGAATGAACTGTAATGGCGCTAGAGAATCTCTAAGTGATAAATAGTGGCACAGCTCATGAGATATCACGGCGGACTTAACCTGTCTAAGTAGGTAGCAGACAGATATCGCGGCCGCGGGGGTCGGACCGCGGAAAACGTTATCGATAAACAGAATTTCCGTGGCGAACGGCGCTGTTAAATGTCGAGCCATGGGCCCTCCACGGAAGTGCCGTCTCTGCTGGATGCCAGAAATCTTTTTTAATATCTCTCTGAACGTCTCGTGGGCGCACTGCTCGTTTTGTGACTCGAGTGTATCCTCTGACTCACGACTGGCTGCTCCACTTCTGTCAACGTAGTATTTCGATCCGCCCGCGACGCAGAATCCTTTGTTACTCATTCCACCTGATATCTCGAGGCTGTTGGATATAACTCGAAAAAAAAATGGGTTCGATTGCTCCTACGCTGCCTGATCTGGACGCATCGTCCACCAAGGTCACTCGCTCCACGACCCTCCGCGATGTGCCAAAGCCTGGATCCCCAGAGGAACGCTCTCACTCTTACTGTACGGACCACATGGTCACAGTGAGATGGACCGCTGCAGGAGGATGGGAAACGCCGGAGGTGAAGCCCTTCGCAAACCTGAGCATCCCGCCTACGGCGTCGTGCCTTCACTACGCCACGGAATGCTTCGAGGGCATGAAGGTGTATCGGGGTTATGATGGAAAGCTGCGCCTGTTTCGCCCGGACTGCAATGGCGAGAGACTGGTGTCCAGTTGCAAGAGAGCCTCTCTGCCGGGATTTAACCCGCAACAGCTGAAGCATGTCATTGCAAAAATGCTGCAGGTCGACGGAGGACGTACGTGATGAACTGTCAACGATGGGATATTCAAGATGTGAGAAAATGACTGACAAACTGGTTAGGCTGGCTCCCCAAGACAGAGCCCGGACGTTTCCTCTATCTCAGACCGACGGTTATCGGTAGCGGACCGCAGCTTGGTGTCCAGGTTCCCCAAGAAGCTCTTCTGTTCGTCATTGCGGTCCCATGGCCGAGTCCTGCCACAAAGGGTCTCAAGCTTCTGGCGTCCGAACCAGACAGCATTCGTGCCTGGCCGGGTGGTTTCGGATATGCAAAGCTGGGAGCGAACTATGGTCCTTCTCTCCTTGCCCATGGCAAGGCCCAGTCAATCGGCTTCGACCAGGTGCTGTGGCTTTTCGGACCTGACCGCAACGTTACTGAAGCAGGCGCCAGCAACTTCTTCATTGTCTGGAAGAATAAGGAAACAGGAAAGATTGAGCTTGTGACGCCCACGCTGGACAGCAAGCTCATCCTCCCTGGAGTAACCCGTCGGAGTGTGCTGGAGCTGGCCAGAGCTAAATTGACCAATGCCATCGACGGCCTGGAACCTTTGGAAGTCGTTGAGCGGGAGATTACTATCCAGGATATCGAGGAAGCTTCGAAGGAGGGACGGATTATTGAATCTTTCGTCTCTGGTACTGCCGTAAGTCTTCCCCAGTTGCAAGTATCATTCTCTGTTGATTCGCTCCGTTTACTGACGTTGTGATTGGCTGCAGTACTTCATCACACCTGTCGCCTTGATCAGGAACGGCGATGTCGATATGGAGATGAAAGGAGCCAGTTCCTCCAAGGCTGGATATGCAGACCTCATCCGGACTTGGTTGGAGTCGATCATGTTCGGTAGAGAGGAACACGAGTGGGCCTTCGTTATCGACGAAGAGAGCACGAAATAAGTGGTGGAGAAGACGAAGCGCTTGGCCTCTCAGGTCTCTATCCGAGAGAACCTCGTATCGAGCCATCGAGACCCCGAACACATCCTTTCTTCTTCCCGGCCCGTGTGATCCTCGCCTCCCTTTGCATGGTTGCAGTCACTGCTCTCTCCTTCTTTTGGATCGAGAAAAGTCTGCTCAATAGAGATCGCCGGCGATCAACCGTTTCTCACTTCGCTTTCAGCCACAACAAAATACTCCTTTTTTTTTACTCTTATGCAACATAGACTTAGATCATGGTCATTGAAATGATGAATCTTTCCCTTTTGTTTCGATTCTATAGACGCTCAGGCCCCTATAGACGATCCTTTGTTCAACTGCATGCCATCTAATATAACCGCTAAACACGGGTGAATACAGGACGAGGCTCGGATTTCCAAACAAAAGCAACGTCTGGTTCCGAAGTTCCCCAGAAATTTAACATTTCACAGCCCCATGTGTTCGAGAACAAGTGGATCTCTCTCAGTTAGAACCATAACAAGAGGTCTTGTCCTGGTAAATGACAACAGCCCCTCTTAATAATTAGGTACATAATAACAATGTCAAATGGAGAGGAGAGCAGCTGAACTCTTTTCTTTTCTTTTTCTTTCTTTTTTTTCCCGCTCATCTCTTCGATTGCAATCGATTTCTCGACCAGCGCATCACCCAGAACTAGTTTAGTTAGCGCTGCAACATGGCCGCACCCAGCAATACGAAGTAGAATAAATTCGTTCGTTGACCCGGTTCATTGGTGGATATCCCACATTTCTCGCTACACTGCCCCCTCGGGGGTTTGCCTAGCTGATCTAAGTACTTAGTGGCGTTCAGATTGTTTGCTGAAACAAAATACTTATTAATTGCTTCTTCAACTAACTAGATCATATGAGAGTAGACGTACACAAGTTAGGGGAAGAGGAGGAAGGTCATTGTTTCTATGGAAGTTTGTGAGCTTTGATGCGTCCTAAGCCTGTCTGACCTGGAAGTATGTACTGTATACATAGTTGTTTACTACTACAGTGCTACCATTGACAATGTACCTTACTATTGACCCTTCCTCCCGACATCAACTCTGTACTATCTTATACTTATCGCTGAGAAGTAAAAAGAGCAGAATAGTTACATAGTAATTATTAGTTGGTAATAATCAAATGATGGCCTTAAGCATTACTATTAAAACGAAGGCTTATTCTAATAGATAGAGTATCTATGCTAAGAACTATAGCCCTTGGAATATAGGCCCCCCAAAAAAAAAGAAATAACATTACTATTTAATATTGCGGACTGGCTATGTGCAGGGAAAAAACGAATATGCAATACAATACAATATGTGGGGATAACGCCTTGATAGGTAGATTATTGCAATGGAGGAGATGAAACGCTTCCAATATCATCTGTAATTTTGATCTTATTCTTCTCTTCTTCTCTTTTCGAGCTCTACGTTCTCGTCGTATACCGGTTATGTTCTTGTCGACTGCGACTTCATCTACATTTCCACCCACAACCAGTGCATTCGAATCCACTGCTGTCAAGTTGAGCCCTGTTTGGTCTGACGTGGTTGCAACTTATCTTTTTAAATTGCTTATTTGACGGGGTGTAGGTGTGCATTCTCGGTAGGAGTTTATTGAGTTCGAAAAGGCGTTCTGAGTCTTGATTATGGAAGAGAAATTCAAAAGTCATTCTATTTCTTTATTCTCAGTAATAATACAATTTGTGACTAATTTGGCCGGAAAGGAGTGGGATAATAGCATCAAGCCTGTGTAAGCTCGCCTTCACTTTGAAAACCTTCTGTCCACGATTATGCGCAATCTTTTAGAAATCGAGCAGGTTCCTCGAAAGTGCTACACAAGTGTGACCATTCTCAGGTGGACATTATCAGTGGTTCCAACATCGAAACGATCTTTTCATCGAATGGAATCAGGTCCGAGACCTCATCGTCAGAATAGTTCTCAAGCTCATCAGAACCATCAACAGCCAGAACCTGATATCGGTTGGCAGAACGGTCTGAATTTTCAGATCGTCGGGTGGGTTGCTCCGTCGTACGTTGAAGATCCCCATGTATCGGTCTCGCACACTCATCATGGTAATAGCAGATCTTCATACCCTTGTATATCGTGCGAGACATCAAGCAGGACCGTGCGTACATAGCATTGTGGATCGAATTGGTGGATATGTAGGCGTTTCTTTGATAGAACCTGACGCTCAGTACCACGAGATTATGGATATGGTCCAGTTGCTCGCGGATAAGTGCTTCAGTTATGTTTGGATTGATCCCACATATCAGTATGTTCCGTGATGCACCCTTTCCAATTGCGGCTGCGAGGTAAGAATGAACCTGAAACTGACGGTCGTTCCAAGAAACTTCAATCTAGAAGAGCTGTAGTGAAAATATATTGGAAATGGATGCAAGCAGCTGACTTACGCGTTTTCCCAAAATGTAGATTTTGTACCTCTGTGCGTAGTCCAGAAAACTTTTAGCATCAGCCGCTGTCACAAAGGAGACGCTGGCCGATTTTTCTCGCGGTCTCAAATAAATTTCAAGAAGTGACCCTCCTCGGATGACCTCGACGATCTCACGATGGGAGCAGCGATCTGGCAATTCGCGAAGAACGAGAGTACGGTAATCAGGTTGTGGAGAAGACTGCTGCATATTGGCGAAGCTATCGCTACTGGAGCCATTGCCGTCGGCTCTAAAAGGATTGGTGGCCTTATTTTGACCGTGCCTTGGTGCTCCTTCCAAGAGGTTCTCTATCTGGGAAGAACGGGTTGCTCTGTTCTCGCTCTCCTGAGAGCCCTCGCTCTTCTCACTGGGTCGTGGGCAATTATGGCTAGGAAGGGTAGCCATTTGAGGGGCGTCACCGGGCTCTTCGATCAATACCTATAATAGGATCAATATTGATACGTTAGTGTGATGGGATACCGGTTTCTCACATCAAGAGTCTCTTGGGACAGGCCACCGTTAAGCAGTGATGCTCTCAAATTACCTGGACATCATGTCAATAGACTGACTCCTCACCCGCAGCGCTTCTCTTCTCGTGATGCAGCTGAGCATGCCAAACATACTGTATTCATGAGCCAAGCGTAACTAAGGAACATAAGCTGGTTTAGTTCTGTGTCATTCAACTGGATGTGGTATGATAAAAGTCCGCTCACCAGATCTTCATACTCAGACTTCGTGATGGTAACATTGTCAGGGGTGGGAGCCCTAGAGTCGTCAGGCTATGAGAAATGTGAGTATGGCTAATATAAGTACAGAGCACTCCATGCAGAAAGGGAATAGAGCCGGTAGTAGTAAGGCAGACTCACGGATAACATTCTGAGAGCAAGTATACACAGGTTAGCGCATTGATACGGCAGAGGTAGATCTTGGGACAGTAGAGCTGTAAACCCGTGTATCCTAGAGGAACCAGGGACCAGAGAATACAGCGCTTCTCAGGGACTTCTGTGATGGAAAGATGTGCACATGTATGAAAGACTCACATCAAATCCGACCCCTCTGTCGAGTCATCCCAGATGCGTCGTCGCGAAGACATGTCTGCTCCTATTTTCAGCTTTCGAGTAGCAGGGAGACAAACGGTAGAGCATAAGAACGTCTGGTTTGTCGAATAAATCGTCGTAGGGAGATGTCACAAAGGAAGGGCAGCAAGCCATCAACAACAACACTTCGCGTCTGGAAGCGGGGGGTGCATAAAGTGATCACAACAACCACGGGCGGCCTCCTGCCAGACGAATATTTTGGCTAAGATTCGGAATAGCAGTCCAAAGGAACTATAATCAAGAAGAGAAGAAAGATCTTGTACCTATCTGTCGTGTATGAGAAGTGCCATATTAGGAAGGTGCAGAATGCAATAGTAGCGTCCGATAAAATGGGCATAATACGCATTCATACGACCTCTCAATCCACTACCAAGCTGCATAAATAAATGACAGCTTCCTTACCTGAGCTGATCGATTGATGAACCAGCAATGTCCCTCATATCTTAAATGGCATTCATATGCAATGTCGCTGTGGAGCGATGGACTACTAAGTGGCAAGGAAAAAGATTCAAGGCACGGGTTGTAATAGATATAATTGATTCCTCACTCGTTTACTTTTGTGAAAATCTCTCTGCTAATACTCCGCAGTACTGCTAGCAATAGCGCTGCGCTATGAACGGGGAGATAGAGAGAAGGGTAGCACATGATGCTAGCCCAGAGTGCCTCTATCCCCTCCAGTCACATATAGACTGCCTTTTCCATGACTTCCATCCGTATGAAGGTTGAGGGAAGTAGTGGTCTAATTAATAATGTGGCACTCTTCGTTACTGCTGCAGGCCAGGACTCGTTTGGCATGATAGCCCTCAATATAACCTGGCTAGACAAGAATCGCAGAAATCAGTGCGTAGTCTTCTCGAGGATTGTCTTCAACATCTCGTTTCCAACACGGACAGCTTCTGGGAATCGTGGAGCAAAGTAGCTCTGGATGCGCTCGAACCGGTCTTTGTAAGAGCCGAAATCTCCGAAGGAAACGCAGTCGGACCACGCCTGAGAGAAGATGGTATAGTTAGTAAGATGGTCAATGGGATAATAGTGGAACAACTGTGCAGTAAGATTTCCATCCCGAGACTGGGAAAGAACTAATAAACTCGCTGACTTACCCGAGCTGCGAACGTAAATTCCAAGTCATCAGACCGGAATGTGTTGTCATCAATTGCAATGTCCAAGACCTCGTCGAGGAGATCAGGGTTACGGAAGAGATACTCCGTCACTCCAAGCCAGAGTCGGAAAAGCTTGATACTGTCAGTGCTTCCTTGGTAGAAGAGGTTAACAAAGAGGGGAGGACACATACCGGTGTTGAACAGATCATATGGTCATAGGGAACGATGCCCAGCTTCGACCAGCAGTCCACGATGGCTAGCAGACTAAGATGGTTATTCGGAGGAGCCTTCTCACGGGATACCTTGGAAAGAGAGAATCGATCAAGAACTTCATCCTTTAACAGCAGATCTTGTCCTTCAGTGCCGGCTTTAAAAACTGCTGCGCCTGCTGCTTTCACACGCCGTTTCAGTTCTTCTCTGTGACCGCCAATCATCAACTTGTAGAGATCGGTCACTGATTCGGCATATTGTCTGATCTGTTTTTTGGCCGACGGATTAAGGATAGCCAAACCGGCGTAAACATGCCACTTATTCGCATAGATACGTAACGTGATATTGATCTTGACGTTTTCAATACCTCCAACCCAACGGTTGATTTCCCAGGGGAACTGGTTGTTTGCCGCCCAAGCAGTACCCATACTGAGGAAAGCAGCATGTGTAACAGCCTGCGTGTCTGCCGTTATCCGGTCGTGCATCTCACCAGTGAGATAGACATACTTCGACTCAAATGACGAGAACACTTGTTCAACAAATCTGAGGCTTTTGTCCGTAGCTCGATGCTGGATGAGTACCTAGCAGACGAAACGTTATCAGACGATCTTGCCCGGGGATATCTGTGAGGTAAGCTCCTACCAGAGGCTGGCCTTTGGGATTAACATTAGGGCCATGCAGAGAATGGCATGAGAGGATCTCTACGTCGGGGGGCAAATGTTTATCGAATGCCGCTAACTCTGGCGCTTTGCAGGATGTCTGGCCGCCAACGATGGCACCGACCTTCGTTGCTTTCCGGGGGTCAGATACAGAAAGTTGAAGGAGATAGCTATCATCCGGGGCAACATACATGGCCCATACTCGGCGACTACTTTGTCAATAGCACCGGCCTCTACGCTGTAAATAATATAATCGCTAATTCTTGACACCAGGTGCCCATTTGGATATATGGTGATATCTTGCTACATACAATGAGTTTCCGACGGAGAAACAATGGCGGTCAACGTACTTGGGATCCAGAGAATTCGTCTTTCAGGGCCTGATAATTATCCGGCCTATCACAGGCGTTGATTCTTCAAGAATACTATTAGCAGGGATCGCTATTTACCGTGAACCGTATCAAAAAAGTTCCTGCCTGCTGCATCTCGGGTTAGCACCAGAGTAATAAGAAGGTAGAGTGTTCCAAATGATCAAAGGTGAAATGAAGATGTCAGAAAAAGATAGTAAGGTAGCGTGGTTTTTACATCATTGACGACCTGTCAGCTGACTTCCAGCGCCAGAATGGCAAGGAAGCCAACTGCCAGGCCATGCTCGAGCCAAATGCACTCTAGTCATCATGCAAGGGAGTCTGGAGGGGAAAGCGGTTCGGAGAGAATGGAGGATGCCTTACCATGAAAACAGAAACTCGGTCCCATGACTCATAAGAGACGACAAGGGGGGTAAGTTACCTCCAACCCGCCTTGCTCAAAAGACGAGCATACATCTTCCCCATGTCACCCATCCCGATGATGCCAATGGAGGCATTGCTCTTGTTGAGATCCATGCTGGACCAGGATTGCTCTGTTATCAGATCTGTGAGTGTGTGAGTCCGCCAAAAATGTCGAGAAGGTGACACCGTTAGAAGGAAAGCAAGCGGTCGACATATGACCTGACAAATGCGATCCTCCAAACAGTGCTCCTTAGGATCAAGGTCGCCAGCAAGAAAGAATTCTTGCTGGACCTGGATAATTGACAAAGATGGAAGACGGAGATGCCAGAGATCGCGGACGCTGAAGAAATAGGTCGCAATTCCTGCCAGCGCTAGTCCATTTCCACGCATCGTTCCCCGGGCCGACTCGGAACCGAGCCACCAAATTGATTGATACCTGACAAGTCAGGCAGCATCAGGCAGCAGCTCGCTTCCTTCTGGTCCGTGCGGCCTCACCGGCCACGATGAGCCAATCATCGTTTTTGAAGGAAATTCTAGGGCACACACGGCGGGTTTTCGGCGTGCGAGTCTACAGTCGTCGTCGCATCGTGAGAGCTTCATTTTGTTCCTTTCTCTCTCCATATTCCATCCACACAGACCCCGGTCCACCACAGTCACAAGATGCCTCCCAAGAAGACCACCCCCGCGAAGGAGAACGTCTCTCTCGGCCCTCTGGCCGGAGATGGTATGTTTCCTGGTCCATTTGCGATGAGATGAGGGCGAAAAATTAACGTGAACCAGGCAAGCTCGTTTTCGGCGTTGCCCGTATCTTCGCCTCCTTCAACGACACCTTCGTCCACGTTACCGATCTGAGGTTCGTCTTCTTTTTCATAGTATTATGCCATTTCGAGTTGGGATTAGTTGGGGGTTGCAATAGATGGATGCGGTCTTGATAGAAGGATATGTGAAGACTAACATGGATTGCAGTGGTCGCGAAACCATCACCCGTGTCACCGGTGGTATGAAGGTCAAGGCTGACCGTGACGAGTCCTCTCCCTACGCTGCCATGTTGGCTGCTCAGGATGTTGCTGCTCGTTGCAAGGAGCTTGGCATCAACGCCCTCCACATCAAGATCCGTGCCACTGGTGGTAAGTTCGCATCTCAACATTTTATCAATCAAGACAGTCTCTAATAACATCATCCAGGTAACGGCACCAAGACCCCCGGACCCGGTGCCCAGTCTGCTCTCCGTGCTCTTGCCCGTTCCGGTATGCGCATTGGAAGAATCGAGGACGTGACCCCCACGCCCTCCGACTCTACCCGCCGCAAGGGTGGTCGCCGTGGTCGTCGTCTGTAAACATGTGCGCTACACTTCATCAAGCACCTTCTGTATCTCTATTACAGTTGGTCCTTGGTCGGATTGGAGGGTACATGCGGGCTGCGCCTGCGAATGTGGATGGAATAAACGCGAAGAACGGCATTTTCGCCTGGTCTTCTCTTTTCCTTTTCCAAAAGGTCTATTCTCAGTTTTGGGCATTCTGTAGCTTGCCTGTATGACACCAGCTATATGAACGATTAATGAAGAACTGAACTGAGAGCAAAACATTTCTCCTCTCGTAGATTCATTAACTAAATGACAAATTTCTAGCGAATCAACACAGTATCAAATATACTCTCAGCAAATTATAATAGCAATTGTAGCTGAACGCCGTTGTTGCGTTGCGAACCTGCATATCAATTCGACCCCGCGGAGCTGGCTAGAAATTTCTTGACCAAATTCGGAAATGCAACATGATGTAACTGCATCGCGGGAAGCTCTGCAGAAATCACCATCGTCGCAAACAAGAGCACAACCATAATCTTGTGAAATTTACGACCTCTTTTGGTAGACTACTTACTATACGCCATAATATCCCAAGTCCCAATCCACCCCCCCGGAAGCCGACTGTCTCTACTTAAGCTACTTACTTTCAGACCCCGCAAATTTCGCAACATTTTCCACCGCCTCAGTTCAATCATCAATGAGGGACAATACATCACCCACGAGAACAACCCCCGGCTCATAAAGAGCTAAACAAGAATACACACAGAATCTACACACCTCCTAAACATACGACATAACACAATGCCTCCCCAATCCTCACCACTTCCAACACCAACGATCCTTCTTCCTGGCCTTCCGCCAAAAACCCTCGTCGGCATCGACCTACTCTCATTCACCTCCACTGCCAATTTCCACGGTATTCGCGACTTACCTGAAGGATGGCACTTTCTCTACACCGGGACGACGGAGAGCTTTTCCCTTCGGTGTGGAGGATGGTTTTATATCGGAGATATTCAATCCGCTACTACTACTGGTGCAGCCTCGACAGCTCTGACTCGGCGGAGGTTAGGTGGCGCGGACGCGACGGAGATTCGTGTCTGGAAGTGGAATCAAGATGTTGAAGCTCTAGTGCCTATAATCGGAGAGAGTAGTGAAGAGAAACAAGAGGCGATGCGATATAAAGCGAATCTCAGCGCGATCTGGCAGAGCGGGGGTCTATTTCGGTATCGGAGTCGGATATCCTCTACGGCGGCGGGGGGACGGGAGGAGGATCGGGATTTGGATGATGAGGATAATCAGAAGGAAGGGAGGAGCGATTGGGTTGGATTGACGGGGAATATTTCGCCGCAGTTACTGTCGCGTATTCTGGGAGATCCGGAGGTTGATGTTGATGGGAAGCCGAGATGGACGGTGACGTCTGGGAGTACGGCGCAGAGGGATGCGGATCAGATTCCGGGGCTGACGTCTCGAGAAGCTGCTGGAATTACTGCGGAGCAAGAGAAAGATTTGCGGTTTTTGCCTGTGGATTTGAAGCGGACGTGGCGTGAGGGTGCTATTGGGAGGGAAAGGACAGAAGCTGCTCAGGATCGATCATGGGCGTTGGGCGATCTTGTACGGAGGGTCGCGCAGGACGGAGATGAGCAGATGGGAGAGAGGCAGGTTCTGGGTGAACTGCAGTTTACGTTTCTTATGGTTCTGACACTGATGAATTATTCGTGTCTCGAACAATGGAAGAGACTGCTGAGCTTGATATTCACATGTCGAGCTGCCGTGACTGCACGGGAGGGATTCTTTACGGATGTGCTACGACTCCTACGGTTACAATTGAAGCGTTGCGACGATGTGGAAGGGGGTTTATTCGAGATGGATGGGGAAAATGGCGCCGAATTCCTCATCAAGCTACTCACGGGCTTCAAACGGACGGTGGATGAACTAAGCGATGGCGTCGGTTTTGCAGTCAAGTTTGAACTGAAGGTATTCGAGAAATGGGTCAAGGAGGAATTCAACTGGGAGCTTAAAAAGGAGGCCATTGTCAAGAGAGGCATGCTTGAGTTGGAAGATGGAGAGCGGGTGGAGATGGAGATGAACGATGCCGACGAAGAGGACGAGACGGGCGAATATGCACCTGTGATCGTCGATCTGGGCGAGAGGGAAGGCAGTTCATCTCTGGAGCTAGATATGAAGGATTAATGAGTAATGAATCAAATCAGAAAGCACATATGCTGCGGCGCTCTGGGAAGCTGCATGAATAGTTTCATCGTCATTGAGAGGCTGTGTTGGTCACACATGATATCAAATTTCGGAGAATCATAGTAGCTGTGTCCTAACCCATTTCAAAAAGACCCACCCAACCATGCGAACGCTGGAATATCGGGGCTTTTTTTCGGAACAAAAAGATGAAATGAGTAAAGAAAAGTTGTTTATTTCAGAGACCTGGCCTAGTCTACCACCAGTTGAGAAACAAGCCGGTATCCCACACATGATGGCCACAACCACATGCGATTTTTCTCCCATTTCATTTTTTCCCTTTCCCCCGCATGAACGAAGAAAGAAACAACCAGAACCGCCAAACAGCACCCTTTTTGCCTGACTGGTAGCCGTTTAACGGTAGGATTTCTGGTAGCGGGCACGGGCACCGGGACCGCCGAACTTCTTGGGCTCTGCCCGACGGTTGTCGGCAACGAGCAGTGTGCGGTCGTACTGTACAAGAGCCTGCTTGAGCTGGTTCTTGGAGTGCTCGTCAACGTACTTCTGGTAGTAGGCGACGATGGACTTGGCGATGGCCTGGCGGATGGCGTAGATCTGAGAGACGTGACCACCACCGGTAACGCGGACGCGGATGTCGACACCGGCGAACTTGTCGAGGCCGACAATCAGAAGAGGCTCGTAGACCTATATATTTGATGATCTGTCAGAGACAACCGTATCCTTCACTGATCGCAACGAAGACGATCGTCGCTTTCCGGGTATAGCTGATAAAAGGATTCGTCGTACCTTGAAGCGGAGGATCTCGGGCTGAACGAGCGAGAGGGGCTGGCCGTTAACCTTGATGAGGCCCTTGCCTGCCTGTTGTTCTCAAGTCTCAGCATTTTGTTCATTCATTTTCCATATTGTCCATGCCAATCTCTCTTCTCTCAATTCCAAATCCTCTCTCATTCTCCCATATTCCATCTCCAAATATTCGATTCCAAGGGAAACAGTCCATCCGTACCTTGCAGTGGGCGACGGCAGTAGCTATAATTTAAAATCCTCCAGTCAGTAAATTTATTCCAGACCCAACAACTTCCAAAACAATCTCGCGCATCAAAACTCACCCGTCTTCTTCTTGCCGAAGCATTGCACACTCTGGGTAGAAGCCATGGTGGGTATGGATGGCTTTTGCCGGGTGTCGAGAAGGGGAGTGTGCGAAGGGGTGGTGTCGTTGTCGTCGTCGCAAGTCTTCCAACTCGATTCGAGGTGTAAAATCCCAAGGTGAGTTGCGGGTGTGCGGGCTTTCGCTTAGTGTGCGCGCTAGTGCTACCTAGGGCTTTCGTTCCGCTCGTTGAGAACCTGAGGCTGCCATATCTTAGGTAGTCCGAGCATGTCACGTGAAGTAGGCGCCCGGTCGGACGAGCCAGAATCTCCGAATAGGAAAGTTCGGAGAAAACACAGGTGATGAGCTTTGGTTGTTGGTCGACTGTTCCCCCGTTGATACCCAAGCTTTCGGCCGTCGACGCGGTTCGATTGTCTATTTGATTCTTTCTTCGTTTCGTTCTACCTCACTTTGCTTTCCAGGGTTCAATCCCCTCCTGAGTCTTCAAGATGTCGCAGACCGTCGGAAAGGTAAAGGAATTCAATATCATATCTCTCCCCAATCCGCCAATTCCATACATGCCAACTGACCATGTCCTTTTTTTCCCTCCTTAGACTCGTCTCGCATACTCTCGCGCCTGGCACTATGTCGACGTCGGATCTGACCCTCGATCTCTCGGCCGTCTAGCCTCCTCCATCGCCATCCACCTGATGGGCAAACACAAGCCGATCTACGACCCCTCCACAGACTGCGGTGACTATGTTGTTGCTGTCGGATGCCACGACCTGCGGGTGACGGGCAAGAAGAAACTGCAGAAGAAGTACTACACGCACACGACCCGGCCCGGTAGCTTGAAGAGCATGACGATGGACAAGATGTTTGAGAAGTGGGGAGGCGGAGAGGTCCTGAAGCGCGCTGTTAGGGGCATGTTGCCGAAGAACAGGCTTCGGGATCAGAGATTGGCTAGATTGAAGAGTGAGTGCAATGGTTATTCTTCTTTTCTTTGGCGGGGGGATGTATAAGTCCATATGGGTATTATCAGGCTTTCTAGTCGACGTCTGAAACCTTCCGGAAGTTGGCTTTGATATATACTTTTGATGAGACATGCTTGGAATCTTGATTTATATACCCTGAATGGTTGATGGCTAACGCATCTATAGCCTTCGAAGGTCTCGCGCACCCCTACAAGGAGAATATCGTGAAGATCGGTAATCAGCCCGTGATTGGACAGCTGCCCGAGGTGCAGCAAGCGTTCGAGAAGGCCAAGGAAGAGTCGTCACCATGAAAAATCTTTCTACGGTCGGATCTATGTAATTTATTCATGTTCATCTTTTTCCTTTCCTTTCTTTTTTTCACCTTCAAGCTCGCAGCGCATGGGTGTGGAGTCCGTCGGGATTTTGAAATGCAAATGCTATTTTGGCATGGTGTCAACTGAGCTTGCTCCTCCTTCCAGTGGTTTAGGAGGGAAGCCTCATTTTCTACGGGGTAGAACACGTTCTTCTGATGAATCCAGTCTTTTTCATTATGTATCATAAAAAGGAACAGATAAAGATCTCAAATGCTAGAATCAAAATGCCCTACGCCGCTTTATGTTCCATGCAGACGCTGCAACTACCGTCATACGCCTTTCTGGCCACTACCGGACCGTCTAGATGTCTCTAGTATGCGATTACAGTTTTGCGTTTTCTCGCTTCTCGCCAGATCGCGCGACGCTGCACTTGATCAGACCATTAGGGTTGGTTTGCGGGGCATATACTTCGGCATCCTTGCCGGTGTTCTTCAGACCCTTGTGCCAGCTGAGATCTATAGACACAAGTTCGATTAGTATCCGGTCATCTGCAGAGGCAGAGTAATCGACCACTTACCAACTTCAAAGTAGTGCTTGTTGGGCAGAGAATACTCGACCGTCTCGACCAGCGGGACAGCCGCGAGGATCTTCTCTGCCATGTTATACATAGTCGCCTGTACACTGGCGCTGTTTTCCTCCGCGAAGGTCTTGAGGGTGATATCCCGCGCAGCAGTCCATGCCTCGTCGAATTTGGGAATCTCAGCTCGGACGGCAGCGAGGTTCTCAAAGAGCTTCCAGTCCCAGCTGGCGTCAACTTCCGTGCTGAGGATCCGATCCCATGTCTCCGGAAGAGTGGTGTACTCGTCGCGGATAAAGCCCCAGAACTGGGAATTGGTGCTCTTGAGAACCAGAAGGCCCGCGATGGCGGATTTGATCTGAATGCCCTTGCCTTCGGTGACGTCGACCTGGACGTTGCGTGTTTCGTTGCCGTCGCGGAGGAAGGAGTGCGGATGTGGTTGGCCGTCAATGGTCATGCGGGTCCAGCGGTGCGTAACGACGTTGACGTGAGCAGTGTGGACGTGGGCATATCTCTCGATAAAGTGAGTGCCCAGAATGGACCCAAATAGCTCTGGGGGAGTGACGGGATTCTGCTTTGCGAGGATGTAGATAGTGTTCTTGATCGTGTCTGTGGCTACGATCACGCTGTTGTCGGCCGCTGTGTATCTATAGAGGGGAGGGGCATGTTAGATGTCTCTCGTTGCGCGCTGGATATTGTCAATTTCAACTTACGAGGCGTCAATCTCCCCCTCCAGCAGCACACACACAGTCATCTCGACCACCGTGTGCACCCCTGTCTCCTGGTCACGGTGCACCTTGTACACACGGACGTTATCTTTCCCATAGCGGGCCGATGCAAGTCTGGCAGTCATGACGAACAGCAGGGTAACGGAGTCAAGTGGGAGAGAAGGAAGCCAAGTCTATCTATCGTGACCTCGAGAGGGAGCAGAGAAGAAAGTAATGTCAAGACGCTGCTTGAATGAATTGTCTACCACAGTCTCCAGAGTATGTGTTCGTTGGGGGGAGCTGGTTCTCTTATAAGGGTGGCTTATCAAGCTGCGGAAGCTCCCAAGACCGGATAACGCGCAGGTCACCGGAGACGAGCGGACAGCAGAAACAGCAGGGGGAAAGACTGTCCTCGAATATGCCTGGGGTAACTAACTATGACTACTACTGGATACTGAGTAACACGGGAAACTGCCAGTAGTGAAGCTCTCCAGGCCAGAAGCCAAAGAGCCCGATCCCCGAAGCTGACAGGAGCAGGACAAGACAAGACAGGCATCGGGCAGCTCCGAAGCCCGCAAGAAGGGCCTGGTGACGGCCGGCGGGCAGGGCTGGCAGGGAGCACGTTGGTTGGTGCCCGTGCTGGCGGTGGATCGGCGGCACGCTAACCAAAGGCTTTCAGAGCGAGATCGCTTGGGCGGGTCCAGGCACGGGCATCTTATCAGTCCGTCCCCTCTCGAATGAGTTATTCACGCCTGTCATCTCGATATGTATGTACGGTAATTAATCAATCAATCAACTAACAATGGCTTCATTCTATTATTCTATTATTCTTCCACCGGGATTTGGATTGGGATCTCTCTCTGGATCGACAGCAAAAGTTCTTCAAAACACTGCTCTTGACTCCTCTCAGCAGACACGGGTGGCTCCGTCTCGGCCGTCTCTCACCCCGCAACCGTGGGACGTCCCGCCATAACGTCTGATTCCCTTAAGTAATCTATATATCACGTTTGTTCATCCCTCCAGGAAAGTTTCTATCTATATCCTCGACCGGTGTTTGAGACTCTTGAGACCCTCGCGCATTCGGATTCTGGTTGACACGTATTCTATAGCAGTTCTCATTGCATCCATTCGCGACTCGAGTACCTATCATCAGCAGAAAAATGGCTGGAAAACACTGCAAGACCACATCTGCAGTAAGACCGCAGTGCATGTCGTAATTACATTTGTTGATGGAGCACCCCTTGACTCTGGACGCTTCTCATCCCGCGGCGTGCGTCGTCTGTTGGTCTGTTGGTTGTTCGTTCTCCCACGAGTCAGGCTGCAGAGACCCCCCTGGGAGTTCAATCTCGCTCCGAGAAGACGACATTGGGAAATAACCCACCATCCTGCCATCCACGACATTCCTGCAGAGGATAATAATGGTACCTTTGGAGGACATTGGTGGACAGTAGTAGTTCCCACCGGCCAGGACCCTTCTTTCATGCTGGTCATGGCTTGAACGGGGATCCTCGGACCGTCTGGAGCGAATCCGCACCCAGCTCCTGTCATGGCCGGCGACGATGGATGCCAGACCTTCCGTCGTCGTACCACTTCGCTATCCCCGTCCAGGCGGAGTAGGGCGAATTTCCGTTCGGGATCCTTTGGGACTCGCTTTCTCCCATGTGACGATGTGGTAGCCTCCGTGAAGGGTCAAAGATGCTGTGACCGGTTACCTCCGACGCACGTTACCTATTACTGCTCACATTAGTCCCCGTAGCTTCTTATTATTATCCTGAAGAAGATCTTAGACAGCCAATTTCGCGCCAGTAAATTGGTAAATAATCAGTCAGACCGTCCTTCCATTGGGAAAGGGGCCATGCAGAAGTTGATATCCGTTTGCTGCTTAATAGATCCACCATCGAGAGAACAAAAATGCCTCGAATTCTGGTCATCTGGAGTAAAGGACGACCTGGGACTTGTTCATGCCTGCGTCTGACAAGATGTCGCAGAGAAGTCCGTTATGAGAAAGCCTGAGGCATTCTTAGACATGTCTTAGTCAGCCTCACCAACGCGCCAAGGACAACTCCAGGGCGGAGAAGAGCGAAGAGCGATACGCCAACCAGAGAGGACAAACCAGCTGCTAGACTGCCTGCGTGTTGCTTGCGAGGTTGAAACATCTCTTTGAGATATCCTCGATCCTATCCCTTTGCTCATCACCGTGGTATTCCAGAGGAGGGACGTGTCGAGGGCCGTACCACTCGTTGTCAGCCAGCACTTCCCCTCCTTCGTAGAGGCGCCGCATCCCGACTCACCGATCGTGTCCCTGACATCGAATCCGCTCCCTTCGGCGCTCGTGAAGCCCTGCAGCTGAAACTGCCCGCGGTAGACACCCCGTTCGTTATATACGAGCTCAATGCGACATCCCGACTTCCGATCCATGTGCGGGAAGTGATACACGGGTCGATCCTAGATGGAGATCCATGGCGTCCGGTTATAACCTAGGGTCCTCGGGGGCACCATCCCAACACCGTGGGGTGGATGGACGGTCATTATCAAGTCATGAAGGCTCTGCTGATGGGAGCTGGACGGAGACGGCCTCGCGGGGAAACCGAAATGGACGTTCTGGCTCTGGAGGCAGCAGCAGCATCGGTCCGCGAGGTACCTCGCTTACTCCATCCCTCCCTCCACCTGGCAGTTTCAGCTCGGATTTGAAGAGTATGAGCACGTCGCGGAGTACGACGCCACGACAAGAAGTGTTGTTCCCCAGGCAGGGTAATAATACCATCGAGGAGGATGAGGTTACCGGCACAGAAGAACGGCAGGCAGTTCTTAGGGACAAGATTGCAAAAGAAATGAAGATCAAAACAGGCACAGAGAATATGTTGGAGGCATTGCTGGCCAAGAATCCAAAGCAGACAAAGGACCAGCGAATGAAGGTCGAGTCGGAGTTGAGTTCGGCAAACCGCAAGCTCGCGGAGCTCCATCATGAGCTGGAAGAGGAATTGTTGCGTGCACAGGTGCCATCGACACCACCCCGAAATCGTATCTCTACATTATTTCGGGGCAGTCCCCTACGGTCCCCTTCTCGACAGGTGGACGTCGCCGATGAGGACCAGATAGAGGCTGACGGGGAGACGGAGTCGCCTACGTACGTCCTCTCGGAGACTCTCCAGGCTCTGGAGATCGAGGGGATGTCGCCAGATTATTACGTGGAGAGGGCGAATAGCTTGGTGGAACTATTCAGACGATATCCAACGCTTAAATACGATTTGGCATGGTCAGTATTTGGATTGCGGGTGCAGGTGATGCTCCTGAGCGATAGCAGAGAGGTCATTGCGGCGGGGTACCGATTGACTCGCTATGCCATTGCGGATCGCAAGTCGATCCAGATCATAAGGTCATTACACACAGACGAGTTGGTCATGCTTTCTCTTGTCAAAGAATCAAAGGCTAGCATGGAACGCGAGCAGGCCTTGAAATTCGTGAGAGCTTTTCTAGATGTCAAAGATGGAGTTCGCGAGATATCCCTCGCGGTCCTTAGGACCATCGTCTCTGTCGCGGAGCATCATGAGGACCGCTTGAAGAATATCACCCTGATGACTCTTGCGGAAATCTTGGTTAAAGACCCAGAGTTGCTCTTCAGCGCCGGTGGCTATGGTCCTCTGAACGACGCCCTTGCTGAAGGGACCTTTGGTGCATCGGAGAGTCTAATGGCCAGCTTTTTGCACATACTCGATCGACCGCAGAGCAGAAAGTACCTTCGAGGTGGTTGCGAGCTAGAATCGGTCCTCACTCCTTTCACTGATTCGATAGCGGATAATATCCGTAATGGACGACTCAAATCTTCTGCAAGAGCCATCTCGGCCATGCTGAAGACCTGGCCAGGATTGCTGACACTGGCCAAGGATCGAGGCAGACCTCTCCGTTCCCTCCTGGAATCCTTACATTATCCCGATCCCCAGGCTAGGGATCTCATTATGGAGCTTCTGTTCGATGCTTTACGTATCAAACCTCCTTCATGGTCGTCGTCTTTCCTAGCTGGCAGAAGGCTTACCACTTATGGTCGAGTATCCAACCTCAGGTCGGAAACCGACACCAAGCAACTGCGTGCCTTCTATGATAAAGAGAGCAACCGGTTTGACCTCACAGCTCATTTCTCGGCTCTCATACTGGCAACCCTGCTGGATGCCGGGCTAGTCACGGTAATGGACATCGCAGCTCATCTTGCTATTACATTTACTAATCATTCTGCAGGCTCTCTCCGACCTTATTGAAGATGAGACGGACCTATCACTGAAGCGAAAGGCTACCTTGCTCCTCACCGAAGTCCTTAAACTTGCGCATCACTCGCTCCCTCGGTCGATCAGCGCTGGCCTCCAAGTACTTCCCCATCTACTTCCGGCTGCTGTCAACTTCAACTCCGACAAGCATGACATTTCCACATCAACTATCTACCAGATAGAAAGTATCAACCGCACTCTCACCAAGTCCGGCGGTTTCTCGACAGAGTCGGGCAGATATGCTGTGGATGCAGATATATCAGCTTCGCTGCTGTCGGGGGAACAGGCTAAAAATAAGCTGAGTGCCACAATGGACGAAACGCAGTTCCGCAATTTGATTCTAGAGACCCACGTCCTGAATACGGTCAACTACGTTAAATGGAAGTGGGATTTGATCCACCGTATCGTCGAAGGCCCCCTCACGAATCCGAAAAGACTAGACGAGGCTATCAAAGGATCCAAGTTCATGAAGCGGCTAATTGGATTCTATCGACCCTTCAAATATAGGTTCTCCATGATTCCAAACACAAAGCCCAATTTGCGTTACATACGGACGGGCTGTGCTCTAATGCGGACGCTAGTGCAGAGCGCGGAAGGATCGAAATATCTGGCCGAAAATAAGTTGTTGAGGCAAATCGCGGAATGCCTAGCTCAAGTGGATCGAATGAGCGGATTGACTTCGTCTTCGCCGTTATTTTCAAGGGATCAGATGTCAAATACACTGAGCGGTGGCTATTTCGCTTTACTGGGAACTCTAAGTTCCGATAGCAACGGACTGGCCATGATGGAGAGATGGCACATGCATAACATGTTCTATCATATAATAGAACTGAAGGATCGAAACGACTTGATCCAAGCGCTCCTTGGAAATATGGACTTCAGCCTTGAGAGCCACCTCAGAGTCATATTATCCAAGGCCCTTACCACATGCTCGAAGGATATCCGTATCTTTGCAACCAGGTTCCTCCGGAAATATGCCGTAGGCAATTCCTCACTTTCACCAAGCGGTACGGGAATAGGAAATGCCGACTGGGTCGTGAAACTGCTCGTTACGCAGCTCTATGATCCAGATGTTGCGGTTTGCCAGGTTGCCGTCAAGATTCTTGAGGAGGCTTGCAATCAGCGCGACTATCTTGAGTACGTAGTCAGATGTCGACCTTCTCTCGACCATCTTGGCGAAATCGGTGCACCTCTCCTTCTGCGCTTCCTTTCAACCTCTGTAGGATATCACTACCTTGACGGTCTTGATTACATTACCCAGGAAATGGACGACTGGTTTCTGGGTCGAAACGATGCTTACGTGGGGCTTGTTGAGGCCTCCTTATCCCGAGCTTACGTCGACCAGCCTCGCAGGAACAGCTTTGTAGGTGACGATCTCGTTGAAATGCAAGACATCGGTCTTCTTCCCCCTCATTTCTATAGGGAACTTGCTCGCACCACTGAGGGCTGCAGGCTCTTGGAGCAGTCTGGGCATTTCAACGAATTTGCATCCACGATACGAGATTTCGAGTTGACAGAAGAGGACCCCGAGCTGCTGCTGAAAGTAAAAGGCTGTCTCTGGGCGGTGGGTAACGTCGGATCGATGGAGCTGGGAGCATCCTTCCTCGAAGAAACGGATATCGTAAAGGATATTGTCAAGATTGCTGAAGAAGCAGAGGTCTTGACCATGCGAGGAACAGCATTCTTTGTCCTTGGACTGATATCCAGGAGCCGACATGGACTGGAGATGCTTATAGAGAACGGATGGGATTCTGCGGTGGACCAGAAAGGAGATTCCTTGGGACAATGCCTGCCTATGGACTTGAGCAAGCTGTATACTGTGAGTCACGTTCAACGGGCGTTTGAAGAATCGTTGTTGATCCGGTTATACCAGATATCTTTCCCTAAACTTCCTCGGAATTCGCAATTTAGACGTGTTTCTCGAGAGTTGTTCAAGGCAGCGACAACGGACTCGAATCCACTGAACGAAAAGATTTTGAAATCTATAGTGGATATGGGTAACACCGTGCTGTCTAAACGAGCTGCCACCGAGCTTCAGAGGTGAGTTGAAACCATCCCAGCGCTCTCTATATGAAATGTCGGATCTAACAGTACATCTTTGTAGCCTGAAAACAAAGCATCCTGAATGTTTCCGCCAGGTCGCCCTTTTCCGAAAGACCCTTATGATCCTGGAAAGTCATCACTACCGGCTCCCGGCCAGACGCTTTGCTCTAGACCTCTTTGACAAGAGCGTGATGAGGCGGGTCGTCCTTGAAGAAGATACAGATAGCGACTCTGACAGCTCTATGTCGCAGTAAGGGTTGTTGCCTCCGTCCTTTTTTTGGCATTTCTATTGATAGTTCACCTCGGTTGCATGACTCAAACCGTTGTTTGATGAGTTCTGACACATATACCCTGATTTCGTGTTCTCTTTTCGGTCTGCCATATTTAGCGGTATCTCTTACCCCCAGTTCCGTATAACGTCGAGATTACCCCTGCGCTACATCCTATTTTGGCGCCATGGCGATGTCGTATTTTGAGGTGATGGATACCCCCGTGCTTTCCACCTCTATTTCCCCCCTTCGCACCTCATGTTCCTTTTTACCATGGTGCGATATGAAATGGTATATGTTGCAAGCGTTGTTGCCGTGTTTTATGTGCTCGCCTCTTCTGTGTTTTGATTGGTGTCTTGGTGCTTGCTTATCAAAGAAAACTGAACGGGTGGGACAGGAGGTGGAGTTTATTTTTTTATCGCGAAAGGAGAGAAAAAGTATTCTGCGCGCCTGGGGTTGTTGTCATTGATGGCTGGTTTGAACAGATGTAACGGTTGCATATTGCGTGAAACACGAGAATTCAAAGGGATCAGTTACCTATATTCAGCGAGAAATTAGCAATTTTGGCATATCATCAGAATCAGTCGATTTCAGTAAGAGCGCTCATGAGAAGTAAATGATAGGTCTTGACCTTGTTGTATATATTCAAGAACACATATATATTCAAGAACGTGATAGCTTCTCTAGTGCAATGCATGCAGCTAACCAGATCCACCTTCCTTGCCGATCAATAGTTCTTTTCAAATGACAAACAGAATTTCTTATTCAATTGTTGAATAAACTATTCTACTTATTGTTATTGTAATCTGATCTGTTTGTATTCAGACCATTTAGTAGTTAGCTCCGCACTGTCATCCGCGGGTAGTCTAACTAAGTATTTACATAACAGCCGCGGATCTTCTTACCGTATGCCGATGCCGCTCTCTCTATTTCGCGAACAAGCAAGCTACATATGACCATTACTATTACAATCGCATCGCATCGCAGCAATATTTATCCCTGGTGGAAAAGTGGCATTTTTGTATATTATTAACCAACTCTCTATCCTTTCTAATTCGCGAGCGAGTTGCGCTTTTTTCTTTTCTTATGTCGGCGCAAGATTCCAACGCCTCGGACTTTCCGCCTACCTCCGCAGCGCGAGATGATGTTAGAGACGACGACAACGTCACAGCTCAGAGTAGCTCGCCCACGCCAGACTCGACGATACGGACGGATGTATTAGATCCTTATATCAATCCTGCTGCTATTGTACGGTTAATTCAGTGTCCGCGATGCAATCTGCCCTTACGGAACCCGCTCCGATTGCCGTGCGGAAAGACACATTGTCGATCATGTCTGCCGCCGGTGTGGAAGCGGCCGAGAATCACATATCCGGTTGATGAGGGTCGAGAGGATGGGTTCACGTGTTGGTGGTGCGAGAGCGAACATGCGCTGGGCGATTGTGGCGTGGATGTCTTAGCTGCGAAGGTTGTCGAGCTGTTTCGATCGGTGCTGGAGGGGGAACATGCTGCTGGTCAGTATGGCGGAGGGGAAAACAGAGTCGTTGTTCGGTGGAGACAACCTGGTGTAACTGGCAAAGAGGAAGATGATATTCCGGAGGAAGCTGTTGTTGACGGAAGTCGTTTGCGCGGTACCTATATGCTGGTAAAGGAAGGGCGACTCAAGCACGAAGCTCTCGGTGTGACTTACGAGCCGGATGGGGAGTTCGATGAATCCGAGAAGGCGGTATTGGAAAAGATCAAGGACGTTACGAGGAACGAGCTTGATTGCCAAGTATGCTATTGTCTCATTCTGGATCCGTTGACGACTCCTTGCGGACATACGTTCTGTCGAAAGTGCCTGGCTCGGATCCTAGATCATTCCAATCTCTGTCCGATTTGTCGAAGAAAGATCAGCATGCCACCAGCAGTGAGTTCTGAGCCTGTCAATGGGTTGTTATCGCGTCTCTTGGATACGTTTTTTGAAAATCAAGTTTCTGCACGAAGAGAAGCTGCCGCGAGAGACGAGGTTGGTCTCAATGATGGCAGAGCTTTGCCCTTATTTGTCTGTACCCTTTCCTTTCCGACGATGCCGACTTTCTTGCATATTTTCGAGCCTAGATATCGTCTCATGATTCGACGAGCGCTGGAAAATGGTGGGCGGAAGTTTGGTATGGTTGCCTTTAACCATTCCGGATCGCCTCAAGGGGAACTGGGGAGAAGCCAATTCATGCAGTACGGCACTGTCCTTGTGATTGATAGGTTTGAGCTGCTTCCCGATGGCAGAAGCCTTGTTTCCGCAGTCGGTGTATCTAGATTCAAGGTGCTAGAATACGCTCTCGTGGATGGGTATTACGTTGGAATAACTGAGCGTGTCGATGATGTCTCGTTAGCTGAGGAAGAAAGGATCGAATCAACAGAAACTGCCGCAGCAGCAGTCACTATGCCCATCCCAGAAGAAGGCGGTACTGCTGAAGTGCCCCTCGAGTCTCTCTCCACCCAGCAACTGTTGCAGATTGGTCTGGACTTTGTGGACAAACGGCGTGCCGATTCTGCACCATGGCTGCATCGCCGTATTCTAACTGCCTATGGTGATGTGCCGACAGATGCAGCGCGGTTCGCCTGGTGGCTTGCCAGCATCCTCCCTATTCCAGAGGAAGAGAGATACTCTCTACTTCCTACAACGAGCGTGAGAGAACGCCTGAAGATCACAGCTCGCTGGGTAAAGAAGCTGGAAACCATCACGGACTGGTAGGTTCCTAAAATCTCCATTATATCCCGCACTGTTCTGACAGCACAACTCCTGCACGAAGGTCAACGAGCACTTCAGCATGTGCGGTCTTATGACTAGCCGTCCCTCTGCTCCTCTTAGTGATCCTCCCTCTCATTATCGGCCCCTTTACGGCCTCATTCTCCTCTGCTTCTGCGAGGGTCTCAACTTCTCTTCTCCCCTTCGGTTTCTCCGTCTCTTTCTCATTTGGGCCAAATATCGTGCCGCCTGAGGGCAGTCGTCGCCGCGTTATTCAGCCTGCCTCTCGGCAGACGGCGACCTATATTCCCCAGACAATAGTCTTGGGAGCCCTCACCCTTCTGTTTGTGGCACGTCTAGCGACCAATGTGGCTCTGGTGAGGCGGTCGAGGCAACAAAGGCACGATGAGAGAAGACACAGAGTGGTCATTGTAACGGACCGCAGTGGGAATAGAACAGTGAGACGGACGGGTTAAAGTGGTCGGGCAGAGGGACGTCGGGTGCAGCCATCTGATCTGAATCCTGAGTAGATTTTCCTGTTCAAAAGTGGAAATGCCCAGCCTGGTATGCCTTTGTTGATAGCCGGCAAATTGCGCTCTGTGAAGCAAAAAGTCGCGGGTTGTTGGCTAGTTCCCAATATATGCAAGAACTCCAGCTATTCAGTCAGTGAATTTCTGGCTGCTGTGAAGGAAATGGTGGGTGGGCTTCCCGGTGTGTCCTGCTATAACACCGTCCTCCCCTGAAGGATCCCCCTTATTCATCTCTCCTCACATCTTATCCTTCGCTGCTGCTGATGTTTAAGCATCACAAAGTTGCTTCATCACCAGGCAAATTCAGGTACCACAGACTGGCCATCCCAGTATCTCGCAGGCTTTCCTTCTCCTTCTCTCTTTTCGCACGCTTCTGCATATAAGTAAGCGCAACATGCAGTCACAACTGTCAGAACTATCGAACGCGGTTGGGCACCATCCATATGGGCGCCTCACTCAGGATTTCCTAGGCAGATTTCCTAAGTCACCACTCCTTAAGGAGGCGGATGTGCCATATGTTGTGGCGCTGGGTAAGAAAGGATGTGGGAAAAGCTCACTTCTGAGAGCACTGTCAGGCATTCCGTTTCCTACTGGGCTAGATGGTACCGTTATTGCGACAGAAATCGTTCTGCGACAATCCGACTCACGGTCCAGACATATGACTATGATCTTTCTTACGTCGGAAGTTAGATCAAAGGCACCTCCTGCCATCAGGTTGGAACTCGAGGAGGATTTCGATATCCCGATGCTTATTCAGAACGCTGAGACGCAAGCGCGAGATCTCAGAGCATGGGTCACAGGCGAACATATCCTGAGAATCGAAATGTGTGGCTTTGGCCTACCACACATCGCATTCGTTGATCTCCCAGGAAAGACCGGTGATTCGATAAAGGACGCCATTGTTGATAAGCTGATGCAGCGATACGTGTCGAATGAGGGCACAGTCGTACTCAATGCCATCCCTGGGAGTGACGTCCCCATTGACGTCGATGCCTCTGGACTTCCTCCCAATCGTACGATCAACGTTATCGTCAAACCAGAGACAGTGGATCCCCAAATATCCCTTGACTATCTGAGATCTCTCTTCGCAAAGCGGCGTACGTCTCATGGCTCACTGAGTTGGCATATTGTGCCTTCCCCAATTGCATCGTCCACCGACATATCTTCCATCGTTTGGACTCCGCCGTGGAACTGTCTGCAAAGAATTGACATGGGATTTGAGTCATTGAGGGTCAAACTTCTAGACCTGTGTGAAGCTCAGTTCCTAACCAGTTTCCCCAGACTTGCGAAAGAAATTGAAGCAAAAGGGAAACATTACGATAAACAAGCTTATGAATGTGACGAAAGCAAAGCGCGACAACATCTTACGGGTCTCTGTCGCCGCTTCGAAACGTTGGTGAAAACTTCAATAAATGGCGAATACGAGGATTCTTTCTTTGAGATAGGGGACTTCAATCTTCGACGGTTGAAACTCACTATCGATGAAACTAAGCACTATCTCCGATCTCGCCTGCAGAGGAGAGCTCAGGAAACAAGGCTGCTGGATGAAAATGCTCCCTCGTCCTCCATTAGTGACTTCCTCGCAGCGTCGCAAGAAGGAGCAGAGCTTACACAACAATTTGACCTTCTACTCCAGCAAGACTCCAGTCAGCGCTCGTCAGATCTCGAAGGCAAGGGGCTAGTCGAGAAATTCATTTCTATTCTAACCGCAGACTGGTCATTCATCATCGAAGAGTGCATGTATAGAGCGACACAAGGTTGCTTATTTCTCATGCAGGAGATTCTTCAGCACACTACGGTCCCACAGGTTTCAAAAATTCTTGATAGACGTGTTTTAACGCCGGCTTTCAGATCGAGGGAGACAGCTGCTCTGGCTAAAGTGCGTGAGCTAGCTGCGTCGCGCTGTCAACCAGAGACTGTCGCAGTAACTCCAGAGTTACAGCGCGAGCTGGAGAAACTACAAAAATGCCTGGACGGGGCCCATGGACCCGAACACCGAGAAGCCGTCTACTCGAACATTTTATGTTGCTCGCGGCTTTACTTTGGACTCTGTCTCGAGGCCATCATTGAGAAAGTTGAAAAAGAAGTGATCGAGAAGTGCTTACTAGAGGGACTACCCGAGCTTCTCCTGCAAACAGTGAACGACATTAACATTCCTCGAAGCTCTCTACGCCAAATGCTCAGAAAGCACCGAGAAAAATTGACCAGACTGTTCCGCCAGACAGAGTGCAAAGTTGCATATCTCCAGAGCAAAAGCGATGGATTCCGGACCTGTCCGTCTGAGGAATCACGCGAGGCTGCTGGGCAGCGAGTACTTCTGGGATACCGTCTTAAGGATCCCCCTGTTTACATCTCCGATCAGTATATGGACTCACAGCTGAAGAGAGGACCGAAATAAAGGCATACTGAAAGTGCTTTGTGGTTATCAATTCCGAGTCTGGCTCGAGTGCAGATGGTCTCTTGCATGGAAATCTTGTCCTTTTTCCCTTTTCATTTCATTTTTTCCAGAGTCTCGATTTCATCATAGATCCATTACCTAGTCGCGTTGTGCCTTTTTTCACAATAACATGTATTCTAGAATAAGCATTAATTCCTCTCACTGGAGCACATCCATCACACTTCTTCGTGTCTAAGTCCAATTAGAAATTATCAAAAGAAAGATGATATGATAGACTCTAAATGTGCAATATCGCAAGCGGGCTAGATCTTGCATCGTGATAACAGCGTTGAGCCTGTCCTTTGTGAGCCTGTCTATTTAGTCCTCGAACACTAATAAATTTAGTATACTTCTTAGGACAATGGAATAGTTGTAGCCTGTTTACAGGGTAGATAATCCAGTAAGTCCTCGGGGAAGCAAGCAAGACAATTTATCGTATTCGACATATATTAGTTCAAACCATTTCATATATGTAATCCGACACGATCGTTACCGATTGCGGACATATACCATGGTCGTCACGAAAGATAAAACATCCACGAAGTCGTCTTATTAAAATTTTTATGGCCAGTCTTCTTGAGTCCGTATCCATCCAACGTTGAAGGATGCTACCCGTCGCGAGGTAATAATAAAGGAATAGAACAGACCGGATAGCTCATGAGAGAAGGAAAAAAAGATGAACAAGCCTGGAAGAAGATTCAATGCCTGTATTAATTGTACAATGAAAAAGAAGCCTTCCATCTGTGCAGACCCAAGGGTAAGAAAAAGCAAAGAAAGAAGAAACAAAGACAATGAAGAATCGGTTCTTCGTTCCTTCTTAAAAAGTAAAAACCTCCCTCCGTACGTCCCGACCCGTATTACACCTCCTCCCCAACTTCCGCATTATAAAGAAAAAGTTAGGGTTTCCTCGTCGCTTCATGATGCAGGTAAATGCTATAGTGATGGTGGTCGAATATCAACCCGGCCAAAAGAGGTCCTGGAAAGAATAGGACTTTCCGAGAGGTGGAGGAAAATATATTTTGATCATCATTTACTTGCGGCCGTATCTCGCCTTACCGAAGGAGAAAGGGACGTAGCGGTACTTGATCATGTGCTGGATCTGTCGTCGCACTGTAATGGAGATGTGTTAGTAAATATTCTTGGTTGGATATGGCGCTCTCGTCATTGGACAGATCGGAACAAAAAGCGCGCAGACCATGTATAGAGTAGAAAGGCAGAAGGACTTACTCGTCAGGAAAAAGAGAACGAGCCAGTAGACCACCAGGACTGGCCAGAACACGGGAATGTCAAAAATCTCGAACCACGAGCAAAGGAATCCAATGGCGATGGCAACTGTGGCTTTGTGCCAGAACTTGAATTCTGGGAGGCGACGAATGAACGGACGGAATTCGTCATCGTTCTTGGTGGGAAGGCTGCTACCAGCATCGCCGTCCTCCAGGCCCTCATCCTGGGTGAGGGACGGGTCGAATCGCGGAGAGAGGAAGGCGAGGAAAAGGTTCAAGAGGTAAATACCGAGGGTGTATGCGACTGCATAACGTAGATTCAAATTAATATACCGGTCATCCAGAATCTCGGAGAGTATCAACTGCAAATCAAGACCTACCGATATACCACCCCTGCGCGAAGACAATGCGCAAGAAGAAAATGAACAGGAGTACTCCGGTGCCCACCCACCGATAAGTCGTGTAGGGTGTTGACGCGTCCAGATAAGCTTGGTATTGCTATTTTCAACTGAGTTAGCCCAATGAGCCATATGATTATCGATACTATCCATGAATCCATGCGAATCTATGGCCTTGAAGGATTGCTCACCCTATGAAGTTTGGAGGTTTGTGCAGACACGGCCGTAAACGGCGACTGTTCCGGCTCTGGGACGTCCATTGTGCAGCACGGGCGGAGTCTTGGGGCTATCGATCGGTCTCCGAATGAAATATAAATCTCCGGACCTTTCGGTTGCCAGCGCAGGACAAAGAAAAAGGGAAACGGAAGAAGGACACGGCGGGTTCGTCGGGATTGCGTTGTCGTGCTTCGAGATGGGAAAAGTGTCAAGTTGCTGGTTGGTGGCGCAGCAGCCTCATTTGTGGCTGGTTCATCTAGTATACCTTTTCAGTACTAGCGCATCCAGGAACCGAGCACGGGATGTGGCTGATGGGAGTATTCCACGTGACATGGCTGGCCGCGGTTTTCCTCGGGCCGGTCGGGGTTTGTTGCGGGGAGAAGTATGGGGGTTCCTCGGGCAGTTTATTTCTAATGATGTTTAATAGACAGCTTGTCGTCGTCCGTCCACCCGTCTGGCAATAGATAATATCTAGACCTCATTATTCCCTATTTTCTGTCTTCCTTACTATCAATTGTCTTGTTCAACAATTGAACGTCATGTTTGCTAGGCGCTGTTCCCGGCTGGTCGCCACGAAGACGGCCGTCCCTTTGACATCCTACCTTTCTAGAGTCGGCAGGCCGTACTCTTCTGCTGCACCAGCTTACGAGAACATCCTGACGGAAACACCAAGGCCAGGTGTTGGTCTCAGTAAGCATATAGAACCCATAGAAGCTTCTCTAGAAATGAATGTGACAGCAATTGAGTTGCTGACTCGAATTAAGTTACTCTCAACCGTCCCAAGGCTCTCAATGCCCTCTCCAGCTCCGTTTTCAAGGAGATCAACGATGCACTTTCCAAGTACGAGGAGGACAAGGATATTGGCGCCATCATCATAACTGGCAGCGAGAAGGCCTTTGCTGGTATGCTCTCAAGAATATGCCCTTCGTATGCGGCGCATCTGCTAACCCTGGCGTGCTTCCAAAGCCGGTGCCGATATCAAGGAAATGGCTCCTCTGACCTTCTCCTCTGCCTTCTCCAACAACTTCATCGCCCCCTGGTCTCATCTGGCAAACAACATTCGCAAGCCGGTTATCGCGGCTGTTTCTGGCTATGCTTTGGGTGGTGGCTGTGAGCTGGCCCTCATGTGTGACATTATCTACTGCACCTCGAAGGCCACATTTGGCCAGCCAGAGATCAAGCTGGGTATCATTCCCGGCGGTGGTGGCTCTCAGCGCCTGACACAAGCCGTGGGGAAGAGCAAGGCTATGGAGCTCATCCTGACGGGCAAGAACTTCAGCGGAAAGGAGGCCGGCGAATGGGGTGTCGCTGCTAAGGTGGTCGACGGTGGAAAGGACGAACTCCTGGAGGAAGCCCTTAAGACTGCCGAGACAATTGCCAGCTACAGCAAGGTCGCCGTTCTGGCTGCCAAGGAAGTAGTCAACAAGAGCCAGGAGCTCTCTCTCAAGGAAGGTGTTGAGTATGAGAGACGCATCTTCCACGCTCTATTTGGCACCAGGGATCAGAAGATCGGTAAGTACATATGCCTTGACTTGGACAATCCGCGGCTAACGAGGCTTAGGAATGACGGCTTTCGCGGAGAAGAAGAAACCGGAATGGTCAAACGAATAGACAAACTATGTCTTGACTGGGATCTGTATTGTAGCGCTACATAACAATGTGACGATTCTGATTTGCATACCTTCTCTTCAGGTCAGATCTTTAACGACTTGCCACTTCACACGATCGCCCAGGAGACACCGAAGGTCATAACCCATTGTTGTGCCTAATAATCGACCCACGTGACAACAAAGAAGGGTCCCCGGTGTCCCCCATTCACCAGTCCCCATATAATTCCAAGCAAAGATCTCTCATCGAACAGAGGAGCCCTGGTAGTGCAGTGGAGATAACTCTAGACTACCTGCATTGCACTACCAGAGCTCCTCTGTTCGATCCCCGGAGGGAACCCTCCAGTGACTCCCTCTGGGGATCAGGGGATCAGTAAAACCCTGCCCGGGCGGGGTTTTCGTAGCACCTTCAGACTGACTACCACCAGAAAACCAGTCTGAGAGTGTGAGCTTTTTGCCTTTTTTTTTTCTGGGAGCTGACATTGTTTGGTGTAGCTCTCGATGTTTTTTTGAGTTTCCTATTTAGGAAGTTGTGATGCGGACAGTGATAACTGCTACTAGCGGACACCCTTTCCCCACAGTTATTATACTAATGCTACAATCTGACTCCAGTCCACATAGAAGACTGTACCAGCATATAATGATTTAACTGTAATAAGAGAGGCACAGTTACGCTACTTCTTAAGTGCCTGTCGAGCATATTATGGTGCAAGAAAGGCATATACCTGGATCGAGACGCAATCCAGCCGTTATTAAAAGCTCATGTCACATTGATATTGATATTGGGGCTAATCCTTAGAAGAACAAAAAGAAATCAATCACAAAAGCGATCGTAATCCTCTCCTGCACACAATACTAATAATACAGTCAGGGACATCTTATCAGACCCCAAGGAAATTCCGATCCAAGCAAATTCACATCCACATTCCCTTTTTAACTCAACGGCTCAGTCCCAGAGGGTTCTCAGTAGACTGTTCGACCTTCCTATCTTGTCCTTCACCAAGACCGCTGATCGTGTCGTTGGCAGTTTGACCAACGCCCTTGGTCGTGTTTCCTAATCCTTGACTGGCGCCGCTGACTGTGTTTCCAAGGCCTTGAGTCGCATCTCCAGCCGTCTTGCCTAGGCCACTTACGATACCACCGACAGTGTTCGTGACGCCGCCGACGGTCTTGCCTAGAGTGTCGGTGATACCGCCTAGGACGGTGGCTGGATCGGTTAGTTTGGTAGTTCGAGGTATACAGGATTGGGAAAAGGGGGTGGCTCAAGGTATTGTTGTGATAGGAAAGGAGACGCGAATAATAATACACGTACGGTTCTGTTCGCTGTTGTCTCCGCTACCAGATGACATATTGATAGATTTGTTCGTGACTTGGATGTATGGAAGCACAAGATAGAGAAGTATCGTGCCACTCAAACGTGGAAAGTAATAGCTTAGGTATATAGTAATCAATTATTCAGTTATAGACACTTGCACAAGAGTCAAAAAAACAAACAACTCACAAGTCCGTCGAAGATTTAAATATTCATCAATTACCACCTTGTTGACGTTCTGAGCCTGATCTGATGTAGGTGGTGATCCTGAAAGCTAGAGTACCATACACGCCAAGTATGATATCATCCGCGTTCCATATTTTTCTCCATACAATGACATTTTCAAGCCCACGCCCTCCCGCCGGCTCCACGAATCATCGCGCGTGCTACCCCATAAGGAACCGATTGGTTTAACAATGATGATGATGCGGCGGCGTTGACACATCCTGCTATGCTTCGTATGTTGACATGGGTCTTGGGAGGGGTTGTGGGGGTATCAGTGATGTATAGCTTGCGAGTCCGCTATTATCGAGAGGAGAAGGCGATCTGATAGGAGAACCGTGAAATATAGTATAGTAGACATTGGGTATGAAGTATGGTATGGCTTTGGTTACGACTTGCCTTATCTGACAGGCATGTGATAGCATCTTTTATGATAGTAGGTTGGATCCGTAATGTATGGTAGGGTCAATGATTGTTGTGACTATTTAGTACAGGCAATTTATCTTAGTAGTTTTGGCACGGAATAATATATTAACTCTATGTGCGCAGAGAGATGTCCAGTGTTATCCTTTATGCTTCCATATAGAGTGTAGTTTATTGAAAATGTCAAGAAATAATAATAAGAAAACAATGGGTCGTTCTGATTTATCATGTAAATGTCACTGGATAACTGATCGCAGTAGTCCGACTGTCCGAGAGTCTGCTTGTTTGAATTTCATCATTGATCTACAGCTCTGGACTGTCGCTCTGTTTCTTTAGAGAAGACCGGCTTACCCGCAAAACACGACAACATAATACTTAGTGGAGAATAGAAATCTTTCTACAACTGAAAGAATGAACCAAGAATTGAAATTAAAATTCCTAATGGGAATGCAACTGCAGAACTCAGTTCAATAACGCAACGCCCCAGGACATCCATATACACGCCAAACTCCAATACAATATGACACCAGCAGCCCTCGCCCATCGCGCGTATAAGACTGGGATTGTCTGGCCTGACACCAAAGGATGACCCGAGTAATTATCTCTTTGCGCAACTTCTGTCGCCATGGACCAGGTTCAACCTTCTCTTTGCTCGTTATATGAGTGGATCTCTCTGGAGTGCCATTCGTCCTGAAGAAATCTTGTCAACCAAGGACTCGACCTAACGGATATGTGTGAACAGGTTGGGAGTGTCGTGATTTTGGTTTTATTGCCATATTTGCGAGAAGCATTCCGTGAAGCCATAACGTAGTTGCTACCATTTGTACTGCGTTTGTCAATGATGGCCAAAAGACGAGTCAACCTTGATCGTAGGAAGCCAATAACTCTGCAACTCCGCATGTTAACTTTGGAGTATTTGATCTGACAGTAGCTGACCAAAACGACAGTGGAAAGTGACTCAGCTATATTTGGAAGTGATAATGCAATGTCCCTGAAACCAGCTGACGAGTATGTAAGCAAAGCAGCATATAAGCAGAAACAATCTAGTCAGTCAAGTATGCCAATCTTGAGTTTGTTATTGTCCCACAAAGTGGCGCCTGGATCGAGTTTGTAGGTAATACCGGTGGCTATTTCCGTAGGTTACAGAAACCGTGGCCGATAATGGATCACAGAAGCACCACACCTAAGTAAAAAGTTAGCACTGCTCCTTCTCCATTAGTGCATATAGATCGATGACTCGGAATCGGAAATATGCCTGTGCCCAGGGTGGTTTGGCGGTACTTCGGACGGAAATGACAAGTATATTCGGTAGGAATAATCCCAATCAGGCAGGCATGTTGATCGTATAGACTTCCGAGATCTGCCCCGATAGTGACTGCTTGAGATGTCTCTGTATCCTTTCTATGGCCTGTGAATCGTAGTATCCTCGAGTGTGTCGCTCACTATAAGTTAGGAAGGCATGAACGCGGAATCTGGATCATAAGCATCGTTCTTTTGTCAGTGTTTATCTTCCTTTTGTTCATCCTCCTTCTATTGTATCCTCACGTAACAGAGCCGATCTGTATAGCCATCATCTTGTCTTTCTCTTTTATAATTTTGAAGACAGAATCTTGACCAGCTTCTGGATAGCCCAAGGTATTAATAAACTCATGCACTCTCCATGAACTTCAAAAGAGCGGTCTCTCATCTTTATATCCACATACGATCAGCAGAATCGACAGGCCAGACCATAGCAATGCTTTCGAGGTGAGAACGCTATGGATGCTGATACTTATGACTTTCTCCTAGGCTTTCTTGAAATCGGGTCAGTTTCTCGACGTTACGGCCACAAGTAACTTCAATATACCAACCATAATCACGGACACCGAGCAAAAGATACACTTGGATGCTCCTCCGGATCTTTTCGCAGGAAAGTCATCCTTTATACCCGTACTTCTTAATGACCACAACCTCACACGTTCCTCTATTAGCCAAAGATGCCGAGTCTTGAGACCTGCCAGTAAGGAACGACCCCCGGGTACTGCTCCGGACCTTGTCAAAACCACAGAGAGATATGAGTTTAGCGTTCACCTCTCCTTTCAGAAACGAGACATTCATCATTAAAGCAAGGATTTACACTTTTGTTCCCGAAGAATCGTGCGAAGACATCCTCCTATGTGGATAAAAACAGGGTCTTGTGAGCTCAGCGTTTGCTGACTCCTTGTCCTCTTCAGAAATTATGACCGATTCTATCATCAAGGCAAGGGATTCCCAGTTGTTACGATCTGAGGCCTTGGCCTGCGATGAGAGACTCTGGTTGTGATGCTCAGTCCATGTGGCTAACCCCCTGCCTTTCAGAAAATCTAGATATTCTCATCATCGAGGCAAGTGATTCCCTTGTTGCGACCTGAGGCTGCGGCCAGTGATGACAGACACCGGGTATGATGCTCAGTCCATGTGTCTGACCTTTTGCAGGTGGTCCACACCTCTCGGAGATGAAACAAGTTAGTTGATCAATGTCTGAATTACCTGCCTTAGAGGGTTCAATAGCCTGCAGTGTATATAGGTTATATTTATCGCTTACCTTGTTCGCGAAACAACCGAGAAAAACCGTAGGAGATCTCTTCTCCAATCGGGGAAGAGTGAAGTGATAGATTCAGTCACAGACGCGTCCGGCTGGTTGATAAGCCTGACCACATAGGCGCGGTGTGAATACTTGGGTTATGTAGTTAGCAGTCAAGTGATGCCTGGGAAAACCGACACCCACTTTTAGAAGTGTTAATCCAATTTTGGTGAGTCGCCAAACCCTGTTTAATTATTGAATGTGAAATCTTCATAACATTTTACATCATTTACCGTATGACTCTTAGAATAATCTTTATCTGCGGCATCATCTCCAGGCTGCCTTCTCACTGTTAACTATTCCTCGGTTCCACAACTACTAGCCAGAGATATAGCTTTGGTGGTAGAAGTTAGTCCAGACCAGGATACCGATTACCTTGATCTCAACGTAGTGCAACTATTGAGGGCGCCTAATTGCCTGCTAATAGTGCCGCGTCTCATTGATTAACTCCTACGCGGTAAGTCTCACGGAGAAAAAGTGCTTTGTGAGACAGAAGACAGGACGGATCTGACGGTCCCGAATAGCAAATCCATCGGAATTACAGTCCCTTTAGGGGCACTGTGCGCGATTCAAACTTTCTAGAATCACTCGCACGCCCAGATAGTAGCAGATAACAGCAGCTAGCAGTTCGATCTAGACAATTCCCCAGTCAGGAAATAGGATGCGAACTCGGCCGTAGCTCATCCGGTCTGGCATGATTTATCGGGCTGCAAAGGAACACGGCCAGAAAAGTCGGAGGAATCTGTGCTAATACTGGAAACCAACATTGGAAATCAACATTGGGATTAACAATGCATTCGAACCCCCTTAACTATCTGTTTTTCGGGGGAGCATTGACCGGTCTGCGGGCCCAGACGTGTTTATCGAGCCAGGTATGGCAATATGTTTGTAATATGTAGTTCTAAGAATGGCGTAGGAGAAGAGGGGATGATCGAATAAGATCCTGCGATTCGGTGAATAATCCAAAGGAAACGGTGGGAAGCTTGCTTGATTACCAACTGGCAACGAGCAGGCCTATCGGCTATCGCTGACCTATATCACGTGACACAATAGCGCGTCCAACATAATCCATCTAACATCGACTGCGGTCCAGACCATGAGTTTCTGGCCGTGATGTTCGAGCCTGCTAGAGCTGACAAACGGAGATCTCGCAAGACCCGGTTGGAGAGATGATAGATAGAATGCTCGTGACATGTGTTGCGTCAAGGACATTGGAGAAACTTCCCCGCAGACTTGATGGGACCAACCCCGGCATTGTATGTACAGTACATATGCATTGTGTTGTATTGGAAAGCTGGAGAAATCGTGTACGTGGATAGATACATATCTTACAGTCGAACAGTACATATCTTATTGGGAGTTTGTATCCACTGTTGTGCGGGGTAGAGATTCGGGCCTCGAGGCGGAGACCAAGTCGGAACCGCAGAGAATAATGCTGATGAATGAATGAATGAATTAGCAGTGCATTCTAGATCCATACGGGTAAAGAAGCTGGGGAAAACGTCATACTTAGGGATGAACCTCTCCTAGCTGGATCGATTTGATGACAACCGAGGTCTGATGAGCGCTGGCCTAGACAAAAACACACGGCCCCACGGGAGCTATTGGTATGTTGACATGGATGATGAATCCCCATAACAGGATGATTCTGATTTCGTTCCCCAGACCGTTAGTCTCGTGGTGTCTGATAGATGGATCGAGAATGGCTTTCTCCCAAGCTGATAAATCTCTCCAACGGCGCACTTCCGTGTCCAGAGGGCGGTATATAATCTCCTTTCGTCTTCTATCTGCTGCTCATCGTAGACTCAACCCTGCATCTCCCTGCTGACAATTGAGCAACTGTATCCATTATACGAACTGTTTTCTGTATCATACTGCGATATTGAACCGCCATCATGGGTAAAGACGATGAGCCAAGTATGAACCCAGGCACCTATTTGCCCATTTCCATAGCTGGCAGCTGGTACATATCTTTGGAGATCTGGATAAGTAACTGACGATGACTTCCTTTCTTCCAGAGACCTACCGCTACAATGAGAACCCGACCTACACTACGTCCAATGGCTGCCCGGTGAGTCTATTCGACCGATCACGGCAACGTTGAAGTTCTTAAAGCGTACTAATGTGCCCGTATAGGTCATGGACCCAGAAGCTTCATTGCGGGTTGGTGCAAATGGACCCCTTCTGCTCCAGGACTTCCACTTGATCGACCTGCTAGCACACTTCGATCGAGAGAGAATCCCGGAGCGGGTTGTTCATGCAAAGGGTGCTGGAGCTTATGGAGAGTTTGAAGTCACAGACGACATCAGTGACATTGTATGTTTTCCACTTTGAATCTACAACTTGCACAGCGGCTAACATGAGGAATCAGACTACTATTGACATGCTCAAGGGTGTTGGAAAGAAGACCAAGTTGGTCTCACGGTTCTCTACAGTCGGTGGGGAGAAGGGTTCAGCAGACAGTGCTCGTGATCCTCGCGGTTTCTCACTCAAGTTCTATACAGAGGAAGGTAACTGGGACTGGGTATTCAACAACACTCCAGTGTTTTTTGTCCGTGACCCATCCAAGTTCCCTATCTTCATCCACACTCAAAAGAGGAACCCTCAGACCAATCTGAAAGATGCTACTATGTTCTGGGACTATTTGTCAACCCATCAGGAGTCTGTTCATCAGGTCATGCATCTGTTCAGTGACCGCGGTACTCCATACTCCTATCGCCACATGAACGGCTACTCTGGGCATACCTACAAGTGGATAAAGCCAGATGGAACCTTCAACTATGTCCAGATTCACTGCAAGACCGACCAGGGAAGCAAGACCTTCACCAATGAAGAGGCTGGCAAGCTCGCCTCAGAGAATCCTGACTGGCATACGGAAGATCTCTTCAACGCCATCGAGAAGGGCGAATACCCTTCCTGGACCTGTTATGTCCAGGTCCTCAGCCCTGAGCAGGCTGAAAAGTTCCGTTGGAACATATTTGATCTAACCAAGGTCTGGCCACAGAGCGAGGTTCCGCTGCGTCGCTTCGGCCGATTTACCCTGAACAAGAACCCGCAGAACTACTTTGCCGAAATCGAACAGGCAGCCTTCTCACCTTCGCACATGGTTCCTGGCGTGGAGGCTTCTGCCGATCCAGTGCTGCAATCCCGTCTATTCTCCTACCCAGATACGCACCGTCACCGCTTGGGAGTCAATTATCAGCAAATCCCGGTCAACTGTCCTCTCCGTGCCTTCAACCCCTACCAGCGTGATGGTGCCATGACTGTCAACGGCAACTATGGCGCGAATCCTAACTACCCATCAACTTTCCGTCCGTTGACCTTCCGTCCTGTCAAAGCCAGCCAGGAGCACGAGAAATGGGCCGGTGCAGCAGTCGCCAGGCAAATCCCCGTCACGGACGAGGACTTCGTCCAGGCCAACGGCCTCTGGCAGGTCCTGGGCCGTCAGCGTGGACAGCAGGACAACTTTGTCAACAACGTGGCTAGTCATCTGTGCAACGCTCACGAGAGAGTCCGTAAGCAGACTTACGGAATGTTCACCCGCGTCAACAAGGATCTCGGTGCACGAATCGAGAAAGCTACCGAGGCCAATGTCAAGAAACAGTCTCACATCCCCGCGCGTCTGTAGATACTATGAGCAAACAATAAAACTGGAATATTCATACAGCGCTGAGCAACCCTACCGGTCTCGCCCTCAGTACACCCCATCCTGGACCTCATTTGAGGCATCTTCCATGTACATCCCATCGCCCAAAGACGTCCATAGCCGTATTAGATTAAAGACTGAACAATTCATCCACCCTTCAAAATTAGTCTTCTCTCCCTCTTCAAGTTCTGGAAATGCCTCCACAGCTGGAACAAACCATTTCCGCAGCTCTGCATAACAGCGCTCCCCATGCTTCTCCCGATGCTCCTCTGGCATCATTGCCTCGCCCAGTCGTTTGACAGCCACCTCATCCATCACCAAGCACGCGCGATACTTGTTCCATGCATCTTGCTTATCTTGAGCTTCTACCCAGCCTTCAAAATGCCTCCGCACTGCGTCAAACGAAGCCTCGTTCAGCATGGCTGGCTCCTCGATCACGGTCAGCTGGTGGCGCGCCCAGAGCTGATCGTTGGGCGTGGGATCCGGGTTTTCCAAGCCGTACTCGTGAAGATCTTCGTAGACTCCCGCCTTGATCCAGGAAGTGAGGATTTCGATTGCTTTGTGGAACGCGGGGTCGGAGCGGTAGGTTGTGCGGTAGACGACCCAGCCCCAGGTCTTTTCGCGCATGTCCTGGAGCATGCGACGGGAGTTGCGGTTGAAGTCGATAGATTTTATGGTCGCTTCGTCGAGTTGAGCCGGTCCGAACATGATGGATAATTGTTCAAGAGATGTGTATTGGGAAGAGAGAGATAGAGAGATTGAGAGTGTATGTGTTTGAGAAAGATCTGGGAGAATGATTTAACAGAGCAGGAAACAGTGTCTCCTTAGTGTTGAGCAAGCCTGGATGTCTATATATGTAGGGGAAACAATGATGTTAAACTTGCAAATATACCATGCAACCAGGCTTTCGAACCACATTGTTTACTGGTGCCATTCATTTATGCAGTGTAGATCCTCCGCACGGCTAAGCTTACATGAGTAGCAGAAGGCCCCATCCATGGGGACATCCTATCATTAGTAGGTTCGCAGACTACAAACAGTAGTTTCGAGCATATCGTGGATAATATCAGAGAGCCGCCCTGCGTTATGGAATGAACGGAAATAGGAGAATTTCTGAAGTAGTCTTGCATTTATAATAATGTACACACCGCGAGAAATTGACCCAACCGCAATCAATGCCGGTGTCCACTTTGAACGCCAAACGCTTGTGCTACCCGCCATCCCCGGTGAAATCGACTTCGTAAGACAAGTAAGAAAGACAGATCCCATTATATCAGCTTTATCGTCTCGAAGAGCTTGCAACGGAGGAAGTTTTCGATTTATATCTCAACATTTACAAGGACGAAAGTAGAAAAAAGAGAAAAAGAGAAAGCAGGATGTAACCATGTCGAAAATGCAGTGGATTTCCGATCCGCTTATGGTATCGCATGAGTCAAGAGATGGAATAATGTTGAGGCCGGAGACGGCTCAAGATGATTGATTCAATGGATCCCATTTTAGAATGGGGGAGGCGCCTGAGTATAGCGCTATATTCGGCCTAATAATTCATCGACAAGACGACGGGGACAGTATCAATCCTCGTTCATATCCTCGTCTTCCGGTTCTGACTGCCTCTCTTCACTTCGTTCGCGGTCAGACGCCCTCTCTTCCTTCTCGCCCTTCTCCTCACCAGCAGGTTCATTTTCACCAGCAGGTTCCTCTGGAGGTGGCGGCAGGGTTTTTGCGAATACGGGGTCGATCGCTGCCCGGTGCAAAGAGCGTTTGTAGACTTCAGCCTCATCAGGATCACGCACAACAACCTGGATTTGATCGACCTGATCCTCCTTCGCCTTAGGACGAGTTGGCGCCAGACCAGCCTGGGCGATAGTACGAGCACGCTCAGGCTTAAGCCGAGTTTTACCCAATATCGGGTAGTAATAGGCTCCTTTCTGAGTGAGGCGTGTGCTGCCCTGGTCAGACACTTCTGACGGATCGAATAGCGTGAGTGCAATGTCGCGTTGCTTTTGCTCTGTACTAAGGGTTTGGCTGCTGGTAGCATAGGTGCGAACCCGATCATAGCGGTGAAACTTTTGCTTGTCGGGCCCTTCATGTGTGTAATTCTCCTCATTATCGCGGTCTGGGTTGGATATTTTGAGACTGTTCTTGATCTTTTTCGCAGCCCCTTTCTTCTCTGGTAGGAAAAGATCATAATCCCACGGGATAGGACCAGGATCGGGGTACAGATTAGGATTGGCCTTGTGTAGGGCCGTTTTAGTCGCGTGCTCCTGGCAGACTCTTTCCTCTGGCGCCGAAGGCACGAGGATGGCGACATCCATGCGTTCATCTCGCCTTCCTGAGATCCCTTGTAGGGGTGCCTTATCAAACTTGAACTGGACGAATCCACCAGGATCGGGGAAGCCTTGCAAATCTGGGAGCACAGGTAAGAAGCCTGTAGGCTTGAGTTTGGGGTTGTCAGGATGCGTTGGATGAGCCCATGCATCAAGCTCTGCTTTCGTCGGCGTATGTCCCTTGATTCTGCTCGGAGTGTCTTCGCCGGTGTGCTTGCTCTGAGGATATGCAATATCGAATCCCTTCTGGATGTATTTCTTGATATATGTGGGATCATCACGGGAAACATTTGTCTTCTCTGGCTGGTTGCGTGGCTTGGGTCTGATGGGGGTTGTCCTCACGCTTCCCGTGCTCACTTGGCCAGCGGAGATGTACTGTGTGCGACGCAGGAAACTGACATTCGTGTTCTTAGGAGCTGGGTTTTTGAGTTGATCCAAAGTCGTCAAGAGGGCTAGATCGGCTGGATCTACAGGAGGAGGATTCTCCGGCGCCATAATAGCTATGACGAACAAATTAGACTCGGGGATCGAGTTCTGGCGCTGCAAGGACCTTACCGCTCTCATCACCTAAATGGAGACCTGGGATCCCCACTAGATCAATTGGCATACCACCTTCTGCGTCCACGTCTATGTTTAGCTCCTCGCGCCTTGCCATGTTTGAAGCAAAACCTGGAGTAAGGAAGCGCTCCAATCCCTCATGTGGGATGTCAAGGAACTTTGGTGGCATATCGGGAGGAGGAAGATCATTTCGGTATCGCAAAGAGGCGATGTACTCCTGGTGAAAGCCCTCGGAAGGGCGGCCATCCTTAGGCTTCGACATGACTTGACCCTCGGCAAGTAAATAAATGGGCGTCAGCGGAAAGTGTTCCTGGCTGGTAAACTGTTAATCAGGAAATGCGCGTTGAAAGTGTAGGTACTGAACTCACAAGAGCCACGCGTCTCGGGATGAGAGCTTCCAGGACCAAGATATAAACTTTAATCTGGAACGGCACGGCTTTGTTTGAGTGAGCCTGTCCTCAAAAATGCCAAAGGTAAGCTCTGCGAGAGGGACTCTGAGCACTGGGAAGGCAATCATGAAGCGAAACTCACTGAGCAGTGAGAGGCGCTATTCTGCCTTAATTTACCGCCTTATAGTTACGGCTAGCGTATACTTATGGTATGGAGCTGGGAATGGAGATTTGCCGTTCCGACTTCGGGGAAGAAGTATTTCTTTATATAGCACCTGATTGAGATGCGCTAATATTTGTCTCTGATCATAAATGGACTGCAGCCGAAGTTTTACATGCAATAGCGAATAATCTGCTCTTTTACCCATTGAATCGCCTATCTTACACCCAGAAAACACACCGTAAATAGACACCCAGATAACCAGTACGCGGATTGTCGTCGCCTCTTAAAGGTCGATAAGGGCAAACTCGGTTTTTGTTACAAGCAAGGATCAGTAAGCCCACATGCACTTGTATGCCAGAAGCCGACTACCTAGCCGATCATACTCCAGCTGTCCTATCCAGCTGTCGTTTGTCCCGCTGAGTTTTCCGAAGACGCTGGCACCTTTCCAAACCACCACCTGCGGATCAAGCTCTCTCGGTGGCGTGCCAATCATGACTTCTTTGGCATATCCCGGTCGAAGAGTTTGTAGACGTTCTTCCAAGAAGGGATGGAAACCCGAGATTAGGCTGCCTCCTCCAACCACCATGATTCCACCGAGGAAATCACGCATTTTGCGGTCATCTGAACGTGCACCGTGAGTGATGGAGGTGAATATGGCACTGTCCAGTGGAAAGATGGGGAGAACATCATCTCTTTCCTCGACCGCGGGCATACGGGGCGTTTGGGACGAAGTCTGGCCCTGTGCGCCGGGGATGGGAGTGTTTGCACCACCTGCCTGCGGCGTTCCCGTGACCTCTGGCCCTGGCGATCCTGCAACAGATGAACGGGGGGTCGCGTCGAGATCTTGCACTCTGACCAGTGCGTTTATTTGCTGTGAGCGGCTTGGGGTGGATTGCACATCCAACAGGCTCGGATGATTTGCATCTCCATTAGTCTGGGAATTAGCGGATGGAGGAGCAATTGCCGCCAAGATCTCTGACTGTGCTGCCGACACAGGATCGTTGAGCGAGCCATCGTAGATATCACGGGATGGAGATATCAGTTTCCTCCTGCCTTCCAGCTTCCGCGAATTATCGAATATCGTGGGTTGAAAGTAACCCATGGGTGCGAGAAGAACTTCATCGTATGCTTTGAAGGTGAATTTCCGGGTATCCTGACCAGAGATCCGCAGATGAAAGTCGAAGACCTGCACAGAGACATTCGCCTCGTACATCGTGCATACGTTTTTCTTCAGCTCTTCCGCCAGTAGGAAGTCGTATCTTCGTCTCAGGTCAATATCGGCGTAAGGGAAGTGATCGTATAGCATCATCTTGATGAACGTTTCAGTCACGTCAGCGCCGCCGTACTTCAAGTTGACCCGTGAGTTCTCAATACACATCCCTTCCTCCACACAACATATCGATGTCTTCTGCGCCCCAATGTCCACAACACACGTGGAGGTGAAGCCCGCGCCAAAGGAAGCTGCCAGGCTTTCCTGGATGAAGCACACACGAGCGAACGCGAACTCCCTCATAAGCATTTCCAAGATCTGTGTCACATACGACTTTTCATAGAGATCGGGAATGACAAACACACAGGAATATTGCGGCCACTCCTTTTTGCTGGTCAAACCCAGCTGAGTCTTGATCGCGTCTTCCAGGATCAACGAGATGTCCAGAAACAGGAGTCTTTTACTGTTGTAATCCTTCTCGTTGCACCACCCATATCGGATTGGCCAGAAAAGCTTGTAGCGAGGATTTGATGTATCAGGGATTCTCAAGGCTGCCTGTCCAGTAATGAACTCCGGAGCGGGGTCGGCAATTTCTGTCCACTCCACGCGCATCGGATCGTTGTGCTCTGAAATGGTCTCCGGAGGTGTCCGTCGATTGTAATTCACTACCATCTCCTTAGAATTTGGAAGCGTTCGTCTTTTATTCTGACGCATGTGCGTCTTGAGCTCCGAAGACATCGCCGTGTACTGGGAGGCGAACTGGAGGGCCGTCAGTGATTTATTCGACAACCGCAATATATCGCGATAGACGTACCTCTGTACCAAACATCTTTTCAGGTTCCATCAGTGAGTCGTCATCCAGCTTCTGCCTCTTTGGGATTGGCTCTGTCCCCTCTTCCTCTGACTCGTTTTTGGTGGATTTCCGTGCAATAACCATAGGGACGGTCTTGGGTAATGCATCGCTCGCTAATCCAATTCGCAGGTTCTGGCTCCCGACATGGATTACTATCACCTTTGAACCCAGAGCTTCTGTAGCGGCCTCCTCAGCATCATCCATGGGAGTATCACCGTCTATTTCACCATCTCCTTCTAACTCTTCTGTCTTCCCCATTGCAAGAGCGCGATCCCGATCCTTTGCGCTTTTGGTCATTCGATTTCTCACTTCTTCATTTTGTAGTCGGAAGGCTAGCAGCTGATCATCCCTCTTGAGATAGTCTCTGCAGGCCAGAAACACGTCAGTAAACCAGTGTGGTCAATAACACTACCGTAGGCGTCCAAGCGCAGACAGAGACTGAGAAAGTGAGGTTGCATACGTATAGTAGTTTTTCTGGTTGATCGGAGGTATCTGGGGCCAGCTCGAGAGCTCCATGTTGTTATCTGTACGCTCCAGGCCTTCACAAGTATATTCGTCAGCGTCAACTCCGCAAGTATTGTTGAGTAGCAATGCGCTTGATCGCGGATTACTTACCCTCATCCCGAAGGAGTGCCTTGCCGGATTTCTTCCCAACCATTTTGCTTGCTCCCTGTCTTCCTCAGCGCTACTTCGGCGACTGTTCCAAATCGATTCCAAAGATAGTAAATCGAGGGGTATTGGCGCAGTGCGGAGGATCGCGGTTGGCGGTTGGTGCTGATGAGGTGATGAGACACTTCAGGCGGTCGTCATTAGAGAGGCGTGAAAGACTTGAATTTATGAAACCGCCTTTGTCGTGATAGCAGAGAGAATGGAACCCCGACGAGAGCGCCACAGTAATGGAGAGCCCTCAGTGAATAATGCGGATGGTCCGTCTGCTTCCCTTGGCTTTCAATCCCGGAGAGCGCAAAGCTTGGGCCACGCAGATCGGCCAGGGCGCGCCCGCCTAGCCAACGCCAGCTGGCCCCGATGCGGTCACCACCAGAAGTTCAAGATTGGCGCTCTCCCTTCACAGTTCGTTCAGTCTAACAATCAATCGAAATCGCTCATTGTACAAACGGTCTGGATCCGCTCACGAGGACATGTCATAGTATTTATCGCATCTGTATACTGTTTTGCTTCATCATCCTACGCCTTTTTCTCACGTCCTCGTACCTTCAGTGGCTGCAACCTCGACCTACGGTTGCCGTCAACATCTCGCAGTCTGCCTCTTGCTTGACCGTCTGGACGGCTGGAAATATTCTATACAGATAGCACAATGGGCGTTTCCTTGTCTCGTCTGGTTTCCTTGTTCTGGTCCAAAAAGGAAATCCGTGTTCTCATTCTTGGACTTGTATGTTGGCTGCCTTCTCCCCAGGCCACGCGACCAGAAGTATCAAACAGTATAGGTTCGATACTGACTCGGGTCTCGATGATATAGGACAATGCCGGCAAGACAACTCTGCTATACAGATTGAAGGTATGAAAGCCAGTCGTGATGTTATCTTAGCCTGTTCTCGCTAACAGTTGTTACTCTTCCGCGCAGATTGGAGAAGTTGTGACGACAATACCGACTATCGGCTTCAACGTCGAATCTGTGACATATAAGAACCTCAACTTCAATGTCTGGGTACGTTGAGTCCCTAAGTGGCAACCCGCCCGAGACGTCACTAGGACACAAGCGCTGACTGGGGCATTGATACTTAGGATCTCGGAGGCCAAACATCTATCCGTCCATACTGGAGGTGCTACTATGCAAATACTGCTGCTGTCATTTTCGTCATTGATTCGACAGATGTTGAACGATTAGGAACTGCTGCAGACGAGTTGGCGGCTATGTTGAATGAGGAAGAGCTTCGGGACGCGGCATTGCTGGTCTTTGCCAACAAGCAAGACCAGCCCGGTGCCAAAGGCGCTGGTGAAATATCGGAGGCTCTGAAGCTAGGAGAGCTCCGTGATAGAAATTGGAGTATTGTTGCATGCTCTGCCATTGACGGAAAGGGCATTAGTGAAGGAATGGATTGGTTGGTGGTAAGTATACTCCTGTTATCCAAGACATCCCGTCAGTCGCAGGTCGCCTCTGTTTGGGCTGCATTTCTCTTATGTAGACAGATGCTTACATCACTGTGCAGCAAACAGTCCAATCTGAAAACTCATAAGCGCAGGCGTCTTTGTTATCGTGTCACGAATCCTCACTAATACCACTCGCCTGGCGTTCTCCGTCTTTTACCTCACTTTCCTCGGTTAGACTCTCGGCGGAGGGCCGTAAAGGCCGCGCCATTTTGTATATCACAAAATCATCGAGTTTCACAGCCTAGCAATAGGCCACTACCGATTACTTTAATTTGAGAACTTTGTATCCAAACCGTCACGAAAAGATACCAATCTAAGAATGTCTCACTGTGTAGGCAATGCCGTATATTGATGAGTACCTACACATCCCGTACCTTTCCTAGGTCCAAGCATGCGACGGCAGCTACATAAGCGGAAACGAGTTTGCAGAAGTCCTCAATTGCTAGGTTCAATTTCGAGGCCAGCGTAATTTACTTATTCGAGAAAAACAACACTCAAGGTCGATACTATTGTGGTAGTATTGGAAAGGCTTCCATGCCATCTACCTAAACTTTCCCGTTAGTTAGTGCGTTTCTCATTGGTAAATTGTTTCGAGAAAGTCGGCAGCTCGTCAATTACTATGGAAAGTTTCGTGAGGGGTAATAGATGACCACAGAGCCTCCAAGAGAGCACGGACGATAGGAGCTTCTGAAACATATCGCATTTTGAAGCGTCTTTCGGCAACATAGAAATGCTTTTTACGCTCGTATCAGTGGTATCATGTCTTATCTCGCCTATCAATCGTTGTGGTTATCGAGCTTCCTTATCCGAGATCGATCTGGGATGCTTAGGTAATTATATGCTTCGATTCGCCGTATCTTGGTCCCTTTTATCGCATTTTTGGCTCTGGCCAGGAGAGTGGGGTTGACTTGTTATTAATATTAAGAGAGTCTGGCACTACTGTTGAGGGTCCCTTTAGATATTCTCCTAATCCCGACACAAAGAAACAAATTCTTGAGGTATCACGTTCCGCATCAGCATTCGTTGGACACTATAAACTTGAACGACTACCTGCGTTTCTCGAACATCTTCTATCCGGCAGTGGCTTTGGAAGAACTACATTATATCCTCTAAAATCATAGAAGAACGTATCGGCCATGGAGTTTACAGAAACACAGATTGCTGCAGTCGTCCCGCCTGAAGGGACAGCGTCACACCGTCTCGTTGAAATTGACACCAAATATCCGAAGCCCGTTCCACAAGAAGGCGATTTACTAATTAAGCTGGAGTATTCTGGCGTGTGCCATTCTGATGTGCACAGCGTTCGCAGGGAGACACCAATGTTGACGGATGTGGCGGGGCATGAGGGGGTGGGGACGGTCGTGGGCGGTAAGTTGCATACTCAGATCTAGAGGTGAATTTTGAATTTTGGACATGGAATATGATATTGATTAGATTGTTTTAGTGGGAGCTGGTGTCAATGAGGAAGAGTGGAAGGGGAATCGAGTCGGTGTCCGGTTGGTCTCCTATTCTTCTACCTCATGGGTCACGTACATGAGGTCCTATTTGAGATTTATGCTGAATCTGGGGAAAGATGGCTGTATAGTTCATGTTTGAACTGTGAAATATGTGCCGTCAACAACACATCGTGTCCGTATCAAAAGAATGCCGGTGCAGTAAGTCAAGATTCCGATCCAGACTGTTTTCCCGAAAGAACGTTTCATTGACCGAGGTTCAGAATGTCCCAGGAACTTTCCAGCGTATGAGAGCTATTTATCTTACAATGGAAGTCGATTCTGATGATGAGTAGAGTATATCGTGGCGCCAGCTCTCCATGTTACGAAGATCCCTCCGCAGCTATCCCCGGACGAAGCTGCGCCACTTCTATGCGGTACATCTGACATTGAGGCTGTCAGCATAACTTGGACCTAGCTGACCAATTACTCTAGCCGGTATTGCAACGTATTCCTCTATCATGAAAGCAAAGACACGACCAGGTGATTGGCTGGTCCTTCTAGGAGCAGGCGGTGGGCTTGGACACATGTGAGACTTTAATCCAAGAGGGCTGAGTAGAGGCTGACTGTTCTAGGGGAATTCAAATAGCAGTAAAGAAGGGATTGAAAGTAATTGCTATTGATAGGTAGGATGACCGTTCCTTGCTTTATGAAAAGGGTGCGCAACTCCGTGCAATTACTAACCAACATGGATACCATAAGTGGCGAAGCAAAGAAGAAGTTGTGCCTTTCTTTAGGGGCTACAAGCTTCCTCGACTATAAGACCGACGACATAGAAGCTGAAGTCAAGTCATTGACATCCGGGCTCGGTGCACATGCAGTGATATGCTTGGCAAATAATGAGAAAGCCTATGCACAAAGTATGCGGATGCTGCGTAGAACGGGTATCCTTGTTTGCGTTGGTATACCGAATATACCCTTTAACCTTCCTGCAACGCCTCTCGATATGATCGTCAAAGGTAAGGATCTCAGCTTCTTAGTACCCTGGATGTTATACTACGGAAAATCCCCACATGTACCTCAGATCTGCGGAGAAGTTCGAACATCCACTGATCAATGAGGTCTAGGTCTTACAATCGTGGGCAATTCTGCAGGCACGGCCAAAGAAATGGAGGAGTTGATGGAAATGGCGGTGGCGGGTGATGTAAAGGCACACATCGAGGTTTTCGACTTTGAGCAAATTGCTACTGTGCTGGAGAGACTGGGCAGGTCAGAAATTGACGGGAGGGCCGTCGTCAAAATTCCCGAATAACTGGAGAATGATATTTCTACATTTACTCTACCTAGACCACCTCGAAGATCTGCGGAGTCTGTGGATCTAATACCCCTTGATCCATGCGCTAAAAGTGGCGTCTTCTCGTGCGTCAATGATTAACACCATTGAGGAAAGGATATGGATTACGACCAGTTATTACCCCATATTTTCATATGATTCAGCTTTCTGGACACTGTTGCTGTCCGCAATAGATACTTCCGCTCTTATCTTTTCCCGTGTATCAAAGAAGGGGAAAGTACTAGTAGTAAGGTACGGGGGCTTCCGGAGGTTGATCACCGCAGCTTTTAACTATTTTTGCCCTTGATCCTTACACATCAAACTACATTCAAGAGACATAGAGAACATAGCAATCCTTCCCATGATGATTTTATTCTGGGATACATTTTAGAGCCAGATCGCTTCCCTACTGGCAGAATTGAAATAAAAAGAAGAAAAGAAAAGGACAAAAACTAGAGTACTATGTCAAACTTCGAAAAGCCCGGTAGTTACTACAATTCCCTTGTATAGCTATACGCAAAGAGTTGCCCAGATAGCTTCTTGTCTTGGTATGGACATCGGGTCCGAATCGGAGCATTGACAGTTACCGAGACTCATCCGAAGGGACACATCAGGGGCCCCGCATGATCGATGATCTTCCCCAAGACGGGGGCGAGAAGGGTCTGTCTTAAATAATGTGTCCATTGGTTTTAACTGAAGCAGAGAATCAATGAGATGCTTACGGTATTGACTCCCCAGAGACATGGCCGTCCTGTAGGCCGCCCTTGTAACTCGTGGTAGATCACGCTGTTCCCATTGGCTGATACCCGACTCTGATCCAACAACTTCAACCTTTGGCCATGCAATCGCCCGGAAAGACTACAGCGACATTCCTCGAGACGCCGTGTCCAGAACGTGTTTGCACATGCTATAAAGACGCGTTATTACTTGATATTGCTTCCCTTGAGGCTCCTTTTCAGGCGTTGAGAAACCCTGTCGTAGCCCGTGTACTCCCTGCACTCCACTCGATCCAGCAACGACAATTCGGAACGAGAGCAGATCCCATCTTTACTAACTGCCTTGCTGATCTGAAGCATTGCCGCCGCACGGTTTGAATGGCCTCGTGCTATACGTGCCGGCTAGTCCACACTGCGTCTATCTTATCTTTCGACACGCATGTGTTCTCCTGATAGGATATCGTGATGTTGTCCGTATACTTTCAGCCATTTCCTGCTACCGAGGGGCATGGTGGGCCTGCAGATGAGCTCCCTAGGATACTTGAAGCGATGTACTCAAGTACCAGTCGTTTCTTCCTCGTTTGTGCTTTGCTGGTGTCTCCTCGAGCTTCAGTACAACTGGTAGAGGACCACGTCGCGATTATACAATGAGTCTGGCTGACAGTCTCATTGCGGGATCTATCCCGAGTAGCCTGAGCTCGCCTCATGGCTACATTGCCATTGCTGCTTTCTTTGTCTCTGTTCTTATCGTTTCTGTTCTGATCTTCTCTTCCCAAAATGCGAAATCTGACTACAATAGCGGGATCTGGACCTATCTTAAATTCGCATATGCAAGCTTCTTGAAACCTCATGAGAAGGGCGGCAATGGCCAACAGCAGGCACTGGAGAGCTTTTACAAGACTCAGGTACGGAAACCCGCGTCCTGCTGACGATTACACTACTTACCGCGTGCAGGCGTCCGTCTATGATGCGACTCGTTCACGGCTCCTCCGGGGCCGCGAGGATATGCTTGGCCTGCTCGCTGCACAGCTGAAGCTGAAGAGCGAGAAGCAGGGCGCCAAGGCTCAGAAGCCTATCTGGGTAGATGTAAGTATATCGTTCATTGTCACATTCAGCGGGCTAGGCTAATTTTGTCAGATTGGAGGAGGCACTGGGTAGGTCGTCGGCATATTCTCATCAGTGACACATCTCTTAACCGCTCATTAGATACAATATTGAGGCAATGGCTTCCTTCCTCCCAGTCGACTCATTTTTCTCCCGCGTCTACCTGGTCGATCTATCACCGTCGCTTCTCGAGGTCGCCCGTAAGCGATTCGAACGATTAGGATGGAAAAACGTAAGTGTGATTTGCATTGACGCTCGGTCTTTTCGCCTTCCGAAAGGTGATGATGGAGCCGATATTGTCACTATGAGCTATAGCTTGTCTATGATACCAGGTGAGAATATATCCGGACCGCGATAGTCAAGTCAACTGCTAATGGATGGCAGACTACTATAGTGTGGTTGATTCCTTCACCTCCCTTCTGAAACCCTCCGGTATTATTGGAGTCTGCGACTTCTACGGTAAGCAAAATTTCATCGGTATTTCGGTTTCGGGAACTGAGTGGGCGAAATAGTGCAAAGCATAGTTGATGTTTCGTCACGGAATTATACTGGAGGGGCCTTCAACCGCCATGTGAACTGGCTGGGACGCGCATTCTGGCGTGCTTGGTTCGAGGCTGACAGGGTTAATCTTGAGGCTGCCCGCCGCGATTACCTGGAATACCGCTTTGGTACTGTCATTTCAGCAAGCGAGAGAAATTACCTTCTAGGAGGTATCCCTTATTATATCTTCATCGGTTGCCAGAAGGACGTTGCCTCCAACCCTTCCAGCATTGAGCAACTGGATGCATCTTTCACAGAGTCTCCTTATCTCTCACCAGCGAACCATCGGAAGGAGATTGACGTCGCGATCGAACAGAGCGAAAAGGAAATCCGGTCCAAGGCATACGAATCGGCAGTTATCAACCTCAGCGCGAACCTGCCGCTCCCTTCGTCTTTCTACCAGAATCACCATTACCGAGTCTACTACAACGATCTGCTGCCCAAGCACACCCAGTTCCAGAATGAGTACATTTATGCTTTCACATGGGAGGATCCCCGAGTAGACCACCGTCTGCTAAACATTGGACCTGATGATGTTATCTTGGCCATCACCAGTGCCGGAGATAACATCCTGGATTACCTGCAGAACAACCCCAGGAGAGTGCATGCGGTAGACCTCAACCCTAACCAGAACCACCTCCTCGAACTCAAAGTGGCAGGGTTTAGTGCGTTGAGCTACGGGGATTTCTGGAAGATTTTCGGAGAAGGCAAACATGAGAAGTTCCGTGAGCTCCTCATCTCTCAACTCAGCCCACACCTTTCTAGTCAGGCCTTCCAGTATTGGCTCGAGCATTCTCATGTCTTCACATCCGCCTCTGGACGGGGGCTCTACGAGACTGGCGGTTCTCGCCACGCAATCAAGATGGTCCGATATTTGTTCAAGGTCTTTGGCCTTGAAAAGGAAGTGAAGAAGCTGTGTGAAGCTCAGACCCTGAACGAGCAGCGGGAGATCTGGCCCCGTATCCGTGGAGTACTGATGAGCTCCCCTCTCCATTATGCTATCGTTTCAACAGAATGGTTTGCTTGGAAGGCTGCCGGTGTACCGCGCAATCAAAGGAACATGATTATCGATGACTACCTCAAGAGGAATGGCCTGACTCATGACATGAAGACGACCAAGGATGTCAGCGGCAAGGCTATCTGGGAGTATGTCGTCGACACGTTGGACCCGGTCGTCAAAGACACAATGATCAGCAACGACAACTACTTCTACTATCTCTGTTTGCAGGGACGCTTCTCGAGAAGGTAGGGGATTATTACCACGACGATTGCTGTTTCACGTGCTGATTGCAAGCAGATGCCACCCTACTTATCTGAGCCCGAAAGCTCATGCGAAATTGTCGTCATCTGGTGCCTTCGACGGTCTCCGGATTCATACGGACGAGATCAACGAGGTTATTGCAAGAATCACGCCAGGGACTCTGACGATCGCAGTGGTGAGTTCAAAAAGCTTTCCTAATCGAGAATGTACTTACGCGTTTCTAGGTCATGGACTCAATGGACTGGTTCGACCCCAAGGGCGATGCAGCTACCTCACAAGCCAGAACATTCAACCGTGCTCTAAAGATGGGAGGCCGCATTTTGCTAAGGTCAGCCAGTATCGAACCCTGGTATATTGAGAACTTCGAGAAGAGTGGCTTCTCCCCACGCCGTGTAGGCGCTAGATTCCCCGGGTCGTGTATTGATCGGTAAGTGATACGAGGCAGATATTTTGTCTACGTTACAAAAAGATGCTAATTGACTTTAGTGTAAATATGTACGCGTCTACTTGGATATGTACGAAGACTGCAGAATTGGGACGCCCTGGCTCTGGTCCCAGCCAAAGATCGAATAGTGTTGAACACTTGGAGATCTAAATTTTCGATTCTGCGAGCGTAAAAGAAAAAAGAAAATAGAAAAAAAGAAAGAAAAACTATAGGTTCTTTACTTAACGCCTATATCTAGAAATTCTATTAAAGTGCGAGATTACCTACTTTTCGAAGATCCAAATTTGATTCTATAGATTATCGTGGCAGGTGCGGTCAGATAGTATACGGTGCCGGCGGCCTACTGCCCGTTGCGGTGTAAATTATGTAGCCTCTACTGTACGACTGTGGGAATCGCGCCGGGTCTCGTCACTTTTGCCCGTGCACCTATCCGCGCCATCTGGATACACTCATAAAGCTGGAGATAGCAAATCAATCACCTACCTATTCAGTACCTGGTACGTGTCACGTGATTGCTGCCTCATACATGTCGTACCTCTTTCATTAACGCTGATTTCATCTTGTTCCTTCTTATATCATTTTCAGCCTCTCCCTTACCTCGAAGTGCATTCTCCGTGTTCATTATATCTTTGTGATACCTTCTGGACGTACGCCTCAGTAGCAAAAAGCGTCAAGTCATCCTCAAGATGGCTGGAAATATCTTCTTTGCTAGAGGTTTTGACAAAATGAGGATTGAATTTGACGATTATCCGCACCCATTGATCCTAGGACAGAAGATTCTGGAAAGGAAGACTCAACTCGATGAGATGTCATGGGAAACGGACCGGGTTGCTTCTCAAGCTTGGGCAATTTATGTCTGTGAGAACCTCAACGACCCTACTGATCAGGCAATCATGAAAATATACATGCAGTATGCTTGCTACTTCTTGAAAACTCTATGGTTGCTAATTCTCTTATAGAATTCCCTATGCAGGATCAGAGTTCGATACACCGCAGCTGAGGGCCTCGCAAGCGCTAGAGCTCCAGGGCTTTGCAAGATCAGAATATAATGCTCTTAAGCTGTTTACGGAAAAGGCCTGCCCCTCAACTCCAAAGCTCCTGGCATCTAAAGTAGATACTCAAGGCCCACAGGACTTGGTTCCTGGTGGTTTCATTGTCTATCTGTTAATGGAGAAGTTACCTTGTTGTCGCCTGGAAGATGAGGTCTTCTGGAACTTAGATGAATCTGAACGTGCCGATATCCGACAAAAGTTCAAGGAAGCATGGATGTATGGTTTCCCACTTTCCTACTACATCTCTTACTCTCGGCAACGCTTTTTCTAACCTAGTAACTCTTCGCAGTTCTTGTTACAACGCCGGCCTTGTACTTTATTTAGGCAACACCGATAACATTCTGTGGGATGCTGCAACCAAAAGACTGTGAGTGATCGCAACCATTCTAGTGCTAGGAAAGTGTAGATCTCTAGAGCTAATTATATTGTGCCACACTATAACAGCTATTTTACAGGGTTCCAGTACACTTGTTCATCAGAAGAATATGCACAAGGATGGGATGATAAGCAGTTGAGGCTATGGTTTCTGTCAAAACCACCCAAGTACCTCCTAAAGCGACCCACTAGAGATCCGAAACCAGAGGATTCTCTAATCGCCTTACGTGATGGTTCCAGGCGTGAAATATCAGATGTTTTTGGAAGATAGATGAGCAGTTCTGTTGTAGTTTCCTCTCCAGGACATTGTTGATCTAGACACGCGGATAACTGATATATGTGTGAATCATGCCCAATGATATAATAGCTCTCTACTTTGGAATCAGAGCGTTTAGGCTATAGATTGCTACCTTGAACTTCAGCAATATCTGTTCTAGGGGTTTGTTCTGTTCCTTTTATTTTTATTCATTTCCCTTCACGTAGACACGCATCGTAATATCCCTGTCACGTGTCGTCTAGCTTCAATAATTCAAGTATAAAAGTCTTCATTGAACTTTCTAGGATTTTTCATACTGCATGTGGTTGAGAATATGGTTTATGAATGGTTCTCCTACCTGTAGTTTCCAACCATACTCACATAGAAGGGGGGAATATCTAACCCAATTCCATTAACTCAAGTACCTCTATTTTCAGCTATAGTCATGCATAGAGAGTGAATTCTGGCACTAGAGGCCTAGTAGTAGGGGATCTCCCTCAAAATCTGCTTTAGGCTTAGTTCAGTGCACAGTGATAGCATACCAGGTAGATACCTACCTAGTAGGTAGGTACCTATGTAGGTACCTAGCTTTGATCTTTCGACCTACCCCTCTTTCCTTCCCCCAACAGATCCATCACCGAAATGGCAGACGATGCTACGAGAGCGCAGGTGACTGGCCTACCAGAAAAAGTGCCTGAAACGATCAGAGCCATCTACAAGTTGATGACGTCGATATAGTATGATAGCTGCCTCTTATATGGTTTCAAAATGCTCTAATACCGATGGATTGTAAATATCTGATTGACGCGCCTCGATGGCACTCAAGACCCCTAATACGAAAGTTTTCTCCGTCTATTTATACCTAAATAGTCCTTCTTTGACCTGTTAATATGCCTCGGGAACTCCGTTTGAAAGATCGCCGTATGATTTAAAACCCCCGGGTGCTCCCCTGAGAAGCAGATGCGAGACTGCTATCCAGAACGCTTGTATGGCCATTGACTGTTATAACTACTACTGTAACTACAGACGCCGCGGTAACACAACAGACCGCTGGTCTTGAGACCGACAAGGTCGATGTTGGTGACACAAATTTTAAATATTTTGGGTACGCTCCCCTCAGATATACCCGTATGGAGAGGGAAAGAGAAAGAGAGATAAATCACTAACAACGACAGCAAAATATATTACTCTTTCTTCTCCTAGCCTCTGACGCCAATTTATCCCATGAGCATGTTGTTCATGGAGATGAAACTGGGGTACAAGGACGGTTCGAAAGTAATGTAGGCCGAATTGTATCGGCCGTCTTCAAAGCAATGAATGTGCCAATTACCTTAGGTGACTATAAGGCTAGCCAAAGGGCAAAGGGCGAAGGCAAAGAACACATGCAACATATCCTTGGTAAGCAAGACATGCATGCATAGTTATTCGACATACATATCAAGGCTGACTTGACTCTGTAGGCCAAATAGCAGAATACCTGTATTTGGCCAAGTTCAAATTCGGATATATATCAACATATGACGAAACCATATTCTTGAAACAAGAACTTACCCAAGATGGATGGGTATTGTTTCACAGTAGTATTATCCTTCATTCTAAAGAGTCAGAAGGAGAGCCGTCGTTACGCGAATGCCTTTGGTACATAGCGCTGGCAGCGGAAGGGAAAACGATATTTTAAAGGAAAATGTGTAATCTGGCGGAACTATCATCGCAGTGACGATCAAGCCAAAGGCGCAATGGGTGAAGAGATGGAAACGAAAATTGTTGCGGATTAGCCTATTGGCTCATTGAATAAGGTGCCTGATAAAATCGGATAGGATGTCTAATTCGTTCTCAGAAGTTTCTCTTTATCCTTGCATATTACCAAACTAGAATCAGAATGGCTAGGTACCTTTGATAATACGCTGAATGCCTCCAAGCTGCCATGTTTATCCAGGCCCAGATCACGTAGGGATTGCTGCAGGTGCTTGACTCCAAGCACAGCCTTTTGAGCTGGTAGGAAAGCGGGTGGTTGGCCGCTCTGGCAACTCCTCAAAGCCATGATCTATAACAATTAGCCACTCATTGTCAATGAAGAGAACAGTATGGCAACCTTTCGAGGTGTCTGATCTGCCTATATTTTGAATGGTGGAGATCCTCGCGGCGGAACGCGCGTCAGCGGCTAATCGCGCAGCACAGCCAACAGCCGCCAGCACGTATGTACTGTACTTGCTGTCTTAATGCCACCCAGCAGCTTCTCCCGGATGACAACCTAGCTCAACGGCAGCGCTGCCTACGCTCTGATCAAACAGTTATCTTTCCGTCTCGTCCTCTAGACTGCTCTCATATTTTTGCAGTGAGCAGGGAGGTCAGGGCCAGCTACTGTTTATTCTGAACCCAGTCAGGGGATGCGCCTGGGGCTAGACCTCCGCAACCGAGCAACATGGCCATGATGGCTAGTGGAACATCCGGCGTTCCTCACGAAGACCACTATGATGACGACTCCCTGCTGGACAATGACTTGATCGATCCCGATGATGGTTTGCTACCTCGTCTCTGGGTACGCACGAGCTTTAGCTAACGTGCTCAATCGCAGCTACAGCTATCGAGGCAGACGACCCCCTTCAAGCCGACACTTCCGATCGAGCTCCGCTGACGGGAAACATTCAATCTTCCTCATCTCAAGATGGCGGTATCTCAGGGAACTATCTCACTTCTTCAATTCCTGGTGAGGACCGTCGTGCCCCGCAGAATACCATCGACGAGAGCGTCTGGGACACTCTGTCGCGGGATCTCCTCGCCGTGTGGGAGAAGATGAGACAGGTCCTTTGGCCCAAGTACCTGCTTGGAGGTATACTCCGGCAAGGCGGTGGCATTGGAGCTGCTGAGAGAGGAGAGGCGACTGGCTTTAGAGGCGGCTTGAGAGGCATTGTTGGCCGATGGCCGGACGCTGATACGGTGCTGCAAGGCGGCATGAGTGAAGGCTTGAGAGATTGGGACTTATGGTAATGGCGCCCGGATTGTCGCAAGTCGAGAGTATATGCGTTGGGATTGCTGACACTGTTACTCTAGGGGTCCTTTGATTTTCTGTCTACTTCTGAGCATGTTCCTCTCCATGCGCGCGAAGGATGAACAATCGTCCCTTGTGTTCTCCGGGGTCTTCTCGATCGTTTGGATCGGAGAAGCAGTTGTGACACTCCAGATTAAATTGCTAGGTGGAAACATGTATGTGGACCTCGCTCTAATACTCCATGATCTTGAGCTGACCTCCGTGCGTTTAGTTCGTTCTTCCAGTCGGTATGCATTATCGGATACACATTATTCCCTCTGGTCATCGCCGCACTTCTAAGCGCACTGGGCCTGCCCATCATCGCTCGGATACCGGTCTATCTTGTGCTCATCGCGTGGTCCCTCGCTGCCGGAGTTAGTATATTAGGGGGCTCGGGCGTGGTCAGGAATCGCGTGGGCCTTGCGGTGTATCCGCTGTTTGTTTTCTATATTGGTATCGGGTGTTTATGTTTCATTAGCTAAAGGACTGCGGTCTTGGTTTCATTGCAAATGAGTGTCGGCCGTGCCGTGCTCCACTTTGGCCGGAGGACAATAATTGCCAGCCAGGCATATTAAGCGGTGACGAATTGACGTGTTCGGGGAATTGAGGATGTATAGGATAGCCGTGAACTTGATATACTTTCTCTCGTACTCGATTATTATCGACTTAGCCGACAAGCGCGCTATTAATTCGCAACCTAGATCCAACCGGCTGAGTTGTTTGCTGCGGGGTGAAGTAGTGAAGCGGTCGCCGGGAGACCAAAGAAGAGAAGGCCAACACCAAAGTTCGACCCGCCTTGACTCTCTCGTCTACGGATCTCTAGACCTTCTTCCTCCGACTCCTTCTGGTCCGGCTCCGTCTTTCTTCCTAGTCCTTGGGCGCTTGCACGTCTAGAGCTCGTTCCTTGATCTAACTACTTCTTCCACTCTGCACTACAGCCAACCGCGGCTCGTTCAAGGCCGGCCGTCACTCTGTCTCGCGAGGTCTGAGCTAGCCCTGGCGTCAATTGGAGCAAAAGCCGGACTTCTCTCGACATCGCTATCTCCCTTTGTGTAACGTGTACAAGCGAAAGAAGCTGGAGCAGCACCGCAAAACTGCAACGTCCCCCATACTTTTTTCCGCAAAGCGTAGGGCCCTGAAGTCTCTCCACCCTTGAAAGCAGACGGATGACTAGTGAGTATATCCTTCTGCGATCTTATGCAGGGTCTCTTTCTACAACGACCGCAAGGGCGGCCCCTTTTGTTCTTTTCCAGGTGGACTGACTAGAGAAATTTTTCTTCTACAGGAAGCTTGCCTACTACCTACCTGGCGAACGATATCCCGACTCTCCTTGCCGTCGCAACACTTCACTCAGCGAAATTGCCTTGCGCGTAAACTTGCAAATAGTTTCAACTTTCTATTTACCCGAATCTACGCCGATAACCTGATCACCCAAGATGGCGTCTGATACCCAGGAACACAATGGTGCGTCTACTGCTGAGAAAGAGGACCACGTCACCCCGCTACCCCCAGACAACACATCGAGCCCAGACTTACCCAGTTCTCCATCATCAGAGGACAAAGAGCCCCAGAACCCCAAAGGTACGAATGAGATTACCCCTCCGCCCTCGGATTATGCGGAAAACAAAATCAACCCTGAAGTGGACCCTGGGACCCGGAATCAAGAGCAAAAGGCCACGCAGACCGTTGCCCGCAAAGATGACGCTGCCGTCTTTCTTATTATTGTCTTCCTTATCTTGGCTCTCTTTTTTACCATGCCAGCAAAGCTAGAGTCTAACAAGAAAAACGTTGGAACAGACACGAATGAGGACCCCACTACCTCCGATAACGATAATACCGGCGAGCGCCCCGTTCGACAGAAGCTGAAAGAGACGACTATTGCGGGGAATCCAGAAGTGTCTGAGAATACCGATACGAGCGATTCGCGCTCTACTAGTAGAGGACGGGCGTCCAGGAAACGATCCTTCGACGATCTTCAGACGGACAATAACGATGCAGCTGCTGAGTCTAAAGACGAGAACAGTCATAGACGAAAGAGATCTCGCGATTCCAAAGAGCTGACCACACCGCCGCCGGAACAGTCGAAGGACGTGGATGATAAATCAAAGATTCTCAGTCCTAAGAAGAAGAGAAGCATAGATCAACTCGAAAAGGACGATGCCAAGATAGAAGAGCCGGCGGGAAAGGCGACATATGAGAACGGATTATCTGAACCAGAGAAGAAGAGACACCGCGACAATTCGCAGGAGCGTAGCGCTGCTGAGGCATCTAAGGATGAGGCATCTAAGGTTCGTTTATATCCTCCAGGTCGTTCTGTTTCCTAGGTCTGACTTACCGAACAGCCTTCTCTGCCCTCTGCGTTTGCCAACACCTCCGCCGTCTCGCCGTTCGCGTCTCTCGCTCCCAAGTCTAAGAAAGAAGAAGAGGCTCCTAAGACCACTCATGTTACTTCAGCCTCTGCGTTCGCTTCGTCAACTTTTGGGGCGTTTGCGTCTTCGACGCAGTCACCTTTTGGTTCCCTTGGGGCATCTACGTCGTCTGTCTTCAAGAGCACTTCCACTACTGAATCCGAGAAACCTGCTACTGCAGGGTTTGCGGCTGCCGCTGGACCTTCCCCATTCGCAGCAGCTGCAACCTCCAGTACTTCTGCCTTTGGCACCCTAGGGTCCGGATTCAGCGGATTCGCCGCTGCTGCTCCCAAGCCAGGAGGTGGACTCACGAGCTTTGCTGCACCTGGTGGCCCTGGTATCATTGGCGCCGAAAAGGCGAAGCCATTTGGTTCATCAGGAGATAACTCCGATGAGGAAGGTGAACAAGATGAAGCCAAACCTGGCTCGGAACTTCCAACTTTTGAGAAGGATAAGGAGGATGAACGGTTCTTTGAGCAGCCGAGTATGATTTGACCATCTCCTCGCGGACCTTTTTCCCCTCGCAAATGCTAATCTTTTATAGTTGAAACCGGCGAAGAAGAAGAAACGACATACTTCTCTTGCAAGGCCAAGCTGTTTGGCTTCTCTGGAAAGGAGTGGAAGGAACGTGGACTAGGCACGTTCAAGGTGAATGTTAAGGAACCAAAGGGCGATGGCAAGAAGACTGCTCGGCTTATCATGCGTGCGGACGGCGTCTTGCGGGTGATGCTGAATACGCCTATCTTTAAGGGCATGACGGTTGGAGATGCTACAGGAAAGGAGCCGTCCACCAAGCAGTTGCACCTGGCTAGTCTTGAAAATGGACGTTCCGTGCCGCTTCTTCTTCGAGTAAGTTGTCTTCCTGATCTTGGCGCCTACACTTCTCGCTGACATTCTCGCAGACTGGCAGCAATGACCTTGCAAAGGAACTTTACCACGTGATCCAAAAGCTTCAGGAGGAGCTATGAACGTCGAGAATAGACGTAGCTAGCAAGCATCTCCTGTGCGATTGAATTCGGTACATTTCAAGCGAATATTTACGCTGAACGGGCTTCACGTCTGCAACTCTTGAGGTTATCTTACTACGACTAGGGAACAGAGAATTGTTGTTGGGTCCAGCATGTGCTGGACACCCAATTCTCTCCGCTGGTCAGAAGATATCTCGGATGAAACAGAAATTCATGGGGTCTGATCACGATGTCGTCACAGGAGTCAGCTTGCTCAATCCAGTGCGGATTTGGGGCATATCTTGCACTTAAACCGAAAGGTCCGAACAGAATATCATTTATTCTGCGAACGGGCCTTATGGGTCTCATCTTTTGGCCGCGGCGGATTGAGTCATTGACCGGGTGTTCTATGTACAGCAGTTCATACTTAAACCTGAGTCAGACCTACGGGCCTCTCGTTCGTGGTCTTCTAAATCTGTTTCTTTTATGCCGGCGGGCTGTCATTCAAAATAGGCGGTACATTTAGCATAGTTGTTCAGTCGGGGAGTTCTAAGCATGCGCAATTGGGGCAGGGCGATCTCTTTCATATTCTTTGACTCTGGGTGCATGTTGGAGGTGGGGCTTTCCCCAGCATAGCTGAGCTATTCCATTTCATAAATGTCAGGATAGAGTCGATTGTTATGTCAACAAAGAATAATAATATTGAAGCACTTTTGCCTAAACTTCCCGTATGGTAAAAACATAAGATTTGACCTGGTACCTCATCTGCCCACTGGAGGGGTGTGGAGCCATTAAATTCCGGCCATTATCACTTCAGGTATCAGGAAACCGAGTTAAGCATTCGAATGACCTCTATCATCCTCCGTCTTTTTAGGCATCCGCGGCAATCCCAACCACAACAACAAGATACTCGCGGAAAGCGCAATTATAAATGGCTGCAAGACCTGTACACCGCGCGCTTCAGCAAGCGCACCCATTGCAAAAGGAAAAACCGAACCTCCCACTCCTCCAACAGCTGCCGCGAAGCCGATAGCGCTGACGTGAAGATTTCGTGGAAGAAGCTTCGTAGCAACTACAACAGCTGCAGGGAAGAAGGGGCCCAGGAAGAAGCCCTGAAATGAGACTGCTACTGCGGAAGAATAGAAATCCGGTACGAGCCAGAGGATCAGTCCGGCTGTTATGGCGAGGAGGGAGTATATCTGGCACCGAAATTGTAAGCACTATGTGTCATACGCATGGATATTTCTTTCAATATACTTACAACGATACTCAGCTTCTCCCCCAATTTAGGCGTCACGAAGCCCAAAACAACCCTCCCACAGGTGATTCCCAGCCAGAACCCCGTAGCAGTCATGCCACTGGCGAAGGGCTCTCCATGTCTTACTCTTCTCATGAACGTCACGATCCAGCCGCCCAGAGCAACTTCAATGCCTACATATCCGAGAAGGAAAAGAGCGCAGATCCATGTGACCCAGGCGTATTGTTTTTGGAGAAGGGCCTGACGCAGTCCACCCTTGGTCTCTTCCCCAGGGTGGTTATTCTGCGTTGCAGGCGCGCCCGCATCCCAGAAGGCAGCGAGACAGAAACCAAATTCGATCGTCGCTAAACCGATCTGCAAGGTATATAAGCGAACGGAACTGGGACTTGTATGGGATCTTAGTCAGAGATGGTCAAAATCTAACATACCATGAGATAATAAAAGTAATACCAGGGCAAATCCGCTCTCGTGATCAGAGAAGTGGCAACGAACGGGCTAAGCACGCCTCCGACTCCATAGAAGCCATGCAAAAGCCCCAGGACTTGGTTCGCATTGGCCATATTGCCGATCCAAGCATTCCATCCTGAGTCCGCGAGGCCGTTTCCAAAACCTGCGAAGATGAACGAAACCACCAGGACTGGATACGGTGGGTGAAGACAATTGACAATGTAGGCGATGATATGGCACCCGGGGCCAATCCAGGCGACGCCACGACGACCGAATCGATTGTGGATTTTATTGTTAAGTAATGCGGAGCAGATGTAGCCGAAGAGTGGCGAGAAGAATAAGATGGATACAACGGTGTAGGAGAGGTCGTAGTATGTTTCCAGCTAATCATATGTTTTGATTTGGTTAGTTCGTCATGCGATCTTTTCCCATACTTGGATTGAATTGATATATGTGCCCCGGTACTGTTATTGTCAACTTACATAAGGAATCAACGGCTACAAAATCATTTAATTCAGTTACAGACTCGATTTCCCTTCTATTGGGAAGCGATAACTCACCCCATACGCGGAATCATTCATCCCCATGACGAGAAAACTCCAGAACGTCGCTAGTGTCTTCCATACATTGGACCGAGGAGCGTTCCATCGTTCCACCTGCTGGAATACCTGGTGTGGCTCCTGTTCCAGTAGTTCTGGGGATCGATATTCGGGACTTTTGAGATCAGCTAGGGGTATTTCAGTTGCTGCCATGGTGGCTTTGATAGCAATGCTGAGACAAAGATGAGGAGAAGTGGGAAACCTGCGGTCGTCGAAGCGCTCGCCGTCTTAGGTACTTATTGCCAAGAGATGAACTCGCAGGGCTTTTAGCTAGCTCTGGTGGATAAGACAGTGTTCATGAGCAGTTGCGACTACAAGGGATGATTCTAGTTTGCGCTGATGTCTCTGGATTTTATCACAGACCTTTACTTCAACGTCCAAGTTGTCAGTAAGACATTCGTCTCTGATGTATACCTTAGTAGGTACCTAGATAGCGACTATTACACTATTTTTATTGATGCCTGGAAGAAGCCACAAATATCACCAGGCGCATACATCATATATTGAAGCCTCTTCGACTTCTGCTAAGAGCTACTCCATCATATGACAGATCTATACGATGTTAATGAGCCAGCTTAATAGACCCGTGCACTGTGCAGTTCGTCAGATGCCATCCGCAGGCTACCACTAATTTTGACATCTATATCCCAGGAAGGATATATCCACAGTACGATTTCCATACGTGTGGTTATTCCACTCACAACCAAACCATTATAGAAGTTGGAAACATTACATTGTTCATTCTCGGACTTCATTCTCGGACGTTGATACCCCGCATTATTCTTTCCATCCACGCTATTCCATTTGAAGGTTAATTGCGCACGTGACCACGTGTCTCGCCGCTTCTCACTCCCCGCCGCAAGTTCAATCTCCAGAGTTATCCATTCGGTGAAATTAGTGATGGTTCGCGGGCAAGGTCTGCTCTGCAGCTGCGATGGCCACCTCGCAAAATGGCGTGAAACGGAAAAGAGGTCCAGAAGATGATGGGCAACTCAGTTCTCCTTCACCTTCGGCGGACGGCGCGTCAACGCCCGCGACTGAAATCGCGATCGCCACAACTGTCCCGACAAAGACGGACGATGGCCCACCTTCTGACCAGGGGGTCAGGAAGGCAGTTCGTGGACGAGGGAAGCAAGGACGAATCTCATCCCCAAGCGTTGAGACCAGCACAAATGGCGTCGATAGTGACGGCCGACGCAGCAAATCTCGCTCTGCCACGCCTAAGCCAAAGCCAAAGCCAAAGCAAAAACGAACTCCTTCCGCTCCATGGCCAGAGACGTTCAAGCAGCTCTCAAAAACGCATCGAGCTTTGAACCTCGTCTATACATTCTGCTGCACGAGGAAACATCTCGCCACGACATTTGATAAGATCAAAGGTGCTGTGGAGGCTCAGATGGGCGGACGAAATCTGACTGTGGAAGACATCGCACGGGTGAAGGTGCTTGTCCCACATGCAGTGAGGTTTGAGGTCGTGGATGAGGCTGCCTTGGAAGTTATGGGGGCTGGCGAAGGGGGGCGGGACGACCATAGGTTCATGAGAGGAAGCGGACCAAGTGCCATTGAAGACGGAGAGAATCTTTCAGTTATCAACATGGATGCGGATAAGGATAGAAACGAAGTGCTACTATTTGAATTCCTCGATGGGGATCTAAAAAGACAGGTTCAGCATCCCAAGACCGGAGAACCGACCAAGCCCACCCGCAGGATGAGAGACGAAGATCTCAAAATGCCCGTCTACAGTCAGAAACAAATGCTCGGCCTCATTGAGAAACGAAATAAGAAGTTTATGGAGGCCATCGATGCGTTTCTGGTGAAGTGTGAAGATGATGGTGTAGATCCGGTCGAGAGACTGGAGAAGGATAAAGAAGCGCTCATCCCTTCGATGCCCAATAGTGGCACTACTACGCCAGCGGTTCCGCAATTTCCAGCTGAAATTCCGAAAGAACGCAAGTCAATCTCTGAGATTATAGCTGAGATTAGGGAGATGGATTGGTATACGGCTCAGATTGTCCCAGATGGTCATAGAGTTTTCAATCCGCAACCACCGGTCTATGGAGATCTGAATTTTCAGCTTTCCCAGAACATTGTAAACGCCCTGTATAACACCAGAGGCATTACAAAGTTCTATTCTCATCAAGCAGAGGCTATCAATCATCTCTACGAAGGGAATAATGTCATTGTGTCTACGTCTACGAGCTCAGGGAAATCCCTGATATATCAGGTTCCGATGCTGCACGAATTGGAGAAAGATCCAAACAGTAGGGGACTGTATATTTTCCCCACGAAAGCGCTAGCGCAAGATCAGAGACGCAGCATGAGAGATTTGCTGCAGTACATGGACGGTCTGCAGGAGACTATTGTGGAGACATTCGACGGAGATACTCCCATGGATGATCGAAATATCATCCGGGACGAAGGTCGAATTATCTTCACGAACCCAGACATGTTACACATCACTATCCTTCCGCAAGAAAGCTCCTGGAGAACCTTCCTCAAGAACTTGAAATTTGTCGTCGTGGACGAACTCCATGTCTACAACGGATTGTTTGGCTCCCATGTTGCCTTCATTATGCGGCGGCTACGGAGGATATGCGCCGCCGTCGGAAATCGCCATGTTAGATTCATATCTTGCTCTGCTACCGTTGCAAATCCGGAAGAGCACATGAAAGCGATATTTGGAGTGGAAGACGTGAAGTTGATAGATTTTGACGGTTCTCCAGCAGGCCGCAAGGAATTCATCTGCTGGAATACCCCGTTTAAGGATCCTGGAGACCCAACTTCGGGACGAGGGGACAGTCTATCCGAGACAGCCAGGCTGTTTTGCCAACTCATACTGAGAGGAGTCAGAGTCATAGCTTTCTGCAGGATCAGGAAGCAGTGCGAGTTACTTCTCCAGAACGTGAGAAGCGAATTCCAGAGCCTGGAGAGACCGGAAATTGGAAAGCTTGTGATGGGGTATAGAGGCGGGTACAGCCCTCAAGACCGCCGGAAAATCGAGAAGGAAATGTTCGAAGGGAAACTCATGGGGATTGTTGCAACAAACGCTCTCGAACTGGGTGTTGATATTGGCTCTCTCGATGCCGTGATAACTCTCGGCTTTCCCTACTCAATTTCCAACCTCCGTCAGCAAAGCGGTCGAGCTGGTCGCCGTAACAAAGATTCCTTATCTGTCTTAGTGGGCGACAGTTTTCCCACAGATCAGCATTATATGAAGAATCCGGATGAGATCTTCACAAAACCGAACTGTGAACTGCAGATTGATTTAACAAACGAGCTTATCCTAGAAGGACATATTCAGTGTGCTGCGTTCGAGATGCCTATCAGGCCGGAGGAGGATAGTCATTACTTTGGAGAAAACCTCGGAGAATTCGCTTCAAGCAGACTCATCAAAGATGGCCTGGGGTTCTACCATTGCCACGAGAGGTTTCGTCCTCAGCCTTCTAGATATGTCTCGATAAGAGATACAGAGGAAAACCACTTTGCCGTCATCGACACCACCAACAATCGCAACATTGTCCTTGAGGAAGTCGAAGAATCGCGCGCTTTGTTCACTATCTACGAAGGTGGCATCTTTATGCATCAGGGTGAGAAGTACATCGTGAAGGAGTTGAATCCCGAACGGCGTTTCGCGCGTGTTGTTCGTGTTCACGTCGACTGGAGTACACAACAGCGCGACTTCACAGATATAGATCCTATCGAAACCGAAGCCATCCGCTCCATCAACGATGCATCCCGCGCCTTCTTTGGTTCTATCCAGATTCATTCCGTGGTTTACGGGTTCTTCAAGATCGACAAGCGCGGCCGCGTGCTCGATGCCGTCGCCGTGGACAATCCCCCAATCGACATCCTCAGCAAGGGTATGTGGCTCGACGTGCCCAAACGCGCCATGGAAATCCTCGAGTCCAGGAGACTCAACATCGCAGCCGCCATCCATGCTGCTGAACACGCGATTCTCTCTTTGATGCCCACATTCGTGATCTCTACCCCCGGTGATGTCCGCACAGAGTGCAAAGTCTCCAAGAAGGAACTAGGCAAGAATCTCAAGCGAGCAAACGAGTCTCGTCATCGGTCGTCCAAACCAGACCCCATCGACCTGCGACCTCCAGCGCGCCAAAGACCTGCGCGTCTCACATTCTATGATGCCAAAGGCGGTTCCTCCGGCTCCGGTATCGCGAGTAAAGCCTTCGAGTTCATCGACCTCCTCCTTCGCCGTGCGCTCTCTCGCATCGAGACATGCACCTGTGTCACGCCGCAAGGCTGTATCGAGTGCGTCTGCGATGAGCGCTGTAAAGAGCAGAACGTGGTGATGAGCAAAGCTGGCGCGGGTGTCGTGCTGCGATGTCTCCTCGGTTATGATGTCGATGTCGACTCTCTCCCCTGGGGAGAGGACTTTGAAGGGGAGGAAGGAAGTGGTGAGTTGGCGGGTGGTTATGAGACGGTTGTCGAAGCGAGAGAGGTCCCCCTCCGTCCTGACGCGAGGATAATCGGAGAACGCACGAATGATGACCAAGCATTAGGGCAAAGGGAAATGGACTGACCGATAGATTTTGATACCAATGACGCCTTTAGATGAAAATAATGCATTCATGAGAGATATATATATATATACTCGAACCGTTTCGCGAGTATTGACTAATGAAACCCGCAGACTCATCTGTTATCCCCCGTCTTGGTAGGCTACCAATCAAGTGAAAGGTTCCATTTAATACGTTTAAAGACATACATATATCTCAAGACGGACATATCAAGTAAGCCGCCAGAATTAATATTATTTCATGTTTCCCTTGATACCCCAAGGCAAGTCTGCTATTACGAATCTAATGTACACTGAAATATGCAATATTGCGCAAAGCCGGATACCACGACTGATAGCAAATGCTCCGTGTATACTTCTCAAACAGAAAGATCCTCGAAAACCCAATGTAGAATTACCGCGATAATGGGTATATATCAAAATAGTGTACTGTATAGGGGTAAACTTTAAAGTATCAATCGTCGTGGGGTGGATGATAGGGATATTAACAGAGGAACTGGAAAATAGGCTGTTGTCAATCTTAGGAAAATAGTGGGGGGCAAAATTGTTTATTAGAGCATAATACAAAAGGTAACACCGACAGCCATGCAGCAACAAAAGCTAGGTATCACATGTCGATAGGGATGTGAGAAATGTAAATCAAAGATACAGGAATTAGAAAGGTGTATAGATAGACGCCAAGTTCGCACGAGGAAATGCGAGAAAAATATCATAATGTAATGGTATCCGCTTTCGAAACACAACTGCATGGAAGAATGAAGGGTAATATTACATGGAAACATGAAGGGCTTGACAAGGTCAGAAGCGCACAGGCGACCGGTCATACCAATGACTTCTGAAACATGCATAACTAGCCGCGCGGGGATTGGAAGTCAATCAAGACTCCTATCTCCACAGGTGGGTTTTCATCATGATACTTCGATTTATCATTGGCCACCTGAATAGTAGAAGGCTAAGGAGGGTGAAATCCTCGCTGCAGCCTCAAAATGCACGAGGAAAGGATCTGGCGGGGATCTCGGATCTGAGGGAGGATTCCTTGCGTGTGATACGGGTTCTTCCGCTCCTGCTTCTTTCAGAAAGGTGCAAGTAGAGGCATTATTCAGCTTCATCAGTCAAGTCCAGATGTCCGATGAGCTTATCCACGTGGCTGCAATGCCAATGTCCTGATGCTTTCCCTAACTGGGCATTCTACTCCTAGAATACCTCTAAACCGGGCTGTCATCGACATTCATTTTGCCAAACAATGTTTTCATTTCACGAACATCTTCACGGAAATTATCCCGTGGATTTGTCGTGCGCTCTTCGGTCATTTTTCGGATCTCCCGAACTATGTCGGGATATCCTTCGTCGTTCGGGAGCCACCAGTGCTTGACCTCTGGGATACCCCATATCTGTGCCATGCTCATCCTAAACTTTGGTGGATATATGTACCTATATTTAACAATACCGTGTCAGTGTTACGAGGCTTGATATTCAACGAATAGGCTGGGATACGCGTATAAAGTCAGTTAGGAAGGTAGTGTACTCACCCGTCCTGCTCGGCACGTGCCAGTTTCCTTCTGATCCACATGGTGTGCCTCGCATCTTTGGGAATGAACATACTCGCAAGGCCCAGACTTGAATGGAAGGCAATTACTGTCCCGTTCTCCTTCTCCGGCCACCGTTCAATAGTTTCAATGAGGCGACACTGTTCCAAAGCAGAGTGCTGCAACTCGGAGGAAGATTCTTGCCTCAGGACAAGGGATGACTGATACTCGAACATCAAAGACGTAGCCAGAAAATCTATCCAGGAAAAGTTGACATCCCATAGAGGGCCCTCAAAAAAGCGACCTGGCATATAAGGGTCGACAATGTCATTTTCCGTGAGTGGCACCTTGTGAGGATACGAAGTCACAGTATGCTCAGACGCATCAAATTGAGTGAGTAAAGTGCGTAGTTCCTCCTTGGTTAACGAGAGCTGCTCATTCTGTGCAACAAATTGGTCCATTGGTATCATTCCGCGGGAGAGTTTGGCGTAAAGAGACGCCATGTCCATGGCGAATCTGCGGTTGCGTGAGTTAAACAGTGACAATTGCTTCTGTACATCGCTTGGATCCTCAGCTGCCTCTTTTGCATCATACTCTTCGCGTGATGTATACCATTCTCGGGTGAGAATTGTCTCATTTCCAGCCAAGAGACCGGCAACGAGATCAAAACGAGCGTACCAGACGAAAATATGTCGATGTAGTTCGTTCTCGTTCGCCGTTTCGGGTGTTAACAACTCGAGGATCAGAGTATGTGCTGCTTGATGATGGTCAACAAGGTTGACCCAATCACCAGTGAATTCCTAGTTTATTGTCAGCAGGAGGTAGGGCAAGAGAGGCAATATCTGTTTGTTATACCTCGAACGTCGTAAGCAAGAGGATCGTAATCAAGGTTGCCTCGCTGTGCGGCTCTGCTGACGCAAGAGATTTCCTTAATAATATCAAGGATTTGTTATAATACCGCAGGAAAGTGTACAGCTTTCCACCTGGTTGTCTCAGGCAGTAATGATAAGCTGAGAATCCAACTACGGCATAGAGCAGAGGTTCGTATTTCAAGCACAATTCCACAATCGTCCTATGGATGAATTCCCCGGATCGAGACTTCAACATGTAATGATGATGTGTGATCTCTTTCTGGTGGTAGTCTAAGAAGAAGAGTATGTCGTCCGGTAACTGTGCGGTCTCGGGGAGATTGGAGATTTCTTGCCCGTAGAGCGGATCGAAGCCGACTGAGGGAGTATTGCTGGCCGGGCTATGTGACTCTGACCTTGTAGCAGTGTCTGTGAATGGCGACAGGCTCTTTTCTTTGCTTAGCGTTGAGCTGTCTGGTGTCTGCTTGATCTTTCTCTTGGCTATTGAGTGTGCGCTGCGTGTCTTGGAAACGGCCGGCCGGTGCTTTGTCGTACTTATAGTTGAAGAAGTACGCCCACTCTGCTCTGAGCCTTCTTCATCCTGGATAGTTTCTAATCCACTGGCGTCATCACCCTCATTGTTGTCTGAGGAGTCGCCCTGTGACGTAGATCTGGTGCCCGCGCGACTGCCAGACTTCTGGGATGGCGGCGGTGGGTAAACACATTCTCGTTTACCTTTCCTACACCCTGCGAGGTCCAAGTAGTTAATATTCGTCCGGATACGCGGTTAATACGATATGGCCACTTACTTTCACAGATAGGACGAGTTTCATCGCACTGTATCGGCCATTCTCTGTTAGATAACTCGATTGGGCCGTAGAGAGAGAATAGACTGACCTTTACTCGACGCGACCGACAAGTAAAACAGCCACTTCTCGTTCTTTTGTGTTTTTTCTGATCAACTGCCGATTGCGCTGGTTGCGGGGTTGACATTGGTAGACCCCCAAACGCGGACATTCCGTGCTGTTGGACGGGAGGATCATGCCAGAAGGCCACGCTCTCCGGATAGGTAGCCGGGGCAAATATTGCATAAAAGGGTATTTGGCTGGAGTCATTGAGTTGCGCCAGAGATGCTTCCGCCGAATAACCTGGCAGTGATGCGCCTGGAGGGAGGTACGAGTGCTCCATGACGGTGCGACAGTGCTCACAGATATCACAAATAAGACAGGAACAAAGCCGGCCAGGGTCTCAATTGCCGGTCAACACTCGGAGAAAGGTTTAGATCCGCAAAGGAAGTAATACTCGTATACGCGGAGTCCAGGGAAGGTTCGCCGTCATCGAGCTAGGAATCACTGTCGCGTTGGCTCTTGGCCGGCAGTGTATGGAGAACGTGCTAATCGCCGTCAAGCTCGAGCCAGCAGCGCTCCCACCTGAATTATGGCCCCACCAATCCCCCGTCGATTTGAAGCGTTGCGGTCGTTCTAGCAGCCTTCTGCAGTTATCGTTGACGGGGGTGAGCCTCCAGAAGGGGGTTGAAGTGGGACAGGTCAAGATGGTCCCAGCGCAATAATCGTTGACCGTTCCACAAGGAATAATAATAGCTTGCGGTAAAGAGCAATGCCGACAACACCATCTGATTCGGAAAGCACTCAAGTTCCGCTTATTATTATTAGAGTGAATGGTATCTACGGAGCACACTGTACGGTTCGACCGCCGATGATAGATATCAAGCGCGGAGATCAGCAGTAGTGGCCGTTCGGGGGACAGTAGTAGTACCAGGATCAGGATCGAACAGCAAACAGCTTGTGGATGTCAGATTCAGGCAACGATCGGTCACTCCAGGATGCAGCCAAGATCGATCACCTATCTATCGCCGCTGACTCCGGATTATTATTATTATTTTCAGTTTTGGCGGAAGAATAAATAGGGGCCCCACTGACCACTCTGGATCCACTCAGAAAACTGCCGGCTTTAGTAGACTATAATAAGTTGCCCCAAATATAACTGACGTTTCGGAGGGACGGGAAAAGGGGGAGGTGGAAACCAGATCAAATATCGGCTTCAAATCTTCCGAATGATGAGGAGATTTAGCAGCCAAAAAGCATCGGCGGGAAAGTGCCGGCCTCTGGGGGGTGCGAAACGGCACGCCGTCGATCTGCTTCGGACAAAACTACTAGCAACCGCCCGAACCCTAGGTCGCTGTAGAGTTTTGATCGAAAGGTAAAAACACTCAGATTTGGGACAACGTCCGCGACGATGCATCTCCCTGTGGCTGGATGCTGCGGCATTGGGGCTCTGCCGGCGCCATCCGTTAAAATCCCGTTCAACTCCTTCTACTAACTCTCAAAAACGGGATGACGATTCGAAACGTCCCTGATCGACAGCGAGGTTTGGCAGCAGGCCGTGTTTTCCTACTTCCGCCGCAGCTGGCGGAACGATACAGCTCGGCCAAAGTCCTGAGACCCAAAGTAACATGCCAAGGCTGATTTAGAGCTCTGGGATTCAGGTTACTCTGTAAGAACTGGCGCTCATGCACAATACAAGCACACCATCAAGTGATGGCTTGCTCCAAAGCTTGGACACCATACGGAGTACCATAAATCACAGCACATTCCCAGTGCTCGCCCAGATCGATGTCATTGGAGGGGGACGTCAGAAAATCGATTGGCGTCTACTGGTTGCTGATGGGCGGCGTGCAGACCCAGATTCCATTTCGAGATATATCAGAGCAATCCTGGATCTTAACATACTTCATGGGGAGAAAGAGAGACGCCCTTGTTCTCCACGGGCCACGTTCCGGTGCTTTTGTCGGGGGTTCTAGCGTCCTTCCGTTAGCAATAGACTCATGATCAGTCAGGATGGCGCGCTGCAGCTCCAAGAGGGCTTGAACTCTGAGAGCCATCAAGCGGGGCATTCTTGAACACTCACTGAACCATGTCGACACATACTGCGAAACTCCGGGGTCCGGTGTTCGATTGTCCGCACGATCCGGTCGACGGTGTTCGTTAGCGCAAGAGACGGAAGGATTGAGGCGCATAGGGCACAGCCTGCCATGCTCACGAATTGACTTCTTCTCAGCGGATACGAACTGAGGATAAGAGTCAGTGGAGCTGCGACCCACGACTCATACCTGGGAACTTCGGAAGCATCGATAGATAGACATCGCACTTAACAGCCATCAGCGGGCGGGGCAGCTGGATTATTAAATGTGGCTTGCATTCAGCTCTTGGAGAGCGAAGCGCACACACCAGAATTGGGGTTCGAAAGAGAGGTTGTTAATGTGGTCAAAACTTCACACAGATGGGGCAGAAAGAGCTGTTACCGCCTTGCCAGGCATCACATTACCAACTACTACTACGACTCCATACCCTACTAGCATCAGTCCTTTCCACGGGTCTAGGATACTCAGGTTGTCATTTCCACCCACATTGAATGGGGGCCTTTTTCTAGTTCGTTTCCTGTCGAAGGTACTACTAACTACTACGGAGTCCGGAACTATCAGGTATCAGTCATGCGGCTGACTCGACTCTGTGAGCATACCGGAATCGGCGGCCAAGGAGAAAATCGAGTTTGAAGCCTCATGTGAGCAGCTTCTCAATAACTCAGGAATAGGACGAAATAGCTCTCGCCACCCCTGTAGAGCGTTGCAAACAGTGCCCTGTATCTAGTGGCATATCTTTTCCAGTATGCTGCATGGAGGTGACATTGAACACACTCGCACGGCCTATTTAGTCTAGCAAAAACTGACATCCTGCAAGAAGATGCACATATCATCAATCAACCACCTAGGCTACTTACTACTGGGTCGGCTGCACTAACTCACGGTCCTGTGATAGCCTGTGTCTTCACTCAGCATCGCCACTACTACTCCGTCCATAACCCCACTAACTAGTTGAGTCCCTACAGCGCCCAGCCAGACCTTGTTGGAAAGTTCCACGTCCTTGCGGCTTGTAACTTGCCTCTAGGCCAGAGTTGGTCACTCCCGGACAGGCACCTGGTCGACAGTTAGACAGTTGGATAGTGACTCGACTTTGTCTCACTGCCGGGACCAGCAGCTGCGATCACCCAGGCATGGCGGATCCCCGAGCTCAGGGAGCCAGGATCATCAAAGAGATCATGCTTGGATTTACTCGAACAGAAGTTCTAACTATGGATTAACTCCGACTACCCTCGAGCAAGTTTAGCGACTACTCCATAGATGGTTAGCTGGTTAACTAGTTGGTTTATTTACTACCTAGCATTACATAACTTACCATATCTACCTACGTTAGGTAAGTAGGTAGTCAACTAACTAACTACTTATGTAGTTAATATGTGTTAGTTAACTTGATAAGTTTATCCTCCGAACTTTGACAGCTGCTAGTGAACCTACTAGGCGCTTAAAGGCCAGCCACCAACCGTGATAATCGAAATTCACCAGCGGCAGTAACCTAACCCTTTCCATCTACATCGACATTTCAATTATCAGAACCCAGCAAGGCTTATCAGGTAGTTCCTGATAAGCTACACAATTGAGATGCAGTACGCACCCAGAAATTCACGTTTCGATATATCGGACGACAACGGATTTTGTTGCCGCGCTATTTTTTTCCAGGGAGTCTTACTTAACGCCAACCCTTCATCGCCAGGGGTCTGGAGAGGCATTATTGTTTTATCACGAACTATTGAAAGGTGACAACTACTCAATATGGACATACGTCCGAAGTTCACGTCGTAAGATGCGTATTACTATCACCTTAACTCCAGACTCCAGAAGCATCTTGTATGTAGCCTTCCAATTAACCCTTGTCCTCTAGTGCCCTGAAGGAAAATAGAACGAAAGCATCGATTACAAATAGGAATAAACAAATTAACTAACCTCCGCGCGAACCCCAGTTCTCAACTATGCACAACAACAGCTCTATACCTCGATGAGGATAGGGCATTATCACACTCGTAGGTGAGACCTGCCGTCTACTCTCGTACCTATTTTCCCAATAAAAGAAGAACCAGGTCCCCGACTCGCAATATCTTCCATTATGTTTGGAGGTTCAATAGATAAATAAGTACAGTAGGTACAGTACTTTGCCTCACTTTCTTCGTCGAAATAAGCATATGCAGGTTCGGATGCGGTTCGCTCAAACCCTGATCCCTGTCAGGGAATCAGGTTGAAACTGCAGGCGATGCACGGATCATGACTGTGTTGAGATCGGCGTAGAACTTTCGGAACATTTTCCTATGTCTCCGCGCTGGCACTAATTGCAGTATGAAGTAGTGGTTAGCAGCTTGGACACTAATGATGATCCTGCGTCGCGAGTCATGCTAGTCAAGGCTCGAGCTCTCATACGAATCGGTGATGCATTTTCGTTAAAAGATCAGGTAGCAAGGTCAAATAAAAAATCAAATGTTTTTGAACTGCTTGTGTGAGCTCTTTCTGTGTTTCGTTTTGAGCTTAGGAGGTTTGAAATGCTTGGTTATCTCTGCATTTTGAGTGGACTCAGAAAGACTTCTTGCTGAGCTATCACCACTATGTAGTTATCACAGAAGTGGGAAATTTGCTCTAGAAATCGAATGTAGTTGAATATCATTTCAAGACTCTATATACATGTTGGGAATCGGATTTCGACATGCAGTGTCGAAGTTTTTTTTTGGTATGCACTATCGTATGCGCCATGCGTGATCTGGCGCCCATTCAATGCAGTCCGCCACACTGCATCTCTCTTTGCAGATGTCTCCAGGACTTATTGGCTGCGCTTTTCTTTGATTTCCTTGAGAGCAATCTCCAATCCCTCGATGACAACGCCCCATTCGACCTCATGCACTTTCTTCTCAAACGCATCCAGATCTTCGTCTTGACCCTTGATAAAAGGGATCTCGCGGACTAGAATGGGTTTTCCCATGTCGACTTCCGAAATGACATTGTGAATCATAACGCCAGTCTTGTCAATCTTGCCTTCTAGCCAGGCAGCGTGAGCACGCTCAATGGCATGCTTTCATAGAGGTTAGCGAGTTTCATCGAAAGGGAATACAATATTATATAAGTAAGACAAAGTCGCAAAAGAAGAAGGAAATAAGTACTCACAGCCCCATTAAACTGCCCCGGCAGCGCAGGATGCAGATTAATAATCTTAATCTTCTTCTCCTCCAACGGTCCCAAAAACCGCGGCGACAGCACATGCATGAAACCCAAACAATAGACCAGATCCGGCTTGTCCTCCAAGACTAGTCGAGCCAATTCAGCATCATATTCCTCGCGCGCTTTTTGTACGCCCTCGGGGGTCGCGGGATGCTGCTTCTTGTACTTGACCAGGTTGTGGTACGTCGTGGGGATATTGGCTTTGCGGGCACGCTCCAGTCCAAAGGCATCCTTGCGGTTGGAGAGAACGCGCACGATAGATACCTCGGGGAATTGCCCCGCGCTCAATTTGTCAATCACGGCTTGGAGATTGGATCCGTTGCCGGATATAAGGACTGTGAGGCGGACGGAGTCGGTCATTTTGGATTTGGGGATCTTGTATATCTCCTCTTTCTCTTCTCGGATGGTCGTATGTTTGAGGGGTTCAGACTTTATCTGCCCCTTATCGATCTCCTTTCTCCGTACCTATTCCACTAGAGATTGAATTTCGTGGGTATCTTATCACGATTTCACGACAAAAAAAGTGTGCCTTTAAATTTCTGTCTTTTCCCTTAACCGCGGGGAAGCTCCCCCAGTATGAAGACACAAATCTTCCAAAACAGACAAATCTGATGAGAATGAGAAAAGGATCACAGAAGATAATTGTCTACAGATCCAGCAAAATTATTAGTGATGCACGACAATTGCCAGAGAGCTGTTACGCTCTTTCGGGAAGGCGGGGTGGAAAGCTCTCTGGCTGAGTCATCAGGTCCGATGCGGGGCGGAGTCTGGAGTAAAAACTGCTGGGTCTACGAACACGTCCGCCTACAAGTGACAGTTATATCCTCCTTATCATACAAATCATTCAGGGAAATAAAATATTTCCTGATTTATCTGTCAATTGCTCTATTCATGGAAAGCACAACTCTGTCCAATATCTTATCACCTACCAATCACCTACCAGAACAGAAATGTACTGTATACCTATTCAAAACATAGACCAAACTTATTATAATAATAACCACAGAAATCCAATTCAAGATGGGCTCTATCAGCCAGCCATGCAGACAAGAAATCGGTACTAGATATGAATTCACTCGACCCTAGTGACTGTGAAAATCAAATAATTCACCTGCCGCTGCTTACGCTCGGCATCAGCCGAAGGGAACATTTGCTTTACCTCTTCCAGCAACTTCAGATTGTGTTCATCCAGCTTGATGAAATCGACATCCACATCCCACTTAGTGCCCGTCTTCTCACCGACCTCCACCCACATTTGTCGGAATGTCTCCGGTGAGTGCCAGTATCTGGTCCCGGAATTGCGTTTTAGTTCCGGGGCAGAAAAGGCCCTCGAGACCTCCCGAGGATTTGTGCTCCCTACTTGTCTTCCGATGACCATGGCACCGGGCTTTGTGGCCATGAGCCGCGTAATGACGCAGCAGATCTGGAGTTGGCGCTCGTAGTCGAAGAGATGCAAGAAGTTTGCAATCTGAACGATCGTGAACTTGCTCATCATCTCGTTCCAGATGCCGGCGTTTTCAGGCGAGTCGGCATCAAGGATATCAGCCACGAAGAATTGTCGTTCTGGGTCCGGAAACTTGTCTTCGTCCTTGAAGAGCTCGAATCCCAATTCCAAGAACTCGCGTTTGATATCTGTTCCATAGACGGCGGAGGCCGGTACGCCGTCGCGGACTAGCTTGCGGATATCCTGTCCAAAGCAGCAAGCAAGGTCGAGGAAAAGGGCTTGGTCTTCTGGTGCATTCGGGTTTGGTTTGAGAATTTCAAGAATCTTGCTGTAGGCCGGAACCTGGTTGGTTGAAAGATCAAGGAAAGAGAATACACCGATGCATGGGTATGGATGTACGTCCCAAGCACGGTCTCTCTGTTTTAAGTAGTTAGTAAATGGCCGGTATAATAGGAGGGAAGACCTAAGCGATAGAATGCCACGACACAGCGCACATAAATAACAAGTGCCAGAATACTACTATGAAATAAACATCAGATAACTCACCAATTCATAAACATGCCTTTCAACCTCATCGGATGGAATCCCACTATAATTCTCCAGGATATCCTTCATAGGACCTGTCAATTTATCACCCACAGTTTTGAGGTAGTACGGTGAGTTTTTGGAGCGTCCGTCCTCATTCCCGGAGGCCTTAACAGGGGGGAAAGTCTCGTCCATGGCTCCGAATTGAAAGAAGGTGCACTCCCAATGTATGTATATATATATAGCTCTACTATTCGAGTACAAGAGAGGCCCAATGGCAACAGCAGGGAAGGCTGCGGACGTGAATTGTCCGAATTGAACCAAAAAGAGTGTTTTTTTTTTTCAAAAGAAAACGAAAAAGAAAAAGTGTCCGACTCACCAGCGTTATATATCTGTTATTGTGTCACAGTATTTGCGCGGGGTCGGACGGACACGGAGCACGCGTACCTCCGTATCACCCAGGCCGATACAACCAGTGCTACCTAATAGGTAAGTAGTAGCAGTCCGAGTCGACGGCTCCCGCAATTTTCTTCTACTGGGAATGCTTTTTAAGAGATAGTTCCCTTTTCGGGAGGGCCCAAACAAAGTGTGCTGAGAGCTCATATCTGGGACGTATCAGAAAGTCCGACGGCTCTAAGCTGATGGCATTAAAGTAATGCCGTCTCTTCCCAGGGGGATTTCCTCTATTCGGCAGCTTAAAAGTACTGCAATTGCTTGTGCTACCCAAATCTCGCGGGTTCGGGATATACAGACTATGAATAATCATTGACACTACGCTAGTATTCGTGAACTGGGCGGAAAGATATGGAGTGGAATCGACTCATCATACATACTTCAGATTCTATTAGCGTTATCAACATTGCAGGCTAGAAAACATGGGGCGAGACCGAGAGATCACCTGAACAAATCCAGGTTCTCGTTTCTCGAGTAAGATAAGACAGTTTGATGGGGAAACAGTAGGGAATACAGTGCTGCGAAGTGATAAAAAAGGGGGTCAGTCGGCCAATCACTGCAAAAGCGCCCCTCCTTAATACGTGAACAACCGGAACTATGCAAAGGTATCTCCAATGATGTGCGCACGCCAGGCCAGAAAATGATCCTCCAGAACACCGTCTCCGGACAAGCACTAATTGCTCGAGTCTAAATGGAATCGCAGATTGCAAGCACAAGACTGAATTTGTCGCTGCCAGTTTCATATGACCTCCCACTGAAGCCAACGAAGATAAACAACGATGCTCTCTTTCCATTTCCGTACGTTTCCAACTCTCGACATGCTGCCGTTCCCCGATATCAGGTGGGAAATGCCTCAGAATATGGTGCTGCTGGAGGAGATCGCTAAACTCAAATTGGGATCCGATTTGGATGCTTAGGAAAGAAATTCGTCAATGACTGCTGCGTGATAAGGTATGTAGGACAAAAGAGAAAAGAAATTAGTCGTAGTCGTCTGGGTAATGACCAAAAAGGATAACCGACTGAGGCGAATATGGCGGCTCCTGAGCCGTTCGACCATTGGTGATTGGCCTAAGCAGCAGCTTCCTGCACTGGATTACTGTGAGCGCCATTAGAGGACTCAGAGACTCCCTGACCTCTGCAGAGAGGACATGAATTTCGCCCGGTTGTCAACCACTATAGTTGATGTCAGCAGCTGCTTGACTAGCCCATCAGGATCAGGTGTACAACTTACCTCGTCAATGCAATCTTTGTGATAGAGATGTTTGCAAGACGTGAGCTGTCTGAGCTCCTCTGCTGCTTCATAATCACTCAGGCAGATCAGGCATCGCTCATTCTCAGCAATCGGAATGCTCGGAGCGCCGCTACCTCCTTCCGCCTCAGCCATCAGGGTGCCGCCGTACTCAACTAGGCGGAACAATCCGCCTGCTGAGGAGACGTCTTCTTGAGAAGCAACAGGTGGCTTCGCCGGACCCAACAGAGAAGAGAGCAGAATCATGTCTTCATAGGTGGGATTCTGTGTGGTTTTTCGTCGTTAGCCGCTGGGGGAAATCCATGGTGCAGGGTGACGGATGTGGATAAACTTACATCAGTGAAAAGGCTTGGTGTTGCAAAAGCCGGATGGTTTTCAGACAGATTCGTCCCCACTACATATATCAGCCAGCTGCGGCCGCCCGATGGCGCCGCTGCATTGTCAGGCTCAACAACACCGTTGCGTCTTGCAGCACCTGAACCTAGGTCACGGTGACGAGCAAATTCGGAATCGCTGCGACGTCGTTGACGGGCAGAATTGACCGTGCTCTCTTCTGCAGATTCTGATGTAGGCTGGGTAGCCGGACTCCCCTGACTTTGAGATGCGACATAAGGAGACATGGCAGATGCAGAAGAGGGACGTCGACTGGGGGTCGAAGTCCCTGAGGAGACAGCAGACAGGCCGGCGGGAGTCGATGGCGGTGGGTGAGGTCCAGGAGGACTTTCAGACAGGACAGTAGGCAGAGATGATGACAGGTTGGCGGAGGGTCCCACATCAGATGGCCTACGGGACGCATCAGATCTGTGACGCTGACTATCGTTATTCACAGGCACCGGGTTTGCGCTTCCCATCAAATGGCGATGGGGTGAGAACCTGGACCGCGCATCAGCACGTCGAAGAAGATCGCGACCGCCGTTTTGATTTCGCAATAGGTCGCTCGGAGGAAGAAGTGGTAGACCAAGCAATGTATCTAAGCCCGGACCGGTGGTGTTTTGTTGTTGTTGTTGATCACCTCCGATGTTATTGCTTGAGGGAACTGACCTTACTCCCACGACCACCAGTGTCACAGTCCGTCCATCGGAACCTTCGGGAGCTGGCTCATCCATGTCCATGCGATCGGTACGCTCAGAAGGGGTTTCGCCAGCAGATCCAGAATTCCCTGACGTTTCCGGATTGACAAAACGGAATACTCTGAGAAAGTTGACTGGAGGCAAACTCCCATCACTAGCTTGGTCTGACGCTCCCTCCGGCCCTGACGGATTTGTCTGCGCAGATGTCGCATTCTGTAAGCTCTGTATAAAGTTCTCGAGTGATCCGTCCAAACCATCATTGCCCAGAGACTGCACGTTTGGTAACACCGGGCCAGCTGTTCCAGATAGTTGAGCCGCAATAGCAGCGGCGGCCAGCTGCAGAACTCTCGACAGAGGGGTCTGTTCCTCGCGCCGTAACATCCGTGAGGAACGGGCTCGCAGAACACCAGGGAAGCGGCGAATTCCAGTCATTCCTTGAGAAGGCCGCGACGAAGAGGTTGGAGAGAGAGGAAGTGGGTTCCTGACAGAGGGCTCAACTGAGTCGAGCTCATGGGGTGGCTCATCGAAACTCATCCGGGTATCCATAGCTCCCAGGGGAGGGAGAAGATGATCTGCGTCGTCGGTTAATGCAGAGCGTGAGGGTCGCCGCGGCGGTGTACTAGGCGGCTGGCTAGAGAGCGGGGGAGATTGTTGGCCAAATATCTGAGATATCGGAGCAGATATGGAGTTTCGAACGCGGCTTAATCGGGCGCTTCGACGCCACGACGTGCGACTGGATTCTGGTGTCTGTTCAGCAGACGAGTCAAAGTAGGCTGGGTTCGGAGGCGAGTCGGGTAGGAGAGCTGCATCGGCACGGGAAAGGGCATATGGCCCACGGATGGAGCGTCGTCTGGTGATACCTCTCGAGCTGAGGGAGCTGAAGGGAGTGAACCGACCGGTACTGTGAGCCGTTTCTACTCTCGGGCTTGACCTCGATACAAGGCCGTTGCGATGCGCACGCCCTTCTGCAGGCGTTTCTTCTTCACTATTGAGCAGGCCTCGTATGACGGAGTTGGGAAGAAATCTCGATCCAAGCCTTGACATGGTCGACTGTCTCCTCGCAGCCAAGCGGGCGAGGGACGCGGCCCGACTCTCTCTGCGATCCTCCTCTCCCAACGGTCTCGTATCTCGCTCGTAGTTTATCTCCTGTTCCGATCCTGCATGATCAGCCGTCGACATACCGGCTGATGGCCATCCAGTCTGCTGCGGGTCCGATCCCTCTATGCTGTTCTCATTCATCGTGTCGTCCTCCCCGATGGGACGAATGTGGCGCGTTCCAGACTGTCCCGACATATTGTTGCTCACAACGCGTTCATGTCCATTGCGTGACGACGCTGTCGGCAAAGAAAATTGCAGAGAGCTGTTTCGACGGGATTCTCGTTGCGTCGAAGAAGTCTGTCCCATAGCTGGTTCGTTCAGTTGACAGCACGAGAAGGATGAGTCACGAGGTCAGGCACTATTCCAGGCCATGGACTCGGAAGGCGGCAACACAGGCTGGACACACAGTCACCCTCAGAACTCCCAGGATGGCAGATACCGTCAGGCGTCTGAATAAACCTGGTGGCGATCCAGCTCACCAAACGCACCCAGCAAGGAGAGAACCAGGACGCGATTACCAATACACACGGGTTCCCCCACGTTTCGCTTCTGCCACCGGAGTCAAGCCACTAATGAAGCTGATTTGTGGCGAATGGTGGCAGCAGATTTCCGGATGAGGTTATTAGGACGGCGGTAGGAAGTTCGCTATCAGGCAGCTGATAACTAATTAGTTACACGCGAGTGCTGCGTCAGCAGAAGGGTCGAGTCCTGGATGCTCGTCCGTTGACAGCGCTGAGAGTAGACAACGACTGAAGAAAGACCACGCGTAACTCCGCCTCAGTCGTAGCAATCTTAAAAAACGATATCAGCGGTGTCGTGGGAAGAAGGGAAGCTCGGACCTGGCGAAAGGACGTCGGAAAGATGAGAGCCAAACAGGGTTGGCGCTCCCCGGGGGAAGATGAAACTCGTCAAAGGGGATCCGCAACCCGTTCAGCCTGGGTCTTGAAAGAGAGACGGAGAGCAGCAGCCTACAGAACGGCCTCCGACGATGGCACGCAGCAGACAAAGAAAGTGGTGGGGAAGAGGTGAGATGGAGATTCAGACGATGATGGTCAGGCAGTAAGTTACCGATCGGGGGGGATTACTTAGCCACTGCGGAGGATCTTCTGTCTGGATGGCGAGGATGGCTGCCAGCAAGCCCGACGGCGCTGTCCCACCAGAGGTCGCTAGACTCTTCCAGTCGCTAGTCAGACGGCAGCTAGCTTTGTCCCTTTGATGTTTGATTTGAACACGCTTATGGTAAAGATTATTATTAATGTTCACAGAGCAGTTCAGGATCCAATCAATAATAATAATAATAATAGCGTCCTCTGGATGACTGCCGCCGTCAACTGGTCGAGTTTCCGCGGATCCCCTGCGGGTCATGGCGGCAGCCTCAGGCGGCGATCCTGCGGCGATTAATGGAATCTTTTTATCATCATCCATCCACCAGTCGGTCTGCTCTCTCTCTCTGTTCTACGCACTCTCTTCTGAGCCCAACTGCGTCTTATTCAATTTGCTCTGAACCGCACAGCTTGCGGGTGCCAATCAGCAACAAGCGTCTCAATGCCGTTTGCCAGCACGGCTTGATTGCCTGTTGTCTCAGGCCCTTGTCGTTCAGGCTGTTTGTCAGGCTTTTGGATCGGTGAGTGTTGGGGATCAGAGCGGTATGAAAAGGATACCTAGTCTGTGATCGGGTGCCAATACTAAAAGGAACTATCATAGCTTCTAATGACCGCCTATTTTGCCGATCATCGCTTATGCCGTCTTTTGCTACAGTGCACTATCAGAGTCGTCCACTACCCGGTTAGGGAAAACACTACCTGAGGCAGCTTTCTGTTGAGACACTTGGGAACTGCACATGAAGACACCAACCCCTTCCGCATCATTCTTCTCGTTGCCTCTCGCCCCATGGCAGCAGCCCCAGAGTGTACGGGCGGCTAGATATGAGCCCAGGAAACGAAGGAGAGGATTGGATGATTGGGGCGATGAAGATGATCGCGATGGAGAGACCACCGATGCGGGGTCAGTATCAGAGGCGCCTGCAACAGGGCCATCGTTAGTCCTCTCGCCAGATGAGGCTCATCAGTACCGGATCGCTGGCCTCTCGTTCGATAGAGAACTTCCCGGGGGCAATTTCCCTCATGCGCCGGCGAAGGAAGAGCCTCTCGAACGGACCACGGAGAAAAGCGTCCTCAAGGAATTGGCAGCTATGTCACCCCCGCTTTACATTCCACAGTCTCCAGCACAGCGGGGTAATCTGCGGTTTCAACATCTGGCAGTCATGACGGCCATATTGCACCGATGTCTGCTAGAAGGCGATTTCGTACGCGCCGGAAGGGCATGGGGTCTACTTCTTCGAGAGGAGGTTGGAGGGCATCCGGTCGATGTGCGCCAAGAAGGTAGATGGGGAATCGGTGCAGAGATACTTCTTCGTCGCGATCTGCAGATATCTCAACGAGCTCCTGGTGTCGCTGACGGGGAGGAGAATCAGACTGCCAGAGGAGGCCCTAAGGCTCTGTTTACGAGGAAAGGGTTCGAGGATGCCAAGAAGTACTATGAACGGCTTATACTCCAATATCCATATCGGAAAGCCGCCCCCAATGCCATCAGCTCGATAACTTTCTATCCCGCCATGTTTGGTCTCTGGATCTATGTGGTACAGGAAGAGAGCAATGTGGCTAGGGAAACGTTGCAGCTCGCGGACGAAAATTCATCTGAAAGCTTATCTGATGATGAGGATACCGTGTCAAGATCCGATCTCGCAAAGTCCGGTGAGGGGAGACAGAAGCGTGTTCTCGCTGCCAGGGCCAGTGAGCTGGAGGAAGCGAAACAAATTGCGGCACGCATGGATGAACTTATGGTGTCTCCCCCCTACTCAGATAGCCCGGAGCTTTTGAGACTACGTGGAATGGTGTCCCTCTGGATTGGCGATTTGTTCGTCGCGTCCGTATCACATGAGGAGAGGGAAAGGGATGTCTCTACTGATAGGGAATCCGTCCCGATCGACGAATCGCCCGAGGCAATCCTTGCCAGACGTGAGATGAGATTGGCAATGGAGAAGAGAGATACAGAAGTGGAAAAATCGAAGGAGTGGTTTGAGAAGGCTAGGCTACGGAGCAAGGGTGTAACAAGTTCGCTTGCTGATTTCCATATTCGTGATACCCCGCCGTTAGGCTAACACGCCAAGGCATTGTTTTGTTTTTCTTATACACAGCCTGGAATCTAAGTGAAGAGCCTTGTGGGTTCAACCTAGGCTCCGATCGTGTGTCTTCGTGATACGGATAAATTCGTGATTAGAAGCGCTCAAACTGCAATCGGAGCGTAGAAAATATACCCTTTTGACGAAAGCCCGTCGACATAGCAACGTAGATTAAACCTGGCGAAATAGATATGCGTACACCAACTAGGAATGTCTTGAGATAATAAGCTGTTGCATCTGTTGAGCAGGTCTACTTCAGAGTCCACGTGACCACGTGAAACGCTCGCGTTCTCCATTTTCGGGAAGTGCGAGAAATGTAGCGGTAGACGACGTCGACCTGTGCTTTTTTTTTTTGTCTTTTCACTCTCACTCAACATGCGTAAAAGCCCACTCTAATTCTCATTTGTCTTTATGCGACGCTTCTAATAATTTCTTTCGGTATTAATCTTAATTAACCCAAAACCCGCCATGGCGGTTGGCGATTATATCCACGCAAAGGAAGCCGGCCAGGCTCGTGCCGACACGGCAGAGAGGACCCATCAACATCAACGTCTGCCCCGACAACTGCTTGCACAACAGGCAAGAGTGCCTGTTCCATCACCTAAACTGCCAGGCTTTGCTGCCATCAGGCCTAGCAGGAGCACCTCGATCGAAAGTCGAGGGCCATCCGCACCTAATGGGATCCAGCAGCCAGAACACCAAGTGGCACAGAATGGGGTTGACAGTCACCGAGATCCGTTCGATACGGATGTGGAGGGAGTAGATGACTCGACCATTGCTGGAACGAGTGTTATGGGAGCTGAAGATAGTCATGCTAATGCCCCTCTGTACTCGAATGGCTATCGTTTCCAGCGACCGCCTGTGAATCCTTCATACGACTATGCCAAGCCCGAAGGTCTGGGTAACAGAGCCGTGAAAGCTTCAGGGTTTGATACAGATGAAGCTGAAGCTGATTCGAGCCATGCGGGTTCATCTCTTCAGGAAGATGATGATGATGACGAAGACGACGCAGACGATGCGGACGGGGAACAGACTCAGACAATTCACTGGGATCAGAGACAGAATTACCATCCACCAGAATCATCGATGAAGCGCGTAGAAGATTTCTGGCTAGCTAGCAGCAGACGCGCGGCGCTTTCCAAAGCTCCTAACCCATTAGCTGGTGAATCATCTTCTGCGCGTGTTACTATCTCAGACGCAGTTAAGATAAACAGACCGCCCTATGCCAACGGTGCAAGGACAGAGGCCCTTCCACCACGCACAGTGGCTGTTACTCCAAAAGGTCGATTCAGCCCTCCCAAACAGCCTGCATACGCACGATATCTTCTGTCTCCCACCCGCCGGACTGGAGGTCCACGGCCTCCTCCGGCCCGTCCAGCATCAGCAGCGGATCTTCATTTGAAAGAAGTGACAGAACCGGAGCTCCGTTCGAGTGGCCTTGAAAGGAGACACAGTGCTAGGTCCCCTGGTGTTTTTGATGCCACGAATCTGGAGTGTCTAGATGACGACACTATGGACGCCCATTCATCCTCATCAGAGTCATCCGGACCAGCTTCAGTGATCCACAGCAAAGAACCGACAACCTCGAGCAAAAAGCGTCAATTCGAATTAGACTATCCTCCGGAAGTCCTCGACCAGAAATCATTTGAAGACCTTGAATCGGAGTCCTTCGACTACGTCCCTGCAAGTAATCCACCAGCTCCACCACCAACATCTCCGCCGCCGCAACCCAAGGAGGCCCGAACTGCCGCAGAAAGAGTGGATCTCCTCCTAAAATTGTCTGACACTGAACGCCGCAATTACCTCTCCAGTCTGGCCATAGATGAATGGGAAGAATGCGGAGACGAGCTGATGTCACAATTCGGCAACATCCTCATCAAAATGAAAGAAGCGCGACAGGCACGGCGGAAAACTGCCGCTGCGTTCGAGGCAGAGATCAAAAGAAGACACAACGACGTCCAGAACGAGGAGAAAGATCTGGCATCAAAACTCGCTGAGATGAGAGAGGGCGGGCTGGGAGTATTGAGAAGACGAAGCCCATGAAATGCTGAATCTTAACAATCAAAATCCGTTTGCATATCTTTAGGCGAATATCGGGGTACATTTCTATTATTCATCAGCCTATATCCCATGTCATTTACTTTTCCCTTCGAGGCCCACCTTGTCCCACTTTCCACGCATTATTATGGTTTGTTCCCCTCCGTTGCATTATATCGGTCAGTGATTATTATTTTCCCGCAGCGCGGGTAATATGGTCCAAATCTGGAATATCTTATGAAGTTATGAGAGCGCGGCACTACATAGAATGCATATAAATATACCCCCAATCTGCCTATCTGATATTCATTGACCGTTTGTCCTTCCTTGCATCTTGAACCAATACTCATCTTTCTTGCCTAGAGAGAATAAATGACTACAGATAATAGAACTCTTAAGTAGTGGAATCAATGGAAGTACTTTTCCGAGTCCCATTGTCTTTCCTTTCTTCTTCCCATGGGAAAGAAATCATAAGTCCATGTCCTCACCGTTGCGCCAGACACACCATCTATAATTCAGATCCACGGCCTAATAATAACGAACAAAGGCGAAGCCCCAAGGAAACAATGAAGAGCGAATGGGAAACCAGACCGGAACGGTATCACTATCTATACATACAGCCTTTATATAGCCGACAGGGAAAGAAAGTTCACTAAAACGAAAGCAGGGATAAATGAGGCGAAAACTTAGTGAGATCCACCGAGACTCGCTAATGCTGCTGCAAGCCTCTTGTAGTCTTGTAGTAACTCCGCCACGTCGCGGAGTTTGAGATCACCAGCATCTTCTGTCTCCAGGAATCGCCTGAGAGGCGGGTCGATCCTGGAAAGGGTTGCAGATACGTCTGCTGAGCCGTCCGTTGAAAGAGTAGGTTGAGTTTTGTTGTCTATAGGAGAGGGCACTGCTGGTGCTGGTGTTGCTGGGGTAGTTACTCCTGTTCCTGGGTCGGGCGTTGTTGCGGAGCGGCCAAAGCCACGGATCATGCCAGGGATGTGATTTAGTGGGTTGAACGTGTTTCCGAAGTTCTTCATGGACTCGAGAGGCGTTGATGCGGAACTTGAAGAGAAGATCGATCCACCCGGAGTCGGGCTTGGATTGGCTTCTTCTTTCTGGGAGCGAGAAGGTATGGTAGGGTTTCTCGTGCTACTGCTGCGGCTTTGAGCACTGTCCGTACTGCGTTCACGGGGCGTTTTATTTCCGCCAACGATGGCCAGAAGCCTATCCTCTGTACGGGCACGAGTGGGCCTCGGTGCAGGATCTGGTGTTGAAAGTGCTTTTATCGATCCATCGTCGTTCAAATCCGTGCCATTCTCGAGCTTGGAAGGAGAAGTGACCAGGCGGCGTGCCTCGTCCAAGGTCTTTGGGAGTACCGAACGCTGATCAGGTCCCTGGTTTTGCATTTCTTTCAGACGCCCAAAAAGGAAATTGAAGCTGTTATCGAGGGTATTCCCGATATTCTTTAATCCCTGGTCGGCAGTATTGCGAACAGCATCATTTGCAGCTCCAAGAACCTTCGCCGGTGGTTGGAAAAGATTGCTCAGGCGGCGTTGCTGGCTTTGAGGGGCTGCGAGTTGTGGTCTGGGCAACGTCGCAGATATGCTGTCTTTGGTGGGAGTACTAGGTTTGGAGAACTCTGGAGCTGCTGATGCAGATGTTACAGAGGATGATGGTATCTCCTTAGGTGGTCGAAAAGGATCGGTCTTTTCACTAGCAGGCGTGACACTCCCGCTTGGTGCTTTCTGCTGGCCCTCGGGCAACTCATCAGCACGCAAGCTTGAGAGATCTACATTTTCCAAGAAGCTAATTGCAGCTTCAAGGTTTGTTAGACAATACGCAGTCTCCCCATCAACCTTGCTGGAAGATCTGAACCGTTGTATGAAGAGAAGGTTGCTGATCGCATTCAGCCCATCTGGCGGACATGTGATTAGTGAATATATTAACGTAGGTAGGATCTCATCGGCCGAGGAGGACGAGGGTAGAAGATTCGTGAGAGTGTCAACGATCGCCTTATGTGCTGCCGTCAGATGACGCAGCTTCCCAAGGGGATACTTCTCGTCGTTCATTTTCATAAGACTCTCTCGAGCAGCGGCGAGCCATTCATCAGCTTCTTCCTGTTTCTTTCCATCCCCGCTGAACGCCTCGATACCGAGATCTTTGAGATCAATTCCCACCACTGATAGGGCTGCGGTCTTGGATCGGAGCTTTTCATCTCTAACTTCGTCCAAAGTACTCTTATGGCGCCAGATCTTGTCATAAATGCTCTCACAGGCTCTGCGCTCTACCGCCTCTTCCAGTGCGACACGCTTGTAAGCCAGCAATTTCCGCGCCTTTCTTTTTTCAGCGACTTCAGAAACAGTCAGCATTTGATGATCCACAAGCACCTTCTCAGTACCGGCTGTTGTACCACCCTTGACGGATTTCGAAGAAGCAGGCGGTGCTTCCCGGTTCAGCCTGGAAGCTAGAGTCGAAATGTGTGTAGCTATATGCGTCTCTGCACGGTCATAAAATTCTTGAAACATATCGGAAATCTTGTCTATCGACGGAGGCGTAGTATATACTTTGGCGCTGAGAGAATAGACGAATCTGCACACGTGATCTATCAGTAACTGTTTTGTGCGCAACGACTCTGGCACATACCGGTCTGTCAAGCTCATCAATTCAATGGGCAGTTCATCGAATCCTTCCTCAGGCTCCAGTAAAGGCTCCCCGTCCTCTGCAAGGTTCCCGTTGTCAGAATCGCTTGATCCCCGTTTTTCGAAGACATCCAGCTGACCCTCCGTGCCATCATCCTGCGGAGATAACGGCAACGGAAGAGCATCTGAACTAACGCTTTCGGGGACCGTTATATTCTGCATTGTCTTTGACCTCGTTCTCGCGAAAGGGTTTGCTGTTGTCGAAGTCTCCATTCTGGTGAACGATCGTGCCGGATGAAGTCCGCTCGGCCTTCTGGGCACCTCTTCAGAAGCGTTAGAGGACATTCCCACGCCGTTCCAGTGTTGGCTATGCTCTGATAGAGACTCCACACTGGTGGTCTTCAACGGTTGCGGGGTGACTGCGGGATATCAACAGATCGCCGCATAGTCGGGACGTTGGTAACACCGCTTCGGTACTGAGCGGAGACAGCACGGACGATGCTTCGGGACGGATGTCGAGGGCTGTGGAATAAGGCAAAAAGCCGAGTCTCCTCCAATAATGCATGCACACCGCAAGACCTCCTGATATGTCATCAAGGCATCAGCATTATTATGATTGTTATTGTTATTATTGCGATCCCTGAAGCTCAGGTGAAACTGCGATGGAGGAGCTCTCGACTGTCCTGAATCTGATAGGGCTGCGCGGGCGGTCAGCTGATGTGGCACGTGCACGATAGTCTCTCCGCCTCACTGCGTCACCGCCTTGACTGATAAGTTAGTTAATTCACCCTTTGGTACTGCAGCAACTCCTGTTTGACTATTAACTAGTTAACTAGTCGACATCAACTTAATCATCGATGCTCATCCGTTGTTATGTCTGTTCGTGAACGGAGACGTCGGAGATCCTGTCTGCAAGTCATGTTCGCAATAGGCTTCCTGTCTCTCCTCGCTCTTCTCTCCAGCCCGGCTGCCGCCTACAGTCCGCTATACTTCGGAGCCCCCTCGCCCGATGAGATCCCTATCGTACCGCCACGGATTCCGGAAGTTGATCATCCTACGCCCTCAGGCAAACATGAATTTGTAAGTCAGACTAGGTGCTCATCCATCTCGTGCGTTTGATGTTGACCGGATATTAGACCCTTCGCCATATCTTCCACCGCGGCACCTACCGGCACCCCAATCTCCACAAGAAGCTCGATATCCGACCAGATACCCGCCTCTGGGAAGTGTCAGAAGATGGCAGCGAAATAAGACCTGTTCAGGAGCCTTTGGCTCCCTTGACAGCTCTATCGCACCCCTTGATGATCGAGAGATTGGCCGATCGACGCTTATCGGTTATCGAGAACCACCTATCCGCGGCAAGATCGCGGGGATCGCCGGTCGCACTCTCCGGATCGGACTGGGTCATGGACGAAGTGGCCGGGCCAAACATAACGGATAAAGAGACCGTCTTGACTTTCGCGAAGATGACTGCGAATGATTATGTTGAAGAACCCGGGACTGTCGATTGGGAGGAGATCCACGGCGGATGGAACTACTCTCAAGGCTTCGGATGGGAGGGTGACGGGCTGAGGGGTCATATCTACACAGATCAGACGAACAGCACTATTGTGATCTCGCTGAAAGGCACATCTCCGGCACTCTTTGATGGTGCGGGTACGACGACCAACGACAAGGTTAACGACAACCTCTACTTCAGCTGTTGCTGTGGACAGGGAGGTTCTTATCTCTGGCGACAGGTGTGCGACTGCTACTCGTCAGCATACACAGGTAACCTGACCTGTATCGTTGAGGCAATGATGGATGAGAACCGCTACTATCGTGCTGCTATCGACCTGTACTCGAACGTTACCGCCATCTACCCCGGTGCGGATGTCTGGCTCACAGGTCACTCACTGGGCGGCGCGATGACAAGCTTACTGGGACTGACATTCGGTCTACCCGTTGTCACATTTGAGGCAGTTCCAGAGGCACTACCCGCAGCTCGACTGGGGCTTCCGGCCCCCCCTGGACACGATCCCAGACTCCCACAGCAGCGTAAATACACGGGTGCGTATCATTTCGGGCACACCGCAGACCCTGTCTACATGGGAACATGCAACGGAGCTAGCTCTGTTTGCACCTGGGGCGGGTATGCCATGGAGTCTGCATGCCACACTGGCCAAATGTGTGTATATGACACAGTTGAAGACAAGGGCTGGCGAGTCGGCATAGGTACTCACCGTATCAAAGAGGTGATCTCCGACGTTATCGAAGCGTACGAAGACGTACCTAAATGCGCACCCGAAGAGGAATGCTACGATTGCAATCTCTGGAAGTTCTTCAAAAGCAATGGTTCAGAGATCACGACAACCACCACAACCTCCACCTCGACATCTTCTACGAGAACAAGGACGTCCACCTGCAAGACACCCGGCTGGTGGGGTTGTCTGGATGAGACGACTACGACCACCTCTACAACTTCATCTAGCAGCTCTACCGCGAGCACGACATCAACCTGTAAGACTCCGGGCTGGTTCGGATGCAAGGACCCGACAACCACCTCAACAACCGCACGTGCGACTCCAGCGCCATCAATTACAACCACTGCCGCGCCGACTCCGACTTCGACAACGTCCTGTAAGACTCCAGGGTGGTTTGGTTGTCGGGATCCTACCAGCACCTCGACACCTAAACCATCTTCTCTAACTTCGACGAACTGTGAATTCCCAGGCCGCTTCTGGGGTTGTCTAGACGAGTCGACTACAGCCACAACGAGCTTTCCTATCACACCAGGTCCAACTCACGAACCGACAAGGCTACCGTCCACAACAGGACACACATGTACATCTTCGGCGTGGTTTGGATTCGTCTGTCTTGACCCGTCTCCAACAGCAGCTTTGTAATTGCGGATATAACATTTACAGACTACAGAAACTGTGTTCTGCGAGTAGGGCTTTTTCAAGGACGCTGATTTGATGACTCTTCAGTATTTGTCTTTTTGTCTCGTCTTCTGGTTATTCGCGATACGGCGTACACGACATCATTATCCTTGCAACGGCGCGATTCTGGTTATGGTTCACGGGCAGGTTGATCTACGTTGGTTTAGACAGGCAGTCCTACTGCCCTCTTTTAGTTCTGCTTCTAGCGCTTATCACATCTATATCATGGTCATCGCATTGGAGTATCTAGAGCATTCTGAGCATTATCGATTTTGGAGATACCAGACCATATATAAGCCAATAAATTTGTTATGATTTATTTCCATTGTACGGATGGCCATTATACAACGAATTGTCATATTTCTCACGTTATTTGCCTGCGGTCCCAGGCTGGATAGTTACGGAGAAGGCTCTATCAAGAGGCGGCAATAGTTTGAGTACGGAGAGGAAAATAAATTGTCAGATTAATGAAACATTTCCCTCATGTCTAATATATCGAAAGGTATAGATTCAGTCATAATACGAATATTCCTTGGTTCAATGTACCGCAGTGCCATAGTTGCGCGTGTTCTCGAGATGTAAACCACTCCTGGGTGAGAATAATCGTTGCGTAGAAGCTCGTCATTGAGCGGGGAATATGTTGCATCATAGTCTATAATAAAGGGTGTATGTATATACTCTTGCGTTTCCATTCTAGAAAAGCTAGATAGCTTCTTTTCAATCTACTTTATTCTCAATCTCCTTCTATCCTAAAAGGTAGAAATTCGACATGTTGGAAGAAGGACTTTGCTCATTCCCGCACGGAACCGTGCTTAAGAAAAAGGAGGGAACTACTTTAAATATCGCTAGCCGCGATTATATTCTGAAGAGATTACTGCATGAGCATTATTCAAGAGATACAGATACGCGAACTGCCGTGTTTGAGGCTGAGGATCCGGAAAATAAAGTCGTCATTGTGAAGTTTCGAGTTCAGTATGTTGCATCCTACAACTTGTTTTCTTTCTCTCTCTCTTGTTCATAAGAACATTCTCTAGGTGCATTTATACTGAATTCTCATGCTAGAATGTACCCGGTCCACGTTACAGAAGAAGACTACAGCTGGGAACCGATTATATCCGAGAATTTCGCCAAAGAAATTGATGTTCTCCAGAAATGCGAATCAATCGGATGCACTCCATCGTACATTGCACATGATGAACGGACTCAGGATATTACGGATCCTCTTCCAAATGGAAATTTGCGTATTCTTGTGATGTCAAAGGTTCCTGGGGAATGGGCCCGCGGTATATCTAGGCAGTTAAGCTTTGAAAAAGATATTCTAGTAATTCGAGATCAGGTGCTATATGTATTCGAGTAAGTGTTGAGGCTTCTTTTTATTTTTTCTTGTGTTCCCACCATATATCTTTGGATCACAATTCATTACGGCCTCTTTAACAAATATACGGCCTCTTTAACAAATACTAATCTGGTAACAGGCAGATGCGCCTCCGGAATTTTGACTTCAGTTCCCTTAATGCTGCGCGTGATCTCAAATATGACCGGCAGAGCAAAAGGATGTGAGTATTTGCTTCTTTTCTTTTCTGTTATTAATTTAAGCTTATCCTGTTGTTTATCTGTGCTAGAGAGTTCTAACAGTTTTCTGAACACAAGCTATTGGACCGGGTTATCGGCGCTCGCATTTCGTAGTGACTATATGAGACCGGTCACTGAATCAAGTACCTATTTTAAACATACTATGGTAGCTCTAGGTAGACACGATTGGGGGTGGTAGCTGCCGTCTCTATATGTGGGAATCTAAGACTACGAAAAGACTTTGAAAGGGCATTTGATGCGGGGATTGAATCTGAATTGTTTAAAGAACTAGAGAGTACTAAAATCTATTTGCTATTTATGCTTACAGACTCTATTCTGAATTCTTGCTGCCTAAAATAAGTTCTAAGCCACTATTTCTAATTATCTGTATTTTTATTCTTATCTTTTTAATTTAAATTAGAGTAGCTTTTTATTGCTTATTTGATTCTTTTTAAATAGAGTAATATAAGCTATTTATAGCTTATTTCCTTTAGAATTATAATTAACAGCTTAATATTTCTTGTTTTATATGCATGACACAAATAGTTTTACAAGCACTACTTTATAAGAGTTGCCGGTAACCTGTCTAGATTACAGTGCGATCAGGACCTTGGCCTATTTCGCTATGCGCTATAGCGTTACTGACAAGCAAGCACCAGCGCCAAGTGCTGACTCGACCTACCAGAGCATACGTAAAGTACAGGATCTGCAGAACAAATCAAAGATCGCCTGTTATATATATCACGATGGAGGTCGTTAACGTGTTATTCGGCTATATACAATATTTCAAGGGCCATAAGCAGCCAATTTGCCAAACCGAGATTTGATATCAACCTGCTAAAAGACACAGTCGCAAGACTTCCAAGGAACAAACACGAGGGCCAACACCCAACTGTTTGAATTTGATTTCCAGTTAGCTTCTGCAGAAATTATCGATTACGTTATAGAATGTCCTTAGCACGTATGATTCTAGTGGACGTAGTGACGGTTGCCTATATCTAGCATCGGAGTCAGAATCCCATCAATACAGTCATTATCACTATCGCAGTCCCGGTTATCGCAAGCATATCAGCTATTAGTCTCAGAGAGGCTTCTATCATTCTTGTGGAAAATTGTTATTATTCGACTACGCTAATGCTGGCTATTCTAAATGTGCAAAATGTTGGTTACAAAGACCCGAGCCTTTCCCAACTATACCAAGTGTATAACCCTTCTCTAGGTTCTGGATAGAATCAGATCGGGACGTCTAGACACATCTGTGAGTCTTCCATGGCCTCTACGAAGACTTGGAAGCCGGGTCCAGATCATACGGCGCTCTCGCTCCCGCTGCTGCTGTTGGATATTCTGTTGCTGCTGGTGTTGGGAAGCCATGGATACGATATTAAGAGGAGTTCTTCACAATATTGTCAGACTTGAGTCGATTGTTCAAAGACTGTTTGGATATTGACAGATGATTTTCTGTTAGTGATGGATTTCTGAATAAAGTCCAACTTGAATTCTCTAGCAACTAGCTCAACCTATTTATCTCTGTGGGTGAAGCTAGAAGGCGTGGGAGAAACCCGACAGGAGGCAGGTTCCGACATATTCTGCTGTCGGGCATTGTTATCCCCATGCTGATTCTTGCCTTGTGAAAGATCAATGCCATTGTTACTACGGCTGCCCTTAGATCCGTTGGCTATATCCGTGCAACTGGTATCTTGTCTATCGCTGCCATCGGCCCTCTCATTATTTCTTCTATGTCCCTCCTATAACAATAGTAACGGCGGCAGCACCGAGGGATCTCCAGTGGCCTCATGATAAGACAAGCAATACGGCTTCTACACTTCTCAACACTGACAATTTGGATGCTCAGACATATTGCAGCACTATATCAGAAAATACCGACACCGACATGTTGCAGATTCCATAGATATTTGACACAAGCAATCACTATCATACTGAATTCCCACCTCCATGCGGTCCTTAGGGAGTGAAATAATCTTGTCGCCAAAGGAATTGCAACTAAACTACACGGTGGATGTTTAAGATCTGCAGGGACGGGCTTCCTAGGTGTATTAACACACTCCTTTGCTCCAATTCAGGATGTTACATACTACATTGGAATAATATACATATAAAAGAGGACAGGAAGATAGAATATTCATCCTTCGTTTCTTTCCAATTTTCTATCACAAACGTAATTTAGATAAACAATAGCGCTATAGAAAATAAGAGAAAATAATACGTAAATATGAACTAAAGAGGTAATATAGAATATTGCAAGTTAGTCAGCTACCTTTAGCGGGTAGTTAAACAGTTATTTACCTTTATGTATTAAGCTACTACAGTTGTTAAGAATAAGAGGACAACTTCTTTCTAATTTACCTAAGGACACTGTGTTCGTGTTATAGCAGATAGATATCAGTACCCTATTTCTTTAAGCAATCCAGATTCAATTTCTATATCAGATGTTCTTCCAAAGGTTTTGCTTCTGTGGTCTCAGATTTCCACACTATTATCGGCCGCATATATTATCGCGGGAGTCTTTTGCAGATTATTCGTAAACTGGACCAGTCTCCTAGCGTCTATTCTGCAAGAAATCCAGGCTGTCCGCGACAACGTGGTGTTGCGGAAGTATCCTGCTCGTCCTGCGAAGTATAAAGATGCATTAAACGCCCACCTTGCTTGGCTCTCTTTCTTCGCTACTATGTCGCACGAGCTCCCCGTTCTCATGGTTAAAGAGTGTTTGTATCACTCTCCTGGCAGAAAGAAGATGAGCTGAGGGCATAGTAGTTGTTTACACGTGAAGTTAGGTTCTTTCAGTTCGAAATTTGAGCTATACTTAGCTCGCGAGACAAAGGATGAAGGGCTCATCTTTGGCAAAGGGCTCATCTTTGGCGCTCCTTCCGTTGAGCAAGTGCAGGATGATCTGGCAAGTACAAACACGCTAATTATAACAACATTTGCATGGACACAAGACAAATGAATAATAATCATTTATTGTATTTAGATCCATCATCTTGTCTTATTCCAAATCATCTACAGGAACTAATGTTGAAGATCAGGCCGCTTTTGACCGTCGGCGTACCTAGTCCCCCGTTGGGGCCATACATGAAGGAAAAAGGACACCGCGTCAAGAGCGGGTCTATTATTGTCTTTTAGTTTTGACAGAATCATCGGATAGATTCTCCGGGGACCAAAAGGTCAATTCGTGGATCAGTCCACATAGTGCAGGTATTTGGTATGTGACAAGTCACTATTTGTCGACTGCGAGATACATGACTGACTCCTCGATATTTTCAGATGTTCCATACTGGATAGTCAGTCATACAGCTGTATAACTTGCATCATGACAGATTCTACGCTGGCTCTTGTCCAGTCGCTTGCTTTTCTCTTGCCTCCGTGGCTGGTTTTGGTCCTGGCACAGTTTTTCTTCGATCAATCAACGATTAGTCTCTCGTACCGCCAACCGCGCATTGCGTCCGTTTCTGCATTGGTCTGGAGCAGCTACGGGCCGCGATGGATACTATCCGCCAATTCCGGGACGCGCTTCTGACACCAGACAGGAAGATGCAGTAGAAACCAAGGCAGACGGTCGATAGGGTGAAAAGACTCGACCATTTGGCTTCTACCCGGGAAGCCAGACTATATTACCTTACATCCAGCATTCTAGAGAGGACTACTATGCTCAGGTAGCCCGGTCTTCGGATTCGATTGGTGTGGTTGGAGATGATAGCGACGTACTTGGCTCAGATATCTCGATCCAGACGGAAGGATCAAGATGCCTGTAACTTAGTCCGGTCTTATGCACTCTGGATCTCGATATGCTATGTGCTCATGCGTCATCGCCTTTTTTCTCTTATTTTTTTTTTTTTTCCTGGACGGATTGATATCATCGGGGCTCCAAATAACGGCGTTGGCAGTGGGGGAGGGACCCCGCTGGCTAAAGCAGGCCTCCACGTTGTCGACGGATCCCAGGGACTTCATTGCGCGTGGACTTGACTCGGAATAAGGCGCATCATTCGCCGCCGACATTGACGCCAAGGGTCTTATAGGCCGCATCATGGCCATGTTCACGGAGATCAGACTTCTCGCCGGTGTTCTTTTAGCCAGAGCCACCTGGTGCGCCGGCCGGTACCCACCAGAGCAGCGGCACATGGCGTCGCCAGACTATCTTCTGCCCGCCGCAACTCTGCTTACTCCAGGATACGTTTCTCAGACCTCAAAAAGAGGCCTTTGGGGGTCGTGGAGATCTGCTACTACGGAACATAAGATGTTAGTTCTGTGCTGAAGCTGAAAGGAAACCTCCTTTCTTTCTCAGGCTGGTATTAGCCTGGCGTGTTTACAACAGCCGGCATTCGCCGATGAAAACGGCTGCTGCTCTTACGAGCCTCAATAATCCGTACATAGGTCAATGGCACTATGGAAAAGACATTCATCACCATCCATGGTGAGTACTATGTAGAGATAGAAATCGACCGTTGGCGAGTTTTCTGGTGAAAGCTAATAGGGTTATTCCAGACTTGACGCAAGACGCACGCATCCGATATGCTTCAGATACTATAGAAGACATTCTGGGGTATCAACCTCAGGAGGTGGTGAACAAGTCCTGTTGGGACTATCTTCATCCAGATGAGATTCCCTTTGCAAGAACAGTCCATGGGCGCGGAGTGAAGCTTGACAAGGCCGCAGTTCTCAAGTACTGCCAGGTGAAGCATAGGAATGGCTCCTGGGTCGGGTGTGAATGTGTCTTTACCGTCGTATATGATGTGCTTGTTGCAAGCATAAGTATATACCGAAGAGGTAGTCGCAGTGAAAGTAAGTGGCCACGCGAAGCAGCCAACTCCTGGAAACAGGCTTTTAACTGACGCCAATTCACAGAAAGGGCGGCCGATGCTCCTGTCGTCCGGAGCTTGTTTACGTCCTCGCCGCGAGATCCTCGCTACCACATGCTGACTTGTATGTCGAGCCGATTTTCTCAACAACCGAGAAATCTTCCTCATGAGCCACGAGCCGCTCTGTTCCTTAATCGGTTCACGAGGACATCTACCATTATGTTCGCAACAAATGGTGTCACGGAAATCTTGGGAGTGACGCCCCAACAGCTTGTCTCCAAAAGCTTCTATTATTGTATTCAGGAACGTTGCCTCCGCGACGCAGTCTGTTGCATTGAGAGCGCTAAAACGAATGATTCTATAGCCTATCTCCGGTTCTGGTACCGGAACCCACTCCAAGGTGATGGACCTTCGGGTGAAGATGAAGATGTGCAAATGACCGAGGCAAATGATGCGCACGGAAACGGTAGTGAGCCAGGTACAGACGGCCTCCCCTCTTCAGGCACAGGAGCTGCGACCGATCCGGCCAGACGAGATAGGATTGCAAGCGCACGACTCCAAATCGAAGTCGAAGCTGTTGTTTCTTGCTCCTCTGACGGGCTCGTGGTTGTGCTCCGCCGGGCCCGTCCTCCGATCCCGCTCAATATCAACCAAACGCCGGACAGGCGAGTCTACGCCAATGGGCTTTTTGCATCCCCATGGGCTGCTGACCCAATATTCTCACACTCTGATAGTACTGATGTAGTAGGCGCCAGTGGTGGTCCTGGAACAGTTGCCGCTGTGCCCACAACCTCCAGTAGCAGCTGTTCGCACTCACAGCTCCTGTTCGATACCATTCGCGATGTGGCTGTCTTCGCATGGGGTATAATTGGGATCAACGGTTCACTAGAGAAGTATAAACGAGGAACTCCAACGGGCGAATCCCAACCACCAGGCGGCCCACAAGTTTTTCCTCAACGCTCGAGCTCAAGTCGGAGGCTGGCGGGCGATATGGGAACGAACAGTTTCGGGGAGGACAACAGGAGTAACAGCGGATGTTCAACTTATCATCAAAATCCCCCTAGAGAGGCCAGCTCCTGTCGACGTGCACCTTCAGATGAACCACATGAGACTGGAGTGAGAGAGCGTTGTGATCCTGCACCTCCGTGGGAAGGCGCAGGTAGTCCAGGGCCATGAAGATTGCTTTTCGCAGTACATTGTGTAATGAAGCTTTATGTATGTAGATCTATCAGAGATACCAAAATGTTCGTGTGTTTTGACGTCATATGATCCCTTTTTCCCCAAACCATCCAGTCAATCGTCTATATAAGAATCTATTATTGTACAGGGAGAGAAAATGCAGCCCTATACATCTGACAACGCCTGTAAATGCATTGAAAAGTAGAGATTTGATGCACAGATATATGGATAAGGGGGGCCAAAGCAGAAACGCAGCACTAGAAAACCTCGGGTTTAGTCTCCTTTGACCTCTCACCCTCTTTCTGCTGCTCCTTCGGTGCATGTTCTTCATGAGCAGTCACTTTCTCCTCGCCTCCCTTCTGCTCCTCTGTGTTCTCCTGTTCAGTGTGTCTTGACTCTTCCTTGCTTTCCTCAGGTGATTTCACTTGCTCGCCTTGTTTCACATCCTCAGGTTGCTTCTTCTCCATCTCCTCCCGAGCGGACTCCTGCTTATCTTCAGCCTTCTGAGGCGCAGTTTCCTTACTATTCTTCCTCTTTCTCTTCGTGTCGACATCTTTCCGCCCCGACTTCTCCGGCTCATGTCTCTCCTCCATATTATCCTCCGCTTCGAGCCTTCTCTGCTGAAACTCCAACACCTGCTCGCGCGTCGGGGTGACCTTCGTCTCCTCGAACCTCTCCACCATCGTGGCGGCAGAGTACTTTCTCAACCGCTTCGTTTCCTGCTCGAGCAGCTCACGATCAGATTTGGATAGTTCTGCTTCGTACTGCGGACCGAGAAGGTCATCAATCAATGCTCGAGTGCGAACAAGGGCCTTGAGCGCGAGGAATCCGACGACGGAGCCATCGCGAAAGACGCTGGAGCTGCGACCTTTACTGGAGACTTTGGAGATTTTGCTATTTTCCATAGCGGTGAGAAGTTTGGAGATGTGAGGACGGAGTTGGGATATGGCTTGGAGTTGTAGCTGGAAGCGGAGGGTGCGTGTGTTTGCGAGCATGTTCTGGGATTTCTGCTGTGATTGAGGAACGTTGAGGCCGTTGAGGGAGGAGAGTTCGAGAGGTTGAGAGGCAAGCCCGTCGACCAGTCGCACGTAGGCCTCCAGGACATTGGGGTCTGGGAGGATGAATTGCGATGCCATGAGATCCAGCATCTCGTTGGCGATCTGGAAGACATTGGGATTCTTCCGGTCACGACGACAGGTGCTGAGTGCGATCCGGAAGGTTTTGCCCTCCACTGCGTCTGCGGGGATCATTTGGTCACGGATGATTTCAAGTGCGAGTCTGCTCGAGCGGCCAACTCTCAGCAGACGCAGGTACTCGTGGAATGAATGAGAGTCCGGCTGGATCCGGCGTTCGTGACTTTCCTCGGTGAAACACTGCCAGTATCGCTTGGCGGGACCGATTCCTTGTGTCATGAGCCGGCAGGCTGTGAGGACGAGGGTCAAGACACTGTTATGGAGCTCGGCGTAGCTTGGGACAGGAGAGACGTTCTTCGTATTGCTAGTGGTTTCGGGGACGACAGCGTCGAAGAGCCCTTCGAAGCTTTCCTCTTCCTCTTCTTCGGCCAGATTCTCCTCCTGAGACTCGCTCAGTGGCTCCCCTTCTTCTCCCTCAAAAGGGATATCAGAGTCATCAGTTTGGAAACTCTCGGTTGCCCTGTTCCTTGCATGAGATGCGCGTTGCTTGATTTCATTGAATGCCTCCTCAGACAGCGCCGAAGCTTTGCCCTGCGGGACATCAGGCGGCTTGGGAGCGTAAATAGGAACCCCCATAGTTTGGTTCACCAGCGCCAGCACATCGTAGCAGTCACGCTCACTCGATCCTTCAACAAGCAGAGAGGCCATTGCGCTGACTAGAACCCGATCCATTTGCAGATCTCCCCTCTTCCACTGCAGGACGATGTCAGACCAGATTTTCTTGCCTTCTCGCACCGCAGCGGCCTTTCTTTTCAGGATGTCGTCCACTCTGCTAGGGTTTATATTAGAAACATCGCGCTGAGAGATCGCCTTAATGGCATGGAGAATGATCGTGTAGGTCCTCTGGTCAGGTGCTCCGAACCCTTCTTCAGGAAGGTTACCGGCGACTTCCCACAGAGTATCCATGTCTCCGTGGTGGGCACACACGTTCAGCATGGCGTTGCTGTGCGTGATATTGGGGCTCCTGATAGATTTGTATATGGAGAGCGCGGTGTCGACGGGCTTGAATCCTCGGGTCTTACTCGTATGGCCCAGCCCATTGAGCATGATGGTGTAGGTTCGATCGTCAGGTTTTCGCCCTCTCTTCTTCATCTGTCGAAGATGTCAGTATATGATGCATCGCAAGCTTGAAGACAAGATAGGATATCCCCACGAACCTCATTATAGAACCTGAACGCTGCCTGTGGCGCATCCCTATCCATACAATGATGCAAAAGATGATTCCAAGCAACCTGACACCGCACCCCATCCGTCTGCGCTCTACGCACCAACGCCACCGCCAGAGCCGGTTCTCGACCCTTCAGCAGCCGCGCAACACGATCCGCAAGCTCCTTCGGATCCTGCAACCACTTGATCTCCATATCCACGACCTTTTTCGAAACCACGCCCGCGCTACCAATCCCATCTGCTTCGCGCTTTGTCCTAGGCGCCGTCGCCGCCTTCGCGATATCGAGAAGAATCTCCGCTTCACCATCATGATTTTGCGCGCGCGTTTCATTTCGATATCGATTATTATTCCGAACCTTGAAATCCTCCCATCCCTTTCTATCACGGATGCGATTCTGATTTCGACTTTCTTCTTCTTCTGGCTCTAGCTCTGACGCCTCCGTCGCCATCCGTCTGATACCCAGGTTATGAATCCACGTCGCGACAGGCACAGGCTGTCTACCAAGTTCAGGCAGTGGGTTCAACAAAAGAGACGCGACACGAGCTCGCATCAGCATACTACTGCTTCTGCTTCTGCTGCTCGTGCTCATCATGCGCATTGCTGCCATTCTGCGCTCTGCGCTAATCCCAGCGCCGCGGACGCAGGCATTGCTGCACCGGAGCATCTCAATGGTTTCCTGAAGCTCCGCGTCTGTCTGTCTGTCTCTCTCTCTCTCTCTCTCCTTGTCTGGTATTGTTCCTCCACCACACGACAATCCTAACCGTAGGTTATATAGCCGGAATCGTTCGGAATAACTAATCAAGGCAGGAAATCCGATCGTCTCTCGTTCGTTCGTCCTCCGCGAGTGGAAAAAGAAGAAAAAGGAAATCGGGACAAATTTCTGCGCAAGCAGAGAAAATCTTCCACCACCACAATTCCTCCTCCTCAGTAAGCAAAGTGAGAATAACGAAATAATAAATTCCAGGCCCAGAAAAAGCCCAACTCGTGGGGGAAAAAAAATAAAAAATAAAAAGAGCTCGAGATTTGCGCGGACAAGACAACGTTCTATTATTTCCGCCGCCGGAGCTTCTCGATAACTAATTTGACCGCCTAGATACAGCTTTTCTTTTACTATCGCGGAAAGTAACTCCGTTCCGGCCGGACTACTACTTACCTATTCCTTTATTGTATTGCAAAAAAATTATGAAGGTAAATTGAGTAAATTAAATAGAGTAGAATAATAAGTAAAAAAAAAAGCACTCTCGATTCCTAGAGTCTCACATAACACTTGTTATCTCGCATCTTTTACTCCTCTTGGAATTCCAAAATCTTGCGCTTATTAAGGACCGCATCACGTGATCCATCCCCAACATCGCTATATCCGAGACATCTTCTTCACTCCACAGGTCTTCAAGTATATCCTGTCTATATTGCGAACGGAGCAATAGTGAATCATGCGCAGACCAAGTCGATTTCACCCTGCGACAAATTCCTCGGGGGAAGAGACAAGGGAACAACGAAAAGCGCCAAGAGATTATCAAAACGACGCCGGGCAATAACTACCATATGGTCTTACTATTTAATATAGTACTGCTTTCATCAAATACAGCTATCTTGAGGAATGTTCTATATAACCCCTCTAAATTTACTCTTGTCTACAGCTGAAATGAACTCACGAGAGGATAATATTCTGCGCTAAACCACGTGATCGCGTGATAATCATCGATGTACTAACTACTACATACTAACTACAGATATAGATGTACAGGTAGTATAGACTAGATAAAATACCAAACCTCCCGAATCTAAACCAAGTAGATACATAGTCTAGAAAGACAGAAACCGTCTTTCAAGGAAGTCTCTTCGCGCTAAAACCCCGCATAGATAGTTCTAAGTCTATCTACTCGTCAGGGAAAAAAAAAAAAAAAAAAAAAAGGCGTGCGTAACCATCGTGGCTGTGCAAATATGCAAAAAGAAAAAATACAGTCCAGGGATGGCGAAAACCGGGGAGAAGGTTTCCTTGTTTTTTCCTACTCTAATTTTTTCCCCCTAGAGTAGTCCTTATTTTATTTTTTCTTACCAGAACTCTGGAACACTAAATTAGTTTTATCTCATTGTTAACCAAACGGACGGCTAGATACATTCCTTCTAATTTTAACCTTACCTATAGCCAAGACCATTAGGGGACCGTTGTCGTCTGGTCGCGGGCTACTAAATCTTAGGGACATGACTGGATCGGACACCATCTCGGATACTGCCGCTGGTTCTGACACTACTACACCACACTTCGCCCCCTTGCTTAAGCTCGAGGCCATGGCTGGGCCGGTCCCATTCTTAAATTCTGTGGAACGGAGCGATCGGGCCCTAAGTGACGCGCTTGTGGAAAAATCAAGTTAATATCTCGCATATCGTACATGGTATAAAGTGCTTAAGAGGAGGACCATATATCAAACCAGGCCTGAAGTGGCCACCAAACTCTGTGGGAACGAAGACCGTTGTTCTCAAAACATGTTATATAGGTATGGCAGTATTAAGTCAGTATGAGAGGAGACCATCCTAGGATACGAACATATTGTTGATTTCGGGAAGACGTGTCTTTCCGCGACATCTGAATCCTTGCATTTCATGTGTACGCACGCAAATTTGGTAGAAAGACAACATCAATACGATGCGCCTCATCATGACATCCCCATATGTAGACCTGCATGATGACCTCCGGTCCCATTATGTGCATGGGAGGTTCCCCAAGTCAAGCCAGCAAGAGCCAAAGAAAAGCTAGAACGCGACACCTGAACTGACAAAGTGAAATCGCAAGGCCACGTCTGGAGGAGAGAGAAAATAAGACGGGACTCGAAAGAGAAACCGCGTGCAGGGAATCCCAAGGTTAAACAGACATATTGAGCGATAAGATCAAGCGAAGACAATGGACATAGCGCGAAGAGACATACACACACAGCGAATCATTGGAGTAGGACATTCGGGGAAAGGGAAAAGAAGGAAACACGGCAAGAAAAAAATGACACGATGCTCAGATGATGCAATGATAAGATTGTGCCCGCCAAAGACCCCCCTCCAAAATCAGATTCACCAGCTACGTCCACAGGAAAACGTCATATAGTTTCCTTCCCTTTTTGTTTTTTGTTCCATGAGCTCTCTAAGTCCAAAACCAAAGCGAGAAGAGAGACACCCTGAATGATAAGAAAAGAAGATAGGACCTAGTAAGTGGAGAACTCTCGCTCTCGTTTGACTGGGCCAATCGAGGACTGAAGATAGTATCACGGTCGAAAGAGTTTCGGATTATAATTCGGAGTCACTGACGCGGGGAATGGTGGATCAGGAGAGGTTTGTAATTAAGGTATGCACACGGATATTAACACAGATGGATGCCATCTATTGGTAGTTGCTGGATTGGTTGTCTGGGGCTAAAGGATCAGCCGTCAGCACCACAATGCGAAACGAGATCGTTCTGTATCCGAATCCATGCGATGCTAATCCGAGTCCCGAGGGAACGAGAGAAAAGTAAGGTGGTAAGATGGCAGCAGCTACTTACGTTGCTGGTACACCTGGTTGCTCTGTCCATAAGGGGAGTGAGGATAGTTGGCCGGGTAAGCCATCTGTCCGTTGCCCTGAGGGTAGACCATACCAGCGCCAGCGGCGCCGTACTGGCCAGGCACCTGACCATCGGCCGGTTGGTAGCCGATGGGAGGCAGCTGAGGGCGGACACCACCAGGGTAGGACGGTGGCTGACCACCCTGAGATGGATCAGGAGCAGCACCGCTGTCCACCTGCTGCTGGGCCTGAGCGGCGGCGGCAGCACGCTCGCGCTCCTCAGCAGCCTTGCGCTGGTTCTCCTCTTCCTTCTTGCGGGCCTTCCATTCCTTGCGGATCTCTTTGAATTCTGTGTTGGAGAAAAAAAAGCGATCCGAGTCAGCACTCACGTGGTCTGGGGTAAGATAAAATACAGAAACGGGAAATCTGATAGATGACGATTATAGCTGATCTCGCATGTGGTTAACCTTCGGCGCCGGCGTTGGCGCTACTGCGGTCCCGCGTGGGAGGAACGCCAGTGTTGTGTAACGCGACTAGTCCACGCACCAACTGAGACTAACCACATCGAGACCAGCTACGGGCACCAAAACAACGCGACAGACGCGTCGAATGGTATACGATGAAGAAGAAGGAATTAAATCAGGCGCACAACTTACCTTCAGGAGTACGCTTAGATCCGTGAGACTGCATGGTGACGTGCGCATTGAGGTGGTTCAATGTTCCGTATGCCTTCTCACAGCCATTCCATCCGCACTTGTACATACGCTCAATCTCCTCGTAACGGCGACGCGGTCGCTTGTGCTGCTGGGCACCGGGGATCGGCACGAAAGAGTAGACCTACAGTAAAAGAATCGGATCAGCTTCCATGACTTGGTGAACAAATGGTGGGCCCATTTGACTGCGCGTGTTCGAATCAAGAGCTCTCCGTGATAAAGGAGCATCCCATGATGAGAGAAGTCCCTTATCGACCGGGGTAGCTGCTTCGATTCTTTCTTTTTTTTTTGCCTTTTAACGAGCGACAGGCGCCGTTCCTTAACCTTTATATATGTGTTTTGAATCGTAACACACGTACCTGGCCAGGACGCGGCCCCGCGGTCACAGCAGGGGAGGCGGAACCAACCGTTGTGGCAGGGGAACTATAGGGCCCCGGCAGACCATGCTGATGTTGTCCATATCCATGCGACCAGTCTGGACGCGCATACATCTGAGGAGGCGGGGGGTGGCCCTGATACTGGGCCATGTCATGGCCCTGGGGCTGGTAGGGCGAGTAGGGAGGCGGATAGTTGGGGCTGGATGCCGCGATCGAGGGATCTATAGGAACGTCGGGGTCAGACTTGATGTTCGATTGAGAGTGATGGCCATTTTGTTGCCCATCGTGGAGGGTCATGGACGGACTTGTTGCTTGAGCCATACCTGCCGCGCCGCCGGCTTGGGTGTTAGGCGCGTGATGGTATTGAGGCTGACGGGCCAAGTAGTCCGGATAAGGCTGCGAGCGTCCTGCGGGAGGGTTCAGACCGTAGTCCGACTGCGGCGTGTTGGAGGAGGAAATGTTGGCGGATCGCACTTCAGGCTGGGGAGTGTACTGGGCGGCGGGACGGACGTCGGGTTGCGGCGTGTACTGAGCAGCAGCAGAAGCCTGGTCTGCAGCTGAGGGTTCAGAATGCGCGTCGGTCAAAAATGAATACGGTGAATGCAAACCTGACTGCGCGTAATCAGATGCAGGCCTGTCCATATAATGATCGGTCGCGATGGCGCGCGCGGTTTAGCGTTCCCAAGAATTCCTCCGAACAATTACCCTTCGAGAAACCTGTTGAGACGCGTGACGGACGATGAGCTTGGATTCCCCTCAGTAGAAAAGAAGCGGTATTCTCGAGATCAAGCCGACCAACGTTGGAATCGCCTGCGACTGCAACAGTTGACTCCAACGAGGTGTTCCTGCGGACGAATCGCGCTTGTGGCAACGCCTTTCTTTCCTCCTTGATTATTTTTTCTTTTTTTCTTTTGGGACGTACTAGGAGCAATGCAACTGACAGACTAGCAGTCGATGCTTTTTTTTTTTCTTTCCTTCTTCTTGATGTCCCTCTTTTTTTTCTTTTTCTTTTGGGTGTTTGTTGGTGGACTTAGGATTGAAGAGGATCAAACTGCACCTGAGCAAGAACGAAGATGAGAAACCAAGCTGGTTGGCGAGCTGTATGTTTCCGAAGCGGAGCTCCGCGACACAACGAGATGGTGTTGTGTTCGAGGGGAAGTTCAACGGTGCTTAATCGTTTTAGTGAGCTTTTAGGGCGGAGGATGCCTTGCAGGTGGCGGTGGACAAGCACGAGGAACCAGCGGGAAGCGACTGTCTGAGCTTTTCGGGAAGTGGGAGGGGGGAACGAAGGGTTTAGAGGCCAGGACAGGGCAAGTAAGGTGCCTGGACAAACGTTCCCAGCTCGACGGTTGTAGTGCAGAGACGATGCTGCGATCGTGGCAACGCGGTTGGTTTTGACCCTAAAATCGAGAAAAGAAGCGCGACGGGTAGTAGCGCAGAAGGGGGGGAAAGAAGACCGTGGGCAGAGGCGGCGGCCTAAAAGTCTTCGGACGGGAGCCCCAAGAGACTTTCGGCAGGAGACTTCGTTTAGGGCACCTCGTGGGCTCCGTGGGTAGAGTGGAGCCTGCGTGGAGCTCCGTATTTTTTCGCCTGTGGTTTGGCAAGGGAGGCGATCGCAAAAAGGGAAAAAGGGAAAAGAAGAGAAGAAGCGAGTAGAGAAAGAGGATACTCTTCTTCTTCCTCTTCTTTTTATTTTTCAATTAAAAGGGCGGAGGAATTCGATAATAATCCCTCTTCTTTTTTTTTTTTTCTCTTTTGCGTTGTTCAAACTGAGAGCGGAGCACTGTCTCTTTGCGGTGACGGTGTTCGAAGTTGCGCTGTATTTTTGCGTACCAATCTGGACCCACTCTGATGAAATATCAGGACTGTTTTGAAAGCTCTCTCTCTCTCTCTTTTTTTTCTTGCTTCCTTCCCCCTCTCTCTGGTGTTCGATTCGTTGTCTTTCTAATTGAATCTGTCCAGGTGATTGATGGCTCACGTAAAAACAGGGGAGAAACCAGCCCCGGAGCTTCTCCGTGACAGGGTGTGTGGCAACAGCTGAGACCCTTTTTTCCTGATTATTTTCTTTTCCTTCCTTCCTTCTCTGGCCAGTTTTCTTTTCTGTGTGCTCTTTCTCCCCCCCAGCAGGATTCAAGATGTGAAGGGGGGTTTTGGTAGTAGCAGGAGTAGGTGTCGTGACCAGGGGTGGTTTAGTCTCCCACAGGAGATTTAGCCAAGAACGCTCTTGTCGCGATAGAGAGATAGACTCTGATAGCCTGTCCGGGACGGATAGCGTGAACGTAGAGCGTAAAAAAGAGCGTAGCGCTGGAGAGAGAGGGAGGGGTGTGTTATGGGGGGTGGAGGAGAAAGCGTAGTCGGAAACTGGAGTCGCAGTGGACTAGCGCGGATGACCAGTGGTTCGAAAAAAGCACCAGGATCGTGGACAGCCTCGTTGCGAGCAGACACAGTCGCAGGGTCGGAAAAAGAGGGTGCTGCGTCGACTGGAAAGGGACCCGTTGGACGGCTTGAACGGTCTGAGAAAGGCTTAGGGGAAGAGAAGCAAGAGGGGAGACCCTAGGCAGGAAGAGGTCGTAGCGCAGGTCGGGGGAAGCGGTGACGGCGCGTGCAGGGTGGTCTGGGTGGAGGCGACGAGGGGGGCGCAGTGGCAACACTGGTTGGTCGAGAGGGCAAGACAGGTCGAAACTTTCGGAGGATGGGCGGGTGGGGCTGCTGCTGGATGGGGGATGGTTGGATGGCTGCTCGATGGGTTTGCGGCGGCGGTGATTGGGGAGGAGGCAAAGACGCACATTCACCACTGGCTGGGGAGGCAAAAGGCGAGCAAGCGCAGCATCGCATCACCGCCAGCGCCCCACGCGCCAAAGTCCAGGGTACGACCGTCACCCGGCAAACCTCCAGCCGAGTCCAGGTACTGGGTACCATACGGTCACTAGCAACTGCGGCTGACTAGCGCCCACTTAGTGGCCTTCTGCGAGCTTCGAGATAAGTATCGTGCTCCAAACGTCGCTAACCCTTTCTACGCACGCTAGTCTTACCGTACGGATGGTGTACCGGCGCGCAAGTCAGGAACGCGTGGGTGGGGAGGCAAGTAGAAACAACAACCAGCAAGAAGAAAAAAAAGGTAAAATCTACGGCGCAGAGCGTAAAAAAAAACCACAATGCAGAAAACATGGAACACCCTACAATCAGAAGGGGAATCTTGCAAGTCAAAAAAAAAAAAAGATATCATTCCTATCTCGCAGTTCCTGCCACGCAGCTCTCGAAACGTGAAAAGAATGCAAAAGGGTGGTCGGGGAAAGTGAGCTCAAGCGATAACGATCCGACGTCAATGCCAGACCCCGAGCTGCCTCTGCATACTCCGGAGCCCATAGGCGAACTGTGTGGTGTCCGGAGCAAGTACACCGACTTATGGTACGCCAACCCCACGAGCAAATCTGAATTATGGAGCAGGAGAAAGAACACTTTCCCTACAGGGGGAGTTGCTGCATTCTAGTTATCTATTCTGTATTATTATGTATTTATCTCTTGTACTCAACTCCTTTTCTTTTTTTTTCTTCTGAGTACCACGGTTCACGATTGTCTCGGAACTTGACCCCTACGGCGTGGTATGTTCACGATATACTCCTGCTCTTGCCTGTCCACATCGGAGAATCCATATACTCTAGGATAAACCCCGTAATATCGCAATGAGCGCACTAGGCAGAAAGGAATGATAGCGCCGCAACCTAGCAGTAGTACGGAGCATGGGTGGTGTTCTCCGGTACACCGTTCCAGTGCAGGGGCGATGTCAGATGTCAGGGATGAACGAACCTCCCCGGCCACAGGTAGGGGCAGAAAGGGGGCGGGTCTCCCGTCCTGTTGGTCGGGTCGATGGGCAGGCGTGCAGCGCCGTTGCTCGGATGCCAGACGGTCACTGGATCGTTGACCGACTCGGAATGATTCATTGGCCAGGATCCCCGACCGCTCCATGACGCCAGGGCCAATCGGGCACAGCCAGCGGAGGCCGAGCATCCGGTCAAGAGAGCCCCGGAGACGCTCTGGTATCGGTATGTATGGGAAGGATCGGATGTATCCAGCTTACCGGCACATGGTAAAACTTATGCTCCGTCCTGCGAGAGAGAGAGAGAGAGAGAGAGAGAGAGAGAGATTAATTATTAATTAATAATAATCCTCTAGATATGGCCACAAAAACGGTCATCCTTCAAGATCACGTCGATGTAGAGTGGTATAGATAACTAAATAGATCATTCGAATTACTCTAATAAGACCAGAGTGGATCTTGCTGCAACATGAGTACATACATATTATTACTCTACAACCGGTACGAGGTATACGGGGTTCGCAATTAAAAGTCTCTTGTCGACGCTCCATGGAACTCTGCTGCGGATATGGATGCAAACCGTTGTTGCCCAGTTTGTGTACCGGGTGAACAACAGTTCAGATGGATCCTGCTGTAATGTAAAAATACATGGAGGTTTAAAACTGGGAGGTCATGTGCACAGGCGTCGATCTAAATATCTCTGTCCCAGCATCAGTAGTAGTTCTGCTGGAGTAATTTTTTATTTTATTTTTTTTGTGGCATTCCGGCTGGCAAAGTAACCGAATAACAATCATCCCAGCCTCCACGTCGCATCCTTTCTGGCACCGAGTGTTGCTCTTCTGGGACTCCTGCAGTCCGTAACTGCCCGAGGGAACTGCAGGATGGTTCGCAGTCCACGGTAACGTGCTGTGAACAGTCCACACGGTGGGAGAAAAGGAAAAGGAAAAAAAGCATCAATCATTTGGCCCAACCCACATGCCGCCGATACCGACACCCTTCTTGCAAATCCCGCAGGCTCATAGGCAAACCCATCTTCCGGATCAAGCGCCATGCATTGCGGCCACAACGCCATCTCTGGTGTCTGCTGTGCGCTGTAAGGCACAGCACCACCGCCAGCGGGCCATCAAGGTTGACGCGCCGTACGGGATGCATTAGGGAGATCTCTCCTGACTGCTGGAGTGTTCGCGAGAAACGACACACGCTTTCCGTCCAATCGCCGGCTCAGGGTCCACTTCTCTCCACCCACCCCCCAAAGACCACTCCTCAAATGCCGCGTTTCCTCGAAGGAGTAGCAGTGTACGACCGAGGGTATCTTTGCGTATGCCCAGCTTCAAGCGGTTGCCAGTAATCTCTCGAGGCTGGTAGATAGATAGATAGATAGATAGATAGGCTTCTTTTTTCCAACAATTATTACATCACAAAGAAGTTCATCTCCTTTCTTCCGGGTAGATCTATCTATGGAGTGATCGTTGACAAAACTGTCGAGTAAGCATTGGGGGGCCAAAGAACGCATAGTGTGTGATTCGCTGTTTTCTCCGTTTTTGGACGTACAGTATTATTTATTGCACACCGGCATCGTTGCATCCTTCCCTATGCGACTCTTGAGAGATCTGATTCGAGCAGACGGATCAATCTGTACGATCATTGTTGATCCATCGCTGATAGCGGTTTACTTCTGGGTAAATAAACCCCACAGGACCATTAGGCGTCAACAGACCATCTGTACCAGCTGTAGTGTATGATCTGCTCATGGCTTGTTGGGCATACAAATAATATCGTTCTCAGAGCAAACGATTATTATGATTATTGCTTCACAACATCAGCA